TTAAATTTATACTTATCTTATATAAAAATAAGCTAGTATTTCTATTATAAATAAAGCTTTAAAATTACCTTATTTAAGGAAGTAAAGAATATTTATAATAAAGTTAATTAAGATTTTAAATAGTTTATTCTAATTATTTTTAAATAATATATTTAACTAGAAGTAATTTTTAACTATTAGAAATATTTTAATATACTTAATAATTAAAGATTAACTATTATACTTTTAAGTATATAAAATATAATTTTTATAAATTCTATAATATATATTAGGATTAATTTTAGTTTAATATAATTATAATTCTTTTATAAATATATACTTAAAGTTAAAAGGAACCTTCTATTAATAAGACTTTTATTATAACTAGTATTATTATAAATTATAAGGTTATTATTAGAAGGTAAGTTATAAATAATAACTTATTAATATATATATTATTAAAAGTTTAAACTTTTATTAAAAACATTTAAGTTATTAATTTTAATTATAACTAGTTTACTTTTAAAAGTTACTTTAATAGTATAGTTAGGTATAGAAGTATAGTATTTAAAGTATTATATTTTATTTAAATATACTTATAAAACTTATTCTTTAAATTAAATATTTCATAATATCTATTATAAGTTTAAGCTAATAGAAGTTAGAGAGATATAATAGCTTATAAATATAACTTTTTTATAAGGAATAATAACTTATAAATCTTTTATATTTATTATATAATTTTATTATATTAAACTAAGTATAATATCTTTAATAGATTAAATTTCTATTATAAATATTTACTTTTATATATTTAATAAAGTTTTATTTTAAATTATAATTAAAGTCTTCTATCTCCTTTTATAATTAAATGTTTTTAAGTTAATAATTTAACCTTTATTAATTACTTTCTTAACCTTATTATTAGTCTTATTTTTAACTTAGTATTCTTTTATCTTATATATAAAGTAAATAGTTTAAATATAAAGATTTACTTTACCTTATTATACTTATATTTATTTCTAAGTATAGTATTATTTAAATAATATTTACTTATAGCTATACTATTCTTATTCTTCTCTACTATTATATAAGGTTAGATTATTTTTTAATAAGGTTAATATTATTTTAATTCGCTCTTAAGTTTAGTTCTATCTAGGTTCTTATATAAGTATACTATTTTAGTGCTGTACATACCCTCCCCTTTAGGTAGGTTTAAATTCTATAATATATATATATAAAGGAAAAAAGGAATATAATTATAAAGTCTAGTAATTAAGTATTTACTATTAGTCCTATTACTTTAATTAATATTAACCTTTAATTAAAAGGACTACTTTATAGTAAATTTTTATATACTTTATATATATATTAAACCTTTAAGGTTAGTAGATTATAATTTAAAAATTAAACTTTATATTCTATTAAATTATTAGAAAAATAATATATAAAGTATTATAATTACCTATTTATAAAAACTTAATATTCTATTATTAGCCTTAAATAAAATATACTAATATATTATTATTACTAACTACTTTTTCTAAAAATATAATTTATAATAATATAATTAATTATATTAATTAGTTATAACTTAAAATAGATAGTTAATATATTAAATAAGATATTTAATTTAAAAGTAGTAGTAATTTATTCTAATTAGTTAAGTTTATTTATTTATTAATAATTAACTTTTTTATAAAGGTTATAAAACTATATAATAAATATACTAAGCTTTATATTAAAAGTAAAAGAATTAAAAATAGTTAATAAATAAGTTAATATTATAATATATAGTTTAGTTATTAGTAACTTATATTAGCTTATTACTAACTTTAAGTTTTCTTAATTAGAAGAGGTTTATATCCTTTTCTTAAATAAAGGTTTATAATCCTTTAAATATACTTTAAAAGTATAAGAATTATTTAAATTAGTATTATTTAAATTAACTTCTTATTAATATTTAGCCTTTTTTAATTATATTAAAAATGTTTAAAAAGAAAGTAATATTTTTATTTTTCTTATATTATTCTACTTTCCTTTTAAAATTGAATACTTTTATCTTCTTATATAAATAATAAGTAATATTCTTTTATAATTTAATTTATATTATAAATATCTAGTTAAAATATTTATAAAAAACTTAGTTAAGGTTTCTTTATATATATATTAGTTTTTCTAAAGTTATGGTTTTATTAATAATAATAAAGGGCTAATTATATTAATAAAATAAATATTTAATTAAAATAATAAAAAGGAAGACTATTTATTAGTTTAGAAAATACTAATATAAGCTAATTATCCTCTTCTTTAAGTAGAGCCTTATTAAGCTTAAAGCTTAAGGTTATTTTTAAAAAGTAAGACTTTTTAAATTTTTAATAAATATTATTAAGTTATTTTATTATATTTTTAAATAACTTTTAGATATATTCTATTAAGATAATTAAGAAGATAATTATTATACTAATACTTTTCTAAAAGTTATTTAATTTAAGAATAAGAATATAATTTAATATTATTATTCTATTAGCTAACTAACCTAAAATCTTTTTAATAATAGTTAATACTTTAATTAAAAGGTAGAGTAAAGGATCTATTAGTATAAATATAAATAGTTTAAACTCCTTATCTTTATTACTAAAAGGCCTTAATTTTAAAACTATAACTACTTTATTATTTAATAAAGTAATTATAAATCCTATTATATAATTATATAAATAAGTTTAAAGTTTAAAAAAGTATATAATTATAAGTTATATATATATAACTTAAAATAAAGTAAATAAAATTTCCTTTAAATCTTATATTTCTTTAATTTAAGACTTAAAAGGTAATTATAAGGGAATTTAAGTACTTAAATCTAATTTATAAAGTTAGATTTTATTTAAAAATTAGTTATTTAAGTGAGTCTTATACCTTAAACTTTAATTTTATATTTATACTTTAAGATTAATTATACTTAAAATACTAGTATATATCTTAGTTAATTAATAAAATAAAAGAATAAAAGTAATATAAATAGAAAGTTTATAATTAAAAATAAAATAATATTAATTTTAAATAATAACTTTATAATATATAATTATAACTATTAATTATTATAATTAAATATAATATATATATATATATATATATATATATATAAAGGGATAATATCTTTTATTTTTTAAATAGTTTAAATAAAGACTATTTATATAAGTAACCTACTAGCTAGCCTCTTTACTTATTAGCTAGCTTATAATCCTTAATATAAGTATATATAGCACTTATACCGTGCCATAGCATTATACTTAAATTATATAGCAAATTTAATAATTATATATAATACTTACCGGTGTTAAACTAGCTTATAATTCGTGATAGCTTTAACTTTTAATAGATTAGTTTATATTAAAATTAATAGTACTAGCTTAAACTAGTATAACTTAATGTACTAATATAAGAAGGTGTTTTTTAATAATAGATAGTATTATAAATAATTATAAAGTTATTATAAAAGTTTTATATAATAAATTTAATTAAGTTAATTTTAAAAGATATATTATATTTTATTTTTAAAAACTTTAAGTATTTACTTTTAGTTTAATAATAAAATAAAAAATATATAAATAATTTATAAATTACTTTTAAAACTATTTTTAAAAGTTTAATATTTTATTATAAAAGTTTTAAAATAATATATTATAAATTATTTCTTTATTTTAAAGTTCTTTAAAATTAATAGTTATATATTTAAATAAAAATTATAATATTAAACTTTATAAGTTTATTTAATAAAAGTTTTATTATAAGATATATATATATATATATATTTAAAAATAATATTTAATTAAAATTCTTTTAATATAATTTATTTATATAATAATTATTTTTAAATTTAATTTTATTATATAACTTTTATAATAATTAATTTATAAATTACTTTTATTTATAATTTTAATTAATATTATTATTAAAATAATATCTTTTAATTTTATTTATATATTATAAAATTAAAATTATAAATATTTATTATATTATAATTATAATTATTAATATTATATTTTTTTTAAATATTAAGTTTTAAATACTTATTATTATATAAAAATATTATATATACTATTCTTTTAGAATGGTCCAAGGTCCCGTAATTCTTAAAATTTAAAAAGTAATAAAAACCTTAAAATTTCTACCTAAAAAAATAAAATATTCGGTTTACTATGAAAATAGTACTAAAATGTAGCCTAAATTTTTGTGAATTTAATGGTTATAGTTTCACTCTTCTTGGACTCTTATTGGCTGAGAAATTAAGGATATAAGTTAGGGTTTTTAATGCCTTTGCCCCTCTTATAGGTGTGCAGTAGGGGCACTGCTAATTCAAGTTAGAACTTCCAGTTTTAGAGCTTCTGATTGGCTAAGACCACTTCCTCCAATTCCCCCACATGGCTGACTAAGCCTATTTGGGCTGACTTGGCTGACTTACACCAGCCCCTATATAGCTGACTAAGCCCAATCTAGGCGGCGGCACGTTCCTAACCTCTGATTGGCTGACTTACACTAGTCCAGGCGGCGGCACGCCGCCGGAGCGTGCGAGCGGAGCGAGCGCGCGAGGGCGAAGTGCCGCCGCCCTTCCAGCCAATCACAGCTAGGTATTTGCTGACTAATCACCTAAAAGAATGGCCCTTATGAGCTTCGAAGAAGCTATCCACACAAATATATATCTTTAAATATATATAAAATAAAAGTAAAACTATATAAATAATATTAAAATAAATTAGTTTCTACTTTTAGGCCTTAAAGTTTAAAGTATTTTATTTTTAACTAGTTAAGATAGTGCCCTTTAGCCCTATTTATACGTTATAAGGCTAAGGCTATAAGCACTTATCGTATTATAACTATTATTATTAACATTATATCCTTTCAAGCCCTAGGTCGTGAGCGCTTACCACCATATGAAGGTGCCATATATGTCCTCGGGCGTATACGGAATGGAAGCGAAACCACTTTGTTTCCAACTGCCCTCAGGGTATCTACCTAGGTGTCTACAACGCAACAGTCTTGCTGTTGACCGTGGCCATGAGCTGCCCGGTCTTCTTGTCTCCACTCACTGCGATGTTAAAGCTCTGATTATTGAAGACACCACCCAGGCCGAACTCAACCGTCGAGTGCGTCAGCGTCCACCCGCCACCGAGTGCCCCTTCGGAAAGTCCCGGGACACCAGCGTTGAAGCCGCCCCCAACGAAGTCTACGACTTGAGATCAGCAAGTCAACAATCCACGCGCCCGGAGCATACTGGCTCCAGGCTAGACAGTGAGGCATACCGGAGGAAAAGTTAAGCCCTGCGCCGGCCGAGTACCCAAAAGCTAGGCTATCCGCGCCCCAGCCCAGCTCACCAGTCTTGCTTGCTAGGTCGACGTCCTCCGTCTTCGTGATGTTGACGGTCTGGGCCAGGGCCAGGGGCGGAAGCACTAGGCTGGAAATAAGAGACAAGCGCATATTGGCTGAGATATCTCGGTGTAGCCGTTGGGGTAGCGGCCAATGCGTTGGGGAGTTCTTCACAGACTCAGTTTGGGATGAGCGAGAGGATTGTTTGAGGTGCAAAATGAGTGACGCTACGACGGTGAAGGCTTGGGACGATGGTAAGACGGTAATCTTAGTGGCGATGCTATCAAGCATAAATACGTGCCCACTACTCGGATCCACCGCTTGGCGAGATCAAATTAAGTTCCTTGTCCTCTTCTTCCCAGTCATCGCCAACTGTGTTGCTTTGGGCCCAAAAGTTTTGCAAGCATCCTCCGTTCTGCTTGCTACTATGGAGTTTGGGCCAACATATCACGGACTCCCAAGCGAAACAGTCATGCAAGACAGTGGCTACCCGCGAATTCGACAGACTCCCCAAGGGTTGCCGACAAGCTTCGACGATCGGCACGCCATACCTAGGTACCTCAAGACTGAGAGGCGAGTCATTGTCAGGGATATCTTCTTGGCCAGCGAACTACCCCTGAGAACGAAAGTTTATTTTAGTTTGGACGAGCCTCAAGAGGATGTGAATACTAAGTCTCAGTTGAGCTGTGAGGACGCTTGCACGCCTAGGACATACGAACCACATGAACGCTAATGGTGTTGCCCCGTCAAGGTTACAATGTCTTCAATCTGTCTACGCACTTTACATAGCTCAGCTCGCACATCAACCGCGTTTCTGCGGGATGGGCAAAGAAAAGCGACCGAAGGTCAACAGTGAATCACTGGTGCAGTGTTTGTTCCCTTGACAGTTTAGGTGCAAGCAATGAAAGGCGTGGGTCTATTCCGTGTGGTCGAATAGGGTGACTACTTGTCATGCTTGACACTGGAGAAGGTGTATAGGTAGTTTCACATGGGAATAATCATGGTCGGGGTAGCTGCGAAATGTGAACGTAAAGTCATTTCCATTGAGGTTGGGTGCTACCTGTCAGTTATGGAAGAAAAGCAATTCTTGATAACTCCTGTCCTGTGATCCCAATTGCCCCGCCAATTTTCCGTTTGAAACCAGTGTGGCTTAGATGCCGCGCTTCGCGTCCTTTGCTGCCAAACCAGAAAGCCTCTTCTCGGGCTTGGGGTATTCTGGCCTGCCGCCGAGGATGTCGACGGCATCCTTCATGTACCACCAGTAGCCTTTCGTTGGCCGACGGTTGGCCCAGTCGGTTTCTTGTTCCTCCACCTCTTGCATGGGCGTGAATACAACGTCTGCGCCCTTGATTCCGATCACAGACATTCCCATGGGGTCGGACATGACACGTTCGGCAGCGTTCTTGCCAAAGTTCTCCAGGTGCTGGATGCACTTGATGGCGAGTCTTACAGCTCTGGATCGGTCCATAGGAGAGGGAACACCGCCTTGCTGCACATGGCCGGGGATGCTGTCACGAGACTCAAATCTGTCGTGCGCCTCCTCACGAATGATGTCTGCTACAAGCTTGGCGTTGTACACTTTCGAGGCCTTCTCGTTGATGAGAATCAGGCGGCCAGCACGCGACTGCCCCTTGTCCTTGGCGAAGACATTCTTCAAGTGCCTAACATCGGCCTCGAGCATGCCCAGGCTGACACCTTCCTCGGGAGTGTACACGGCGACAGCACCGACACCGAGCCCGGCGAGCGTCGCGACGTAGCCGGACCGACCACCTTGGGTCTCGATCACGAACACACGACGGCGAGCGGCAGAGGCGGACTGTTTGATCTTGTCGCAGTAGTTGACTAGCTCATTCAAACACGTGTCAGAGCCGATGGAGTACTCGGTGCCGGGGACGTTGTTGGAGATAGTCGCGGGCAGCACGGTCATAGGGATCCGTAGCGATGGGAAGTCCTTCTGGGCCACACGGAGCTGCGACACGGCGTGGAAGGCCTCGAACCCACCAATGAGGAAGAGGGCGTCGAACTTGTACTGCTTGACGAGATCAGCGATCAGCTCCATCCCGGACTCCTTGGGGAGTTCTCGGTTGGTTCCGATCTCAGAACCACCCTTGCTCGCCCAGCCGTCGACCTCGAGCCAGTCGAAAGGGCGGACAGCACCCAGTGGCTTATCGCCGTGGTGTCTGGCGAACCCAGCGAATCCATTGCAGATGGCAATAGGTTCGTGCCCGCGGGATATGCAGTAAGCCACGCCGCCCCGAATAGCTGCATTCATGCCGCCAGCTGGTGCTCCGACGTTGATAAAACCGATCCTCATGCGCTTGTTCTCGGGGAGTATATGCTCTCGGCTGAGGTTGGCCGTTGTTGTCAACATGTATGACTTGTACTGGTCCGCAAACTCTGTGTCCCGCAACGCCATGGCCCTGTCGAAGTCCTGAGCCTCGATGGCCTTAGCCACAGCCTGTGTGTCCTGCACCGCCTGCATGAGCGGCCTTCGGACGATCTGGTTCTCAGTGATAGCGATGAAGCAAGTCTCAGTCTCAGGCGTAGCTTCGAGGACGGCCTTGACGGCCTCGACACCCTGGAGGGTGGCAAGCATGCGGTCGTAGGCAACCGCTGTGCCGCCTCTCTGGACGTGTCCAAGGGTGGTGATCCGGGTGTCGAGGTGGAGGCCCTTGGGATCTGCCAAGAGGTCCTTGACCATTTCGGGAGAGATCTTGCCCCCGTATTTGTCGTGGGCACCCTCGGCAATGATGACGATGGTCTTTCTCTTGCCCAAGCTGCGGTGCTTCTTGATAATGGCGCACATCTCCTCCCTCCAGTTGTCCTCCCTGGGCTTCTCGGGGATGAAGACGAAGTCGGCGCCGGTTGCAACACCAGTCATGAGTGCCAGCCAGCCGCAATGACGGCCCATGACCTCAACGACAAAGGCCCGGGAGTGTGAAGAGGCGGTGGCCTCGATGTAGTCGACCATCTCGCAGATTCTTGAAAGGGCGGAGTATGCCCCGATAGTGGCGTCGGTCCCAGACATGTCGTTGTCGATGGAGCCAACGGTGCCCACGATGTTCAGGTGGCGGAAGGGAGCGACCTGCTCTTTGGTGAGCTCCTTCTTCTCGATGAGCTCTTCCAGGAGAGAGGGCCACTCGGAACGGAACTTGTCTGCACCGGTCAGGGAGCCGTCACCACCGCAGATGATGATGGCGTCAATGCCGTTGAGAATCATGTTCTTGGCGGCAGTAAGTCGGCCGGGCCGCTCGTAAAACGCCATGCAGCGGGCAGTACCGATGAGAGTGCCGCCCTCGGAAAGCCAGCCACGAACGTCATCCCACGCCATCTTCCGAATGTAGTCACCTCCCCTGACAAGGCCCTCATAGCCCTCGTAGACGCAGTAGGCATCACAGCCCATGTGCAAAGCCATGCGAACACAAGCACGGACGACGCCGTTCATGCCCGGCGAGTCACCTCCCGAGGTCATGATGGCGATCTTCTTCTTGACAGGCGCCATGTTGTCCTGCCTGAGTGGGGATCCGAGGGAGAGGGGAACGTTGGGGTATTGAATCGGGTGTTATTCCCGATGCTGTTCGCCTGGTAACGCTCGTGTCCTGTCTGGCGCAATGTGTTTGCCCAACGGAAAAGTGGAGGTAGATATTTAAGTAGGGACTGGGTGGCCGTTAGTTGCTGTCTGTCCGCCGGCTGGAGTGAGGGAAGTGCACGCGGGAGAGTGAGAACGAGACCGCGGTGGAGGCTCAAGGGAGTGTGGGATGGCAGGTATTTAGATGGCTGGTGCCCAGGCACGTCCCGGCATGGCTGAGCACCTCTGTCGATTGTCTCGTGTCGTCCCGTCGCTTCTCATCTCCCGGGGGATACCGTTTGTCTGACTGAGTGTCTGACGTTGACTTACCGGTATGAAACCGCGCAGTTGCACTGGCAGCAGACAAGAAGCTTGGCTCTCAGCTGGCGCAACAAAAGGTGTGTCTTGTGAGTCTGTGTGCGGCCTTCGGGTCGAGTCACCGCACCGGCCTGTTCGAGGGTTCTCAGAGACAAGAGTGAGTAGGTAGGAATTGAAGGTGGTTGAGGAAAGAAGAAGGAGTATCTCGGGGACGAGCAGCAGCCAACGATGGGTGTGATGCAGCCGGGAGACCAGGAAAACAGCTGCGTCAAGGTGGGACGACGGCAATGCAGGTCAGGGCAGTCTGGGCTCAGGTGAGCGCGCACAAGGTTGGAAGGGAGGGAGGAGGGACATCATAGCTCTTATCTTATCTTGGGGGGGGGGGTTGGTGGGTGTCCAACGTCAACCCCACCACGGCGACCGAAAAACTCTTGGAGTGACTTCATACCGCAGCTTGGGCAGGGACTTAATCCCTCATACGACTTTTCCAGCTGTACATTGTAGCACGACAGGCAGGGCGCAGCCTCGCTGAAATGCCGCTGTAACAATGAGCTTGACAAGTGGGACCGGACCCAGCAGTGTCTCGAGACGGTGGCCTCACTGCAAGGAAAACTTTGACCCAAGTCATACGTCGCCGTGTCAACCCACCCATGAGCGCAAGTGTATTTCTCTCCCTCGCCTCATGCTTGGGCAGGAGGTCCTCGGGGCCCAGCCTCACACACGGCCAGACGGCCGACAGGGCTTGCTCTCACAAATGGGGTGAGCAATCTCGGGAACGTGGGGCATGGCCGGTGTGCATCCTGGCGTGACGCCGAGCATCACGTATGTACGTACGGACTACGCCATGCAGCCTTATGTTGGGCAGCTGTGGCAGGGCACACTGATGTACTTCCTTGGGAGGCACAAACGGGCTGCCCAAGATCAGGTGTCGAACCAGGATGAGGACCAGTACTTGATCCGGACACAGGTAGGTCCGCATGTAGATGTAGACATGTCTACGTTTGTTTGTTTCGTGGCCTGGCCGTGCCGAGTACTACCCAGTACAGTGATTCCTCCAAGCTTCCTCCTTCGACGCTACACAGTACCTGGGCAGGTAGCTGCGTAGAAGGCCCACCCGCTGGCAGCCCACTAAGATTAGCGGCCGCACACCCCTGCCAGCGGGAGCTTCGACTCCAACCCTCCCATTGGCTCGTCAGTCGCGACTGCAGGAGGGATGCTATGCCCGCCGGAGCTCTAACTTGGCTCTGCGAACAACAATCCCGCGACAGCTTCACCCTCGGCCGAAACTACTACCTGTGTCGACCACTCGCCTCTCGGCGCTCCGAACCACATGTCCCGCGCGTCCCAAACCACGATGCATTAATCCTGAAGACTACGGCAGATCTAATCAGGGCATTGTTGACACGACCCTGCTGTGCTCCCCGCTCCTCACAATACCTCGGCGTCCTGGCCCATCAATCGCCCGATTCGCGCACGGCCGATGAGAGAACACTCAACTAGCCCACACGAAACGCCAGACACAATCTGGATCCAGCAAATATGGCCTCGAACCCAGCACAGTCCTTCGTCCTGAGGCCGGTGCCTCAAAGCGACCGCAGGCCGAAGAACCTTGGCGAATTTATCGCCAGAATAAATGCCGACCGAGGGTTTAGAAATGTCACGGAGGAAAGCTTGCGCAGGGATATGGAGTCAGAGTTAGAAGCTAATGGCATGCTTGAGTCGAAAGAAGTCGACATGACCACTGGCGAGGGCGCAGGTGGTGATGCCGAGGACGAAGATGGCGGAGACCAGGTTGGGATCGAGGACCTCAACCAGGCGGTGCTAGACGTGAGGCAACATGCAGAGTAGGACCCTCTCGCCTTATACATCTTCGAGTCTGGGTTTGCTGACTTTTGTTCCAGGACGGCACACCAGAATGCCATGCTGGCACTCGACTTCGTCTCGTTGCTCATCACGAAAGAGAACCCGAGACCAGCCCAAGACACTGTCTCTCCAGCACTTCGAGACCTCGTGGGTATCGGAAGCCTCGGTGCAGACAAATTGGCCGCTTCGAACGTCACCCCTCAACGCCTATTGGACAACAAATTGGTGGCCACGGGCTGGAAGTTGACGGACATCGATAGGACCGTGAACTCGGTTCTCACGTCGGCATCACGGTTGCAAAAAGAGATCAGTGTAGAGACCAAATATTGGGCTGAGGTGCTCGCGGTCAGTGAGAAAGGCTGGGCCGTCACACGCGTTCCCAACGAGCCAGAGACTCTCGGTGTCAGGTATGGCTTCTCGGAGGCTGCGCCTGGCTTTCGGAACACCAGTCTTGCGCCCATGCGACGCGGCGACGACGGCACTGTTGAACTCGACTGTGGGAAAATGCTTGGGGACTCCCAGCGTCTACTCGTCACCTTCGAGAAGAATCATCGTATCGTCGGGCGGTCTTCGCTTCCAAGACCGCTCCAACAAGATGCGCCGTTGGAGGAGCGGGTACTTGAAGCCCGAAACACCATCTTTGCGCAGGAGCTTTGGCATGAAATGAATCGCGAGGGTCGCCTGCTACAAGCTTATGGCATTCGGCTGGAGAATGATGCGCTCTCACACACTTTGGGCGATGGTACACGGATCGTTTTTAGCTTGCAGCCGCTCGAACAAGCCGTCGAGGAGGGTGCCTCGGAAGCTCTCCCAGAGGACTATCGTGCTGAGTCTCTGAGCTCGGCTCTCCATCAGTTGCTGACATATGCACATCGAATCAACAACCAGAGGCGCTCGCGCCCTGATTCCAAGAACAGAGACCAGTCCACGACAACATCGCCGTACCCCCTCCTGCGACCTGTCCTCGCTAATCTTCAGCATGAAACATTAATTGACGATGCGACGAGATTCATTTCGGATTTGTCCACCATCTTGCACTCCGCAGGTATATCCACAGTGAACTTCAGACTTGTGGAGCCGCCCATCTCCTTGGACTTTGCCTCGACTGATGGGTCCCCATCCGAGGCCCTTATCCGAGCACTCTTCGGGCCTCTTGAGCTTCAGTATGAGTTCAACATTACTCCGGAGTCTCGACTACTCATCCACGGCAAGACAGTCATGGGCAACACTATTGCGACAACCTACCATGTCTCTGTCCTACCCCCGGCCCAGGGCGGAGCGAATCCTCTGTCGAAAGCATATCCCCCAATCCACCTTCAGGGCGAAGGATACACTCTACCTGATCTCAAATACTACCTGCAACAAGCCGTCGCGCGTGTCCTGGTCGACCGTGCCAGCACCATCGTGCTGACCGCTAGAGCGCCATCGCCGAGCGATGAGGATGAGCTACCCATCGTGTGGGCAAAGCATATCTCCGGGGTGGCCCTCGAAAATAGTAACGACAGCAGGGAACAACTGCGCTTCGAAATCATCCTCTCGGAGCTCGGCCACCCCGAGTTGCACCTCTTCGGGAGCTGGGTTGTCGACCAGCCTAAGCTTGCGACTAGGACTTGGACTTGGACAGTCGACAACGTCAAGCAGGGGCTAAAGAAGGAGAGTATCGAGCAGGTCCTCCGTAATGTTGTGGCTCGTGTAGCTCAGCCTCTACCCTGAATTCACAATCTCATAAGACACATAGGCACGAACAGTGTTTTTTATGCCCGATTTGCAGACGTGTCGACTCGACAAAAGCGTTGGATTGTTACAGGATATGGACGGTAGTACCCGATTCAATAGGCAGCGTCTTGCTCAACAGTTGCAGGTTTCGACAGACTAAGTGATGCTTCGCAAGGTGCCGCTTCGCAGGGATGAAGCAGTCTCCGAATCATCTGTGCGTAGCGACCGTGCGCCTGGGTAGTAATGATATGCATTTTATTATCCTATGACAATGGATTCTATGGCTAGCATGCCATCCCTCCATTCATTCTCCCCTTTGCAACGTCGATGACGCCAAGGCAAGAAAACACGTACCTCCTGGGTGGAAAGGAGCGATCCGAACTGCTTAAGGCCTCGGACCCGATCGCCGCCGGCTTGCAGATTCATGCAATTTCCTTGTGCCTGGCTTTCCGCAGTCCTTACCATGCGTGGCTTTCCTACACGCGTCAGAAAATCAGCAAATCAGCAAATCAGCAAATGGTGAACTTTCTTCCCCTGACAGCCACTCATTTTTGTCCCGGGCGGCCGGGTGCAACCTAATAGGCAACTTGGAAAACCCTTGAAAAGATCAGCCAGATCTGCAGGGACGAGTACGACATCATTTCGATGGTCTTGTATCTCGAATGTCACCTCAGCGTTACATTGACAGTCGCGTTGCGCAACACAAGTCGCAAGAACCGAGGTGCAGTTTCAAGGCTAAACAACGGTGTCGCCTGGGCGAGGCTGATTGGAAAGCTTCCATGCATCGAGAGAAGTTCTGGAACAACCTTCCTGCGCGAGGCATCGGTATTTGCATTCTCACCCTGCTGTTAATCACGCTGGCGGTGAGACACACATTTCCTCCGGCATCGTGTGGAGTCTTTCCAGCAATCAATGGCTTCTTCGGGCGGACCATATCACTGCCGCTGTATTTGGGGCAAGAGCTCTCTAACGACTGCCGAGATGTCCCCGTCGATACTGACCGCCAGCCCAGCCTCATCAAGGCCCCATGGGACTGCAGACTCGGGCCCCAAGCCCACCCTGATCAGCTTTACTCTTCCCCTGCCCCTGGTGATAAGATCCTCATTCGGCCACCTCAAGACCCCTGGAGTCGACATGCCGGCGCCAAGCTCAAGGATCACCGTTGTCTTCTCGCCGCTAAGCACCGTACTTTTGCGAAATTCCCTCCATCTCCGCTCCCCGTCTTGGAACGGCACCTCGTTGAACCAATCCCCTGCCCTGACGCAGATATTCATCTTGCCCCCGCAGAACTGGCACCGCGGCACCTTGTCAAGGTCGGTCAGGATTTGAGAGACTGGATCAAGGGAGTGTTGGGCGGCCTCGATCAGCGGACCGCTTGCAACCGTGGCATCACGGCGGCAGTTGGCCAGGCACTGAAGTACGGAGTAGGCGCCTTGGGGCGTTGACAACCTCTGCGCGTCGAGCCCGTTGGCGAGGAAGAGGCCATCGGCGTTGGAGGTCCTGACGTGCACGTTACCACCGTCGAAGTGCTTCAGCCATGATACGAGGCTGCGGTACATTGCTGATGCAGGCCACGAGCGGATCATACTTATGTGCGTGCTGTAGTAACCCCATCGCACTTGCTCGCTAGGCCATCCGCGAAAGCCAAAGACGTCGTATAGCGTCCGCAGCCCGTACTTGAGGAAGCCTGGAAAGTGCTTGGCGAACAGTGCCGGTGAAGTGTAGTCCAGCCCATCTGAGGCCGACAAACCTGCGCCAGCACTGACGAGGACTGCATCCGCCTCCTCCAACCACCCCCTCGCGCGGCCCAGTGAGCCACACTGGATAACGGGCTGCGGCGAGGAGTTTCCGTCTGTTTCTGAGGAAATCCAGCTCTCCCGCTCCTGCGGCACGCGGGCCAGCACCTCCTTATAGATGGTGGTATCCTCGTCAGTGAAGGTGTCGAAGATGACGTCCGTCACGGACGTCCCCTCATGCTCCTCAAGCCACTCGGAGACAGCGCGCACAGCGATCGCTGCTGCTTCCCGCGCTGGGAAAGCAAACAGGCCTGTCGAAATGCCGCACAGCGCGACAATCTTGCGCCCGTCGATGCTTGCCACGGGCAGCTTCTCCACGGCGCCGAGAACCGAGCTGTAGCACCGCGCGAGTTGCTCCCTCTGCAGCGCCGTGGGACCGCCTGCTCCTCGCCGTAGCTGTGGTCCCACGGTGTGCACCACGTAGTCCGCGGCCAAGCAGGAACCACTTGTGACGATGACCTCGCCCGGCTCGATCCCGCGGCCTCGGGACTGCATTACCTCATTGCATTCATAACGCAGACGTGGTCCTGACCATGAATGAATCACGTTGTCGATACAGCGGTGCGGCGGCTGGAAGCAACCTAGACCCTGGGTGTTGGCAGCGTTGGTGATTGCTATGAGCCCCGTGAGGGTCGTGATGTCTCCCTGCCAGAGCGAAAGCCTCACGTCTTGGTTTTCCCGCCTCAATGTTGTTGTTGGCTGGATCGTGCCTGCCTGTGTCAGGACTCTCCGTGACATCTGCTGTTTTAAAATGGCATCTATGCCGTCAAGGATGTCAGCTGGCAGCTCCGGTTCTGGCTGCCGGACGCAAAGGAGCTGCTGCAATAAGCGCACATGGTTTGAGGGCTCCAGGTCGTCTAATTGATTCCTGAGGTGGCGTAAGTGATGGCGATGGTGGTGATGATCCGGATGGTTGTCATTGGTATCTTCCTCGGCAGCGTCAGCCTCATCTAGAAGATGTCTTAAAATGTCTTTTATTTTTGTAGCCTCCATTGTGATTGTATTGCTGGTTTCGCTGCTACAGAATCGTCACGCCAGTGCACTCAAGTGCTTCCGTTTGCGAGCTCAGCAGAGGGGTCAAGGGAGTTTGTGGGCGGAGTATATTCCTACAGAACGACATACATTTCACGATGCTAGATTACATAGTCGTCTGTACAGAGCCGCTTACCTGATTGCTTAGATGAGCTGAGGCTGCTGAAAAATGGTAGTTGGGCCTAAGTATTTACAAGGGTGAAGCCGGGGAATTTTGTTGCCGCCCGCTTACATGATCTTATCGCGTGACCGCAACGGCCAACGGCCAACGTAGGCTGATTAATGTTTGAGCCTTGAATGGGCCCCGTTTTACCAAAAAAAAAAAAAAAAAAAAAAGAAAAAAAAAAAGAGAGAGAGATGCAAGACGCATGGGTTTAAGGTTATATCGAGATCCTAGGCAACCTAACATGGTACCTACCCTACCTAGGTACCTAGGTAACGGCCGAGTTTCTGCCGACGGGTAGTTTCAAACTTGCAGGGCACCACCACCACCTCCGCCCCTGGTTATTTCAATGTTGGTGTATTCTCCGGGTCGTGGAGCCATCCTTACCTGGGTACTTTACCAGCCTCAGCCTCCCTCGGGTCCATCTTTCGACCCTGACAATCAAGTAGCTGCCGATTCTGTCTTATCCCAGGGCCATTCAGTGCTGGCTCCTGGCTCTGGACGATGTGCGTCCGTGAGACCAGCAAGCATGTACACGTGTAGCATGATAGAGTCAGAACTGAGCTTGTTACGCCAGGAGTAATGACACTGGCTGCCACAGCCACCTCAACGACAGGGACAACCGCCTCAGCATGATTTCAAGCACCCCGACGTTTCCGAGTGTTGTGATTCAAGACATTACTGTAGTATCTCATTTTTGAACCGGCTACCTGAGCCATCGTTGCTTTGGCATCCGTCCTAAACGTCCAAAATTCCTATATCCCAGCTGGGGCCCTGCCCTGAATCCCAAACTATCCCACGTTACTTTCATGTGCCGTCGAACGTTACTTTCATGTGCCGTCGAGCCATCCCGTTACGTCACATTGACTCAGTTCCACTGAGGCTTCGACTCGGAGACCCCTTGGGCATTGGTAACCAGCTCGATTTGGTCCTGACTCCTGGACCACTGGTCCGCTGAAACCCTCTGCTCCTCGTCCTCGCCCCGTGGCACCGTGCCTATGTGAATGGAATGGTTGACGTAGATCTTGTTCTTGGACATTCCCGCCCCCGACGGCTCTGGGAAGCCCTTAGATCGGTTGCCGTATGCTCCCGAGTGATACCCGCCTGAATTGTACCCACTGCCGCCTTTGCGCCGCGTGTAGAGCGCTGTCACCGCTGGGAGACAGGCGCAGATTATCCCGAGCCCAACTTCTGCGTTGCTATAGAACAGGAGCATGCGGGTTAGCTATCTGGTCGCAATGCTATATAGCAGTAATGAGCGGAGAATATGCTTACCCGGAGAGGATAACCTTGACAAAGACGACGGTCTGATTAATCGAGCTGCCTTCTGCAATAATCATCCCGAGCCGGTAGATAGAGAAAGCTGTCGCGATGCCGCCGGCGCAAAGGATGCCCGCCACGCGCAACTTCTTCCTGAGCGGCAGCTGCAGCGACCACGTGAGCGGCGTGGGCAGCAGCAGGATGACAAAATCGCTGACGGCGCTGACTATTGCGTCGGCGATAATAATGGCCTTCTGGTCCAGACACCTGCTCATGTCTCCTTCCCAGTAGGCCGGGATCGGCCAGCAAATCCGGATCTTAACCACCAGAGCAGAAAGATAATAGCCCCCAAGCAGACCCATGAATATGTAGATACCCATGATTGTTTTCTTATGAACCGACCCGAAGACCCTCGCAATAATCAGGAGTAAGGCCATCTTTACGCTCAGGGCCATTGGCGCGTAGAAAATTGTGGCGGCATATCCGGTCTTCAAAAAGTAGGGAAGCTGGATCGTTGTCACCTCCCATTGATTAATGCCGCCGCCGTATACTGAAGCTGGTGGCGTTTCTTGTAAGTCGAGCTGTTCGCTTCCTTTTGCTTTCGGCTGTGGGGAAAGGAGAGAGATCTTACAAAATATACTGTCGATACAGTACCCGAGAAAAAGGATATATGAGAAATATGTGATATCTTTTTCAATGTCAGTAATCTGACGCCGATCGCCTTCAAACATTCCCAGTTCTGGACGTCAGTCGTGTGCGAGCCTCACAATCTTCAAGATTCCACGTCCCTCGGAGGACACTAGACTTTGCATAGTGCTTGAGTCCAACAAACACCGTCACAAACAGTATGCTTAGGGCCTGGGTGACATAATTGACCGTACGGATGACATCCACGGGCTCGTCAAAGTTCGGCGTGATACCCGTGGGGGCCGGGGCGGCGCCCACAAGTTTTGACGACGACATCGATTCTCGACGGGCAGACGGGGGTCGAGGTGTGGCTGGCTAGTACGGCCGCAAGCAGCGCAGTCAGGACGTCCGATGGTCAACAAACAACAGAGAAGATGATCATCGAGGACGGGTATGATGGGTTGGTCTAGAGGTGTGGATGGGGCCTCGCTGAAGGACAACACTTAGCCCCCCCTCGGTTGTTATTCAATATGTAGCTCAGTACCTGTCAAAGCTCCGCATCTTGTATGGGGCGGCGTACGTCCTAGGGCCAAAAAAAAAACTCTTTTTCTTGCGTTGCGTTGCGTTGCGTTGCGTTGCGTTGCGTTGCGTTGCATCAAAGCCCGTGCTTGTGGGTGTCCTGGCTCCTGCATGACCTGATCTTATTTGACGGCTGTATCATTTCGATGTGCGAGGATGTTCAGGGGAAGGATTCCCGCTTGGCTACCATAGGCAACGCTCGCGGGTGGCAGTCCCGGGGTAGACCAGGCGCTCTCCGTGGACCCGGAGGAAACAATATCAAACCGGAGCACTTGGTTGCGGTGGAGGCCGGATGGGTGGCCCCGGGACGTACCCTGGTCGTAGAGACTCAAGCCCACCCGTCCGGCTCAACCTTCAATGCGCCCTCGGCGGGCGAGCAGAATTGGTGGTGCTGTGGCCGAAGGGTTATTAAAGCCTTTGGTTTCTGGAAACTGTCCTGAATCAGTCCGGGCCTCACCTTCTTACACACTAGCTAGCTCTTGTTTCCCTTGGAGCGGGCGATGGAGGGGTTTCTCCTTATGGTTCTGGAGCATGGGCGTGAGCTTGCGCCCAGGCCCAAGTACCGGCATCAGTGTGGTTCGCTGTGGGCCTCCGTCCAAGATAATCATTTCCCCACCCAAGATGATCTTGGCCCACCTTCGAATCGAATATGCAGGAGATAATGTTACATGGTCCAGCCGAAAATGGACCCTTTCTCCGAATTGAACGTGCTCTTATACTCAGAGCGACATATTCGTCCTCCTTCGGGCTCGTTGTAGTTTAGAACCTGTCTGATACCTCACCTGCCCATCCAAACTTCTCGTCCGCAATTTCTCTAAACAGCAGCAACCGTTCTTCATCGCCCCAAGTAACCTACCTTCCCATAAGCGAATCACGCACGCAGGCACACAACATGGGTGACGCTGCCATCAGCAGGGCTGGGTCCAAGCTGTTCCAGCCCCTTGCCATCGCCAACGGCAAGATCCAGCTGAAGCATCGGGTGGTGCTGGCGCCTCTGACGAGGAACCGTGGCACGCCAGTCAAGGAGTCCACTCCTGAGGACCCCAATAGAGAATGGATTCCCAACGATCTGATGGCCGAGTACTACTCTCAGCGCTCGACTGATGGAGGTCTCATAATATCCGAGGCAATCCCGCCCAACTTGGAGGTGAGTCGTTGCTGATCACTGGTCGTATGACCACTCGGAATAGAGGAGGAAACCAAGCAGGCCCAGGACTGACATGCTCCCCCCAGGGCAATGCCATGCCTGGCGTGCCGGGTCTCTTCCGGGCAGACCAGGCCGAGGCGTGGAAGAAGGTGACGAGCGCGGTGCACGCCAAGGGCGGCATCATCTACGCGCAGCTTTGGCACTCGGGGCGGGCCAACATCCCGCACCTGACAGGGACGCCGACACTGTCGGCGTCGGCCACCCCGTGGGACGACCCGGAGGAGACGTTCCCGTACCCAGCGCCGCACACCTCGACACCGGTGAAGCTGCGCGACCACCCGCCCGTGGAGATGACGGTGGAGAAGATAAAGCAGACGATCGGTGACTACTGCAAGGCGGCCAAGGCTGCCATGGACGCAGGCTTCGACGGCGTCGAGGTGCACGCCGGAAACGGGTATCTCCCCGAGCAGTTCCTCTCGTCCAACATCAACAAGCGCACCGACGACTACGGGGGCAGCCCCGAGAAGCGGTGCCGGTTCACGCTCGAGCTGATGGATGAGCTCGCCAAGACGGTGGGGGTGGGGCAGGACAACCTCGCGATCCGCCTGAGCCCCTTCGGCCTCTTCAACCAGACGCGCGGCGAGCAGCGCGTCGAGACGTGGGGCCACCTCTGCCGCGAGCTCAAGAAGAGCCTGCCGACGCTCAGCTACGTCAGCTTCATCGAGCCGCGGTACGAGCAGATCTTCAGCGAGGAGCAGAAGCAGGGCTTCCTCGACAGCTGGGGCCTGCCCGAGGTGGACCTGAGCGAGTTCCGCCGCATCTTTGGCGACACGCCCTTCCTGTCGGGCGGCGGCTGGAACGACCAGAATGCGTGGGGTGAGGTCGAGAGCGGCAAGTACGACGGCCTGCTGTTCGGCCGCTACTTCATCAGCAACCCAGACCTGGTTGAGAGGTTGAGGAAGGGCCTGCCGCTGACGCAGTACGACCGCTCACGCTTCTATGGGCCCTTCCCAGCGGACCCTCACGTGGGGTACACCGACTACCCGACGTGGGAGCAGCAGCAGCAGAAGGAGGACACCCTCAGCCGGAAGCAGCCTCAGATGTAGAGCCAGACTGTTGTCCTAGATCAGATGTCTTGATATATCAGCTAGCGGTCAATACATGAAACTGCCTCTTTCCCCCAAGCGTGCCCAGGACCATTCTTTGGACCTATCCGCTTGCCAACCCGCTCGAGCCTGAGGCCACTGTCCAGCGGCTCTTTGGTGGAGATGGCGAGAGAAGCGGCGGTGTTTCGAGGGTCCCGTCGCGGTCATCCCAGGAGGATATGGAAGGGCTTGTTGAGGGTAAGGTTTCCAAGTTCTTCAGGGTCCACCACTCACTCGAACAGCCATGTCCCGGCCTGCTATGTAGTAGCTGGACCATACCTAGGTAGCCGTAGTTTGTTTACTTCACGATTAAGGTTTCCAGGGTGTCCCAAGGACCCCTTTTTTCTATTCTTGCCGCGCTATGCTTCTCCCGACGCCCTCGGATACGAGGGCCGAGCTTGTGCCGAGCTTGTGCGACCACGCTGCTTCCTGGTCCAGAGCGGATCCGTCCTAGCTTCTAGCTTCTTGCTCTGCCTGCTCGTTGATGTGCAGACTTTCCGCCACCGGCATGGGGACGATTTGACCCGGAACCCGGCCGCGAAGGGATGGCACTGGGCAGAAGCTGTGCTGCTGTGGCACCCACGTTTTTAGTGTACCTAGCTTGCCTAGCAAGCCTGGGTAGCTGCCAAACCCACACCGCCGACCCAGAGTTTAAAGTGACTCTCGTGCTCCTGTGCTCTCAGCCACTCGATCCAGGCCGCCGTGCCATGCTCTGGTGGAGCCATCGTCATTCCAGACGGAATGGTGGCTCACCTGACCGAGCAGCGTCGCATCCTGGAGGCAATAGTCGAGCAACATCCCCTGGTGGATCAGCGAGCCAGCGAGCCAGCGAGCCAGCGAGCCAGTGAGCCAGTGAGCCAGTGAGCCAGCTCGAAGGGTCAAGGGCCCCGTGGGCAGTGCAGGATTAACCGGGCAATTGCCAAATTACCCTGATGGCCTACGAAGGACAGAGTGCAATCCACAGCAGCCGAGTGCGCGATTCCCATGTCCAGATCCGCACCCCCCAAAGATTGCGATTTGCGCAGGGACGGGCTGCAGCATGCAAGCAGCAAGCAGACGCATGTGGCGTCGGCCGAGGAGGTGCCAACTGCCTGGCAGCCTGGCAGCCTGGCAGCCCGAGTATGAGTGCTTGCAGCCCCTGTCAGCAGCGGCTTGCCTGATGCGGTAAGAAGCCCAGGGCAGATCTGGGAATAAGCACACAGTATAATTCGGCTGCGGAGTGGTGCAGGACGTGAGGGGGGGGGGTTCCCCGCAGGGCACTCAGGCACTCAGGCACACGGGCACACGGGCACATTCCACGCAAGGGCGGCAGGGCGGGTGCGTGGCGGGGGCTGTTGGTGGTCTGACATATCGAGATCTGCTGTTGCAGCGCAGGAGACGCAGAGAGGGGTAAATCAAGGTACCGAGTGCTCAGGTGCTCTTGCAATCTTGTACGGCGTGGGCGTGCTACTGCCGCGGGAGATCAGCCGCGCAGACGGTGAAGCTGTCAGCGGCAGCCTCGGCCTAGCCCACCGCGACTACATTGCAACGTGCTGTCAACTGGTGCCACAGTATCCTCCTGTACCTGCATGCCGGGCTGCCGGGCTGCCGGGCTGTCGGGCTGATGTTTGAGAACCCCGCTGGCCCAAGGTGCAGCTGACCTGGGCTGCCTGGCTGCCTGGATGCCTGTGATCCAGACTGTGTAGTACCGTGCTCACTGCTAATGCTGTGTTCCCGCCGATGCCGTTGCTTATTGTGCCAGTTAGATGGTGACGGCGAGGCACACAAACGCTCCGAGTTTCAAGTCACGATCACGATGGTCCGCGGGAATCCTCTTGGCTGGGTCAAGCTTTGTTCCATGTTGATTCAAGTATCTTTCTTTTTTCCCCTTGTTTCTTGAGCGTGTTGCTACTACATAGTTACATAGTTACCAAGTGCGTGTCTGTACACCGCTGCACTGCCATCTAGGTTTCGAAACATGCTTATTATGCAGGGCGATTCAGCCCGACGCCTCCGGCCTGCGTAAGCTGATGAATGCTGTTCTAGTTTGTTGCTTGTTGTGACTCGTCCTCTCGGCTTGCGAGATCGTGTCATGGTGTGTGCCCTGTGTCATAACAGCTGAGAGATAATCCCGACACTCCCGAACATGGGCAAGGCTGTGCGCGGCCTGCAGTCCCAGTAACCCCAAATCCAGTCCGTAAATGCCACATGCCATGCTCTGATCCGGGAAGTGATATCAAATCGCTCAGAAAACAATCGCTCGGAACTCCATGCTTGCTGTAAAAAAGACTCAAAACAAAGAGAGAGGAATCCGAAATCAGGTCGTCATGAACCCTTGGCAGAATTCCTCATAAAAGAAATCCATGATCCCCGCGGCCTTGCTGGGTGCGTGTGTACGTGTGGTGCACAGCTGACCTCTCATGGGAGGTCAAAGGCATCATCTTCCTTCTGGTAGACCTCTTCACTCTGTCCACCAAAGTAGATACCTCTTCGCTTCCAGCCCCCACGCTTGAGATAGTGCGTTGGATCATCCGGAGAGGCAACCTGTGGTCTCCGCTGGGGGCTCTGCGTAGATGACAGCTCGTTGCTCCTCTTCACGGCGGCGTCCTCCTCCCCCTCCTCGTCGTCGTCGTGGTCGAACCAGGACTTGCCCGAGTCGACGCTTGACGCCGGTGACGGCCATCCTTTGGCATATGTGTCATCATCGTGCGCTCGGTTGCGCTCGATCATCCGGCCGAGGGCCTGCTCCCTCTCAAATCCAAAGTCGAAGCCATCGTGGACCATCAGTGAAAACCCGGAGTCCGAGTGATGCATTCGTGGCCGCCGTAGCTCATGCCCGGCGAAAGACTGTTTTGACCGTAATGATTGCGTAGGGAGGCTCTCACGGGACTTGGCCGCCATGTCCGAGACCTGAGCAGCTGGTGGGTTGAGCTTGAGTGGGTCCCACTCGATTGGTGGCCAGTGTGATCGCGCATGCCTCTCCGTCGATGGTATCCTCGAGACTGGTGCCGGTGCACCATCGCTATGTTGCCTCCTGTGGACGATTCTCTGGTCTTCCAGCTCATCCGCTGGCATGGTCGTGCGCAGTTTCTTGTGGCTGCGGACCCCACGTAGGATCCGCATATGGCCAGCCGAGCCAACCATTGTGGGTGGTGCAAAGGTGTGATGCCCGGTGGTGATGACGTCCCTGGTGGGAAGTGGTGGGTGTTATGGTAGAGAAAGACAGTCTCCGCTATCACTGATGAGAGACTCTTGGGTGACGGCAAGTCCAGTCTTGAAAGTGGCTGATGCGAGCCAAACTTGGGTGAGAGGTTATGGTAAGGACTGTCAGTGAGAATGTGAGGCCCATCATCAGAATGGGCTGCGGGGGATGCCGCCTTTGATATATATCCACCAGGCACCGGTCGAGAAGCCCGGCCAATCCGGATGATGTGCCTTGCAGCACTTGCTTGCTGCAGGCAGGCCAGATACGAGGGTACATTTGAAGGTAGACTGGTACCTCCGTACTTGGTTAGAAACCTGCCTGTGATCGCCAATCTAGCGATGTGCCAGGGCTTGTGAAGCAGGTTTGCCGATGGTACGCCGGAGCATTGGCAGAAACACGCAAGTAGGTGTGGTACCTGCTCGGGCGATGCACCCCAACTTTTTTTTTCCCCCTTCCTGCGCGCTAGTCGTTTCCAAGGTTGTTCATCTAGCGGTGACTGTTGCACGGCCGGGCATCCTCCTCCATGACAGCCAGGTCCCGACCAACTCGACCCGCTGGGGATACCCTTCCCTTGCGCACTCAGCCCTAGTGTGGGGCTGTACGTCACCCGGATGACAGTCTTGCAGGCGTGATTCTCCCCTTGATTGATCGGACGGGAAGCGAAGACAGTCAGCCACTGCCTCCGGAATGCCCACGAGACAGGGAGTAGACCACACGAGTCGGCAATGATAGCCAATCAATCCTCGCTGCCATTGAGTTAGACGGCGAAGAGGCAAAGGCCTTGTTGGGCCCGCAACGCTGTTACGGCCAATGAGCACAGAACCTGTCATGGGGCTGTCATCATATCTCGCTGACGTGTAAGCCATCATGGGCCCGAGTATGGTGCCCGGCCAGCATGGTCAAGTGCTGCCATATCGCGGTCGTGAAAATATAGTCCTGCAACCAAGGATTCGAGTTGATGATCTCCTGTCCTTCTTTTTTTGTACCCAGCAACCCATTGATTTCATCATAATCCCCCAGACCTCTGGTCACGGAAACCGGGACCCATGCTCGGCAAGGATGGACAGGGGGTGGCCAATTCCTAAAAACTGGCCCATGCGATCGGGAAGGGATTGTCGCCATACTCAAGCTGAGCCTCGCGGTGCTTGGCTGTGATCGCGTTTTGCAATAATCCGGAAACAAGGACCAAGTGCGCCTCGCTGCCGCCAGCACCCAGGCACCACGAGCGCTCCCCCGGCTTCGTGGTTGATCTGTAGATCAAGACGCAATTCGGGCAGGTCACCAGAGATCCTGAGACTGTCCACTGACCTTAGCTTGCCTAGTCTCCTTAGCGGCCACATCAGCTTGTGAATTGCGTGCAGTGCGTGGAAACAAAGCTGTCCAACCACGCCATTGGCACGCATACCCCGCGCGATCCCAGCACTGAAGTTACAGCTTGCATCCTCGCGCAGAGTGGCCGAGTGGGTGTCTTGCAAGAGGCCTGCATACGGAGCAGCCTGCGGCCCCCGGCGCCTGGGCATTCATGAAAGTCCACTATACAAGTATAACAAGCCCCCGAGAAGTGACGCTTTTTTACTACTTCGCGACTTTTTTCAACTTGACATGCTTCCCGATTTGGACGACGGAATGCCACAGACCTTGCAGGTGATCGCGCCTTGAGATCCAGTGAGCGCTTAAGAGTGTCCAATTAATGAGATCATCGCCCGCATCTGGTTTCAAAGCTTGGAAAACACCGGATGACGAGACGGCGGCACCTGGGCACCTTCGGATAGTAGCAACCTGCACCTTGCTGTTGCCGGCTTTCGACCACGGTCAAAGTTGATCGCCACGCGTTAAGTGGCTGAAGATTATGGGTTTCTCATTCCAAACGTTTATGCTGCGCGTCTGCTTTTCACTACCGACGTGAGGGCGCTTGTCAACGGTCCTTGGTGTGTTGGTTCCTGGCGGAAATTAGGAGGATTAAAATGTCTTGCTATTGCGTGGAGCAGCCATCCCTTCGTAGCTGTGGTGACGTTGCGTCACAGGCAGGGATGACCGCTTGAAGAAGTACCGGATCCGTTATTCAGAACCCAAGAGCTCGGAATAGCTCCATTAGCTTTGAATTAGTTTTCCCCCACTACTTCGTATCACCGCGGTCAGCTGCCCCTGCCTCCATGCTATAGCTGTCAACGGCCTGCGAAGCTTAAATTCGGGGCCTTCCCATGGTTAGGGGCCGTGCAAGTGAGTATAGTCGCAACTGCTGAATCACTAGCCTGGGCACGCCAGAGCCTCACCGGAGGTCAGTCTGGTGGCTTCTGTGGCTGCAAACGTTTCCAGTCATGATTGGTGCGGCAGGAACAGACTTGGTGCTGAGGCTTTCGTCTCGCCCTGGCAAAGATCGAGATTGAAACTCTAGCTTCGCGACAGCAATTCGTAGCCAAAAAAAACGCCACGGGTACCGCGTCCCGACGGTGGCGAGATGCGAGTATTGTGTGTACCGTGGTATCTCAAGACGCCGGGCTTGTCTCCCAGTCCGAGGTCGAGACGAGCTGAGCGCCAAGTGCCGGTGGCCGCACCGACGAGTACACAAGGTCGCGCGAACCGGCGCCTGAAACAACGCCTGCGTGCCCCGCCTCCTCTACTGTTGCCGCCTCGGTGACCATAGTGAAAAGGTTCACGTCAAAGTTCTGGGTATTTCAGATGACAAGCACAAGGCGATCCCCAATGCCGGTGCCCCATCCCTGACCACATCTTGCGGCTTGTCTATCTCATGCGAGTTTCGGTTTGCCGACCGCTTCATCTCATCCGATAAGAGCTGAGCCACTCCCGTGATGTTAAGTCGCGATGTTTCAAAGCTCTGCTCCTCCCTGGCTGTTCACATTGGCGTTTGCCTTGCGACCACCAATTGTCTCGTGCCTCGTCGTTACCAAGGCCATGTCGACCTTTCGCCGGGCGCATTGACCATGCTGTGATCGATTGACAGGCTATTTCGAGATTTTTTCATACGTCAGATCATCACAGAGATGCCTGGCTCGGTGTGATTACAGCACGCCGTCGCTCTCGCCTGGCAGTCGCTTCACACGCTTCTGCTCCCAATCATCGAGGTCCTTCGCGGCAAGTCGCTACGAAACACGGGCAGTGTTAGCAGATACGACCTTGTCTTCATACCGTGTGCAGTATACTGCCACGACTCACGTAGTATTCATCCCTTATGTCGACTTTGCGCCCTTGTCTGCCGACGCCGAGCTCTTCCTCCCTGGTCATCTGCCGCACTTTCCTGTCATGTTTCTCGTATCGGACGGCCGTTGCTGGCGTGAGCACGAAAGAGCCGGCGACGATGATCGAGATGAAGGGCAAGCCAAAGAGGAGGAACGGGCGCTTTGCGAGGGCCGCTCGGTAGCGCGCTGCTATGGTGTTTGCCTCGGCAGACGAGACATATTTCTTCTTCGGGAACACGCCCATAGTGACAAGTTCCGGGATTGCGATGGAGTCGAGATCAAAAGCAGTTAGATATTTGTGGGGGGCCGATAGAAATCAGGAAAGTTCAGGCTGGAGGGCATGCGGTGGAAGCGAGAGGCCGCCTTGCTGGACGGTAGCATGGCATGAGCAAATTGCTTCGACAGGCTGCGAGAGCTGTAGAAGCTTTGTGTCGCATCGAACAGTGACAAGCGCCAACACCCCAGAATGACCTAAGCCAGAACCAGCCACTCAACTCAGGGGCTAGGGTTATGGGCAGGGGGGGTATGGTCCTCCCCCCTTGCGAACCGTACGATCGCCCATCAAAGTCAATGCCTTGAAATCAAGCCTAAGGAGGCGACTCCCGCCTCCTTTCTTCTCAATACATAGCACCAGAAACGAGAGACAATGACGTCTGGCTGGATTGCATGGCTTTCATGTGTTGCGTTGACTGCGGGAGTGGCCAGTTGCTGGGAACATGCCGACGGTGATGCGCTTAAGACCGCCCTCGCAACACACGATGTTGCCCTCGTGGCTTGTGAGTGGACAGCCTGTAACCACAAAATTTTAGCTAATTTTCCCCTGTGCTATGTAGTCGTCTCCGTGAGTGCCCTATCCATCATACTGGCGTAGGCGCCCGGCGCACCGAGCGACTAAACGCTGACAGTGGAGTATCCTGCCAGCCAGGCGAGTGAGTGGCTCCTATCGCGAGGGCAACGCTTGGGAATTTCGCTAATTCTTGTGAAGGTTGAAGAGCCAGACTCTTGAGAGCGAATGGGCATCCGCCATATCTGCATCCAAGCATCCGCTTCTCAGCATTGACTGTGACGCACACCCAAGCGTGTGTGCTGATCACAAGGTCACCTCACGCCCAGTTCTGTACGCATACGAGAAAGGCCATTTGGTGGCCACTTATCTGGGATCGTTAAGGGGCTCTGCGTGAGTGAATCAGGCGAATTTATATTCTCGAGGAACCACTGATGAACATGTGAAGGATCTCAAATTTCATTGCTCGACTGGCAAGGCCAGTCGTGACCGAGGTTTCAACGGATAATGTTGGTGCTTTCCGTGACATGGACGACACAGTCTTTGTTGCTCATATCGGCCCAGACGACCAGGCATCTCGAGAGAGCTTTGCAGAAGTCGCGAGAATGTACAGGGAGGAGTTCACCTTCGGGCTCGTCACGTCTGATGTCGAGCTCGCCAAAGAAGAGGGCCTGGTCACGTGCGATCTGAGGGATGGAGCAACAGTCACGAGGACTTCTGCCTCCTTCACTGATTCTGCGGCATTGGAAAATTTTGTCGTTGAGGCATCAAGATCTGTAGTCGGCGAGCTGACCAGGTATAACCAGCAGAGGCTGCTCAACGTGAGCGCAGCCCCCCGGGCCCCCCCGCCCGCAATTACATACCAAGACCCAACTACTGGTTTGCAGACTCTCGGGCTGACAGAACATCTGTACCAGCGGGGGTGGCCCATGGTCTACCTATTTGCGAGCGCCGAAGAAGATCGCTCAAGGCTTCGGCATGACCTACATGGCTTTGCCAAGGGCTACTACGACTCGCTGACCTGCGTGACGGTTGATCCATTGGAGTTCCCAGATTTACAAAAGGAACTGGGGCTTGAGGTTGGAGTCTTTCCTTCGGGGGCTGTGCATCAGCTGTCGAAAGACCGGGTTTATCCATACCCTCAAAACCTGCCCGTGGACTCGCAGTCACTACAGAAATGGGGACTTGACGTCTGGCAAGGGCGTGTCAAACCGTGGACTCCTTCCGGAGCAGCAAGCTTGGTTGACGATCCGGGCTCGACTAAGAGGGCGAAAAGAAAGATCTCGCTGGCCAATTTGCCAGGCGTGACTATCAGGGTCGGAGGGCATGATGAATTGTAGTTCACCAGACGCAGTATTCTTACATGTCACTTAAATAGCTTGGCTTCTTGCCATTTGGGCTGCAGTCGAGCTCAGAAGCTGGGGTTCTGATGTGCCAGTTATTTGTTCGTGGGAGAGATCAACTTGAAGTGGCCAACTGACAGATCGTCATGCGGATGATGGTCAGTATCGATGTCATTCCCAGCGTGAGTTAGAACCCCTAGGTTGGTATGCTACATATCAGTAATAAATCCATACTCAAGGTGTGGGTACATCCATTTTCCTCTTGGCTGAGTGCGTGCATCATCCCATTAACATACAGGCAAAACTGTTCTAACCTTTGTTAAAAGACGAACTGGCGGGCACCACCAGCGACACTTTCTGCTCGGATAGCCCAGATTGCGCTGCTGAGGGCCAGCGGGCACCTACCCTGGGGCACTCGAGTACCTATGTACCTAGGTATGTAGCGGCACACTCAAGCGAGGAGATGTACGGAGCACAGTGTCAATAGTCCAACCAATTTTCAATGAACTTGTTTACAATGGCACTGGCGGGATCATAGAGTACTGATTCTAACCCAGGTACGGAGGTGCATTTCAAAACTAACGTGCCAAGGAGCAACCAAGTTCAGGTGCTGACTCATCCATTCTTGTGGACGCCCAGGTACCTACCGTGTGGGCTGCAGGCAGGACATGCGTGCATTTGACCTCGTGACAGCGCGCCTCCCCAGTTCGACGCGTCGCGCTCCTCCGACTCCACAATATCTCGGCCCAGACCTGCCATTTGAGTGACCTTGAGATGACGATTCCAGGTCAAGATGGCCGCCGAGTCGCACACCCGGGCCGGAGCAGCCGGCCATAATGCTGCGAATCCAGGACCAGCCGCGAATGGTGGTGCGCCTCCATCCACCCTGGCTGCACAGCTCGCCGGTAGCATCTCGACCTCGGCCAGGTCCTCGAGACCCGACGAGGCCAGCGAGCTCAAGCGCCTGTTTGAGGAGATCGAGCGAGTCAAGAACAAGCCGGACTCGTTGAAGACGCCAGATGAGCATGTGGAGCACAACCACATGCTCATCTATGTCTACGCGCGCGTCATTCTCGACGGTCTCAAGTGGGACGACCCATTCGCCGACCGCGAGCAACTGAAAACCGATGCATTGACTGCTGTGCACTTTCTCAAGGTCACCATCGCCGAGACTCCAGTCGTTCTCAAGTCTACCACCAATGGCACCCTCTTTCTCCACCGAGGCCCTGAGCCGCTATGGGTCTGGCTCTTCCCAAAGCTTCTCAGGATGCTCGGGCACCAGCGATGCCTGGCCCTGTCTTCTCCATTGGAGTCACTCTTTCATTTCATTCTCGTGACAGCGAGTACATCTGGCGGCCTGTGGAACCTTTGCAACCCAGTCTACCTCTACCTACAGGCGAACTTTCGGTGTAGGATGAACGCACCCCACACCTCCACACTTTAGGGCAGCGCTGACCTATGTACAGCAATCCTGGCACATTTAAGGTCGTCGCCGCCAGCTACCAAGGGCTCTATAGATATCGAACTGCCTGATCACAACACTCTGAATTCTGTATTGCCCGGGGAGACTCTGACCGGCGCCGTTCGCTGTCCCAGCTACACTCTTAGTGATGGAGAGCATGCCCTTCGGCACGCCTCTGGTCTTTTGAACATCCTTCATCGTGCTTCAGTGTCAGACGAAACGTCAAAACAATCAATTCCACCTTCCACAGAGCGAATCACCTGGTTGGTAGACTGTATCGAAGCATTGAATGAAGAGCAGAGGCGATGGAGAGACAAGGGCAGCTACAGTCCAGCGTCTCTCTTGAACCAAGCCCTGAATCTCATCTCCCCACATTCTGGAGTGGAACAAGCCGTGATACACAAGTTGTATTCCGTAATCATCTTGCTGGCAGCAGATGTTGCAGTCAGCCAGACAGGAATTACACAGCCAGAGCGGAGCGACCCTTCGGCCACCAAGGTACTGTCTCTGGCCCTTGTCCAGATTTCTGACACAGCCATCAAGCAAAGGCCTCTCGCCAAACTTGCTGCCGCTCAACTACTCAAGCCACTAGAGCAAATGCTCGTCGAGGGAGTCGCTAGCGATCTTTCAGGGGATTTGCAGGTATGTCCACTCTGCCCGTGTCCAGTGCAGCCATGGTCTGATGCCTGCTGCATACAGAGATCCGTGCATTTGTTCCGTGAGGCGATTGTCCTCCCCACGAACCAGTCATTCAGCTCTGAACTCTCGCCACGGTCTTTCGTTGATAGAGACATACGGTCAAAGGTCCAATCAATTGAATCCAAGGCACACGCAACAACAGATCAGAAACGCCTTGTCAAACGGAGAAAACTCGCCCAGGAGCCGCCGTCAATGCAGCTTGTTCTCGAACAACTCCGTCGGGTAATTCATCTGCCGGCAGTCCCGAACTTGAATCAGCTTGAAAGTGGCATATTGTAAGCTCTGAAATTTGACGCATTAATAGAAAATTCTGACAGCAAGTGACAGGGCTTCTTTCCCAGCTGCTAGTGATGCTGTGCGGTGTTCGATCATTCAGCTGCTCGCTTGTATTAGTTGCGCGGCCGATGACTCCCTCAGCCTGCGTTCAGTCGGACAGCGTGGTCTGCACTGCTCATTTTGCTCCAAAGATGACAAATGGGTGCTGCGATCGCAGTATACTGAAAAGATGGTGGAATTGGCCGGCTCCATTTTCACAAAGCTCATATGCCTCCCAGAATTCCGTGAATCCCATCGTCCACGGATTGTCGCAATGATAGCTCTCCGACGCATCATAGTACACTCAAAAAGCCCTGAGATGTTAGACCTGGAGAAATCGGCCATTGGCCAGTGGTGCCTGTCAGCTCTCCAAAGCTCCCTCAGAGAACTCCGGATTGCGGCCGGTAGGGCAATCACCCTTTTCTTACGGCCGGGTGTGGGCCAGAATGTTGGCGTGCAAATCTTGAAACGGAATACTGCCAACGCTTTGGCATTTGTGCGGTCTGTCTCCGACAAAAATGAGCCAGGGATCAACGAGACTTCTCTAATGGCTTGGGGACAAATCGGCAGAGTCGTCTCAGATGAAGGCCTCAATCTTGTCTTGGTCAAGATGCTGGACTTTCTTGGCCACCAAAACCCTATCGTCTCTGCAGTGGCCCTAAACGAGATCACAAATCTTGCCGCTTCTCTCAAAACAACACCACGACGCCTTCTGGAGCCTTTCTGGAGAAATCTCGCGTATTCGACTGTGAAAGATATGCTCACACGGCCTCAGACTACGCAAATGGTAGCAGATCTCCTGAGAACCAGCGTAGCAGAGCTGCTGCTGCTCATCCAGTCTCACGCTTTGCCATGGCTTGTGCTTCACGGCAAGAAAGAAATCATACAGAAATTTTCCGAGGCTAGAAGAGATGAGCATTTGCAAGACATGTTTTTGGACGAATCGAATCTAAGTGCGATCTTGGCACGTCTGTTCGTACAGGATGAAGCCAACGTCGAACGATTTTCGATGTCGGCGCTGGTCAACGTCTGCCCGACATTCAGTGGCACGGCCCTCATAGAGGTGTTGAGAACCAGTCCTGTCCTGACGATCTTGGAGCTTCTCAGAACGAGTGTGGAGGGGGATGAATCGACGAGGGCCTCTGTAAGCCACCTTTGCCAATCTTGTCAGTCTTTCACAGAGAGCTAATGAGCAGCAGGCCCGCTCAGCCCTGACCATGGTTGCAAACTTGCTGATGGTGGCTCCCCGAGATGGGAAGAGAAAGGGCGGGCATCACGTCATCGGCCGCTTTCTAAGGGAACATGCTCTAGGATTGTCGGCACGAATGGTTGAAGTCATCAACAATGCCTCGCCTGTGCCTCCGCCTATGCGGGAACGCAAACTGTGTATCAAGTCCATGGAAGAAATGATAGTGCTGGCTAAGGAATACATCCGCATGGCACGGCCACAGGTTTGTCCTACCACGCGCATTGGCTTACAAATTACTGACCATCTGATGCCAGATATCCGTATGTCTACTATCCGCCCTATCTTCAGATGAGTTGAGAACGACCGCATTCGCATGCTGGTATTCCATGATGACTCATGTCGGAGAGGAGGATGTTGAGGAGCTTATTGAGACCACCTTTTTCATCATCGGCCAGTATTGGTCTTTCTTTGCCGAGGAGAGCCGAGAGCAAAGCAAGGCTTTACTGCGTTTCCTGCTCAGCAATCACGAGGCGGTGCTAAACAACACCCTTGCGAAGCTCCCGTCGCTAAGCCATATAAGCGAGCTCTCAGAAATCTGGAAACAAATTGATGCACGTCGCCCGCCACTCGACACTCGCGCTGCGTTCGCCTTGTTCATTGACAGATTGCATCATGAAAATGCTGGTGTTGTGCAGAAAGGCTTGCTTGAACTCTCAGATTACCTGAGCCAGAATCAAGGGTACCTACAGGCATCAGCCATTAGTGAGCAGCCTGACAGCGTTGTGAAAAATTTGGCTCGAGCACTATTGGACTGCACCTCTAAGTATAACGGGATCAACCCTGATATCGCGCGACTTTGTGCGGAGTGTATTGGGCTGATGGGTTGTCTGGACGCGAACAGGCTCGAAACCGTTCGGGAACAGAGGGATTTCATCGCACTTTCCAACTTCACGGATGCCGATGAGACCACGGATTTTGCTGCCTTCATCCTACAGGAGGTGCTTGTCAAGTCCTTTGTGTCGACTACAGACTCTAGCCTGCAGGGGTTTCTGTCATACGTCATGCAAGAGCTTTTGGAAAGATGCGACTACAAGGCAGCCGTTGGCGTGCAGGGAGCAGAGGGTGAGCGCATTTATAGGAAATGGCTGAGCATGCCAGAGAGCGTACGCGATGTCCTACTCCCTTTTCTGACGTCCAGGTACAAACTTGCACCGATGCCAAGCATCAAGACCGAATATCCCATTTTCCGCGCAGGGCGCTCGTATGCCAACTGGCTCCGGCAATTTACGCTGGACTTGCTACACAAGGGGCAAAATCCCTTTGCCGAGATCATATTTGACCCGTTGTGCCGGGCTATCAGGGTCAAGGACTTATCGGTTGCCATTTTTATGCTTCCATATCTCGTCGTTCACATCACTCTCGGCAACAAGAGCACCCATCAGGAGAAGGACGCAGTGTGGAATGAGCTATTGAGCATCTTGAAACAAGATGTTCCTGAGAATGCTTCATACTTGGAGAGAGAGGACAGGAAGCTCTTTTGCGAGGTACGTGGCTTGCCAAATGCCTATTTCATCGCGCTAACGGAAACAGGCCGTGTTCAGAGTCATCGATTATGCGATGAGATTCTTGCAGGTGAAAAGATCCTCGCGGCTCAGCAGGGCCGACGAGAACAATCTCATACTTCTTCAGAAACGGCTGGACTCTATACCGCCAGAGTTGGTTTCGCAGCGCGCCATTGACTGCAGACAATACGCGCGTGCCTTGTTTCACCTGGAGCCTCACATCTTGCGGCAGCAAGAACAACATGGCAACGACGCCGAAAACATTCAACAGGCATTGGACTCTCTGCAGCACGTCTATTCACATATTGACGAGCCGGATGGTCTTGAAGGGGTATCCGCCAACCTCAAGGTCATCGACCTGAAGCAGCAAATTCTGAGCCACAGGAAGGCGGGAAGGTGGTCAAGGGCGCAGACCTGGTGTGAAGTCCAGCTCGCGGAGAACCCCAACAACGTAGACGTGCAGATCGATCTGCTGACGTGTCTCAAGGAGTCGGGCCAATATGGTGAGAAGACCTTCCGTCACAAGCGTCTTTCCTGCCAACGCTGACACTGCACAGACGTGTTGTTGAACCACGTTGGCGGCTTGGATACCAATGGGCCTTGGATCAACAAGATTGCGCCGTTTGCTGTTGAAGCTGCTTGGGCCACCGGACGATGGGAGACCCTTAAGAAATATCTAGGTTCTTACAAGGCTAGCAATCACCTGGATGAGTTTAATCTCGGGGTTGGATCAGCGCTCCTAGCGCTCAAGGATGGCCAGACAGAAAGCTTTGTCAACCAACTTGAAGAGCTGAAGGAGAAGACTGCTTCTTCAATGTCCATGTCGGCTACAGCGTCGCTTCAGGCGGCCCATGACGCCATGTTGAGGTGTCATGTGCTTGCTGACCTTGAAATTATCGCAGGAGACCACAAGAAGGAGGCTGTTGACCAGCAAGGGGTGATCACCTCGTTAGACCGTCGACTGGAGGTTCTGGGTGCGTTTGTAAGTGACAAACAGTACGTTCTGGGAATACGTCGAGCGGCAATGGAGCTGATGAGGTGAGTCTCGAGAAACCCTTTTTGATTTCTTGTGCTGACATACATTTGAAGGCCTAGATTCTCGGATGGGGATATCTCATCTCTGTGGCTGTCAAGTGCAAGATTAGCCCGAAAGGCAGACTCACTCCAACAGTCTTTCAACGCCGTGTTACACGCATCGCAACTTGGAGATGGCTCTGCGACCATTGAGAATGCCAGGCTGTTGTGGAAAGAAGGTCACCACAGAAAAGCCATTCAAATCCTTGAGAACGCCATCCAGACCAATTCGTTCATAGGGTACAACCTGGGGCCTGCTGCCCCAACGTCAAGTAAAGGACCTGAAGTGCAAAGGAACTTGCTGACAGCCCGGGCGCATCTCCTGTTGGCGAAGTGGCAAGATTCGGCGGGACAGACACACGTCAGTGCCTTGCGGGCGCAGTACCAGCAGGCAGCAAAAACACACGCAACGTGGGAGAAAGGCCACTATTACCTTGGTCGTCATTACAAGAAAGTCCTTGAGTCTGAGAAGGCTTTGAGTCCAGACGAACAGAGTGACGAGTACCTCACTGGAGAAACAGCCAAACTCGTCATCGAAAATTATCTTCGATCACTGAATTACGGCACAAAATACCTGTACCAGACTCTGCCGCGGATCTTATCGCTGTGGATGGATCTTGGTGCTCAGATCGACAAGGCTCCCGAAGGGAAAATATCACTGTCTAGGGAGCTATCCCAGAGGAGGAAGACCTTGTTGCACGAGCTCAACAAATACTTCTATAAACACATGCAACGCATGCCTGCTTACATATTCTATACAGCGATGCCGCAGATCGTGGCTCGGATTGCTCATCCGAACCCGGACATCTTCACTCATTTGCAACACATCATCATCAAGATTGTGGAGGCACATCCACGACAGGCCCTCTGGGGGCTCTTCGCCATCATGACTAGCAAGCATCCATCTGACCGAACAAGGCGTGGCCTTCATCTGCTGGCCCAACTCCGCAACATTAGTGGAAAGAAGGTGGACGGGTCGGCATACGATCTGAGTAAGCTCTTGAGATCGGGAGAGAAGTTGGCGGAACAGCTGCTCCTGGCATGCAATAACGGGGACTTCCAAAGCAACAGAACCACGCACGCCAGCATAACTCGGGATCTCAACTTCAATCACAGATGCACCCCTTGCCCATTGGTTGTTCCAATTGAGGCGTGCCTGACCGCGACATTGCCCACACTGACGGACAACATAAAGAAGCACAAGGCATTTTCAAGAGATGTCGTGGCAATCGATTCCTTTCTAGATGACGTCCTCGTCCTGGGATCGCTCGCAAAGCCACGCCGTCTGACGGCCCGAGGCACAGATGGGAAACTATACAACCTCTTGATCAAGCCAAAGGATGACCTGCGGACGGATCAGCGCCTGATGGAATTTAACGGCATGATCAACCGGTCTTTGAAACGAGATGCGGAAAGCAGCCGCAGGCAACTTTATATCCGCACGTACGCGGTTACCCCTCTGAACGAGGAATGTGGGATCCTCGAGTGGGTTGACGGGCTCAAGACACTTCGCGATATCCTGCTGGGACTGTACAAGCCCCGCGGTATTGTACCGAACTACGGCCAGATCCAGCAGATGATGAAAGAAGCCAGCACGTCGGAAAGGAACATCAAACTCTTCACGGAGCAGGTACTTGGCATGTTCCCGCCGGTCCTGCCAAGCTGGTTCATCTCGCAATTCCCCAACCCGTCAGCCTGGTTTGCAGCACGGCTGAAGTACACGCGGTCATGCGCGGTCATGTCCATGGTCGGCACGATCCTGGGCCTGGGTGACAGGCACGGCGAGAACGTGCTGCTGGAGGAGGGCAACGGCGGGGTGTTTCACGTGGACTTCAACTGCTTGTTCGACAAGGGCCTGACATTTGCGCAGCCGGAGCGAGTGCCGTTCCGGCTGACGCACAACATGGTGGCGGCGATGGGAATATACGGGTATGAAGGGCCATTTAGGCAGTGCAGCGAGCTGACACTGTCGATCCTGCGGCAGCAGGAGGAGACGTTGATGACGATCCTCGAGGCTTTCATCTACGACCCCACGCTGGACCTGCAGCGGGACAAGAAGCGAAAGAGCGACGTGGTGAAGCTGAACCCGACGAGCGTGGTGGAGAGCATAAAGAGGAAGGTTCGGGGTTTCATCGGTGACGAGAGCATCCCGCTGGGGGTGGAGGGCCAGGTAGAGGAGTTGGTGAAGCAGGCGACGAACCCGAGGAACCTGTCGGCCATGTATATCGGGTGGTGTCCATTCTTGTAGTTTTGTAGCATGATCATTGCTGGCAAGCTGGTATTTATCGGGGTAAAAATCACGGGTCACGCTGTGCAAAATACTCGTCTCAACCAGGAACAGTGGCTGACGAAGTAGACTATGCGATATTGAGTTATTATACTCTGCTGTTCTTGTTACAGTGTGGACTGGTCCGAGTATCTCACACAATAAACACGGAAGTAGGCATGCATCGATTCCATCTCGTCCCATATTCGCGTGAAAGAAACTCGGGAGCTGCCTGCGTGGTTGTCTTCGCTGTTTCACCGGTCGGGGGCGTCTCGAGAGCGTTGGGCACCGATTACAGGGGGGTCGGCTGCCTGGGGAACTTGACGCGACGCAGCGCAGCACAGCACACAAAGCGACGCAACGCGGGACGGCACCGCCCATTACCGCCCACCTTGGACAAGACCCCCCAACCTTTCCGTTTCCATGGCAGCATAAATTCGTGTCGATTGACTATCGCACGAAGACTCACCCCATCAACTTCCTCTGAGCATCCGTCAGCGGCTTTTGTGTGGGCAATCTCGTCCCTGCTGGCTGTCGGCGCGACTGACCTGCTTGATCGACGCGACCGCGGGTGAGGTCAACGTCATAATCCTGGTGCAGCCCTTTGAAAAGCTGCGTCAAGCCACAAACCGCCTGCTCACACCTCAAGCACCCTCGTTCCTGCCGCTGCAGGATTACCGAGCCTATCTCTGACTCTGCAATTCACCCTGTCGAGCTTGGATCCTTGGGACAACACTTCAAAATGCCTGCCTATCGCATTGGTAAGCAAACCATGGCGTGCTGCCTGCATCCGCCTCGCCCCCTTGCTGGCGCGTGACAACCGTGTCAAATTGTCGATACTACTTAGATACCTACATCCATGTCCAACAACAGCCTTCGCAAGTCTCACTGGAACACACTACTGACATGCATCGCCAGAGATCTCCCCCAACAACCGCGCTGGTTGCCAGGACACCCTTCACAAGAAGGAAGGGGTCAAGATCATGAAGGGCGAGCCGCGCTTCGGCAGCTGGCTCGAGATCGGCGATCACGGCTCTTGGAGGTGGAAGCACTGGTAGGCAAAACCCTTGATCAAGCCAGCTGGCGGCTGGTCCTCGGTGCTGGTCTGTCTTCTTACGCCGCTTCTAGGGGCTGCGTCTCCGGCAGACAGCTCGAAAATCTGCGCGAAGAGATCGCTAAGGGGGACGGCTCGTATGATTTCGACATGATTGACGGCTACGATGAGATTAAGTGAGTGCTTGCTTGATCCTAAAGTTTCGAGTCTTTTTTTAACGGCTAACATTCGCTATAGCGATCATCCTGAGGTCCAAGCCAAGATCCGTACCGCTATGATCGAGGGCAAGATTGCGGACGAGGACTTCAATGGTGACCCTGAGTACAATGTCTTGGGCCAGGCGGGAATCCGTGCCCGTGTAACAAAGAAGAAAGCCCAGGCAGATGATGAGGATGACGAGAACCCAGTACGTGTGTTTGGTCCACAAAGTATGCAACTGTGTGCTGATGTTCCCAGAATGGTGAGGCCACCCCCGCCAAGAAGCCGGCCAAGAAGCGTGGTCGCAAGAAGGCTGGTGAGGGCGAGGAAGAGGAGCAGGAGCAGGTTGAGGCTCCTCCCGCAAAGAAGGCTCGCAAGACCAAAGCGAAGAAGCCAGCCAGCGACGACGAAGATGCCCCACCAGTCGAAGCTCCCAAGGCCAGAGGACAACGCAAGAAGGCCAAGGTTGAGCCAGAGTCTGATGAGGAAGCCGCCGCCGAGGCTGAGACTCCCAAGAAGGGCCGTGCCAAGAAGGTCAAACCCGAGTCTGAAGTCGATGCTGAGCCCGCCATTGAGCAGCCCAAGAAGAAAGGCCGTGCCAAGAAGGCCAAGGTCGAGCCCGATGAGAACGCTGTTGAGGGTTCTGAATCCGAGCTTGAGCCCGCGGTCAAGAAGGGCGGCCGCAAGAAGAAGGCTACTGCCAACGACGATGATGATGGAGCCCAAGCTCCCAAGGCGAAGCGGGGCCGACCCAAGAAGAGGTGAGCATTAGGTCTGTCCAGCATTCAAGGTGGAATCTAACTACGGCAGTGCCTGAACGGAAGATGAGTTGTCGATCTGAACATGCTTGGGATGGGGGAATGATCCACCCCCTGTCTACTCCTCCCGACTATTGGTTGATTCCTGTTTAAAATATCGATACCACGGTAGGATCCTGAGAAGATAAGCGGATCTTCACCCGACGTTGGCAGTCTTTGCTTTGTACGGTGACACACTTCCGGCTCCACCTTCAAGGGAGGCAGCTAGTGGTGTTACTGAGTCGTCGACCGTTGAGTGCACCAACTTCAAGGGCGGCTTCGTTTGTTTTCACGCCAGCTTCTCAAGCAAAGTAGAAAAAAGGTTGTTCGCGTTTCCGAACCGAACCCTCCCGATCTTTTATTGGGAAGGAACGGCTATGCATGATATCAGAGGTTGTTTTCCCTTTTGGGCGGTATTTTTATTGTTTTCTTAGCCAGAAGCAGGCTTTCGGGGTCCCTCTAGGGGGCCCGGCAGAGACCAAAGGCTGGCTCAGTATTAGCCTACCGCAGTATTCGGAATTAAGACAAAGACAATCCTCAAATAATTGTTTCGCTGTGTCCGACCGGGCTCAATCAAGCGCTACCCGACCCGTTCACCTAGAGGCTGGGTCTAAACTCCCAGCCCCTGCTCCCCAGGTACCGTCATGCCTCCCGTTTGCACCCATCCAAGATCCCAAGTTACAAGGACACGGCCGACCAGCCGTGCACACAATGTTCAGTCTCCCGTGCTCTTGTCGCTGACAATCGTTCTTTGTAATGTAGACAATTGTGACAAAGCACACAATGCGATTGTCTTGCGTGTCTCTGCTCTCCCGAGCGATGCTGCTCGAGTGGCGCCAGATGTCAGGTGCCTAAAAGTCTATAACAGCTCAGTCTTCCTTCGTTCATGCAGGCGGTACAACATCCTTGCTACCGTGTCCCATCAGGTCAAAGAATCAACAATCTCACCTACTCTGTAACATTCCATTTTGATTCAATACTGGCCTTGTGGGACGACTTTGAAACCCGTTGAATTGTGGAAACCATGGGTAAGTCATGCCTGCCACTTACCATGAACGTGCGAACACTATGCTAACTATTATCAAAGCCTTTGCATACTCATCCTACGAAGAGCTGAGTCTCCCGATATCTTTGGGACACTCTGGGAAGCTCATCGATCTGAGTTCTGACGACCGCCTGCCCCAAGAACTCCCAGCCGATGACCTCCGTTTTCATGAGCTCCCGGTTGACGATATCGCAGTTGACAGCTGTGCCCAGCGACGCCCTAAGAAAGCGCCCAGGCCTAATAAGGCCAGTCGCGCCTTTCGCCACGCCCAACTCGCCGCCCGCCAGTTTATCCGCCAACGGCAGCACACGGCGGACGCGGCGGTGGCCAAGCGCGTCGAATCAAACGAGCACCTCCCTCTCTCCGTGATCGAGCTCGTCCTCTCACACCTAGATGTACGAGGCGTGGCGCAGAACTCGGAAGAGGACGGTGCGTGGATCCCAGAGTGTGCTGGAGGGCTTTATAACCGCCTCGTCTACTCGCGGCACGCAGCCCGCCGGCAGGCATTCAAACCGCTCGCATCCTGGCTGCTGCGGTCGTGCGACCCGGCGGCGCGCTTCGATGCGGCATTTTGTGTTACATGGACCGGGTTGCCACAGCTATTAAGGCCCATCATCGAGGATATGAGGGCGTGCCTCAGCTACATCGAGGCTTTCCAGTCGTGCCTCGACCTCGAGACCGAGGGCTGTGACTACTGGCTTGACCTGACTCATCTCCGTGAGTGCGTGTTCCGCCTTACAGGCTTTTGGCCGCATGACATCAAGCATGATGAAGAAGCGTGGGCGTTCGGTCTGCCCGAGGTACTCATACGGCTCCTGTATCCGCAATGTGGCAGGTTTGACCATGCTGACATGTCCATGAACCTAGATGAGGTCATCGTTGGGCCGGCCTGGAACAAGCTGATGAAGCTCGAGGCTATCATTCGCCTGCATGAGGAGTGTTGCCCTTAGACTTCTGTTGCAGAGCCAGGGTTGGGTGAGATTGGATTTAGCATAGGATGCATAATTGTAGCGAGAAGGCGCTGGGAAGGCGCTGGGCTGGCGTTTGTCTACACGGCTTGGGAAGGATATTTTTGTTAAAACAATAGACCATACTGCTCAACTGCCAATGAACTCAATCAAAACAACTCTTCTGGTCTTTCCACATAGCCCCCAATTATACATGTAGTCCCATGCACAGTCCATAGGCTCTGTTGACTAATTGCATTAGGAGGAACGAAATATTTCAAAGTCAAGTACAGATCATGAAGCCTGATTCCTCCGATCAGGGAACATCACTGGTGGTAGGCAATTTTCGATCTACGACTATCCCTCCAGGCTTTTCCCATAGGAGGGTGTCCTATAGGATCATATACTACCTAATAGGATACTGACCTACAAGAGATGCCCAGGTGATGACATTGAAGTACCACCTTATCTGTTTTCTACCTAGGTACCTAGGTACTCTTGCTCCATAAGGCCACAAATTCGGGTGGGGAGGTTAGGAAAGCCTTGGGTGGCTGTCTCTTCAAAAACCGACCTAGTTTAATCTTCATTTCATTTTTTAAAAAAACGTTCAGCCTTGATCAGAAGCTCAGTGCGCAAAGTACCTACTCCACTGTCTCTCACCTCTGGGGCTTTCATTGCCCCAGAAATGAGACTGCAGCCACTCACCCACCTTCTGGCACCTGATTGCGCTAGTAGTTGGAAACCCTAGCTTGGTCTACAACATATCAGTGTCAAACCTACGCCTTTGGGACGTGGGTGCATCCATTTTGCCTTGGCCGACTCTAGTCTGAAGAAGCTGCTGCCAATTGATTATTTGTGACGTCTTGGTTGAGACGTTTGCAAAACTTTCCCAATCCACACTTCCTTCCCCGGCCACCTCCTATCATCAACTTCAACCCCCCCCCCCCCCACAAGCAACGCTTTCCCTCGAGGCTGGGGTTTGTCCTAGGTCTACTGTCGAAGAAGAGAAAAGCTTTTCCCCTGTACAAAAATACCTTCCTAACTCGGAAATATTCGTGTTTCTGGACGCGGATCAAAGAGCCTGTTGCGGGCGGCTAGCAACCGCTTGCCAACTTTCGCATTTCTTTGTCTTCAATCAGCAGCAAGTGCGACACTTTTCAAGCCACATTTCGCTGTCGTCACCCACCACCTCGAAACATCGCCGCGAACAGTTTGTGAAACTTCGAGAACACGTCACTCGAGCAGGCCCGACCCAGCTTCTTGTTCGTTCATCTACTGCTCTGCGAAAAAAGAGAAGAAAAAAACACCACTGCTCATATGACGCTAATCATCTCCAGGAGTCGAGGAAGGTACCTCAAAATGTCTCGGCTTCTGACGCCGAGTACAACCTTTCCCTCTTCCGATGCGATCGGAGTGGGCAATCAAAATGACAATCTGGCTGCCAATGACGATGGCGACATCATCGCGAGGAACCGCCTCGCCATTAGTAAGTACGAGCCTGCCCCACATTACACCATCCATCACAATTTTGATGTCTTCAGAGCCTTGTGCGTTGAACTGGGCGCCAGACCAGGTTACTGACAACTACCAGTCGAGTTGGAGGAGAAATACATCCTCAACCCCGGCATCCTCACCGTTGACCCTTCTGGACAACTCAAAATCGACCTGTCCAATGAAGAGCCCGACCAAGGCACGATGGTGGGGCTGTACCCAGGCCTGCCACCCCCAGAAGGGTACGAACCACAGATTCCTTCCTGGCTGCGCGACTTTTTGATCAAAGAACTCAACCTCTTTGGTAACGGCCCGCCTTCTGCCTGTGGCTCTCTCTGGGACCAGATGGTTAGGAGCAGGGAGATTGGCGCAGAAGGTACAAACTTGAGCGTCAGCTCGGCGGCACTCCTCCTGTCCTGCGGTGTCATGAGCCTGCGAGAGTCGGTTGCCGATCTTCGTGACTTTTGCTCCAGTGGGGACCCTGTGTGCGAGGACACTTATGAGATGGAATTCGGAATCGTAGAGAGAGTCATAAAAAGAATTGCCGGGTGGCACCCGTCACAGAGTGTACAAAACAGACTGTTGGCCTCCGTCTCGTCCAAGAAGGAAGGCAAAGAGCAGTCCCCTGCGAAGCGCCGCAAGATCACCGAGAGCAGACATGTCGACGTCGCCGCACCGGCAGAACAAGAGCTACCGAGGGACATCGCACTGCTTCTGAACATAGGCTCACAGGGTATGGTCATGAAGGGCGTCCTCGACAGTTCCCTCGAGGACCTGGTCATCACTCCGGTTTCCCGTCTGATAGACAAGCTGGATACCGTGGAGAAAGCACTCAGGAGACAAGAGGAAGAGGACTGCAAGAAGGAGAATCGCGTCGGAGGCGGGGATCATTATTCGGACTCCGGTGTCTCGGCTTGTTCGCCTTGAGGATGACCTCTCTGTCGCAGTTCGTTTTTGAATTGTCACAAGCGCTTGCGAGGGTGCGAAGGGGTTTGTTGTTTGCCGGTTGGATTTCATCTTGTTTCCACTCACGCTTGTAGCTACTATGACGGGTAGTACAGTTTCGTGTATTTCTCTTCAGCTACACATGCGTGGTGGGCGCGCCTTGAGTACATAATTGAGCATTTGGCTCAGCAGGCTGGAAGTGCAGCAGGGCTGGAAGGAATCACACAACCAGACTCTAGCATAATTCGAGAATGAATGATTTCTTCCACTGGGTCTCCTGGCTCTGATTGAATGCATGTATGATCCGTCATGTTGTGCAACAGATACGCCATGCCGCACGGGATGATAAGACGTGTACGTCACTCCACTCCACTCAATTGAGAAAGCTGCCCCACGTTTCTACAAAAGAGATTGAAAGCCGCGTCACCGAAACCATGAAAGCAGAGGAGCGTTGACGAAATTTGTCCCATGATGTGCAGCGCAGTGTTTACAGTAGGAAATGAGCACGACTAGAGACATAAGCCGGGAGAAATACAAGCCGGGAGAGGATGCTTATAATTTCCTAAATCATCGATAGCAGATTTCCCAGCCACCCTTCATAAACTTGAGGGGCTTGTTATCTATGTAAGTTGAAGCCGCGCAGTCCAGTTGCCACAGCTCTGACATTCTGAAGTCTTCAACCAACGAGCAGGGATGACCCGCAGAATGCTAACTCTACATTCCTCGACGTTATTTGATCCACGAAAGAAGGCGTTCATAAACAATGTCTCTATCAAAATCGACACGCAGTCTGGCGGCATCGCAGACGTATATACTAGGGCCTCAGACGATGAAATTCGCGGTGACGACATCGATCTCAGGGGCAAAGTCGTGATGCCAGGCTTCGTCGATGCGCACACGCACATTTTTCTCCACCCTTACAGGCATGCACGAGAAACCTCCACTACCACGCGGAGAACATGCAGGAGTACTGACGGCTACGAACTAGTGAGCGCTCTTCAACTGAGCAAATGCGCGACGAGTCCATCGTCGAGCGCACAGTACGGGCCACGAACCATGTCCGCGAGGCGCTCCTCTCAGGGTACACGACATACCGTGACCTGGGCAGCGAGGCGATGGAGAACTTCGACGCCAACCTGCGCGACTGCATCAACCGCGGCCTCATCCCGGGCCCACGTCTCTTCGTGGCCACCCATGCCCTGGCGTCGTCATCAGGGTATGACATCCGCAGCGAGAACCGGCAGAATGGGCTTCAGCTGCCACGATCGTCAGATGCGGCGGATGGGCCGTGGGATGTGCGGCGCGCGGTAAGACGGCGTGTTGGTGACGGAGCGGATGTCATCAAGTTCTACGCGGACTACAGGCGCAAGGTCATGCGGTTCCCCCCGCTCCACCCGGCTGTTGTAGGGGACGCCCCTGGGGCCGGGATCAGGTTCCCCCCAACACACGCGGAGGTCAACCCTGCGGTGCCTCTCTTCAGCCAAGAAGAGATGACAGCGGTGGTGGAAGAGGCTCATGCGGCAGGGCTGCCGGTGGCGGCTCACGCGGGGACGGTGGAGGGAGCAGCGATGGCAGTGAGGGCTGGGGTGACCAGCGTGGAGCACGTGAATGAGAACACAGACGAGCTCTGGGCAGAGATGGCGCGTTGTGGTACAATCTTCACCCCAACGCTGGCCATCTTCAAGCTGGCGCTTCCCAGGGCGGAGTACGTGAAGGTGCAGGCGAGGGTCAAGAGGGCCTACGACATGGGAGTCAGGCTCGCGACTGGTGGAGACACGGGGACTTTTGCGCACGGCGAGGGGGTGAGGGAGATGGAGCTCCTGATGGAGGCGGGCATCCCGGTTGCTGATGTGCTCGAGGCGTGTTTTGTGGGAGGCTGGGAGGCGTGCGGCAAGGACGCGTGTGGCTTCAGGTTTGGCTTGATCGAGAAGTCGGCGAGGGCGGATATCATCGCGCTCGACTCAGACCCGAGGTACGACAAGAAGGCGCTCAGGAAGGTAAGCTTCGTCTGCAAGGACGGACAAGTCTACAAGAGAGGTGGCCAGCCGGTCGGTCTACCAGGCGAGCACACATGGGGCGATGCCAAGGGAGAGACAAGGAACGAGGAGGAGGGGCAGCAGCAGGAGGACGAGGAGGACGACGACGACAAATGGGTCAGGGTGTGAGGGGCAGGACAAGAGGTAAACAAGCTTTGGTGCCCTGGGAGCGAGACCATACCAAGTATCTAGGTGCATTTTGGGTTACACTGCAGGGACATGATGGCGTACCTGGTCACGGCCAGGGGTGCACCCCGTAGCGCTGCAGAAAACGGCCTGCCACAGCGACGGAGTCAGCGCACGGAGTACTGTTATCAATGATGCCGCCGTCTCCCACGCATCGTGGCCCACGCTGCCCCGTCATGGGCTTGAGCTGGGCGAACTGGTGGCTTGTGCCGAGAAAGCTTGTCGATCCTTCCCGCTACGGTTACCTCGTCCTCCCCTTGTGGAATTGAGTTCCTGAGCCCATTCATACCCGCGTCAATGGTATGGTTAGAATGGCAAAGCTGAGATGGCAAGGTCGTATTTTCTCCGTTTTCCCCAAATATTTCTCCAACACGCACCATCAACCACCAGTCAGTGACACCGTGATCGCACTTTCGCGCAGCAACGACAGGGAAGAACGGGCCCGACTCGGTGCAACAACATGCGAGCAAGGGGCCGGCAGAGAGGAGATGGCTGCGACGGCCGAGATGGGCAGCTGCAGCTGTACAAACAGTACAGCACAGCACAGTACTAGTAGCCGACTGAGTCCCCGAGACTTCTCTCCGTCACATCCTGTTATGTCTTGGCGAGGCTCGCCTTGGACGACATATACCTAGGTACCCTCACCCGCCCCTGAGATCGAGAGAACAGACAGCCTCTCCTCTCCGTCTTGAGCCCATCGACAAGTGCGTCTGCTTCTACCTGTCACAATGAGGCTCACCTCCACCCTCAGCCTCGCCACTCTGGCAGCCCAAGGCACCTACGCCCTGCTTGGACGCCCCAGTCACCTGTTCCACACCAGGGACCTGCTCCAGGACGTCGTCACCTTCGACAACTACTCCCTGTTCATCAATGGCAAGCGCGAATTCATCTACTCGGGCGAATTTCACCCCTTCCGACTGCCAGTCCCTTCCTTGTGGCCCGACGTCTTGACCAAGATCAAGGCCTTGGGGCTCAATACCATAAGCATTTACATTCACTGGGGTGCCCTCGAGGGCAAAGCTGGCGACTTCAATGCCCAAGGCCCTTTGGTCCTCGAGCCCTTGTTCGAGGCTGCCCAGGCTGCGGGCCTGTACGTTATTGCCCGCCCTGGCCCCTACATTAACGCAGAAGCCACAGGAGGAGGATTTCCTGGATGGCTCCAACGTATTGAGGGCAAGCTAAGGACCAATGCCACTGACTACCTCTCCGCGACCGACAACTACATGGCTGAGATCGGTGCTCTCATTGCAAAGTATCAGATCACCAACGGTGGCCCCGTCATATTGGTCCAAGTAGAGAATGAATACACTAGTTTCGACCCCGGTTTTGCTGTCGATGGCTGGTATTTTCAGTATGGTACCTTGACCCCCCCATCCAAGGACTAGCAGTGTGTTAACTACTTTAGGTACATCGAGGACCAGCTCCACCACGCCGGTGTCGTCGTGCCGTTGATCAGCAACGATGCCAGACCTGCCGGGAACAACGCTCCTGGCAGTGGTATTGGAGCTGTCGACATCTATGGTCACGATGCTTACCCGTTAGGATTCGACTGTGCCAACCCTTCTTCGTGGCCGGAACGTGCTCTTCCAACCAATTTCCGCCAGACACATCTTCAGCAGAGCCCCAGTACTCCGTACACGATCCCAGAGTTCCAGGGGGGCAGCTTCGACCCCCCGGGCGGTGTTGGCTTCGAGAAATGCGCCGCTCTGGTCAACATGGAGTTTGAGCGTGTCTTCTACAAGAACAATTACGCGGCTGGCGTCACCATTTTCAGCCTGTACATGATTTTCGGAGGAACAAACTGGGGCAACATCGGCCACCCTGGTGGTTATGTACGTGGTCACCATCACCGCTGGCTTGTCTCAAGCTCGACATCTTGTTCCCATGCCAGACCGCCAAACCCCTCTGGCTTCAATCTCATGGTCCACCTCCTCGTTCGCTCCCGGTCTTCCCGGGACTTCGTTATGTACAGTCGCTAACAAGAGACCCAACAGACAAGTTATGACTACGGCTCCGTCATCCGTGAAGACCGTGCGGTAGACAGAGAGAAGTACTCGGAGCTGAAGCTCCAGGCGAACTTTCTCAAGGTCTCCCCAGGCTATCTCCTTGCTTCTGCGGCGAATTCGTCCTCAACTGGCGTCTACAACACGAATCCGGACGTTGTAACCACCCCAGTTCTCGGGTCTACCGGGTCATTCTTCGTCGTGAGACACTCGGACTACACTTCCCAGAAGTCGTCTAATTACACGCTCTCTTTACCGACTTCTTTGGGGAATATCTCTGTCCCCCAGCTCGGAGGCTTTCTCAGCCTCAATGGCCGGGACTCCAAGGTCCACGTCACGGATTACCCTGTTGGGAACTCGGAACTACTATACTCCACAGCAGAAATCTTCACTTGGCAGGTATTCGACAACAAGACAGTGCTCATTGTATATGGGGGTCCAAACGAGCTCCATGAGTTGGCCATCCTGGGTGTAACTGACGGTGCCGTGCTTGAGGGAGATGGTGTGACTATCCAACACACAAACGGCTCTTCGGTGGCTCAATGGCAGACCTCTGCTGAAAGGAAGATTGTGCAGTTTGGCGACCTCTTTGTCTACATCCTCGGTACGTACGCACGTTCCATCGAAAGTTCCATGCTAACTATGGACCAAGACCGCAACAGCGCCTACAACTATTGGGTCGCCGACGTGGCAGATAGCGCCGTGATTGTCAATGGGCCATACCTGGTGCGGTCAGCTCTTGTTGAGGGTGGCAACCTGATTCTCTCTGCAGATTTCAACAAGACGACAAGCATCGAGATCATTGGAGTGCCTCCAGGTGTCACCTCCTTACAGGTCAACCAAGCCACTCTGGAGCACTCTACTGACTTCTTAGGCTCCTGGACTGCCAGTCAAGACCACTCGCCTCCCACTTTTGAAATCCCTGACCTTTCTAGTGCCTCATGGTACTACATCGACTCACTACCCGAAATCCAGTCCGACTACGATGACACTGCCTGGCCAGACGCGGACCATACCAACACCACCAATCCTGTTGGCTCTCCTCTTCTGACGCCCGTCTCTCTATATGGATCTGACTATGGGTTCAACACAGGCGCAATAATTTTCAGGGGTCACTTCACCGCCTCTGGGAATGAGTCCAAGATTGGGCTTCGCACACAAGGTGGAGAAGCCTTCGGCGCGTCAGTCTGGCTTAATAATACCTTCATTGGTTCCTGGGCAGGGAATTCAGTGGAGGAAAATTACAATTCATCCTTCATTCTGCCCAACCTGGAAGCCGGTAGCTCATATAAATTCACCGTCTTGATTGACAACATGGGTTTAGATGAGAACTACGACGTCGGCGGAGATGTACAGAAAAACCCCCGAGGCATTCTACAATACGACTTTCCATCGGAAATCACCTGGAAACTCACAGGAAACCTTGGTGGCGAGGACTATGCCGACCGCGTTCGTGGCCCCTTGAACGAGGGCGGCCTTTTCATCGAGCGCCAGGGATACCACCAGGCTGGCCCGCCTGTAGAGGACTTCACAACGGGGACGTCACCATACGAAGGCATCACATCGGCGGGTGTCGGTTACTACACTACCAACTTCATGCTCTCAATTCCTTCCGACCAATGGGATGTGCCGCTGTCCCTGGTGTTTGCGAATGACACGTCCGCAGCGGCCGCAGCGCCATACAGGGCGTTCATTTACGTGAATGGGTACCAGCTCGGTCGATACACGAGCAATGTGGGACCCCAATCCGAATTCCCCGTACCCGAAGGTGTTCTTGACTACCAGGGGGACAACTGGCTTGGCATAGCGCTGTGGGCGCTTGGAAGTGATGGCGCGAAAGTGCCTGGTCTTAACTGGACACACAGCTCAACACCCGCTCTGACAGGCCGGGCCACGCCGTCGCTTGTTGAGCAGCCTGCGTGGGAGTTGAGACCAGAGGCTTACTGATGGGCCATTCTCTTGACTCTTATTATTTCCCCCTTTATTTAAATATAATAGGTACATGTTATCGTATTTTAAGCACTGTATTGACACCTTATGCCTTTTGAACGCTGGGTCTTGAGCGTTCACCACTGTATGAAGGCGCCATGTATGTCCTCGGATGTATGCGGAATAGAAGCGAAACCAGATAATAAGTGCATGTATCCTCAGCCTTACGACGCACAGACAAGGCTAAGGGGTACCGTCTTGACGGCGGTATTGACTAGAACGCCGCGAAAGTACCTGGGTACCTACATATGTAGATACCTAGGTAGTTATATGGCGAGGTCTCTAAAGATAGATGATATAAATTTTATAATCCTATAAAGGGAATCACAACTAAAAACTTAGCCCTCCACACATAGACACACACACACACACACACACACACACACACACACACACACACACTTGATTCTAAATAAAAGAAAGAAGAGGTTTAAGATTAAGATTATATTTTTATAATATCTTGGTTACATGGTTAGTAATAAAGGGTGAGCTTTTATGCTTCTCTGATCCGAAGTCTGCCTATCTACATACCTAAGTGGGTAACTAAGAGTTTCAAAAGGATCGCTTAGGTACCTAGGTAGGTACGAAGGGAGTGGTGCACCCCAGTTCAATCGCCTCAGACTTCCATCACCCCAAGTTCATTCCGGGCACATCTCAAGCTTGATCCTGCTCCATCTTCATCCCACCAACTTTCGAAATTAATTCGCATAGGCCAGTATGACCTCTCTCAAAGCCAAGTCATAACAAGGCAGCAACACCACCACCTCTGGTATTTCCGCCGCGAGCAAGACCTCGCCCACCACGCATTCCCAGTCACAAACACCTCAGAAAGCCGACGTTGCCAGGCACGAGGCGAGATCAAAGGAGACGGTGAAACAATACACATAGATGAAGGTCGGAAAACTGGAAGAGAAGAACACAAGACTCGAAGAGGCCGCCGCCAAGAAAATCCAAGTCGAGAAGGCGGCTGATGAAAGCCGTCCTGCGGACGCCGGTCTCAACATGAGTAAACAGATCATCAGCAAGCCCCAGACAACGACAACTCCCGCGAAGTCCATGGCCGACAACGCCCGCACACTGGACAATAAAGAATCCAAGCCAGCGTCTGGTACCATCTGGGATAAATTTATCACTGACGAGCCTCCATTCCCACTCACCGAGATCATCGCCTTGAAGCCCTCTTCGTATTTTGCCAATTTCTACGCTTACTCCAGACGTAACGGCAGGGCCGGCATGATCAAGACGGACTTGATCCAGGACATTCTGAAAAACAGCTCAAAGGTCTTTTTTCATGACGCAGAAATGATGTCTCTCATTCACATTCAGCCAAAGATGTGCAAGGACAAGGCCACCGCAGGGAGGGAGGAGTCAGAGCATACCCCACAACAAGGCGCAACAGACAGCGACAAGATGACCGAGAACGAAGTCACCAGGCAGAAATTCGAGCAAGTCTGCGATGAGCTTCAGACCCACATCGATGACATGGAGACCGAGTCGAGCGCGGAGTCAAAGATGCAGCAGAACAGGCTCTGCATCGGGGCACTTACAACTGTGCCAGAGAAGGCTAAAGAGCTGGGCGAACGCTCCCACGTGCAACAAGACGGCAAGGGGGCTGCGGTGGTGACTTCGCCGTCGCCATCCACGCTATATTCGACCGACCGCAGGATCAAGAAGAGGCACACGAATAAGAACCCATCTTCTCCCGTGATCGAGGCCAAGAGCTTGTGTAAGTCAATTTTGCGCAAGCGCCCCCCCCCTTCCCCTTTTAACGGCATCATTCTAAAGCGAGACTGTAGTGGATGTCAACATCGATGAGTTTGAGTCGGCCGAGGAAAGATCTGCGAAAAAACATAGACGATTCAAACAACTGTGGCAGCAGGAGTGGAAGCAGGAAGCCCGAGAGCTTGCCGACTGTGATGAACAGGGGTCAATGTCATTCTCGGAGGCAGCCAAGGCGGCAGCACGGTACTACTCGTTGACCAGTGCATACGAAAAGCCTCTTTAGAGGGATGTATCGTGTCGCGACGGTGACCTCAATTCAGAGAGCCACTTGTTTGTTTGCAGGGAGCACTTGAGGTTTAGACACCACATGTGCAATACAAAACATTATCTGGTTCGTTGGAAGGTCAGGATCGGATAGGCATCATTGGCTTTGTAATATAAGTGGTTTTGCTTTTATTCCGTATACGTCCGAGGACATACATGGCGCCTCCACATGGTGGTAAACGCTCAAGACCCAGCGTTTAAAAAACAATAGTGTTGGATTGAGGGGAAAAGACTTGAAAGTAGAAAGACACACAGGGTGTCTGAAACATCCAGGCAAACTGTCGTCTTGCATGGTTTCGAAATTTGAGAATCAGTTTGTACTGAGCAAACGTGATAAGAGATGTTGATGTTGGAGCTCAGGCAGCCAAACTGATTCATATAGATTCCATGGTGACCCGCAGCTCTTCGTCAGCCTGATGCCAAAAAAGTCCAGGGTTTCCAAATCCTAGACTGTCAACTTCATGTGGGGCAAGAAAATGACCTAGGCTTTCTTGAGGAGAGTTGGGACCTCGGGGAGGTGGGCTGGCATTGGTGTGCCCCAAAAACACTCCCCTCTTCGCCCCCTGGCCGAACAGGACTCGAAGCTTGGAATGCTGTCACTCAAGCAGAATCACCGCACCTGGGGGCGCTCTGTAAATAGGTTACCTAGGTAGTCCAAGATGTAGGTTGGCCGGTGGTATCAGTGCCGTAGGTATCGTCGACTATATAATCCTTCGACTCTTACAGTCATAGAGTCTAGAAGCTATAATAGCCGCCATTTATTTTTAGTTGATATTGAAGATGTAATAACCGTTGCGTCGCCACATGACGCCTTGGACGCAGCGTTGAGCATGACTGTATTTCGCGGAGCTGGCGGCTGAGGCCCCGAACTACATACAGCATTGGTTTATCGAGAGGGAGACACTGGAAAAGCCCCGGAGACAGGATAGATGATTCAAGACGCTAAAAATATCAGAGTCGTGGTCCCACAGTCAAGCCTGTGGAAACGACGTGTTTCGGATCACGTGTGGATGCTGAGGGTGCTTCGTGTTTTGACGTCCGTCCAGCCGGCTGGCGGCTAGGCGAAAGAAGATCAGCGGGGTCGGGTGACATTCAACTCTCCCGGCCTGCCAGGCTGGCAGGCAAGGCAGGCTGGCAGGACAAGGGGCATGGGCCAAGCTCTGTTGCAGTGACCCCTCAGCCCCCTGTGTTCTTGTTACCTGCCATGACATAATTGCCACCTGCAGAGCGTTGAGTTGGAAGTACAGCAGAGTAGCCCGGAGAGGACGAATCAGATCAGGCATTCGACGTCGACTCCTGAGGCTAATTCGCAGGCCGATGAGCTTCTCTCGGCCAATTGATGACGAAGACGATGGGTTGACGGAGACGGTCAGCGTCCGAGCCTGGCAAGATGGAATACACAGTACAGTACGGAGTACGGAGTATTGCCCCAGCGCCAGACTAGTGCCTGTAGGGGCCGGATATTGTCCATACACTGGGCCTCCTGGCCTCGCTGCTCGCTGCTCGCCTCTACCGGCACTGCGGGACCAGGGGACGCGGGTGATTGTCTTGGGGGCCCGGCAGCATCTGAAGACCCCACGGGGGTTGTTTTGGCTCTGGTGTGCAAATCGCTTGGGCTGCGGCCTGACGGGCTGGCGGGTGGCGGGCTGGTGTTCGTCAGCTCGGGGCGGCGCATCAAATTGGACCCTTGGACTGCTGTGGATAACAGCCTCGGGACAGGCGGGCAGTGCAGAAGAGCCGTGAAAGGGGGACCCCGGCGTCTAGCGGGCGGGTACTACATAGTAGCCGGGGGCGACGGAAATGCGAGGCTGCGATGATGAAGATCGGGGTCGGGAACGGACGGTATGACGAGAACAGGATCAAATCTGGGATCTCAAGACCCCTTTGATCGTCAACCCGGAGCTCAGATGGGAGTTGACGCCCGAGCACGACGGATGGCCCTCACGCACCAGAATGCTGCGTAGGGCTGCCGGGGCTCCCTTGTTCAAGGCTGTCAGGCACAGTATCGAGGCTGGCAGGCTGGCAGTGGCATTCATTGTCATGGGTGTACATACCTACCTAGGTACCTACCTACCTACTTAGGTAGTATGCAGGTATGCACCTGGGCGGCTGGGGCTAGGGGGGCATGCAACCTCCTATGAATAGCAGACGCGGGATGGCAGGCAGCCTGCAAAAGAAACCGCCGCTGGTTATGTACCAGAATCGGGATCCCAGAAGTTATCCACCTGTTTTTTTGCCCACAATCACGAGTTTTGAATGATATTTTGATACCATTCGAATCAGAAGCTTACTCTGAAGGTATTCGTATAATTAAAATCAAGCACATACGATATGGTTGTGGAATAATCGTGATGCTAACATGAAGGGTTTTGGTAGTACTTGGACTTAGCGGCGGTTTTTTTTGCAGGCTGCCTGGATGGTTGATCATGTCGGTACCCAGGAGCTGTGACCTTCTCGAAGGACCCCAGCCTCGACTAGCTCGGCGTCTCTTGTTCCCCAAGGCAAGAAAGTTTCCCTGGTGGCAGGTGACGGATAAAAGCCAGATGAAACGGGCCCATTGCCGGCAGGACTGAGGAGGGTCACCAAAGAGGCATTGGCGAGGATCGTCACTGACGAGCACCGACAGACCGACTTGCCCAGTGACGGTGGAGTAATGACATTCTTCATGCATCGCCCAAGCATTGTGGCCTGTCCCAAAATGCCAGAACAGACTCCTGACTTGGGACCGCGGCCGCCAATCAGACGACAATCACGGGCCTGCTTGGAAGACCCGTCATGGATCGGTGGCAGTCCTACACAGTAACGTCGCATTCGTGAGCACAGAGCATGACACCCTCTAGGTTTCCCCCTCTTGTTCCGCGACGACAGTGGTTGGTTGGCCTCCGGGCTGCTGGTGGCATGCCAAAAATTCAATACGAGGCCGGTGGCCTGCTCATCCTGCCCTGCCTGCCAGCCCTTCCACGCCAAGACGAAAAGGAAAAACGGAGGTGGGCGTGGGCCGGCTGGCCGGACGGGGCTCAATCCAGATCTGGCAGCGACTGCCCTGCCGTGACGTCCGGTAGCCCACGTGTGCGCAGTAGCGTACGTCAATACAGTGCAGTTGCGATACCAGTGGACTGCCTGCTGCTTGCATGTAGCTCTCCCATCCCGAGGGCTGACGAGTGCTGCGGGCTGCACGGCATTCGTCGTGAGATCCAAATACTGTACTTGCAACATGGTGTCTCGTGAGGGACAAAGTCTAGACCGTTGGTCCTGCGGTCTCACCTATTAGTAGCAAACACTGGCGTGCCTTAGGGCCAAAGCCAGGAGGCCATCTGAAGCCAGTCAGAGCCTGGCACAGTAAGCCTGCGTACGGTACAGCCTGATCCATGGGCCCTTTAGCCCGCCCACCCTGCACAAGTACACTATTGTGTACCATGTGGACGGCAGGACGGCCAGGCATTTATGCGACGGCACTGCACTGTGGTAATAATGCCTCATTCATGTGCTGCTAAACACAGTACAGACGGTAGTTTGGTGACGATCAGCGGGATAGGAGACTCAAAAGTTACGTATTGTGCTCCGTACCGAGATGGTGGTCTCCCCCGTTTTACTTAGCGCCGTTTGCCCATTCCAAAGGGTCCCCCCAACGGCGGCCCAGGTGCAGCGCTGTCTGACGGTCATCTGCACTGGCACCCGCAAGGGCGCTGTCTGCATCGGGGTGGCCTGACAGCCAGAACAGCCGGCGAGAAAGAGAGATCCCGTCCCAGTTCCCTCCCACCCCTGTCTCCTCCCTTGGCCCCTGCCTGCTCCACCGGCCCTTTCTTCCAACCCACCCGCCATCAATCTCGATAAAACCACCACACCCGCACAACCCATCCTGCGCCAGGCTCACTCGCTTCTCTCGCTCTCTCATTTCGTCCGTCGTTAGCAATACCGTTCGTCATCGCTCGCTATATCCAAACGATCACAACACAGAGGTTGTTTGTCACAACAATCTTTTTACCCAGGCCCCACCAGCCGACACCGATTTCGCCATCGCCAATAATTAGGACCTGCCGACAGCGCAGAGTTTGACCTGGCCGACTCGCCCTCGCGAACTCCCCCCCCCCACCCTTTTCACTAGGTCCCTCGCCTCTTTCATTTTGAGGTTCTTCAACCGCCGATAAAGCGTCGATTGGCATCTCGTATCGTGGACCATCAGTAGACGGTCTAGGCGACCGAGCTTGCCGATAGCCGACGACAGCAGACCACAAAACCAACAATGCATTCCACGCACATCCTCAAGCTGCTGGTGGCAGCCCTGTCTGCCAACACCCTCACCCAGGGCTTCATCATCGACGCTGCAATCCTCAACCGACATGGCATCGAGCTGGCCCGCAGGCAGGGACTCGTGGGGGACGCTCTCAACAATGCCGCCGACGCTGTAACCGGTAGCGGCGGTGCAGCCGTAACAACTACCAGCGAAGAGTCCACCCCCACCACAGCCACAGCGGCCGAGGAGACCACGAGCACCACCTCCAGGGAGACAACGGCCACCTCGACATCTCAGGACTCAGCACCTACCACATCCGAGAATGCTCCCTCGCCGACAACCACCTCCTCCGGCGACACACCGGCGCCGTCGACTACCGCAGGCGGCACCGCTGCTACAACACTATCCTCCGAGACTACATCCAGCGGAGCGTCTACCTCAGCCACCACAACTGCGGAGCCCATCACATCCACCACCGTCGTCGTTGTCACTGCCACGGATGGGTCGGTTAGCAGCTCCACATCCGTTTCGGTCTCGACCCCGACGCCAGGCTTGAGCGAAGCCAACAGCAATGGTAGCTCCGGGATGCCCGAGTCGACCAAGAAAACTATCATTGGTGTTGTTGTCGGCGTTGGAGGTGCCATCGTCCTGGCTGTTGCCGGTCTCTTCGCCTGGAGGATCTGGGGCCGCAAGAAGGCCAACGAGGAGAATGACGGTCTGATGAGCTACAACAACGGAGCTGAGGGCAAGAGCGAGGTTGGCGGCCTTAATGCCGGATCCACCGTTACTGGCAGTGCGCGGTCTCCATTCCAAAGCACGCTGGAGAGCTACCATGCCCCAAGTAATGTCAACGCTTCCTCAAACTTCTAGCGTGGATCTCTTCTAGTGTGGAAGCTTTTTACGACGAGACGGGCTCCGTGGTAGCTCCGCAATCTTCGATGCATTTTGGTCTGCCTGACTCGATCAGGTCCGGCGTTCTTCATTCGTCTATTCGGCGTCAAGCATAGCGTTCATTCGCAGATCGAGAAGAAAAGGTCCAAAAAGAGAGAGTGATCTCGGGACATAGACTAGCAAGGATTTTTTTAATGAACATGACTTGAAGGCAAATCGAAGCCTGTCAATACATTCTATGGGGAGGCCTCATTGTTTTGGACTGAGCAATTGTGCGGGGCCTTGATATGAGGGGCGACTAATACAGATACCCTTTTGATTTTGATGACATCTTTATGCCTCGGGTGTGACTGCTCGTGACAATTCACATTTGCTCTATTGCTCCAGTACTTAACATCAGAGGGAGGTGGGACGGACAAACAAGAGTTCATCCCAAAGCATGCGGGCTAGACAACCTGGAAGCCACACAGACAGCGCTACTATAGGAAATCTGCGTGAGTACTATATTCCAAAGCAGGTAACACTCTATGGCCAATCGTCCCTGGGTAAGGGGGTGTTTGTTGGGTTGCCTTATTAGCGCAAGTCACCCAGGTCACCCATATATATAATCTGCCGCGGAGGACCGGAACGCTACGACGCTTCAGACCGGACCCTGTGGCTTGCATTGTCATCTTTGTCCGCCTTCATTTTAAGCATACCCCGCGAAATTTCAGGAATCATGTACTTTGGCGGTTCCAGGCGGGGTAGAGTGCAAAATCGCCCATGGTTCATCGCCATGAGTGCGTTCGTCTCAGATGGTGTTTCAGGTTTGGCTGCGCGACCCAGATAGGCGGGCGTTTCATGTGCAGGCCCGAGATGGCCTCGGACCACGACCTCAACCACGACCTGCTTTCGCCTTTGCGCCATCTTGCAATTTGGTCTTTTCGTACACTACCGAGCTGGGCTTTCTCGTCGACGTTCATTATACCTTTTTGCTAGTGCCTAATTGGAGTGCCGACCGACTGAACGAGTCCATCGAACCAGGGGACCTACGAGAAACAGACGCAGGGGCATAGCTCGGCTCTTGAAGGACCGAGTCGCAAGTCGAGACCACGATCCGAGACCACAAACGACAGACCGAAGGACTCGCGTGTCTTGGACGCCGGCCCTGGCCTGATCCATCCGACAAAACTCATCAACGAACCCAGACCTCAACCGCGGGTACCATCAGCCAGGCCCGCACCACGCAAACACACACACACACACACACACACATCCACGAGCCACGATGCAGCTCCCAACATCCACAGCCCTCCTGCTGGCCGCGGCCCTGAGCGGCGGCGGGCGGGCGTCGGCGGGGCCGGACCTGGGCTTAGGCGAGATGCTGAGCGGGGGGTCGGTGCTGTTCCCGCGGCAGCAGGGCGCGACGGGCCAAAACCTGCAGACGTTCACAGGGGCGCTGGGCGGGGTCAAGGCGGACGCGGTGACCAACAGCGGCAACTCGGAGAGGCCGTTCGAGGTGGACGGCGACACCTTCACCGACTTCAACTCGGCGGCCCAGCGGAGCTGCGACAACCAGAAGAACAAGTGCGCGCAGGTGGCCAACTCGGGGGGCGGCGCCGGGTTCGAGGTGTCGGACTGTGACCAGCAGAACAGTGAGTCTCTTGTCCCCGGCTCCCAGTTTTCCCTGCTGGTCTCCCACTTGACACCGGGTGTGAGACTGAGTATGAGGACGCTGACTGACTGACTGCATGTGCTCAACAGACCAGTGCAAGGACGCCATCAACACGGCCACGCAGACAGGTTCCCTGACTCTGACGAGCTCAAATGCCGAATTCGACTTCTTCTGTGAGAATTGAAGGGGGTTTTGTATCAGACGTAACTGCGGGTTGTGCTGGCTCCCGAAGGGGGGGACCCGCTCTGCCCGAGACACTTGCCGGTTATGAACATATTTACAAGGGCTGGCGTTGTGGGATCTTGACTGCTATGGGACGGCTTGATGAGCCAAGGGACGGCTGGGTGCTCTTAAATCGATAATATTCCCTCCTGTCTGTGTATGTTGTTTGGTCAGGATTAACCTGAGTTGCAAGTGAGTGAGGGTAGTTGTGCCAACTCGCATGCTTGCATTCAAGCTAGGTTGAGCTACGTTATTTCAATTTTGAACTAGACTCGAAGCAAGGAATGGCAATTAGCATGGACCATGCAAAACAACGTCCTTGTCAGGCTGTTGCATTTGTGTTATGAGCTGCTGTTTTACCGTCTGCCGCCTACATGTCGAGGACTACTTTGGATAGTGGTCGTTGCTACCGTGTATGCTGGGGCACCGAAGGAGAATGGCGGAGGGATCCTGATCATACACTTGGGATAGGGATAACATGGGTCTCTGGTTTCTTGCATTTTCACGGCCGAGACGGTGTCTCTCCGGGTGTGGCCCTCGCCGTGATATCTGTCTGACCTGACGAGGCTCCGGGAGGGACCAAGCGTGTTAGCGCCCGTTCCTGGTCAATACTTAAGTACTGTGTAGACCCCAAAATGTCGACCGACGCGTCTCTGCTGAAGATTGTATTAGCGTGCCGGCCAAGCGAATAAAGCTCCATGGCCAGGCCGCATGCGCTGGTTTGACCGGATGCACCTGGTTGACGGTCTGGCTTTGGATGCACTGAAGCCCTTGCCTCATGTCAACTGTTGATGGTCCTGGCCGAGAACGAGAGCTGTTCTCTCTAAGGGCAGCCCGCAAACAAAAGACTGAGATGCATCGGTCCATCCTCTGCCTGCGAACCTCGGCACGGGCTTGAGCAGCCAGGTACTTAGGTACCTAGGTACCCGACCTGGGCTCCAAATCCTACCCATTTCCGCATTGGCCTTGTCGGGCAGGTACGGGCGTTCAAGGCGGCGGCTAGCCCGTCTGGTCAGGTATAGGCTATCTACCTAGGTACGGTGTAAGCAGGCGTCATTTGATGAAATTGCCGGGCCAATGCAGACCTCGTCTCCCTGCAGGCTGGCTCAGCCGAAGCGTGTCTAAAGAATGACAGGTGCAGGAGACAGGACCAGGACCAGGAACAGCAGCAGGAACAGCAGCAGGCTCTTGCGGTAGGGACCTAGGCAGGTAGAACAGCCAAGGGATTGATTGGTGCAGCAGGCACGTACAGGCAAGGCGAAGGCAGACCTCGTTCTCCACATTGGCAGATGGGTCGCTGCCATCATTCCGCCCACCCTTTTTTCCTCACCTCTGCTCCCTCCCCACGGCCCCGTGTCATAATCGTAATCCCTCCCCAGCTTCCGACCCTCTGGAGCCTCTCGTCACGCCTCCCCACCCACCAGCGAGGACGGACAGGCCACTGCTTGGTTCGCGCGTCGTTTTGTTTTGTTGGTTTGTGCGCCTGTCATTGTCATCATTCGAGGTGCGAGTCCGGAACCTTGTCAGGCTTGGTCTCAACTCCGACCTCGACATCCATCCGATTCGATCCTGCGCCCAATCTGACCTTGCCCCGGCCTGATCAGATCCACAGCCTGTTGTTGACTTTTGGCTTTCGAGGCACGGCCACTTCTGGTTCATGCGGCTGCAAAATCACAGACGAGACACGGCTCAGCCAAGGCACAAACCGGCAGCCACTCGATGACCCTCGACATGCCTTCTTGTCCCACCCTTCTGTCACTCCTTTGAACAAGCCATCGTCTCTTTGATTTCATTGCGTTCTCTGGTTCTTTCTGATTGTGATCTTCCCCTGATTGGCCCTTATTTCGCAAAATTTCAGTGGACCCAGCTGCAGCGCAACGCCTGCGCCGACCCTGGCTCTGGCTGGGCTTCCGCTGCTGGAGAAACGTCCAAGCTCCCCTTGGCTCCCTGGCCTCCCCTGCCCCAGTCGTCCCCGTCTTTCTGGTTACGCGACGCGATCAGGTCCAACCCCGGCCGCCCTTTACAAATTCTCCACTCGCCGCCCTTGTGTCTACTGAAAAGGGGGGACCTCTTCGCTTCGGGCAAACAAAGACCTTTGGGCATCGCCGACGACGCGATAGGTATTGAGATTTAGCTGCAGACGACACGGCCCTCGTCTGCGCTGATCTCCAGTGGTAAGCTTCGCCCAGACCCAGAAAAAAAAGGGCCCTTGTCGCCGACGCCAGATGCACCCATTCTGTGCCTCTGCTCATGCCCAACCCCATCATGTGCTGTACCGTCTAATCTGACACCCTCTGTGTCATTGCTGCGCAGGTCCACGCAAAGACGTCTTCGCAAGATCCGTCTCCACCACCTCCTCCTCGTGCTGCTGCACAGGACGGTCTGCGGCGCCCTCGGTCATCCAGCCAATCCCCTCCGAGGTCCCCAGCCCTTTCGACCGCGTCAACCGCTGACGGCGAGGAGTTGTCTCCATCCGTTGCTAATTTACAAGCTCCACGACTCCCAAACAGGGCCCTGGAGCTGTTGAGGACCCCGCCGGCGCGCCAAGTCCCGCGAGAAGACAATCAGTACGTGACCGCAAGCTGGGGCAGCCCGTACCCAAGGTCCGAAGAAGCCAATCTTCGCGGGCAAAGTCCTGGCAGCGAGCCATCAGAAGACTCCCCAATACATCGTCTCGAGCTCGACACCCCGTTTCTGCGTCCGGCCCCACCCTTGATTGTTTCGCCGACCGAGCAGCAGTCCTCTTCTCTTGCCGCGATCCTGGTCAACCGGGCCAGACGCCCAGGTCCTGCACGTGGCCTGACAGAAGACTGGATCCGTCAACACACAGCCGCCCACGAGAACACCGAACCTCGCCATTGGCTTAGTGACGGCACAGACAGTGAGCACTCTTCATTGAGCGGCTCACACTCCGGCGACGAAGCAGCGTGGTTGGAAGGGAGGAGCTCGGCCACGCCGCGGGCCAACCCCAGCGGACGCCCTACGTCGTCTCGCTTGTCCTCCGGACAACATCCAAGAGCGCGATCAAGCACCGAGACCCTGAAACAGGGTACTGCTGGTCGGCTGTCGAGGCCGGACACCGCAACCATGGCGAACGTCGTCCCAGAGGTCGTGCTGCCGCAGGGTGACGCTGAAGGTCCGCCAGCGGCAAGCTTGGTGGAGCAGCGCCCTTCCACGCCGAATGGCACAGTCGAATCAGTGGATGTGGGAAATACAGGGACGAAGGCCCCAGTCACCCCAACGAGACCGCCAGAAGTGAAAAAGGCCCCCGGGTGGACGCCTCGGCTGAAGAAGAAGGTGCCATGGAGGGGCAAGAACATTATGGTTTTGCTCCCGCGGGATGAAGAGCGCGGCCAGCGAGGCAAGGCCCCCATTCCGCTCAAACCGCATGAGGTCACGAACATGTTCCGGGAGTGGGAAGAGCTCGGGTATGATATTCGTGGTTTCGATTTGAACGTCCCGCAAGGGTACTCAGCCCTCCCGGTCGAGCATCATTCTAGGAGTAGGGACGAGTGGCCCGATGTCGTGGAGATCAAGAGGGAGCTGGCCAATCGCAGATTCAAAGTTACTCTGCCAGATCTCGAAGGTGAGGAGCTCACATTCACCCAAGCCTTGGGATGCTCTGCTAATGTACCAAACAGCTTGGAAGCAATACATGAATGAATTGACCGAAGCCAAGCTCAGGGCTCTCGGCGTGTCACTCGGTGATGAAGACCCTCCGCCACCGCCGCCATCCATCTCCCCCAATCCAGCTGGCCTCAACAGACGTGCTACGATCACTCAATATCCGCCTCTGCCGTTCTCGCCTCCCATCACCACGCCGTCGGCATCAAGTGCTCAGGGGATGCAACAGTTCCCGTTCTCTGCACAGAACCCTGTGGGCGGCGTCAATGCAGTTGCTTCGCCTGTCCCCTTCAATGGCAATTTCAACCCGCACCAGTCCCGACAGTCCGTCTCGATCCCGACGAGCCAGTCCCCATTCGGGTTCATGCCACCGCAGCAGCAGCCTTCGCCTCGGGATGTCATGTTTCAACAGCAAGGGATGCACCGTGTGTCGCCTTCCCTGTCAACCTCGCCCTTCTCCCCTGGAGGTTTCCAGCCTCCGCTGATGCACCAACGGCACCAGTCACTTCAATTCCCCCAACTGCCCCATCAGCACTTTATGCAGTCTGCTCGAGCCTCTCCTCGTTTGCAAGAACTACGTGAGGCCGATGAGGAAGAAGAGACGAAGAGTGCATCGAGGACACCCGAGCCAGCACCACAGATCCGCCATAATGCTAGTGACAGCCTGCAGAAGGAGATTGACGAGGCGGAGTACCATTTGGAGGAACAATTCCGCTCACAACTTGAGCATGACGAGGACTACAGCCCGCACAACGAGGACGAAAAGATCCACGCTGCTAAGTCAAGCCGTGAGTCCCCAGTGCAGTTCGCGCAACAGGCGCCGCGCTTTGAAGGCGCTGTCGACAAGGACCTTGTCCTCCATCATCCTCGACCTCATAGTAGAGGTCACTCGCTGTCGCAGAAATACTTCGGTGAAGATGACATAAGAGCTGGCACGGATAAAGGTGGTTTTAGCAGCTTGAAGCCTATCCAAGACGATGACAAGGCTGACCATGACGACGTCGACACCAACCCCAGCAACCTTGGCACACCCGTGCTGCCCAACTTTGGGGATGCGTCCCATGAGAGGAACTTTTCTACGACAAGCAATCCGTGGAAGGATGTGCAATCAACCTCAAGACGTCCAAGTCACAGCAGCAAGCCGTCCTTCTCGAAGCTCAATGTTGCAGCGCCTGAGTTCAAATTCAATCCGACGAGCTCCTTTCAGCCCGGGCAGTTTAACTTTGGAAGCAATACATTCCAACCGGCTGTTTTCCAAGGAGCTTCCTCTAACGCTCCGGACTCGGATCAATCTAATCAGTTCAGTCCTCCGGCAGGCCCTTCGCGCAAGATCAACGTCAATGCTCCGGTATTTTCTCCAGGCTCCAGCGAGTTCAGCTTTTCTGCTGCCGGCGCGCCAACTTTCCGACCGAATGCCCCTGCCTTCACACCTGCTTCGGTGGCTGGCTCGGTGACATCCCCCGTCCTGTCCGGCAGCGAAAGCGGAAGAATGACGTCCTCGATCTTCGGCAGCATTGATTTGAGCATGCCCGAGATTATGAAGCCTCCAAAGAAATCCAAGGCTATTCCTATCGTTCGGCCAGCTAGTCGCACGTCGAACAAGGATGAATCAGGCCCGGCCGAAGATGAAAACGGTCGCATCATTGATGAGACACGAGTCAAGAGGCTCAGAGGGGCGAGTGCTGAGGACGAGGACTCTCGTCTGCTTGCTGAGCCAAGCCCCTCGGCGCACGCAGAATCCAAGGGGGTGGAAGAGGAACGCCCAGCCCGTGACTCCGGGATTTCCTCAACCATCCTCTCTGATTCAACGGACGCCAAGGACAACACGAGCGTGTCTGAGGTCTCTGCTGAACACGACGTCAATGCCTGGGCCCCGTTCGAGTTCAGGTCAGAAGCCGAGGTGTCAGCCTTCAACACAGCTCGGCCGTTCGGGGACGATGGTTTCATGGCCCATGGCCACCAGAAATCACTTTCAGCGTCTGCGAAGCCATTCATTCCCGGTTCAACTTTCATGACTGACGATGACTTTAATGACAAAGAGGACACTCCGGTCCCGGGCCAGTTCGAACCGTCCGATAGGCGATCTGATGCGGAAGCCGATGGTAGTACCGCGGAGGAAGACCAGAGTGCCGAGGATTTGCCGCAGCAGTCTATTGAGAGGGAACCTTCACCTATTGCCAGCGCTGCGGAAGATGAGCATCCCAATGTCCAGACGTTCGTGGCGCCGTCTCCTCCTGTAAAGAAGGGTCTGGCCGCGAGCAGATTCGCCGCTAGTCCCTCGCCACGGAAAGATCAAGGCGCCTCGAAGTACGCCCAGTCACCGTCACCTGTGTCTGATGCTGAGGTTTCGCACAGCCCACTGGCAAGCGATGCGCGAAGGTATTCGGCGTCTCCTGTCACTGCTGAAGATCTGGACGACACCCAGGAGGACACCCAAGATACAATGCCCCAATCCGCGAGCCCACATACGGACCAAGGTGAAAGGCACGGCGAGGCTATAGAGCCCACATTTGAGGAGATCGACGCTGTCATGCAACATATCAACGAAAATGATCCTGATTTGGGTGTCAAAAAGACTGTGGACTCACCGAGATGGCACCAGCCAAGCCCGACACGGCCCATACCTGTCGCTGCTATCACAAACGAGTCTCCCCAGCGCAGCCATGCCCAATTTCTTCGGGGTGAAGCCCCAAGCCCAAGCCCAAGGCACTATCACTTACCGCTCGGAGTACACCCACCTTTGCATACAACTGAAACGCTGGAGAATCCGTTTGTTGATCCTCCTGTGAGTCTTCAACTCTCCCGGCTCAACACTAGCGAGAGCCAAGCTGCTAGTGACGATTGGGAACGGGCATTCAGCGATGAGGAGCAGGTGAAGCTCGATTCCCGTGCCAATTTCTTCGATGGGAAGGTCAATGAGCTGGTTGGCGCTGCCTTGCAGTCTCGACTGGATCCTCTTGAAAGAACCTTGGAGGGCATACAACAGGCTCTCGCGTCGCTGTCTGGTCTTCCGGCGTCGAGTCGCCGCGAACGACGCAGCGTCTCTGCGGAGTTCCAGGAGAGCGATGCAGACGACGAGGACGACGAACCCGTTCCACGGCGGTCAATGAGCCCCCGACGAGACAAGCGGATGGAGCAGATCAGGGTTGCTGTACTGGATGCGTTTGCTGTCCAGCAACGCAGTGCTCCACCATTGCCTCCCCTGCCCGGTATGGCACAAGATGGTGCATCCGCGGAGAGCGTGGTCTCTATCCTGAAGGCGATGGAAGAGATGAAGCAGCAATTCAGCGAATCCCTGCATCTTGACTTCCGGGCCGAGGACCTTCGAAATGTCGTTGAGGAGGCGGTCGAGTCCCGTCTGCCCGCCACCTCTCCCCAGTCAGTCATTGTAGAAGGGCAGGATGAGTTGAGCGAAAAGTTCAACGAACTGCAGGCTCGTTATGCGGAGTTGGAGCAGCGCCATCGGCTGGAAGAAGCCAAGGCTTCAGCAGAAGCAGCTCGCGCAGCCGAACTCGAAAGACAGCTGTGGAAGGCCGAGACCAAGGTCGAGGCCGAGATATTGAACCGCAGTGCCAGCGATCAGCGATTCTTGGAGCTCGAGTCAAGGCTCAGCAACCAGGAGGCCATAAACGAGGCTGAAGTCCAACTTCGACGGGCTGCAGAAGACAGGTTGTCCGAAGTCCAGCGCCTCCTGCGTATTTCTTCAGAGGAAGAGGTGCGACTAAGGGATGCAGTGGAAGAAAAGGATGAGAGGCTCAAGATTCTTGATGCGACTCACAGCAAGAACACTATGCGTGTGGCCTTGCTCGAAGCTGCGGCCGACAACTATCACAAGGAGAGGCTGGAATTCGAGAACCGTGTCCATGTTGCTGAGGTAGACGTTGAGGATCTGCGCCAAGAATCAGCTCGATGGAGGACGGAAGCAGACCGTGCCACGCAGCTGTCACAGCGCCAGAGTGACGACCTGTACCACGCGATGGAAGAGAACAAGCAATTGCATCGGCTGATCGACACCCTGGGTACTCAACTGAACGAAAATGAGCGGCTTCGTGATGACTGGAGGTCCAAGTTCCTGTCGCTGCAGCAGGACATGGAAGATTCCATGCGCCACATTACTGAGGAAAACGCTCGCCGGGCCAAGAAAGAGCAGACGATGCTCGCCAGACAAGAAGTTCTGGATGCGAAGCTTCAAGCGGAATCCAAGACCCGCGAGCGTCTGGAAACTGAACTCGAGAGACTTGAGGCCGGTGAGCGTCAAGGCATGAAGGCTGTTAATGAGGCCAAGAGATTAGACGCCTTGCTAGGAGAGATGCGGACTGAGAACCATAAGCTCCAGCAAAGCGCTATGCGCTACCAGGCGGAATTCCAGGAAGCTCGAGAGTCCGGAGCACGGGAGATCCAGCGCACTCGCGAATCGATGCAAGCCCAGGTCGAGGATGCGAACAACCAAGTCAACGTTGTCCGGGAGGAACTCGAGGATGAGATTTCCCGTTTGCGTGCGCAGCTCGATCAAGCCAAACTGGACACTGATACTGTCCGATCACGGTACGACATGCTCATGGAAGATGCCAACCACAACAGGAAGGGCGATGTCGACGAGGTCCAGCGCAAGCACCAGGATGAGATTGAGGATATGCAAGCCCGATTCGAGCGACAGATCAACAACACTGTTGAGGACGCCCAGCGCGCAGAGTCCAACCTCCTCGAACGCCTCAGCATTTCAACATCCAAGTGCGAGCATCTGCAGGATCGCGTCACTCATCTAGAGGAGAAGCTCGAGATTGCCAGGGAAGCGGCACGTGCTGCGGCCCAAGCTGCCAAGGCATCTGGTGTGGTCTTGCCGCCTGCTTCAGCTGCTCCCGTGTCCGCCCCTCAGCAGCGCACTGCGGCCTCGCAGCCACAGGTGCAGTCGCAGACAGCAGCCGTTGCCACAGCGATGCAACTGCCGGAGAAGATCTCTCCCCAAGCCCTCCGAGAGTCGATTATGGTTCTGCAAGAGCAAGTGCAAGAGCGGGAGCTTAGGATCGAAGAGCTGGAGCAGACTGTGGCGAAGCTAGATCCCGAATCGGAGACCAAGATCGCGAAGCGGGATGACGAAATTGTGTGGCTGAGGGAGCTTCTCGCTGTAAGGCATTCAGATCTCCAGGACATTATTACCGCACTCGGCCGGGACGACTACGACCAAGATCGCGTTCGGGACGCAGCTATCCGCCTCAAGGCCAATCTGCAGATGGAACAGCAGGAGCGCGAGAGGGCCATGAACGGCGGGTCGGCTATCAAGATGCCCAGCATTGCGGCCAGCCTCCGCGATGCCGCGACACCTCGAGTCGCTCAAGCTGTCGGCCCGTTGGCTGCTGCGTGGGGCAATTGGCGTAAGGGCGGCACCCTGTCCAACGTTGCGCCATCGACGTCGACGGCCGCGAACCATGCGACGCCTAGAAGAGATAGCCCTGGCTCACAGAGCAGCTTCCTCTCTGGTCTTCTAACCCCGCCGGCTTCTGGTGTCCGACAGACGTCGCCATCCGGCCAACCAACTGCCTTCTCCAACACCGGCCGTCGCTTTACAGCCCAGGATCTTGCCAATCGGCCCAAGGCACCGCCCCAGCGACAGGGCCAGAAGGTGCCAGCACGAGGAGGTAGTCCAGCGCCAAAGCAACAAAACTTCGCCAGCGGCCCACAGACACCGCCGATGATGCGGCCTGCGGCTTATGACGATGATGCTATGGCAGCTGATGACTTTGATGATGCTGGGTTCTTTGATGACGAGTGAGCTTGGCCACAGATTGAGGCCAGAACCATCCCTTTGATTTCCTTTGTTATATGAAGAAAAGATGGACCCACCTGAGGCGACGACGTACAAACGACTGGGATTGTGGCTTTTTAATTCTCTGGCTTTTCTGCACACGTCCTTTACTACACAACATAAAGAGCTGCACTCCTAGAATGAATGATACCCCCTTGATAGCAAGATTTCCGCCAAGCTTGTTTTACCGTCCATGCCCACCCAGTCTCCTTGACGCAACGCAGTCAGCACAGATAGGGAATCAGAAGGCAGATGGACCGGTTCTTAATTCTACAATTTTGCGAATTTTGCGAAATACTTCCCTTTTAGTCGGTCGCTTCCAGCTATACTATTGTTACCATTACTTGCTGACGTGTAACATGTGTGTGTGAACGGTGGCGGGTGTCGATGAGTTGAGGAGTTGAAGGCGGAGGGAGAGAACCAATGTCAGGCTCTATTTATCTACTGAGGTGTGGCTGAGGGCAACCATGTAATGGACGCTCTCATCTGAGATGAGGTGATCTGGCTCGTGCTATGTGCTCGCACGCTTTTAAAATTTGTCTAATCGGCTGACACGCATTCTTCACACCTCGCTTAATTGCAAATAAATGCTGGCGGGATGGGCTGTTTGCTTTCGCCACATACCGTCTACAATCCCCTCCCTACTTGTGTTTTGTAACTGGCAGGGAATCGAGGTAGTGTGACCGCGCGAGAGAGACGCTCTGTAGCATACGGGAGGGTCTACCACAGAGATGATGCTACAGAGAAACATGCAATGGGTATCGAATTACAGTTACAGGGCAATTGACCGGTGGGAAAGATGCCTCATTGGCTGCCTACAGGCGAGTATCATTGTTCGGAAGCGGTCCGGATAGCTAGGTCCTCGGTCTGCGACGTGACGGCGCCGTCTGCAGGAGCGGTGGGGGCGGCGGCCCCCTGCTTGGGCTTGTCTTTGCCGCCGGGGAACATGGTGCCGCGGTCCTTTTTCTTCTTATCCTTGACCTGCTTCACCTCTGGCGGGTAGGCCCTCTCGACGAGCTCCTTGAAGTCCGGGCTGTTGGCGAACTCGTCGCGGATGGGGGCCATGAGGGCGTTGAGGGCCTTGGAGACGGCGGGCTTGAGGATCTGGGGGGTGAGCACATCGTTGCGGTAGTCCTCGTGCATGGCGGCGATGTCGGTGTAGACGAGCTCGGGCAGCTCGTCCCTGGTGCGGTCGACGACGAAGCCGCGCTCGCCCTTGAGCTTGGCGGCGGGGAGCAGGACGTACTCGACGAAGGCCAGGACGCCGTTGCCCTCGGGGACCTTTGGCACGCACTCGGCCTTCTTGATCTTCTTAGTAACGGTGGCCTCGTCGTCCAGCAGGTCGATCTTGGAGTTGGGGTCGCTGGCCGACATCTTGCCGCCCTGCAAGCCGGGCACCATGGGGTTCATGATGTGGGCGCGCTGCCTGTACCCCAGCTTGGGCAGCCACTCCTTTGCGGCGGTGAACAGCTTCCGCTGGTCGACGCCGCCGAACTGCACGTCCACGTCCAGGTACTGCTCGTCCAGGACCTGCAGGATGGGGTACAGGAGCCCGGACAGGGGGGCGTTGGCGGTCTGCTTGACGACCTCGGCGCCGGCCTTCTTGGCGTCGTGCTCCGACACGACGGAGCACAGCTTGTAGACGTCCATGACGTAGTCGGGGGTCTTTTGGTAGGAGCTGCCGAAGACGAACTTGAGCCTCTTGATGTCCTCTTCGCCGCAGGTCGCGCGGAGCATTGCGGTGATGACGCGCTGGTAGTAGAGGGCCCTCTGCTGGACGAGTTCTATGGGCGCCTTCAGGTTGTCCTGTGCGACCAGGGTGGTCAGTCAGTCAGTTGCATGTTGCGAGCAGCGGCGGTGGCGGGGAGCAGGAGGACGGGCCGGTGTGCCGCGTACGAGGAAGCCGTGGATGTCGGCGAGGAGGATGGTCAGCTCGCAGCCAGACCGTAGCAGCTGGGCATTCTTGATGGCGGGCACGAAGTAGCCGCAGTGTGGCCGGCCGGTTGTGGCGCTGGGTGGTGAGCTCAATAGTCAGCGGCTGAGCAGAGGAGTGGTGGGCTCGGCGGTGGGCTCATGCTCGGGGGAGTGGACGATTGCGGACGGGTGCGCATGAGCAGAGGCACACAGGTGCTGCTGCCGGCTGGCCCGATGGGGCAATTGAGGGCCAGAGACGGGGTGGGAGAAACACACTCACGTTCCCCAGTAGATCTTTGGGTCCTTCCCATCGTTGATGATCTTCTCAATAATGTCAAAGTCGAGCGTCTCGGCGAGGTTCTCCTTGATCAAGGCGATCCTCTCCTCGGCGGGCATCGGTGCCATGGTGGGCAGGTTCTACCGGGTTGAGGCGGACGATGGCGTGTATTGCTGGTTGCCTTCAGATGAGGTCCCCAAAGACAGTGGGCAGGCAGGTGGCTGGTCTGGCGAGGGCGGAAGTGGAATCGCAAAAGTGAGAAGAGTGGCTCGGGATTTGCATAGGTCGAGGGTGAGTCAATTGAGATGCGACCAGCTAACAATTTCCACATGATGGCGGGGCAGTCTGCGGCCAGGGGTCCCCCGCGCTCGCTCACCACGCACGGTACCTGCCGGGACGGTCCATCACCGGGAGCTGCCCCGGTTGCCATGGCCGGTTGGCGTACTGTCGGACTACGGCATTCAATATCAGAACTTCACCCGCACATACGCCGCCCCAGCATCTATCTGTACATGATTCATTCGCACACGTGCTATCATTCTGGTTTCCAGCGAGGGCGCACATGGTGAGCATTCGCTCAAGTTTGGCCCCACTTCCAGTAGCTGATTCACGTCACCAGTCTCGCATCTCATGGGCATTCACATTCACCAATATAGACGCGTGTCCCGGGAAAAGCCCACTAGAAGTTCTTAGCAAGGAAGTTGAGGACCGTCTTGTAGCCCCTAACGTACTCCTCCTGTACGCGCTTGTCTGTCAGGTCAGACCGGGCAGCCATCCAGCCGTGAATCTGGTCGGGGAAGGTCTCGACATGCTTGGGCCCGGTGAGGGCAGCCTCGAATTTCTTGACCTCCTCGGCATCCTCGTCCTTGGATGCCAGCAAGATCAGGGGGGTTTTGATCCTGCAGATGGTCTTAGCTTCCACTTCAGGGCACGCCACGGGGCGCGGGGGTGAGCTCACTTTTCGGCATCCTTGGCGTCGACCATGGCCGGGTGGATCTGGGCAGCGGCCTTGAATGGGCCCTCACCGGACGCGAGGGACAGCGAGATGACCTTGGACCCCCAGCAGTACTAACAGCGGCGGCGTTGTCAGCTTGTCAGAATGCGACGCGAAACCCACCAAGGGCGGAAGCCCACTTACACCGAGCACAGCCCACTCCTTGATGTTGGGATACTTCTGCTGGATTGCCTGCAGCGTGGCGTGGGCCTTGGGGACGAAGCTTGGGGGGCTGTTCTTCCCGAAGAAGGCGCCGACCTTCTGCTGCTTGTCGTCGTTGTCGGGGGGAAACAGGCTGATGTCCAGGGGCTCGCCGTCGAAAGGGTCGGGCATGAAGACGGCGTACTTGTTGTGGTCGTCAGACGAGGCCAGGATGTCGCAGCCCTGGACGGTCTGGTCGAAGAAGCCGAAGATGTCCATGACGACGAAGATGGCCTTGGTGGCCTCGTTGGCCGGGCCGGTGACGTACGTCTTGCGGCCGTCAAAGGTCGCGAAGTCTCCCTTCTTCTGGTAGCCAGACGAGACGACGGGCGGGATGTTGCAGCAGGCCTCGGAGTGGCCGCCGGTGGCTTTCATGGTGGACATGCTGGGCGCTGAGGTGGTGAAGGGACTGGACGGGTGTCTGGAGGGGTGTCTGGCGGGCCTGGTGTTGGGGGGTTGAGATGTCAACGGGGTGCAGCAGGTCTGTCGCGAAGCTGTGAGGCTCTGGGCCGACTTGGTAGCACGGGTGGAGCTCAAGGGTGGCAGGGAGGGAGACGAGGACGGGAACGGAGAGGACGGGGCGGGGAGGTGGGGCCGCAGGGAGCTGAGCGCGTTGGAAGCTGCTCGAAGCTGCCGCGACCTTGCGGGAGGCATGGCTGCTGTGACGACTAGATCTCGGATCTGGTGTGCTGCTAGCCTGGAGTTCTTGGAGGTCCTCAGGTCCTCTTGTGTGCCAGACCCCGCGTCGGTGCCCCTGTGCCCCCTACAAGCCTACTGTGTATGATGCGTTCAAAGAAAAGGGAGGGGGAGGGGGAGGGGGAGGGGCATCGGCTCTGGTTTGGAGCTCTCCTCCCCCCACGCTGAGGGCTTGTGACGTAGGGAGGGTGTTCCTCGTCTGCCCGTCTGATAGGCCAGGGGCCCCTGCCAAGCCTGCCTGGGCCGTTCAACCGTTTGTCTGCCGCGACGGGAATTGTTTAGTTCCAGTCATGGACTTTCCAGAAATGCATTCTTCCACGCCAAAGCCAAAGAGTCTCCCCCGTCTCCTCCTTGTTCCACACGTCCGTCCCCAAATCCACGTGGCACTCCCAGACGGCCAAGGCCATGTTCGATGCGAGCAATGATCCCGTCCTCCCCGGCCGACCCTTACTTTTGGCCCCCCCCACCCAGTCCATCGTCTCAGGGTAGGTGTCTGGCGCATGGGTCTGATAGGCCTCCATTGCGGACGGTGCTTTAGTGCTCTGCAAAAAGCAAGGCCACGAGTCCACACCATGCTGCCCTCTGCCACTCAGCCAGCCAAGCCAGTCTGCCTGTCTTGTTTCGAGGAGAGCCGGGATTCAATTAGCTGTCAGGGTCGCGCATGAGAGGGCATGCGAGACGGGTGGGGGAGGAGAAGAGACAGAGAAAGAGAGAGAGCAGTGATGCCTCCTCCTCACCCAGTCACACAGAGCACTCAGCTCTGGTCTTACTTTTCCAGCCAAGGCTGCGGCTGCCAGCCACTTGGAAGCTCCCCGTGTGCAGTCGGTCAGCGCCGCCTCTCACAGAGGTCCTACACCAGGTCCTCCCGCCCCGTACGTTGATCCTGCGCCCGCGCCCGTAATACTGTGTACAGGTGCAAGGTGCTATGCCACTGCGCTTGAGACAATGGCATTGCGCCGTCACTTGCCTGATGCCGGTGCTCACGGCTGGTCCCGGGAGCAGAACCATGCCCCGATGACGACTCGCCGACGTGGTCGTACCAACGATCTCGCCGTGGGGGCACAGGCCGCGCACCGCAACAATGACATCCCAGATCGGAAATAAACCCAGCAGCAGCAGCCCCAGCAGCCCCAGCAGCCCCAGCAACCTGCTGCACCCTGATGCACCCTGCAAGGTGTGATGGGGGGGGGGGGGAGCAGCCGGGGCAGCATGCAAGAGAGCCCTGAACGCCATTGATGCACACCCTGGCACTTCCCGAGCCGGCGGTTTATCCCAACCTGGCCGGCCTGGCTGCCTGGCAGCCCTGGGGAGGCACCTGGGAGCCACAGGTAGAATGGCCGTGGCCCTGCGCCCCTTGGTTTGTGCTGTAATAGGACCGGAGATCCCCATATTGTGGGCACCGCCGTGTAGGAATGTTTCTTCGGTGCGTCGTGCCAGCTGCGTCCTTGGCCAGCGCGGTCCCAGGCCCATTCATGCCCAATAAGTCGGTGACTTGACCGGTCAACTAGACTTTTACCAGATCACGAACGTGGCATGCCTCACCGGTCAGTCCGACACACTATGGCTGGCCCCAACGAGCGAATGGGGAATGGACCTGCAGTGAGCACCTGTCAGACCTCTTGTCTGTAAGCCATGCACAGGCCCATGTGAGCACATGTTCCAAAACCACCTTGTTTTGTTCGGTGGTCGACTCGACCGTGGCTGCGCGCCATCTTTGGCTTCACATACACCTCAGCACCTACCTAGGTACTTACTTATAACCCAGGCAGTCCATAAGACGTCTCGTCTCGTCTCGCCTCGCCTCACCTCGGCCTCGTGGTTCTCTCTGCTCCTCTCCTCCCATCCATGCATCACGCTACATGCTCAACCATCGCCCACACCCGCAAGGATACTTAAGTACCCAAGCAGTACCCGACGGCCTCTGAAAGCCAAGTCGCCATCATGTCCAAGACCAAGTCATCGCCCTTCACAGTTCTGCACGATGCTTCTCCTGTATCACTAAACCCCCACCCTGCCCACATCATACACACAACCCGCAAACAAAAGCGCCCTCTCGATGTTGCTGCCTTTGACAACGCAATGGCCTGCGCCAACAGCACCGACTTCTGCATCTGTGCCGGCACGGTGACCTTCAAAGGCTCGGGTGACAACAGGAAAGTCCTCGTCATCCTCAACGAGAAATACACAGAGGACCTCTGGCAGCTGCCCAAGGGCCGCAAGAACATAGGTGAGGACGCCCTGTGCACCACCGCCATCAGGGAGACGTACGAGGAGACGGGGTACAGGGTCCAGCTCCTGGCCAAGAACATCCTTACCCGGGCTACCGTGGCCAAGGGCAGGCAGGTCCCCGGCCCCATCTTCGAGGCCCAGAGCGCTGAGCCAGTCGCCATGGTCCACTACACGGAGCCGGGCCCGGGGCTCGAGGGAGGGCCCGTCACCAAGGTCTGCTTCTTTTATGTCGCCACTGTCAGGGAAGACGCCCTGCCCGCCAAGGACACTCAGGACACCGACGAGTTTCTCGAGCCTTTCTGGTTGACGTGTGCCGACGCATTGGACAGACTTACCTTCGGGGCTGAGAGGAGGGCGTTGGAGATCGCCATGTGTTACTGGTGAAGTGCACTTGGTACATGTGTAATGTCATTATGAGCTGATACAAGTGGGGAGTGAGCAGGGGAGTCGTGACAAGGTTCGCAAGGATGGGATTAGGTCAAGCAAGGACTGTTGTGGTGCCGAGGGTCGGGTTCATAACGAGAAGAAGATCGGAGACCTCTTATATTGGGAATCCGTGCCACCAAAGTGGCGCCGTGAGCTTCAACACACGATTCTGCTGTCAGCCTTGGAATTCTTGACATACAGGGGTCAAAGCTATAAACGTCCATTCAGAGCCGCGGATTAACTCACTCAAAGCAAGTCATTCTTGTGCCAGATTTGGACGGAGCAACGCCAAAATCATATTTGCAGTTCAAAGCTCACAGATTCATCAAAGCTGGCCTTCTCGTTTGGCTTCGCGGCCATAAGGCTGCAAGCACTCATTTCCAGAGTCCCACCTGATTCTGCGGTGGGACAAGACGTAGCGCATCTCATACTGAGAAGTTGCTTGGGTGGTAAGCCTATACAACTTGCAGCGTTAAGCCAATCTTTTCCCCACAAGCCAACAGTAACTATTTGCGTGACACAAAGAGTCTCGCCAGCAGCTTCTATTGTTTGAAAACATAACTCGGCCACCAAGGGACGCATAGTGCTCATTGTCGAAGGGCTTGACGAAGGGAATGGCCAAAGCCAAGATGGCGACGACAGTAAGGGTGGTCAACAGGGTGGCAATGATGGTGAGGGCGACCAAGTGGACGCTGGAGGTCGGATCATGCGAACCGGCTGGTACTTGGAAGCCTTTTAAGAGTGGCAGTGCTTCCTGTTTGATTCCAAGGTCTCTTGAAGGCTCTGTCATGTGCCGTCTGCTTGTCGCCACATTTACTAATTCAGCTGCAGATAATATGTATTACACTGCCCGGTAAGACTATGAAATGGAAGTCCAAGACTTTTTACTAAGATTATCTCCCGGCACTTCAAGATATGGTCACACAATGTTTGTTCATTGTTGAGTGACCATTTTGAACAATAAGGCATAAAGGAAACAGAGGTTTCTAAGGTTCCCTCTTTTTCATTGCTAACGCACTGGCAGTCGATGGTAAAACATTGGCGTGCGTCAAGTACCCCGACATCTTGATGGTCGAGGAGATGCTCTTCTTTGGTTCAAGGCTGCAGCAGAGCGTATTGTCCTCTATTTCGCTCCCTAGCATGCGTGACCCCACAATTCCAAAATATTTTACAGATGGAACGTTTCTTCTGCTGCACGGCCCAGAAACACTCGTATTTACCTAGGTACGGTATAGTGTGCGCGGGCCGCCGTGTAGTGCTGACAGGCAGCCTGCAAAAGAAACCGCCGCTGGTTATGTACCGGAATCAGGATCCCAGAAGTTATCCACCTACTTTTTACCCAAAACCACGAGTTCTGAATGATATTTTGATACTATTTAAATCAGAAGCTTACTCTAAAGATATTTATATAATTAAAATCAAGCACATATGATATGGTTGTGGAATAATCGTGGTGCTAACATGAAGGGTTTTGGTAGTACTTGGACTTAGCGGCGGTTTCTTTTGCAGGCTGCCTGGCTGACTGGTCCTCAAGCCACATAGCTGCACCTGGTAACCAGTGTCTAACCTGATTGAGCTGAGAGGAATTCACCGCCCGGACGGAAGCACAACAAGCTGAACTGCAAAGCCCACAGGCTAAGACAGAATACGAGGTAGTATGAGGAATCATGCACTTGGACACAGCACATCCGGGTGGCGATGGGGTAACCGCTTGATATAAATCTGAGCAATTCATCCAGGAGATTTCGCTGCTGGCCAACGTACCAACTTCACAGCCTCTTTTCCACACGTCAAAGCAGCTCCTACCGTTCCAAGGTTAATTGCAACTCTATCAAGGATCAAGATGTTCTTTCGAAACGCTTTAGCTTTCACAGTCTCAGCGACAAGCCTTGTCGCTGCTGCCGTCCTGGGCTCTAGCCACACAGTGACCAGTAGATCAGACGGGACAGTTGCTGGCGCAGAAGATGGCACGTCTTACTACTTCAACTCGACAGGAACGTCTGCCCAATGTGCCCAGCTTTCCGTAGCTGATCTCGAGTCCAGCCTGGCGCAATTCGATTCGCTCTTCCCGCCACAGTCAGTGTAAATCTGTTAAGAAAAGAAACTACCAAAATAATGTGCCACCAAAGGGGAAAGCCGTCAGCTGACTTCGTCGTAGATACAACGCTGGCCCGTATTATGATGGCCAGACGACCTGGGGAGTCGGTGCCCTCTACCTCAGCACGGCCTCAGGCACCAAAGCCTTCTATATCTCATACGAAACGGTGACGCCGAACACGACTGCAACCTGGGTGGACGCCGGCGCTGACATCTCGAATGTCTGGCTCGCCGTGCGGAAGGATATCGCAGAAGAGTGGTCTCAGGGTTCGACCTTCCAATGGGGTTGGTACAGCGTGAATAAGATCGTGGATGGAGTCAGCAACTATGCGGGGCAGTTCACTATCCAGATCCAGACGCCAACATTTGTCAAGGGCTGTGATACCTCATGTGGAGGTAGTTGCAATCCTAACATTTGTACTTGCTAACTGTGAGAATTCCCGCGTCACCGTGGCAGCTGAATACCTACATTAGACGTATCGGACGTAATACGGCCAAAATATAATTTTAGGATCCTCACCTCGTCACTCAGCTTCCGATATCAGCTACTTCAATCAGCCTGAAAGCTGAGCTGTCAGCAGTAGTCAGAAATATTTCTTGACCGCATCAAAATGCTGGATGAATAGCAACGGTAGTGCAGAATGTGGCCAAAGCCGTCCTCTTCCTTTCGAGTCTCATCACGGCCGCATCAGCGCTTTCAAGCCCTGACTTGGAACAGGTGCTACCTTATCCGACCGCACGAACCTGTGCTTTTCTGTTGTGGTTTTGCGAACAGGAACAGCGTTGCAACGCCGACCAGATGTTGTCATGTCACCTCATATGATTGCGGAGTTATGGAATGTAGCCGTAGTTTACAAAAGTCTTCAGCAGCTTTGCCTCAGCAGATCTAGTCGGGGATGTTATTGGATTGAACTTGTGCAGCTTTTAGCTGGCGAAAGAAAGGACCGAGCTACAGTAAGGGACTGTGTGTTGTATTTTCGACCGAGTAAAATTGAGCAGTATGTTCAAGAGTGGATATTACAGCATTTGCTGCAACCATTCGTGTTCGAAGCCGGATGGCAGGGAATAGGCACGGGCCTGAATGCTAGGTACCTGCATTGGTATGAATCCGTACCTACCAGCCTGCCTCCCGAGGTCAGTAGATAGTATCGTAAAGAACACAGTTCATGAAGACGAGGAAAAGCAAATTCTGTTCTATCCCCTCAACTTCAAATCGTCATGTTCATGCTCTAGTGAATCAATAATAGGTTATAGCGCATACATTGAACACCGAGAACCGAATTTGGGGTTTCCCCTGAATTGGCTTGGTCTCACTTGTCGATCTTTTTCGTCGCACAACTTTTAATTCGTTAACCGCGAAATTGGAGACGACCAAGAATCACCGTTGTCTGGTCTATGTCACCCCAACCGTAAGTGAGGTCTGCGGCCTGGCGTGGCGTAGCGAGGCAAAGTTACCTGCCCAGTCAGCTGACAAAACTCGTATCCAGAATACCGCCGAGGGAGGGAAGTAGAGCAAGCCCACTCGTATTTCGGCCAAATATAGCCGAAAATCCTTCGCTCACGTCTCTGTGGCTGGTGGAATAGCTCCTGGGATTAGATATAACTCCGGCTCAATCATTCCCTGGAAGCGCCTTTCGTTGATCACGGTTAACATTATCACCTTACCTTCGCCAACTACTTGCGTCGTTTACGATTTCGAGAGACTAGTGCTACAGGCGCATACTATTCCCCAAAACCGCCGAAAACTTGAAACAGATTTCACGGCCCGTCAATCACCTTCATAATGTATACCAACACCATATTAAGCGTCTTGGCCATGGCAGCGACCGTTGTGACAGCAAGCCCGGTCGAAGTTCGCCAGCAGACCTCAACCATCAACCCCTTTCCGCTGACCATCTCGCAACTTGCATACAGCCATGGCCATCAGATAGTGGCACTCACGCCGACCAGGACGACTCTGGGCGACTCATGCAATACCAACGTGAACGCGACGAGGACTGCAGTCGTGCAGGCGCAGAATAGCGGCTTCTCGTCGAACCCGCTGTGCGGACACGAATTCTCGCTTGAGGGTGTGACAGGCCTTACGTTGTTGTGCGCCGACAGTGCCGAGCACGGCGAGGCTGCGTCGCAGGTCACGGCTGTGGCCACCAACGGCGAGCAGACACACGAGTGCGTGGCGCTGCCGCTCAACGTCTACCCCTTTTCATGTGGCGTTGGTTCTTCGATCTGGCAGCTCTATAGCTGCCAGTGAGGCAGTGCAATTTAAACGGTTAGGTGCCGGTACGAGAGGTTTTCTATGTGACTCGAAGACATGTACACATTATTCGATATTCGTTCACTATAAGCCGCGACTAAAAGGAATACGGTGGCTCTGTACGGAGAAGCGAGTTGGAGGATGCTGCTTCTAACATAATAAGCCCAAAAAATATTAGAGCGTTTCAAGCATTCCTTGCACCCAGTCATTCAACGGGACATCTGACTAAGAAATCGATTTATACTTCAACGGAGTTATAGGCAGGGTGAGTGAGTTCGGATGCCTCGGACTTCTGAGGCTTTTACCCTGGGTATGCCAGTGATTGATACTGGGATGTCGTCCTTCTTGTCTCTACAGTACCTGGGTAGTCAACGAACCCCTTCCCAGGGCCATCTAGGCACTTGGAGCTGCTGATTCCTCTACCAAGCATACCGTAGACAGAAGAGTGAACCTTGAAAATGGGAGGAGACTCTGCCCACTCGAGGGAGAACCTGCCTGTGTGGGCCGCCAATCTCTCACCAAAAGCTCTTGAATTTTGCTGCACGACACGTTCGACCTCAATCAGCCCCACTCAGCCTTGCGTATGAACAAAGATACGCAGGTTCAAATTCGCCCTTATCTCCAAAACGACCAAGTAGAATATCCCCAGGACAGACCTTGCGAAGCTCACCCCTGGTCGCCACTGTCGCTGGATCACGTCAAGACGTTATCTTGAGCAGTTCCTACCCATACTAGATGCAATATGGAACTGGATATTGGAAGATAATTGAAGATTGTCGAGGCATCCGTCTATCTCATTCCTCACATGTCAAGGTAGCCAATTCTTTGCGAGTGGAGAGGGAACCTTCTATCATGAAAGACGTGTGCCTCCAGGCCCTCAGTTATGACTCCACCACGCCGAAAGGATCTCTCCCAGGATGTAAATCATTAGAATTGCAAGTATGGATCTGATAAGATTCCGGGACCACTTCAAAGCGTAGGGGGTTGAAACCCTCTGTGTCATTCTCCTCGCTCATGCCTGTGCTCAATTGCTTCCCGCCAACCGTGGAAGCCATCTCAGGTTGGCAAGTCCTGCTCTTTCCAGCCCACAGGACCCTAGCAGCATGCCACGGTCTGGACGCAGTTAACGCCTTGGCTCAGGCCGACGCAAGCGTCCTCGTTTGCGATTGTAGCCTGTTCATCAAATGTGTCTGTTGAGTTGCTGCAGACGCCCGTGTTGCCGGTGCAGAATAGGTTGTTTCCCTGTTGGCAGACGGACAGGTAGCTGGCAGCTTGGTAGGTGCATGACTGAGCAAGACCAGTGGCAGCGGACGCGGCCAGGACGAGGACAGTCGACGGTTGCATGTTTGTTGATGAGTTTCTGACTTGTGAAGGAGGTGACGATGTGATTGTTCAGAGGCGTGTTAAATGTTGGATGTTCTAGATGTATGAATATGAGACTGGTGATGGCGGGAATGCAAAGCAGTCAAAGACGGTGAGGACCATAGAGACATATATACCACTGGGTACCTGTAAAGGTAGTTGTGGTCTCCGCATTATCACGAACTGAGGGCTCTCCTTTAATCACAACCCCAAATTCCCCACGCGATTCGATGTCCTCATATCGCGCATTGGCCGTTTCGATTAAATTGAGCGCGCGATTGATTATTCGAGTAAGCCTCAGGCATTCTTTCCCTATGAACTGCCCAGGTGCCCAGGTGGGCTGGGCATGGCGCTGCTTGGCTGCCAAGGCCGTGTAAACCGACTACTCAAGGGGCATCTTGTCACACAGTTGGAGCCCTGCGGTACTAGTAGGGCTTTGTGAAACGAGCGCGCTTGTGTCTCAAGAAAGGCGGCGGCGAAGCTTCCATGATGTGCCTTAAGGGGCGCAGCCATGACCAATTGAGTCAGCAACTGCGAGGGCTTAGTTTGAGAAAAGACCCGGGTATCGGCCCCTGGCCTATTTCAGTAATGACAACTTACGATAGTACGACCTCTCATAGGACAACTACCTGCCGGTATAGGACAGCCTCTCATGGAACAATCTCTCATGGCACAACCTCATGCAGCATCCCCAAAGGTTGTATAGCCTCCTGGTCCACACCTTATAAAACGGCTACATTGCAATGGGCTATCGCTTGGAAGAACCCCTGAGATGCCTCTTCTCTTGGCCGCGCTGCCTTTGAAATGGCCTTGGCAAGCTACCTAGGTATTTGTCTAGCGTCGAAGGTTATACAGACACACGAGAAGTTTTGTAAATGTGGTTTCGTAGACCAGCGGAATAACAGCTGCTAGGTACCGTTGTCCAAGTAAGGATGAAATACAATGGGCTAAAAGACGTGTGTAATGAGATGACTATGTCTGCTGGCGAGACTCGAGAGCCAAAGATTCAGACATAGAAATAAGCCTCGTGGAAAACCGCGGTCGTGGTGAAAAGAGTGGGAAGAACTTTAGACGGAGGTATTTAAGGAATCATTACCTATTTCTGAAACAACAAGCGTTCAAGCTGAGTTCCAAGCATGCAAGGTTACGTTTTCTATCGCCAGAGTTGTTTAGGCACCCTAGGTATACAAGCCTAATCAGGCATACGGCCTTCACCACCCACTGATAACTACCCCAGGGGAATCAGATTCTGGGAGGACTTTGGCCGTGCCGTTGACGTGCGAGCAAGGCTGAGAGCCAAAAGCAAGGCTTCAAAACGATGGTTCGCAGTTGACTTGCATACAGGTATCACAAGGCCTCAGGATCAGTGGGATGTGAAGCGTGGCTGCCATATGTATAACCTAGAATGCATGAGTGCTCCCAATCGACTCATTGTACAATTAATTGCTTTCAAGCGCAATGAAGATACAGAATCTGTCAAGACGCCTAGGCCAGCGCTTGAGAGGGTCTCTTTGACAAGACCCGCGAGCGGTCCTGTCGGTTGCTGGTCAAATTGGTCGTCCTTGCAGGTATTGGGCTTTACAGGTTGTGACCGACTACTAAGTAATTATGCTTGTAACTCATAAAACAGAACTTGATAAAGTCTTGAGGTTGTGGCGTGTGGTGAGAAACGGCCAAAACAAGTGCCCGGGTATACAGCAATATATCAAGAGTGTGACAAATTTATGGGCCATTTGAATGCACGGGGGTACCAAGTTGTTGTCGCGTGGAATAAGGTTTGGGAGTGATCTTTGATTGCAAATGCATTGGCCCCTCGAGCCTCGGCAGTGTGCCTGCCCAGGCAGTGTGGGTGCTGTTTTTGGCAAGGCCATCGGACGGTTAGAGTCGCCGAGCGGCCCAGTTGGGTCTGGGCTAGGCCCTGTAAGATTAGGTGGTGGGCCCTGCGGTAGGACTGTCGACCCGTCAGGATGGGCACCCTCTGAGGTCATGGACCATTTGCATCGAGACATCTGACGGCGGCATTCCAAATACACAGCAGTCGTCCCGCCAGGTCCGCTCCGACGCGTGGTCGTATCAGAAGACCAGTCTTTTGTCAAGCAGTCAGGCCCTGGATCAGTGATGCCGAGGTCAAACGCCTTGGTCAACAAGACTGCCTATCTTTTCCATCGGACCGCCCCCGGTGGTGCTATATCAAGGCAGAGCACCGGCTCGTCTCATGCCGGCACCTCCTGGTCGATCAACGTTCAAGCACTCAGGACCCACAGGCATCAGACCCGCCGTCTTCAACTTCACTCGACACCTAGCAACGCCCTTTATATTCTCAAGCAACAGCTCTCATATCGCCAGCAGCCAGCCTCGTCAGTTGAGCCATCCGCAGCGAGGCACTACACAACAAGTCGAGGCCGCCCTCAAAGCCGCCCTGGTCCTCTCGGAACAGCCTTTCTTCTCTTCCCTGCGGTTGCAATCGGCGCCGGCGTCCTCACCGGATACATCTCGCTCAGTCCATTCTCAACAGCCACCAAGGCTTCATCATCCTCCGCCGCAGGCATGTCGTCCAAACTGATCCCAGCCAACCCGGCTGACGTTATGGTCATCCGGAATATCACGCCCAATGTGGTTACATTTTCAGTGCCCTTCAAGAGGTTCGGCACCATCCCTGTTGGCGGCCGAGGCACGGTGGGTAAGTGGTTGGCATTGGCGGTCGCCTTGCTCTAGAGTGAGACAAGACAGCATTTGTGCGACGTGGTGACTTCGCGCATGAGCACTGCACCACGCGGGCTGGAGGGCTGGAGGGCTGGAGGGCTGATCACTCGCCACATGGCACATGTACGCGGAGGCGGCTGACACAGGATCCTAGTAAAACTCACCTCTGGCGCGCTCGCCGTCTTCTCACCCGTCGCCATGACGGACGATGTCAAGGCCAAGCTGGCTGAGCTGGGAGGCACCGTCAAGTACATCATCGCGCCGGATATCGAGCACCACATTTTCATCACCGAGTGGCACCAGGCCTATCCCGAGGCCAAGATCATAGGCCCCGAGGGGCTGCCCGAGAAGCGCGTGAAGCAGTCCGCGAACGACCCCAAGATCGGCAAGGAGGAGTTTGCCGTCATCTTCACGGCCAAGGACAAGCTCAACATCAAGGTTGACGAGGAGTTTGACCGCGACTTCCAGTACGAGTATGTCGACAGCCATGCCAACAAGGAGCTGGTCTTCCTGTACAAGCCCGAGCGGGTCATGATCGAGGCCGATCTCATGTTCAACCTGCCTGCCGATGAGCAGTACTCGAAATGCCCCGAGAGCGAGAAGAAGGTCGGGTTCCCTGGCAAGCTGTTTGTGAACATGCAGACGACCCAGGGCGAGGCAAAGGGCATGAAGCGATTCCTGTGGTATGTCCTGAGCGCAAGGGACAGGAATGGCTTCAACGAGAGCGTCAAGAGGATCAACGATTGGGACTTTGACACACTCATCCCATGCCATGGAGAGACGCTGGTCGGCAACGGAAAGGAGACCTTCAGCCGGATCTTCGAGTGGCACCTCACTGGCAAGAAATAGGTGGGGGTTGATGTTGGGTTGGGTTGTGTTGCCTCGGTTTTGCAGATTATGGAGCGAAGAAAGTTGATACCTGTCCCGCAATAATACCTCTCTCTGTCTTTTGTGTTCACATGCGCATGCGTAAAATACGTTGACGTTTGCTACCGCGTACATTACGCACGGGCCCCACAGCTATCCATCTGCCATCAGATAAAATGCAAGGCGGCAGGGCAACACTTTGACGCAGCAGCCACGAACAGAAAGGTACGGCGGCAGGACGCACAAATGTGAAGCTAGGCTGTTGCGCATCTCCTTGAGTTGCGAGAACAAGACTGGGCGTCTTCATGTCCCTCAATGGCAGGCTGGCCAGCCTGCGCCGCCGGCTCGCCCATGGCCCGAGCCTGCTGCCACGCCCGCAGAGGCGAGGTCTGAAGGCGTTCATTACCAGAGGTAGGCGTGTTGCACACCTGCCCACTGATGGGCCCCCAGATCCTGTACTCCAGCAGCTAAACGAGACTGTCCCCCAGCCCCCGAACCTCAAGAACCGCTCCCACCGGACCACTTCCGCCTCGCCGTCAAAGACAACATTGCGACTGGGCCACAGGATGGCAAGCCCCTGCCCACGACATGCGCCTCGCACATCCTTTCCTCCCACGAGTCCCCGTTCGAAGCAACCATCGTCCGGCAGCTGAGGGACCGTGGCGCCCGCGTCGTCGGCAAGACCAACCTGGACGAATTCGGCATGGGCACACACAGCATCAACTCGGCTCACGGTGCCACGGCCCAGGCAGTGGAGCATCAGGACAAGACTGTCATACTGAGCGCGGGAGGCAGCTCCGGAGGTAGTGCCCTGGTGGTGGCGACCCACAAGGCGGATGTCGCCCTGGGCACCGACACGGGCGGTTCTGTACGCCTCCCGGCTGCGTACTGCGGTGTCGTTGGCTACAAACCGTCCTACGGCATGATCTCGAGATATGGAGTGGTGCCATATGCGAACAGCCTGGATACGGTCGGCTTCCTGGCGCGCAATGCCGGGCAGCTGCGGAAGCTGCTCGTAGGGACGGGTCTGTACGATGAGCATGACCCACGCGATCCGACAAGCCTGTCATCCTCGGCAAGGGCCCGCTGCACGGCGGCCAGGGAGTTCTACGGCCCGGGCGGACCTCGGACCGGGGACGAGCAGGACTGCAAACAGCTGTTGCAGGGTCTGACTTTCGGCATCCCGGTCGAGTACAACATTGAGGAGCTCGAGGGACGGGTTCGCCACGCGTGGAAGCAGGCAGCGAGTTTCCTCCGCGACGAGCTGGGCGCCCGCGTCGTGCCCGTGTCGTTACCATCGACACGGCACGCTCTCTCCGCATACTATGTCATCGCTCCGGCGGAGGCATCCTCAAACCTGGCCAAGTATGACGGCGTGCGCTACGGGCTGCGGCAGCCCGAGGTCGAGGACGGCCGGGCAAGGGGCCCCGAGGACGTGCTGTACTCATCAGTCCGCGGCAGTGGCTTCGGGGCCGAGGTCAAGCGGCGCATATTGCTGGGCTCATACACGCTGAGCTCCGAGGCTATGGACAACTACTTCGTGCAGGCTCAGCGCGTGCGCCAGCTCGTACGCCGCGACTTTGATGCCGCGTTCAAGCTGTCAAGCCCGTTGCGCGACGCAGACCGTGATGACCAGCAGCAGCAGGTCGCGCTGGCCGACATGGACGAGCGCGTCACCCTCGAGAACAAGCTTGGCCCGGCGCAGGTGGATTTCCTGCTCTGCCCCACAGCGCCGACCTTGCCGCCGCTGATGGACACCATCGAGCAGGACCAAAAGAGCCACCGCGCCCTGGAGGCGTACATGAATGATGTGCTGACCGTCCCGGCGAGCCTGGCGGGGCTGCCAGCCGTCAGTATACCCAAGAGTACTGCTGCCGAGAGCCTGCCGGCTGGGGAGCAGTGGAGGGGCGATGTGATGGGCCTGCAGCTTATAGGGCAGTATTGGGACGATGCGAGGCTGCTTGCTGCGGCGGATGCCCTTGGTGCGCTTTTGAAGTAATGCGCGCGGGCCCCGGGCGTCGACGAGATCATGGGCCGATGTCCACGTTGACTTGGTCAACGATACAATATATTCCTACAACAAGTGCCAGAAAACCTCTGTCTCGTTTCCAAAATGAGCTGCATCGGCAGCTTACGATGATGCACTTCATGTCTCAAGCCCAACGGTGATGTATAACGGTCATGTATCCAGCCCAGTTCAGCCCTTTTTATTTATCCTATCTGCTTCAACTCGCCAAGTTTCTACTTAGCTCTATCTTGATATTATACATGCTCTGAGGCCACCACGCTTCATCGTCTGCTTTATCTCCCATGTCGATCCAACCTCGCTCCCGCGCATATGCAACGACCCTACCCAGCTCCCAAGCCCCTATACCACCTATCCACCATACCCCATCTAGCAACAACACCAGCACCAGCCAGTGGGCGAAGATGTCCATGGCAAGCCGCTGAACTGGGCCACTGTCGGCGTCCTGATCTTCGAGAGTGTACCCCTGTGACCTGGTCGCACCGCGGCCGGCTGCTTCAACAGGGATGTGCTCGAGCGTCGCTTGCACCATGTGTAGATATTTCGTGGATACACGGTTGATGAAGGCATTGACGGTGCGCCGCAACGGCCGCGAATCTGTGCTGTTCATGGTGACACGTGCTGTATATCTTCTCAACCAAGGGGCGACATTCGACAGCCTGCCGAGAGAGGGAGGGTGCAGTGGTCCCCTCGGGTCATCTGTCTGTGACCCTGGCGTCTCAGGCGACAGCCCGCCAGGCCTGCGATCGCTAAAAGTTTCGCCCAGCACCGCCTGGAACACCGCGAGAGCCTCCATGCAAACCCCAAGGCCCTCACTGCCGTTCGCCGCCTCCATTTCGACCTGCCTGGCCCTTGCGCGCAACTTTGTCAGCGCAGCCCCCGAAGTGGCTGCCAGTATGGGTAGAAAGAGCCGCCGTGTCTCGTCCGAGGGCCCATTCTGGGGGCACACGACGTTCACATCACCAAACTCGATTTGCCGCAGGCTGGTCCTCTCACTGTCTCCTAATACCGCCACCGCCGGGTTCTGAGCCTGATCAGCAAGGAGCCCGACATACGCGGAGTGTACCGCACGAATGAGTGACATCCACTGCGAGCGCACCGGCACGAACTCCTCGGGCAGCCGGTTTCCACCCCCACCCGACTCCACACAGCATACGCGCATGAGGCGAATGCGGACCCAGTGGCTCGCGGAGCCGTAGAGGAACATCAGGGCCGCATTCGCGAGGACGTGGTCATACCGCTCCGTCGACGGGATATCCTCCTGGATCTGCCGCAGCGACGCGGCGTGGTGCTGCTCGCCGAGGACCAGCAACTCCCGGATGCGGACGACGTCCGGACTGCCTGGGCTCGCCTCCAGGAGGTCGTGACACTGGCTTGCGGCTGCGAGCGCCAGCATCGAGCTCATCAGGGCCTTGCTGCTGATGGCGAGGTTGGGGATGCCGACATGCAGTACGTAGAGGTCGTCGCGGTCGAAAGCGATGGTGCGGCTTGTGTGCGAGAGGTAGTGACCCAGGAGTTTGAGGTCTGGGGCGTCTAATAGATGCGCACAAAGGCTCATTATACCATTTTGGTGTTCGTCCAATGCGAATGAAGCACTGGGCGGACTGTGTATTGACGACAGCTCTCGAGAAGCAGTGCCCGACGTTGGGCTGACGCCTGCACAACGAGCATGATGGCCATCTGGGGGAGCTAGTCCACCCCTCTGAGTCCTTAATTCAGGACCAAGTCTTTGCTCAGAGCGACAGTCGTCATTGGGGTACTGGCAGACTTTATCAAGGTCTGTACACCTCGTGCACCGAGGTAGACGCTCGTCACACTATACTTGGCCGTCAGAAAACCGAGAGCTTCTGAGCCATGAAGGCGTGGATGGCTCACCTTTCTCCGAAGTCTTTTGCAGCGATAGCAGCCACGCCTGCTTTTTGTGTGCGGGCGACGTTTGGGTCTTGAGCTGGAAGACATACTCCGTGAGACACTTTTCAGGGCAGTAGAGAGACTGAAGGTGCAGACATTCTCGACTTTAAGTGCCACAAAGCTCTGACTGTGCTTGGGACCATGACGAGAACGTGTCGAGGCGCAGCAGTAGCGGCTGATTCACGCCAGTCGCCCTATTGTAATCTCACGTCAGATTGCCAATGGTCTAGCAGATCCATTGAATTTTTTATTGGGAGCTTGGCAAATGGAATCATTGTTGCAGGTGCTTATATCAGATAAGTGAACAAATAAACTTTTGAATCCAAGAGTCTCACTATTGATATGAGGTCGGATATTCACACCCGCCAAAACGGAGGGTACACCCATACCAGGGAACTCGGAGATCAAAATGTGTATTTTAGCGCTAAACCACGAGTAATTATCCCATATGGTTACCCCATAGGAGGTTGTCCCATAGGAGGTTGTCCCATAGGAGGTTGTCCCATAGGAGGTTGTCCCATAGGAGGTTTTCCTATAGGAGGTTGTCCCATAGGAGATTGTCCTATAGGAGGTTGTCCTCCTATGAGAGGTTATCCCTTGGGGCTTGGGTATACCCTCCGTTTTGGTGGGCGCGAATATCCGATCTCATTGATACTATTCTGAAATGAGCGTGGGACCACCAGTTGACCTCAACACAACACCTCAGGCGCAAAGAGTTGTGCAGCCCTCGCGTTGAAGGTGAAGACCATGGCATGACAGCAACGGGAGCGCAACTGCCAAGTCCCACGCTCTACCGCCCGGCCAAAACACCATAATAATCACTCTACCAATTGGTCATTCCTGGCAGCACTTGAGTATATAAGTGCCGTACCGCCACGATGTCTGGGTGGGTTAAGTAAAGAGATCGAAGTCGATAGTGTGCGCCATGCTGCCTTTGAATATACCATACTTGCACTGCCTGCAGGTGTGGCTGGGCTCAAGATCCAAGCCCAACTCAGTGCCGTGGATTGCAGGTAAGGGAACATGACTCTGTGGCCGGACGTGACGTTCGTGGAAAGCGTTTACCGCAGCATAGGCGGTGCTGCAAATATACCGAGACGTTCGAAGCAACGGGATAGAGGGCTGATGTCCTCAAGTTGCAAGAGAGGTGCAGTCATTTTCACCGAGGCAGATCTGGAGATATTCCTGTCGTCAACATGACCCAAAGAACACACCCACATCTCATCATTGTATGACTGTTTATAGGGCTTGGCAGCGCCACCTAGGCCAGAGAGGTCATACACGCCTAGGGCGGCCTTTTGAAGTCTGCAGCCGGTCCGCCAAATGCCTGGTGGTCTGAGAAAAGCCCCGTGACGGAATTTGGCTGATTGATTACTTATTTCATCATAATCCAGCAGTTCAAGCTCAAAAGTGTCATTGTGCCCTTCGTCAGGACTGTCTGCTGAATGCTACTCTGAGTTCCCTGGACTATACTATATCTTGACAGACGGCCTCTAGGCGGATTGGGTCACTCTCGGCCGCAAACTAGTATCTAGAGGTCTCGGGCCCGACATCTTTGAGCAGGTGCTCACTGATCAACAATCATGTCAGGAGCACTGTCGGCGTCAGCTTACTATTTATCGCTCAGGCTGTCCAGCATCCAAGTCACACCACACGGACGTCACATCAGGAATATCTCCAATCCAAATGCGTAGAAAATTCGATGGTATGGTGCTTATAAATACTGGATTCCAAGTTAAGACAACTTGGAATTATAGCCTTCTGGCCGGGGCATCTGTCCTGTAATATTTAATAGGTCCGTCCTATTAGGCCTATAGTGAAGGGTTTTAATTTATATACTTAAATAGCATATACTTCTATACCCCTTATTCCTTTTACTTTTTAAATGTTTAATCCAAAAAAGAAAGTAAAATTTAATAATATTACTCTTAATTATACTGCTGTACAGCTGGAAGGCGTCCACACACCACACTCTAACTACCATTTCGCTACAGGCTGTTCGAAGCGCACTCTCCCATGCCTTATGAAGCGCGTCCATCACAATACCCATAATAATCATGGCGAACAAGGTGTATCATTGGACCCGAGCAGCAGGCCGTTGTCCGCGCAGCCTGCAGACAATGCAGTGATCGTGTCAAAGTCGCTGCTCCTGATGCAGCAGAACTAGAAGTAGAATATCTCAGCGCCGATGTGCCGGATTGAAACCACTAGAACAAATCATAACTTACGCCGGGAGAAGCGAGCACATTTCCGTTGGCGCTTTGGCAGAAGTTGTTGCTGGCAGCGACATTTTCGTCGATATCTTTGCAGAAGAAAGTCTGGAATTCCCCTTGCCTGATTGCGAGACATTAGCACTTGAAGGTCAGTCAACGCTCCAATTACAGTTGATGTTGAATTTATCAGGGTGACCTCTCATACCCGAAGACGGTAGCACACACGGAGAAGAGGATTGCCACGGAGCTGATCGGAGCGCGCATTGTTAGCGATTGGGGCTGTGTTGGAGCGAATTCGGACAAAATGGCCAGGCTGGCGATTTATTCTGCTAATGTTGGAATAAGATTGAATATGCAATTGCCAATAACAAATGAAAACATGGAAGCAGCAGAGTTGGATCGTTCGAACAAATAAATGAGTGAATCAGTTCAACTTGTGTAACGTTATCGGTTCTGGGATGCGTCGAAGCTGTCGTAACAAGAGCTTGGCAGACAGGCCTTCTTCCTCGGCAGAGTCATGACACAAGGCCATAGTCCTATGACAGTTTCTCTTGTGTCGCAAGATTGCCTTTTCGCATATCAAGAGTACCTGGGTATCCGCCTCCGGCTGCGATTGCAGAGAAGTCACCTGGACAGTATCAGCGACCCACGTTGACACTAAATGCACTAAGTATGAGATTGGGATCAGCTCCATGTCAAATGCGAGTCATGATTTCGGCCATAATGATCCATCTTTGTGTCGAGCTCCATTTGTTTTCAAGCAGTCTCGTGCTGCCTGCAGTGTATTCGCAGCCCTCGTGTAATCACAATCACCGAAGTCTTGTCAGGGGGGGTTAAAAAAAGAAAGAGATTTTTCGTTTTGGCCGTGACTCGACGGCATACAAGGGATCAGTTTCAGCCACGATAGTGGCAAGGGACCCCGGCGGTTTCACCTGTGTCGTGCTGCCTTGATGCTGACTTGAGTGAGGCTATAGGTCAATGATTCCATCATACCATGTGTAGCACCAAAGATCTCATCACCGGTAGAAGACCGAGGGAACAAAATGCAATTTGAGATTACTGGCTTCCAATGTATGCCTACACCTTTGCTTCCGAAACTATTGCTGTCGAAGTTCGAATGCGGTCTGTCTCATGGTAGTCTGTTTGTCTTATGGACCGCTAACACTTCCAAAGTTAATAGGGTTCGGAATTCCAGTCACCAACTTAGGTATGCGGACACAGACCACCTAGCGAGTGCTTCTTACCCTTACTTTTTCTTTGGTATGACAAGATACGTTTAGCATCGGGACACTCCATAGTCAGTGGTGGAATGATGAGTATCGAGCTTTACTTGCCAACCTAGGTATTTTAATACGTCCGTCCCCCGCTCAAGGACTTTCAATGTTCATTGAAGGACAGTTAGCACTAAGCCCAAATCTCTCTTGAGGAAGAAGGAATCAATGGAAAATACAGCGATGCAGTGCCGCCTTCCTACTTAACCTCTTATATATAAGTTTACTTCTATTCTGGGTGGTTTCGTTTTTAATCCCCATACATCTAAAATATACATGGCACCTTCATACAGTGGTAAACGCTCAAGACCCAGCGTTTGAAGAAATATAGTGCCAATAACAGTGGAAAGAGAATACAATACGTCTGTGGGCACGTGGCCTCAGCCTCGTGCCGCACAGACAAGGCTAAAAGGCATCGCTTCCGACGGCGCCACTCATGAGGATCGTCGACACAAGTAGCCCAAGGGCTAAGCTGCCACGGTGCTAGAGTCACAGCTGGCAAAACAGTCATACGGCGAGATTGGGCAGGACGCAAATCAAGTACCACATTTATCACTACAGTAACATAGTCGTGTTCACAACAATGTCAAACCTTCATGGAGGGGTCACCACAGCTCATATATCTCCCGAGTAGCGCTCCCGTAGAGGAGCGTCCCATCTAAGGTTGTCCCGTAGGAGGTTGTCCTGTTCCGAGGCACTCGGAACGGACTTTTGAAACAGTCAAGGAACCAGTTGCTGCGTTATTGCAGTCAACTTAATTGAAGGTATCTCGTCTTTGTTCAAATGTTGTTCTGAGGAGGACTTCAGGAACTATAGCCTACAGAAACCTGGGAAGCTTTGAGGAAGGTCGTAGTGTAGGCTAGTAGGCCTGATTACCTAGGTATTCATCCCCAACATGTTCCACGGGAGGAGACTAGGTGCCTAGGTATCATATACAAATCAGCCTCACAAGACGTTGGAGAGTACATCTGATCATTGGGTATCAACAAGGCTACTCTACTGCTCACAGGACCGTTTCGCACAGCTAGGTCGCCTGCACAGATGCCACAGCCTCGTAGGAAATATCTGAACAAAACTTGTGTAGGTTCCTGTCACAGATTTCCCTGACCTGTACGGCCCGGGGATCATAGTGCAGGAACTTCACTCCGTGTTTGCTCGAAACTCGTTGAACATTGATCGCATGCGAGCTTCTTGACCCTTTGTGAACTCTACACGACATTGGCTGATATCTGGTTAGCAAAGTCCCATTTCGATGATTCAGCCAGTTAGCAATGTCGGTGTCGTTTAACTTACTCGTCAGAATAGTCCACTGCAGAGAAATTCAAAGTCAGCACTTTTTTCATATCACATAATGGCTCCATCTCAAAAATAGCACAATACGGCCCGAGAAACTCCCGAGCAGCGGATGTTACCACAATTTTGGACCCTCATAGAGCGGTCGAGTGATGGGGGGTTGCTTACTGTGATTCTTGTAGTTTGGTGGATCTTTGCCGAACAAACAACCAGTCCCGACGTTATCACAGACACCTCCAATCGTGAATGTATCGGAGCCCTGTGGATAAGTATCGTTCACGTAATCTCCGGGGCCGGAACACCCGCCTTGGAACACATGGTACAAACCAAGCCAATGGCCTGCCTCATGAACAGCGATCTTGCCCTGATTGAAGCCCCAACTGTTCGTCCCGTTAGGTGTAGTCGTAGAGCTTATAAAGCAACCGTCGATAGACTTGTCGAATTCCGTGGGCTGGAACGTGCTGTTCGGAGCCCAGTCACCACTGCCCCACGGCCAGGTTGACCAGCCCGTACCTTGGTTGCCAATGCCGACTGTTAGGTACGCGATATAGAACAGGTTCAGGTCGGCGTAAGTGCCTTTCCGGAGAGCCTGCTTGACCACGTTTTCGTGGTCGTCCCCCTTGTTTACACTAGCGAAATCCTCATTCACAACCCAGCGGGTCTCTGCAAGCTTCAGGTTGAAATTGTATGGTGCAAAAGATTCTTGGATCAGCTGAAACTGTGCGGCCATCGTGTCTTCCTTATTGGAGAGTCAGCCAGGTCGAAACTGTGCTTGCAACAAGAGCACAAGCTTACTGAAAGGTATCCGCCCTCCAGCGTCTCGTTGAATGCGACAACATGCTGATAGACATTGATATCGATAACCTCATCCGCCCGTGCGCCGAGGTAGCTTGGTTTTGTTCCAGTCTGAATTCGGCTTTCCAGCAACTCCTTGTGGGTGTCGGAAAGCTCGTCTTGACCACAGACAGGTTGCGATCGCCTCAAATAGGGCACGACTGAGGCACCCGCAGAGCCCAGCAATGTGAGCGGCACAATGATACCGGAACGCATCTTGAGTGCCGGGGTGAATGATGCTTGAGGGAGTCAACGCAAATGGCCTAACAACCATCCATGTTGAGAATACAGCAAGAGCGGTTCTCGTATTTATAACATGGCAACAAGCCACACAGTAGTGCAGCGAGCGAATTTAAATGGGGAAGGTTGCATTGGAAAAGGGCCTGGTGGGCCTGCTCGGCACTCTTGGCCTCGGGATTGCCCCATATCTTTACGATGTGCATGGTTCGATAGACAAGAACCTCGTATTTCAAGTCCATATCCCTAATGTTCGCTGTACACCCCATTCAGCAGAGCAGTGACGAGCGAATGTGCCGACAGATCCGACTCATTATCACCGAGTCCCACCGCCGCGTGGTTAATGGGAGCAAAGGACAAATACTATTTCATTTTGGCGGTGCTGAACTTTAGAAGACAGACTGCCTTGCAATGTTGCACCGACCAGTCCTTTTGCTCCGTCGTGAATCAAAAGAAGAGCAGAAGAGGACCATTACCGCAGAGAAGACATTTGGAAGTGGATACTAGGTAGAGAGTTGTTTTCCTGTGTCGCTCCCGGGACCCTCTACTATGTAAACCGCGTGTGGATGTGCAAGTGAGGACTGATAGCACCACAGCTGCGGCGCGGACAGAGCACGTCTTGAATTGGTTCCGACCCCGAGACGAATCTGTAGCTGCTATAAAGTCTTAATAATCCGCTTTCATGTTCCGCAAATGCGCAGAACGTGTTTGGTGCCCGACAATTTGTGATGTTGGCGTCGCTTTCTGCACACATATACGCTGCGGATGCCATAATTTGGCTGGGTTACCCCAACCCTGGCTTCAAAGGATCCGTCCGGTGAGCGATTCCCGGCTGGCAGGACAACAACACCAAGACCAATGCAAGCTACACCCAACACCGGCTACATAGGTCTGGACGGCACTTTGCATTCGAACATTTGTGCTCAGCCGACTAATTGAACGTCCCACGACCTTTTCGAGGCTCAGCAATTCGAGATGGCGTCGAAGAAGGACCAGCGCAGGCCTGATCTGGGTAAGCACATTTGACGAAGCCACTGCCACTGCCCTCTTGCGACAAGCAGCTGACAGCGACTGCCACAGTGATCCCCTACCAGGAGCCGCTGTCCAAAGGCGACAGCCCCGAGCTCTCGTCCACTCTCTCCCAGACACTGCCCATGGCAGCGATCTTCATGCGCAACCGCTACATTGGATGGTGCGTAACCTCCGTCCCCGGCTCTGATCCCATGCCGCGACTGCGCCGGCCACCTCGGCCTCGATGGCCTATCCCGCAGAGGCGCAACCATTCAAGCAGTGGAAACTGACAGTGCTCGATGACCATGTAGGGCGGCCGTGGTTTTCAGTGTCCAGAACTGGCTGGGCGAGAGCGAGGACAGCCAGAAGAGCAACAGCACACCCGGTTACTTCTCCGTCGGCATGTCGCTCATGTCTCTGATCGTCACATACCTGCCCATGTTCCTTCCTCCTCCACCCGGCACGCAACGAGCGACAGGAACTGAGGCTGCGCCACCAGTCCCCCCTTCATAGTTGGACTTACACAATGTGGAGAGTTGGAGGCATCAATGACGAAGCAAGCGTCCTGACGATGATCATCTGTCTTCGTGGGCGCGAGTACGATACCCGCAAATAGTAATGTCACCTCTATGGGCAAGCTCAACAGCCAATACCTCCAACACAAGGCTCCAGAACAAGCATGCTAGGCCCGGTCCTGGCTCCCCTACAGCCCCTACGCTGTCACCGGCACAGGAAGCTTCCTTCTCAGTCCCGTCACAATGTCCAAGTAATCTTTCTCATTCTCGTCCGTGATGATCCCGTGCCGAACGAAGAAATCCAGCATCACCAGGCAGCAGTTGGGCTTGAACTCCCCGTTCATCATCGCCCTAGTCACTTCGTCCACGGTCATCAACGAGAACTCCTGCACCTCGCCGTCCTTGGGCTCAGGCCGCATGTCCTCCTCGAGCTCCAGGTCATACACGTAGAGGATGGTAGGGCGTACATGGCCCGTCTTTCTGTTCTGGCTCACATACGTCGTGATACCGGTTGAGACGATGTTCTTCTCAACATACGAGAGCGGCAGCGCCGCCTCCTCGTCCGATTCGGCCACAATGCATTGCCACGGCGTCTGGTCGGCCTTCACTCCGCCCGCGACCGTCGTGTCTAGCATGCCGGGATACGTGTGTAGGTTCGCGTCGCGGCGAGCCACCCACACTCTTAAGCCTGTCGACACGGGTTGGCTTTCATCTCGCACGTAGGCCGTCAGGTGAGCTCCGCGGCTGCAGATTCCGAACAGCGACGCGGCGAACCGTTCTAGGCATATAGGTTCTGGCTTGTGAGGTGCCCTCGACGGGTAGGCCTTCGCGCCGATGATGCGTACCATCTCGCTGTGAGATGTCAGGTTCGGGAAGACTGAAGTGCCCAGCGCGAGGGCCCCATCAACGACGGTCTGCAAGGCGGCATTGATGCGATCGGCTTGGTTCTCAGCCACGGTGACCTGAACAACCCTGTCTTTGTGATCAATGGAGAAGCCATCTTCCGTCCATGGCAGCTTTGCCACAGTGTCTGGAGTGAGATAGCCGTGTGCTCGGGAGTCGTTAGGAAGAAGTAACTTGTAGAAGCCGTGGTAGTCCCAGCCGATGGGCACGCTGGTGCAAACGACATGGTGAGCTGGGGACAGCGTCAAGGAGGGTAAGGTTTCCTACTTGTCAACACTTCTGATGAGGTCGATCAACCGCCGCGGCTCGGATTTGTCGAGCATGTTGTGCTAATTCCTTGGCCAAGTAACTGCCTTGGCCAAAAACCAATATTTGTTGCTGTGATGTGAAGTTATCAGATGGTCACTCAAGTGCTACATGCCTAGGTACCTACTTAGCACTTGAGACAAGTACTTGAGTACTTGAGTAGGCATAGCGAGGGACGCATTTTGAGGGAGCCAGCGCAAGGGTCCAACCCTACCTGGTACTTACACAGTACTGTTTCGACCGGCCAGCGGCTTGGTACCACAAATTCAAGAGACAATTTCAAGATTTTTTAAGCTAGGTCAACTTTAACCATATTATATTTTTTATTTAACTATTTATTTATTTATTATCTTCTTAACTTTTAAACTAGTTATTAGTTTATATTTTAAGTATAAAGTTAATAATTATTTAATATATATAATTATATATGAGAGAGATTCTGCAGCACTTCTAAACTAATATATACCCTAATACTAGGGTACAGTAACTACCTAGGTAGTTGTTCTGATAGTTTCTCATTCCGACAAGACCATTTTATTCGCAATACTACCTAGGTACCTATGTTCCCTGATACCTAAACAAGTAGGTATCAATTTGAATGCAAGCAAACCTTGGAACGCGATCTACTCTCTTACTCAGACCGTTACATTCAATGCCGTCAGTCAACTTGTGGGTGCGCCTGTAGATAAAGCAGCGTTGCCGATAAGAACACAATCGGCAAGCAGCAGTTAGAATGCCACAGGTGACCCAATGCACCTTTGTATTAACCACAAGGGCATTGAGAAGCAATATGGTGCTGAATAAGCTGACCTACTCAATTTTATCAAACGCGAACTTTAGAACGTGACGTCCCGAACGCTCCGGATTCACGCCAGCAACACAACGGCCGGCTCGACGAGAAGAGCGGTCTGGATAGGGCGGCCGACAGTGCGTAATAGATGGTCTGGTCAAGGTGGTCCTCGACGGTTAGGGTCATCGGCGCAAAGTCGCAGTTGTGGATCGGCAGCAAGATGAGCGCCACAAATCTGTCTGTCAGCGAGGTCTGCTCCGTCAGCGCCCCGTCGCGTCGATGCAGAGGCAGAGGCAAAGGCAAAGCAGCGCGATCGAGGTGGCGAAGAGGGTCGCTACAACTGAGAAGTCTAGCTGGGGCCCGAGGATCTCCTTGTTTCCTTTGTCTTCGCGCGGGGCGGCTGCTTGACTCTGGGTGACGGGAATTGGGCCAGCAGGCGCTGGAGGCCTGGGAACTGAGATCGCTCGTGGTGATGTAGCGTTTTCCCTTGTCGGCGACGCCATGTAACTCGATGACTGGCCTCCGATAGAGGCACCGCTAACGGTGACAGATTGCAATGCCAGTTTCACATTGGTATTTCCGGACGCCCCATACTTGGGTCCCTGTGTTCACATCTGACAGATTGAGTATCAATTGATATGAGACGACTAACAACAGGACGAACGAGACGACTAACAACAGGACGAACGAGACGGCTCTCAACTTTCTGCCTATGTTGTCTTTCGAAGTCTGACACAAAATTCAATAGCTGTGGGTATGGGCAGGCTGGTCAATTCTGTCAAAAGAAAGCTGGGGAATCACTGGACACCGGTACGTGTGAGCACCTGCTGACGTTGGTCGATATTTGTTGTTCATCCGAACGATATACCCAGCTCAAAGAGCACAAGATATCACTCAGTATACCGCCTATCAGCGAGGTCTGTAGAAGTTAGGTCTGCTCATCAGGTAATACGAGAACGCTCGATAGGCCGGGCTTCAAAGCAGTATTTGTCGTGAATATACCCACGATCTCTGTGCCCCAGGGTGGCCTTGAAGGTGATGTACTCCAGATGTTCCCAGCTCTTCCACCTAGGTAAGTAGACGTCACACAGCAACCAAAGTGAGACACTTGAGCACATAGTCCAACATGAATGTTTCAGGGGCGCCACCGCTGATATTCAAGAGGACTACACCAGCCGCGACACACACACGAGCGGAATGTTGATCTAGGATGTGAAAGGCATCCTCTGTATTTGGTACGCCGTAGTGAAGGTTCCCGAGATGCGCGATTCAGATTGATTCAGTTGTACTGAGACGAGAAAAGACTAGTAATTTTATCTGTTTGGCCTTTTATCGACAATCCGAGAACAACTATGTAAGTAGATAACACGGGTGTGAACTAGGTTTGAACGTCCTGAAGTCTGCTGGTTCAATGGCGTCCTGATTGTTTCCAAATTCGAATATGGACCATTGCAAAGACTTCTGTCTAGACCGGCGGAGAAGAAGACGGCCCTTTCCTCGCGGCAAGAATCAAAGTGCAAAGATCTGGGGCTCGGATCTGACCGTTAATAAGCTTTCTGGTAGCGCGGAGGCCAACCCAACCTGACATCGGCTAATCCCGTGAGCTGACACTCATTCTTCCGAATAGGGTTCTGTTCTGGACATTAACTTTATGACTAAGACCCAGGAGCACGCGACAACGTCTGTGCTGCAAGCTGCAGCTTGACATGTGTAAGAGCTGAGCGCGTGGTGAAGCAAACGGCTAGCAGGTGGGACCAGCAGGATCCTGCCCAAGGCTACATATCTGCTACAGGTCGGAATGATTCCGAGATTGTCGAGCTGGCAGGCTGGAAGGATGAAACCAGAGGAGAGGGGGGTGGTGCTTCGACTGGGCCCAGGAGAAATGATATATATCGGTTCATAGACCCACATGGAGCAGCCAGGCCAGGGATGCTTTGGTTGGGGTCCAGGGTCTTGACACCCAGACTGGTTCTTCAATTATTACTAGGGACTTATTTCTGTGTTGTACACCACGAGTATGTGCCAGGATGAGGTCTGACGGTAGCATAGCTGAACCTGTCGCTGCTCAAGTATGTGGGAGTGCAACTACAGCTCCCAGGTGGAAACACCGAATACCACAGTACCGGTATGTCGTCTCGTTTCGACGCCTGGCAGGGCACCGGAGGCGGCTAACCCCGCGTTTGACGTTTCTCATCCTGTGGTCCAACGGCGCACCACAGCACCACAGCGTGGGGTGGGGTTGCGTGGCCGTCTGGAATGGAAGGTTAGTGCGCGGGTGGAGCGGGCGTGGAGCCGCAAAGCCCCTGAGACCCAGGGAGATCCAGGGATGCTGGCGACAGGCTGGGCCCCCCGACTGTGTGTCTGCTCCTGCGAGCGTCTGCCAGCTGAGGCGAGGTGTGGCATTGATGATCTCCCCGGTGGACGTGTCAACGTCTGTCTGTCCTGTCTCGAGGAGCCAACGATAGTTTATGCAAACACCCTGCCCTTAGGCCACCAAGGAACCAAGGAACCCCCGCGGCTGACAGCACAGCTCCGAAGCAAAGCTCTCAAGCTCTCAAGCTCTCGACCGCCCGACCTCCCGACCGCCCGATCACGCTCGCCGCCCATCTTACCCATCGCCCTCACGACCGCTGTTGACTGGGACAAGACACACCACAGGTACTTTGCCCCTCCAGAATATGTCAAGTTTCCTCTCTGGACTGTGAGTCTGTCCTTGACCGCCTGGCCGGCCATCATCTCCTGCTCGGCCCTGCCCTTTCCTGCCCTGTCCTGCCCTGTCCTGCCTTGTCCTGCCTTGCCCTGCCTGCCGCACGTGTCGCCCGTCTCGATGATCATCTGAGGAGGACATGGCAGTCCCAGAAACGGGATGCAGACGACATAGATGCAGATGTGACTTGTGCCTAGCCCCCAGGAACCCAGAGGTCACCGCCGCCGCAACTTTTCACGAGCATGCATGCTATGCCCTACACCTGCCCTGCTCCGTGCCTTACCCTACCTTACCCTACCCTACCCTGCCCTACCCTACCATACCCTGCCCTACCTCATGCCCTATCCTGCCCTGCCCTTGTCTTGGCGCCTGTTGCACTCCATAGGCCTAGTCTGCCGCCACTCGCGTGCCCACTCAGATTCATGCCCATCGTGTCTTTGTCTGCTGCTTGGGGTCGACTAGAAGAACCCGGTCCCGTCCTCCCCACCCTCCCGGGAATGCTCATCCATCCACACGAATTGTACCTCTGGCCACTTGGCTGTCCGTCACTAATATCCCTCGCAGACGGTCACGAAGCAAGTCACGAGGAGCAAACAAGAACACTGGCCGCCCCGGGACACCCAAGGAGGCCATTCCCGCAGTGCCCTCCCCTACTCAGGAGCAGCACAGAGGACGCACCCTGGACGGCGTCCTTCCGCCGCTGCCCCCCTCAGACTCCCTCACCAGGTCTGTCGGCGCCACGATGGCCTCAAGCGCCAACGGGGATGACGCCCTCAAAGCTTACCACCTGCCCCACCCCCTCCCCGCCTGGGTCAACCCGGCCTATGCCAAGCACATCGTCAAGGGCAACTTCATGACCCTCAGTGCCCGGCCCAAGACCGTCGAGCAAGGCGAGTGGATTGCCCACCAGTGTGTCGAGCATTACCGCAACCTGTGGCACTTTGTACGAGTTATATACGAGAAGGAGGAGAACGGCTCCAACATCTGCAATGCCACCACCTGTCCCAAGATGGCTGCCGGCCCGTAAGTCTCCCTCACTCGGTCTCGTGGCAAACAAACCTCTTGGTCCTACGGCCACCAGGCTGTCCCAGACCCACCACGCCCGCCCATCGTCTAAGCCCTCACCAGGAACCACTCGTACACATGGCTAAACAGCCGCTACGAGCCCGTCGAGCTGCCCGCCTTCGAGTACATCACCCTCATGCAGCGGTGGATATCGGGCAAGGTTGACAACACAAATGTGTTCCCTACGGATCCCGCCGGGGTTTCGTACGCCTTGAACCCGGCCCTCGGCTCATCCCCGTCTCTTTCCACCATCAGCGGCGACGGCGAGGACTGGGTGGGCCGTCGCAGTGGGTTCCCCAAGGAGTTCATGTCTATCTGCCAGACCATCTTCCTGCAGATGTTCCGCGTCTATGCCCACCTATACCACGCCCACTTCGTCGAGCCCTTCTACCACCTCAACTTGGAGAAGCAGCTCAACAGCTGCTTCAGCCACTTCCTACTGACCGCCACCAACCTCGACCTGCTGCGGCCCCACGAGCTCGAGCCCATGCAGCCCCTCATCGACCTCTGGGCCGCCAACGGCACTTTTCCCCCCGAGTCAAAGGCCTATCAGATGGCGAACCTGGCCGCGGGTCAGACCCTGCTGGCCAAGGCTGGTATACAGCCATGATGTCCCTGTGATGGCCCTTGGATTATTTGCGTGCTCGGGCACCTCCCGTCCTTGGGAGACATGGGGAGATTATCTTGCATGACCTGGGACGCCCCCCCCCCCACCCCCACCCTTTGGTGGAGGGGGCACTCTGAGCACTTGGTAAGGGGTTGTTGTGAGCAAATAAGCAAAATTGCATGGCATTGCGAGTCTTGTTAGACCTTGGTTCATTACACTCTTGGGGTATAGGCGTACAATACACACTTCACAATACTTACTATCAGTCATGTCATAACAGCTTCATATTTGCCCTCGTCACGACCTATCCCTAATCATTAGCGCAGGAGACTACACAGCGGTGACACGTGTATGGTCTAGTCTAGGCCCAGGCGGACGACTTCGGTCATTTATCGACACCCGACGGCGTCCTGTAGATGTGTCTCGTGAACACGGGAAAAAACCCGTGTTCCTTTACAAGCGAACGCATGACTCTGGAACTATTCGATCCCGGCAGCTGCCCGGCTGTGCCTGCCCGTGGTCTTTACTTAGCATCATCATACATATTGTTACCCTACCACCGCCGCAACCCCCGGGAATTACGTGATGCTTACCAGAGCCTGTGGCCTATGGCTTGCCCATTTTTACGGAAATTTTCGCTACGGTATTGTTGTGCAGACCGTCTAAATGGAGGTCTTCCTAAGGGGGCTATCCCCCGAGAAGCTGTCCCTTAGAATGTTGCCCTATATCAGCAGGAGGTTGTCCTATGTGTGATTGTCATATTTGATGTTGTAGTATAGAGGTCTATCCTCCAAAAAATTGTCTTATACTGATAGAAGATTATTCTATATGAGGTTTGAGGGGTGATGCCGCGGTCGCGTAGCAGACAGCCGAGTCAAGCTTGTTTGCTACACCATCGCAAGGCAAATAGCCCTAGGGTCCACCGGACCACAGAACTAAATCCATAGACTATGCAAACCGGTTTTCGCCCCGTGGCTTGTAGCGCCTGAGCCCTGGTGGTGAGGCAAACAGCCAAAGGCACGGTGTCATGATAATTGGGATGGTTGCTTTAACCTCGGGGTATTTGAGGGCGTACAAATCGTCTGCACTGGTGTGCCCACACGCGAGATGTTCAGATTTTATCCTCAAGTCCAACTGACAGATCACTTCCCATGTCTGAACACAGGCTCCGGCCTCGGTGCGGCGGTCGACTCCTTCCCTTGACACCAGCCCTGGCTCGCAATGGGCGGAGTTGTGCGCCTTGGAAATCGATTTTGGGCTAGAGTACGAATATACAGTAGCCAGGCACCATGATTGTCTCGGTGCTTTAGCTCCTGGCACCGGGCACGGCTGCCTTGAGCCGTCATGCGGCGGTTCTAAGCTGAGGTCTAACAGCTTCCTCGGATGTACGAAGGCATCCATTTTTTTTTTCGAGGAAAAGCAACACCGAACCTACCTGACCCCTGAGCTTTCAGACACGAATAAGCCATACCCGGACGTTAACATCAAGGAACAACCCTCGGATTGGCCGCCCGTATCAAGAGATATGGCGGACGAGATCGGTACTGAATGCGACCAGCCACATCCGAGGCCGCGCAGGATCAAAATCCGGAGGCGATCAACGGGCATAAGAGACGAGGCCACGCCAAAAGATGCTTCTGGGGGCTTCCTCCCAACCGGAGACGAAGAAAGACCGACGACATCGCTCAAGACGGATGAGCAGGAGGCTGTAGCAAGTCGCGAGCAAGGATTGGGGGAGCCGCAGAACGAGCTGCACGAGATTGAAAGAGCGGGCCAAGCCCTACAAACAAGTACGCCCCGGCGCTTGAGTGGCGACAGCGGCCTGGAGAGCCCCCGGCCTCACGTGTGCGACTCTCAATCCACTGGGCCGGAAGAGGCCAACAACCCCCAGAGCAATGGCGAAAGAAATGAAGCCGATAGCCCAGATGCAACTGTTCCAGGGGTAAGATGGATATCGCAGGAGGACCTAGAGAAACTCATACCCCAGGGAGTCGACCTCTTTCAAAGTAGGAGAACCGACGCAATATACCATCTGAACCACCGGGGCGAGAGGGTTTGGGTGGTTGACAAGAACGGGGACTGTGTCATTGCCCAAACACCACCGGAAGGGGCTGATGGATGAGATGTTGCGTGGAGGCAAAATGTGTCCCGGTGAGTCGCCGAAGGGGAGGATTGTCGCGACTCAGGCGGCGGCGATAGGATGGAAACCTCGCGCGTGGATTGTTGTTGTCGTTGTCGTTGTTGTTGTTGTTGGGAGGGCTGCCTCCTCTTGGAGGCCGCAGGGCGTGAATTAATTGAGGCGATGACGATGGAAGTCGGGGGTGCCGGCCGACAGGCGGGCTGTGGCATCTTGGACGTGCAGAACGTGGTGCAGACAAACCCCCACGTGCCTGACAATGGGTGGCTGTGCGGCAAGTACTCCGTACCCGCCGTAATAAGCTTCCCGCGCCGAGGTCAGTGGCTTCTATCCAAAACAGGGGTAGGCTGAGAATGGAACGCAACTACCACAGCAAGTCAAGATAGACTCTAAGGGTTGACAGGAACTACGGGGCTGTGCGTTTCAATTGGCCCTGGTATTTTGCATGGTGAGGCAAGTCAAGATTGCGAAACGAAATTCTGGAGGCAACCAACCGGCTCTATGAAGTGTGGTCCGCAGGTTCGACAAGATATCCCTCTCACAGAGTGATACTACATACCTAGGTAGTAGAGACATGAGTCTAAGTATACTGGGAGGAACGTGTGGGGGGTGGTGATTCAGGGTCTACGGAGTGTGTGTCGAAAGGCCGAACTCGACCGCTGTGGGCTATGAATTCAAGATTCAACCACTCATTCCTGGTGGCAGGCACGGAAAGGACATGGCGAGAAAACTAGGAGATTTATCGCAGCCAACGTTATAGTATCACAAAGTGAATCGAGCGACTGTGTGCTTGTGGAACTGTGGAACTGTACGTCAAGATGGAGAGGTCTGAGGTACCGCGGCGGAGCAGCTCGGACAGTCCCGGTGGGGATAGAGCTTTCTCGAGTCGTCATAACATAAATGTGTATAGGTGACTCGGTGCAGCTGGCGCTGGCGGATTGGCTCGTGATTGGGGGGGACCTGCTTGGGCTGTGTGGTTGAATATTGAGCCACGCGACAGGCTGGCCGAGTGCCTACACTGAATACTGAGCCCGACAACCGACAATGTTTGCCGAGATGATAGAATGGGTCGAGTCGCTGCGAATGTGAGGGCGTGTCCCATCGGGATTGGCCTTGGATCCATTGTGCCCTGCTTGGGAACGATCGTCCAGCGTCTCGGAGGATGAAGCCTTCGGACAAGGCCGAGTGGGAGAAAAAAAAACGATAGAAAAAAATTCATTCCTCACTGAAAGTTTCCATGCCGCAGCACATGTTGGATACCACCCCATACTGCATGGAACGTCACATTGTGATCTGGGTCGCGATCTGGCGAGAAATACCAGATGTCGCGGTGAGGGAAGGACAGATTAGGAAGTGGATGTTGGAGAGGGACCAGCTGTACAGTGTAGATAAGTACTGAAGTACCTAGGTACCAGGCACCCCGGCTGTGAGTGGCCAATCCCTGGCCGGGAGCCAACCGACTCTCACTGACCCCTTTCCTTGCCCAGCCAGCCAGCCAGCCAGCCAGCCAGCAAGTCTGCCAGTGCGGGCACAGACCAGGTTCCCTCCGGGGCCCAAACCAAGGCCACTACCGTCGATGATGCTCCAACATAATCGTCGCTGTTGGTGCTCCGCCAGGTGCCAGGGCCGCCGTACGACCGTGCTTGCTTGCCGGTCCATGCCCTCTTCAGACAAACGCCTCAAAACCCACCCAGGTCTGCCAGGCTCGCCTGCTAGCCCCGCTGTTCCTCTCGCCTGTGCCCATTCTACGTCGTACACCTTGCCTGCTATCCACCGGGCTACCCAAAATAACCACCGCCACCGCTGGCACTGGGCTGCTGCACGAGCCACCCGGGCCACCACCACCACCACCCATCGTTGGATCCCAGCTGTCCGGCACCCCGACGCTGCCCACCTGCCCGCTCACCCGCCTGTGAAGCCAAACCTATCCTGTCCAACTGACCGACCGACCGACTGGCCGGCTACCAAATCTCACCTTGTCCCATCTGCTTGCTCCCTCTCTGGTTCGGTTCACCTTTGCCTCAGCTCCTACTTACGCCCTCTTGCACCGTCCGTCCGCCCGCCTGTCATCGACCCTCTCGACATGAGGGGCCGAACACACCGAGCCACACCTTTTACATCCCCCACTGTCACCCAGTGACAACCCTCTCAGCTTCTGCGGCCGTCCCGCCAGCCGCTGCGCCCTGGCTGAGCCCACGACCAAGCAGCAGCAACAACAACTACTACTACTACGACGACGACGACGACGACGACGACGAGGACGAGCTGCAGTCTGGTCCTGCCAGCCACCGTCGCCTTGGGTTATGAGGGCCTAAACCCCCATTGGCAGTCGGTACCGTTGGCGGCGTCGCTTTGGTCGTCGTCTTCGTCCTCGTTCAGCCTCAATTCCTCCCTCACCCCTCCCGAGCTGGGCCTTGCCGATCGACTTTCAAAACCTCACCTCATCCCACCTGTCCCGTCCCCCGGCCTCACAGCTGCGCCACCCCCGGCCAATCAGCCTCGTTACCCAGAGACACTGATTCACCCCCCTCTTGGCGACCTCACCACTCATCGAGACCTCGAGAGATCGACATCGATTTTCAGCTTCACTCTCACTCTTACTCCCGCCTGACATGTCGCCGTCGCCAATCGCCCGCGACCATGTCATCATGGCCCGCGATGCGTCGCCTGGCACAATCGCCGGTGCCACCGTCGGCGCTGCAGCCGCCATCATCCTCATGCTCGTGTGCAGTCTGCCCTTCATACTAAAAGCGAGGAGAAAACGACGCCTGCGGAGACGCCAACAGCAAGATGCCCTCCGTCCCGGCATGGGCGTTGTCCCGATGCGTTCGCGCCCAGTTTCCCAGACGTTCTCCCAGTATCCCGCCAACCGACTCTCTCACCAGGGCCGTATAGCCTCCACTGCGGGCACCTTGTCCGATCGCGACTCCCAAATTGGCAAAGAATACGGACCAGACGGCATCGTATACCATCATGCGCCCCCTCCGCCGACTACCGCTGCCCGCCACCCGTTGCTCTCATGCTCCCCCGCTCCCAGCGTGCCCTCACTGGCCGAAGCAGTCGCTGCTGCCAGCCGGAACGCTTCTCCGGCCGTTGCTCAAGGACCGTTTACACCTCCGCCTGAGGGTCAGCCAGAGCGAAAGGGAACCTTTGGGACTTTGACCACGGAGCCCGAGTCTCTATCACGATCAGCCACCGACAGTCTGCACGGTGCATCGTCGATAAAGGGAGGCGTCTTTCGAAAACTGAGTTCCAAGGTCTTCCACCGGGAAAGCACAAGATCAAGCGGGAGTGATCGTGGCACGGGGCCCAGGCCGTCCGATATGGAGCTCGATGATGACCGCACTGAGAACACCTCTGCTGTCCCGTACTTGCGTGACGATACACCACCAGGAGGAGGAGCAGCCGACGAGTACTACAAGGCCGCAGCCGACGACTACGAAGCCGGAGCACCTCTGTCGCCCCCCGAGGAGCCTAAACTGCCGACCCCCGGGCCTGGCTCGCACTTTGTCCATCTTATTGGGATGCCAGGGGCTTCTATAGTGGGATCAATGATGCCACACCCTGGAAGACAACAACTTCGAAGTCCGTCCAACTTCGCCGGGGCCCCGCCGAGTCCTACCTCGCCTCAAGTGAAGCAGGAGGATCTGAGTGAAGAGGGCGGCCGGGGAAGGTCACTGGAGGCCCCAAGTGACACCCTGTCTCCGCCACCCAACAAAGACAGAGGCCTCCTTCCTGACCCCAGCCCAAAGCCTTTCGAGCCTCCACCCAGCCCATACCGCCCCGCGCCTGGCACGGTCAACCCGATGGATATGATGAAACCGACGACTGCCGCCGAACAGGCTGCTTGGGTAGACACGGAAATCTGGAAACTTGAAAACTCCCCTCCGCCTCAACTTGACAACACACCTCCCCCGTCCGAACCATCCCCTCCTTCACATCTCGAGTACTACTCGCCATCTCAGTCACCACCTCCCCAACAAGCTCTCGTCGAACCTCCAACCCAACCTGACCGGCCACATTTTCAGGCCGTTGTGCGACACCCGACACAAATGGACGTCACCACCGATGGGCAAGTCATGCCCCAAAACGACGAGCAAATCATAACAGATATCTCCGACACCTCGTCACCTGGGTTTGACCAATATGCATACGGCCCATCCCCTTCGAATCATACCTCTCCAGAAACCCGTTTCACAGGGTCAAACTACACCGCTTCCCCGTCGCCACGATCATCCATGTCAAACCGCCCCTCCAGTTCCTTCGAACCACCCGCAGGTAAAGTGCCGAGGAACCCCGGGTTGCCGCTGCAAATTACTAATGTGTGCGAAGACTACCTGGAGACGACCATCAGCAACCAGTCACACGGTTCCGCAGTTGAAGACAGGAACTCAGCATCGCCCAAGCCCACATCATTTGCGTGTGAGATTTGTGGAAGCAAGTTCGACCAGGTGCACAAGTTGAAGTACGTCCCCTCTGTCAATGACCATCCCGACCGCCCGACACTCATATACTTACTGTAACATAGTCATCACAAACGCTACCATGAACGACCACACCAATGCCCGCAATGTGACAAGCGCTTCGGTACGAAAACACATCTTGACCGGCACATCAACGACAAGCACAATAAAACACGAAAATACCACTGCACGGTAACAGGGTGCGCTTACTCAAAACAAGGCGGCGGAAAGTCCTTCCCCAGAAAAGACAATTGGCGAAGACACATGCAGAATAAGCATCAACAGCCGAACCCTCCGGAGCCGGTGGAAGAGGATGCTATCATGGCTGGATGAGGAGGCACATGTCTCTGGAGCATAATACCGACTTGACAACTTACCATCCGCCGCAGTCATCCGGCATGTTATACGTCCTGGAGCTAAAGCAGCCATATTCAGTCCAAGTGTTGCGAGACCTTGGTGGCGAGGTATCGCGAAAGGGCTACTAATGAGTGCTGAGCCACTCCCCAGGCCCTCGGCGGCAAGATTTGCTTGCCAGGCTCGCCTCTCGGGCTGGAAGTCACTGAGCCTCCGCGCTGACTGAGTGTAAGAGAGCACTTTCTACAGAGTGACAAGGCGCCATGGCCAGCAGTCGAAGCTCGTCGAAATGGGTACGCTTCTGCCTATGCAGCAGCCTCCGGATGACACAAGGAAATAGCGAATGAGCAAAATAAATAGCGAGCTTTGGTGGCCATATCTCAGCCTGGGAACTGCACGGCCCGCCTTCAGGTGGCTCGAATCCATTGTGTTGCAATGAGCGTCCAACTCAGCTGATACAGTTCACTGTATGAATTTTTCACACTCGTTCCGCCGTCCGCAGTTGTACAAAGTGGTGGATCTTTTGTAGGAACTGGACATGACAATAAAGAAAAATCGTCCGTCGAGGCGTTTATCGGAACACAGTACAATCATCGCTGAGCACGAGGCGACCAAGGACCACCAAGCAATGGGGACAGCCCAATGTCGAACAGCGGCTTGACTAGAACCCAAAAGCGATGTTATATATATAAAAAGAGAAAAAAAAAGAGGACCTCAAGAAGACATAGGCCATGATGCAAAGTGATGTATGGCTATTAAGCGTCCATTTTCATGTGCCAATTTGTGTGCCAAGTTTGATTACGATTCCAACAGGATTGAAATCATTCACGGTGCATATACTACACGCGTAGACCGAGGAGTGTTGCACCAACTTTGCAAGGATCTAACCGTTTTATTCAACCCAGCCCTCTAATGTGCTCATTGCATGCATGCAAACTCTCCACGCCTTGTCTTACTCATGGTGCACCTCACCTCGGGGCCAGTCTCTATGAGCATCCAACGCTGGTGCTGACCGGGCCACCCTGGGTTTCAGGCCGCCCTTATTTCTTCAGGTTTTCCATCCTTTTGGGTCCCTCTTCCACTGTTACGTGCCATTTTTTCAGGCGGACAGAGTTCCCCTCACACCGCCCTTTGCTCCGACCTCCCTGGTCTGAATTGTGACGCTCAAGTCTGCCAGGACACTTATTGTGACCTCGACCTTGCCGCCCTTCTTGACGCCGCGGATGGCGGCCTCGGCGAGCGTGGACCCGATCTTCCAGACCTTCTCGCGCTTCTCGTCGTCCTCGTCCTCGTCATCATCATCAAAGTCGCTGTCGTCCTCGTCGTCTGCCTCCTTCTTCTCGCCGTTCTCCTTGGCCTTGGGCTCTGGCTTGGTGACGTGGATGTGCGTGTTGCCCTCGGCGATCTTGACGAGCACGTCACCGCCGTCCTTGGGGGCGCTGACATGCACTGTCCTGCGCGCCGGAACGGCCGTCTCGGGCGCGATCACGGGCGTGAACACCTCCTCCGAGCCGTCGTCTGACAGGGCAACAACTCCGATGGCGTTGGTGACGTGCGCGACGGTCGTCACTGCGGCGTGGGTGCTCTGCTGGACGTCCTCGGTTTCGAATTCCTGGATCAGGGAGGCCTGCAGGGCGGCGCCGCGGGCCTGCAGCTCGGAGGGGTTGATGGCGGAGGGGGTGGTGGACGGGGCGAGGACCGACGTCGTGGGCGGGAAGATGCTGCTCAGGTTGGCAGCAATGCGGGGGGTGTGTGCGGTGCCGCCGGACAGGATAATCTCGTCGACGTCCAGGACGTCCAGGCCCGCCTTCTTGACTGCGCCCTCAACAAGGCGGTTGAAGCCCTCAAAAACGGATCGAGCGATCATCTCGTAGCGAAGCCTGTTGATGGTCGAGGCGAAGTCGAAGCCGTCGACCAGCGACTCGACGCTGAAGCTCGCGTTGGTTCCCAGGCTCAGGGCCTTCTTGGTGGCCTCGGCCTCGTACTTGAGCTTGGCCAGGGACCGGGGGGTCTCCCGTGGGTCCTTCTTGTGCTTCTTGATGAACTCCTTCGCAAAGTGGTCCATGAGGACCTTGTCCAGTGCATATCCAGCAAACTCGTAGTCGTGAGCAGTCGCAAGGATAGTGTACATGCCCCCGCGGCTCGCAACAACCGTAACATCGGAGCGGGTGCCACCGAGATCTGCCACTACAACTATCTTGTCGGTGACCTCAGGGGCGTCGGGGCGGCCGTCGTAAGCGAGGACGGATGCGACAGGCTCAGAGATGAGCTGCAGGACCTCGAGGTCGGCGTCGTTGGCGGCCTTGATAAGGGCGGTCTTCTGGGCATCGGAGAAGTTGGTGGGCACGGTGATGACAGCAGAGGTCACCTTCTTGCCGAGATAGTCGGAGGCAGAGCCGATGAGACGGCGCAGGTAGCGAGTCGAGACTTCGGAGACGGTGACCTTGGACGGAGTCTCCTCGCCTTCTTTGTCCTTAACCTCGAAAGCAATCGTGCTGCCGGATTCTTGGGGGTGGGCAGAAGCGTGGTTGTGGGTTGGGTCGATGGACTTGAAGTCCTTTCCTAGGAAGTCCTTGAAGTATGCGACAGTGTTGTCGGGGTTCCTGACCAGGAAGTTCTTTGCTTGACCACCGTAGTACTCGTCGCCCTCAACGTAGGATAATATCGTGGGGATTTGTCGGTCTTCAGAAACACTATTAGGACAGTCCACAAGCTGCTCCCGGACTGTGCCACTCACCTCCATCTTCATTTGCAATGACCTCTGCCTTGTCGTCGATTGTGTATGCAATAGAGCTGTTGGAGCTGCCGAAGGTGATGCCGATAGCGATACGGTCGCCAGGCTGGGGGCTGGGCCCAGTAACTCCGTTCTCACTCATCTGGGCGGCGGTATAAGTTGAATCGGTGAAAGGAAATTTTAGCAAAGATGACTTTGAAGTTCGGTTCAGAAAAGAAATCACAAGGCTGAGCAGTGAAGACAACGGTTGATGGTGGGGTTGGACTCTTCTCTTTAGCTGCGAATCTGACCGAATTTTTTTGGCTGCTAAGAAATTCTGGCGAGTCCCTTGCTCAAGTCTGGGCCCCCCCTGGCCACCTTGAACCACCTTCGCTAGTGCTCGTCTTCTCTGATAGCGATAAGGATAAGCAGCAGCGGCAGGCAGTGGAATTTCTGAGGAGAGGTCCCTCCGTCATCGTCTGCGTGCTCTTCTTGCCATTGGGGATTTCACAACACTCAAGAAGTCAAACACCACCACAATGTCTTTAACAGAGGCATCCGTTGTCCTGCCAGGGGACACCATAGACCCCTCAAATATACCTTCACATCCCAAGAAAGCACTCCAACTAGGGCCTGGACTACGGCACATCCCACCAAGCACTATTCTGCCCACCGTCGCGGGGCAGTTGGTCACAGACCGGAGGAAGAACTCATTATGGGTCGAATACAACGGTGGCCGAGTAAGCATCCCGTCCGCAGTCTCGAAATTGCTGTAGCTGACCGCCGTCGACGTCTAGTATGTGCCATCACAAGGTGACCTCGTAATCGGCCAGGTACACCACGGCGCCGCAGACTTCTACTACGTCCAGCTAACCCCTCACACCTCCAACGCCCTCCTTCCCGTACTCGCATTCGAGATGGCCACAAAAAAGACGCGGCCTCAACTCGCAAACGGCCAACTGGTCTACGCACGCGTGTCACTAGCCAACAAGCACATGGACGCCGAGCTGGAATGTGTGAACCCCGCGACCGGGAAGGCAGATGGGCTAGGCCCGCTGACAGGTGGCATGCTATTCACTGTTTCACTCGGCTTTGCGAGGAGACTATTGCTGCCCAAGAGTACAACCGACGGTGGCGTCGTGGTGCTCGAAGAGCTCGGTAGCTTGGGGCTCGGCTTTGAGATCGCAGTGGGCAGAAATGGCAAGGTATGGGTCAACAGCGAGGCTGTGAGATCCATCTTGGTGGTTGGAAGGGCACTCAAGGAGACCGACGAGTCTCGCCTGGACGTGGACGCCCAAAGAAAGTTGGTGAAGAAGCTGGTCAGGGAGACCGTCTAGCAGGTCACTTCACCAGGCACTGAGATGGTCTTCTTCAAACACAGAGACTGCTGAAAAATGCACTTGGAAAAGTCTTTCAGCATTGACGATCCTGGTGGTCCTCACAGCGTACCCCAAGTGTCATGGAGATGAAGCGCCCAGGATTTGTGAGCATGGGGTTCGGTCACCACAGAGGCTTTTTTCCATGCGACCTTGAAGCTCCGGCACTGGAAGAAGCAAAAAGGCAGAGATGGAGTAGACGAGGCAAAGATACCCGAATCATTTAGGAATTGGCAAGGACTGAAGGGGCTTGCCCGGAGTGAAGGCCACCACCCTGCGACTTGCAAGCTATCACCCCGGTGGCAGGTGCATTTGGAGAACTATAAACATGCAGTAGTACTTCATAGCCCGGAATTAGTTGAGCCAATGGAAGATACTAAGGACATCAATCATTCCAAGTCTATTACAATCTAAATTTATACAACATAACTATAAAGCTAAGTTTATCCCTATTTACTACCTTATAAAGTTTCTAATTAACTTTCTATTTAATTTTATTATTATAAATAAATATTATATTATTTATAATCTATATATTAAATTTTATATTTATTATATTTATTTATATTAATAATATTAATTAATAATATTATTTAATTTAATTTATATTATATATAATTTTATTTATATAATAAATAATTATATTATATATTTATAAATATATTTTATTTAATTTATATTATATAAAATATTAATTATATAATATTTATATAAATAAAATTAAATATTTATATTTATAAAAATATTTATTTATATTAAATAATTTAAATATTATAATATTTAAATTAATATAAAGTTAATTATTTAATAATTTAATTTTATAAAATAGTATTTTATTTAAATAAAAAAAGTTATTTTAAAAGAAAGTATATTAAAAGAAAGTATTTTATAAAAAGTTATTTTATAAAAAGTTATTTTAAAAGGTTATTTAAAAAGAGTGTTTTAAAAGAGAGTATTTTATAGGAGGTTATCTTATAAGAGGTTATTCTAGGAGGTTATTCTAATATAGTATTTTAAAGGAGGGTGTCCTAAAGGAGGGTGTTCTAAAGGAGGGTGTCCTAAAGGAGGGTGTCCTAAAGGAGGGTGTCCTATAGGAGGGTGTCCTAAAGGAGGGTGTCCTAAAGGAGGGTGTCCTAAAGGAGGGTATCCTAAAGGAGGGTGTCCTATAGGAGGTTGTCCTATAGGAGGTTATCCTAGGAGGTTGTTCTAGTAGGGTGTCCTAGAGGAGGGTGTCCTAGAGGATCTTTCTCTCTAGACTATCACAATCCCCCCTAATGCCTTACAAAGCACTTAAATAGCTTAGAGATGGATTGGGTACCTATAAGAGGCCTGGAAATCTCTTAAATAGGATAGATATCTATAGTACACTTAAGCTACTTTATTAAAGTAAACGGCCCACCTTAGTACTATAATTATAAACTATAAACACTATACCTACTAGCTTATTAATACTTTAAATAAGATTTTTTTTAAATTATAAAAGCTTAAACTTATAACTTTAAAATTAATTATTAAGATAAACTAATTAATTATTAATATAATAAACGTTTTAATTTAAAAATTAAAATAATTAATTTATTAATTAATTATTTTTAATTATTATAAAAGGATTATAAAAGAAATAAAGCTTTTAAATTTTATTTAAAATTATAAAATTTTAAATAATTTTTAATTTATTTAAAAATAAAAGAAAAGGAAAAAAAAGCTTTTAATAATTTTAATATTAGAAGAACTTGAAGCTTTAAAAATTATAAATAATTTATATACTTAATTACTTACTTTAATTTTTAATTTAATATAATTATAATATTAATAATTTATATAATTTAATATAAAATATTTAATTAAAAATTCTTTTATTAATTTATAAAAATATATAAAATATCGGTTAGCTTAGTTTATGCGTAAGAAGTAGTTAAAGTAGTGTATATTAGTAATAATTAAAGGTCTACCTAGCTAAGCGGCAAAGCGCCCAGTTGGGTTAACTAGACCTACTAACTAAAAGTAGTCCATACATATATATAGGTCTACTAACCTTATAATAGCTAATCTATTATAGCTTATTATTCCTATATTAATAACTTTTTAATCTTTTAAAATCTTCCTTCTAACTAATTAAAGAGCTCTATTTACTAATAAATTAATTTCTAACTAAATCACTAAATCACTTAAAATTACTACTAAACATATAATTATAATTCATTTAATTTAAGCATTATAAAAACACTTTAAATTAATATTTTTATAAATTACTTAAATTACTTAAATTTAAATTACTTTAATAAATAAAATTAAATCTAAATTATTAATTATTTATTAAACTATCTACTAAATAATTATTAAACTATTATTTAATTATTTACTAACTATAATTAATTATTAATTAATTTATAACTATTAATTAATTTAGTTAATCCTCTAATAGTTTCTTCTTCTCTTATAGTTTATTTAATTAAGGCGCTCTAATATATATTAGGTAAGCTTTCTTTAATTAAAGTAATAATTATTAAAATTATAATTATTAAAATTATTATTAAAATTATAATTATTATAATTATTATTATAATTAAAATTATTATTTAAATAATAGTTATTACTTAAATTATTACTTAAATTAAAATCTTTATTTAAGGTAAAGTTTAATCTACCTTTATTTAAGTAATAATTCTCCTTTTCCTTATAGTCTTTATCTCTATTAATAATATAATTATCTTTTTAAAAAGGTCTAATAGAATAAGTTAAAGTAAAGCTATTAAAACTACTATTATTACTATTATTACTACTACTTTATTATATAATAAGGCTAGTTTAAATAAAGCTAATAAAGCTAATAAAGCTACTATTTATAAAGGGTCTAAATCTAGACTTAAATAACTTAAGAACTATTAACTTTAACTTTAATTTAATAAAAAGTAGTTACTTTTACTACTTTTACTTCTTATAAACTATTAATTTAAGGTAGAAGTCTACCTTCTTAAATTCATCTTAAGGCCATTTAAATAGGTTAAATTAATAATTATTATCTTATATTAGGATTTTATTAAAATTAATAAATACTTTAAGTAACTCCTTTTTATTAATATAAATATTATAATAGTAAAAATACTTTTAAAGCTTTTAAAATACCCTATACTTAATCTTTAAAAAAGTTACCTTTAACTAATTATTAAAAAAATCTTAAAAGTTTTAATAAAAAGGGTTATTAAAGTTAAAAGTAATTATAATTAAATAATATATTAATATATTAAAGAATCTATAAAGTCTTATAAATTATTAATTCCTTTTAAATAATATATTAAACAATTTCTATAATAGTAATTTATATAATTAAGGATTTAAGTTATATTAAATTTTTAGTTTAAATTAATAAATCTTAATAAATATCATTAATATACTTTTTAAAGGCTATATATAACTTAAACGATTTATAGGTATCATTATACTATAAGTAGGTAATAGGTTAGTTAGTAGGTATTATAATCATTATAAAAGGTTACTATAAAAGGTCTTTCTAAAAGGTTATTTAATAGGCTATAAGGGCTACTATAGGCATCTATAATCTAATACTTCTTTTAGTATATTATAAGAAAGAGAGAGAGAGAGAAAGAGAATTATTATAGAGAGGGTTTACTTATTTAATTACTTATTTAAATAATATAAAGTAAGTTAGTAGAGCAATCTACTAAATAAATTAGTTAGTAGATAGCTAAATACTAGTTTAAGAGTAGGCTTAAATTATTAGTTATAAAAAAGATTGATTAACTTAAAAGAAGAGTTACTATAAATATTTATAGTTTTAAGTCTCTTTTAATATATTATAAAAAAGTAAGAGAATTATTATAAAAGAGAGTTTTATAAAACTTACTTAATAAAAGGGTTCTATTTAAATTATTAATTTATATTTATAAATATTTATAAATAACTTTATCCTCTTTAAATTATAATATTTATAAATATTTATAGATAGTTTTAATAATAGCTTTAAATATTATACCTTATTATTAGAAGCTAATTGGTAATTAATTAGTATTAGTTAGCTTAGTTTACACATAAGTAGTTAAAGTAGTGTATATTAGTAATAATTAAAGGTCTACCTAGCTAAGCGGCAAAGCGCCCAGTTGGGTTAACTAGACCTACTAACTAAAAGTAGTCCATACATATATATAGGTCTACTAACCTTATAATAGCTAATCTATTATAGCTTATTATTCCTATATTAATAACTTTTTAATCTTTTAAAATCTTCCTTCTAACTAATTAAAGAGCTCTATTTACTAATAAATTAATTTCTAACTAAATCACTAAATCACTTAAAATTACTACTAAACATATAATTATAATTCATTTAATTTAAGCATTATAAAAACACTTTAAATTAATATTTTTATAAATTACTTAAATTACTTAAATTTAAATTACTTTAATAAATAAAATTAAATCTAAATTATTAATTATTTATTAAACTATCTACTAAATAATTATTAAACTATTATTTAATTATTTACTAACTATAATTAATTATTAATTAATTTATAACTATTAATTAATTTAGTTAATCTCTAATAGTTTCTTCTTCTCTTATAGTTTATTTAATTAAGGCGCTCTAATATATATTAGGTAAGCTTTCTTTAATTAAAGTAATAATTATTAAAATTATAATTATTAAAATTATTATTAAAATTATAATTATTATAATTATTATTATAATTAAAATTATTATTTAAATAATAGTTATTACTTAAATTATTACTTAAATTAAAATCTTTATTTAAGGTAAAGTTTAATCTACCTTTATTTAAGTAATAATTCTCCTTTCCTTATAGTCTTTATCTCTATAATAATATAATTATCTTTTAAAAGGTCTAATAGAATAAGTTAAAGTAAAGCTATTAAAACTACTATTATTACTATTATTACTACTACTTTATTATATAATAAGGCTAGTTTAAATAAAGCTAATAAAGCTAATAAAGCTACTATTTATAAAGGGTCTAAATCTAGACTTAAATAACTTAAGAACTATTAACTTTAACTTTAATTTAATAAAAAGTAGTTACTTTTACTACTTTTACTTCTTATAAACTATTAATTTAAGGTAGAAGTCTACCTTCTTAAATTCATCTTAAGGCCATTTAAATAGGTTAAATTAATAATTATTATCTTATATTAGGATTTTATTAAAATTAATAAATACTTTAAGTAACTCCTTTTATTAATATAAATATTATAATAGTAAAAATACTTTTAAAGCTTTTAAAATACTATACTTAATCTTTAAAAAGTTACCTTTAACTAATTATTAAAAATCTTAAAAGTTTTAATAAAAGGGTTATTAAAGTTAAAAGTAATTATAATTAAATAATATATTAATATATTAAAGAATCTATAAAGTCTTATAAATTATTAATTCCTTTTAAATAATATATTAAACAATTTCTATAATAGTAATTTATATAATTAAGGATTTAAGTTATATTAAATTTTTAGTTTAAATTAATAAATCTTAATAAATATCATTAATATACTTTTAAAGGCTATATATAACTTAAACGATTTATAGGTATCATTATACTATAAGTAGGTAATAGGTTAGTTAGTAGGTATTATAATCATTATAAAGGTTACTATAAAAGGTCTTTCTAAAAGGTTATTTAATAGGCTATAAGGGCTACTATAGGCATCTATAATCTAATACTTCTTTTAGTATATTATAAGAAGAGAGAGAGAGAAAGAGAATTATTATAGAGAGGGTTTACTTATTTAATTACTTATTTAAATAATATAAAGTAAGTTAGTAGAGCAATCTACTAAATAAATTAGTTAGTAGATAGCTAAATACTAGTTTAAGAGTAGGCTTAAATTATTAGTTATAAAAAAGATTGATTAACTTAAAAGAAGAGTTACTATAAATATTTATAGTTTTAAGTCTCTTTTAATATATTATAAAAAAGTAAGAGAATTATTATAAAAAAGAGAGTTTTATAAAACTTACTTAATAAAAGGGTTCTATTTAAATTATTAATTTATATTTATAAATATTTATAAATAACTTTATCCTCTTTAAATTATAATATTTATAAATATTTATAGATAGTTTTAATAATAGCTTTAAATATTATACCTTATTATTAGAAGCTAATTGGTAATTAATTAGTATTAGTTAGCTTAGTTTACACATAAGAAGTAGTTAAAGTAGTGTATATTAATAATGGTTAGAGGTCTGCCTGGCTAGACAACAAAGCGCCCAGTTGGGTTAGCCAGACCTACTAACTAAAAGTAATCCATGCGTATACACAAGCCCACTAGCCTTACAGTAGCTAATCCACTATAGCCTACTATTCCTACATAAAAAGTATTTAACTTTATATACTTATATTTTATTTTTTAAATATATATTTAATTTTATTATTAATATTAATATTATAAAAAATATTAATAATTTAAATTAAAGTTTAATATTTATATTTAAAATTTAAAATTTTATATTAAATATAATAAAAGTATTTTATTTTAAGTTTATTAAAATTATATTTAATTAATAGGTATTTAAGTAGTTAATTAAAGTTAAGATAATAAATAAATATAATTTAAAGTTTCTCTTACAATGTAAGCCTTATATAATCTATTATTCTAATAATAGCACAATCATAGGATGAAAATAGTCTTGTAGAATAATTTCAGATAAATTTGAAATACTTTCACATGACTTATAATACAAAAATTATCATGATACATAAGTTTTGCCACCTTATCCGCTCAAAGCCGTGGAGAGAATACATGTCTAGATAGCATGCTCAAGTGTGGCCACATCATGGATTACCTAGATTCAAATCATGGCTCAACTTCCACGGCGGATAAGATTGATTTAACTTTCGATGAGCAAGCCGTTAATAACACTTGAAAGCCCTCGAGAGTACCGAGGTAACCCGCATGGACAACCTCCTATGGTAGAATACACATCAGAGACAATTGAGAGCCCTGGATTGACACTGAATAAGTGCGGTGGGAGTCGCAAAAACGTGGTCCTTTTTGTAATCATACATGTGAGTTAGAGAAACTTGCATAGAGGCACACTATGCCTTCCCTTTTGATGGGTACCTAAGTACAGTGGTAGGTCAAGTGGCTAACGTTGATTGTTACTTCCACAGACTTGCATAGATGATGCGTTCTCCCTTGAAGGAATTCCTGGAATGGAGTGTGGCCCAGTTGTCAACCAAGAGCACGTCACCGCGGTTCCATGTGAATGCAACTGAAAGCTCGGCCATAATTTCCTGGCACCTGCGCAGCACCTCCGCATCGAGCGGGCTGCCGTCGCCAAAGACGACGGCTTTGCGCGGGTCATTCCGCGAGTCCTTCCATCCCGTGAAAGCTGCCACGATGCTATTGAACCATGATGTCTTCCCTGTTCGCGGGTCCTTCTTCGTGGCCGGGATGACGGCCGTGGTCGTCTTGAGCAGGTTGCCCTCGAGCCATTCCAGCTCCATGCCCACCCCCCTGCCCACCCTTTCGGCTTCCTCACGGGTTTCCACCGCGAAAGTGGATCTCCAGCCTCTACCGATTGCGCTCGAGGGGTCATCGGCTTCCGGGAGGACCCTGACGTACTTGACGCCCTTCTGTTCCAGCTCTGACACAAACTGTGGAAGCTCTCTTCTGATTCGCTCAAACACCAGGTTTGACAGCACGATGGGCGTCTCGCCGCCCTCAGGCGGCGCTTTCATGCAGTAGAAGAGCAAGGTGCCAGGGTGGCTCTTACTCTGGGCCATCTCGTGATGGAACGGGATGAGCTGGTCGGCGGGGGACTCGTTCGCGGTGAAGACGGACCCGCTCACCACTGTTCGGGGTGCTGCGCCGCCGATGTAAGGGAACTCAGCCAAACCAAACGCTTTGCATACGGCATCGAAGTCTGCGGCAGTGGATATGGGTGGGCAAAAGTCGCGAAGAAGGATAGCGCCATGAGTGTTTGCGAGATCGATTAATTGCTTCCGGTTCTGAGTGACCCACGCGGCGACAGCTTCGGTGGTATTGAGAGCGGTTGTTGGCTTGTTGGACCCAGAATTTCCAGGAGTGAGAACCAACGGGAATGAGACTGCTGTGCCGTCGATTTCGAAATGCTTTTGAGCAGTGATGTAGCCCACTTGAACTGGGCTTAGATTGGCAGCGGCGGTCATTCTGTCCAGATTTCTGTTCCGAATGCGGTTTCTTGCTGTCTGAGAAAAGCCAACAAGCAAACCTTGGAAAGTATGACAATTGACAGTCCAGGTGGCAAGAGCCTTTACAGAAGTATACAGGCTACGCTGTGTTCGCAGCCTAGTCAAAAGTCTTTAATGGACGGGGCATTGGCGATGGCGCAATTGCAACGGGACGGGCCCGGACCCGGGGCCCGGAGGCGGTGATATTGCGCCATCGGCCGGCATTCTCTCGGCTTTTCTGAATTTATCGAAGTGTTTCGTTTGCAGTACTACTCTGAGAGATTGATCACTTGATTTTCTACTTCCCCAGACCGGCCTGCAAGAAGAGTCTGGACTCTTGTCGGCAGTGCTGGTGGAATTGGAGCCCACCGAGCCGCGATTGGCCAATGTCATGTGCATTGGTGCGCAGCTTAGCCTGCGGGGAGGGGTGAGATGACCTGCCGCAGCCGCAGGTCACAGGGCGGATTTGCGCAAAACGCCAGTTGGGCCGCGAGCCTTGCAATGGAGGCACAACATAAAAAGTAATGGCGGCCCCAGACCATCCCGTCCGTGGAGGCTGGGCGTGTAGGTTTTGTTGGCCCACGTCCTGAAGAAGCCCTCGTTGGTTGTATTAATATTGAAGATGGACAGCCTCCACGCCGCCGACTTGTGCACGGAAAAGCGTGGGCCGGCGCCGGTTGAGCAGCGCGCCAAGCAGCGTCGTTCATGCAGGCCGAGAACTAAGCCAGGATGCCTAACCTGCCAGTGAGTCCAGAGATTCCGTGACATCCATCGCCAACCCTGCGTTGACGCTGAAGCGAAGCTGACTCGATGCCATAGAACACGGAAGACGAAGTGTGACGCGGAAAAGCCTGAGTGCACTCAATGTGTCCGCGGTGGATTTGTATGTGCCGGCTACCCTCGATCTGCAAAACTGTCAGGGTCCGTTCAAGACCGCAAAGTCGTAACAGGAAGTCAAGATGTCCGAGGTAAGCCGCGTTCCGGGTCGAATGAGGAGCTCATTGTCGCCCGAACGCTTCAGGATTCATTCTAACGCAAATGGTTTCCCAGAGATACTTGAATGTGCGAGGTTTAGTCCTCAGGCGCAGAATACCAAAGGGCCTGGATTCACTGATGCGCCTCCACCGCAGGAGAACACCAATCTCCGCCGGACAAGCATGATGGATTCCAGCCAGCGTCTGAAGTATGACGTTTGGAATAAATCATCCTCGCCGATGGCAATCCCCGGGACGTCGTCATCGAACGCTTCGGGCAGACTGGGTGTATCCACCTCGATGGTGGAAAGTACAGATGCCCTCCTGTCGCGGTCCCTCCTCGAGCAGTGCCGACTTGACGAGAGTCCCGGAAGCATTAGCCCCAGGTCCAACGACGCGAGTTGGCGGTCTCGATGGTGGTCCGACGCCGTAAACAGTAACAAGACGTCTCTCTCGACTTGCGTTTCTTTTGCGGGGCAGCCCCAAACCATGGAGAGTTACGACCGCGACGACCATGAAAATCTGGCACAGGAGGACCCGAAGTTTTCCAAGGAGCAGACAGCCACACAGAGGTGTTGGAGCCATGTCTCCGCCTTGTCCGCTATGCTGGGGAGCGTCCAAGGCCCTGAGCCGCTTTGTCCTCCGAAACACGACATTTGGGCTCTGATGGCCACTGCGAGGAAGTTCCAGCCCTGTTTGGGGAAGCTCGGCCGCTGCTCGGGGCCGAGCAACAGGAAACCCCAGAGCTGCCCCAACCCTCGGACGCAGAGGATCCTAGATGAGGTTGCCCTGAGTCCCAGCAGCGCCTCGAAGCCCGTCGCCATTCCAATATTGAAGTCGGCCCTTGGTCGCCCCATTCGAGCTGGTGAGTCGACGGACACGTCATACAGTTCCGACCAGACGGCGGCGATGAAGACCTCGTGTAGCAGCAGCTCTTCTCCGGGTCTGCTCTCGTGCGAAGAGCGTAAAAGGGCCCTCTTGGACCGACTCATGGAGTACTTCTTCGCCGAGCTCGCAAGGGGCCGAACGAACGCCACAGGCCGGGCAGGATGCTCAACAGGGCCAGGTAAAAAGTCCACAGCTGGGAGTTCAAGCCGCCAAGGGGACCCGCAGGATGGCCTCTCGAGGAAGAACAAACGACCCGCCAACAGCGATGAGCGCGGCGGCGATGACAATGAAGAACATGAGGCGCCAAAACCCAAGAAGGCCAAAAGCGATGAGGTCGAGGTGAGGAGACTCGCCTGCCCCTTCTTCAAGAGGAATCCTCGCCGCTACAAGGACCAGAGCAAGTGTGTCGGGCCTGGTTGGCTTACGGTGCATCGTCTGAAGGAACACCTCTACCGGCGGCACATGCTGCCGATTCACTGCTATCGGTGCCGGGAGACCTTCCCCAACGACCGGCTCCTCCAGTTGCACTCACGGTCAAAATCACAGTGCGCGGTGCGCGACGACGCGCCGGGAGAGCAGGAGCTTCAAGGGATTGACGCGCATCAGGAGAGGCTTCTGCGCAGCAGGAAGAGAACCGACAAGAGCGAGGCCGACAAATGGCGCGACGTATTCCGGATCTGCTTCCCGGCTGACGCGCCGGATATTATACCCACGCCGTGGTTCGAGCTGCCGCCGGCCTGGGGAGTCGAGGCTGCGGGCCAGATGCCTAGCTCGCCGGCGTCCGATATCACGCGGTACGAAGAGTTTCTTCGGAGGGAGTTGCCCAGGCGCGTCAGAAGCGAGCTGGAGGTGCGCATTGAGCACGAGCTTAGCCCCGTGGAGGAGAGCTTAAAGCATCAGCTTGTGGATATTGTGCGGGACATGCAGCGTGAGCGATTTCTAGATACTTTCTTTACCCCTTCGAGAACAAGAGCATACATACCCCATCTCTCGCCTATGTCACGAAACGCTCCGTGGGCTGCGGGCTTTGAGACAGGCCATTGCCAAATTATCTGGTTCTTTAACGGCTAACGCCCAATGCTGCAGAGAGATTGTTTGCGGATTTCAGGAAGTTGCAAGGGGACGGAACCACTCAGACGGAGACCACAGTGGAGCTGGAAACAGAGAGCGATGGCTATGTGAAGGGTAAAGGGAGGGCTATGGCGTTGGAGTCGCCCGAGGACCTTGCCATGGAGACATCAACGTCCGGGGCTTCTTTTGACGATCCCGCCCATGAGACGCCACCCATTGTCGCTGGCCGGACACCCACTCTGCCGATCGATGTATACCGGCAGTCGCAGCCATCCCTGAACAGTACGGCCGATTTCAATGGGGTAATGTTTGAGCTGGGCCAAGGCTGTGGGGACTGGAGCTGGGCCGATTCGGGATACATGTCGGCTGCTATGTCCGCGGCGAGCAGCAACATATTTGCGGACGACGACGGCATGGTGTGTGATGATGGGATGATTGGTGGGACGATTGGTGGGCACTTTCGTCATGCTGGCATATTTGGGGATTATCGACAAGACTGGCCATGAAGCCACGGACAATGGAGCGATTGGAGTTTAGGATCGATCATATCTAATCCGTCCAGATCGAGAACGCGGGCCTTGGACTCACTGCCTGTTTTCTGGAGACAAAGTCCCAATGATTTGTCCGTCAATCATTGCCCACTTGGTTCGTCCTTGTCCGGGACCCCAAGTATCAGGCTCGGTTGACCTCTTCGGCCAGCGCCTGCTCGAAAGACTTGCCCGTGAGCCTCTGGAAGACCTCCTTGTACTTCTGCAGGGTGGCCTGCCTGACGTCCTCGGCCAGCTCGACGCCCTGCTTGCCCTTGAGCCCCTCGCGCGTGAGCCAGTTGCGGATGATCTGCTTGTCGAAGCTCTCCTGGTCCCTGCCGACCTCGTACTTGTCGGCGGGCCACATGCGGCTCGAGTCGGGCGTCAGGCACTCGTCGATGAGCACGACCTCGCCGGTCTCCTCGTCGAGGCCGAACTCGAACTTTGTGTCGGCGATGAGGATGCCCCGCTCGGCGGCGTAGTCGCGGCCGGCGTTGTAGACGGCCAGGGCCAGCTCCTCGACACGGGCGGCCAGCTTGGGGTCGCCGATGATCTCGGCGGCGCGCTCCGGGCTGATGTTCTCGTCGTGCTGGCCCAGCTCGGCCTTGGTGGAGGGGGTGTAGATGGGGCCCTGGGGGAAGGCCTCGCACTGGCGCAGGCCGGCGGGCATGGGGAGCCCACAGACGGTGCCGGTCTGCTGGTACTCGGCCCAGGCGGACCCGGTGATGTAGCCGCGCACGATGGCCTCGACGGGGAAGACCTTGAACTTGCGGACCTGCATGCTGCGGCCGCGCACGAGGGCTTCCTCGTCCGGGGCCAGGCGGCCAGGCGGGGGGTCCAGGGTGACGAAGTGGGTGCGCAGGCCGGGGATCCTCTCGGACAGCACGCGGAACCAGAAGGCGCTGATCATGGTGAGGATGGCGCCGCGGCCAGGGATGCCGTTCTCCATGACGACATCGTAGGCCGAGGTGCGGTCGGACGAGACGAAGAGCAGCGTCTTGTCGTCGAGATCGAAGAGGTCGCGCACCTTGCCTGATGCGATGCGCGGCAGCGACTTGATGTCGATCTTGAGGACCTGGTCGGCCATTTCGACTGGGCTTTACTCTCTCTTGGCTGATGCACGGACGAGCGAGCGGGCCGTGGCGGGTATCTGCAGCCTGTTTATTAGCCCCGTGGGTCCGATCTGAGACTGAGGACGTTGGTGGTTACCTATAGCGGGTGTAAATCGTTGAGGTGGACGAGAGAGTGTGATGCCCTTGGCGGCTGACTGACGAGTGAGGTGAAGGACGAGTCGGGCCATTTTACATGAGGCTCCAACCCTGAAAAGTTTGCGATCTGCAAGGGCGATCGCGGAGGCGGCGCCGGCTGTAACCGCATCTCAATAACTCTCAATAACAACAACCTGAGGGCCACGTCCAGGATCTGTGACTGCCACTCATAATGAGATTGTCCATTAGACTGTACTGTTGAGGCTGTTTTTATTTTGTGACGGGTATCCGTACAGTGTACCACCCCAAAACGCAGTCAGTGGGCGTGGTCACCGAGGTCATATCCAACCTCGGACCACGCCTCCTTGCCCAAAGGTTTCTGCAGAAAGACATGGCATGATGATACTTGTCAGCAGGGTGGAATTTGGCTTTTGGTGTGTTCAGAATTGAACCTCTGCGGATTGCAACAGAGCCTGCACGCTGCTGTCGCTACAGACCTACCACGCGTGCACATCTCATTCCCCTGATGCCGAGCTCTGGGCTGTCCACAAACAACCGGTGTGTGCCCGGTAGCCGAGTGGTGGTCAAGAGGTAGCAAAACAGGAGTGCTCGAGCCCCTCTGATGACGGGCTGGCCAAGGCTGGGTTTGCGGCAGGTTGCTCACAGCCCTGTGGTACGCAGTACGGAGGTACCTTTGGGAGGTACTTCGGTACTTGAGTACTTAAGTTTCTTAGTGTCTCTGCACATGCCCCAAGGCGTCCGTTCACGTGGGCATGATCTGGACGTTGAGCTGCAGGAGCTTGCAGGTTGCGCAGGAGTAAAATGGTCCAGGCGAGCAGAAGGCAAGACATGCGGAACGCTGAGATGTTAAAGAACGAGACCTTTTTGTTCACCATGTTGGCGGTGCTGGAGACGTGTCACACGATGGAACATGGCGGCTTGCCCGGGCGAGCATTGATGTCACGGCAGTGCCCAGCCTCTGCCCAGGCCAGCGCCAAGGCCTGGGGATGGTAGCACCCGGGCCCATGAGCTGCCACAGGCCCACAGCACCGCACCAGCCCGCTGCATGTCAGGCCTGTCAGGCCTGTTTACCATCAGCCTGCTGGGCCTGGCCGGGCAGCCACGCAACCGCGCGTCCCGCTAGCCTGCTTTGATCCAAACACAGCTCCCCGGCTGGGCCAACCACACCACAAGTCTGGCGATCATGCATCTTGTCGGCGCCTCTTTCGATTTGCCCGTTACCACTTTGCCGAGAAGCCCATCTGCAGAAGCAAGGCACCCGGCGAAAATGACGATCTCTGTCCGCCCTGCTGTGACTGTGTTGCATCGCCATGGAATATCGGCATTGGCCATGCGACGAGCGCCCGCACCCCGCCGCCGCCCCCTCCGCCGCCCTTCTGTTAGACAGACTAATTCATTTATTATCTTGACTCCCTGCCTCCGCAAACCCCCCATCCCCAACCCAGGTGTGCAGTGGAAGTGAAGTGTTGGTTGTGCTGTAGCCTCCCTCCCCCGTTGTAACCTCGCCGACGGACAGAATAAACGCCACTTGTGCAACGCCGTTGGAACACCCAAATCAAAGAGGTCCTCACTCTGACGCCACAGGGGCACCAAGGTGAGCTTGCGTTCAACGATATTAACCAAGGCAGCACAGCTTCCGACATCTCTGCGAAGAGGAGCCCACCTCACCGGCATCCATCATGAAAACCTGCCCTCCACCTGCGCTCCTCGCGCTGCTGCTGCCGGTGACGGCCTCAGCCAGTGTCGTCAGGATACCTGTGGCGAGAAACTCACCTGGCACCAGCCTCTCCACGCGGCATCACCCGCGCCTGTCACCGCGGGCGTCTTTCACCGAGTCCCTGGTCAACAACATCACTGGCGGTGGATACTACGCCAGCGTCTCGGTAGGCACCCCGGGCCAGGATATAGACATGATCCTGGATACCGGGAGCAGCGATGCTTTCATAGTGGCCGCCGGCGCCGACCTGTGCGATAGTCAGAGGTTGCAGCTGATTTACCAGACGCAATGTGGGCAGACATGTGAGCCCTTCCTCTTTTCTGTCTCCATGTCCTTGTGCCAGTCTTGGCCGACCCGCGATATTGTTACTGACCGCGCAACCAGTCGACCCATCTCAAAGCTCTACGTATAATGTCGTCGTACCTGGTGGCTTCCAAATACAGTATCTGGATGGTAGCACTGCCTCGGGAGACTACGTTACCGACCATTTCGAGATTGGTGACACAGTCATCGAGTCACTACAGATGGGTCTTGCCAACCAGACCGCTTCTGGGACAGGAGTCCTCGGGATCGGCTACACCGCCAACGAGGCTGCCGAAACTCTCTATCCAAACCTCGTGGATCAAATGGTAGCACAGGAATTTATACCAACAAAGGCATACTCCCTCTATCTAAATGACTATCAGTCCTCCACCGGCAGCATCTTGTTCGGCGGTGTGGACACGGAGAAATTCATCGGCGGCCTCACGGTCATCCCGGTCCTGCCGGACGCGCAGACGCAGAACTTCACCAGCTTCACGGTGGGAATGACGGCCGTCTCGTACGCCTTTCCCAACGGGACGACGGGCGACGCACGCTTGCAAGGCGGCAGTCTGGACGCGATCCTCGACTCCGGGACCACGCTCTCTTATTTCCCGGACTCGGTTGCCACGCCTCTTTTTGAAGCCTTGGGCGCCTTCACCTACAGCTCACTGGGCTCGGTGGGGCTGACCATGGTCGAATGCAGTCTCGCCAACTCGGGCCTGGAGCTGACCTTCCGCTTCAACGACAGCGTCTCGATCGTGGTGCCGGCCGACGAGGTTGTCATCGACGCGTTCGGGCCCGTGGAGGGCACGATCCCGCCCGAGATCCCCCTGAGGCAGCCTTGCCTGTTTGGGATCCAGAACTCCGGCGACTCACTGCCAAGCGAGGGGGCGCGCCAGATCGACTTTGCCCTGCTGGGAGACACCTTCCTGCGCAGCGCGTACGTCGTCTACGACCTTGACAACAACCAGATCGCCATGGCACAGGCGAACCTCAACAGCACCGACACAAACATCCAGGAGCTGACCGAGTCGTCGGACCTCTCGTCGTTCGAGGGCATGGAGCAACAACAGGGGTCGAGCGGCACGTCTGGCGGTGGTAGCTCGGGTACGTTGTCTGTGAGCGGTGTCACAAGCAGCAGTGCTGTTAGTAGCGTTTCTGCCACAAGTGTAGGCAGCGCGACTTCTGGGAATAGGACATCGGGTTCGGGCTCGAGTGCGAGTACGGTCAGCGCGGGAGGGGTGATGACTGCGACGGTCGCAAGCACCAGGGCGACGTCCTGCTCGACTGCGGACTCGGCGCCGTCAAACCACCCCTCTCCTCTGGCCAGTGTCAGCGGGACCGTGCCCAGCAGCAGCCCTGGGGTTCAGCCTGTCTCTGCGACTCTTACTAATGGTGTAATAGCTTCTTCCGCGGCTAATGCGGGCCTGCTGGTGGCAGATTCGGCGCACGGGGCTCTATACACGGCTGGGTTGGCAGCATTGTTTGCTATTTCTGGAAGTGCATTGTTTTGTTTGTAGACAGGCATATCAAGACTGAGTTGGATACCAAGGGGGGAGGGGAATCACATGGACAGTGTCAGAGTGAAGACGATAGATCTGCATCCTCACAATCTTTATCGGGCTGCATATGCCCTAGCAATGTCATAATATGTAATATGCCATTCTCCGAGTCCAAGCCACGAGCGACCTTGTTTGACATTTTCAGATCTACAGCTCGACTCAGTCCCGAACATGGTCATTGTTGCGCACCTGTCCGCGAAGTTGAGTTTACCACAGGCCCATGGCCCTTCTCCCCAGGCCTCCCGGGCCTCAATACCGGGCCCATGTGTTCAGGGGCCTGTCCATTCTCGCCAGCGGCCCCGTCAGCACCGCCCTTGAGCTGGCTGGTTACCCCCTCCGCCTCAGTTTCGCCATTGGCCCCTCCCCCAACCCTCTCACCCATGATGCCGTCCCTGTTTGCCCTCCACACGGCACTGCGGTCATCCTCAAACGTCTCCAGCTTCCAGATCTCGGCGCGCGCCTTGACCTCCTCCAGGCACTCCTCCCCGGCGTGCCACGCGGCGGCGCGATGGGGGCTCGACACGGCGATGAGGATGCTCTCCTCGCCAACGGGCACGACGCCCAGCCGGTGGACGATCGCGACTCCCTTGAGCCCATGCTTCTCCTTCAAGGCCTCGGCGATGTCGCGCATCGTCCGAAGTGCCAGTGGTGCGTACGACTGGTAAGCTAGGTTGAGCACCGGGCGCCCGCCAAAGTTGTCGCGCGTCGTCCCCGCGAAGAGGACCGTCGCGCCCGCCTGTGGGCTGCGGACCTTTTCCATCACGGGCTTTGGGTCGAGGGGGTCGTGGGTTAGGCCCACGTAGATGCCTGGCGAGGTGAGCGAGGTCTCGCTCGCGTCGGTGGCCATGGTGGGTATGCGCCGTGGGTGAAGCCGAGGTGTGTTTTACCGTTCTTCCCCTTGAGACCTGGTCAGGACTAGCCCCGTGTGGCCCGCGAAGCCAATTGTTCTCTGAAACGGGGCCGGCATGTGATGCTCTCTCCTCCCATGGGCTTCTGATGGTGATGTCAGGATCCGTCGGCGGTCTTGGTGCTGGCTGGTGTCTTTCGCAAATGAGCGAGTATTCCACTAGGCATATAAAAATAAGTGGTGTTGTAAATGGGGGAAAGTCCGCGGTGATTAGTCTTCTCTCGTCGTGAGATTATACAGAAGATAGGCACAGGAGCCGTCCCGAGAAGGCTGCCGGCACTGTGGAGCTCCAGGCCCGGGGCCGCCCTCGGCGATCGGCCACAGGCCCGCTTGTAGTTACATGGGTCCCAGGAAACCAGGGTGGGCAGGCACCTGGGCGGCAGTGTCCACTATCCAGGGTCCCCCAGAATACGAAGCTCAAGCCCCCCCCCTGCCGCCGTCGCCTTGCGCAACGAATTCAACATCATCCGTCTTTCTCACTCCAGCCTTGTCCAACCCAGACCGCACCCCTTTCAAATCAACTAACCACCTGGGCACGTAGTATTCTCTCCCACCTCGCTCTGTTCTTCTTGTTTCTTGTTTCTTTTTTAATTTCCTACTCCCACAATGTACGACGACGATAGACCGCGCCACTCGTACAGGGCAAGATCCCGCGACCGAGACCGCGACCGAGACTACGACCGGGACTACGACCGGGACTACGACCGAGGGCGAAGCGGCTACCGCCGCAGCTCCAGGTCTCCGCGCCGCGAGCGGGACGAGGGCGATTATGACTACTATCGTTCGCGGAATGGTAAAGCAGCATTGCCTGGAGGATGAGAAACTCAAGCGTGCCTTGTCCATGGGCTGTCGTGTTCGTTGAGGCTAACACAGGCCCCAAAACAAAGACGACCAGGGCTCTCTGCCCTACGATGATGATCAACTCGACTACCGCAATCGTGACCGTGACCGTGACCATCGCCTAGCATCACGGTCGCCCCCAGCCCGCCGACATGCGCCGCCTCCCGCACAGCCATCCCCTACCATCGTCGTCCAAGGCCTGCCTGCCGACGCCACCGAGGACGACGTGATGGACGGCTTCGCGAGCGTGTCGCCCGACCTCAAGGTGTTCAACGCAGACAAAATCAGGACAGTCAGGCTGCGCAACAACGGGCGTGGGCGCACAATCGGTTTCGTCGAATTTGCAGACGCCAATGCGGCCGCCCACTTTTTGGACTTCCACTACCCCTCGCTCGAGTTTCAGCTGGCGCACTCGCGCGGCGTCAACTCTGAGCCGGTGACCGTCAGGATCAACTACAGCTGGACCCGAGACGATGAGGGCTACGACAGGGTCAGGGAGGACAGGCCCAGGGATACTGAGGATTGGAAGTGTCTCGAGGTAGGCACCCTCGTCGGGAGTAATGCGAATGTCCTCTGACGAATCATCTCTTAGTGCGCCTACACCAACTACGGCTCAAGGACTCGGTGCCACAGGTGTCGCGCTGACAAGCCGGGTGAGAGCATCTTTTCTTCTATTGTGGCATGGCGGGATGGGGATGAGCGGGGAGGCACTGCGCCCCATTGTCTAGATGCCGGCCTATTCATCCTGGACCCCCTCGGCCCACTCTGAGACGCGTTGGTTCAAACTGACAGGCGCTGCAGAAGGACATTACCGCAGGAGAGACGAGTCTGCGTCATACGGGCCAAAACTCACCGGTGAGACGGACGAGTGCCCACAGCAGCTCCCATCCCAGTATATCGTCATCCGTGGCCTGGAGCCTTCGGTCACGGAGGAGCTCTTCGCGGAAGGGGTCAAGAAGCTCTACATCGAATCGAAGCCAGAGCCGAAGAAGGAAACTCACAATAAGCTGAAGTCCACCGCGCCGACGGCGAGGACGGCCAGCCTGGGCGCGAGACCAGATTCCCTGCGGCGTGTCTTCCTCGTACGAGACAAAAAGACCAATGACGCAATGAGATACGGGTTTGCGGAGTTTGCCACGCTTGAGGACGCGCAGGGTGCGATAGAGAAATTCAAGGCATCGCCCAAGTTTGCCATTTCCTCGAAACCTGTCACGGCGGCTTTCATCCATACCGGAGTCTTCATACCGCACACCGGCCGTGTCACGGACGAAAACAGCAGCTTTCTCTTCCACCCAATATACAACAAGGACATCTTGCTCAAATACTGGGATAATCGAGTTTATCCAAGTATTATGAGGGTGACTTACGACTCAGACTCGGCCAAGCAGCAAAGCGCAGACAATGCTGGGAAATCTGAAAAGCCCGGAGATGAGGCCACCAGTGCGCAGGACGCTTCAGCAAAGAAACTCAAGAAATTCAAAATCAACCAGCCTGCGGCGAAGCCTGCCATGGTGATGGGACCGCAAATGCAGATGTGGGCGAAGAAGAGGGCTGAGCTTGTGGGACAGGCCCAGGCTCAGGCCGAGCTCGACGCTCACAGCGCCGCATCGAGTCCAGCGCCAAGTGAGAAAGGTCGCGGTTCCAGCCGCACTCAGGCCAAGGACTCGTACATCTCCTACAGCGACACCGACAGCCTATCCTGTCTGTTGTGTCTGAGGAAGTTCTCTTCGCTGCTAGCCCTGCGCGACCACGAAGTGCTGAACAAGGATCACGTCGCAAATCTATCAGATGAAGGCAAGCGCGACGCAGCCACCGAGAGACTCAGGTCCCAGGCGAAACGGCCCCAAGTGGTCACTCTTCGGGTAGCGAACGTGTCGCGACAGCCACCCGACCTGACATACACGTCCTATGCCGACAGAGACCAGCTGCATTGCCTGATCTGCCAGCGTAAATTCACAAAGGCTGCCATGCTTTCCCTCCACGAGCGCGAGAGCGAGATGCATCGCCTGAATTTGGAGGACCAGAGCAATGTCGACCGTGCCATCTCCCAGCTCGCACGTGTGGGCAAAACACCTCGAAAGATGGTGCCGGCCAGAAATAAGGGCACGCAGTATCGCGATCGGGCGAAGGAGCGCAGGCAAGCCTTCAAGCAACCGAACGCGCCGCGCAGGAAGGCACCGAAGGAGGACGCCCCGCCGAAGGAGACGGAAAAGCCCGCGGCGCCATCCAAGGGTGCTGCTCTGCTCGGAAAGATGGGATGGTCGGCAGGCGAGGGGCTGGGTGCCGAAGGCAGCGGAAGGACGGAAGTCATCGCCACAGACGTGTACGCATCCGGTGTTGGTCTGGGTGCCGAGGGTGGCAGACTTGGCGACGCTGTGGAAGAAGCCGCCAGGAAGACCAAAGACAATTACACCGACTTTGTGGAGGTGACGAGGAATAAGGCAAGGGAGAGGTATGAGAAATTGGGATAACGGACGAGGAAACGAGGAAAGCATCGGGTGCGTCCACGGGTAATATCTGCTGCGTGGGATCCGGGATAGAAAGCCCCCACGACCCGAGTGCCGACGACACGGAGCCGAAAGCCAAGTCGCACAATGCGAGCCGTCGAGCACGACAAATTACATGATGAATTACACATTCTCCGACGGGCTCTCTCGTAGAACCAAACCACATCCCATGGCCCTTGCCAACTGTGAGAGAGACTGCCGACACGCTGCAGAGAGATCATCTAACAGCCTGCCAGGCTTGGGACATTGCCTCCCCAGAGACAAGAAAGGCATCACGACACCCCGGCAGTAGTGTTGCGAGCCGAGGGTTACAGGAAACTGGGAACATGGTGCCGTGGTGCAACGCTTACCTCGCTGTCCAGGGGCGGGCCATCACCTTATCGGTGACATCCCGGTCGCCATGCATTATACCACAGTCGTACTACGCTAGGTAACTAACTCATGTACAACCCGCACTCCGCCCGCAGCGTTGATCACTGGTGGCGGGCAGACGTGGGGAACATGTCCCAATCACTGCCGTCAATTATCCACCCCCTGCTAGCCCCCTTCAACGCCCGGCATCGTCGATAAAATCCCAACCTTTTTAGGCAGGTCGAAAGGCGAGACACACATGCGCAGCCGTCTTTGGGGTGGCTTTCTCCTCCGCGATAGTCCCCTTGGCTGCTATAGTACCACCATCGCACACACACCCACATGCTTGTGGCCGGATGTCGAGCTGCCATTCTAGACTATGGATTTGTCAAGTGACAGACAGATAACCCCGTCTCCCTGCCGTCTGGGCGGCTTGACTACATACGCCCGCCGCGATGGCGTGCCGTGGCTCGAACTACCTATCATTCCGGTCCTCTGCTCTCTGATTAGACTTGAGGCTTTCTCCGTTCCCTCTCCTCTCGCGCATCCTCGTCAGGTCGAGGTCTTTCTGTTGTTTCTGTCTTCGACTCCCCGTCCCGGCTTGAGTTGTCAGCGGGCTTTTGCATAAGCACTTGTCTTCGGCGCACTTTGCGCCGGCGAAGTCGCCCACAGCCGTGCTTATTCTTACGAGGCAATCACTATTACGACGCTCTGAGCCTCTCCGAAGTCCGGACTTGGCCTCACGGGCTTCCAACAGCCGCCAGAAGAATTGGCATGCTCTTGTCAGCCGAGACTGCCCAAGATGGTGTTCGGCATACGCAGGCGACATGAGGCCGAGATAGTCGAGTTCGAGGTGGCCGAGACCGCCTCGGAGCGGGAGATCCTGCGGTCTTTGGGTGTGGCGTCGCTGACCCAGTTCGAGAAGATGCACCGGCTCGATCCGAATATGCCCATCGACGAGTTGGAGCAGATCGACGCCGCCGTCCGGGAGGGCAATGCCGAGAAGGGCGTCGAGATTGAGCATCTGATCGTTGAGGATAACTCGCCATATCCCGAGGTAGGCTAGGCTTCTCCTACTCATCACCGCTCTCCCTTAGAGGAAGTCGTTGAGAACTCATGCGGATGGTGGATATTAGGTCCGCTCGACGGTCCGCAACTACGATGTCGATCTCCCAGCGAATACGATTCGGGCATGGGTCATCGGCATGGTCCTCTGCACGATAGGTTCTGGGGTGAATATGCTGTTTGCTCTGAGGAACCCCAGCGTCGTCGTAACGACCTACGCTATCCAGCTCGTGGCGTATCCCATAGGACTCGCATGGGATCTGATCTTCCCGGACCGGACGTTCAAGGTGCTCGGGCTCAGTTTCAACCTGCGGCCGGGCAAGTTCAATTTCAAAGAGCACGTGATTATTACGGTCATGTCAAATGCTGCGTACGGTGGTGGCTCGCTGTATGCGACCGACGTTATCATTGTCCAACAAGTATGGTACAAGCAATTCTTCGGCTGGGCTTGGCAGATTCTTTTTGGTATCACAACGCTCTGCATGGGTTATGGCCTGGCGGGGCTGTCGAGGAGGTTTCTCGTGTGGCCGGCCTCAATGATCTGGCCAGGAACGCTGGTGGTGAGTCCATTAAATGACCAGAGTACAATAAATAGGTCATTCTTCTGGCCGTTGCTGACATGAAAGCTACCCACCCAGAACTGCGCTCTGTTTTACACGCTCCACGACCACTCAAAATCCGATCCCGAGTCCGCTTGCGGCTGGCGAATTGGCCGTTATAAGTGGTTCCTGATTGTATTTTGCAGCGCTTTCGTCTGGTACTGGTTTCCTGGCTGGATCTTTCAGGGACTCAGCTACTTTTGCTGGGTGACATGGATCGCGCCAGAGTAAGCACTCCATCCCTTCAAAAGTACACAGGCCCATCTGTAGGCCAATACAACAAAGAGTTTACGGCCTTCAGGTTTCGAAAAAATGCTATGTTGCGATCCTCACCTCACCGTACTGGCTCGAAGCTACTTCTCTGGTTCTTTTAGAGCTAACCCCGAATGCTGTAGGAACGTCATTGTCAACCAGTTGTTCGGCGGCGCCTCGGGCTATGGTCTGCTGCCGATATCCCTCGACTGGACCATCATCTCCGGCTACCTTGGGTCTCCACTCATCCCGCCTTTCTATGCCATCGCGAACACCATGGTCGGTCTGATTGTGTTCTTCGTCATAATATCGATGGGGTTGCACTACTCTGGGCACTGGTACGCCGCCTACCTGCCCGTGAGCAGTGGTCAATCCTTCGACAACAGAGGTCAAGTTTACAATGTGTCGGCTATCCTTAACGAGAACTTCCACTTTGATGCCGAGAAGTACTTCTCTTACTCGCCCCTCTACCTCCCCACCCAGTTCGCCCTCGCCTATGGTCTAGCCTTCGCGACCGTGTCGGCCATTGTAGTCCATGTAGCGCTATATCACGGCCGCACCATCAAAGCCCAATTTACGCTCGCCCGGGATCAGGAAGACGACAGTCACATGCGAATGATGAAGAAGTATCGGGACGCAGAGGACTGGTGGTACGCGGCCCTATTTGCCGTCATGGTCGCACTGGCCTTTGTTGTCGTATGCGCATGGCCGACCGACTTCCCCTGGTGGGCGCTCATTGTCTGCCTCCTTATCCCCATCGTTTTCACAATCCCGATCGGCATCGTGCAGGCGATCACGAATATCCAGCTGGGCCTGAACGTACTCACGGAGTACGTAGTGGGATATATGCTGGAAGGCCGCCCACTGGCGATGATGATGTTCAAGAACTATGGATATCTATGTATGGCACAGGCGTTATTCTTCGCCTCGGACATGAAATTGGGTCATTACATGAAGGTGCCGCCGCGGACAATGTTCCTCGCACAGTTGGTAGCCTCCATTTGGTCGGCTGTGATACAAATCGCTGTCATGAACTGGGTGAGCAGTCTTTGGATACAATCTTTACCCCTTGAAGAGCAAACATGCCCTATCTTCAGCCTACGCAAAAAAGGAGACCACACGGGCTGCAGTCTCTGAGACAGGCCATGGTCAAATTTTGCGGCTCACCCCATTGGCATGAAGCTTTTTCTCTGGTTCTCTGCTGACCTCTGCAGGCGCTCGACCATATCCCAGACATTTGTACTACCAACCAAGAACACAATTATTCCTGCCCCAATGCCAAGGTCTTCTATACGGCGTCAATAATCTGGGGCGTCATCGGTCCTAGGAGGATGTTCAGCGCTGGCGCCCTGTACTCGTCACTGCAGTGGTTCTGGCTATTGGGCGCTGTCGTACCAGTCTTCACGTGGCTTATGGCCCGCAAATATCCGATGAGCCTGTGGCGTTATGTAAATTTGAAGTTCCGTATACCATCCTACACACACTGTAGCTAACCGTCTCAGGTGCATATACCTCTTCTCTTCGGAGGCACTGGTTACCTCCCGCCAGCGACGGTTTATATCTATCTGTGGGTGTATCTCTCATTTGTTCACTTCTGCGGTTAATCGAAATTCTGACACGTCTGCGCAGCTGTTGGGGGATAGTGGGGACCGTGTTTAACTGGTTCATCAAGCGGCGTTTGAAAGCCTGGTGGTGAGTTTCTCTCACGCAGTCCTCCTGGATTTTACTTTCCTTGCAACCCAGGTCGAAACTGGCTGGGCACATCGTGCCTACGTGAAATCTTTTGCAACAAGTGCATTTCTGACTGACAAGCTACGGTAGGCTTCGATATAATTACATCACCTCGGCCGCACTTGATACGGGGCTGATTATATCAACAATCATAATCTTCTTCAGCCTGTATTTCACGGAAACAACCTCACCACGCTGGTTCGGCAATGTAGGAGCATTATCAACCTTGGACATGAGCGAGACAGCCGTGCAGTCTGTCTTACCACCGGGGCAAACTTTTGGTCCTAGCACGTGGATATAGATTGTGAGGCTTCAATCGAAAGTACTCTTACGCAGTGATATACAAAGGCCCTTAATATCGCAGACTGTGACGGATTCCAGCCTCAATGGTCATGCGTACCTGCGCTTGTACATCCCAAATGCGTACCCAGGCATGTGATCCGTTGATACAATGGTAAATGCTCAAATACCCGGCTTCAAACATAAAAAATGCCGATATCAGCACATTAAAAAAATAAAGAAATAGCCAATAATAGAAGAAGTCCTGGGCCTGCTGTGGCTTTGCTATGGGGTGCCCTCAACCAGCCCGTGGCCGTCTTAGTGTGTGCTTTGGTGAACACGTTGCAAGGTAACATGAGCTTCGTGATAGCATGGAGAAGACGCATGGAGAAGACGCATGGAGAAGACGTACACTGGCCCATGCTGAGATGCATGGCCCGTTCCAGAAGGCACTGGCACCACGAGTGGCTGGGCTCTCTCTGTACAAGCAAGCCGGCTGCACTTTAATGTTTTTTATTGGCGAGTTTATTTCGTCCGCTGAGCCAACAACGCTGGGACTTTGCAGGTGTTGCAAATCAAATGAGCCAAGTACACGCCCTTTTTCGCCATGCCCTATCCGAACTCCCCCATGCCACAAGACCGCTGTGTCATGTCAAAGTCAAACCGATGTCCAGTTCTCCCTAAGCCCTACACAGAATCCACATGAAGAACAGCTGTACAAGATAGGAGTAAATGAACAGGAACTGCGTGCGCTGGCTCCTCTTTGCCCTTGAGTCGGTCTGCATCCCAGCCCTGTGGTCACCGTTGTTCTCTGGCAGGAGGACATACTTGAGCGAGCGCATGAGGAAGAGCGAGTTCGCGAGGAATGTGTAGATGAAGACGCTCCAGCCGACCCACCCGCCGGTGCCCTTGCCACCGTTGGCAATCTCAGCCACTGCGATTGTAACAATGATCCCCACGAACTTGTAGCCCGAGTACGCGACCAGATCGAGCAGCTGCGACGAGTTGGAGATGCTGAGTATGTAGGAGCCGACCTTCAGGCCGGCGATCTCGGCCATGACCACGATCAAGCCGGTCGCGGCTTTCGAGCCAAGCAGTTCGGGCTGGAACTGGCCACGTAGACCGGCGATGAGCGTGGAGAGGAGTATGTAGGTCACGATAGACATGACAGGGATGTACATGTCCGGGCTGTTGACGTCGTCTCGGGGCGGGAGGTACCATCCCTCCTGGCCGTTGGGGCCGACCGCCTGCTTGCGCGACCAGGGCTTGTGCCTCCAAGGAAAGAGGACGAGGAAGAGCTTGTTTATTACATAGCTGTTGGTGACATTGAAGTAGTGCTTGAGGGCAGGATAGTTAAAGTAGCGGTTGACCTGTCGCGGAGGTTAGCAGTGATCCGCCGATAGACGCGGGAACCTTGGCCATGCTGTGCGCGCAGCCTGCTGGCCCACTGACATTCTGCTCGAGATATTCTTGCCCGTGCTTGAAGGCACTCTGGCCAAACTGGGCTGCGAACTGAGCCGTGGGATCGTTCATGAAGTTGCCGTACTGGCCGAGGTTGCCGCCGTTGGGGGGCCCTTGTTGGGCCTGGTAGGGGTTCCCGTAATTCTGCGACTGGGGCTGAGAGCCTGTTGGTGGAGGCGGAGGTGGTGATCGCAGCTGAGGCACGGTCGAGACATGTTGAGGTACGGGGTGGTGGAGAGGCGGCGACTGGCCGTATGCCTGGGGTCGCTGCATCGTGGGCGTGCTGGCGTGCTGCCAACGATGTGACAGCTGGTCGATATTGTGTCAATCGAGCGGTGACTGGGCGAGATGAAGAGGAGAGGGCGTGGATCGGAGGTGGGTGGTGGGTGGTGGGTGGGCCGGTGGTAATGGCGCAAATGTTGCTGTCAAGACGTGGTCGGGATAAGATGGCCAGCTATGCTGTCCCGAGTAGCTTCAGAGCGCTCTCGCCAGTAGACAAAGCTCGACCCCTGAAGGCAGACGGCCGAGGCGGCGAAAGCATATGCTGTCATTTACGTACGCTGCAGAACGCTTACATAACATCGACTAGGCTACGTACTCCGTACAGAGTACCTGCGTACCTGCGTACTGAATCGAGGTCGCCCAAGGGTCTTGACAGATAAGGATGCGCCAGGCTTATCGCGCCGCAGACGGACTGTCCGAAGCCAGCGCCCCGACTGGCAGCGCCAGCACATCACAAATGCCTCCTCCGTCCAACTCGTCTCGCTTTGCTCTCCTAACTCGACCAGACCCCTCCGGCAGCAAGACCCCCTAAACCGATCACGATCTAACCGACCAGCCCAACGTACTACCGTCTGCCCCATCCCATCAGAGCGAAGTGTCACCGTCCCAACAATGCTGGATACCTTCGAGATCGTCACCACCGCTGGTGTGGTGATATGGTCCCGCAAGTGGGCGCCGGTCAAGCCCTCGGTCATCAACAACTTCATAACCGATGTCTTTGTTGAGGAGAAGGGCTCATCCAGCTTTGTCAAGGCGAACAACTCCGCGGCCACCAATGCGCCGTACAAGACTGAACAGCACACCCTGCGATGGACCATGGTCAAGGAGCTCGGCATCATCTTCGTCGCTGTCTACAGGTCCTTGCTCCATCTGTCCTGGATAGACAAGCTCGTCGACAACATCAAGACTATTTTCGTTCAGCTGTACGGCGACCAGTTGACGAAACCGAACACCACACAAGTCGACTGCTCCCAGTTCGACAAGTACTTCGACCAGCAGATTCAAGAGCTCGAGCAACTCGGGGAGAATCGCCCCGTCCAACCTCAACAGCCCAGGGCCTCCAGAGAGAAGGATGTTGTGTCTGGGAAAGAGGGCGACGACCCTCCATCACCCGAGACCGCCCCCTCCGTCGAGTCCACACCTGTGACCTCTCGGCCTGGCACCCCTGCGAACAATGCCGTGCTCGGTGGCGACGCAAGCCCAGCAGCTAAGCTATCGAGACGAGCCCGCAAGGCGGTCAACCGCACCAACTCTGCCCCTGCATCCGGAGACGAGACCGCATCGCGCAAGAACAAGGGTGCGGCCAAGCAGGCTAAGAAGGGTCGCAAGTGGGACGACGACGGACTGCCCCTGGAGGACGACCCTGACGTGAAGCTCGACTACTCTGGTGATACTGGTGACGTAGCTGTCGGTCGGTCCTCGGCGCTCGAGGAGGTTGACTCCTCGACATGGGGCTCCACTAACAAGGGGAAGTTTGTGCTGAGGGACCTTGGTGACGAAGTTCACTCGATCCTCGCCGACGCAGAAGCCAAGAAGTCGGCCACCAGCACCGAGACTGCAAATGGCGGCCTGGTAGGCACAGGTCTGAGCGCCATCAGCGGCCTCTTCCGTAACGTTGTCGGCGGCAAGAAGCTGACCAAGGAGGACCTGGACAAGGCGATGAAGGGAATGGAGGAGCACTTGCTACGGAAGAACGTGGCAAGAGAGGCGGCTGTCCGGCTGTGCGAAGGCGTCGAGAAGGAGCTGATCGGAGTCACGACCGGAAGTTTCGAAAGCATCAGCACGCGCATAAAGACCGCAATGGAGGCATCGCTGACCAAGATGCTGACCCCGACGTCGTCCATGGATCTCTTGCGCGAGATCGACTCCATCACCTCGCCTTCCGCGACATCGATGCGCAAGGCCAGGCCCTACGTGATGTCCATCGTCGGTGTCAACGGCGTGGGCAAGTCCACGAACTTGTCCAAGATCTGCTTCTTCCTGCTGCAGAACAAGTACAAGGTGCTGATCGCCGCAGGTGATACCTTCCGTTCTGGAGCCGTCGAGCAGCTCGGAGTGCACGTGCGAAATCTGAAGGAGTTGACGGCACGTGAGGGTGGTGAGGTTGAGCTATACCAAAAGGGCTATGGCAAGGACGCTGCCACTGTGGCAAGGGATGCCGTGCAGTTTGCCAGCCAGCAGGGCTATGATGTCGTGCTGATTGATACGGCCGGACGGCGGCACAACGACCAGCGACTGATGTCGTCGCTGGAGAAGTTCGCCAAGTTCGCGCAGCCCGACAAGATCCTCATGGTGGGCGAGGCTCTGGTCGGAACGGATTCTGTGGCCCAGGCTCGCAACTTCAACGCGGCGTTTGGGTCAGTACGGACCCTCGACGGGTTCATCATCTCCAAGTGTGACACTGTGGGAGACATGGTCGGCACGCTCGTCAGTCTCGTCCACGCCACAAATGTCCCAGTACTATTTGTGGGTGTTGGGCAGCACTATTCAGACCTTCGGAATTTTTCAGTTTCTTGGGCCGTTGAAAAACTACTGGGTGGAAACTGAACTAACCATGATCTTGTGGCGTTTGCTTGATAGGAGCCAACACCTCACTTTAATCGTCTACTTGATGCACACACACATTCTTCACTCTATCAAAGTTACTTACACTGTTTATTTGACCTTAGTCAAACTTGCACCTAGCCCAACTGCCATACCGCGACTGTGAATGCATAATTCATTGACTGAACTGTGATTGATCTCGACCAAAGCTTCCTATTAGTGTGTTCCCTAGACAGCATTTCAAATCGCGAGTTTCTTGGTGGGATACATGGCCTGTCACAATGTGGGTGGGGCCCTCACCACTCTGGCCATCCAATTTCACCAAAGCTCTCCAAGTCAACGGGTTGCCTCTTCCCATTGTTACCAGGGAACAGTGAGAGTTCCCTCGAGACTTATTTAAGACCTGCTGTGTCTCCCCACCAAGCCATCGTTCCTCCCTCCTTGATCACCATTATGCCATCCAAGAAACGGCCCTCGTCGATGACCTATCCCTCTGCGCCTGGTTCTGATGTCCACCACAGCCAGAGCTTCTGGTCGTATCCCAGTTTGACATCCACGCCTGCCTGCTCTGAGCACTCTGTCCAGACCCAGCGCAGCGAGGACAACTACGGCCGACTGAAGGTCTTGCTCGACTACCCCGCACACTCGAAAAAAACACACATGCTGGAAGAGGCGGACATCTGGCGTGCTGAGAAGCTACGCGTCAAGCTTTCCGCCATGGCTCAAGCCTGTCGAGAGTGGGAGCGAGCGCTGGAGAAAAGCAGTTCCTCGGTGAGTGAATACGTCAGATGTATCTCTTCACTATCTTCAAACTGACAGAACGTGATTATGCTCAAGAAGGAGCACATCCCACAGGAGACTGTCCTGGTGGCTGCCGACGAGGCTCTGAAGCCGGAGCAGGACCAGGATGCCACGCTCCAGTCTGCCGCAGAGAAGAGCAAGTTCACCCAGAAGATCCAGCCCTTTATTTCTCCTGTCAGACTCCAATCACTTCTTTCCCAGAATTTGTTTGACTGACAATTCTTTTGAAGTCTCTTTGACCATGAAGGAACACGGTCTCACCTTCGACATTGTTGTCTCGGAGCAGAGTGGCGCTTGTGAATGGACTCTGTTCATGAGCGGTCTTTTGGTCTCCAAGGGTGTGAGACACAATTCCAACGAGCTGTTTACGGCAAGCTTCTACGAGGATGAGATTGAGCTGGCCGTCAAGGTCAGCAGGTTTTACAGGGAAAAATACTGCAGGAACGAGTCAATGTTCAAGTCTGTTTGAAGGTCCACTTTTTTGAGACAAATTGGAAAAGTTGACCGTGAAATTGGTTAAAAGATGATGCTAGTATGATTTTGGGTAGTTACCAGGTACCAGCAAGAACGAAAGTCTCATTGGCATGGTTGTTTGTGCCAACAAGCTGCATCTCTCTTGCTGTCTAGTGTCTTCAGCAAGTATTACAAAAATAAAAATAGACAAACAATTCCTCCACTGTTCCATTTCATCCTATCACGTGCACTCTTGCTGTAAAACGGCAACACTGAAAAAAGAATGGCTCGAAGAATTAAGCTCTTCTCCAGTCCACACACTTGGAGGAGCAGCCTTGGTTCCTCACTGTTTTCTTTTAGGGCATCTCGGGTATGGGACATTACCCTCTCATGTCTTCAAATTCACGCCTGTACTTCAGTGACCTGTTCTATAAATAAACTCTTCAGTATGAACAGGCAACTAGAGGTGTGGTCTGATGTCCTGGAGCTGGCTGTCTGAAAATGAAGTCAGGGTGATTCTCGGGTACTACTATGCACTCACATAAATGGTATTGGAATTGTTGCTCTAATTTCTCGTATACTGTTATGAAAGTTTGATGGTCCGAGTGGTGAAGTCTTGCACAGTCCTAAGTCGTTGGGGGTTGGATTTGAAATTCGTGCTGCTGTTTTGAAGCTCCTCTTGCTGGCCTGCCTCTGACTTCGTCTTCTGTAAGAATTTGCTTTACAGAAGACATTCTAACTATAGTGTCAAAGGACTATTCGATAGAAGACTGTCCCTGAGGAAGTTCTCGACCAGATGGATGTTCAATGGGAGGCTATCCTGAGGGAGGCAATTGTAGGGAGAGTCGTATTGCGGGATACAAGCTTTGGCCTCTTAGCGGACACTTGAGCAAAGCTTGTAGTTTAGGAAGGTAAAATTGATTGCCTCAGAGTTCGCAAATAGTCACAGTCATCTCATAGTTTAATATCTTATTTAGGAACTCAAATTGTACATATAGGTCTCTATCGGTATATAGCATCTCGGCCCTTTTTCGAATGTAGCGCTCAGACCTGATATGTGTGGTTGATGGAAAGTCTATTTAGTCAATATGTCGTGAAGGCGGTGAGAACTAGGACTGATTTGATTTGATCTTGTTGCTGGAGTGGGAGATGCCATCGATGCTTGGAAGCGAGCCGCTCAGCCGGAGGATGAGATGGTGGCCAACACGCACATTTCACCTGTAATTACGTCTTTTCCGAGCTGGTAGGGCAAGAATGTAATCCAACTTATCTGCTCTCTGAAGTTAGGCCACTCAATTGCTGCATAGAATAAAGGCAAAAAAATTGGCGCCCAGGGTCCTATTCATTCTGTCTTGCCTATTTTCCTTCCCGTCCTCCAATCCCCTTCCAAACTCGCCCCCGAGGAACCGGATAGCGAGGCATCGGAATGGCCCACAGTCCACAGAGACTCCTCAGTCAGCGGTCCTCCGTCCTCCGCGAGAGACACGGAGCCGCCGCTCGCATGGTGCCCAAGCGGCTGCAAGGTCAGTGGTGCAGGCATCAAGGCATTCCAGTCGTCCTCCCACGGTGTGCTCGTCCCATCCGTCACGCCTTGCGACGGCGCATCCTCGGCCGCTCGCTCGGGCCCGCCCGCTCCTCCGAAAGCCATGCTGCTGTCGCTGTATCGATGTCCCGGGGGAGGAAAAGGTGCCGAGAGACGACGTCTATGCCATGCCCTGTCCCCGAGCCCCGGGTTCTGCGCGACGCTCTCAGGCTGCCGCACTAGTATGGTCGGTGTATTGGGGATGTCCTCCCATTTGTCATCATGGGGCCCGTTTGTCACTAGCTGCTTCATCGGCGCTGCGTTCACGGCGGCGCGAGGTGTCTCAGGGTTGCCTGCCCTCCAGTCTGCGCCGGTAGAGGCGGCGAGGATCTCCTTGTGCCGCACTGAGTTCGAAGGACGCCTTTCGCCGGCTGAGGGCGCGAAGTCTGTCACGATAGGATCGGCGTCCCTTTGGTCGGTTTTGTTGGCTTTGGCGCTGCCCGAAAATATCGTGTCTCTTGCTTCGTCCAAATCCCCCGGGCCGGTTCCGTTTTCGTCACTTCCGTGCGCCCGCCTTTGCCTCCTCCTCTTGACCATCCTGGCGCCGTAGAAGATGAGGAAGACAAGCAGCGCGAACCCTGAAATACTCCCCAGCACGACCCCTGCTATTAGGCCTGGCTTCCCTCCATTCCCTGAATTGTCATCGTACGGCCCATCGCCGTGCTTGTCTCCGGGTGTTGTCGATGTCGATAGTTTGTATATTAGCATGTGGCCTCTGCCCCCGCATGCTATTGCATTGTTCCCAGGACATGGAAGGGTGCAGTTCGTGGACTTGACCTCTTCAACGGTCGTGTCAAGCGATCCTCCACAATAACAATCCCTGTGACGCGATCGGGCGATCAGTCCCGCTGTCTGTTGGATACTGTAAACATGTTGCAGGAACCAATGTTGTGACTTACTTTCCATTGGACAGACCAACGTAGAGACTGTACTCTTGTTCTGACTGAGTCTCCGGCAATGCAGGCAATTTGCAGAGGTCCAGACATGCCGATAGTGACATGCCATCTCTCGCCGTGCCATTTGGATTAGTGGCATCTTCACCCAACATGGTGTCGAGGCTCCTGACTGCATTCGGTCGGTAGCATCCCTGGAGTATGTAGACTTCTCCTTTCGGCATATTCCTACTTGGGATGGCGCTCGCCGAGTGGGCCGGGATTGTTATTGTAGACGTGGAAGACACGTGCACAGTCTTCGTGCCAGAGACCGTTAGGTCTTCCCCTGATTCCTGACATTGTGCAATGCCGAACGGGGAAAGAGCGACGGCCACGCGCAGTGACAGGAATCGCCGACGTATTGTCCCTTCGGTCTTGGACCCCATATCCAAGAGTGGCATCAGGGCTAGTCATCTTGGACTCAGAAGACGGGCTCGATACCCCGAGGCTCTTCTGTTGGTCAGGATCAAGAAGGGATATCAATGTAGACAAAGCACTTGGGCACTCCAGTCAATTAGGGACTGACGTAACAAAGGACTGTTTCGAAAACGGCCACACTCATGGCTGTATCAATTGCCTACCCAGACTGTTTTACCGCCTGAGAATATCCATCCCACAGACGTCAACTGGTCCTAGAGATGTCCATGGAGATCTGCAGTCTGCCACAGTCTTGTCCAGGCCCGTGGACGACGTGACCGGGGACAGCATAGGATGCGAATAAAGAACAACCATCTGTGCTGAGAAGAAAGAAAGAAGGGGAAAAACGAGAAAGACCAAGAACAGAAAAATCAGAGTAGATATGCCAACATAGGTATCTTATGTGAGCCCGCTCGAGTCACGCAAAAGCACGCATCATCCGAGCAAGCGATAACGACATCCAATACATGCCCACTGGCAAAGATAAGCGTGTGGTGGGAGCCTCATCAATCTGGTGTACCCAGACTGCCCTGGCCCAGCCTTGACATTCAGACGTTTCAGCTGCAATGGAAGTACGTACATGTCGAATAGGCGCGGAGCTGTGAAGGGAATCTGGAGCCACCAGCACAGCTTGTTCCCAGTGTGCATTGAAGATGCCGCCACCCTACTATCTCTAGCAACGGCATGTCGTGCCTGCAAGTTTGACACCCGATGGCAATCTGTTGGATGCAAGAGCAAGGGTCTTCGTGACCGGTGAGATAAGAAAAGAGAGGTTTGGAGATAAGAGGGTTGAAGGAGGAGCAACTCCTCGAGCCCTCCACCGCTGGATTGGGCGAGGGATGGCGCTGCTTAAGTGTCTGTTGATCTGTGTACCTTGGTGGTTCATTCGAGCCTTGAGAGTAGTAGGAGCTGAAATGCGAGCTTGGGAACTGGCCATTGGAGGCCCGTGGAGCAATCTGGGTGAGGTAACATTTCGAAGTTGTTATCGAGTAATCCGGGGGAAAAGGACGTGCACGCCTAAGGAGACGATTGCCCGCGGAGAAGAGCCAGCATCATCTCTTTATTAGGGCTGGCCAGACATCGGACATCTCGAATCAGAAGGTGCCGGTAACTACGGATGGGCACCCCGTAACGCTCATATCGCGTGAGCACGAGGTTGACTGCTACTCTAGCCCTTACGGACCTCGAAGCTTTGGAAGTGGTCAATGGATCTAATGGTCAGTCCCCTCAACGCCTTATCCAGACCCTTTCGGAAGGTCAGAGCCACACCCTCGTCTGTCAATGTCACATCTGGAATAGGACGTATCAAGCCGCCTGTGGTATCTTGCACATCAGTACCGGGAACAAGCGCACAATCTTGCAAATTTGTCGTCTCTGACGGCAGAAACAGAACGTGACCTGCCGGATCGGCGCTGGATTGTGTTGTTCGCCAGAGATAAGGAAGCCTTGGCCCCCAGGGGGTTGGTTCAATGGACTGAGTGAGGTTATGGAACTCAAAACATTCTTGATCTCTGCCGTGCATATAAGCCGGCCTCTTCCCCAAGTCTGCAAACGTTGGTTTGGTTTTATTACCCCGGCACAACATAAAGCGCAGACGAGCAGGCACAAAACCTGATGAGGTTGGATTTCACAGACATGGCCTTCCAGCCTCGCACTCGGTGAACCTTGTCGAATACCCGAAATGCAACATCGACCAATTCGACTGCGAAACCTGCCAGGAGCACTACCCGATGCTCAGGAAGAAAGCTGCGGGACAATGCCTCGACCAATCCAGGATTCATTCAGCCATGGTTGCACAATACCGATTCCATCACACAAGGTGCTCACGGTTTGCGTGGGCGAATATCGAGGGAGCAGGATCACCAGCCGGGAAAGCGAACGATAGCCCCGGTGCCGAACGAACATCTTTACGGCGAACGGCCAAACGTCCGCTATTTTGCAGGCCGCTGAAACGATGGCTTACCAGGTGACTCCAGTCCTCACACCTCCCATTTTGCAACAAGATCCATCGACGAGCAGCACCCTCCAGGAATCGCGGAGGTCGGGCGATCGCCCCGACAATTCGACATTTCAAGGTGGACGAGGGGTTCCTGCAAGCCAGCTGCAGACCCCCACGTCTGGATTCAACTTCAATTGGCTCGTCCAAAAGTTGGCACGTCGTGAGCACTGCTTGGTGCCAACCACCCCTGTGCGCCGATACGGTCTTTCCGGACCTGGTTTTGCAGAGTCCGCTGAAGGGTACCGGCGATGGAATGCTTCTTTTCCAGAATTCGCGACACACCTGCAAGCCCTAAACCATCCAACGCTGACAGCAGTGATGTTGATTTAATCCAGTTGTGGTGAGTCGTCTGCGCCCATCACGAAATTGTACCGACGGATCGAGCGGGCCAACAGGCAAGACCGGACGAGTCAGCCCCATTTTCGGTATGCCGATTGAAGAAGCCCGCCCTACCCAGGCCAGTCCCGTCCTGGCTTAAATTGCGGGTAAACGACTTGTTGGCGCGGAGTTGTGGTCCGAAGCAGTATGAGGACCAAGCGTCTGAAAATCGCCGCGCTGCGCTTCAGGCGGCTCAATGCAGGCCAGTACTTGTAATAAGACCAAGTAATCTGCCGCCAGTCTGCCGCAAATTCTCACCGCCTGCTCCTCCGAGAGGTGATTAACGGTGAGACTTGAGAGGGGGCTCCTTGATAGATCCCGCGAGGATCATCCCTTTTGACATGGGATGGTCGTTCTCTACCAGTCGACCCAACGGCTCCCAGAGAAAGAGCCGCCAAAATCCAGTTGACATGGCCCTACTAACACTTCGCACTTCGCGACAAAAGCGTCCGGGCTGGAATTCTGCCGGGCAAGCTTGGGGCAGTCACATGTAAATTGGTTGGACGAGTGCTTCAGCCCGCCCAAGCTTCCAAGTAGCCAGCCAGCCCAACCCCTGGGCTGCGTCTGCGTCACTTGGACCCTGCACGACAGAGTGATTCAATGGGCCCAGCACTCACCAGAACTCACCAGCACTCGGCTCGAACGAGCTATTGCTGCCACAGTTTGCGGGCATCGTGGCTATCATTCTTGGCCGACTGAAATCCACAAGGCTGGCCGTCATTTCATGATCATTGCGGCACGTCGGCGCCTCTGTGGAATTCCTGGCGACAAGGAGACGTTGCTCACCCGCGTAAGAAAGTGAGCGCGGCGCTGGTCAATCGGTGGGGCCTCTGTTCGTGTTAGAGATCCAGGGTCCGTGTCGAGAACCACTTGTATTCAACTAGTGGCGGCAAGAATGCTGCAGCCAAAAGTGCACTGACGAATGACTACCCTGAACAGGTAAATTGCGCCGTGGAGAGCTTCGGGTCGCATGAGACCTGGGTTGGTATGCGGATGTGGCCTCGCCAGCTCGCCAGCTCGCAAGGACACCACGCTACTCCAGTGTGACGACGGGTCGCTCGTTTTTTACATAGTAGGTTGCAGAGCTGGAAACGCAGTATCAAATCTGCCAGGCTGTTGTCGGCAGCTTTCTGGACGCCTTTTCCACAAATGCCGTGGGCCGGAGAGGTTGTGATGGCATGCGCCAATTGACACCCTGCCCAGGCACTTGGTCGACCAGTGGAAATGGAGGCGAAGGCGAGATGCAAGCGGGTCAAATCTCAGACGCTGCGGTGCAGCGTTGATCTGTGCTGCGTATGTAGTGTAGTTGGGGAGCGGAGCCCCATACAGCTTGTTGGGTCAGGCGCCGCAGCAATACAACAAGTTTTCCCGTCGCGCTTTACCTTGGTACCCACGCACTTGGCTGAAATAAGAAACACCGTCCCCTCCCTTCTCCCCTGCCTCCAAGACGAGTTTCTGGGAGTTCGATGGCAGCAGGACTGTGGGGACGGCCGACATTCTCAGGGATCGGAGAGCGTCGTGTGCTTGCGCCGCCAGCCAGCCTCACAGTGGCAGAGTGGGCGGCCGGCCCCTGGATTAGACGCTGGGCGCGAAAGTTTGTCCATGCCAGCATGCCTGAGGTGGGCGGGCTGGCGGGCTGGCGGGTTCACATGCTTAATGGCTTGCTTGCTGGCCCGTGCCTGCCTGCCTGCCTGCCTGCCTGCCTGCCTGCTCACAGAGAAGAGTTGCACGGCACCATACTCCCATGCAGTGTTGCCATGCCACTGCTACTTTTGCCATGTCAGGTCCTGCTCAGGTGCTGCAGACCTGAAGCCACCATGCAGTCTGGCAATCAGTCCATCCTGATGGCTGGCTCGCTGAACATGGCTAGTTGTGTTGCCTGCCCGGGCCCAGGGAAACTGCTCCTGGCCAATCTCACAAGACTCCGAGACGGGACAGGGTGATGGTGAGGTTGAAGGAGCGCCGGCCATTGTCCAATCAAGGTTCGAGGCGTCCGGTCGCTGAGGCCGAAGCTGGGGAGTGCCGGCGAGAACAAGCCCACCGCCTGCAGGAATAGACCGGGATGACTCGGAGCCAGATGGGACGGGAGAAGCCAAAGCCAAGCGGCGCTGGGTTCTGGAACACGCGTAGAAGCGCAGGATGTCAAGAAGACCAGTTGCGGGCGAGCTAGGAGGTAGACGTGTTGACATGATAGTAGTAGTAACCGTCGTTCGAATGCTGCTGTTACAGTCGCTGCTCGGCCGTGGGGGTTCGCACATGTGCCATAGCGAGACACCCTTGCCAACATATATTATGTGCACACATATGTGTACGCAGCTCCGTACTGTGTACTCGGTACTCGGTAGTCTACAGGGTGGTTTAGACCCCTGTCGGCACGGCGGTACACTTCGGGCAAATGTCACCGTGCTCAAATGGTCACAGCTCCCGCTCAATTCCTGAAATGGCCCCAGCCTGGCCAGGCATAATAAAAGTCGGGTTGCTTTCAACCCACGCAGCGGGCGCCCAGCTGGATGGAGCTAGAACGTGGCATGTCGTCAAGGGGGCAGCCAGTGGCGCGTCAGAGCATCCTGTCGAGGCATCACCTGGATCTGAGGCGTGCAGCGCGTGTCAGCGAGTGCGTGTGGTGTGACATGAGGCAGGCTGTCAGCGGCCACGCGGGATCGTGAGGCTGCTGGGGCAGGCTGCTGGTGCAGGCTGCTGGTGTGCGCCCGAGTCGAGTTCGTGGGAAGGCCCGGTCTAGTGACCACACTGGCATTGTAAGCTCGTCCTGTCCCTTGTCCCAAAAGCGAGCGAGTCCAACGGGGCGGGTTTGCGGGCGTGGGTGCTGGGCGTGGGTGGCGGCTGGGTGGGTGGGTGGAGGGTGTGTCGTGTGGATGTCTTGTGGGTGCCCAGCATGGGTGCCGTGCGGGCTTGTGGGCGGTGGAGGGGTGTGGGGTCTCGAGCACAGACGAACACCCACCCGCCCAGCCAGCCAGCCAGCCAGCCAGCCAGCCCTCCTGTCTGCCTGTCTGCCTGTCTGACTGTCTGGGCCCACAGACAGACGGTGATGCTGTCCACCACCGCTGCCACCAGCTCTCTCAGCCGCAACGTTGTGCCCGACCTGCCGACTTGCACGGTAGGTAGTTTACTACTACTCCGTATATACTACACAGTAGCCAGGCAGCCTGCAGCACGCAGACGACGGGCCCACAGGATGGTGGATTGCACCTTTCACGGCCATCGTCTTTACTACTTACTACTGCACGAAAGCCAACAATATCCACCAATCTCATGCAGCCAGTCCAGTCCCCCAGTCCCCTTCTCGACTCTGACGACATGAGCGAGCACCACAGCAGCCCAGGGTCCTTCTTCGAGGCTACCCTTTGTTTATTACTCCGTACAGATGTACTGTGGTTGCTCCTCGGCACGGCCTGCCCACCGACAGCCGCCAGCACTTGTGCGTTTTAAGCGCCCGCCCAGCAGCCCAGCAGCCCAGCAGCCCAGCAGCCCAGCCGCCCACGCACTGTCTGCCGTCGCCATCGCTGGGCCCGCCGACCCTCCCGTCGCATCCCCTTCGCAATTACCCAGCCAACAGTCAGCACTGAGCAGGCCTGGCTGGGCCAGAATATCTCCGACCGTGGAGGGGCAGGACGACGAGCACCAGCAAGCAGCTCCTGCTACTCCTGCCATGCACATACTCCGTACGAGCACAGCGCTAAGCACACGCTACGCTCCGGTCGGAGTGCCGCGGAAGCAGCCTCGACACATCCGCCCTCCCGCTGATGATGAACAGCTGGAATACACCATGCCGACGCCACATCGGCAGCCCACATTTGCTCGTTGCCGCACCTGACCTGACGTCAACCGCGGCATGTCCCAGGCTGCCAGTCAACATTCAAGGGCCTTTTGAGAGTCTGCATTTGCTATTGTTGTGCTACGTACTTAAGTATGTATGTAAGCACACAGCAGCTTGCGTCCTGAGTCGACAGCACCGTTCCGCCGTTCCCACCCGCCGCCGCCGCAGTCACCGGCCAACTTCCGTGGATTTGCGGGGAGAGAGGTCAGCCGCACCAAGACCAACCGTGCCTGTCTTGCCTGGTTGCCTGGCTCCAGGGCCTCATCTTGAGTGTTGCCCCTCCGAATCATCGCGGTGGAGGCAGTCCGCCGCCCAGAGACCTCGGAACCCGGGAATCTCATGGGATTAAGGCAGAATGCGGCCCATGTCCAGGTCCAGGTCTTGTTTTCCCACTCCCAGCCAGCCAGGGACCAACGGTTGCCCCCACAGCCTTGTGCTTGGTACATGGCACCTCTCCTCCATGACGTCCCGGTCGCTGCAGAGCTGCCGGAGTGAGCCCACGCGGGCGGGCGCGGCGGCACGCGGCCTTGGTTGACGGATGACCATGTCCCTGGCCACGGCTGTACCGCACCCTCGACTAGCCGGGCTCCAGGGAGCCGATCCATGCTGCGACGCCGATGGGTGACTGGCAGGCTGGGCTGGCTGGCAGGCTGGGTGAGCAGCCACAGCTACCAGTACGGAGCACACAGAGCTGTGCCGTAGCAGCTGAGTAGGTACCGTAGTAGCGTTGCTGCCGCAGCTCCTCATGCGGAACAAGCCATCCTTGCCGATCACGGCCCAGCTACTCGCCTGCATCCTTGCCGGTACCGACTACATTCGACCTCCCTCATCCGTGCTTGCAGGAGGGAACCCCACGCGGCCAACCCTGTCTGCATCACTAGCCCCAAAGCCTCACACCATGTCCACCATGTCAGCATGTCCGCTTCTGCACGTCCTTGACATCGAGGGACTGACTCTCCGGGCACGGGGGCTTGGGGGGGTTCCCACTGCAGCAGTGCCTGCTGCTGTATGGAGTATGGCCTCGCATCGCACTCTGACATGGGCTCCTGCTGTGTGCCAGGATATGCAACAGCGAGTCTAGACTGCATGCACGGGTTATTTTATGTACATGTCACATATTCGGGACGGCCATCGGGTGCTCAACTGCCCCCACACAAGCTCGGTGTCGCAGGCGCAACGGCATCTTCTCCTCCTAGCTCCTGGATGGATGCACGCAAGCATGCCCCGAAATCCGCCCGCGAGTTTGGGGGAGGGGCGTGGACGTGCCTGGATCTTCCAGCGGCTGTCGTGTGCAATTAATCCCAACTGGACTCTGCCTGTCCCGGCCCACCACATGGGAAGACGGTTGACGATTGCAAGGCCGAGACTACGGTTTTCAGACAGGGAAGAAGCCTTGTTTCCAGACACTAGCAGCACCGGGCCACGCAAAAAGGATGATTTCGGAAAGGGGTCGGATGGTCTAATTAACGACTGGACAGTCCACGCCAATCCTCCTCACTCACGTCCCGGGAAAACCTAGAAGCCCCTAGCGTGCCAGGGACCGCCGACCGAGATGCGTCACCAGTCCACTGGGCCGGTGGTGCTTGGAGATGACAGCTGTTGCACAAGGCGCGCGAGTCTGCGATGCCCTCGCGATGGCTTGTTGCTGCCAGCACGCATCCTGATGTCATCCTGGAGGACATGCCAGGAGGACATGGCCGCCGGAGACTACCTGGCTCCGCATGTTACCTCTTCTGCAGCAAGCATTGGTCGTTACGGGAAAGGAAACCGAATGGCAGAGGTGGGTGAAAGCGCGACTCCATGTCTCGTGGCAAGGACATGTCGAGGACCCTTAAAAAACGGCCTGGACAGGGGCCCCGTAGTGAGTGGATGATCAACTGCGCCGTTGTGCGTCAGGCTGCAGGCGATTGACCAGCCCGCCAGCCCGCCAGCCCGCCGCCGGCCATCCGACAGCTACTCCGTACACTACTTCAGGCAAAATGTCTCGTTCTCGTTCTTCTACATCCCAAGTGGCCCCGCCCACCTTCGCGTGCGCAGGGACCCACCCGCGTGGGAGGATCCACCCCTGGTCCTGCGCTTTTGCAGGTTAAGCCGAAAGAAAGGCCTGCGACTGCTGCGAGATGCTGGCGCTGCTGGGATCAGAGTGGCCGAGCGAGATGCTAGAGGGCCAGCAGGTGGAGCAGGCCTCATCAGACGCTCCGATGGGCATCCACAACCACCACCACCACCACCGCTTCCGCAACTCGGTTTTGCGCCGTGCCCTGTTGACGCGCATGCACATTTATCTGTAGGCCGAGTGCCTCCTGGACGGGGCGTAATAGCAACAGTAATGGAATTCCGGGATGGACCTCATGTGTGCGTGCGTACGCATCTGGGTGCGCGCAATAATAAGAGAGGGCAGGATCGAGGAGGGGGAGTCGACGGGTCGACGGGAGCGCCTATTTGTACAAGGGCAGAGGGATCGGTCAGATCGAACCGGCTCGTGTCGTGTCGTGTCGTGTCATGCTCTCTGTTCTGCCTCTATGTCGCATGGCACATCGATGATTTTCCCTTGTCCCCCCTGCCAGCAAGCCCCAACCTCAGCCTGAGCCTGACTCTTGAATCGCACCTTGGTCCCGACAACTCTATTATTACCGCCCTTGGTTGGCCAGGGCCTGCAATATTCCACTTTCTACCGACCAGGTTGCTGCTTGGACCTGGGTGACCGCTGCTCGGCTTGTGCGCGCCCACGGCTCTTGGTAGCATCAGCAGGGGAGAAAAAAAGAAGAGGCACGCCATCACCCGCCGGACCAAGAGGCCAGGCCAGACCGGATCCAGGCCACACGGACCAGACAGGCCAGGCCAGTCATTGATCGCTAGGTACGGACTGAACTGCCAGGGACGCCAGCGAGAGGGACGGCCAGTCCACCCCAGCCAGCCTGTGCGGGTGCTTGTAGGGGTGTGTGTGGTGTGTGTTAGTGGGGGAGCCAGAGCACAGTACTGTGTGCGAGTGTGTGAGTGAGTGAGTTGTGTGAGTTGTGTGTGTGTGTGTCTGGGTGTGGGTGTGGGTGCAGGTGCGACCAGCCGAACGTGGGGTAGAGCCTCCCGGGATCCTCTCTTGTCTCTCTCTGGTCTCTGCTTGGACGGTACAAGTCCCAAGAATTCCCCCCATTCTGGCCGAAGTCTTCCCGCTTCCCTCTCTTCAACCAGCCCGTCCCCCCCCTCAGGAGCAAACCTCACAGTCGGTTCGACTCGACTCGTCCGTACGACATGGCCGCCATATCGACGTCGAGTCCCCTGACCTCAATGAGCCCTACCTCAACAGAGCACGACTTCCGATTCCCACGAAGGCCCGCCGACAGCGGCCCCGGCCACAGCCATATCAGGTCGGAGCAATCAGAGCGCTCCGCTTCCGCCAGGACTAACAACAAGAGTACCGGTTCCGCCTCACTTATCGCCAACCGGAGCCCCAGCACCACCCACAGGGCCAACCCCACCGTCAACAAACCCAGGAATACCGCAGACATGCGCGGCAGCCTGAAGGAAGTCCGCTTCGACCTCTCAAAAACACTCGACAATGCACGAGGCACCCTGTCCAGGACCGACGCCTTCGCCGGTTTCCAGGATGGCATTGCAGGGATGAGCACCAGCCCGAGCGAGCTGGGAAGCGATGACCCGCTGGCCGCCCAGGTCTGGCGCTTCTTCAGCAGGACGAAGCAGAGCTTGCCCAACCAGGAGCGCATGGAGAACCTCACGTGGCGCATGATGCACGCCAGCCTGCGCAAGCAGCGGCTCGCCAATGACGAGTCTTCCAGGTACGGTTGTCTGGCCCGGTACCTGCGCGACGCCAGCAAACGGGTCACCTCGATGCCCTCCTTGCCTCGCCGTGCGGAGGAACGATAAGGTGCTAACCCGTCTTTTTCTGCCAAAGATCCGGAGCAAATGCCCCCAGCGGCATCGCCCAGTTGCGCAAGTCATCTGAGCAGACCATCTCGACCTCTGACCCCATGAACCTCGACGACTTCCTCGTCGCCGAGGACATCGCCACTCCCGCCGGCACCGCTGGGAGCCCTTCGCCTCAGCTCTCAAAGCGAGGCGAAGACAAGCCTGCGCGCTCACACATCACAGCCATCCCGATCAAACATCGCCAGGCCTCTCTCCCCCACTTCGTCCCCCAGTCCGTTCCTGTCCCTGCCCACGCTCCGAATGTTCAGCACGAGTTTGGCTATGTCACAAGGCACCACAGGAAGACGAGCATTGATGAGAGGCGGGTAAGTAATTTGATCCTGAGGTCCTGGTTGACGATGCAGGCCTGGTTCTTCTCACAACGACGCCGATCATGACTGACAGTTCCCAGACTCGCAAGCGGCCAGCCGACTTCTCGCCTCACGTGTCTGGTATCGGAGGTCTCGAGGGTGACAATGACTTCCACGAATACACGCTCGACCATCCCAACGCCTCCGGTCTAGGCCACGCGCCCGGTCAGCCCAGCGTGCCATTCCCGCTGGACACTTTCCAGATGGAAAGCGACCCCATCATCACCTCCGCTGGGCCTTTCCAGCAGAACTTCGGCTTCTCCCCCGGAACCTCGCCAATGGCGCACCACGGAGCCTTCGCCAACATGTATAACAATCAGTCCATGCCCTCCTCGGCCGTCCAGAACACCGAGTTCTACTCACCGCCAGGATCGGCCTACCAATCCGCCGTTTCCACTCCCCATCCCATCAACGAGGAGCCCTTCTACTTTGGCTCTATGGACGTCCGTCACCAACGACCACACCCTTTCCGCCCGGCCCCGACGAACATGGCCAACTCGATGCCCAACCAGTTCATGTACAACCCATCCAATGGCAACCCCATGTTTCCCACCACCTCCGGCACAGATCCTGCCTCTGCCTTCGCCACCAGCAACGCATTCGGTCACATTGACCCCACCCAGGTCTTTGCGGATCATTCTGTCCGATCACCGGGTGTGAGTATGATGCCAGACAGCAATGGCATGTTCAGCTTTGGGCCAGACTCCGATGATGGGGAGGAAGACGTCGGTGCTTTCGCCGACCGCAACATGACAATGCCACATGATTTCTCCTCGACCGAGTTTGATGCCGAGGGAATGCCCTCGCACGGCAGCGCAATGCAGTGGGACGCCTCCTTGCCAGGGCAGTTCAGCACCCAGGCTGCGCGTTACCCGGGTGGGCCGCCTGCTGCCAAGCGGGTCACCATCGGCGGAACGACAACAGACTATGTCGAGTCCAACGAATGGGAAGGCGGCAATCTCGGCCGAAGCCAGTCTCAGTCATTCCGACATGGCGGAGACCGCCGCCAGAAAGTGCCACGGACTGCATCGACCCCGGCGGTGAACCGAGGCAATGCCTTTGATCGCCTCTCTCGGTCCAACCCCAATTCCCCACCGGCAGATGGGGCTGGTCACGCCTCTGGATACTCATCTGTCAACCCAAGCAGGCCGTCGTCGCCCCCTGGGTCGAAGAACGGCTCCTCGACGAACCTCCAGGCTGCGAACAACTCCTCAACCGACGGGACCACTCCCACAACATGCACAAACTGCTTCACCCAGACCACGCCCCTGTGGCGCCGCAATCCCGAGGGTCAGCCACTCTGTAACGCGTGTGGTCTATTCTTGAAACTCCACGGCGTCGTGAGGCCACTGAGTCTGAAGACGGATGTCATCAAGAAGCGAAATCGGGGTTCTGGAAACAGCTTGCCTGTGGGTGGAACGAGTACTCGGTCGGGAAAGAAAAATGCCAGCGTGAATGCGTCGCACAACAATTCTGGGACCAACACTCGCAAGAACTCCTCCCTCGCCATCTCCTCGTCGGCCAACAACATCGTCAGCCAGGCCTCGACGCCTCCGGCGACCGCCCGCGCCAGCAGCGTGAATGCCAGCGACTCCCCTGTCAGCGGCGGCCCGTCTGGCGGGAACACAGCTGGGAGCAGCCCAACAAGCTTCCACGGGAATGCAGGCCCGGCGAGCGGTGCAGTGGGTGGCAAGGGCGTTGTGCCTATTGCGGCGGCCCCACCAAAGTCCACACCCGGGCCTGGGGCTTCTGCATTACCGCGGACGGTCGCGGCATCTGCCAAGCGGCAGCGGAGACATAGCAAGAGTGCAGCTGACAACGCCGGAATGGACATTGACAGCCCCGAGAACTCGACCGGATCCAACGAGACGGCCCGTTCCATCGGTTCGAGCAGTGGGTTCGGTACCATGTCGAACTCAGCCAGCCTAGGCCTTGCGAACGGCTTCGGTATGACGCAGAGACCCATGGTTGGCTCCGGCATGATGACAGGCATTGCCGCTGGTCAACCACCAGTGACGGTGGCGCCAAATGGCACCGGAACTGGGCCCCAGGAATGGGAGTGGTTGACAATGAGTCTCTGAAAGACCATGACGAGACAGACCTGCATATTCAAATGGCGTTTATGGTTGTTGCATTGATACGCACCATTGAGTCGCGTTATCACCTATTTATACAAAGCCGATGATACCAGTCCAGTTGATTTGGGCCAGGCAGAATTTGCTTTGCTTCAAGCTCCCGGCATGGCCTGCTGGGCTGATGCCGGGGGGCTCCGTGGTTGACGGTAGCTTTCACCACTATTTGGGAATATTGGCATTCAGCTTGGCGCGTTCTGACCATGAAGTTGGAGTGGATCTCACGAATCTCACGCTTTGCAATATTTTATACTCTTTACCGGAATCCAAAGCACTTTCGTGCTCAGCCCAATAATCATTATTTCGGCGGCCGAGACGACGACTCATCTTGATCGACCGGCAGACTCGACGCACGGCTGTCGACGCCGCCGCCTTGCACACGATCCGTCCGGGGTGTGTCTGGAGTCATCCGCAACTTTACTCGTTTGACCCTGAACGGCGCCTCGAAGTCTGCGGAAGGGTTGCGCGATGGGGAGACCATGTAGGGGTCGATCCCGAAGAACCCCAAGGCTGTTGCAGGACGTGGCTTAACTCGTTGGGTTCTGAGCGCACAGTTACGAGGGGATGCTTCATGGAGCCTTTTTGATCAAGCGGGCGTGGGCGGTTCTAGCAGTTTTATAACGCCCTGCCTCTAGCCCTTTGGATTCAGGCCGGGGTTTTATTTGATGGTATCAGGTGTTGTTTTTCCAGCTCTAGATATGATGATTTTCGGAGATGGCTGTATATTTGGCGGAGCGGCTTTAGCCGGAGCGTGGTCTATTGTTATTGTATGCGCCTGTTGTGCGCGTGTGTTGTGTAGAAACTTGGTGGATACCCCGCGGATATTTGTGTATGTTGCAACAAGAGATGGTGGTTTGGAAGCGATACAACCGAGTATTACTTGTGAGCGACTTTTGAACCTCCGAAGACTGGCAATATTTACACGGAGAGAAGAGAGCGTTTTGTGAGGGCTCTCTACTTGCTCCTCGATAGATGACTTTCCAGCTATATCGAGAGAAAGAATGAAATCAAGATCTGAGTCAATTTGGCTGTGCTTTTTCTTGTCTTGTGGATATAATTATGAGGGTGTCGAGAAGAATTTTTAGGTTACTTTGAGATTTATAGAAACCGTATATGACTTCAGACGGGCTATTCGCCAAAGCAGACAGATGAAAAAACTATACTCCAGGGCATTGACAACTACACGACTTCGAGGTCACGCCCTGCCAAATTTTCGCGGCCAAGTCCCGCGTCTCGGACATAATCTTCTGCATTTGAACGCTCTATTTCTGCATTTGATATCGGTTGGAACCAGGCTTGGTGGTTTCCTCTAGGATATGGTCGACTTTGTCCAATTCGGTACTGTCCAGACACGATACCCTCTTTTTGACTGACTGCCTAGTTTCGTTCTTGATCCGTGTACGTCCGAAGCCATAGACGGCACCTCCATATAGTGGTAGCTCTCTTTTTGACTTTCTACTCGAGCAATGTGGTCTCTATTGTTGACGCACAACATCATAGAACAACATCGACCACATTACTTATAAGCCAGGGGGTAATTAACTAGAAACGAGTACTGTGTGAGGGTGTATGTAAAGTAAAATAAACAAGCTTGCCGTGCTAGATAGAATCACAAAGAATTGGAGAAAATGACCAGGTTGTTACTCACATAGCATTACAACACCGCATTCTCACGGGTGATTTATCCACAATTATAGTTTTACATTTGGAAACATAATGATATCAAACTGCATAATTCTACATTTGCGCTACTAGGTATACAGAAACAAGTGATGGGGCAATCCACAGGCAATGTCACACCTGGGCATACCAAGTAGAAGAGCAATATATGGCTGAGGCTGAGTACATATAGTCTCTTCAACATGCCCTTCAACCGTATGGCTATCTAGCAATCAAATAGTAACATTGGGAGGGACTAGACTGTGTACTATCACTTGCACTCCTTAATAAGAAATGACTGATGTATGTGATATGACATTACGGTGCACGGGAGTGTTTCCAGTAACGATACTATTCGTAGCTATGGACCACTCAGGGTGGCACCATCCCACACAGTATCGTCCAGCCTAATAACTGAAATTCATACTAGCATGGCGTTATGATGTCCAATCTCGTGGTAGCCATGAACGAATGAGATACAGATGCAACATTGAATAGTCCTGCATGGGTCCCGAGGTCGGAAAGGTATTGTCATTTTGAATTTGTGCAGGACTGAACCGGATTCTCCAATGCGACGGAATGTATATCAAGCCATGGATATATCAACAAGACCACGAAAGTGGACCCTTTTTCTATTAAAAAAAAAAAAGGGGGCAGTGACCTGGCTGGTAAAGGAGCATTGGGGGCTCTTGCGCAGGTATTCGGTCGCCGTTCCATACACACGTATGCAAGTGTTTGGAATTTTGAACACAACTCAGCTGATTCAATTCGATTCGTGCATTCCAAGACTCTCAAGCTGTGCCTCATCATAAACAAGTCATTAACCCTGGTCTAGCCGTGACGCATCGTCGGATCTCCCCCACATCGTCTCCCACGTTTCCATACCAAATATTCCCCGTTGTGAGCCAAGCCTACCCAATTTACAAGACAGCCATCACACCAACCAGGCCTCCCAAGAGAGCACCAGCGGCAATGACGCCCCGGTCCACCTTGGTACTGGCCCCGGCGCCGGAGGTCGAACCGGAGCCTGTGGAGCTGGCCGATGCGGTAGCACTGGCGGCGCTCCCGGTCAGGGTCGTGGTGCTCGTCACGTCACCGCTGACAGCCTCGGCGACCTGTGCAAGGCCTGTGGTAACGACAACGGAACCGTCTGTTTCCGTGACCGTCTGGGTGACGGTGGTGGCCCGCGTGGTCCAGGTCCAGCCATGACCCCAAGCGCCCCAGCCACCCCAGCCAGCGTCGTCGCCATCACCACCTGGACCATTCCAAGGGCTCCCCTGGAACTCGCAGACATTCCCGCCCTTTCCCCCGAACCCACCGTTCCCTCCCCAGCTGCCTGAGGGGCCGGGCCATGACGCGGTGTACACACCGGTCGAACCAACGCTGGAACAGGACGACCAGGCGGAGCATATGCTGGAAGAGGCGGACGAGTACGAGGACCACGCCGTCGGCGTCGCGGTGCACGCGCTGGACAGGCACGAGCCGACCGAGTTGGTGTCGGCGGTGCAGTACGCTGTGGGTTCCGGCCAAGCCGATCCTGATGCTGTCTGAGATGACCAGTGGGACGAAAGGCAGGATTGCTATACCATGGGATTGGTTAGTTGTTTCCTTTAGAGAGAATGAGGGTGGAAGGGACATGGCCTGTAGACTGTAGACGTACAGCGCAGTCAGGAGCGCCTCCCCACCACTGGGCGGCTGCCCCGCCGGCGAGAGCTGCAAGGGTGGCTGTCTTCATGTTTGGTGGGCTTATGCCGGGCGGTGTTACTCTCTGCACGAGTTATGCGTGGCGTTCAAGTTGTGTTGACCCGAGGAGCACTTGAGGTCGAACAAGGGGAGGGCGCGTATGCGGGAAGGGTTCTTGTACTCCAAGAAGTGCATGAGGCCAGGACCAGAACGAGAAAGGTCAAGCCCGTTTATAAACAATGCGGGCTCACAGCCATGTCATAGGCACAAGGGAATGGCAGGAAAGACGGCCTCACACAACCGCGAGGCTCGTCCAGCCCCATCATTGCAACTAGGACTCGTCAGCTCCCCTCGTTGTGACCTTCAGCCCCACTGTCGGGACCGAGACAGGAGACACAGCTGGGAATGGCACCGCCCAACAGGGAGGGAGAACCATGCAGCCGTGGTGTGACTGCAGCGCCATGAGATGCGGGTCCGGCACTTGGGCATGTGTACGGACCCAGCGCAGTGACAAGTGATCGGCAGGCGCCTGATCGCAGCCGCTAGTCGGCCGGACAGAAGCAAAGAGAGCCGCTCGAGGGGCCGGGGGGGCCAAGGGGCACGTCGAGCTTGCGCGGCAGCGGCAGGCCGTGCATGGCCCCTCGGTGTCAGGTAGAGGGGCCGTCAGCATTTGGGCAAGCTGAGAGGGAGCGACATGTCTGTGGTGGAAGGGCGGTGGCGACTCAGCCAACAAGAACCGCCCCGCGGCGCCCCGACCTATCGAGAAGGAAGAAAAAGGAGGGGGAACAAGAGGAAGACTCGTGAGTGTACGCTTTGGCTGCGACGTCGGGACCGAGATGGCGTCGGCGGTCGGGGAGGACAGAGGTTGGGGAATGTCCGAAGCTGGTCAGACGCGTAACTGGCCGATGCTTGCCCCAAACCATACTCCAGAATATACCTTACCGGTATATGCCTAGGTATAGGCCACGGCTGTGTCAGCAATTGGGCTGCCGCCGTGGGTGGATCGTACGTCAACCTCTGACGAGTACCTCTGAACGCACCAAAGCCAGCCGGCCTACACTCCGGCTTTGTTTCATCATCAGATCTGGTTCGGCTCAATTGAGGCTGACTTTTACTTGTAGGGATACTTCGGAACTCGGCAACAGGGGTGTGGGGAAGAGATCTGCGAGATTAGATTAGATCCCCGTATTTGATTGGCGAGCTCTCCCCGTGTAAGTGGCGGCCCTAACTCGGCACAACGATTTGTTATAATCAAAGGCGACCGTTCAGCACAATAGCTGCGTACTCGGACAGTGTTGAATGCAGACAACGACTAACAATAGGCAAATAAGCTCGCCCTCGCATTCCTTCGTCATATCCTGTCATGATCCCCCCCCCCGGCGGAGAAATCCAACAGGCAAGGTTCCCAGTCATTTGCCTATCCTTCCGACCCTGGCTCGCGAGTCTATTCTGCCAGTTGCCCTGAACTCCTCGAACCAATGCGTCATATGAACTACACGGTCCAGACGGACCAAAATAACCGCAAGCGGTAGTACGAGAGAAAGAGAAACCGCTTTGCTTCGTGTCCATGAACAATACGTCATCAATCTCAATATCAAACATCGCCCTGCCCGACGTACGTTTTCACGGCGGTCCCTTGGTGGGCGAGAGTTTCATCGGCACCCGCAGGGCCCGATGCCCACCCTAAAGCATTGTGCCGAACGTGTTGTCCGTCACCGGTTTCCTCGCACTGCCGCCCTCGTCGGTCTTGCGGTGACGGAACGTGAACCCGACAAACAGCGACTTGCCCATGTCATCATCACGATCGGCCATGTTCTCCAAGGCCGATTGCTTATCGTGCACCTCCTTGTACTTTGCCATGTCCGCCTCGTTGGTGAAGTCGTCAAAGTAGCCAGCATCTGTCTCGGAATCGAGCTCCGGCACGAACGGCGCCTTGGTGTCCCGCAGCGTCTCCCAGTTGACCTCGGCAAAGTACTGGTGCGCATAGATGTCCTTGACGTTGGAGAAACGCTTGGATCGAGAGTTGATGCAGGTTGTGATGAAGCTCCACGTGCGGTTGCTCAGGAAGTAGTTCGGGTCCTCCCATACCGGCCGCTTGAGGACGTCCTTCCAATGCTTCAGGTTGCGCCAGGTCTCGTCGGCATTCGATCCGGCGAACGGCGGGAAGCCAGTCAACGCCTCAAAAAGCATGCAGCCCAGACTCCAGTAATCGACAGTGAAGTCGTACTCTTCCCCGCGGAGGACCTCAGGCGCCATGTAATCGGGAGAGCCGACGATAGACTTGGCGTAGTTGGCGTCGTTGTTGCGCATCGATCGGTATCCATCCCTTCGCTCTGCAACGGTCCTCTGGTCCATCGGCTTGCCAAAGGGCACCGAGGTCTCTGATGCCTGCTCCAGACGGAGCCGCATCGACTCGATCTTCGCAGGCGCAAGCATGCCAGCTGCCAGTCCGAAATCGGTGAGCTTGACATGGCCAGATGAGTCGACGAGGAAGTTCTCAGGCTTGAGGTCGCGATGGATGTAGCCGAGCTGGTGGAGAGCGTCTACGGAGCAGAACATCTCGGCAATGTAGAATCGGGCGTGCCTGTTGGACAGGACACCGGTGTTGTTCAAGAGGGTGCGGAAGTCGCCGCCGGGTACGTATTCCTTCGCCATGTCAGTGGGGCCGTGTAGAGTACGGAATGGAGATACGCACCATTGCAAGGTAGATATTCTTGTCGTCCTGGAACGAATACAGCAGACGGACAAGCCATTGGCTCTTGGCAGTTGTCAGGATGTCTCTCTCGGTCAAGACGTGGCGGACCTCGTCCAGCTTGAACAGCAGCTTCTTGCTCATGACCTTCAGGGCGCACACCTCCTTCGTGTCCTTCTTCTGGGCCAGGAACACCTGGCCGTAGCCACCCTGGCCGACCTGTGTGAGGATCTGGAAGTCACCCTGTCGAAGTCGTACGCGGCGTTTGCGCAGATTCGCCCTCTCGCGACCGGTGTATTTGCTCCACATCTGCCTCCAGGTCTCTTCGTCGGTCTCGGGCGGATCAGGATATTCGGCGCGGAAGGCATTGAGGCGGCTCTGGCGGTTACTAGCATAATTCAACAGATCAAAGTAGTAGTCAAGGAAGTCTGTGCCGAAAGATGTGTTAGCGGTGTGCTGTTTGGGACCAGATGCCAAGCAGTAGGGACACGAGTGGCTTACAAAGCTGGGTGACGTTGACTAGACGCCTCACGTTGGGCTTCTCTAGAATGGCCTTCTCCTCATCGGTCAGGCCGCGGGACGTGTCGAACTTCTTGCCCGGAGGAGGCGCGCGCGGGCTATTGTAGAGCTCCTGTCTCGACTGGGCGGCATGGTTGTGGGAGATGGGGATCTTGGAGGCGGTAGGAGGGGTATTCTCCTGACCCTGGTGCTTGAGCTGGGGGGAAGGCGGGCCTCTCTGGAGAATGCTCTCGTCGACAAAGTCGGCTGAGGTGGAGTCGGGGTCGAATGGGTCATGGGACTGGGCGTTGCTCAGCTTGGTGGGAGACAGCGGGGTGATGAGGGACTGAGGACGGCCGAGCTTGATGGGGCTGTCGAGGGTGGTGGCGGCGTTGAGTTTGAGGTGGCTCTCAAAGGCCTGTGGCAGTTCTCGGGCACCAGGGGGCGCTGTCCTCTTGCTTGGGCTGCCCTTTGGGGTGTTGGCCGGCTCGATGAAGCTGTTCCTGATGGGCGTCGAAGGGCGACCGAGATCCAGCCTGCTGCTGTTGGGGTTGGCATTGGAGCTGTTGCCGTCCTTGCCTCCAGGGGAGAGCATGTTGGACATGAAGCCAGACATGGTGGTGGTGTTGTTGTTGTTGTGGCGCGATCAGTGCGCCTGAGATGCGCGAGAGTGGCGGGCCCCGGGATGCGACCTGTCGAATTGGAAGGGAAAAAGCCACAAAGGACAGGGGTTAATAACTGGCCGACTGCCTCGGGCAAGACAAGAGAGATGATGGTCTAAGTCTGCTGGGGACCGAGAATGGGAGCGGGTGGGAGAAGACGGGCGAGAGAGTGTTGCAGCCCAAGGTCGAGCCTAACAAGTCCAGATAAACACAGAGAAAGGCGCGCGCACCAGACGCAACAACAACATGTGAAGAAGGCTCAGCCGCACCAAGGTGGGGGTTGGAGAAATTGCGACTGATGCAATGCAAATCCGATTCGATCAAATGCAAGAAAGAGCTCGGGCCAAAATCCCGGGACGATGCCCACTTATTTGTCCAGGTTTTGTTTCTCAACTCGAGTACTACGTACAGAGGGTGAGGAGGACGAGGATGAGGAAGGTGGGGGGTGGGAGGGAGGGACACCCGCAGGATCAAGCAGTCAGCCACCCCATCAGTGATGAGGCGTCATTGGCCCCACCCAGAAATCAAAACATCCGGTCGCGGGTTGGTCAAGCAACAACAAGACAACGCGACTGCTGTGGCAGGCCACGCTAATAAAACCCATGAAACAAGACAAGACGCATTCCAGCCCGAACCCATGTTCCTTGTACTGCCAGCACATGCAGAAAATCAAGTCCTGCTGGCAGCTCAAGATACTGACTGTCTGTGTCCTTCCAAGGTTGTTACCGAGTCTCCCTGATATCATCAGATCCTGCCTTCGCCTTTGACGGCACTCTGATGAGGACACAGTGAGGTATCTTGTCAGAGGATCATCCTATGGGAAGCTTTGCCATCGCAAGGCATGCTACGGGAGGTTCTACTCAAGTACATGCTAGCTCTTCAGTCCTTGCACGTTGACCCGCAGTGGCTGTTGAACGCATCTCGCCTTCACGTCTGTCGCTACTACTGCACATACCAAACCACCACAACTCCAAGACTTAAACAACGCTGGCTCCATTTTGTAGCATTTGATTCCACTACCAAGCCTGCCATTCGTCCCACCTCTCCCTACCATATGCGCCAGCTGCTCAGATGCTCACAGCGAGGAAAGCCAACTTTTAATGACCAACAGCGGCGCCTGCCGTCCCCATCCGTTTGATACCAGAGTATAAGACCAGCATTTCTTCGTGTTGGACATAGATCGACAAGAAGTTCTACCATCTTTTCGTGCATGCGGGGCCTACCCAGGCTCATGGCCATCGACCACTCCGCCCTAGGGAGAAATGATCGCGGGAGATATGAAGCTTTGTGACGATAGTCAGAGAGGGATAATGTGGTGTTGTGACGGCAAGCATGGCGCATAAGAATCACGCATCGTGTCTGCCCGGAATCAACTCGTCGTAGTCTCACGTCATACCCGAAGTAGAACGCTGGATGGGTGCCTGGGTTAATAGCCTTGAACAAGATGGGCAGACCACAGCCTGCCATTTAAGAGCCGCAAAGAGGTGTATACACAGCAGAACATGATCAAGCTCAGTCATCGCGGAAATGTTTCACTTTCCCCGGGGGGGGGGGGGGGTTGTTGAGATGATGGTGGTGGTCGTGGAGTGATTATCAAGTAGACAATTGCTGAGCGTCCCGCCCAATAGGGGGGGGGGCAGTATGGCGGAACAGACATGAGGCCTCGACGGCACGGTCTGTCTCGCAGAGGCATCAAAGTTAACGGAAATCATATGCCCTTCTGCTCTCGTCGTCATATCTTACATCCAAGAATGCCCTGTAATTGCCAGGCAGCACGAGGCACGGCAGCAGATCGAAACCTGCCCATGCTGTTACAGTTGAGAAGGAATATGTCTCGACAGAAGTCGAGTGCACAGCGACGAGATGTCTCCACCATCGTTAAGGTGGCTGGCAGGCTGCCCGAACACTTGCACGATGACACGGCGCGCGCGATGTTGGTAACCAGACAAATCGATCGGATTTCTCTAATCGTTTTCGAGGACTTGAGATGTGGCGTCCTCGGGCTCCGGGTTGCGGAGAACCGGTGCGCCTATACTCGGTAGAAACACAGATGCAATTCCATCATCAGAAGAGTCCCTGAGTAGACCATATTGGCCGCAGTCGCCTTGGGTGTGTACTCTTGGTCATATGAGACCCCATTCGTCCCTTCATTCCCGGTAGCCGCCCGCTATGTCTCTAGCCCTCTAGTCCTGTCGTTCCGAAAGTTGCGTCACCGTTCATCCCAGAAAAGCAAAGAGGCGAGCTTAGGAGGTTGGGTTGGGGTTCATCTGTTGCCAGTGTCAGCGTCGCTTGTTACATTGAGGGTTGGCAGATGGGCGCTGAAGGGAGGGTGTAGCGCCCATCAACTCGCGGGCGTCAAAACGCACCTTCCTCTTGCCACCGGTGAGCTGGACGTTCACGAAGCGGCGAGTGTATGTGAGTCTCTTCTTCGCGCGACCCTTACTGGGAGGCTGTTAGCATCGGATCTCGGGTCACTCGGGTTGACGTCGTTGGCAGCATCGCGTGATCGAGGTTTCATCAAACGTACGGGGTCTTCTTCTTCTCTGTGATTCGAAATTTGGTCAGCACCTCCCCATGCATCGCAGGAGCATCAAAAATTTGCAGGGTCACGCACCCTGCTTCTCAACCTTGGGGGTCTGAGACTTGACCTTGCCGGCACGGGCGCTGTGGACGATTTTGTTAGAATTTTGTTCCTCCCACTCGCGGCTTTCAAGCCGGTCCGCCCAGGCATCGCAGTCCTTACAGAGATCCGTGAACCTTTCCCATTTTCGATGATGTTCTGATCGACTGACGAAGGTTCGTTGATGGGTTGTTTGATGAAAGTCGGTGGGTTTCGACGGCGCTGGGTGATGAGTCGTAGACGGGCAGGATGGATTCTGTGGAATTGCCCTCGTTTTTCGCCGCGCCACAGCGGGGCCAGGACCGGGCGAGTGTTCCACTAGTGGCTGGATGCACGTGACTTTTTCGGCGTTAAGAGATAAGGCCTTGCGCTGATAAGCGGGCGCATCAGGCAGTCCGCCTCGCATCTGAGGCTTCCAAAGTTCAGCAATGGCTGGCGGCCTTTGATTGGGACTGTCTATCTTGTGTTTCCCCTCAATACCTTGATTGTCCCTCCAATGCCCCCGACATCTCAGAGAGAATGCCCAAGGAGCGCAACTTCAACCCCGTGCAGGCCCAGCGCAAGGCTGACAAGGCCAAGGCCATCAAGAAAGGCAAAGCAGACGTGAACGCCAAGCGCAACGAGCGACTCGCCAAGAGGAACCCAGTACACCTACAAAAACAGATCGATGACCTCAAAGCTGTGACCGCCGGCGGCGGCAAGCTCACACATCACGAAGAGCAGGTTCTCGAGGGCCTGGAGAAGGAACTCAAAGCTGTACAGAAGGCACGGGAGGCCCTGGGCGACGCTGCACCACAGTTCCGAAGCGGCGGACCACGCCGGGATGGCGACAACGATAGAGGCGCGCTGGGCAAGAGGCGGAGGGACTACGACCAGGTCGAACTAAGCAGTGACAGCGATGTGCCAGAGGACGTGCGGAGCATCCCGATGCCGCGAGACACGCCGCCGCCAATTCCCAAGGAGGTCATGGACCGATGGTGGGCCAAGAGGAGGGCCAAGATGAACGAGAACAAGAATGCGAACCTCGAGCCGCTAGGCAGCGGCAACGACAAGGGCGGCAGGGGCGAAAGGCAAGCGCCAACGCCTATGCCCGTACCCGAGGCAAAGACGGTGTACGAGTCGAAACCTGTAGTGCGAGACCTTCGGAAGGAGGCGGTCGCGTTCGTCCCCAGCGTGGTGAGGCAGAAACTGGACAAGACTCAGGGCAAGGGAGGCCTAATGGAGCCTGAAGAGGCAGACAGGCTGGAGAAAGAGGGCTACCTGCAGAAGTCACATCACGGCGGAGAGGAGGAACAGTCGACAGAGACCAGTCATGCCGCGACAACTGCACCCCGGCAGGTCACCATGGAAGAAGTCGAGGACCACGAAGACTGAGTGAGCTTCAGCCTTTGGTCTTACCACAAGGACTGTAGACCCGAGGAGACAAGGCCACGCTTTCCGGGTGTGTTCAAGAGCAGTTCTCGATCATTAAACAAGGTATGCCAGGACGAAAAGAGCCAGCACAAGAGAGGACCACTCTATCCACACGCCAGCCTCTTTGCAGCAATCTCACGTCTTCTCACGCCGCATCGCAAGGACATAACCCCGGCGCGCTAGTCGCCGACCTCCAACGTTTGGCGGGCATGCACTGCTCCCTTGGAGGGACAAGCAGCCGAGAGGAAGAGCACATCTAGGCGCGAGGTTACTGCTGGCAGTCGTTTTGCCAAGCAGTACTAGGAGTCAGGTGCGCGGAAGCGAATGATGATACCCATTACTATGACAACCTTCGTAGACCGTAACCGAAGGCCGCTAACTAATGACTCCTAGGTGGGCGCGCTAATAAGCGGCGTGTCACCAAGCACAAATGCATCTGATGAAATCCTTACATAATGAAATGAGCAATGCGCAATACGGTATGTGATTGTCAGTGACCGACCCTTTCCGGGCCGAGTATTGCTTGGGACCCCTCCTCCGAGAGCGGATACAGGTTAAAACCCGGCAAATCTTCTGCAAGATTTTGGACGGCAACGAACTCGCAATTGTACAATATTAATTTTCTGTGTGGTTTTGGTCTGACTTGTCGGCGACGAGGCCTCACTTGACTTGGCAGCATTTATACACCACAGTCGTGAGCCCGACTTTGTACCTACAATACTTAAGTAGGTAGCGAGACACTCTAAACAATGGCGGAGCCCAAAGACTCACTGGACAATGTTCGTGCACCTGACTCGATGACCGGAAAGGCGTCGTCGGCCAAGAACGCCAACGACGACGACGGGAACACGAATTATCATAACCCCAGTAGCAGCAACAATGCCATGCCGCCACCTTTATTCGTTGTTCCCAGCAACGTGGAGCAAGATCTCAGGAGGGACGCAGCCTCATCGGCTGGCGACGGTGGTGAGTCTTACCCAGAGGGAGGCCTTCTGGCATGGCTTGTCGTCCTTGGGGCCTGGTTGGGGCTTTTATCGTCGCTCGGCCTCATGAACACTCTTGCAACCTTCCAGACCTACTTGACGGAACACCAGCTCAAAGACTATGACGAGGGCACAGTGGGCTGGATATTTTCCATCTACACATTCGTTGTGTTCTTTGGGGGACTATTTATTGGCCCCTTATTCGACAAGCATGGGCCGAGATGGTTGGTCCTCACGGGCACCGTGTCAGTCGGTGCCAGCATGATGCTGTTCAGCATTTCCACAGGTAAGCAATGGCAACTTGTTTCGACGCACAAAGAAAACCCCTATGCTCAACCGCTGATGCTCACACTCACTTAGAACTATGGCACTTCATCCTGTCTTTCGGCGTCTTCTGCGGGCTGGGCTGTTCCTTGCTCTTCACCCCTTCCCTTGCGGCCGTAGGTCACTTTTTCCAGGTACGGCGGGGCCTCGCTACGGGGATCGCCTCGACCGGCGGCAGCATCGGCGGCATCGTGTTCCCACTGATGCTTCAGTCTCTGTTTCCGCGCCTGGGTTGGGGCTGGTCCGTTCGCACACTGGGTTTCCTGGTGCTGGGTATTTGCGGCTGTGCAAACTTTCTCATCCGCTCGCGTCTGCCGCCCGCCCAGGGCGCCAGCGCTCGGCCGGACTTGAACATCTTCCGCAACCGCGCCTTCACGCTGACCACGCTGGGCATATTTTTGCTCGAGTTTGCGCTCTTCATTCCCCTCACGTACGTCTCCTCCTACGCCCGGTCCAAGGGCTTCTCCGAGGCCTTTTCCTTCCAGATCTTGCCCATCCTCAACGCTGCCTCTGCCTTTGGCCGTGCCCTGCCGGGATACTGGGGCGACAAGATCGGTCCTTTCAATATCAATTTGATCATGATCATGTTTTCCACGCTTTACCGTTTTCGTGCTGCTCCGGTAAAATTTTTGGTATATATAGCACCTGGCGGTAAGGTATCTGCTATATATAGCAGGTGGCAGCCGTAGACTATTTGCTATATATAGCGAATAGTTTATAGGTCATAAGGGCAAGCGCGTATGGCGGTGGCGGGGTGGTGGCGTCTAGGGCCTAAGATATGTTTTTTAGAGAACGGATATTTACAGGGCTAAAAACGGCTCAATCTAGGGTTACCAGCAGTTAAGAAGAACAATTTCACTTAACAGTATGAGTAAAGTAAATGTCTTTATCAAGGGTGTAGGCTGTGAGATGTCAAGAGGTTAGCGTTAGGACTAGATCTTCAACATCATTCACATGAAGGCAGTCCTAAACAGGCAGAGGTATGTCAACAACCCGAGTAAGGTAGCCAAGCCATAATTCAAACAGACCTGGCTGGTTTTGGTAAGTATTGCTGGTTTCTATCCTGAACCCCGAACCACGCACAAAAGAAAAGGCATAATGCATCCATACACAGCAAGATTCCAAAAAGCAAGAAGATCGCCCTCATCTACACACAGCGCCCCTACAAGATCAATCCGCACGCGGCCAAGTCATCTGTGCCATGCCTTTTTGTGCTCGTTGTAAAAGACGGCGACTGCGGAGGCAAACAGGCCCTCCACTCGCTGAACCTTCCCTTTCCATGACCAGACGACCGGTCCACTGCCCTAGATCCATCTCTACCCCCGCGCCCGGACCCCACTGCTGCTCAGGCAAGTATGAGCTCAGCAGCCTGGGAGGTGGTGGGTGGACCTCGGCGTGAGAAGGCTCAGGGGATGAAAAGGGGGTTTGAATGGCAGTGAAGGCACCAGAGCTGAATTAGTACGGCCGGCCATACTCGTCAACGTCGTCAACGTCGTCGAAGGCCTCGGACTGGCTGTGGACACTGTTGCTCGCGTCGAGTGGATGCTGGAAAGTCGCGGCGGCAGGAGTGGTTCCGGACGTACTACTGGGTGGTGCAGCTGGACCCTGAGGAGGGTTTGACGACATCAAGAAGCCGCTGCGGGTGGAACCAAGCTCAGCTAGCGATGCCGGCGACGTGATTGGATTCTGGACCGGGCTGTCGCGCTCTGAGGTGATCACGCTGTGTGGTCTAGCCACCCGCCTGGCCTTCGCTCGCTCACGGTCCTGTTCGGCAGGATGTGGGCGCTTTGGCTTCCTGTCCCTGAGATCTGCTCTGGCGGCATTGCGGATTTCCAGCTCTTTCTCAACCATCTGGTACTGGCCGTGATGCTCGAAGTACGTGCGGGCGATATCGGTCTAAACAACTTAGCTTGTGCACGCCAGCGCGCGGATGAGACATTTATTCTCTTTCTTCTTCTTTTTTTTTTTGGGGGGGGGGGGATTGGTTTGCGGGGATGGGGGTGGGGGAGACTTACCAGAATCGCCATGGATAGCAGATCCTTGTGGCGAAGGTGGGTAACACCGTTTCCGTGAAGCTGCACATCAAACTCCCTGACAAGACCTTCCCTCGACAATGCCGCATGCTTGCGAGGTGCAAATTTCTGAAGCATCGGACCGTAGAGGACATGCCCCACGCCCACGCCAAAATCCTGGAGGGCAAGGTGAGTGGCCCAGGTCTCCTCAGTATTGTTTGCGTCGTCGGAATTGTGCAAAGGCACCCAACCGGTCTCCTTGGCCTGCTGGATCAAGTTGTTGTTCTCATTGTCGTGTGTGTACGTTTTGGCGTTGCCGTGCCTGTTAAAAATATCCGCCCTCATGGAGAAGTTGGGTTCTTGGTGGCCGATGCGATGCAGAGCCTCCTCCACGCGGGCGATGCCGGGGACAGTATGGGCGGCCATTTCGATGAGTGTCTTGACCAAGCAGTTCTTGGTGTTCTGGATGTTCCTCTCGAAGATGGATGAGTGCAAATCAAGACGAGTGCAAATTAAGCCCACGAATCTGGGCGCTGGCGGCGATGACTCCTATTAGGCATCTGTCTGACCCCTGTGGTGATGACAGAGCCAGGCGGCGACAAAGGCAGGATACCGTGCGGCTACGGCGAATGTGGATCCGGCACCGTGACCAGACCAGACAGAATTGGTGCTCTTTCTTGTCCCAAGAGAACCGATGGGGGTGGTGATTGCATCCACAAATACCACACCGTGTAGTAGCATCATGTATGTTCCAGACCTCACACAGTAAGGGGTCACCACGTCAAAGATGCCTCCAACCTGCATGACGGAACTGTAAGGGCCCTCTTGTTGTCTGCCGCTGCGCGCGGGTTTGAGAAATGGGCTCAAGGGCTTCTTGGTCACGGAAAACCACTTGTTTTGACTCACATCCCTGGGATATACCCAGGTCCCCAGCTGGCCCTTGAGGTGCCCGACCGCGAGCCTTCTCTATCAATCCCGCGTGGGTATTTTGACACTCGACCTTTTAACCGCCTTATCCAGATCACAACCACCCTAGGGCACTCTAAATGATTGATTATTGTCAGGTTATGGCTAGAGGTTAGGATTGTCTACTATCGTGTGGCTGCCTGCAGGGCTTGCTTACGTAACTAGACTACGGGTCCATATGGACTGACTGTATGGCCTGGGGGGGGGGGGTAGTGTTTAGGAGTAAGAAAGACTACAATGCTTAGTGTTGATAGCTTATAACCAACTTCTTCAGAGTAATTATTGTAGAAGCAGGACGGTCGAAGTTTGGTTAGAAGCAAAGGGTACCTCACTCATGTAACTATCCGCCCTTTAGGCCAACAGGCGTAAAACCATTAGCCATAATGAGTACAACTTTCCCCAACACGACAGGAGTGAGGACTTTTGAAAATCAAACCCACCTCACCGTGGAAATGGATGCCCAAGAACAATTTTTCAGGAGACTCGAGCCATATGTGGCCAGGGTCGAGGAGGTGGCGAACCAGATAAGACGGCTGCCACAAACCCGAGCACGTCGTCACGGCAAGGCAACGGACAGTATTTCGTTTGCAGGTCCTGACCAGACCCACGGACACGAAGAAGACCCATCCGCGCCATCAGTCGAACGTCTCATAAAATTAGTCGAGCAATTCTTCAACGAAGTCCGCACCATGGCGAAGGGCATCAACAACACGGTCAACCATACTATGTCCAATAACAAGCCAGATACAACTACAGCAACCATAGACCCACGACCTACAATCTCCGGCACGGCCAGCCCGGTTCCAGCAACACGTACACAGGAGAACAATGCTGCCGACAGGGTCGAGGCGGGCGCGCACACACCCGACGAGGGCACAACAGCACCCGGCAGGGGACAAAGTGCTGCGGCCCATTCCGACGGACAGGCGGACCAGGGCACAGAACAGACCGACGCAACACAAGGCCGGAGAGACGAGCCGAGTGGCCAGGTGGACCTATCACACGCCGAGCCTGCCAGGGCGGAGACCACCACTGCTGTTGGGACCGGTAAGCCACCTAACCACCAACACTGACATGGTGGACAACAACTGACAGAGCAGCTCGCAAAAACACAGCTAAATACCTCTCCGACCCCCAATGGATACCGCTCGGCGAGGAGAACCTCGGAGACGCCCTAGTACCATTCATTGAGACATTGCTCAGCCAGCAACAGAACTCGGGAGACGGACTCAGGTTGCTCCGGCTCAAGATCAAGGAGGGCATAATGCAAAAGATGCGCTTGATTAGTGACGCCATGGGCAAAAGGCAGCCACGGATTGACCGGAACGCCGTCCATGCTATGGAGTACTGGCCTTCGGACGAGCCAGGTATGGTTTCACTATATGAGCTGGGATCGAACTTCAGCTTTCCGGACTTTGCGGCCACGCCGGACAGGCCCACGGACAGCGAGATCGCCGCCTGCCTGGATGACCTCTTCAGCAGGCGGGAAAAGCACAAGGTTAATCACTATGTCGGGAAGCCAATTACCCCCCACGCCGATGGGATCATCCGTCCCGGCAGGAGGATATTAGAGCTACCTACCATACATGGCGCGCAAGACTACTTTTGGCATGCAGGTGTGAAGCACTCAGGCACACCATTCCATAAGGAAGACGCAAACTTCCGCTCTATCAACATGGTCCTATACGGGTTCAAGCTCTGGATAGTCATACACGAGGATTCCTCCGCGCGGTTCGAGGAATTTTGCAGACAGCAGTATCGTGAAGTCGGGGTGTGCTGCCCGCAAGACCTGTCCGGCCACAAGACCGTTGATGACGACCAGTTGGTACGGCATCGCAACTGCCTTATCCACCCCGACCGGCTACATAAGGAGGGGATCTCGTACGACATGTTCGTTGCCGGCCCGGGGGACGTGGTGGTCACCGGCCGCAACCAGTATCACGGCGTCATTAACGTGACTAGCTGCTTTGCTATCTCGATTAACTTCCTGCCCTTGTGGGAGACACCCCTCCAGGAAGAGATCTGGACATGCCCGGACTGCGGGCTCTACATACTAGGCCATGAGAAGGTACGACAAATCCCCAAAAAGTGCAAGAGGTGCAAAAGCTGCGGGAGGTTTCACCTCCCCGTCAGCACCCTCCGGCAAGCCGGGGCGAGGAAGAGGGCCCGCGCCCGGGAGCAGTCACGCCCGGCGGCAAAGAAGAAGAAGCTCACAGCCCCTGCCATTCCTGAACGCCTCCCGACCAGCGCAGGACCCGACAACCGGATGGCTGAGGAGTCTGCGATACAGCAGGACCCTTTCATCACGCCCAGCCCGATCCGGATAACAACAATGGATCCCCTTGCCCACAGAATAGGACTCACTGTCCGCTGCAGTCTGGCAGTTAAAAACCTTGCCCAACTGGCCAGTATGCTCCGCGTCGGGAGCGTCCATGCTGCACCATCGTACCGCGTCCTATCGGACCCGGAACTTTCACTCGGCAAGCTGTCAGAGCTGGTCACAAGCTACAACACCAACTCCAAGATCTCGTCGGTACTGGACTATATCTCACAAATCAGGTTCTGGCGTCGGATCTACGAGAAACTCGGGGATCAGATGAATATGACCCCATGGGCCTGGGGCATAATAGCTCAAGAAATGGGTGTAGAGGACCTGGAAGACTCTGAAAAGAAGCAGATCCTTAAACGCCGGAACACCGGAAGGAAGCTGGGCGGGGATCTCAGGGGCCTGATCAGTCTTATTCCTTCAACGCCCTCGCCACCGTGCTCGATCCAGCTCTCAGACCTGACAAAATTGAACGAGGATCAGGAGGCCGCCCTCTTGAACTGCATCAGTCGAGACAAATACTCAAAGGCACTCATGGAATGCGGTGAAGAGCTGGTTGATATGCTGGTGAATGGCGAAGAAATTTACAATGAGCCGCGGCTGGATGAACTGGATCGTGCAATTGCAGACCTGAAATACCACGAAGTACTATGGTTAGTTCAACAATAGATGCACTGTACCCACAATGCAAGGGATTACGTGGTTTTCAATAATTATGATTCGCACGACCTCGCCTGCATGCATCGTTTCAAATGTTGGTGCTTAAACGCCTATCCCTCTAGTTTTAGCATGGACACAGGGCTGCATTGTGATCTGAACACGACAGAACGACATGTTCCCTGATTCAGAGCCGGGCGGGACTACACATAATCCCCACATAACCCTATCCGAAACCGATATAGCAAGCCTGTGACTATGTTGGTGACTTTGGTAGCCGTCGCTGTAGGAACACGCTCAGCATGTAGGACCTGTGTGGGGAGCTTAGCATGGTGACTAGGCCGGGTTGGTGTAAGACTTCACATACTAAGCAGGTTGTCACCTTACTGCGGAGCTTTGTGGTTGTCGCGAGTAGGTACGGAGCGAGGGTAAAGGGTATTAGGCGAGGTGCTCCCTGCGGAGTCGCCACCTGGGAGCTTGAGTCAGCATGATGAGGCAGGAAATATGTAGTGGAAACATACTGATGGGGCTGGCCTGTTCCTGAACGGGGACCTGAGCGCCAACACCAGCCAAAATGGCGACCGACTCCGCTGCAGTGTGGCAGGAGGCGTCAAAGCTAGAATCGCTGTCCTGCCCTCCAGCCGGTCCCTCGACCGTGTGCTGGCCACGGCTGGCGCCAGAAGGGTTCACAGCGAGGCCGCCAGCACGGAAGCGAGGCAGTGGCTGGTTTCCAGCAAGCTGCATACAGGTTTGTGTGATGCTCACGATGTGATTGTTGACAGGACCGTTGAAGAGGCAGTCGACAGTGTCAACAAAGGTCTCTGGAAGGCTGTGGGGTTCGGCACCCTCGCGGCAACCTGCAACGATCCCGGAATAGTCCATGCCGTCCTTCGAGGCGAAGATGCTTCCGAGAAAGCAGTCCTCGTTGCGTTGGACCAGGACGACACGTCTGATGCGGATCTGAGTCAAGATGAAATTTGTGGCCAGACGAAGGACCATGACCGTTGACCGCGGCCATTTCGTATGGTCTGCGATAGTTGTGGAGACGGTCACCTTGTCCGGCTCCTGCGGGTCACCGAGGGCGGTGACGATCGACTTGAACAGGACCAATATCTCATGAGCCGGTCGGCAGAGCGAGTCGAATATCTCTGGGAGGGCCCCCTCGAATGTGGATGTCTTGACAGCGGGGCGGTGACGCGCGGGATAGTCCGGGCTTACTAGCAGATGGTCCAGTTGCTCCATGAGGATGCACGCCATCACGTCCTGTTGGCCTCGCTCGGGATGCGCACCATTAAATCCCCTCCCGACGCAAAACAGTGAAAGCCGATCACGAGGATCGAGGTCACGCTGGGGAGGCGATAGGAGGGGGGGGGGGCTGGGCGAGTAGGCGGATCGTTCCCCTGCCGATGAGCTGCTTGATATGGCAACGAGCTAGGCTCACGACACGGCTCTGGGTCGGCTGCCACTTGTGGACCTCGTGAGAATTGGTCGCAATCATGGCTACAGCCTCCCCGTCTAGCCGGACTGTTTGGACGAAGAGTGCAAGGGACTCCCTCTCGCCGGGAGTAAAGGCGCCAGAAAGGGTGCCGCAGTCGGCACCACTAGCTGCCAGATAGAAGAGAGCCATGGTGTTTCTCTCAGTCAGTAATGAATGCGAGATAATATCCTGTGATTCGTAGGCAATGGTGCTAAGAAATGACGGATGTGAAGAGAAAACAAACCTCTAGACTCTCTTGCTACGCAATTTTACTTATCTGCCATCAGCAGCCCGCTTACGGCTTCAGCAAATACCTACCCTGGGGTAGGTACGTCCCCGTTTGACAGACTCTAGTTAATTCTTTTTTTCAGCATCCATAATACATCATCTCAGACATATCCACCCAAAGTTTGCTTTGTCTGTGTTACACGAGATGCAAGTGGTGCTGTCGTGACGGAGCCATCTCATCACCGCGCCTCCAGGGGCTACTGCTCGCAAGTGGAGAACGACGGCAACTGGCATGTGGTTATTTATGCCACCAAGCTTTGAATCCCACCGTTCTGAAATTCCAAAATCTAATTTTGAATCCTCCACAGGGTAACTGAGTTGAGGGAAAACGGGAAGAACATGGACGTTGGAAAGCCGCCCCAGGTATGTTTTGTGTCGTGCCCGCTGTCCGCCACCTGCTCATCGACTCGTGACAACAGAAAGGACCGGAATTCTGCCACATTGAGGCCTCACAGAGTGATGAATCCGTACAGCCCGTCATCGAATACGTAAAGGAGATCCTGAAGCCACTCTCAAGCGCTGGTACTCCCGAGCCCGACCTCATACGCATCACCCTCGAGTTGCCCTCCGTGAATTACTACTTGCACAGCAAAGCGCCGCTGCCAAAAGAGCTCCTAAAGATGTACTCCCTGAGGAAGCAAAACACGCCTACGAAGGCCCTATTCCCAGCATACCTGCGGTTGGTAGCAGAAAAGTGGGATGAAGTCCTGCTGATGGAGGAAAAGGAAAAGGCGTCGGCAGCAGAGTAATGCGGACACGGATCGGCAAGGGCCAATCAACTGCTGGGGCATTTGCTCGATCACGGTGCGGATACTCTTCTGAATCTTGTGCATAGATCGGGCCTACCAGTGCTACATGGCGGCTAGCCGCTGGATCCCCTCACGTGGTGTGTTATTGTATGAAGACTGTTTGTGCGAGCCGGCGTCTGCATGTTGGGAGTCGCCGAGGCCTGGGTCGAGACTTTTGCAGCCACGTCGCCTGGCGCTGGAATACCCCTGGGTCAACACAACCCGGAACACCCGATTGCTCTGGATAGGTTTTTGCAGTCGTGATCGTTTACCTGTGTGATGCCCGTTCGAACAGGATGCACGAGACGCCACCGTCCCCCTTGCGGACGTCACTGAGAGATGTAGGAGTTCTGACTGTTCAATTACATCGCCGATGATAGTCATGAATTTCAACTTGGACCGTAATCCAGTCATGCCGCCCATGGAGACCCAACACCAGTCTGTCCAACGCGGCCTCTACAGGCTACCCTTGCTGCCACCATCACTTCCACCCTTCATCGCTTCCTGGTACTCATCCTGCAGTTTCTTGAGCCGCTTCTGTCCGTCAGCGCTCAGCTTTCCCATTGCCACGAGCCCCAGCAGCTGTGCCTGTTCCTTCAGATTCTGTGAGACCTTTGTGCTTGAACCGGAACCGCTGCGCGATGCGTCGCCCTCGGCAGGATAGATTGTCAACCACTCTTTGACACCCTGGGCGGCAGCAGGACGGTGAGGAGCCGTAGCTGTAGCCTTCTCCTTGTCGCTGGCGAGTGCTGGTGGTTTGGGCACTGCCGTGGGTTTCTTGACGGCGTTTTTGTTCGAGTCGGCCTGCGCTTTCTGGTTGATCTGACCAGGCTTGTGTGCGGTCTTGCTGGATTCTTTGCTGCCGGTGTTGGTGGAATCTGGCTGGGCTGTCGACTTGAGTCTCTTCTGCGCGCGGCCCTTGCCCTTTCCATCGTTTCCATGTCCGCTGGGGTTGGACTTGCTCTTCGCGGGGCCAGAGGCGATCGCCTCCCGAAGATCTCGGCCGTTGGTGCATTCGCGCACGTAGTCGACCCACGACTCCTGGCCATCCTTGTCTTTTTGAAGGAGCCCCATGTTGATCCCCTGGCGCATCACGCCGTACCCGAGCTCGCGGACCTGCTCGTCGGTGTCCGATGAGTTGGTCTTCGTCCTCCACAGGTTGGCAACGTGTCCAAAGTTCTTCATGTCCTTCCAGTCGCGGGCGACTCCGGCGGGAGTGATCTGGTTCCTGATCATGATCACCAGGAGGCTGAGCTCGGAGGGGCTCAGCTCGTCGCGCTTGGCCTTGGTTATGCTGGGCGAGGAGGTGTCCATGGTCTGGGATGGAGGCTCCGGCTTGGAGTGATCACTGCGCGTGCCGCATCGAAGGTGAGACCCGCTTGCTCTTGCCTATGGTGGATAGTTCCGGGGGTTGGGATGATTCAAGGTAAGGCTAGAAGGTATACTTGCTTGCTGAACAAAGGCATGCTGGCTTGCGGAACAAAGACCACTTCCTGAGACGCCTAACCCGTGCTGCCGCCCCTTGGCCTGAGGAATCCGACCTGAAGCACCATCCCATTTGTGAGAGATCCTCCCCATGCCCAGCTAGAGGCTATCAACCCGAGTAAATGGGCCAAGATACGTTCTGCTGTCTATCGTTAGTAGGGCAGAGTAATCACGCGTCCCAAGGTGATTTGTGGATCTGAGAATCTCGTCCTCTTGGTAAAGACAGACACCAACTTCTTTTCTTCTTCGTCTTAGCCCAACCTTGGTGCGTCTTAACTTGAACACGAAGCATCCTCTCTTAACACGAGGATCTACACACAGGAACCTTGGAAGCCAAGGGATGCGCGTAACGTCACGGACCACCACGGTTCGCCAGCCATACTTCCAGTCTGACTCGACTTGGACTTGCAGACCTTCTAAAAACCGAGAAGGCATGATGGCACCCTATTTCCGAGTCGTTCGCCAAAGGCAAGCTCTTGCGTCCGACCCCCCCCCCCCCGGGCGAGGATGGCCTGGCCCGCCTTCAGCTAATGCTGACTTCACCTCCGGGTAGGGATTCCAAGATCAAACAGGCCTTCATTTTGGTTTGGTGGCTCGGACTAGCACTGATCTGCATCGTCGCCACTGCCGTCCAAATTCTCGCCAACTGGATCCGAGTTCGACTGCTCAGTGCGATCTCCATACACCTCGGAAACAGAAGGTTCAAGATCTCACCGCTCGCCATCCTCGTCATGATCATGACGGGTGTCATCACGGCTGTCTCCATGGAATGGCTGAAAGGACTCACCAGCCTCCAGCCCGTCGCCACTCCGCTGCCCCCGGCATATAGCTGTGGACAAGACTGCTGTAACGTGTGGGCCGCGTGTGACATCCACATCCGCCTGTCCACGCTGCTCAACGAGACCCGCCGCCCGCCAGCAAGACACAGCACACCTGGCTCACTGTACGCAGTACTCGACGTAGAGACTACAGTACACAGAGCGGAGCTGCGCGGTGCCGCGAGAAGCGCTGCGCAGCGTGTCGAGCAGCGCCGGTATCCTGACAGGACAGAGCCGCTGGTCACCGAGCTCTTCCGCGCGGCACAGTTCCTAGAGGTTGAAGAAAACCGCCGCCTATATGATAGGTTGTTCCTCCCGCTCGTCCAGTCCGAGACGCAATTAGTACCAGGGAAAGCCGCCAGCCCACCGCCGCGCGAAGGATTGGACGTTCCCGGAAAGCTTGGCCCGATTTGTTCTGCAGCACTTAGCGCTTGTTGCGATGCTGCGCACGGCGGTTTCTGAAGCCCGGTGTGTGTCCGACGCCAAGGGTGAGATCGACACTGTATTTAGATTCTGCTGGCTGGAGGCGATAGAGAAGGTGGATTCAGATGTCCCGACTGAGAAGGGCCCCGTGTAAGGGTAATACAACGAGCATGATACTACCAGTTCCGCATAAGAGAGGACAAAGCAGGGGAAGCTAGCATCAGACCTACCACACAGGACTAGTTACTCTACCACATGTAGAGGATCAATTCTTCTCCATCCGTGCCCTTGAGAGAATAGCAAAAGTGTAAACAAATCTTGTGTTTAGGGATCATCATAGACGCTATAGCCCCCTTAGCTCTTCCCATTTTCCAGGCTCATCATCGGTAATATTCCAAGACCAACAAGATTCACTTAAATTAGGCTTTTATTACTAAGTTCTCATCCCTCTCTTTATTAAAGTTCTTATAGACAAGATACTAGTAAATAGAGAAAGTACAGAATGACATATAAAAACTAAGGAGTTGCTATACCTAAATACCCAGGTAGGAAAGGTGATCCATCTTTTCTCACCTCATAAGATCCGACTTAAGACCCAACTGGCCCTTCCACAGTGGATTCAATCAGGCTTAACTCTTGACATGGTGGTCGCTTAATGACAGAAAGCATAGGAGAATAATTAAGGAATCATTTATTCAGATCAGCAATCTCGAAGCGGGTGAACTTCTTATAAAATAAGATGAGAGGCTTAAAGTCGGAGAATTGGTCCGTCCCACGCTAAACGAGTACCTAGGTAGGTTTAGCTGTCTACTAGTAGAGCACGCCGTTCAGGCCTCTCCACCAGCCGCGGGGCCTGTCCTACGTGGTGGAAGACAATATCGTCTCCCCACGGGCCCACCGGTACAAGCAGGACTTGAGGGTGCTCAACAGGCTGGCAATGCAACGCCAGGTTCCGTACTCCACCTCGAACTATCCATCGCGTGTCTGTCTCTCTCGCTTTGCCCGCGGTGGCTGAGATTGCTGCCTGGATCGCACTTCCCAGACTGAAATGGGGTCTCTGCTTGCTGCATGTTGACTCAGTAGGTCTCGTCTAGGTCTCTAGCCTCTCTTTCTCCAGATTGTCATACACCGTTGTTGACCGCATAAAGGGCCCTTTCAGACTAGCAGAAGAGAAGCCTGAGCAGCCTGCAATGCGCAACCGGCGTCGTTTCATGCGAGGACATGTGCTGATAACTCGGGCTCTGGGCCTAGGAGCCGTTGTGTCGCCATTATACAGCAGATTGGGGCCAGCATGGTGAGGCGGACCATGGGGGTCGAACAAGGCCCAGAGCCGAAAAGGTTGAACTCCTTAGGCGCCAGTCCGCCCCATTGAAGCGTCGACGTCGTATAAAATAGCCTACAATCCTCCAACCTTGGATCTTGGGATTTCTTTTCCCTTTCTTTCCCGCCCAGCTCCTTTCTCCGTGGTCCCTGGGGTTTGGCTGTATTGTTGGCTTGGTGGTCACCGATAGCCTTCGAGTTACTGTGGTGCTGTAGTTGAGCTGGACCGGGCACAGCTCCTCTCACACAGGTCAACTTCGCGAGGCTTGAAGGGGCTCCGCCGACTTTGCGGTCATGAACCATGGCGCTATCGTTGAGTCGGGATGCTGGGATAGCAAGTCGTCCTGCTTGTTGCCGGGAGCACGAGCTGGTAGGGGGGAGAGTTTGCGTGTACTCCTGGTGTCGCAGTCGATCTGGAGCCCGGCCGGATCCTCGCCCAGGAGAATCAACATGCGGACTCGCCTTCCCCCGGTTCATGTTACGCTTCAAGCATGGCACGGCGGCTATTCCCCCGCGCATGACTGTACCGTGGGCAGCCGTCGGCAGCTGGCCCCTTCGAGCCTGCTCGTCAGTACGCCGTGTCGGATTGTGGGTTGAGGCCAGGGCCCGCCTCCCCCTTCCGATACGAGCTCTGGCGGCGGTGCTGGGGTCCTGGCTGTCGGTAGGCCCACGGCGACGTGGCATGCGCGGTTCTGGCAAATAGGTGTGGGTATCTGCCAGTCTTCTGTGGTCTAATTATGGTCGCTCGGCATATTGTTAGGCTTCACCATAACCACTCGAGATTAGTGTAGATACTTGGGAGGGTTAGTGGGCACACCTTTTTTTTTTTTTTCATTTTGATTTTTTTTTTCTTTTTGGTGTGGGTATCTACCAGTCTTCTGTGGTCTAATTGTGATTGCTCGGCGGATTGTCGAGCTTGACCACAACCACTCGAGATCCGTGTAGATGCTTGGGCGGGTCAGTGGGCACACCTTTTTTTTTGTCCTTCTCCTATTGACTTGCTCCTCTTTTGTTGCCACAGTTCCATCACAGATGGAAAATATCGGGGCTGTGGGTAAAGATGTGGACTTGACAGGATGCAGTTGTTAGCCAGGACTTCAGCTAAAGACTCATCTTACGGCAGCGTGGCGCCCAGACAATGTCGACTTTGTCCCTATCGCTATTGCATGAACAAATAGACACTGCAAGACAAGCAGCACTGCTGGAACCGGTCAATAGTACAACCGTATATCCCTGCTCACATCCTCCTTCATGTGTATAGTAACGATGCTCCATATCATTAACGTGACCGCACGGGAATCTCTTGCCTATTGTCTACCGACTACCCATAATTGCTCATGCTGTATGTAAAAGTGGAATGCTGGTTGAGAATGGAGAGCAACGGTCTTGCTCCACCGGAGCCGCCTTCCCTCCTTCAGCGTGCCTAGTGTGGGAGACTGAAAGATAAAGTTCAGTCCGTCCTTACCTAGAAACTACTCTAGCTCAAAGCTTAGTCACTTTCTATCATGTTTCACTAGTTTCGCTTGTATTATTTGCATGTCCGAAGTCGTAGGCGGCGGCTTTATAGGGTGGTAAGAGTTCAAAGACCTACCTACCGTACTGATAAATAGGGGGGATCCGCAAGCGTTGCGGCCCTCTGCAAGCGTTGCGGCCCTCTGCAAGCGTTGCGCCTACTGCAAGACTTATACCTACCGTAAGAGTTAACCCCTTCTGTAAGAGTTAGAGAATTAAGGTGTGAAAGTTATGTGAGAAGATTTTGGTAATTTAAAAGTTACTCTGTTTATCTAGGTGTGGAGGATGGCTGAGAAGGATTCTTCTTTTAGAGTAATTTTAAGGTTTTTCGTTCTCTAGTCTACCTTAGGGTGTTGTTTGTCTTCGTCGTCTTTGTCTTCGTCTTCTTTATTTTCTTCCTTTTTATAACTGCCTCTTTATGACTGTCTCTTCGTAACTGTCTCTTTGTGACTACCTACCTCTTCCTTAGGTAGGTATGTATCTACTTCTCACCTAAAAAGTCCTTACGTAACTTTTACACCTTAATTCGCTAACTCTTGCGGAAGGGCAACTTTTGTGGTGGGTGTAACTCTTGCGCTAAGGATAAGTCTTGAAAACGAGGTAAGTCTTGCGGCCCCCCGCAACTCTTGCGGGCTGCCTGCAGACACCGGTATGGTAGGTAATATTTGGAAAGCATATAATGACCAATCATGGTGGGGAAGTGCTATTGGTTCTATGATGTTCATCTCTTCTCCCGTGAAGTATTACTCTGACGCAACTAACAGCAATAACGATTGATAACACTATATGATAAACTCAACAACCCCCCTACCCCTCCCCCCAAAAAAACATCTCTCAAACCTCACCACCCCTCAACCCATATCAGCCTAGTAGAATTTAAAAAAACAGGGAATTTCCTATTTATAAAATAGTCTCAAACAATTTTAAGTATAGCTTGTTAGAATTGGAATTTAGATAAATATATGCTGGCTACTAGGGTAGTAAGAACAGACTGTAGCCTGGTAAAGCTAGTGAATAGATTCTGAGCGGCGTTATTGCGTGGAAGGAACTTTTCGAAGAGATCTTTGCTACTGTCCTTGGCACCGGCCTTACTTCCTTGCCTTCTTCATTCGCGATGCCGTGACGTCGCGGTGCGGTTGAGGGTTGGTGTTGCGAATTGTGCCATCGGGTCCTTGTCTGCGTCTAGTTCGAAGAGGGTGTCGCGGACGTCTTGGAGAGATCCAAAGGGCTAGGCTGCTGCCTTTTTGTTGTCAGCGGAGTTGCCGACTGGGTAGGACCTGATGTCTTCGGGCTCATACTCCGCGGGCTGGCAGCCCGTCACCAATCGGAGTCACACTGTATGTGTCCGGCCATAGGTAGAGGTCTTTCATGGAGCTACGTGCTTCCTGTGTAGGCGATTACTTGAAGGAGCTCTAATGTGTCTCTTCCTTCTTCGAAGTTTGGTCATAAATTCCCCGCGTCTTCTCTTGTGTTTGCCATCCTCGAGACTTGATCTTCCTCATGTCTTCTCTTGTGTTCTTCGTCTTTGAAACTTGATCTTCCTGCTGTCTTATTTTATGGGCAATTAATGGCACGGTGAGTTGCTGAGGTGCAGCGGCTGTCTGTAGCGCTGACAAGCGCTTACAAGCGCTGTGGTAAACCATGGGCTGCAGGCCAGGGACAAATTCGGCGTCGACGGGGTCGATGTCATCAACCTCTTCAGACTATGTGTCGTAGAGGAAGACCCCCTGCTCGTCTTCAGAGTTGTGGCCTGATACAGGCTGCTCATCCGCATGTTCGCTGTGTGTTTCCGTGGAAACACTGTTCCAGGATGGCAGATGACCTGATACCCCAAGGCGGAGCGTGTGTCCTCGGCGCTGAGCCCGCTACGCCGGACCCGCCATTTGATGTGATCGTCTAGGACCTGCCTGTGGAGGGATAGGATGTGGACTACTGACGAGTCGTCACTTTCCTCGAGCGGGCCCGCTTCTCCGCGCAGGTATTATTCATTTCTGAGCTGAGGCCGTTGCGTCGTATCCGCCGGATGACGTGGTCGTCTAGAATTTATCTGTGGAGTGGCAGGATGTGGACCACTGAGGAGTTGTTGTTGTTGTTGTTGTTGCCGGTCTGGTGGCGGACATTCTTGACAGCCTGAGTGTTATCTCCGTTCTGGGAGGTGGTGGACGCCCTCTTCCTCTTCTTGTTGGAGGAGGGTATGGGGATCCCAAAGTCCAGCGCAGCGATGGTATCGTCCGCGTCGTCGACGAGCGTGACTGAGTCATCATTGGTGGTGTCCGGAGCAGCAATACTAGCTGTTGCAGCTTGTTGCAATGCCGGGAGTGCCGGCAGCACACGCATGGTCGGATACCGAGTTGGCTGTGAATGATTTTAGTCAGCGATCAGGAACCGAATAGGCATGTGATAGAGCTCGTTGAAGGCTGATACTCACCTGCGGAACCAGGTGTGTGATCTTTTAGATGGGCTGTTCTATATAGTGAAGAACATTGAAAAGATGGATGAAAGTGGTGAGAGATTGTATTAATTTGAGACACAATAGGAAATGGAAATGATAGTATAAGATATAGGAGAAGGAGGAGGAATGGATGATGTTGAGACTCTTGGACAGATGAAGCTATCAACTTTATAATATTGATCAATGCCTAGATGATGAGCTTGACATGCCCATGTGGCCAGCTTCCTCCGGATTTGAATGTGACGCCACACACACACACATCCCAACAAGCACACATAGAGGCAAACACACAATCATGGAGGCAAACTCAAGCTTGTAGATAAATGTGGGTAAAGTGAAATCTCTAGATTTAAGGAAAACCCTATATACACACACAGAAACAAAGATATGTGACTAAAAGTGACTCATAGTGGGTGTGTGTATGTGCAGGCAAATAGGAGCGGCATTGAAAGAATACAAGGAGGGGAGAGGCGGCAGGCGAGGGAGAGTGAGGAGCATACACACAAATAAAACAAGGCGATTTGATTGCACCAGAATTAGTTTGTCCCCTGTGACTGCGTATCTTGGAGATGATGTCAAGAAACCTTGGCTGCGGGATAGCAACGTGTGGCTGAGGGTGCAAGTTCCGCAAAACGGCCGTGCTGGAGAAGCCTTGGCACTGATGATTGTACGGTCAGTCTCATTAGAAGGCTTATGTGTTAGACTATTATTCTTCGAGTGTCTACTAAGCCGGAACAACAGTAGGTGTGGAAAAGGAATAGTGTTGTGGAACGATAGCGAGGCTCACCATCAGAGGCTACTATTTTGTCCAACAACCCTTAGTGTCAGGCCGTGCCCACCCCGCCAGTCTCTACTATCTGCCTATTAGCACTGGTACTGTTACCAGTTCGTAAATCTTAACATTAGCTGGCCCTTGAAGGTCGAAGCTATTATAATCTATCTCTTAGAATTCATCTACACCCTCTACAGGAAGTAGTACCGTTCTTATTCCTCTCATACTAGTGGTGAAACTGTAGATAATAGACCAAAAGTGGCCTAAATACTGACAGGCTTAACGTGATGAAAAAGGGCTTTATACCTATAGCATGTGGGCTAAATGGAAAGATATTTTTATTGGAGAGGCTCGAGAAATGCCTGAAGCATTTGTTATGGAAATCGTTGAGTATGGATACTGTGCGGGTGATTGATGTGTATCTAAACACGTAGAGTTTGTGTGAGTGTTGTCAACTTGTCTGGTCTACACGTTATAGTGACATGGGGTGAAGGGTAAAGACTAGCATTATAAACTTCCAAGGTTGGTGATCCATACCAGAGCCTGTATGTAGTAGGGGATCGTTTTATGACTCTGGTGGTTGTCGCGTGCTGGTGAGAGGCGGTAGGGACAGGACCAGAAGGCGTGAGTTAATCACCAGCGTCATGTTGGCGCTTGGCGGTCTTCTTAAGGAAGGTTATAGCCTCTGCTATTTCAGCTTCCGACCTTTCCCGTCGAGACTGCCTGCCCTGCAACCCTGCCCACCCTCCAATCTGCGCGAGAAGTAATTCCGGTCCAAGAGGCACTGGGGCCAACTATCCTCGGCCACTCGACTCGATCGGAACCCATCAATCTCTTCCCATATCTGTTTGTGCAGGTACTCTGCCGAGGCACTGCTGACTACACACGCAGCTTCCCCCGTAATCGCAGGAAATCGTAGGGTTGTACCCAGGGGTGCACCCCCGTCTTCATACCAGTATTTCATCGACAGTCAGAGGGGGCAGAGTAGGCTCCCCGAGGGTCATCACATCCTGCAGGTCAAGCCGCGGTACCTGCCAGGCTATGTAGAGTTCCACAATCGGTAATATGTTTTGAGCAGGCCCGATATGAAGCAGCCACTGAACCTTTAGGCTACAACCCATAGCCGCCACATCTCATTGTGATTCAATCTCAATACCACACTGCCCTTTTCCTCCTAGACACTGTCGAACTGATGCGCCCTGTGCACGAGCCTTTTCCCACGGGACGAGTGATAGTGGCCCGTGCGCCAACAAATCCAGGAAGTTATACAAAGTCAAAGCACGAGCTGGCGCGACCCGGGCGTGGTCGGGGGCGACCCATGTGCCCTACAGCTCGGCGAGCATCTCCCACTGGCCGGCCAGTCCCTCCCACCTCTCGAGGACCCTTGCAGCCTCGGCAGCGAGGCTTTGCACCTGCGCGTCGTCGGCATCCGCGTCGGCGCCACGGTCGTCAACGACCATGGTCATCGTGTCGAGGTCCTGGCAGATCCAATTGATGAAGCCGAGGGCCGTCTTCGCGTCCGACTCCCCCTCGGCGGACCCCACCCCCTCGGCCCCTAGCGACCCCGCCCCTTCCTCGTCACTGCGGCACACCGAGTTGTCGTCGAGCACCCAGGCCCCTTCGGCGTCCTGGCGCGGCCTCGACTGGCAGGCACGCAGCGCAGAATCCCGGGACTCCGATAAGGCGGCGACGATCCTCCTGGCCTCCTCCACCATCGCTGCGGCCCTGGCCCGCTCCGCTCGCACCACCTCGTAGACCTGCGGGTCCAGGCTCGGGCTCATCCAGCGGGGTGCGGCGGCCCTCAGCCGACGGCCCATGCTGTCCGGCCCTCCGACCTGACCCAGGACGCTCCGCAGCCGCGCCTCCGAGGTGCGGAGGTGGTAGACGATGTTACTCTCGTACTCCTCGCCCAGGAGCCGAGCCCGGAGGTCCTACAGCCGGGCGACCTCGCGGCGGAGCAGGCGCGGCTGTGTGCTCCAAGCCAGCACGTCCCGCAGCCCAGCGCCTGCTGGCAGGTGTGCGGTGGCGCGCTCGTGGCGCCGCTCGAGATATATCGCGTCGTACTCGAGCTTGGTGAGGGAGTCTGCGATGGCGCTCGGCGGCGTGGGCTTGCGCGGCGAGGTTGGCTCGAACACGATATGCTTATCGACCCCATCTGCTAATAACAACGCCGTGGCTGCGAGGACCACGAGGAGGAGGATAAGGATCGTGCAGGGGTTACACGTATGACCGCGGGACGGATGTGTGTGAGGCTCGACACGCCGCCCCTCTTCCCCCCCGCCCAGTCTCCGCTTGTCCACAGCCTCCTCGTCATGGCCCACCGACCGCCTCGGCCTCCTGCGGACACGAGTCCCGCCGCTGTCGATGCTGAGTTTGAGGTTGAAATTGGTTGTCTGGTTCAGCGCCGGGCGCTCGCCCTCGGCTTCCATCTGGGTCGGCCGCTGCGGTACGGGGGCCAGGTCGTGTAACAACTCGACGGGGTGGTTGTGGGGCTCGGCTCGCGACACACGCCGGACGACGAGGGCTTCTTGGGCCGCGAGATCGGCCAGGTCATCCAAGTCTTGGTTCTTTTCAAGGCCGACTTGATCATCTTGGTCGTGGCCCAGCGGCAGGGTGACCGTCGAATCGGAGCGGCGGTATCCAAACAAGTCGAGGTCGTCGCTGGCGAAATCCGCATCCAGCATCCTCTCCTCAGCCCTGTTGTCGGGGTTGCCGTCCATCTTCGTACGTATCAGTGATGTTGTCTCCCTGCTGGGACTCCTGGGCGTCCCAGAGCTACAGGCCAGGCTCGTCAACCCTGCTCCGGCGTGACCTACTCGGATGCTATCAGGAGGATCTTGCGCACCGGCCGTTTGAGAAGGATTGGGCGAGTACCTGGTTGGCCGTTGGCAATGGGCGCTGTGTCACATGGAGGTGGGTCCATTCGTCTAGGGTTAGGTCTGGGTGTGACCTCCAATTGATTGCATGCAAGAGTGAACCAGGCTGCTCACGAGGTAGGTCTGATGGAGAGTGTTGAATTGCTCAAGCACAAAAAGCAAAACCTATTCCACACAACGTTCAGAGCGGCCCTCATCCGCAGCAATCGGCTGCTGGCCTCCTAGCTCGCTATTTGCCCTTGCCCTTGGCCTTAGCCCTGGCCTTGGATTTGCCCCTGGCCCTGGCCCTGGCCCTGGCCCTGGCCCTGGCCCTAGCCCTCCTCTCCTCCTCCTCGTCCTCCTCCTCGTCCTGCTCCTCGTCCTCATCGTCCTCGTCCTCATCCTCCTCCACAACATACCTCAAAAGCGAAAGCAAGTCGGCCGTCTTAGCAACACCAGCAGCCTTTCCCGCGCGTGATAGACTCTATCGTCGCTGGGGAGCGGGCTCCTTTAACACGGTGCCCCCATCCACGTCCATGTCATCGTCCTCATTTTTAGAGCCTAGATCAGGAGACTCGTCTAACTCCAACTCCGACTTATCAGGCTCGCTCTCCTCAGACTCCGACTCCTGTGACTCGAGCCTCTTGGAAGCAGCGGCGACCTTTGCCGGCTTCTAAGCGACAGGCTTGGCGGCGCGTGTGGTCTTTGCCCGGGACTTGCCTCTGCTAGTGGTGCTCGGCTTTCCAGAAGCCGCCGTAGTTGGTGCGGATTTCTTGTTGCCTGGTTGTAGGGACTTGACACGTGAATTTATGGAATTCACTTCAACTCCAAGTACAGCTGCTAGAACTGAGATGTCTATGTCTTCTTCGGTCCTGAGAATCAGCCAATCATCGTCCTTTTTGGTCCATTTGATATGGGACATCCCAGTCCCTTGGCCGTCCCTCGCCAGCTCTGGCAATCCGTCCTTTGTCAGCCTCTGCGCTAGTGATAAGAACCGCAGCCTGGTCTGCAACTCTACGAGCGTGGCGCCGAGTTTGGCGGAGAGGTCTCGTGCCTTTGCTTCTGGCGGGTCAAACTTGGCTCCACCGCGTTCGACCAATTGGGCTACCAGCCATCTGTGCGAATCTGCTGACTTGCGCCAATTTATGACCCCCTGTTCGTTGTTTCTTCTTGGGCGGTTTCTGATTAACGGGGGGGGTTTATCAGAGTCGTAGTGGATCGCCATGGGAGCTGTTCTTTGGCGTAGAGGGAGAGCAAGGTTGATGACGTTTGACAACCGCAGTTTAGGATCAAGCCGGTCCCTCCATTCCTACATCTGGATTAATAGTTGCTCCTACCAAATCCGGTCTGCTCATACTCACAAGGATATGGTTTACCATAAGAAACTCAAACGTGCTTGGAACAATCTCGTATGTGGCGCCGGCCAGTGATTGTGGCCGTTGCCATTGACCTGTCTCTGTTACTAGATAGAGGTCTTCCCTGTGACCCTGGTACCAGATCTCCTCAACCTGGCGAAGGAGGTCTGGGAGAGCCTTCTTGCCTGGGCGGCCACAACTGCGGTTGGATAGGAATCCAGCTAACGCATTAATTACCTGTTCTTTGAACAGCTTCTTATATGCCTCGCTCCCTATCTCGATCTCCTGGCTGTAAAGAGCTAGGTGCAAAGCACTCGCACATAGGCTATAGTCTGAGTCGTCCTCAGCGTTGTTTGGCATTCCCAAGTATTCAGCAAGCTTCAGCCACCGTTGTGTGACTCTTTGTGGCGGGGATGTGTCGCCCACCAGCCGGGAGAGGTAGGCACACGAGGCATGGTCTGGCTTCCGTAGGACGGCGCCCGTCTTGTCCTGCACAAGACCTTCCAGATCCTAGCCGTGGTCAGTTATTCTATCTCATTGTGGCCGGTAAGATGTTGCAGGGCATACCAGGGACAGATCAAGCATGTCGGGGTCGGTCTCTCGATCCCATTCCTCGATCTCCTGGGGAGACAGGTATGTGGGAAGCTCATCGATGAGCTTCTGGCATTCTTCTCTCGACATGCCGAATTCATCATCTCCCTTGACCCTGTAGATGCCTGTGAAGACGTTGTACGGTGTTGGTGTCGTCATTGCTATTCCCGGCTTGATGTAAGGATAGGTTGGGTGGTAGAATTTCTGGTACGGTTTGGTCAGAGTATGGTAGCCAGGACGATGTGTTGTAGAAGAGGTAAGTGGGTAGACCTGGGGATTCTATAAAGTAATTTTAAGACCTGTTCCGGCTCTAGGCTGTTTGACGAGGTACTGTTGAGATGGGAATGAGCTAGGCAGCCTCTCTTACTGCTCAGAGGCGTTTGATGCGGCAACCTACAATTTGGTTATGTCATAGTCTATCCTGTTTGCCGGAAATAAGCTAGGTAGCCTCTCTTAATACTTAGAGGGATTTGATGTGGCAACCTACAGGTTTGTCATGTCATAGTCTATCCTGTTTGCTGGTGTGGGTGTTCCTTGTGTGAGTGTTTCTTGAGGAAGGGGGGGGGGGGTGTGGGGGGGACCCCTGATTAGTCAGCCAGCACCACGTACTTAGACCTCGTCAAAGACCCTTCCATAGACTAATAAAGTACACACCTACACTACTACTTGACTACACCCTAAAGTGACTCCCACAAGTAGTAGCTACAACGCTACACTACAAAGAGAGCATCGCAATCAACGAGCGATTGCCTCACAAGGACTATTACAACTTAACCGACGTCCCTAGAGCCCTGGGAATACATCTCGTCGGGAGAAGCTTCGTTGCGACACCTCCATCACTTTGCAACCACCACACCAAACACCCTCGATCGCCATCGACGGCACTCAACTTCTACACTACGAAGGAGATACGCCCAGCTAGGACTTCTCTAGCAACAGCTCAACTAACTGCTACGCCCGCCTGGGAAAGCACGACGTTACGGTACTACTAACTGTCACGCCCACCTGGGAAGACACGAAGCAAGTCCGACAATCACAACCCCACACTTCCAAACCATTTGGACAAACGACTTCAAGCCAAGCTAAGTACAAATTTTTTCTATAGATAAGCGACCTTAGTAGTTGCTTCCCACAACAACACTCTAATCCTAAGCAACTTTATTACTACAGACGCTACAAGTTTCCCCAGCTACTTCACACCCATTAGGGAAGTTAAAGCTATCCCCTATCCTCACCTCATTCCATACTTACCAGCCACACTTTATAGTTTATTTGTTTAGTTTCCTTGCGTCACTACGTATAGAGATCGGGAATGTCACAATCGGGACCTGCTCAGTCGACAAGGTCATCCCGCAGGAACATTACCGCCCTTGCCGAAGGTCTGGCGGGATCTATCAACCAACCGGTGGGTAACCTGACAGGTCGGCCTTCCGATACCATTCCTAGCAGCTTCAGTGACGAGAACCTCTTCAACCCTCAATCACCCACTTTCAGTGACGAAAACACCTTTCAGTCTGCTCATTCTCCTGCCGACGACAGTATGGCGGAAGAGAACCCAGCAGACAACCCTACTGACCCGCGCATGAGCGCAACCATTGAGAATGACCCGGCTCCGCCTAGCAGTCCGCCGGAGCCTACCAATTTCAGCAACAATGATACCTTCAAGACCTACGTCCGTCGCATCAAGACCAACGCTAATCAGTCGAGGGCCGATAGCACAGAGGCCTTGCAGACTGCGCGAGACACCAACATGAAGGTGGACAACCTCTCAGGTATGATGAAGACACGAATCACTGGCTTGGGCTTTAACAACGCCACAACCAAGAACCCCGCGGATTTGCATTTCCAGCTCGGCGAGAAGGGGCTTGCTGCTAATAAGCCTCCGATGGGACGCCTGCCGCCTTCCGGCAGACCTACCAGAGACCCGTTCGGCCTAGGTGGTGGTTCTGGCTAGGGTGGCATTAACGTTGATAGCTTTGAGTTTAACGGTAGAGGCTCTCGCCATCCCTCTCATCAACCCTCTCAAGAACCTAAGGGAGATACTAACACTACTGGTCACAAACCTCCCCAAGACCCGCCTAGTAGTCGACACAAGACCCCGTTCTCAACCAACACTAGCATGACTTCCTTCTCTCAAGGCAAACTCCAAAGAGAGGAGGTAGGTATCTTCAACCCTAAATACTAGAACCTAAACGATATCAGCATAATTACTATCAGCAAGAATCTTATATTTACCAATATATAAAGTTTCATCAACTAACTTAATTCCTTCCAAGACGGAAATAACACCTTTAAAGTTAAGGCTAAGATCTTAAAAATATTCCTAACTCTACTATAAGGAGTAATAGTATACTAGTAGAATAATAAACTCACTAATAAAGCTTACTATAAGCTATAATAAAAGAGTTATAAAAAAGTTATTAATACTCTAACTAATTACTTTATAATAAAGTTAAGCTAAGCTACTTATAAGTTTAATAAAGCTTACCTTTACTTAAAAGATATAATAAAGAATAAGTTTATCTTATATAAATTTATTTAAAAGAACCTTTAATATATTTAAATAATAAGTACTATTAATTATAAAAACTTTAATTAAAAGAAAGTAATTAATATAATTTAAAATAAGATAAATAAGTAAATCTAAACTTATTTTAAACCTCCTTATAAATATAAATCACTTAATAAATATATAGAAGATATAAAGGCTACTAAGAGCATTATAATTAATATAATAGATTATTACTACTCTAACACCTCTTATTAAGATAACGCCTAGCGTACTAAGTGTTCACCCATATATAAGTACGACTCGCGAAGCTTTACCCGTGACGAGTATTCTGGCTATTGTTACGACGACCGCGAGGACCGAGGTCGTCGGGATGACCGCCGTGATCGAGATCGCTACTCGTCTCACCGCGACTCCTCTCGACCATCATACCGTGACTCTTCTCGCCCTTCGTATCGTTCCGACGATCATGGTAGGTCTCGTGACAACCAAGACCGTCGTTATGACAACCGCGATCACGACAGCCAAGATCATCGTTCCTACAAGCCGTATCAAGATGACAAGAAGAAGGAGGAGCACAAGGGCCCTAAGCGCAAGTGGAACCGCCCGCCGAGCCCTGACAATAAGAAGCGTGCTTATTACATAACCTCTGACACTGAGGTGTCCGACGTCGACGATCGCCGCACTCCTTCGCCACCGGGCTCTCCCAAGCGAGTGCACTGGATTGACTTACCTTCCGGTCGTTTAGAATTTCCCCATTTACCAAGCTCTAATTCTGATAATAGCCGTGTTCATGTCATCTTCGACAGGGAGGATACCTAATGCCGCATCTACAAGCACATCTTCACTTCTCACAACAAGCTATTCCACCACCTTAAGGGCTACTCACGCTAGTATAAGCACAAGACAGGGTAGAAGCCTGCGCCACGTATTAAGGCTATCTACTACACCACTCCTACTTAAATAGAGTACCCTAACAACAGCATTATAGATAAGGTTCCACTTAAGGAGACGAACTCTACTATAATAAGTAGATATACTTACCTATAAATTACTATATAAGTAGGTATATAAGGCCCTAACTTAAAGCTATACCTTAATTTCGGAACTTTATAAAAGCTAATAGATTATAAGTTCTTTAAAAACTTTAATAATATTAAAATTACTAAGTTTAAACTTTAATAAGTTAGAGATTTTAATTTAAACCTTATTATTATCTTTAAACTCACTAAATAATCTTTCTTAATATATAATAAGTAAGCTAATAAAACTCCTAATATATTTTAATAAACTATTAAAATATAGATTATAAAAGATCTTACCACTAATACTCTATTTGATAATATATAAATCTATCTTTATTAAACTTTAATTAACTACTTTAACTATATAATTACTTATTTAAAAAGTTATAACTTTTAAATCCTTTTTATTATTATTAAAAAGGCACTTAACCTAATTATATAAAAGGTAGTAATAAGTTATTAATATACTTTAACCCTTAATAAGACTATACACGTCGCTATATACTACTTAAACTTACTTAAGGGTCGATCCTTTATATTCACCTCTATTTATTCTCTAATAATAAACATTTTAATGAATTCTAAGAATCTATATATTATAGTTTTATATAATATTACTAATTAACTTATTAAAGTTAACTACTATCTTTATATTAATATTATTTATAAATATAAAAATTATACTTATTTTATTATATTCTTTTTAAAAGTTATTAAAGTATTAAAAATAGTAATAATAATTAATATTATATTACTAATAATTTAACTAATAATTACTCTAACTATTAGCGGTATAATACCTAACTTTATTCTATAAATAACCTTACTAAAAGATTAAATAGTAATAAACTATAAGTTCGAGCTAACCTTAGATTTAGTTAAGATTTTTAAGGGTGAGAACTTTAACACTTAACTATTAAATAAATACTATAATTTAGAATCCTTTAATATACTTCTTATAAATACCGTTTACTATATTATAAATAATAAAGCTATAAGAGTTAATTTTAATTTAAGCTAGCTTTCTTTTAAATTTAATTAAGTTAATACTAACTATATAATACCCTTTTATAAATTAATAAACCTTAAAGCTTTAAGTAATATTCTTAATATTATTATAAAAACGATATATATATTTATATTATTAACTTTAAAAAGTATAATATTTATAAGATATAGTGTTTAAGTTTCTAAATATATAGGAATATAAGGCTTTAATTAATATATTTAAAGATTAAATAATAAAAATCTTTTATTAAATAGTTAGTAATATACTAAGCTTAATTAGTCTTACTATTTAATAACTTATAAGAATAAGAAGTTTATTAATTAAATTTATAATAACTTTTAAAAAAGAATAAATAGATTTTATTAATAATATTTACTTTTTTATAATTCTAATATTTATAATTTAATAAAATATTTATAAAGTAAAAAAGATAAATAATAGTAAATATTTAATTATTAAATAAATAAATAATTTTTAATAACTATTTATTATTACTATAAAAAATATTATTAATTCTCTTTATAATAAACTATTTATTATAATTATTAACGTTACTACTTTCTTCTTTTAATTTCTAATATACCTTACTTATTAAAATTAATTTATAATTATAAGTTATTATAATTTAAAATATTCTTAAGTTCCTTTAATAAAATTTTAAAACTCGTCTATTTATATATAACGTTTTATAAATTACTTATTATATAAATTTTAAAACTTTTATTATATTTTTATTAATAACTTAATAATCTTTTAATACTTTTAAGGAGTATATATAATACTTTAAGTAAATATTAAATTTATTTAATTAATATAAAGTTTCTTTTACTAATTAAATCTTATATAAACTACTTTTAATAGAATTATTTAATTTTTATATTAATACCTTTAATTAAACTATTATTAAAAAATATATTAAAGCCTTCTATAAAATAAAGTTTCCTACTTTACTTAAGAATCTTAAGACCTACCTTAATACTACGAGTTTCCTTCATATAATAATCCTATACTATATCTAACTTTCCGAGACTCTATAGCGCTAAAAAGTTATATTATTAACTAAAAGTTATAAAACTAACTAGCTTATTAATAATAATAAAAGTAAGTATTAAGTTTTTATATATTATATATATTATAACTCTATATTAAAAGAGATTAAAAGCTTTAAAAACCTTTAGAAATATATTTATAAAATACTATAAATCTATTATATAGATCCTTATAAGTAGCTCTTTCTCTAGGTGAATAGCTACCTTTAACGTAGATTTAAAGTAATAGTATTTTAACTTAAATTAAACTTTACTTAAAAACTAAATAAATATATTTCTACTCATACTATTTTTTTTATTACCTTTTTAAATTATTACCTAATTAAAGTAAAAGCTAATTATAAACTTTTAAAATAAAAGATTATCTACTTTATTTAAATAATAAAATACTTATATATACTAATTCTCTCTAATTATTACTAATTAATTATAGTCTTTACTAACTATAATATTATATAAAGTATTATAAATAACACTTACTTTAATACTTCGTTTATAAACTATATTAATTAACGTTTAATTAATATATTTATTTATTTTATAAAATATTAATTTAATATTTATTATTTTATTAATTACTTTAACTTTATATTAAATACTTTATTTTAATTAACTACTAATAGTAATAATATTACTTACTAATAAAAAGTTTTAACACTTTAAATATAACTTTAAATAATCTTTATAAGTATTTTTAAAAGATATAAATAATAATAATTTAGTTTTATATTTCTTTAAAATAGTTATATTAATTATTATATATATTTACTTTATTAAAAGTATAAAATAAACCCTATATATACTAGGATAATTAAATCCTTAGTTATACTTAATTTAACTAATTATAAACTAATTACTTATTAATATAATAAGGATATTATCTCTACTTTTAAGCTTAGCTACTATTTTATTTTATATAATTAACTTTTATATAATATTAATTAAAAAATATTAAGTAATTAATTATACTATACCTACTAATAAAAAAGTTTCTATATAACGCTTATAATAATAAACATTATTTTAATAAAATTAAATAATATATATTTTAAATAAAATATACTAATAAAGGAAGCTTTATTTTATAATTATTTATTTATATTATTATTATTAATATAGTATTTAAAAAAGGATAATTAGTAACTAATTAATAATCTTTAACTAATTTAAGTATTAAAAGAACTAATATATATAATATCTTTAAACTTTATTATAAATCTTCTTAAAATACTATTAACTAATATATTATAATAATTAAAAGGTTTTAAAACTTTTAATTTACTTATACCCGTTATATATAAGACCCTTTAAGCGCACACTACTAATTTCTAGTTATATAACTTATTTAACTAAGTAATAAAATATAGTATTTAATCGTTAACTACTATTAAGTGACTAATTTTACCTTAAATTAATTATTTTAAATTAAGATACTAAGTTTACTTTTATTTTTAAATAAATATATAAAAAGCTTTAATATTTAATTATTTATAACTACTACTTATTATTTATAATTTAATAATACTTTTAAATAAAAACTAAAATATAAAAATAGTAATTTATTATTATACTACTAAACACTCTAATAAATTATAAATAGATATTTTACTTACTTTATAATAGAACTTAAATAAAGTTTATTAATATTTAATTAATATTAATCTTTATAAATTTCTATTTAAATTTAAAATCTCTTCTTTATTTAAATATTTAATTAATATTATTTAAAAGCTATTAAATATTTAATTTATATAAAAATATATTTAATAAAATATATAACTAATTATAAATATTATAACTTTAAAATCTAAGTAATTATATAATATTAAGTATTAATAAAAGAAATTTAAAGTTAGTAATAAAGTTTAACTTTATATAAATAAAGCCTATAAACCTTTATTTTATTAAAATATTAAAACTTAACTATTATATAAAAACTATTTATAGTAGTTTAAAAAGTCTTTTTATTAACTTATAAATTTAATTTTAAAATTAATAATCGTAACGTTAATATATAAGTTTATTCTATAATAAGCATCTAATACTTAAATAAATATACTACTTATAATAACCTATTTAAATAAACCTTACTTAAACTAAATCTAATATATTATAAGGAGGAAAATAACTCTACTAAAGGCAACTTATATAAGGTGGAATATATCCTTAATAAGAAGATTAAGTAACGTAATAGAGGTACTAGCCTATAATACCTGGTCCGCTAGAAGGGTTAGTCTACTTGGTATGATTGTTGGAAGATACTTGCCGACTTGGCCAACTGTATGGAACTGGTGGAGGTGTATAAGGTGGCTCACCCGGAGACCGTCGCCGCTGAGGCTTCTGCGGAAGTCGCTCTGGTACCCAAGAAGCGAGGCAGGCCACGAAAGAACTCCCGACCTAAACCATTGCGACCTGAACCATCGCCACCCACTCGTCGATCATGACGACTTAGCGATCGAAAGCAATGAGGACATTGCAATGCTTTTCTATGCCCCGGCACTTGTGGCAGACGAATGGGGGACCCCTGATTAGTCAGCCAGCACCACGTACTTAGACCTCATCAAAGACCCTTCCATAGACTAATGAAGTACACACCTACACTACTACTTAACTACACCCTAGAGTGACTCCCACAGGGGGGGTTCTTGTGTGGACGGTACTCTATAGGGCGGGAATGTTTACTGATTTCCAAATTCAATACTATATATGCCACCATGAGGTAAGGTTCGAGAGTAGTCTAACTTCCGTTTAGAAAGAGCAATCATAACCTAAACTTACTAAGTATTTACATCAGTTCAAGAACTATAACTTCTCCTTTAAATAGTTTATTAATACTTAGGTAGTTTAGAATCAACAAACAATCTATTCTTACTACCACTTATCCTTCTAAGAGGCTAATGTACCGCTGAGGTAAAGGAGTGGAAGATCCTCTGTTTAAAATAAAGGAGTAGTATAACTTCCTCTACCTAGAATTCAAACCGGATCTTAGTTTAAAGAATTTACCTACTACATGACATTCTCATGTCACACAATAGTCCACACGGGCCTACTCGCTTACTCAGGGGCCGGCAGGCATATAGACAAAGCAGTCACTACTATCTGTATTCTAGTGAGTATGCTCAAACAAGACTCTTTGTGTAAGATCCTAGGCACCAAGGCTGAGTACAGAGTGCTTCCTCAATACATAACGTTAAATATTGCCAGTTACCTTGACTCATAGAACCATGTGGTAATCTCCCCATACCAATAGAGCAGAGGTACCAGAAAAGTGCAAAGAACGGAACAGGGCAAGACCAAGCCCCAGAAAGTAAGTTATATACTTATAAAATCTTATTCTTAGGCTACCTAGGGAGTCTGTATCCCTCTGACAACTTCTAGTTACTATTCAGCATCCTTGTTCAGTCCCGTCAGACTACCTATCCATAGGCCGGCTATGAAGACAGCCACCAAGAAGAATATCCTATCTCAAGAGGATGGAGAGGAGGCTAACGACCCTTTTCAAGATCAGGATGGAGAGGAGGACGATAACTCTGTCCAGGAGCAGGATGAAGAGTCTATGGGGGGTAAAAGAAAGGCAAGAAAGGGAATCAAAATGACCGACGAAGAGAGGGAAATGGCCCTTGAGCTACGTGCTCGTGGCCGTGGTTGGTCAGAAATCGCACAAGTATGTTGATACTCACAAACGTTCGTGTACTAATAATGAGTATTCTCTAGCATGTATTGACTGTTTCACTCAAAATATATAGATTCTCAAATTCCAATTCGACCTTGATACCATTTACCCCAACAAGAAACTTCAGCAAGCCACTAATAATATTTTACAATCTCCGCGGGGCCAAGAGATGAAGCGTGTGGCAGAAGACCGTGTCACACGTCAGTTAGAAGAGGCAAAAATCGATCCATTGGACCGCCTTTTCGATGGGCCCGACATGCACAGGGTAAAAGACACAAAGGAGCTCCTCCAGATCTACCGTGATGCAGAAGGACCGACCAACCGGGCCCTGGCTGAGCAAGCTTGGCACGAAGAGGTTGCACACATTTTCCTCCGCCGTCTCGACTTTATGCATGCCAGCCAATATGCAAAGTTTTTCAAGATTATCAGTAATGCGATAAAGGACTCAGCCAATTGCTTTGTCTTCCTCGAGCAGTTAGACCCAAACATGTCTTATACGATCACATGTTATAGCAAGTCCAACAAGTCCTCTGTTCAGTTTCGCAACATTGACGATCTGCGGTCCAATAACACCATACCTGATGAGGACCAGGAGAGTCGCCAGTACCATATCACGTTTATGGGGGACGGCGGGGTTCCAAATACGGGTAAGGTGGATGTCAGCGAGTTAGCGAGAAAGTACATTCTTCGGGTGTGTATCTTCCCTTCTTCTCTTTTAATCTCTTCTTCTTCTTTCCTCTTTGAAAATGTTTTATTATACTAGAGTATCGGTATTAGATACAAAGTGATCACTTCTCAACTCATTAAATACTAACAATTAATTACTATAGCGAAAGATGTCCGAGCCAAAGGGCCAAGACGAGGAGGGAGAGCCTGAGATCGACGGCGAGCAACGCGGCAAGAAAAGAAGGATGTTGGATAAGGGGGTGTCCAGGCCCGCCTATGAACAGCTTTAGGGCCTCAACTAGACAACCCGAACACAGTAACAGAAGACGCTTTTGTGTGTGCGCTTCATTATACCTTATTAGGTAGCTTGTACCTAGGTACTTGTAGTGGGCAGTTTGGAGACAGTGATCATGGCGCTGCTAGCAGCCTTGCCAGCAACATCTCATCAGGATGAACTCGAATTTGTTGCTCAGTAATTTGCCCCTGAAATCCATGCCATGCTTTTATTCTTTATAAGTCTACCTTTATTAGGAATATATGATATATTGAGAAGCTATTTGATAGCTTAGAAGTTATGATATCTTCCTTTCTGAATGCATTGAAAGTTGTTTTGGAGGAAAGGAGGTCTTGGGAATGGGTAGGTAGTCCCTATGACTTTCGCTTCAGCCCACCAAAGCATGGTATGGGGATGTGATTACCCTGTCAGCCTTGTAGTACGCGGCAGCGAGGCAGCAGCCTAGCATCAGGCTGACGAATTGGAGCCTGGAGACAGCTGGTCTCCCACCTGAACTTGTCGCTCCCCCACCAGGACAACCAGAATTACCTCAGTGTGTGTTGACGTATCCGTTCTGGGCATCCTCGCCACAGTACACCAAACCAACCAACCAACCCTCGCAGATATCAAAAGCGACCTCATTCGACGGGACCTGTCAAGATGTCTTGGTGTACCGGCATACTCGCGAAGCGGAAGAACAAGCCCGTGATGCATTTCGACGACTCGCGGCGCGCGGCGCGGCAGAGCGGCTGGAAGGCGCGGCGCGGGTATGAGCTCGAGGACAAGGGCTGCTACGCCCACAACGTTCTCGTCGCCATGGGCGTCCCGAAGGGCCACTGCCTCTACGAAAGCATCTACGATACCCTCACAGGCGGGATCAACCTCACGACGATCAAGAAGACCGACCTCATCGGCCACCTCGGCCTGGGGCGGAAGCTGATGCAGGCCGAGATGCAGCTGTCCGTGGACGACATCCTGTCGATTTACATCCTGGTAGGTGATCCGTCAGTGTCACGCATGGAATGCTGACGTTTGGCACAGTCCGAGAAGGCAGGCCGTCTGGATGAGATCCTCGACCACCAGGCGCTAGGTGTGCACAGCAGCCAGCCCTCGGGCCCGTTCACCGAGGAGCAAGTCGCTCGAGACCCAGTCACACAGGCAGGACCAGCCGGAAACTTTCTGCCTCACGTCCTATCCCGCCCCGACCACACCCGCGCGATCAAGCGTGAGGCGCCTGAGGAGGAGGAAGATGGGAGGGCGAAGAAGCGGCTGAGGCTGTCTCCGAGCCCACCCGGCGTGCCGGACATGAGGTCAGGACCGCCAGCGCTCCAGCCAGCCGCCGAGGCTTCGAACGGATGTGTCGCAGAGCCATCCCACCACGCATACCAGCTAGAGACACGGCGGGGAGGCCCTGTCCGAGCGGGCAGCCAACATGAAGACGTCCCAATGCTCAAATCGAGCGACAGTCCGGGCCACGGCAGCCCCAGCCGGGCTGCTCCACCAAATCCTGTCGCCACGGGAGATGATGAGCTCGTTGAGATCAGCGCCGAGCAGTTTATGGGAACTTAAACTGACAATCAAGACCACGCAAAGCCAGCGTAAGCACGCAGCTATTTTGGTTCGGGCCCCTCGCTTTGGAAAGCATGCCCAGTCGCCAGGATCATTTGGGCATACGGCCCTGACGTTCACCCCTGCTCCGATAACGGCCTCTCATATGAATCTCGCATCAAGCTATGGGCAACATTAGCAACGACTGCTTAGGCAGCGTCCCCTACCCTACCCGGTGGCCCATGCCACTCTCTCTTCACTCACTCATACTGCCTTTGAGGGACTGATCAAGATATCCTGTTGCGAAAGGGAGATGGAGGATAGAAGAGTGCCGTAGGGATATCACCTCAGCCTGTCTTTAAGACCTGCCGAATACAAACTACTTCTTTTTTGGTGACGATATCGGAAACGGTTGGCGTTGCTGCTACTGGTGGTGGTGTATTGCTTGCGACACAAGATCATGAGAACCACTTTTCAGTTGGCGCTTCCTGCTGTATAGAGGGGATGGTCTGCTCGCTTGTATTAGCCAGCCGCCGCTATCATGTTAACACATTTTGCAAAGCTTTCTCCCGTGAGACCAACGCTGATGCTGTTTGACTACTCCGCTAGTGAGATATATCTTTTGTATTTAGGTAATGGAGAAAAGTAAGTAGAGGATCAAACAGGAAATAAGGCCTTATTCCTCTCACTGTTAAGTATACCCCTCATGACCTGTGTTCTTGTTAGGGTGAAACTATACTTTTAATGTACATGTGTACATCCTAACATCCTTGGTGAGGAGTCTAGGGTAGATAAGGGATCTCTAGCTGTCTAGGCGCTCTTTTCCCTAGAATATCAAGCTTCCCGGCGGATATCCGCCACGTTGAGTTTCTTGGGTAAGATAATGCGTCCAGGTATTGGCGCCAAATTGTAGTATTTAGTATTCAACTAATTATCTACTTTTCATTAATAGAACTAGTGAAAAGCCCCTTATAGTTTAGAGGAGAGCTCCTACAAGTTATTAATTCTAAGATGTCTCGCTTAAAACTATTATCTTGTTTATTATTAGTGACTAGCTTACTATTAAGTAGTATACTTCATTATTTCCAACCTGACTTGGATTGTATATGGTTAGAGAGTGTGAGTTTGTTTGTAAGGGTCAACGTGTTACTCGCCTCGTATGATGAAGGGGGGGTTGGTCCTCCTGCTATGACGCTATAGTAAATTGGTGTCAGTATGACACTGGGTGATGCCGGTTCACAGATGGGGTGTTTTTGTGACTCACATCGTCCTAGCCACAGTGTAGCGGCTAAGGAAAATGATTAAACCGTGTTGAGTCACTAATAGCTTATGACTTGAAGGTCGTGAGTTGGAATGATGTACAAGGGGTGAATGATTCCATTTAAACAACTTCTTTTTTATTATAGAGGAGTCTGTTTAGAGCTTTATATACGTTTGCAAAGAGAGTGAGTTTCTTGTCTTTTCGAGAGATATTAAGAGCAGCTCTGCGTGTGCTCTGATGACATATTGTTTCAAATCCTAACCCTATGCTATTATTCGGGACTTTGGGACGCACTGCAACTTTTGGTGGCTGTGTTATACTGCTGGCGTTTGGTTTTGATTGCTGAGGGAAATTTGTGATGATTGAAGGATCGAATGTGTCATGATCGCTTTTTTACGTTCATCAAGATGAAATGAAGGGTGGGCTGTGAGGAAGTATGACCTGTGTGAGACCTGAGATCGAGTAGCACCTGGGGCGATGCTATGGAAGGAAGACTGGGTAAAGTTTGCCCTGGCATTAAAATTAAAGAGTGGTCTGGCTGGTCTGTAGAGTTTGTGGGTAGAAGCTAAGTGAACTGAGGGTATTTTTCTTGTATTGGAAAGATACGGGCCGTCGAGATGTGAGCAAAGCTCTGGGTCCTCGATTTGCACTCTGGCCTTTTGTGACCGACCGGCAAGCACCTGCACATGAACAGCGCGTGGGTCCATTTCCGTCTGCAGCAGATTTACAGACGCACATTGTTGGCTCTAAAGGCGGGAATGACGGCGGATACTTGCAGCTAGAGCCCGTCCACATGCCACGCTCCCTGTGAGACTCTGGCGTGCTTATTGTTATCCGCCCGCCCGGGCTTCAAGGCGGCTTAGCTCCAGGATGCCCGTCGACAAGAAGACCTCCCGTACTCCTGCTAATCCGTCTCATCACACTGGTCCTCTATGCTCTGCTGAAGAGCCTGGTCCGCCAGCCTCAGCGTGGTGGCCCAGAGCGAGGCTCTGTCGAGCGCCACCGGCAGGCCGCCGTCCCGGTACAGCCACTCAGGAGGGACATTGCCACCGGCGACCCTGGTGAGGTATCGGTCGCGTGCCAGCATTTGCTTTTGGGGGTCAGCGAAGCTCGTTCAAGGAGGGCTGAGTGGGCGTTTGCGCTTACATGGATGAACATTGTCACGAGGAAGTCGGCCACGACCCACGTCTCCGGGATGGGCTCGCCATGATATCGCAGGGTGCCACCTGGTCCCGCTTCCAGGCCTATCTTGGCGGCGCACAGGAATTGGACCTTCTTGTCCCGCGGCATGCCCCCAGATCCCGCCGCCGCCTCCAGGTGCGGGAGGATGTGATTGAACAGAAGCCCGTAGATGCGTTCGTTGGGGTCCAGGCCGCAGCATACCAGTGATTTGTGAACAGATGCCTTCTCGACCGTGGCGTTCTCACGAGGCATTCCAGTCTCGATGCACTCCATAATCAGGCGCCCTGCCGTCTGGGTATCAAGCCCACGGTGCGAGAGCAGCACGTCGAAGCAGCCCCGGACGACAAGCGGCAGCCCCGTCTCCTCGCGGGCGGGACCGTCGGTCGCCGCTGGCAATCCCCTCCATTCACGAAGGATCACCGCCTTTGAGTATGTCAGCCTGGCCCGCATGGCAGCGTGCTGTATTATTTTTGGACCTACCGCCTCGCGTGGGTTGGACTCGGTGGTCATATTGGCTATCATTCACGGGGTTAAGGGCCAAAGCTTCCAGAAAGTAATGCGTGGAACGCCGGAGCACAGCTGTTCGAGCGATGAGAATGATCAATTAATACAGTCTACTGCGCAATATTTCGGGTGCCCGATCGTGTAGACCGTCATGAGACTCCTGTCTCTGATGCCTTTGTGCACGACAGATGAGCCCGTCGCAGGACGGTCCTCGTCAGGGATGCATGCTCCGGCCTGGCCGAGGCGGACGCTGGGACATGGAGCAGGTTGTGGGAGGTCGAGTGAGTCGTTTGCGCCATGCCAACCTTGGAAGCTGGAACCTGCACAACCGTGTTCGTTGAGAACAAACAGCGGTAGTACAGTCTGGCCACAACTCGAAATTCACCAGCAGTCTATACCATAAGCCAAATCTATCCCAGCAATCCCAATGCACGGTTTAACGCAATAAACAAAATGCCAGAATGGAATTCTTGCGAGGAAGCTCGAGGTACCGGACATTAGTGTAGCAAGTAAAGACGGCGAGCGATGGTGGCAGAATAGCAACCCCAAGAAGATGGAAGTGAGACGAATCGAGTCATCACATGGGCACCGAATCAGTCCTGGAGATCACGAATACTGACAGATTTGAGCTCCGCAATACATATTGACAGGCCTTGACAGGACTCGGGCGACACCGCAGGGCTGTTTATATCGGTCAGCAGAAGCAACAAATCTATGGGCCCCGGCTTTGCCACTCATTCCCCAGCGACGACAACCCGCACGAGCCAGCAGAACTTGCCTATCAGAGTTGATCATCGTGGTGCAAATCGAGTCTATTAATTCCCGACCTAGCTAGAACTGAACCCAACCTGCCTGGGGAAATCGATAGCTTGTTGTTTTCCGACTTCCTTTAGGGCCAATTGTCCTTTCACCAGCTGTTTCGTGCTGATGATCGCTCACCTGGACGAGCTGCAGAGGTTGACTTGTTTGCTGACACAGCTTGTGGAGGCCACTCCATGGCAATGCCGCTGTCGCGACATGGATGTCTGTGCCCGACTCACACACTCCCATTCCCACCTCCCGCGCCTCTTGGGGAGCTGGCGTCCTCAACCCGGGCAAGCGATGTCTCCTCGGGCACCCGACCAAGCGCAAGTGATGGTGCAAGTATGTAGCATAGGACGCGGTGCAGCTTCCTAACATCCCAGCGCGCTCGATGGTGGCGTCTATGCAGCGGGCAGTCCGGAAAGCACAGGTAGTATAGGGTCTCGAGGTCCATCGGGCCTCGGTAGCCGCAGAGCCTCAGGAGGTCCTCCCCGCGGAGGTACTCTTCAGGCACGCTGGCCTCTCCGCAGAGCGCCCTGAGGGCCCGCCAGTCCCACCCGCTCTCAGACCATTCGATGAGGACGGAGCCGCGGCCGAGGCCGATCTCGCGCAGCCTCGAGGCGACTGCTGCCGGCGTCTGACCGTGGGTGGGAATACGAGCGTGGGCCGAGTTGGCGCCCTCCCTGCTGTAGATCCCGATGGCGTAGCCGAGGAGCTGCTGCCCTATACCCCGGCATAAGTCGGCGACATCCACGCCGTAGTCGACTGTCGTGGTATATAGGTGCTCGCCACAGGCCCTCAGAATAGACAGCTCGAGGGGCTTGGGGGTATGGTTCACAACGACTGTTTCGGTATCGATGAGGAAGATGTTGGGCATAAGGTGCTTGTCCGCCACGGCGTCTGCGATCCTGGACCACCTCTCGTCGTTGGACCAAGGGGGTGTTGGCATCTGCTGCAACGCGGCGAAGAAGGATTTCATATCGTCCGGGGAGACAATGTCCCAGATTCGCCTGCGTCGGGTGCTGGCACGTGCGTCATGCGTGCTGAGGCGTGCCTTCTTCGCCCCGACCCTGCTCGCCGACCTGAGGGCCGCGTGGGCCTGGCACTCGACGCCGTTGAAGACGGGCTCGCGGCACGAGTCAGCAGGACAGAGGCGGGTCCCGTCTGCATTGTACTTGCCCCGCATGACCCACGCGTGGATTGACGACTGCAGCCTCCGGCACTCAGGGCAGATGAGGGCCCACGATACCTTGCCACTCGACTCCCTTGCCTCCAGCGCAGCCGTGTCGAGGCTGATGGCAGCACCAGACCGGCACGGGATAAACCCGTGTCTCCACCCCACGCCCTGGCAGGGTCCCGCCTGAATCTTCCTGGGGCGTATGTTGTGGTCCACGAGGGTGCGCGCATTCCGCCTTCCCCGTTGCGCCGCGCATTCCTCGCGGATGCGGTCGATCTTCCCCCCAAGGTCCTTTGATGCGTGTCAGGAGCAGTGCGGGACCAAGTGCGAGGGGGCTCACCATTGTGCCTGTTTCTGCGACCAATTGGTCTACATCCTCCTGCTGCAGATAGTTAGCGAGGAACCCCCAGTGTGACAGTAAAACATACTCCCGAGCCAGCCTCGATGTTGTCGTCGGCATCATCCGCATCGTCGTCCAAATGGGCCGCCGCCGGTGCGAGCAGCCGCCTCAGGTCTCGTACAAGGTCGAAGAGGGTGTTTGACGGCCCTAGCGCATACCTCAGATTTGTCGAAAAGGGCACCGACCAGCTGGCATCGCAGACCTCCTGTGGGATCCTACCACCGGGGTCGTCACCAATATATCCACCTCCATAGCCACAAGCGCCGTAAGAACCAGGGCCATCTCGGCACCAAACTATGTATGGCTTCGCCATATCTGGTACATCGGTATCCCCAAGCCAGACGGGGTCATAGGTACTACCACACACATGTGTAGCAAAGACGGACGGGTGAAAGGTAAATTCGCACTCGTCACATATCCTCAAGGAGCGGGGGTCATGCCCGGTGGGCACAGATCCCCCACCAAGGACACTGCGCCGGTTCCCGTCACAAACTGAGAGGTGCTGCTTCATCTTGTCGACAGTGAGACCGGGAAACCCGCAGAGTGGGCAGTGTAGGGTACCGTCCCACGCCGGCTTCCACGCCGCCCTGACGACCTGGCCCCTGCAGGCCGCCCCGTGCCTCTGAAGCTGCGCGCGGCCAGCAGCGCCGCCGGGGACGGGCATCCAGCACTCGTCGCACCTTGCGAAGCAGATGCCGACCGGCTCGTCACAGCGGTGTTGGTATATCCCCCAGAGCTGGCGGCATCCGTCCTTGCCACAGCGCCGCAGGCCCTCATAGGTGAAGAAGCTCGGCTCGTATTCCTTGTCCTTGCTGATGAACTTGAGATTCCCGCGGAAGCCAAACGGGACCTCGTGGACGAGGTTGTCCTCGCGAGCGTCAGTGCCGGTGTCCTATGCCACCACAGGTCAGCACTTTCTCCTGGCTCAGCTGTGCTGTAGGAACAAGTAGGGGCAGACACGTACAGACCTGTTCAGAAATGCTGCCAGCTTCAAGTGGCGTAGGGTCCTGCGTTCTGGCCATGTTTCCTGGCTTGGTGGGTTTGTTGGGTTGTTTGGTGGGGTATGAAGGGCGGGATGCACGCCGGCGGGATTGGACTCGTGTGACTTTGCTTGGCCTGTAGTGCTGTTACTTGCGTGCACGTTCCTCCACGACCACACCTCCGTGATCATTGGATCCCCCGTACGAGGTTGAAAAACCTTTCATTGTCCTTCTTTAAATTGCGTTCGGGTTTAACTGTGTTATACTAACATTACTCCTACTACCATGTAAGGTAAGCAGGGCTTAGCCCGGGGCATATCGCTTCTAGATACTTTTTATCAGTATTGCTCTTTAGTCACTCAATTTAATTTTTAAGGATATTAGGTTGGAACTCCTAGGATGAGAAATAAGAATACCTCACATCTTCTATTGACTGATTTGAATGCCGCAAGGTACGTCAGAAAGACTGGGTGTGGCCAGAGGCTTTGCCACTTAAGCAACCATGGAGTCTCGGGGGCTCTCTATTAGACCGCTATGAAGGAAAATCTTGTTCTCTCTGAAATCAAGCCAAGTACCATAGTGGAAGCATTTTAGTGAATATGGCTAGCAACAGATCCAGCTTTGACAAAGTAGTACATTGAGTTTTCAACCCTTGCTGGGAAGTTTATAGAATTCATCAAGAGGCTAAGCCAAGACTCTGAATGTACGTTATGCTACCTTCGACTCGATAGCCAAGTGCAATAATGCCGTGGAAAGTAACAACAAAAGGATAGCAGAGCCAAAGATCGTTTAGGATCGTTGTCATCATACCAGACTTGGATGATAGTTAGCTGAATAATGTAGTAGCTCGACGAGGATTTCAGCCTGTTTATATTGCTAGCGGACACCTAGCAGCGAGTACCAACGGAGACCTGTACCATTGATCGAGAAAGAATATGAATTGCAGGATGGCTTTGACTTTCCACAGGGGCCAACGGCCAGCTTGCAGGACACGGAACCGCGCAAATGGGCCTAGGTATGGACGTTGTATGCTAGGAAGCCTCCCGTCCTGGAGTTATGATGAGTCGAGAGATTTCGCTTAAGAAGAATACGGTACATGATGCGGCTGATGTAGACATATGATAAAAAAACACAGCCTATCATCTCACTGCGACCAACCCCCCCCCGAATCCCATCTCCATATCTTCGCCTCCGTCATACTCAAAATCCCACCGGTCCAGCTCCGTGGATTGCGAGACAAGGGCGCCGAGATGATGAGCACCGTGCCTTTCGCACTGCTCTTTTGTCCCTGGCTCCGAGGAGGCAGCGGCGAACGGGTTTGGGACCTGGGGGAACGCGTGCGGGCCGAAGAGCGTGTTGCAGATGTTTCTCATGCAGACGGCCCACTGCCTCCGGGAAACCTCGGGGTCGCTGCTCATGATGACCGTGCGGGCGATGAAGTGAAGCTGCCCGCTCGCATCGCGGACGGGCATGTTGTTCCAGTACCCGGGGTCTGACACGTCGGGGTTGTTGTGCTTAAACCAGTGGGTCTGGTCCTCGAGCCTGAACTCGAGCCTGGAGTTCCGGAGCCTCTTGAGCGACATGATGGTGCCGAAGCGGGTGTATCTCCACTCTTGTAGGAGGGACTGGATCCGGGGCAGCGACAGGGACGACTCGTGTACCGACAGCGTGTGCTTGCGGCCATCCACGCCGACCATGTACGTCTGGCCAGCGCGGGCGGCATCGCAAGCCCAGCCCCTGAGCGCGAGGTGGCCGTTCTCGTCCTCGGCGTATGTTCCTGGGTGGCAGGGCATGTAGCTGAAGCCCCGCTGGCAGATGTCGCACTGTCGCGACCGACGTCAGTAGGAGATCGACAAGACCACGACGATCCGCGTTCGCCCTCTTTTGGCACCATCTCTGGCCCGCTTACAGAAAGTTGCAGGAGCGACCTGTTAGGTACTGGCTGCTTTGCACCCCGGCCACGGGCGTGTATGCCGTACGTATCTTTTGTCGTGGTCATGGTGGCGCAATGAGAAAGATGTCGTTGGTTATCGGTAGGGGCGAGGAGTAACCGATTTTAGGTCCATGTATGATGAGTCTGAGTGCCGGGACATGTGATTTAAAATCGGAAAGCGCCTCCCTTGGCAGTTGCCTAGATGTTGCGGGCCTGATGCTCAGAAGTGGCCCATCTGCCAGGCATGGGTTGAGCGCTCAGGCTTTGCGAGGCCGGACGGCCAAGGCTTTCAGCAACACCAGCCTTCCACCCTGTCGAGAGCCCATAATCCATGGATTAATCCGGACTATTTGATGTCTGAAATATATGGTTAATGTGTACCTATGGAGTTTTCGATCTACTGCGCGACACCTGAGTCTCCTAGCCCAGCCCCTTCGCTACGACTATAGGACGTCAGCTATGTCTTCGTGGTGAAAGGTGGTTTTAAGGTAAAGGTCAGCCTAGACTTGAACTTTTCAACAGGCCTTTATACCATACCATGCACTGGTATATGCTCAAGGGGGTCACAATGAATATCCAACCCTATTCGGCTATCTCTTTGATACTGTAGAATAAGGCTACTATTAACTTTTGAGCTATTGTTAGTTGATTTTAGAGTGATGACGTTCAAATGGGCAAATCAAGGTCATAGTGACCCTCTATGGGGCCCATCAGTATATGGTATGGTATTAGTAACTAATGTACGACATGGTGGGCCGAAATATGGCCTCGAGTTGCCTGATCTCGTTCATATTCCGTGTACATCCGCAGTGGTATACGGCGCCCTCATTTAGTGGTACATGCTCAAAGACTCTGAAAAAGAAACATAATACTGGCAACAGTACAAAAAGACGGGATTGGTCTGTCCTCTAGACTTGAGCTGTGGGTCTGTCACTTAGCCCCCTTGTTGCCCTCCCCAGATTCAGGAGGCTGCTGTAACACCCACTTTGCATAGAGGAGCTGCTTGCCCTTGTCCCCCTGCTTGTCGATGATACGTTGCAGGCTCGGTTTTACCCAGTCGTGTACGAAGGCCGATTTTGCTGGCGGATCCAGGCGACTCCTCTTGAGTGGATTATTCTGCGCAGGTTTAAGAGACCCTCCCGTTGCTGCTCTAGTAGGCGGGGCCGCCTCGTCCACCTCCATACTGTCGGTGGCAACCTCAGCGGTGCTCTCCCGGTGGACGGCAGGCACGGCCGCCTCGTCCACCTCCATATGGTCGGAGGCCACCTCAGCGGTACCCTCCCGGTGGGTCAAAGCCTCGCCGCTCAGGGTTTCTTCAGAACGCCGTGCCGTGGCAGACTCGATCTCCACCCTGCGGCCCTATTCATTATCAGCGGTCCCATTCCTGTTACCTCTTCACGCCACAGGGAGACTTACATTCAGATAGACCGCTAGCATATCGTGCACGGGGATCCGCCCTATTATTTCGAAGCGCATGTTTTGAAAATCGATCGAATGCCTGCAGGTAACTGACGGGTCCCCAATGTCTGTCGGGAATGCCGAAATGCCCGAGTAATAATCCGGAACCCCGACCGGAGTGAAGTCAAACAGGTTCTTGAAGCGCGCCGTCCATGATGCCCCGATCTTTTCATTCGTGACCCATATGAAGCACGAGCCGTACTTGGCGTCCTTATCGAGCCTCTTGAATAGCTCCATGGGGGTTGGTGCCTTTGACAATGCCTCGCAGAGCTCCGACTTGACCGTCTCAAACGCCTCGCTCTTGGGCTCGAATCCATACCGCAACAGCGTGAGGTGGGCAGCTGCAATTTCGTAGTAGAACGGGTCACCAGCTATGCCACAGTTGACTGCCTGGAGATACAGCTTGCTGTGGCTGAGGAGAGTCTCTTTTGACGGCGGTGCCTTCTGCCCGTACGGCCCACCAAACAAAAGATCGAGGGGCTCGTCCTGTGTACTGTCTGGCATGATCCCGTCGGCCCCCGTGGTGGGAGCAAGTCTTGCTCCTGTTGCCGCTGGCGCTTTCTCGCGTGCGACCGGGCTGGGGCTGGGGGCCAGCTGCATGCTTCCCGCAGGCCGCCTTGTCGACTCCTTCGTCACCGGGGCCGAGTTCCCCTGGCCTTGACTGTTTGTCCTGCTGTCTCCTTCAGGCAGTCCCTCACGATTCCTGCTCGGCCGTATTCTCCTGGTGGGCTCATCGGATAGGTCGTCATCCGCAACAGGCACAGCCTGACCACCTCGGGCCTCGGCCTCTTGGGGCGAGGTCGTAGTGCTGCCACCTTCAAGGCCCGGGATAACGGTGGTTGAGGTGCCACCCATATCTGAGTCTTTGATAACTTGGGCGGCGGTGGCTTCTAGCTGCGGCAGTGGTCTGACAGGGGCACCGCCTTTGGACTCTGCTTTGGCAGTCGTGTCAGCAATGTAACTTGTCCCTATACTTTCGAAGCTTCTCGCCTACCGCCAACATGTCCGTAATCTTCAGAGACATCGTCTTCCATCTCTTCATCAGAATCTGGTATCACCCGGGATGGTGGTGACATCAGAGGGATAAGGCGGGCGGGTGCTGCGGACGTTGAGGGCCGACGAGGCCCAGAAGTGCCCGGGGCGCTTAAGGAATGGTCCAGAGTCATTGACAAGATTTTGATGAACAGCTGCGAGCTACTGGAAGAGAACCTGCGGAATGGACTGTATCTTTTGTTCCTGGTGAAATGGTCCTGTGTTGGCATCTTTGCTATGAAATGATGGATGTAAACAAACAGCGGGAGCATCAGTCAGCCTGCCGGGTCCCTACATAACCCTAGCCGGTCTGCAGGGGTACTTACAAGCATGTATACATGCCATACCTCCCCTCGCCCTCTACCACACAACATTACGGGGACCAGACCGCTGTGCTGCCTCGATGATGGAAGCCCAGGCCGAGGACACCCCGACGTTGGACGGCCTAGTCGCCAAGTTGAAACAGAAAGGCGTGAGTCCGGAGGAGCTGGCCGAGTTCTCCAATGCGCTGAAGCGGTACCCCGGGGTTCTCCTGCATCGGCCGATTGCCCAGGTGCGTTTGTCGGGAGACGAGGATGCCGGACCCTGCTGACGCCTCCGAAGCAACCCCCTGCCAGAGGATTCACACCGAGACCAAGCCGCTTTGCCGGCTACGTCCGAAAGCTCATGACCCCAGGCTACGTGGCACTGATGCCAGGGGCCGAGCGGGAGGAATGGCTTGAGCTGGCGAAGGCGACCGGGATGCGCAAGGCATCAGATGAGCTGGCCATCCCCATGGCTGCCATCCACCTGACGGTGGTGAACCAGAACCTGCAGCCGATCGACGCGAGATACCAGGAGGCATTTAACACAACCATCCCGGCGTACATTCTCGCGATGCACGAAAAGGTAGGCTCGATCTCGCACGCGGCCTACGACGTCCTGGTACAGGAGGTCTTCTCCGGGAAGACGTGGACGCCACACTCTTGGCCACGGCACTCCATCTTGAAGGTGACACCGGCGAGCTTCGAGCTGCAGTTCACCACGGAAATCCAGGTATGTGCGTCTTCTGCAGATTTCAGCAGCACGGTCGGCTTATACGGAGACAGGAACTTGTCAGGCATGGCGTCACCGAGAGTACCAACCCCCCACGTGGAAGCACACGTGCGGTCAGATCGGATATGGAACTCACCGAATGCGCTGAGGAGGACCTCATCGTTACGAGAGTTACGAGACCAACGGGCGGGACAAAGCTATCAATTACAGAGAAGGGTAAAGGTCAGATCCGAAAGTGGGCCAGCCAGGCAATCCCTTACGGAAAGATTGCACGACGCTTTACGATCAAAGGTGAAGATGCTCACGTAACCAGGCCATTTATTGTGAGAGTTATAAAAGAAGGGAGTGCAGGGCAGAGGTAGAGCAGAGAATCGATCAGCGCTTCTCAATTTCCATCCCTCTCGGCGTTGTATCGCTTGACAAGCTCGTCCATTCCGGCTTGCCCTACGGCATCAACGTAACGACGAAACATGTCTTCGTCCTCATCGAGGCGCCCCAAGAGGGACGTGATACAGCAAAGGGAATCGTCGCGGCTGACGTCCGGCAGATGTGGCACCGCAGCCTGCGCCACCACGGGCACCAACACCACCTCATCACCGTGTATTTCGACGGTCAAACCGAGATCGAATTCCGGGCAAGCTCTTGATATGGCGTGTCGGGCTGCATTGAGATTGTCGCCAAAGGTTTTGCCGCAGCCCCGGACGCACGGGACGCATACCAAATCCTTGCCGTTGAAGAGGATGCATGCGGCAGAGTTGGCGTGCCTTCTTGCACTGGCTGGCGCTTTAAATATAGACCCGCACCCCCTTGGACAGGGAACAGATCTTCTTATATCCAATAACCTGCAGTAATACCGAGCGTGGGTTGATATGCGTAGCTCAGTACTAAGAGAAACGCCGCAGCCGAGCGGGCATTCATATTCGAGACGACCTGGGCATATGCGGGCGTGCCTTCGAGCGGCGAGTGCTGTAGAGAACATCCTGTCGCAGCCTGGATCAGCCTCGCATGGGAATGTGTAACTTTTCTGAGCATATTTTGCCTGAATTCTTGCTGAAATCCTATCCTTGTTCATGGCGTAGTACTGTCGTGCATAGGCATTTCGTATTGCCTGTCTCATTCCTTCTGGCCAAGGGATGGGGACAACGTCCAGTAGCGGGCAGTGCTGCATGGTGCCCCACCAAGGACAGTTTAGTCGCAAGCGATGTAGTTCCTGGACGTGGCTTGTCTTCACAAGTCCATGGTAACCGCCGAGCCTGAGCGCAAATACTGCCTCGGCAAGACGGCCCAGCACGAACATGAAGAGGCCGCGGGTGTAGCTGTTGAATGCCTCATCCGGGAACGCCAGCGGGTTCCCCCACACCGGAAAATCCCGAACTCGTTCCTCGGTCGTCGGGTCCTTTTGGCACATCAGCTTGTCGAAGAAGACTTGGGGTTCTTCGGTACCGTCATATTGTCTCCTCCTGTCTTGTTGTCTCGTCCGAACGCCTCCTTTGCTGTTTAGTGCAGAACCGACATACAGGTGGTCGTGTTGTTTTGGGGATACTTTCCCAATCAACATTGCGACGTAGACGCCCCGGGCGATAGGCAGGGTGTCGTTGGAAAGGTACTTGGTGACGTCCGGAAGCTCTTCCTGATCGGGCTGGAAGAACTGGCGCCATTCACGGTGGATGTATTTGTACAACTCGCGCGCCCACTGTCGGTCGGTCAATTCCTCGAGGATGGGGAGCGCGGAGGACGCGATAGTACCCCCGATCGACTTCTGGATTTCGAGATGGTGCATGACACACTCGGCCAGGACCCTCTCGCACGGGTCGAGCTTGTCGATCTCCACGTCTTCGGATTCGCAGCAGCCCGCGACCGCCCTAGCGACTTCACCCCGGAGGCTATGGGCCGTGGATAGGTCCCATTCGGGGAGCTCATTGAAGCCGTGGTCGTACAGCAGCTTCACCACAGGGTCGTTCCTGTCCATTTGCTTGTCCTTGATCAATTCATCCAGCTTCATCTTGAACAAGGGGCCCTTCATGTACTTGTTGCCGCTCTGTACCCTGGGATGCGCCTCTGCCTCGCGTTGCAGCTCATCGTCGACGTCATAAGAGTCGCCTTCGTAATAACCGTCTTCGTGTCCAAATCCGATCAGGTTGGTCGCTATTCCCTCCAGGAAGTCGTCGTCGATGCCTTCGCTCTCGGAAGTTGATAAGACCTCTTGGTACGATTCATCACTTCCGCCACCCTCATTTGTCTCCTGACGAGAAATCCGGTGCGGATCTTCCATGTCCGGCTTGGTACGAGTTGGTGTTGTGCTTGATGAGACACCAGGGTGGGAGGTTCGTGGTCTGGCGATACTGGTGACAGGATCTGAGAGGCACAACAACGCAAGTCTATCAGGTAGTTTCCCCAGGCGTATGGTGCTTCTAAGCGTGCCTGGTGCGCTGTCTTTGATGAGTCTGTTTCCGTTTGCGCCTGGGATGACGGAACTGTTTCCTCGGCGCACGTGATGGAGATGCTTTTCCTTGTGCTTGAGATTTTGGATGTGCTGTCATAGAAGTCGTGACTGGATAGAAGATTTCGTTTGCTCTGTGATGGTGGTGCTGATGATTTTCTGTTTGCATATGTAATGGTAAAAGTGTGGCCTGTTAGGTAGGCCTTCTTGAAGCTTTGACTTTGTATTATTACTTTATAGGCTGTCTCGGAAAAACGAAGCAGAGCCCCCCCCCTATCTTATGACCCCTGCAAAAATTCACACACTTACTTCACACATATACTTCTATTCTTCTTATTTTTAAAAAGAATTTAAAAAAATATTATTTTATTAAAGATTATATAAATTAAAAATATAAAAAAATTATAATTAATTTTTTAAATGTAATTTAAAGGGTAGATTTAAAGAGTAGATTTAGAGGGTAGGCTTAGTTAGAGGGTGTGAAGCGACTGTGTGAATTTTTGTAGGGGTTATAAGACAGGGGGGGGGCTCTGCTTCGTTTTTCCGAGACAGGGTACCTAAGTATCTTGGCACACGGGCCACTATCACTCAGCCCGTGGGAAAAGGCCCGTGCATAGAATGCGTTGTCCATGGAGGTTGACAGCATTCAGAATTATCGATAAAGGCTTACAGACACGAGAATGAAAGTAGGTACCATAGTCCAGCTCATCTTTGGTGGTTGAGGCCTCTAAACCTTACGTGTGTGACATGCGAGCAAGCCCCTCTACTTATAAGAGACGAGGTACCTCTCATCCCAAAGACCTGTCTTCCCTCGGACTCAAATCCAACGGCTGCTTGTGCAGAGGACCACTCGGCCAAGAGACCAGGATTTCATTTCACAGACTCGAATCCCAATCCGTTCATAAGTACCTCCAGTACTGTACCATCAAACCCTCTATGAGCCTATTTCTCCTCTACGACTTTGTTTCTCCACAAGTCTATTCAGTCATGAGAGGTCCTAGGTACTCGGGTGGTTGTTGACTTTGAAGTCTAGGTACCTCCATAAACGTATTGCGAGACACCCTTGTGAAGAGGGCAATTCGGAAAGCATGTGGTCACCATGACCCTACTTTGCGCCCACAAAAGCACAGTACAGCATCTGTCATTGTTGCATTGCTCTTTTGTGGCTCAACTCCAGTGCCGCAAGGCAAAGGCACCGGCGCCGAGCGCGAACCCCATGAAAGCCCCATAGCCACCCGTCAGCTCGATTCCCGGTGGGCTTTCGGAGGCGGCAAGCTGCTTCCCATCGTCAGCACCTCCCTCACACACGCCGCCACTCTCCTTGTCGGCATGGGCGTCTCCCCCGCCGGCTTCCGCTAGCACTGCCGCTGTGTCCACGTCCATGGCGCCGTCGTCGCGGTCCTGGTGCCTCTGGGCAAAGACGATCGGGGCCGCGCGCCAGTCTGTGTCACCCTCATCCTGGAGGCGCGACCTCTTGCTCGCCCGGCCTCCTCCCTCGACGGGTGCGGAGGCTGCGCGCCGCTTTCTTGTCGTGGCAGGCTGGTCAGACGGTCCTGGCCCCTTTGCCGGTGCGCCTTTGGCAGACGGCTGCGCGGCGACTGGCAACTTGGGTTCTGTAGTGTCCTCCTTGCTGGTCGTGGTCGCTGTGTGCGGCTCAGCCCGGGCCTTGCGTTTCTGTTCGGTACTGCTGCTGTTGGGTGTATGGTGAATGCCGTCCTTGGTGGTCTTCCCTGCCGTTTTTTTCTGGGCCTGGCGTTGTTTTGAAGGGCCTATTGGGACTGCAGTGCCAGTTTTCCGGCTCGGAGCTTTTGCTCGAAGGGCAGTATTGTTTGGCACCTTTGGCTGCTGGCTCGTAGCATCTGGCTGCGTTGCTTGTGGCTTGATGGCTGGGCTGTAGTTGTCATCTTGTGCCGGTCTTTGAGGGCGTGTCGACTTGTGTGGGGCCTCTGCGCCTTGGTTCCGACTTTTGGCTTGTGTTTGGCTGCGTGCGGGCTTGACTGGGTTGGTCTTTGCGGCTGTGTCTCCTGCGGCTGGTGGTCGACCGTTCGCGGGCTTTGGTAGGCTAGGGGCTTTGCGGGTAGAGTTGGTAGCTGCGATAGCCTCCACATTAGAGGTGGCCGGGTCGTCGAGGTCATTTACGCGTCGACTGCGGTTTCTGGCTGCCACCAGAAGCGGGGCGGCGGCTTCCGCCTTCGTGTTCCGTGTTGTGTTAGCGATGTGTGGACAACTACTCGACCGATGGATATTTCACTTACTCGATCTGTTGCTCCAGGGACCGCCTTGGTCGTCTTCCCCCCTTTTCTTGTCGGCTCATTTTTCTTCCGCGTCCTTTCTGTTCCTGTCTTGGTCGTCTGTTTGGTTAGTACTTCTATACTTCTCGGCCTCCAGCTCTCCCCAAGTGGCACACAAAGGGTTCTCTCTGGCAGGGGTGTTGTAGGATTGTTCTCACTACAGGGGACTCGATAGGTGATGGTGTGCTGGGGCGCCTTCTTCTGGGTGCCATGTTGACGACCGAATCTGAGGATCGGTAGTGCTGGGCCAGAATAGCCGTGGTCGCAGGGACTGTGAGTTGACGCACGAATGCAGCGTGTCAAACTTATAGAGTCAGGGTCTCCTGCAAGCCTGGCATCATGGTCTGTGTTGCCTTGGATATCGTACATCAGCCGCCTTGCATATTCGAGTCCTCTCAAATCGAGGGGCCGAGGCCTCTACACCTTGGGCATTGTTTGCACCCATTTGATGGTCCTGCCTTGGGGCGGTTTGTGTTGTCATGGTTTGCCGTGGTGGCCTGTCTCCCAAGGCCTCGGATGCGCCATGAGCAAGTCTATTGGCTCACAAAGTGCGGCCTGTCAGGCATCAGTCTGATGAAGCTCTGGTAGGCACCGGCCTTCGCCAAGTTCAGGTGTCCTGTAGTCGTCTCGGTTGGGTCAGTTCTGAACATTCTACGACACATCCCACCAACCCACTCTTGACTGCAGACACGACATATCAACCATGGACGGAGCAGGAGCTGCCTCGGCCGCCCAGAACGGCAAGAAGGTCAAGGTATGGTTGAAACCTGCGTGAATACGGCAGGTGGTTGTGGGGCGCTAATTCCTGGGCCCGAATAGACTGCCGCGCAGAAGCGCCGGCGGACAGAGCAGCGACGGAGGCGGAGAGCAAAGCAGGCGGTAGCCAAGGAGTCACAGAGGGACATGCTGCGCGAGATCGACCCGTCCCAGGGACCCCCCGAGTGCTCATTCTGTTACTCCAAGACCCACAGCAGCAGCGGCTGCCCCGACAAGGCCGTCATCAAGGCCCGGCAGGACCGCAAGATCGAGCGGCGTCAGCAGATGAAGCGCCGGAAGGAGGAGGCGGAGGCCGCCGGAGTGCGGGAAGTCGCCATTGACGATCGCGTCAGGGTCGTCTTCGCTCCTCTGCTGGTGGGAGGGGAGCCCCTGACCTCTGTCGCGCTCATCAGCATGTATCACCAGCTCTGCGCCCGGGCATTCTCGCGTGAGCTCCCCGATCGGGAGAAGGACGGCTGGAACCTCAAGGTCAACATGGCGGTGCGGGTGGCGATGACGCACGGGCTGGCAAACATTGCTGAGCTCATGGGCCATCTCGTTCTCTGAGGGCGGGTGAGGCTCGACTGGCTTGGGTGGACCTAGTGCGCTGCACTCGTTGGGCTCGTACGTCGCATGGGAGAGTGAGCACGACAGGGCTCTGGGGTTGCATCAGAGATGGTTTTTTTGGGTGGACACGGGAAGCTTTGGGACGGGTTAGTCTACGCGGAGGTAATTCATTAGTTCGACGGCAGTGAGCACGTGGGTCCAGCCATGGGCATGACTTGATGGCACCTTTGTCCTAATGTTACGCTATCGTACATGCAACAGTCCGCACTCCTGTGGCTGGCCTTCCCGTCGCCAGTCCCATTGCTTAGGCTTTCCCTGCCTGTGACTTTGCGGCCGTGGACGTCGCGATTGCCTGGGATCGTGTCAGCATCTCTTGCGTTTGAGTAGGATCACACCGGGGCATTCCATACCGTTGAGGCAAACTCGAGGGTTCGCATGCTGCTGGCCAGTCGCTCTGCGGAGAGGTCGACCGTAGCGAGGAGGAAGACGTCGTGTCTGGCCGCCGTCTCGGAGTCGAGGCCGGCGGCCCCAGCAAAGATCTGCGTGAGCTTCGAACGCTTGGTGTCCGGCTTGTTCCCGTCGCGCATGGTCTGTATCACCGTTTTGAGATGCATCAGGTCGGTGTTGATGGACCTGGCCTCGTTGAACTGTTTGCCCTCTGCGCCGCTCTCCTTCGTGTTCTCATTTCCCGCAAGGTCCGCAAAGGTGAGCAGGCCCTCGCAAGGCTGCTCGGGGTTGCCGGTAGGGGTTCGGATCCTGACCATGAAGAAGGTGTGGCCGCGAGAGCTGGCCTCGTTCATCCGCGTCGTAGCCGTGACAGTGTTTCTCGCCGCCTTGCGGAACAGGGTGACGATATCTTCAGCCGACCCCACCTCGTGGTATTTTGCATCAGGCACGACCGCCCACTGCATCCCGTTTATTCTGAGCTCGTTGTTTTGTTTGGGGAGTGTCAGGTCGATGACCTTCCCCTGGTAGATGTAAATGGCGGCGGCCTCGACGGTGCTCCCCGCCGGGATGATCTCGAACATCTTCGTCGCGGCGAGTTGCACCAGGCCCTGGACTGGCGGGCTGGCCTTGCTGTCCCCCGTCAGGGTGTAGGACTTCCCTGTTCCCGTGGCCCCGTAGGCCATGATCACGGCCCTCGCGCCCTCCGTGGCTGTTGTCCGCACGAGCGCGAGAACCTCGTTGAAGATCTCTTGGTTGGTGCTCTGCGGCTGGAAGACGCGGTCGAACCGGAACGACTTGGGCTTGTTGTCTTTGGGGTTGTTGATCTTGAGCGTGCCTTGCCCCGGGCCCATCGCCCAGCCTCCCGCTACGGAGTCAGCTGCGTTTTCCCCCGAGGGCTGTATGCGCACGGTGGTGGTGATGGTCTTCCGGAGGGTCGCGTAGAGGTGCTGGTATAGCTGCCGCTCGCTTCGCTCCGCGATCATGGCGCGCTCCATCTGCTGTACCTCAGCCTGGAGGCTTTCGTTCTCGGTGCTGAGGGTGTGCACTTGTGAATCGAGTGAGTCGAGCTGGCCCCGGTCTGTCTTTTCCCTGGCGAGTTCGGCTTCAAGCTCGCGGATCCTGATGGAGGCTTCCGAGTGAACTAGTTGAAGGGACGCCTCCAGGACCTCCTTCTCCTCCCTCAGCGATGCGACAAGGCGGCCGTCGCTTCGGTATGCCTCGGGGAGTTTGAGGAGTGTGATTGGGGACACTACATTGTTTTCTTTAGTGGCCTCCTGCGGGATCTTATCTTGTGGGCCGGCCCGGTTCGCAGTAGCACTCGGAGGATCCATCTGCCTCTGTCCCTGGCCGCTGTTCTTGTGTGTTGTCGGCGGGGGTGTGTGTGGCAGATGTTGAGATGCGTCGTTGGTTGTTCCGAGGCCTGGGGTTGCCTCTCGGGGTTAGCAGGCTCCGTGCATCTGAGAATGTGATGTGCTGAAGTAGTATCAAGCGATTTGGACTCTCAGCAGGGCTGGATTATAACTTACGCTCCCGGTCCTTGGCTGCCGCGTCGTGACCGTCAGGCCTGTTTGTGGCGGCGGCCGTCATGGGGAGGTCGGCGCCATAGATGTATATGGCATTCAACCGGTATTTCCAGCCCTTGCTCATTGGCGGCGGTATCGCGGACATCTCGTGAGGTCTTGCTGCTGGGTGGAATAAACGCGATCAAGGGCTTGGTGGGAAAGTGGTTGACAGTGACAAGCCGGGCCTCGCCAGTAGTCCGGATCAGAATTAATTCCAGCAACTTCTTTTACAATTCTACAAATGAACCGTGGGATGAAATCCCTTTTCTTTGTCTAGGTGGCATTTCACACTTAGGGCTGTAGACCTAGCAGGCTGTGACGTCTTCTGGTCCGCCAACGGGCGCGGCTGCTTGCAGTACTGCGGCGCCCGCCCGCCTGCGGCCTTCGAACCTGGCATGTGCGATTCCTTGCTGTGGTTTTCATAGTTAGCATCTTCTCGTGCGCGGTAGTTGGGCCGGTCGTTGTGCTTACACCGAGCCAGTAGCTGACCAGTATGTCCAGGTGGCAGGGGACGCGGTGCCCAGCGACCTGGATCGCAAAAGGCTGGAGGACCATGCCGTGTCCGTCCACCTCATGGGCGCCGATGGCCAGGCCGCGCAGGAGCCCCTTCTTCCTCGTCTGCTCCGCAGAAGCCTGCTCGATGGTGGCAGCGAGGCGCGCTCGGTAGAGCTCAAAGAGCCTGTCATTGGGGAAGAGGCCGTAGGAGAGCAGCGCGGGGAGTGCGTAGTCGGTCGGCGACCAGACGAGTCCGTACTCGACGCACTGCTGCTTATCGGCCTTCTTGAGCTCGTCGTGTGACATGAGGCGGTCGAGGCAGCCCTTGACGTGGAACGTCGGATATGCTCCCAGTGACGCCACGAGCAGTGGCTCGCCCGTGAGCGAGACGAACTCGCCCTGCTGCTCGAACAGCCGCTCGATGACCCGCGCCACGGTCTCGGTCGCTCTCCATGTATTTCGCCAGCCGTCGCCGAACTTGTCAGATGCCCAGGATTCCATCGCTGCTCTGCTTCTCCAAGCCATCTTCATTGCGACCGACAGCTGGTGCAGGACGTCATCGGCGCCCGGCTCCCGGTCTACCCCGAGCAGCCGCATCGCCAGCCTCGCACGTGTCTCCCCTCGCTCGGCTGCGGTGCCGGTGGCGGCCGTGATTCCCAGACGTCGACATGACCGTTCGAGATGTTTCGTCGCACCTCGTGTGTTGTCCATCAAGTCGTCCACGCTAACGATAAAAGGTTGGCCCGTTCCAGCCGCCAAGGATGTGGGGCTGGCCGATCCGTCTTCCATAGCTCAGGTTACATAAAACGTCCAGGCTGGTATGTATCCTAGTTTATACTAGGGTGAAGGAGGTTGATACTCTCCATATATCTTTAAATCCAACATTCCCATTCACAACTTCTCGGTTTCAAAAAATGCACCCCAGGCCCCAGACGCCGCCGCCGGCACGCGCACCCGCCCCCGCGGCCCGTCAGGCAGCCACCTGCTATATATAGCAGATAGTCCGCAGCTGCCACCTGCTATATATAGCAGATACCTTACCGCCAGGTGCTATATATACCAAAAATTTTACCGGAGCAGCACGAAAACGGTAAAGCGTTAGTCTCGTGCCTGGCTATTTGGCTGCCTGCTGGTTCCTATACCGCAGGTCTGATACTGTTCGCGGTGACCTTTGGTTTTGCCAGCGGCAGCAATATCAGCATCACACCTGTCTGTATAGGTAGGCTGTGTAAGACACAGAACTATGGTCGATACTACGCTACGTGTTACACCGTTGTCAGCTTTGCTTGCCTGGTGGGTGTGCCCATTGGCGGCAACATTCTTACTTCGAACGATGGTGATTACTGGGGGGTAATTGTCTTCACTGGACTCGTGTATTTAGGTGCCCTTATATCGCTATACCTTGCGAAAGTGTGCAAGGTCGGTTGGAAGCCTTGGATAATCTTCTGACGTCGAGGCTGAAGTAATACTTGCAATGGTCAATCACCACCCCGTTTTTTCTGGACGGCGGGCTAACACTCTGGGAACCACGTGGAAATGACCTGTAAGACCCGGCTCGATAATTCTATGCTCAGCGCTGTGGCCACGGGTAGTGCTGTGCGATGCTTTGCTGCTGAGGCATCATGCAGGGACCCTGAAAGCTGGGAGTAACCTAGCCTTGATCAGCCGCATTTGGTAGATCTCGAAGCTCCCATTTTAGAAAGCATCACTCATATGACAATGGTCGCATTAGCCCTCACCACAAATGCCCATGCGTTTCGCTGACAGATCAAAGAACAATAGAACTACACACATACAATGGGCTGGGATCTACATATCAGAATATCCACTGAGGGACTTGAGTTGCCTCTCCCATCGTCCTCTTTGCTACCTTTTGCCCATTTGCCAGAGGTCCGGCTCTTTTTGCCGTTGAAAGTATGGCCAACCGGGGTTCTTCCAGAGGCTCCCTCTCGCTTCAAATCGAAGCAATCGTATAATCTGTCCGGCTCTAGGCACCAAAACAACCCTTCTCGGCGATGGACCGCGCCATCTCCGTGATCGACGCGGCACCAATGACCTCCATATCGCTGACCTTCACGCCTGTGTTCTTGAAGACCCAGCTGCGGAAGGATGATGTGACGAGGGAGTCGACACCGTAGGCGGTAAGAGACTTGTCCACGTCCATGTCATTCGGAGACATGCCTAGAGAGAAGGAGAGGTACTCCACGCAGCCAGATAGGGCGATATTGGCAGCATCATCCAAGGAGTTGGCTGAAGTGAGTGCCGTAACTAAAGCCTTGCCACTATTTTGCGAGGAGACACCCGCGGAGATTGAAGAACCTAGTGTCGTACTTCCGGAAGAGTCCAAATGCAGCTTTGGAAGGTCGAGCTGATTCAGGACCTCAAACATCTTGGTCTCAGCCCAGAAGGGGTCAGCGACCTCGTTTTGGCGGATCAGACCGCCAGTTCCCACGCCAGTGACAACCTGCGCGGGTAACCGGAGAGCGTCGCTGGTACAGCCGGCCATGGCCCGCTCCACAAGGAACAGGAAGTTCTCTAGGGAAACCGTGAAGAAACCACTGGCCTTGAGTATAGCGAGGGTCTTCTCGTCATCTTCCAACATTCCAGCACCTATGACGGGACCAAGATCAAGAGAAACAGAGTTCTTGTGGCCTAGAGACGTGCGATGGCGGGCCAAGGCGTCTTGGAAACAGTTGCCCGCCGCGTAATTTGCCTGACCTCGGTTGCCAATCACGCCGGAGGCGGAAGACAAGAAGACCAGAAAGTCCATGTCATCAGGCAGTACAGTGTGAAGGTTCCACGAACCGATCATCTTCGGGCGAGTGGCCGCTGTCCAATCTCCGTACGACATATTCTCCCACATCGCATCAGCCACCACAGCAGCGCACTGGACGGCACCCTTGATAGGCGGCATATCGGTGCTCGCAAGGGCTTGACGAAGGTCGTTCTCGTCACATACATCGACAGGGAACACCATAGTTCTGACACCGCGTTGTGACATTGAGGACAAGAAATCGTAGTGTCCAAATGTGCTCGCACCTGAACGAGAAACAAAGATGAGGTGACGTGCGCCGCGGTCAGCCATTAGGCCGGCAACAGCCTTGCCTAGACCACCCAGGCCACCAACGAGGAGGTAGGTCGCATCCGGCTGCAGGACCACAGGAGCAAGAGGGTTCGTGCTGACTCGGACATGGGATCCGGGAGTGAAATGAAGGGTGTTTAGGTAGCGGCCGGGGTTTGCCGCCATGGAATCCCAAAGCCGGTCAAGATGATCCAGTGGCTCCTCACGGGTGAGACTCGGAGATGGAGGACCGAGGCGATCCTCCAGGACGAGCTCGAGTACTTCCTCCCACGCCTTTGCGATGACCCTGGGTCGCTTCTTTGCGACTTCAAATAGGTCGAATTTGTGGATCGAGACATTGTCATATTGTGTAGTAATAGGCACCTTTGTCAGAGTGGTATTACTGACGAGGAATATGTGGCCGTTGTCTCTAACGCACTGTGCGCTCTGGTCTACGTGCTCCGTCGTCGGCGAGAACACACAGTCCACACCGTTACCTTCTGTGAGGTGCATGAGCCGCCCAGACAAGTCTCCATCGCTCATATCAATGGTGTGCTCCAGTGGCAGGCCGTACTGCCGGCTCAGCTCGGATCCCTGCATAGCATTACATACACCAGCGAAGACTGTTGCGCCGAGATATTGAGCCACACGGATTGCTGCATCGCCGTAGGGACCCGCAGCACAATGTATGAAGACGGTATCGCCGTGTGAAAGGCCTGCGATGTTGTTGAGGCGATGATATGCGCCGGTCAAAGCCGCTGGACTCAAGCCTCGAACCTTGGACTGGTTGTGGAGTTGGTGGACGAAGACTTGGTCGACAGTGATCACAGATTGAACCGTATCGCTAGCCAGAGCAACTACCGGGGTGCCAACCATGATCCTGGTGACACAAAGCCCTACCCGTTCGACCGTTCCAAAGACATCGACACCTAAGCTGCTCCCGCTGATTCGACCCAAACTCGTGTCGAGATCAACTTGATAGAGATTTGTGCTTTGAACGGCGATGCAAACATCGTACGGGCCAAGGGGCTGCTTGGCAGCGTCGTTAACTTCAAAGAGCGTGCTTGTTGTACGTGTACTTGGCGCCAACTTGAATTTCAGCGGCTGGGCGAGCTTTCCAAAAGCCAGAGTCTCCACGCGTAACGCTTGATCATGACCATTCTCGATTACCGAATTGATGGCGTCAAGTGGATGGAGTCTAGCTGCGAAGAGCTTGCTGTCACGAAGAGAGTATTCGACTTCAGGCAACTCAACCTTGTCGGTCTGGTTATAAAAACCGTCGAAAATGACATGAATGGCAGCTGTGGCTACAGCTGTGTCATATCCGTTCCGGATTCCACCGATATCCAGGCTGACAATGTGTTTGGAAGAATCTTCGGAGCGAATAGTCCTGGCCAACCCCTGGAAAGGAGCGAGAAGCGGCATCTCTGTGGTGTCCTGAGCACCAGCTGTGACCCAAAGAAGACCAGGCGTAGCCCCAAGGATGAGTTTTATCTGATCAAAAGTAGCGTGAGACATATTGTAGATGATAGCTTGATCCATCTCGACAAGAGAGATGCAGTGTTGGCTCGCGTGCTGTGGAGTCAGTTGAGACAGCCGAACATGCTCCACGTTGGGAGCGGCCAGGGCCTGTGACAAGCTGTTGGTCTCATCAGAGATATCACCGTCTGGAAGTAGGACTACCAGAGGGATACTGTCGGGGATTGGCATTTCATGGATGCCGGAGAAAACAGGACACAGTTCCCGCCAAACGAGTTCACTGCAAAGGTGCCGGTTGCTTGGCAAGAATCCAGATGCACCCAAAGATGCCAATTTTATGGACTCCATGCCGTCCACAACAACCATGGGCCTGCTGAATATGGCATCCGACATCACAATGTCGGCCACGGCTTCACGGAAGCCCTTACGCTGAGCGGTGGCGTACCCATGGAACTCTGCGCCAGCCCCCTTCAACATGTCGGGCGAAAAGTAGATCTGCCGGATGCGAGACGGGACCATTGTTTCGTCGCCAATAGCGAATGTCGTTTGGAACATGGCATCGAGGGTAGCTGGATGAATGAGGTGATCATATTCGAAGTGTGCTGGCATTTTAGACTTGGTGTCGGGAATGCGAACGATGCTGGTGCACGAGTGCTTACTCCTCGTTAAAGAGACGACGTTCTGGAAGAGTGGTCCATAGTTCATACCGATTCCATCTAGCCTCTCGTACAGGCAGTTTGCGCTGATTTCCTGCGAGCACTCGGAGTGTAGTCTCCAGTATATGTCTCGATAATCTCGACACCGAATGCTATCAGTCATGGCCTCGTCTTCTGATTTCCCGCCATAGGTAATGTTGATCAGACCGTTTGCGTTCTCCTGCCACGGCCCATGCTCAGTCCTCGTCTCAATCGAGAAAGAGTAGGCAGCGGTGCCCTTGGTGGCATCTGGCGGCGGGGTCTTCAAAGCCTTCGTGGTGAGCATGTGCTCCAGGCCGTGCTGGCTTGCTGGAATCACGACTGGCTTCATGATGAGGAAATTGGAGATTCGATAGGAATCTACTCGCAATGAAGGGACGCTGCATTGCCTTGCAGCTTCCAAAGCCATGGTGACCAGACCGGCAGCCGGGTAAATGATGACTTTTTGAACTTTATGATCGGCCAACCATGGATTCTCCTCCAGCCTCAGAAAGCCACGCCAACGAGAGCTCTGAGGGGTGGATTCAGCCAAGGGAGCGCCGATCAGATCCTCACGGCCATGACTCCGTTCACGGAGGGCTGTGCCTAGGTGTGATTCAAACCAATATTTCTTGGAGTGATTAAAGGGATATGGAGGAAGATCAACAAGAAGCTGTGGCAAGGGGCCCTCCTTGCTTCTATATACCCACGAAAAGTCGGCAGGGCAACCGCGTGCCCATAGATCGCCAAGGGCCTTTAGAGCGGAGACAGAAGCGTGCTCGTTTCGCTTCAGAAACGGAATGTGAGGGAGCTCTGGTGTAGCTTTACCCATAGTGAGAGAAGCGACAATCTCCCGGATGGGCCTGGCTAGTGTGATAGCAGGACTGACCTCGAGTACGACCCTTGGCTTCACAGCTGCGTACATGTTGGAGAAGGCCTGGCTGAAGAGCACAGGGGACGTCAAATTCTTGGACCAGTACTCTGCGCCCACTTGCAGCGCAGAAATCTCTCGACCGGTGACGGATGAGAACATTCGTGGGCCCTGCGCACTGAGGATTGGCCTCACTCCTTCTATAGACTGCTGGTAGCTCTGTGCGATCAGGCGCATGTGGTGGGAATGATAGGCAGTCGAGACAACCAGTACTCGGTGGTAGACCCCGTCCTCGTCCATCTCTTGTGCAAGATAGAGGATTTGTGCCTTGTCCCCAGACAGAGTGACCGAGACCGGGCTGTTCTCACAAGCAACGGCGACAGTGCCAACTGGAACCCGGCGGATGTATTCCTCTACATCTGGAGCAGATAGGCCAACGGCCATCATGAGCCCCTCGGCCTTCGGATGTGAGTATTGCAGAGATTGCGCATACTCGCCGCGTCGAAAAGCGATGGTCCAAGCATCCTCTCTAGTCAGGTATCCAGAGGCATATGCGGCAGCGATCTCCCCAGACGAGTGACCGACCACGGCTGTGGGGAGCATGCCGGATGCCTTCAGCAAGTCAAGGAGGGCAATCTGAATCGCAGTGGTGGCTGGTTGTGCAACACTAGGCTCGTTGATGCGACTCGAGCGGGGAGACTCGTGCATCAGCTCCTTCAGAAGATCGAAACCACCGTCCACGATCTTGAAAAGATACTTGGAGGCCGCAACCAGGCTGCTGCTAAAAGGCTCGAATTCCAGCAGCTCGCGGCCCATGGCGTACCACTGTGCGCCTTGGCCGCAGAAAACCGAAACGAAGGTTGGAGCCGCATCGTCGGAGGGGAGAAAACGTTGGACATTGAGGCGTCCTGGACTGGCGAGCTGCTGCTGGAGGTCAGTCGCAGATCGTGCAACCAAGCAGGCCTTGAACTCGAGGGCTGAGCGGCGTGAAGATGTGTATGCGTAATCTGCCAGCAGGTTGGGTTCTGAAGCGTGATCTGCAACATATGGCACGTGCCCTGAGGCAACTCTAGCAATTCCATCTCTCTCGTGGGATGAGACGAGGACGAGCTGGGTGGAAGCAAAGGTCTTGGAGGCAGCAGGACCAGCCGAGACCGCGGTGGGCAGAGAACGGTGCTTGCCGGGCAGACAACGTTCGGCAAGATACGAGCCCGCATCGTCGAGGATGACATGGGCATTCGTACCTCCGAAGCCAAAGCAATTGACGCTTGCACGGCGGAGTCCACTCAATGGCCAGTCGGTGAGTGACGTGGGGACCTGAGAGAAGCAGAGAGAGAGAGGTCAGCCTCGCGTTACATACCGACCTACCTACCTAGGTACCCAGGCACTTGGGTAGGTAGGTACATAAGTAGGTAGACAGGGGAGGGGGGCTTCCACTGCAATGATAGAATATGCCACACCTATCAGTGATTCTCCCTGTTGCTGGCCGCATCATTCGGCGGTGTACGTACCTTGATCTTCCACTCGTCGAACTTGATGTCTGGATTCCCGGTCGAGGGGTCAAAATAGAGGTTCTTTGGGATCTGCCCTCGCTCAACGGCCAGCACTGCCTTGATCAGACCGGCTATTCCCGCCGCGCCCTCGAGGTGGCCAATGTTGGGCTTGATCGAGCCGACGAGGATGGGATTGTCGGCGTTGCGACCTCCACAGAACGCCCGGGAAACGGCAAAGCACTCTTTCGGGTCGCCGGCCGGGGTGCCGGTGCCGTGGCATTCGACATAGCCGGTCTGGTCGACATCCAGCCCGGCCTCCTGGTACACCGCCTTGATGTTGGAAAGCTGGGCATCGGAGCTGGGCATGGTGATGCCTGGGGTCTTGCCATCCTGATTGACGCGAGATCCACGGATTACGGCGCGAATCGTGTCATTGTCGCGTATCGCATCATCAAGGCGCTTCAGTATGACCACGCCGACGCCCTCACCACGGCCGTATCCCTCGGCCTTGTTCGTAAACGTGAAGCACTTGCCACTCTTGCCGAGGAAGTTGAGCGCTGTCATGGGCATCATGGTGGCGGGGGTCAAGATCAAGCCAACTCCTGCAGCGATAGCTACGGTGGCTCTCCCGGTCCGCAGGTCCTGACAGCAGTTGTGCACAGCAACCAGGCCCGCGCTGCATCCTGTGTCCACGGTCTGGCTAGGCCCTCGAAGGTTGAATTGGTACGAGATGCGGTTGGAAAGCATCGCCGCACCTGTCCCGGTGGCCGCATACTGAGGCGCCCAATTCGGGTCTCGTAGGATGATTTGCTCGTAGTCTGCGAATTGTCAGATGTTGGTTTCCGAGTCTGGGGTTGCGGGTCGGCTCGAGGTCGGCTCACCCTTCACGAATGTTCCGACATTGACAGAAGTCTCACTCAGATCTAGCGAATCTTTGGTATACCCAGCTGCGTACACAGTCAACAAAATGGAAGTTCCTGCGGGGCTGAGGGCCGGTTGTACCATTCTCCAGTGCCTGGTACGTGACCTCGAGCAAGATGCGCTGCTGTGGGTCGATCGCATGTGCTTCAGCCTGAGAAATGTTGAAGAACTGTTTTGATTGATGGTTAGTTTCTGTGTCGATTGGGGCGGCATGTGCAAGTGCGTGGATGTTTGTCACATACAGCAGCATCAAAGCCTTTGATGTCATCCTTAAGGAAGTGAGCTCCCCTGAAGCCGATGGAGCCCTGACGTTGCCCACTTGGGTGGTAAAAGCCATCGATGTTGAGACGGTCGCGAGGGAACTCTGCCCACGCATCGCCACCCTCTCTTAGCATTTGCAATAGCGACTCGACATTATCACCGTCTCCAGGGAAGCGGCAGGCCGTTCCGACAATTGCGACAGGTACAACGGCATCATCCTCGGGAATGAGCGACTCGCCCATTATTTCTGGATGAAAACAAAGGATCTGCAGATTGAAAGACAAAAGGGATCGCGGATCGGGTAGGAAGGTTGGATATCTTTGCAAGGGTCGTGGAAGAGGGCTGTTGAAGTGGTAGGCCAGCTTCAAGGCACCACAAACGGGGCAGCTCTACTCAAACGAGCGAGGCTCCAGATGTCGAGGCTCGAGGCTTGAGGCTGCCGCCACCCCAGCCGGAAGTGAATATATGAGCCCTTGGACGTGTTGCACGTATATTTAAAGAGCGGTGATTGAGGTGTTGGTTCCTACAAGGATAGGTAGTTCAGTGTGTTGATACCCAAAGACAAGGTGTGAGGGCGATGTTCTGGATAAGATGATGGTCGGCGGTGGGGCCGAGTTTTATCACCGCGTCTTGGCTGCAGTCAGCATTACATGTGAATGGTGTTGGGAGCCCGGTGAGAGCTGGATCGGACTGAAGTGAACAGGACCGTCGAAACTGTGCGCATTTCTGAGCTTCAGCTGGAAGGTCTCGAGGTAGCATACCCCTTATCATGCCCCCTCCCCCGGTCAAAGGGCTGTGACCAGTGGCGATGATGGTGATCGGGCCTGCCGGAAGACCTAGACAGCTCCACGTCTTGTTGTCTGCGAATCGATGAGGCTCACTATTTCCCTGTAGCTGCTAATGGTGACACACAGCTCATCCCGCTTTGGCTCTAAACTTGGACCATGACCATGACCGCCAATGACGATACGAGTATGAAGTTGAATGCAGAGAAGGATTGGCAAGATCGGTAGCACGAGTCTCATTAAACAAGTGGGAAAAATAGGAGAGAACCTGCAAATAGGAGACGATGTTCCAAAGCTGGCAACGGGAGATATTTTTCAACACCTTTCGCCAAGATCTTTGACCAGATCACCCCATCAGTATGCTCTCTCGCCAGGCATGAAACGGCCTCGTATGCCGCATGCATGCATTAGGCACATGCACTGCTATGAACACCACACGGATCGGAGCAGGTCATCAAGAGCCACAAGGGGCGGGCCGAGCTGCAAGATGCGGTACTTCCATCGGCTGCAAGTAGAATCGTACACACAAGAGATGACAGGGGTTGAAGCCAGGAGATTAAACGATAAGGAAACTCAAAACATGCTCTAGGCCTCAAGTAGAAGACTCGACCATTCACTCTTACCTGTACTTTGTCAGACACGTAACCTTCTCAACTATGAGATTGCTTCTGCCTGCTCCAGAACACACTTGGTGTCGCAGCAGGGCGTCTTTGACATGAGACGGAGTGTCTGTTGCTTGTGGAGAAAATGGTACACAGTGTATCTCTTGCAAAACCTGCCTCCTTGAACACCACGGTCTGTGGGCTGTTGTGCCCAACCACCCCCCCCCCCAATCCCCAGTCGCAGATATTCTTCTACAACTCAGCAGCTGAGCAGTGAGTACGCCGCTCAGCGCTAATCATCAGCTGACAGCTGTCACCTGGATCATGAGAAACATTACGCCTGAAAAGCCAATGACCCTTCTCGTAGGGTGGAAAGCGTCTGCGGGGGAAAAAGAGCCGGACCCAAGCTGGCAACATTGGAATGTTTGAGGACTTCCTCAGGAGCAGGCTGTTCAGGCCGCGATGGCGCCCGAAACACACCCCTTGCATTCCAATAGGACTCTACTTGGCAGACAAGAAACAAGATCCGTCCAATGGCGTGCACGAGTGCAGTGCGTTCGTGCAAGAGCATGCTTGGTAAATTAACGTGAACCAGTTGACATGTTGCAGCATGGCCTCGAATGACGTGTTCGGGCGGCTCGGGGAGTGAGCGATGGTGGATAGCCTCGGCGACCTGGTGATTCAAGTACTCGCAGGCAAAAATTGTAGCCGTGGGCTATGGCACAGAAACTCGCTTGTCGAGAACGGCGCACCTTCCTTTGAGCCCTAGGCGCCTAGAAGCTTGCTGCGGGGCGAATAAACGAGCATTTGATATCGGCACTGCAAATCCGTGATCCACTGGGCGTGAGGTAACACTCATCACTGCTCTCGGCTCGGAGATCTCCAACCTTGTCTGACGACCAAGCCGACCATTTTCCTTTTTTCTTTCCTCTCATGAGCCCGTCAGAACGGCCCCTTGGGAGAGGAGAACCAAAAGACGGCAAATCCAGAGAGCGTCCATTTTGTGACGTAGAGCTTCAAAGAGACCGCGTTGAAGATCCAAGGATACGAGACAGTGTCATCCGGAAGACGGAAGGGTAAGGAAATAGGAAGGGTACAAGATGGATCCAGGAGCGGACGGTTTGTGCCAGAAGTCGTCGTGGACCGGCCGTTGAATCCGAACGGCTTGGTGCGCTGTTGCGAAACCTGACAACTGACAGCCCGAGTCGATTTTCAAGATCCTGCAAGCTGCCGTCGGTCTGTTCTTGGTCAACCCCTGAGCCTAGTGTGAGTGTCGGCCTGGTCCTGATGCAGCCTGCCCTGTCTGACTGTCTGTAGGACGGGCGCCCTCTTGGGGATTATGAAAAGCCCGCCGTGCCTTCTTGTAGTGAGAACGCAATGCTGTACCACGGTAACAAACGATGGGACGTCGTCACCATCACAAGGACCGCGCGGTTTCGGTGGGGAGTAGGAGGGGTCTGGCCCTCACCAAATCAAGGGGACTCCAGGCGCTGGTGGCGCGGCACTGAGGGAAACTCGAGACGGGCAGCAAAGGGCTGCCCATTTGACAACCTTCGGAGGTATTTCAGTGGCATGGGTAGGACTTGACAACTTGGAAAACTATGTGCTTCTCTCCGCATGGCTGATGAGGGCGTCGTGGAGCATCGCCTGCTGCAAGACCCAGACACCGTGCAATAAATCCTTGGTATGAGACTTACTGATTGAAAAATTCGAAAATCGATGCTAGAATCAAACGGACTTTCTAGCTTAGCCGCGAGGTTGATGGCGAGTAATTGCCTGCCCACCTCCTTACGTGCCCAGGTAAGGAGGCATGGGACAGGCAGTGGTATGGGGTAAGCGCTCCCCGAAAAGACACTGGCAGTATCCATGTTGAGATACTAGTATCAGTCCGTTCTCCAACGCGTAATTACCTACTACCTAGGTAGTAGGTACTCACCATTGGATCCACAGACACGGAACAGTCGTAGCACTCCGAATCCAACAGCCTGCCGCCATTCTGGAATACATGCAGTCATTGGTATCCTGCGTGCCGTGGATTCCATACTGCAGATTCCCATTGTGACCGTGATTTTGACTCGTTTGGAGCTGGAGCGTCGTCAGTAGTAGCCTGGGCCTGAACAGACCGCCAATTCAGGCAAGAGATCTTCAAGCTTCGAGGGCACTCTTATGGCATTCACATGCTGCCTGAACGCAGCCGTTGTCAACACAATTCTGGCAAGTGGCTCCCGACCTGACGCCGACAACCACGGGTGTAACAGCAGCCCCCGGCCCGGTTTCGTGGTAGAGAGAGCCCGAATTGAGGACGTCAAGGCACGACCGCTGGCTCGGCCAATCCATACTTAGTAGGCTGCGAGCCTTGCATTATCAATCGCTATACCTTGTTTAGGGGCTGTGTAGTGTCTTGGTGGATCGACCACGCATTGGACGCCAACTGAGGACCCAATGGTCCTGATGGCACGATGCTGCCCAACCAAAACAGGATGCCACAGCGATTACGAGGACTGTCTCGCGAGCGAGACAAGTACTGACCAGTGCGGTGTGGAGGCGGACGAGGCGGACGGGAGGGCTCAGTTAACCCCGTCTGCCCGTCCATGTCGACACTAGGCCGGCGCGCGACAGTCTCGACGTTCTGTCACACAGGCTAAGACTGAGACACTCAGGCACTCCCCCCCACCATGCTGCGAAATGGAAGAACCGAGCACCTTTTTGACGTCAGATCACTCGGCCCTCGCGCCCGCCCATTCCTAGGTATCCGATGAGTTGGGACGAGGAAACAGACGAAGGCATCCAGGGTGGCTCTTGCAGCAGCCAAAGGGCGTACTGCATGCCCATGTACGTGAGATGGCCACAGATCCCGTACTTCAAGCCCCTTTCAGGCCCAGCCATGTCTCGCTCGTACCGCCAGAGGTGAGAGGTGTCTGGCAGGAGGGTCACACGGGACGGGATTCCGCATGAGTCGCCCTTAGCGACCCAGATTAGCACGCCATCTAGCCTTGTTTGTCGGCGTTGCCTGCCCAGGTGGTGCCACCCCAACGCAGTGGGAGACCAGACTGGGTGGAAAGTACGGCCTTAACCGCAGCTGTGAGCCCGGGGACCCGTTGGATACCCGGTGCTCGCCTCGTCGGCTCAGAATAGCGGCTATCATGGGGACCATGTACCGTGTACGGGGGGTATGTTTCTGCTTGAGCCTGTCTCGGGCTGGACGGCCTCGATTCTCCAGCTGAGGTGAACACCCAGCAACTACGGTTCTGGTCTTGGCCTGTGCCACAAACAGAGTTTGCGCGAGCACTTGACTCTCAAGGCTCGTTCCCACAAGCGACCCAACGTGCTTTCAAAAAGGCTCGGCTTCGATTCGGCCGCTCAACGGTCTCTCGACAAGACTCGGACGACGGATTTTCGAAACAGTGACTCGGGTCCTGCTTGGCCACTGGCTCGTGGCATCGTACAAGACGGCGACTTTCACGTGCGGTCAACGGAAGGATAGACAGGGGAATCGTCGGGCAGTGGGCTTTGTACGTGTGGGTGGTTGGCTTGCTCTGAGCAGGCTCCGTCACATGTGACCTCATTGAGACACTCAACTTGGGTTCCTCCGCCACTCGAAATCTGCATTCAGGCACAGAAGATGTGTCACGTTGCACGGTATCCGTCAACTGCTGGCCGTGGTCTGGTGGCGCTGTTAGAACAAGATTGCCCATGCCGATGCACGGTGAGTTCATTAAGGTCGAAGCTCTCCCAGACATGGGCCTTGCCTGGGCCTTGCCTGGGCAGCTGCAGGGCCCCCTTCGATTCCACTTCTGGCTGTATTTCCTGATCCATCTGACAAGAGCGGTTGGACGAGATTGGCACCTTGCCTCGGACCAAAGACAGCTGCAGGCGAGAGGCTAGAAAGCTCTGCGCCCGTGCTGTCTCCGGATGCATTCTCGAAGTTTAAGCGAGCCCATCATTGATTGATTGACGTCCCAGCTCTCTGGATAGCGGTAAATGGGGTCTTGTTGTGGCACGAAGATAAAAGCCCTTTGCCCTTCACACCCAGGACTCGGCACAACATCAGGTGAATGTTGTTTGCTTCCTGCTTTAGAGGACCTAATGTTCTCCCACAGCCAGTGACCTGGAGGAGCAGCAAATACCCAATGGGAGGCAGCAGCAGTGATCAAGCGTTGGTGAATAGGAAGTGGGTCTACAAACGACCGTATACCTCGATCCCTTCCAAGGAAAACCCAAACGCTGGGACCTACTATACGACAATGTCACCACCACCATTACAACCATCCGCCTTGACTTCTCCTTGGCAGTCTACATTTCGCCTGCAGACAACCCAGCCGCGGCCGGTGTTCTCCCCCCACAGCTCATACAAGCGACGTATACCTGATCCAGCCTGTGAAGTCTATCCGCCGCCGCCGCCGAACAGCGACCTTACCATGACTTCGATGAATCTGAGAGACCAGGATTCGATGACGACTCCACTCAAGGATTCCGTGGAGGATCACCTCCCGCCTGCGCCGCCGTTCGTAAATTGTGTGCGGCTTGGTTTCATCATCATGTTGTGAGCACAAACACACACCGTTGCGTTCTCCAAGTCGGGTGACTAATTGCAGTGGCTCCCAGCATGCTCGGCGGCCTCTTATTTTCTGTGATAGACACCACCATAGTCTCGACAGCTCTCATCACAATCGCCACTGACCTTCAAAATTTCAAGGATATGTATTGGGTGGTTCTTGCGTACCTGCTGTCATACTTGGGTAATCATCAGCCTGGCTCTGAGGACTGAAAAAGTAAATAGACTAACCGCGGAACTTAGGTTGCGCAATTGGGTTCGCCAAACTCGCCGACCACTTCGGCCGTCTCTCAGTCTTCTTGTTCTCCTGGCTCATTTTCTCAAGCTGTTCCCTTGGCTGTGGCTTAGCTACGAACATGCCACAGCTGTAAGGTCTCTTCAACTGGACCAGAAACTCACCAAGGCGATCGCTCAGCTGACCAAGTATTCCCCACAGAATCATCTTTCGAGCCCTTCAGGGAGTCGGCGGCTCAGGCCTCTACAGTCTGTCACAGATCTCTCTGGCAGAGATCGCGCCCCACGGAAAAAACGCTTTGATTGGTATGCTCATCGGCATCACACTCGCTACCTCATTTGTGCTCGGCCCTCTTCTGGGCGGCGCCATTTCTGGAGGCAACTGGCGATGGATATTCTACATGAAGTAAGCCCCCCCCCCCCATTTTGTGAGGAGGAGTCATATTCCGCCCGGTGCTGATCAGAATCCAGTATCCCTGCCGGTTTCGTTTGCATGTTCGGTCTCGTCGTCCTCTGGCCTCGGGACTTTGGCAGGCCACTGCATCCTTGGCGCCAGTTCTGGAGGATTGATTTCATCGGCAACATATTCATCCTTGCTGCCTGTGTTCTCATGGTGTATAGCTTACAGCAGGCTGGTGCCATGATATTTGCGTGGACAAGTGTCGAATTTATCACCACATTTGTTGTGTCGCTTGTATGCTGGGCCTTGTTCTGGGCTTGGCAGCTAATTCTCAAGCATTTACCAATCCATGTCGAGCCCGTCTTTCCCGTTCGACTTGTTTACAATCGTGTATATGTTGCGGCTGTGGTGTGAGTCTTCTTTTTCGTTTCGCAGACCACTGTCAAGACCTCAGTATCCAGGTACAAAAACTCGTGACTGATTATAAACACAGCGCAATGTTCCTTTCGGGTTACTGCTACCTGGCGATAGTCATCACTCTTCCAGAGCGGTTTCAAGTTGTCAACGAAGACTCGGCGCTCATGGCAGGAGTTCATCTTATCCCCATGCTCGGAGCTACTGCCCTGGGGTCCATCATTGCCGGGGCGTTGTCGAAGCGGAAGAACAACACTTCAAGGACCTTGGTAGCAGCTTCATGCCTGCAGGTAATTGGGCTTGGGCTGCTAACTACTTTCAATGCTCCTTCGTCGCCTACCAATCCGCAGTTCGGATACCAGGCAGTTTTCGGTCTGGGAGTAGGCCTGACCTTCTCTTCTGCGACTATCCTTACCAAGATACAAGCTTCGGGCCGAGATCACGCGGTTGCCCAGGGGGTTATGGCGCAGGTCAGGGTCCTTGGCGGCGCTCTGGGTCTGGTGGTCTGCAATGTGATCTTCAATATTCATCTCGAGTCTCTGGAAGCGAAGCTCTCGGCCGAGGAGAAGGACGCGCTCCACCGTTCCCCAATGGCGCTGATGGACGTGGGCCAAGATGCAGAACAAGGTGTTGCGCAGGACGTAAAGGAGGTGTTTTCGACGTCCTTCCAGAGTATGGTCTGGGTCATGTTCTGGGTCGCTGTCGCCGAGACGGTTGCAAGCCTTTGCACTTGGGAGATAAACCCGACTTCCCTAGACGAGATTGACGCGGCTGCTCTGGCTCACGCACATGGCAGCCAGAAGCAGGGAAGCAGCAGCGGTGAAAGCCACACTGAGCTTGAGGACTTGTCGCCTATCTTTCGTGCCGCGTCTTCGCAGGCGAGCACCGGACGGAGACGGCCTCCTACGCCGTCCGCACGTGGGCTCCCAAGTCGGGTTTGACTGGTCACATGGGTGAACTTTCGGCCTTTATCAGCGAATGCCTTGGAACGGGCATCTATAGGAGTTTGTGCCGACATCTGCGTTGCTGCTTATTGAAAATTACTGTGTTGGTCCGTTGAGCGACCACTTGAGCGGGGCTTTTCACACATAGTGAAAAGCTACCCGGGTTCAGTCACAAGATTGAGGTAGCGTCAGCGTAGTTGAGTCTGTCCATCGCATACATTATTATAGTAACACAGTCACACATTTCAAGATGGACAAATTCTCTGCGAAGCCCCTGGCCTAGGTATCCTGTATTGAATTGTCTCGCTGGAGACTGCACGCGGATCATCTCCAACCAGTAGCTTTTCTATAAGAGAACGGATATTCACATAGGAATATATAAGTATAATACCCACTTAAACTATAGTTAATTAAAGGGCTTTATTTAACCTTCTTTAACTATATATATTATTTATATAAAATACTTTTTATACTTTTTATATAAACTTATTAAATTTTCTTTATTTATTAAATAAAACTCTTTTATTATTAAAAAACTTTATATAAAAGTTTATATTATTATTAATTAATTATTATAAGTTAATTTAATTATTAAAAACTTTATTAATAATAAAAATTAATTTAAAAGATTTAAATATTTAAAAACTTATTAAAGTATTTTAAATAATAATAAAAAAAGAAATAATAACTATTAAATTAAAAATAAGAATAAAGAAATTTAAATTATAATTAATAAATATAATATTTAATCTTATATAATAAATATATAATTTAAATTAAAGTTAATATATTAAAAAGTATTTATATTTATATATTAATCGTTTTTAATATAATCTTTATTTTAAAGTTAACTATTAATATTTATAACTTCTAATATTCTATAATATAGTTTTAAACTAATAGGGTAATATTTAATGTAATATAACCTCCTTAATTAAGTTAAGAGTAGACTACCTCGATACCTTAGTATGTTACATACCTAGGTAGTCGCCTTAGCTACCACATTTATCTTGACAATATATCATCCTGCTAGAGGCATTGGAAAAGCCGAGCAATTAATGACTTTACCAGTGTACACGGTCGGATGCGTGCTATTAATTTGTGATGTGTTTCGGGTGGTACGTCATTTCGAGGTAGTGGCGAGACTTTGCTTTGTTCGATGGTAGGCTCGCACAAGGGTTATATTCGTGTCTTTCACTTAGTACTACCTGCTCTAGTTGGCAGTCAGAGCCCGAGCCAATACCGTAATAAGTTGCTCCGTTCTTCTCTCTCCGAGTCTCCCACTTTCCGCCTGCAACTTGGCGACAAGAGAGAGACAGGGGCAGGCTGAGAAGACCATGTTATCATCTCACATGTACCCATCGTGGGGAAGCCATGACTGAGGCCCGCCGGGACCTGCCCAATTGCCTTCTAAAGCGGTAGCATCCAAGAAAAAGTGCCAGGATTGAGCTTCCTGTTTAGGCAGGTCGTCTGTTGATTGGGCGTTCACGATAGAATGCCAAGTCGACAGCGTGAGCGCCAAGGCCGGTACTCATCTAAAGCGTCGGGCGGCACAACCTACAAATATCCAGTTCCCCTAATCACATATCGTCAATCTGCGTGTCTTTGATCAGGTATCGATCTCTTCACCTAGTGAGTTTTCCCTCTTCGCCATGCATTCAGCGTCAATTTTGGCCGGGCTTCTGGGCTGCGCGGGGCTGGCGAGCGGGTGTCTCCTCCCTGAGGAACGTGACGGCTTGCCTCGTATTGTTCCCAGGCAGTCGAACACTGGGACCCCGATTGGAACCGGTGACCGGTTCAGCGGCGGCAGTGTCGCCCCGCAAGGCTTGGGCACTCGTGCTTCTAGCACCAGCTTCTCCACGATCTTGAGTGCGGCCGAGGTCAAGAGTGGGTTCGATGGTCTGGCCAACACGTACGGCCTGGAGACATTCACCACTCCGTACAAGACCTATGGGGGAGCTACGATCTTTGGTGGGAAGGTTGGAGGTACCGGTACATGCAATAAAGCTTATCGGGTCTACTTCAACGGTGGAATTCACGCGCGCGAGCGAGGCTCCTCAGATGGAGTTCTCTACTTCATCTCAGACCTGCTTTATGCCAACAAGACCGGGTCCGGCTTAACCTACGGCTCAAAGAGCTATACCAACGCTCAGGTAAAGACGGCCCTGGCCGCAGGGATTGTCTTCGTTCCCTTGAGCAACCCCGACGGCGTCGCATACGATCAGTCCACGAACAGTTGCTGGCGCAAGAACCGCAACCCGAATTCCGGGACAGGAAGCTCGTCCGTTGGGGTTGACTTGAACCGGAACTTTGATTTCCTCTGGGATTTCACCAACAAATTTGCTTCGAGTGTTCAGTCGAGCGTTGCCTCCACCAGCCCTTCGTCTGAGACGTATCACGGTTCGTTGTCTCCCGGCTCCTGATCCTCCCGCATTCCAACATCCCTTCCTAACACCTAATCAGGAACCAAGGCATTCTCTGAGCCAGAGACACAATCCATTAAATGGGTATTGGACACGTACTCGGCTGTACGTTGGTTTGTCGACCTACACTCGTATGCTGGAGATGTGCTCTACAGCTGGGGAAGCGATACGAACCAGAACAAGTACAGCTACATCAATTTCCTCAACTCTACCTACGACGGATACAACACGTGAGTGATCCCTGCCTATACCTTTCTCCATACTTTGCAGCCCTGGAGACTTTCTAGGGCGAGCCAGATCGAAGTGAGCCGCAGCGTGCTAACACGTCCCAGGCGTGGGGTCTTGACCGACACTCCGGGCTCCGGACGTGCATACGGAGAGTACACTCCAGCAGCCGAGAACACCGCCAACGTTCAGGCTGGGACGCGGATGGCCTCCGCTATGAGTGCGGCAAGTGGGCGTTCGTACACTGCGATGCAAGCAGCCGCCCTCTATCCCACCTCGGGTGCCAGCGATGACTACTCATATTCGCGGCACTTTGCCAACCCAAGCCTAAACCTCGTACACGGTTACACTGTCGAATTCGGGTTCGGCAATTCCGGCGCTTCGTGCCCATTCTACCCGACTGTTTCACAGTACAACACCAATCTGCGAGAGGTCGGCGCTGGCTTCATGGAGTTCCTCCTCGCAGCCACTGATCTTGGCCTCGGTGGTGGTTGCTAAGGGTCAAATAAAGTCTCTGGGGCGACTACTGAGGCTGAGGTGCAGAGCAACTCAGTATTAGATAGTACTGTACGGTGTGCAGGTTATGAGGGCCAACATACGGTCAAGCCTTGAGGTGCTTCAGCCCTAGAAGTGTTCAAATGTTCGTTGAAATGAAAACCTCTCACCGATTACCGCTATCCATGTCCTAAAAGCAAGCGGCATCTGTGGCATCTGGGAAATCATTTCGTCTATGACCCCTGAAGTCAATGCTTGTGTCTACATGTATATGTAATTCCTCTATTGCTCCATGCCGCCTTTCAAAGACCTAAACAAAGAGTGCCTCCAACCACAGCTATGATTGATTCTAGGATGCTGGGCAGAAAGTTTGTTCCTGATTGTTTGCTGACCCCTTCCTATTGGGACACAGCATAGCTAAAATGCCACTGGCATACTGCTCACGAGGGAGGAAACAGAGACAAAGCAGCTGTCCTCAATACGTCAATTACTGGTAGAGTTAAGTCGGCGCAACCTTCTATGTAAGGGGAAAGGATTAGGAGAGTTATAAAGGGAGGGCTGTATCCCTCCTAGAGGGTGTAGACAAATGTGCTACCTACTTAAGTAGGCTAAGCAGGAAGCCAATAGGGTCCCTACCTACCATAGCACACACTGTAAGGTTTTTAGGTTGTTTGGTTTTAAATTCTTAATCTATACACATCCTAATGGCATACATCCCATTTGTCTTAAGCGTTTACCACTATATGAAGGTGCTACTTATGTTTTATATGTATGGGGATCAGAATACTGTATTCTCTTTCCACTGTTATTGGCACTGTATTTCTTCAAACGCTGGGTCTTGAGTGTTTACCACTATATGAAGGCGCCACGTGCATTTTGAATGTATGGGGATTAAAAACGAAACCAGCCCTCGTAAAGGACGTTCGTTAACTGAATCTTGCGCCACCCGTCACAGAGCTTCTACCTAGGCATATGATTTCAGCAAGGTTGCATGGCAACCTCAGGACGTTTGACTGTGTACGCAGTAGTCCAAGAGAACGATGCGATGCCCCCTGTCGATCTTGGGCCAGGGCTGACCCCCGTTTGGTGCCCAAGCGGGCTCCTTCCGATCTTCGAGAAGCGAACCATGTAACCGAACGTGAGGTACTCTTTGACGCTATGGGCAACCCAGGCAACCTAGTAGACGTCTGGCACCACGGACTCGACAGCGTAGCGCCTGTCAAGGTTGAAATGCAATGTCTGACAGGCCATCTAGCCACTTCTCTACTACCAATACGGGCATCTTGCCGCCTGGACTCGGTGCCCACAGGTGCCTTTGAGAAAGCTGCCCCCAAACGCATGTACCTGACTCGGGAGCGGCCAGTGCCGTTTCCTGGCTGCTGTCGGGGTCCCAGGATTCGGGCACAATTTGAGAGATGACATCATCCCGGGCACTCCTTGCCCGTACCCTGCCAGAATTCCGGGAAGGAGCCCTCGGGTGGGTCGAGGACAGTTGGAGAATGAGACCGGAGGAGCGCTAAGGACGGGTAATGTACAAAATACCTAGGCACCCACCGAAGCAGGTGTTTCCTAGCCGTTGCTTGATGTCCTGGGTACCTGCTCAGGCAGGCAGGTATGTGGGTGTCACTGCTGCGACCGGTGTGGGCGAAGAGCAACGGAAGCCTCCATCGCCGTCCCAATTCTGCCAACCAGCTGCGTTGCACCGAATCCACCCGTCAACCGCCTGTCACTGCCCACACCAAGCAACGGCAGTATGCGGACAGATGTACCATGTACATTCAATGTACGGAGTGCCCTCTGCAACACACTTTGCCATTGTGCATTGCTCGATGAAGACAGCTGCTTCCAACACCAGCATGCACACAACGGCCCTGCCTGTCCTTGAGATTTCAAGCTCAAGGTTCAGTCGAATCGGTACAGAGATGACTTACAGTAATACTTGCGATCCCGCTCGTCCGCCTGCCGAATCAGAAAGATCTGTCACATCTCACATCCCTTGGGCAGGAAGAGAAAAAAAAATGCACTGGCACAGCTGACCAATCCTATATTGCTCTGCCTCCCCTCCCGCGACGTTTGCAGGGTGGCATGTCTGTATCTATCAATGGCACCAGGGCTGGGTCTGTATTCCGCCTGCCTGCCTGCCTGCCTGCCTGCCTGCCTGCCTGCCCACTGGCTAGGATATCACACAGAGTGCCTGGGTAGCTGGCAGGATCTCCAGGCGATGTCGTGCCGCATGATGCAGGCGTTAAGCTTTTAGTCCTTCATCGTCAAGGGCCAAGGGACAGGGTTGACCTCCCCATTGTATCCATGTGGGCGCAAGTGCTTGGCGAACGGCGCGCTCCGCCCACGGAAAAGGGCTGGAGAAGGTCGGAAGAACAGACTCTGCTGTCGAGAAGCCCCGCCTTGGGCGAGTATGTACACTTGATGCCGCCTGTCCAGGGCCGGCTTGTCACAACACAGACACGCAGACACGCAGACACACAGACACATACACGCCATCAGCCAGCTATCGCTGCCCGTGTTGGTCCCGCTGCGGCGTCATCAGGGACCTCGTCCCGCACAAGGCATGCGAGATGCGCCAAGCGGGCTCGGGTGCGCGGGCTGGCTACGGACGTCGGACACTTGACAGCCAGGCATTTGCTGGGACTCGGGAGGCGGTCGCAATCCCTGCCAACACGCGCTGCTTCGACTTCCAGGTTTGGGCAGTGGGACGGCGATCGTGAGGGATTCTACCCCCACATCACTCTTACCAGCGGCCCAGCTTCCGGGTCATGGCTCACTTGACCTGACTGCCTTGATTTGACTGGGTCTTTCTCGTCCTGGCGGTGCCTGTTCGATTTCCTCCGTCAACCCTGGGCTGCCCGCCTACGCTCGCACGTCTTGCCTCCTGCGTCCTTGTGCGCCGACCAGAGCCTCTCCTCTTTCTTGTGATCCTCACCCCTACCCGAGCTCATCGTCCCGTTCCGTTCAGACGGCCTGGCCAGTCGCCGCAAGGTCGGGGCAACGCCTTCCGCCCGCCCTCCGCCCGCCTCCCGCCCGCCCCCGTCTCTCCTTGCTGCCAGGCGGGCACACCTCTTGGGCTTCACTCGCTCCCCCACGCAGGCCTCTCCCGTTGCTTGGAACGCCTTTGGGCCCAGCTACACAACCGCCTGTTCGTGCCGGATCCCAACTATGTTGTCCCAACTATGTTGACCTCCGAATAGCACCGACTGAGGACCGGCAAACCGCAGCATGTCTCCGCAACTCAGGAGCGTCGGCATCGTTGATCTTCTCGAGGCTGATCCACGACCGACCTTCATCGTCGATCTTACCATCGCCGCCGGGAGTTCAGAACAGACCTCCTCCATCGCCTACTGCAACCCCGCCCTCTCGGCCTGTCCTGACCTGGTTGATCTTGTCCAGTCCTCCCGCAGCCAACACGCTGTCCTCTGGGAATGGATCTCCGCCTCCTTCTTGCCCCCGAGTGTCACCAAGGCCCGCAGCTCTTCATCGTCGGACTCTCCCTCGTCGCCCTTTTACTACTCCAACGCCCAATGGAGCAAGTGTCTCGTCCAAGGAAGGTGGCTGGTCGTCGGAACCAACGAGCAGCCCTCATCCGCCGACCGTCCCCGCAAAATCCGGCTCGACTCTCAGAAAGGAAGCTTTGGCGTCTCCGGCAGCGCCAACAGGGTTGCATCTTCCACTTTACCCATCGCGATCCCGCATCATGACCGCCGGTCAGACTCGCTGTGTGGTCCAGGAACAGCCTCTGAACACGACCCTTTGCCCGCACAGAGAATGTCTGTTGAGCCGGACTGGGTCTTGCCACAAATCATGCACGACCAGGGTCCGTTTCTCAAAATCCTGACAAGCATCGATTGGGCTTCGACGCCGCTGGGGCCTCTCAACGCCTGGCCAAACTTACTCAAACAAACGCTCAACCAGGTTCTCGCAGACTCCCGCCCCATCGCTCTATACTGGGGGGATCACTTTACCACGATCTACAACGAAGCATTCGGGGCCCTGTGCGGATCGAAACATCCAGGCCTGTTGGGAAAGTCGCTGGAGGATGTCTGGCTCGAGGCTGGCCCTAAGCTCAAGGAGATCATGCTCAAGACCGCCCAGAACCGTCGTGGTGTCGTCGAAAAGGAATGGCGATTTTTTATGGAAAGGACAGATGATGGCCCCGAAGAGACTTATCTGAAGTGGTCAGTCGTGCCCGTCATGGAGGAGGAGAAAGTTTCAGGCTTCTTGCATCCCATTCTTGACGTCACATCGGTGCGCCTGTGGGAGAGGCGGATGAAGATGCTCATCGACCTCGGCGATGCACTGGTGACAGCCAGGGACGCCAAGTCTTACTGGGCCAAAGCTATCGAATTTCTCGGCGCCGTCGAGCCCAGGTACGATGTTCCGCTGGCGATTCTGTACTCGGTTCAGGATGACCCGGAGGCACAAAGTGTTACACACTCGCTATATGGATTTCCGAAATTATGTCAGCTCGAAGGCGCGCTGGGTGTGCCCAAAGACCACATCATCGCACCGCCCACCATCTCGCTTCGAAACACCGACCAGGGTCTCGCGTCTATCTTCCGAAGTGCTTTGCAAGGCCACTATCCGCTGCTCCTCCAGACAAAAGATGGCACTTTGCCCGAATCCCTCGTTCAGGACCTGGCATGGAGGGGGTTTGGTGACGCCTGCCGCAGCGCCGTTGTGTGTCCTATTCGGCCTACCAGGGAAGAGAACGTGATGGGCCTGCTTTTGCTTGGTTTGAATCCGAGGAGACCCTATGATAATGACTATCGACAGTACATTTCGCTCTTAAACCAGAAATTGACCACTACCCTGGCTTCGACAGTACTACTGGAGGAAGAAGCTCGGAGGGGGCGCAACATCGCGGAGGAAGCCGCCTATGAACAGGCTAGGCTGAAATCGCAGTTGACTGACAAGACGAAAGAGGCGACCGAATCACTTCACAAGTTCGAGGCCGTGGCAGATTTCATCCCGGTTGGCATGGCCTTCCAGAACGCCCAAGGCGTCTTGACCAAGACGAATGACGCCTGGCACCGGATCACTGGCAACCCCCATCGAGAGACCGGCCCATCGATGGCTCTGAGAGATATTCTCTCTTATATTGTTGAAGAGGACAGACCCGGCGTAATCAAGGCTTACGAGAAATTGCGCACCGAAGACAGCATCACTTTCGAATGTCGACTAATCCGGCGCAATACGGTCAACAGCCCACCCCCGCTGGTGAGAGAATCTGCAAGCTTCGAGAGGGCCGGCATTGAACTTCGTGGAATCGATGACCAGGCGTCCGAACGCCACATCCTTGCAGCTGCTCGAGCTGAACGTGCCTCAGACGGCAGCATCCTCCAAGTGCTGACTTGCTTGACTGACGTCACTCTACACAAGCAGACCGCTGAAGAAGCAATTCGTAGGGCGCAGCAGGCCGAAAATTTGAAGCGCATGGCAGAACTTGCGACCGTCGGGATGTACGAAATGGACTTGGACGGACAGCTGGTCGAGGCGAATAACGTCTTCTTCCAGATGTGCGGCCTCGAGAAGGATGACACGAACATGAAAGAGACTGGCGTCAAGCCCTGGCAAACCTGTATAGTGGAAGAGGACTTGCCTGCTTTACACGACGTGATGAAGAAGGTTACCCACGAGGGCACGCCCCAGACCATCGAGGTCCGATTCAAGACGCCTTTGACAGTCAAGGATAGCCAAGGTACCGAAATTGTCGTGCCGAGATGGGCTTACGGTACCTTCCTACCTGTGAGAAGCTCAGACGGCGCAATCCAGTCGTACTGCGGGTGTGTGAGCGATGTTTCCCTTCAAAAGTGGCAACTTGAGCGGGAAAGGCTGCGCAAGGAGGAAGCGCTAGAGTCAAAACGGCAGCAGGAGAACTTCATCGATATGACCTCCCATGAGATGCGCAACCCGTTGAGTGCAATCATTCACTGTGCCGATGCTGTCATTGCATCACTTGGAAAAGCGTTGGACCTGCAGCAGAGGAGGGTGGGTCTCAGCAGGCAGAACACCACGACGTCAAACAGTGGTGTCAGCAGCGGCGGCGGCATGCGCAGAGAGGATGAGCTGCTTATGGAGAGCAGCGTTGAAAACGCGGAAACAATTATCGCTTGGTAAGGACTGCCCCGAGATCACCCATGCTTATTTGTTTCTTTGTGCAAGGCTGCAGTCTCCTTGGAATTGAACTTGGCAGGAACCGTCCTTGGTCAAGTAGATGGGCCCTGCACATAGGTTGATGTTTCAGTCGTGAGCCCTGAGAGGGAACAATGAAACTTCATCCTCCCACCCCCGCCCAAGCCTTGCAAACATTCAAAATTATCATACCATGCTAACAAGCCTGTGTTTATTAGCGCGCAGCACCAGAAACGGATTGTCGACGTTGGTTTTCTCCTTTCACAAATCCCTGTCTTTGATGTTTTGGTGTCTTGGTGTTTTGGGATGGATGTTCTTGAATGCAGCATTTTAGGGCCCTTAGCAGGACTAACATCACACTTAGGACATTGTCAGTACACGCCTGCTCTTTCTAGTACTTCAAGCATGATCATTCCCTTTCTTCCATACAATTCTTGGAAACCAAGTATTGGTAGGAGGCTGTTGGCTGTTCGAGTTATTCTCGTCCACCAATCCTACCCCCTCCCTCTCAAAACAACCTATATTCTCATCTCCTACCATCTCAGACATACATCATACATCCTCTTCATAACCTCCCTCCTAACCTCCCTTCCACCTCCTAACACACTTCCCCCTCCCTTCTCTCCTTCCTAACCCCCTAGTCCCTCCTCCATCCTAACCTCCCTCCTCCATCCTAACCTCCTTCCTCTATCCTAACCTCCTACTTCCTACCCTCCCTCCTACCCTCCTACCCTCCCTCCTACCCTCCTACCCTCCCTCCTACCCTCCTACCCTCCCTCCTACCCTCCTACCCTCCCTCCTGCCCTCCTACCTCCCTCCTACCCTCCTACCCTCCCTCCTACCCTCCTACCCTCCCTCCTACCCTCCTACCCTCCCTCCTACCCTCCTACCCTCCCTCCTACCCTCCTACCCTCCCTCCTACCCTCCTACCCTCCCTCCTACCCTCCTACCCTCCCTCCTACCCTCCTACCCTCCCTCCTACCCTCCTACCCTCCCTCCTACCCTCCTACTCTCCCTCCCCCCGCCCTCTATTTATCTTACTTTTATTAGCCTTAACTTTAGAAAACTAACATACTCTATAGTTAACTATGTCAAAACTGGACTCTAAACTACTTGCTGTGACTCCGATCACTGTCGACCCGCTCCAAATAGCAAAAGAGTCCCTCAAGATGTTTGAAGTAGAGGCTCGAAGGGTTGATATCGATTTGCGCATGAAGGTCGACCAGAGCTATGAGGACTTGGGGTTGGAATTCCTCGAGTTGGATCCATCGCGTCTTAAACAAGTCCTCATCAATCTCCTTACCAACGCCCTGAAATTCACAAAATCTGGGAACTTGTAAGCACAATTCTCTTTTTCCCGCATGCGTGTCGAACAGTTACAGAACGTGTTACTTGAAACTTGTAGCAACCATTAACACAGACTAGGAGGCACGTGACGCTCACAGTGAGCGCGTCAATTGCAAGGCCTACAGACTCCACTTGCTCAGTGCAGTTTATACCCCGGTCACAAGGACACGAGTACCAACAACCCCCCAATCCCCAGGGCACAGATCCGGTCTATGTCCTATTTGAAGTGAAAGATACTGGCCAAGGCCTGACAGAAGAAGAGATGAAAAGCCTGTTCCAGCGATTCAAACAAGCATCGGCTAGAACACACGTCAAATATGGAGGGTCTGGACTGGGCCTTTTCATCAGCAGGAGGCTGTGCGAGATGCACAACGGACAGATCGGTGTCGCCTCGCTTCCCGGAGTTGGTTCGACGTTTGCGTTTTATGTCGAGTCACGCCTACCCAGTGAGGCGTCCCTACGGGAGGCTAGGGCGACAGCGCGAACAGCCTTGAAAGCGACCAGCTTGCCCATCACGAAAAGGGCAGAATCCTTACAAATAGGAACGGCGGAAGTCCCTTTGAAAAGCACGCCCATAAAAGCCGCGACCACCAACGAATCTGACTCCCCGGGCACGGAGGCGAATGCGGAGACTCCCAAGATCGAAGGTGTCCTGGTCGTGGAGGACAACTTGATCAACCAGCAGATTACGCGCCGAGGCCTTGCTGACCATGGATTCACAGTCGATGTGGCAAACCATGGCATCGAAGCCTTAGAAAAGTTACGTGCCTCTGACCGATGGCTTGGGGATGGCCCCACCACAGTAGCCATTTCCAATGGCAATTCCACGGCTGATCCGTCGACAACTGCCCTCACAACTCCCACGACTCCGACGAAGTCGAACGCTCTGGGCCTCAAAACGGGCCTTAACCCTGCAATCACGGTCGATTTAACGCCGACGACGACACCAAACAAATTCCCGCTGTCGCTCATCCTCATGGACATGGAGATGCCTGTCCAAGACGGCCTAACCTGCACGCGACATATTCGAGAACTTGAGCGGCAGGGTCAAATCCTCGGAGGAAGCATCCCCATCATCGCAGTCAGTGCCAATGCGAGGCTTGAGCAGGTCCTCGAGGCTAAGGCTGCAGGCTGCGACGACGTGATGATCAAGCCATACCGTATGCCGGAATTGATTGAAAAGATGAAGATTGTAGTCATGCAGGCCGAACAGAAGAGCCGGATCCCCCAAGTCGATATGGCTGAAGCGATTGAAGTAGTGGATTCGACTGGTGCCGGCGGCCCTGGACCGCCAGCAGCCGCACCATGACTAGATGAGCTCAAGTGTGTGAAGAAGGGACGGGATACCACCACAAGGCGCCAGAAACAAATCCGACCAGAGCAGCCAAAGTGTTGTGTCGTGCTATAGATCTAGACGCCTAGATTCACTGAGAGAGAAAGGAATTCTTCAGGTAGAGACGAAGCGGTTGCATTACGAGATTGTTTGTTTCTTCTTCTTGTTGTTGTTGTTGTTGCTGCTGCTGCTGCTGCCGCTGCTGCCGCCGTTGCGCAAGAGCGTCGGCAGAGACAGGCAAGACTATCATACCATAGGGAGGGGCAGGATGATGAGCCAGATTGAGGTTTGCTGCATTGTAACGACGATTGAACAAGCATGGGCATGGGAGTGGGGTGGTTAGTATGGCATTGTGTGTTCTTGACAAACCTAGACTTTTATATGAGATTATAGCAATGATACCCCCTTTTAGCCTCTTTGTCTCTTCACCGTTTGCTCGTTTGATCGAGTCCTAACGTTGTGTTCATGCTAGAATATTTTAAAAAGAACACACTTATTTACATTCTAATCTAAGGTATTAACACTACCTTAGAGTATACTAGTAATATAAAAGGATTTAATATATTTAATTAATATATAATTATTATTATTATTGAAATATATTATATTTAATTAATGAATTTAAATTTAATATAATTAGAAATATTATTAGATGAAATTCTTTTTAAAATATTTTAAAACTTTTATTATATTAAAATTAAAATTTTATTTATTAAATAATTATTATAAGTATAATTTTAATATTAATTAAAGATACTATTTAGAATAAGCTAATTTTATTATATGTATCTCGATTATACTATGCTCTATTCCAAGGTTTTATATTAAATATTATGTTTAGTAAACACTGCCTCAGGGGGCTGGATCAAGTCATCAGAGGATGAATAACCGGATGCTCACAAATACAACAGCGCTGTCGCCCCAGCCTCGTCTTAAATTGCTTGGCGTTCTCCTCGAGGCGGTGATAGTTGTTCAGACGAAGTCGGAGGTGGCTCAAACGTGTTTCGAAACACCAGACGGTGCCTCAGCCAAGACAGGAGCACAGCCACGTGCACGGTGACCGAACTCTCGACAAAATGGCTGCAGTTGACCAGTTCTTTTTCTTAATCTTCTCACAATGTCTGATCTAGCCAAGGTACAAGAAATCATCCAACTTGCAACCCCAACCGATCTCCAAAATGTCGACCGATAGTGTTCGACGGCCATTCTTGGAGTACTCAGACGACCCGGAGAAGGAAGAAGCACGCCGATATGTTCGCGTTCAAACTCGCAGAGGCAACATCCTGCCGTATCTCTTCGTCGCCATCATAACCTCTCTCCTCTGGTCCGTGGTAATCCTCTTTTTCGTCGACATCCCAAGAGCCAGCAACAACACAAGCCCCACGACTACCGAAGAACATGAGCCAAGCCATAGCTCCACAGGTAGATACAACATCACAACAAACGCTCACCGGCTATCTTGTGGCAACTCTGTTTCCGAGGCCAAATCCCTGGGCTGCAAATACGACCTGCTACTGAACAACTGGGTGCCCGAGCCGTGCTTTGACAAAGAATGGCTCGACGAGTATAAGGAGGACGACAGTTGGGGTGGGTACGCAGACGAGGCCATGACGCGGCGTATGTCCGTGGAGGAGATGTCCGAGGCCGATCATTATTGGACGTCTCTGCGGGATCACGTTAATCACTGTGCGATGATGTGGAGGAAACAGTTCTGGGCTCTGTATGAGGAACGCAAGGCTTTCGATACCGTGATTGCCAGCCCCGGTCACACTGATCACTGCTCGCAATTCTTGATCGACGTGACTGATAACTCGAGGAACTGGACACATCCTACCAAGACTTCAATGGGGTTTGCTGGATGTTGGGTCAGGGACGACAGGTAGACTTGTTGGACAGACTACAGAATTTCTGGCTGACCATCAGAAGATTGTTTTGAAATTAGGTCATCGTACCTTCAGTCATGTACTCCGATTCATGGCATTTCATGACCTGTTGTCACGCCATTCTTTGGTTACAGCGATTCCGGGATAATACTTGAATTCTTCTCAAGTGTTGTTGGCTGGCAAACTACGCGCTACCGCCGGCCGTTGGCCAAGACGAATTTGGATTCTCACGCAGCTTCGAGATGGAATAAACAAACTTAGTTATCTTTTAGTGGTTGGAAGCTGTCAAGACTACGGCCATTTCTCTATATTGCCAATTACCGTCAACATGCAAGTCTAGGATGGAACCAGTGTTCCAACCCCCTAAGCAGGTATCTTGAATCCGGAGCGTCTCAATACCTGGAAAACGCCTTGTGGGTCGTATGCTGCTGAGGCTGCCTTGATCTTGGCAACAGCCTCTTCTCCATATCCAGCGATAGGATCCTGGGTTTTGTATGCGTAGTTCAAGTAATGCCAATCTTTGTTCGCTCCAAGCGAGTCAGCATAAGCTTCCAGCTTGCCCACGAGCTCCTCTGCGAGGGCCAAGACAGCAGGCTGGTCGTCCTCCTTGGTCAGAGTGACTGCCAACAGCCAAGATGCGACCGGCCCGTCTGCTACTAAGGTTTCTAATCCGAGGACGTTGCCGCCCCTCTTGTTGCTGATATCCACGAATGCGCGAGGTATTGGCTGCATCGAGGCGATGATACTCAGCGACGAGTTGTGGAGTATGGCTGCTTCCATTCTGCCGGTAAATTCTTTCAAAGCTTGGTAGTAAAACTCCAAGAATTCAGCAACGGCAGAATTGGCCACAGAGCCACTGAACCAATTCGGATACACCCCAAGTGGGGTCGCTCCCGTGAATGCAGGCACCAATTCGGCGACGGAGGTGACAACCGAAGTGTCGGACAGATTTCTGATGGTGGTAAATTTGTCGAAAGCTGGCGGAGCGACTTGAGCTTGGGTATTGCTTAAGAGCGCCTGTAGAGTGAGACTACCTGACGCGTACCCAAGGGACACAAGAGCCTCACTTGTCGGGTCATTGTCAAAGTCCTCTGAAAATTGAAGGTACGCATCAAAGACGGCAGCGCGGTCCGCCCAGTCGTAGGTGAGAAAGCCGCCCCAGATCTGGGTCGAATTGAGTGTGTCTGAAAGCATGAGCATCATCCTCATTCTGGAAAATACTTCGAGGCCTCAAATGAACTTACACAAGTCTACCCTCGTGACAAGACCGAGGTTTCCCGAGCTTCCTTTTATAGCCTGGAAAAGGTCCACATGTTCGTTGCCGTTCGCGTTGATCACGGAACCATTGGCAAGCACCAGCTCAAAATTATGAACAGCATCGCATGCCCAGCCCATTGTGCCGGCGTGGAAGGAGTAGCCACCCCCAGTGATAAAACCCCCGACTCCTACAACGTCAGCCCTTCCTCCTGCAACTGTCACGCCGTAAGGGTCGAGGGCCTCGTAAACAGCACCCCATCTAGCACCTGGTTGGACGGAGGCGATGGTCGTGCCAACATCATAATGAGTCTGGTTCATGTAGCCTAGCTCTATATTAGTATCAACATGTTCAAGTCCTTCCTAGTGAAACCTGACCAGGTAAACCAACCAAAGTCAATCGTGACTCCATTATCTACAGAGTTCGCGCCTCGGAACGCGGAGTGGCCGCCGCTTCGAATGCCAAAAGAGCAGTGGTTTTTGGATATCACATCCATAAGTTGTGAGACATCTTTTGTTGTTTCTGGCAACAGAATGCAGTGAGGCGGCAATGCTGCGTTAGCGGAATAAAATGACTGAAGGCGCTCCTGGTAGAGAGTCGTGTTGGGATAGACGATGCGTTCTCTGAGCTCGGGCAGTTGAGATAGAGCACCGCACTATAAACCCCACACATAGATCTTAGACAAGGGTCTAGCCCAGGATGAAGTGCTCGGGGAATACGTACGCAGTTCAAGCCAGCGCCTTCAGGCATGGCAATGCCCGATTGGATCGAGGCAGAGGCTCCAGCCAACAGCCGGAGGCCAGAAGCAAACCGTGATGATTTCCCCATGGTCTTTAGCAGCAGAGGAAGTAAGATGAAGAAACGAGCGACCAGAAGAATGGAAAAGCCGAGACAAATTTAAGTACGCATTTCTGATGTCGAGCCCCCTGAAAATGATGTCTTGGCTCCTGTTGAACCAACCTCCAAGAAGCGGGGGCAACCACAAGGTTGCATGGACAAGAATTCGCAGTAAGCCATTCAGGCTGTCAGGGCGTGCTACACGAAGCGATTGCTACTCAAAGATCTCGAGGTGAGTGTAAGCTCTAAACTATTTGGGCTGGATCTGCAGTTCATGTGCATCGAAAATACCTGAATTTAGCAGCCTTACCTAGGTAGTCAATAGGGTGTAACATCCTACAAGGATCTCAACGGGATTGCCCGCAACAATCCCTTCAATCGTGTCCTCAATGAGCCCAAAACGGAACTGACGGCAATGCATGTGCGATGTACTGTTGTGGATATAAGCATGGGATTGAACCTTCTGAACGTGGATCAAGTTTTTACGTGGAAACAATTGTCCGCTCCAGACCATGCCTTTTTCAGCTGCCCACAACTTAAGTTGCACACGACCCTAACCGCCGATTCTCGTGCACTCAAGATATTTTCTTAACATGTCTTCTCCCTGGCACGGACGCCCCGATGAGGTCCGTTTTGGGAGAGGAAATTCGGGTCCAGCTATGGATTTTTTTCCACCTTGACTGCCTATAAGCCGAATGCAAATCCCTTACGGACAATAGTCTTGTTGAATTTCGAATTAGGATGTTTTCCTCTTATAGAAGAGAACGGATATTTATATAGTAAAAGATACATAGTATATAAGTATAAATGCACCCCTAGTGCGCTAATATTAACTTATACTACCTATTTATATCTTTATTAATTCCTTTATTATTATTTTTAATTTAATAATAAGTTAGTATCTACTTACTTAACTTTAATATTTATTTATTTAATAATTTTTATAAACTTACTTAATATTAACTTTTTATATATAGAGTTTATATAAAACTATATACTTAATTAAAATTCTTTAAATTTTTAATTCTTTAAATATAAACTTTTTTTAATACTTCTTTTAACACACTTTTTAATATAACTTTTAATACACCTTTTAATATACCTTCTAACACCCCTTTTAAACTATATATATTTAAGTACTAACTAAGCATTTAGATACTAATTAAATATTAGAAGGTTAAAAATTAAGAAGGTAAAAGTAAAGACTATACTCTTTCTAACTTTTTAATACCTTTTTTAACCTTTTAACACTTTAAACTTCTAACTTTCTAATACTCTTTCTAACTCTCTAACACTTTAAACTTCTAACTTTTTAATATTTAATTAGTATTTAAATATTTAGTTAATATTTAAATATATATAGTTTAAAAAGTTTAAAAAGAGTGTTAAAAAAGGTGTTATAAAGAGTATTAAAAGGAGTTTATACTTAAAGTATTAAAAATTAAAGAAGGAAATTATATTATAAAGTTTTTAATATTAATTTAAAAGTATTTATAAATATAAAGGAGTTATTAAGAAAAATAAATATTAAATAAGTTAATAAAAATTATTAAATAAATAATTATTAAAGTTAAATAAGTAAATATTAACTTTTAATAGTTTATTATTTAAATATTATTTTATATTATTAATAAAACTTTAACTATATTATATTTTTCTTTTATATTATATAATTACTTATTTCTTCCTTTTAAAATATATATATAAAGTCTTTAATAATTTTATATATATTCTTATAATTTTTATAAAAACTTTAAATCTACTCTTTTATTTTTATTATATTTTTCTATATTATTAAAAGTTAATAATTATTAATAATAAAAGTATAAACTTAAAGAAAAATAAATTTATTATATTTTTTTATCTTTTATAAATTATTTTAAAACTTTATTTAAAAGTTTTAATATTTTATTATAAAAGTTTTAAAGGTAGTATATTGTAAATTATTTCTTTATTTTAAATTCCTTTAAAGTTAATAATTATATACTTAAATAAAAGTTATAATACTTATTTAATAAGAGTTTTATTATAAAGTATATATATATATATATATTTAAAAGAATAATTTTTAATTAAATTCTTTTAATATAATTTATTTATATAATAATTATTTTAAATTTAATTTTATTATATAATCTTTTATAATAATTAAACTATAAACTACTTTTATTTATATTTTTAATTAATATTATTATTAAAATAATACCTTTAACTTTATTTATATATTATAAAATTAAAATTATAAATATTTATTATATTATAACTATTATTATTAATATTATATTCTTTTAAATATTAAATTTTAAATATTTATTATTATATAAAAGTATTATATATATATTTAAATATATATAAAATAAAAGTAAAATTATATATTATTAATAATATATTTTTATAAATATTATTATAAATAATAAAAGTTAATAAATTAAAAATTAATAAAAATATTTAATAAATAAAAAAAGTTTAATAAATTTATATAATATATAAATAAAAGTATAATATATTTTAATAATTATATTTATTAAATTATTATAAAAAAATATTAAGCTTTTTTTAATAAATATAATAATAAACTTTATAAAATTCTAAATTATTCTTAATAAAGTTAAAGAAAAGTAAGTAAGTAACTATTTTTTTACTTTTTAGCTAACTTGCCTAGCCTAGTTTCTATCAAATAAGTGTTATTGAATTAGATCAGTATATTGATATCCTTCTTATGTAAGCCAACGACAAGTGGGTCCGTGAGTGCCTTTCTGCCCGCCCGGCTGCACCGCTGCCGAACTCAAACCTAATCACACCTGCCCTCAGGTAACTGTTAGTCCTGTTGCTCTTGGATCGCGTTGCATATCTGAGCGGTGTGTTGAGGATTATTTTTTGATGAAAATCTTGCCAAAGGGATAGACACCCAAGCTGCTGGAACCCACCTGGGCAGGTTCTCGTGGCGGGTTGGCCATGCCTTCACGAGGACGCGTGAATCGACGCTCAAACGTCAGACGAACAAATGTCACCGCCTGCAAACGATGCCGGTCTCGAAAACAGCGCTGCGACCAGAACATCCCGGCTTGCTCTAACTGTGAGCGTGCTGGCGTTGCTTGTGTGAGTACTGACATTGACGGTAAAGTTGTGCCCCGAAGGTTCGTCGTATCTCAGGCTTCCATGATAAAGAAACTCGCTGACGATCGTCTTCAGCTACATACAGAGCTTAGAAGACAGGGTAGCTTATCTCGAATCCCAACTAGAAAGCCGAGGAAGTCTTGACTTCCAATCAAACTCGGAGGACTCTGCCGAGCCACGCCAGGGTGGAACCTCATGCAGAGATCCGATCGAGCTGGTTCTTTCCCAGAGCCTGAATACAGACGTGTTTTACAATACCATCGCAACTTCCAATGGACAGTCGCTTCTTCGCCTGTTGCTGGCTGAGCCGGTCAGAAGCGTGTTGCAGACGTCGCGACCGGAAGATCATCGGGCTGTTCTAGATGAGTTACCGAGTGATGCGCAAGCCTCGTTACCCAGTCGAGACGGTGCAAAGCGACTTATTGACACCTACTTCGAACACTGCGAGTTCTTCTCTCCCATCATATCATCGAAAGATGTCTTTTCTTCCTCAATTGCGGTGCTCTGTAATCAGCAATCCGATCCAGGAAGCTCTGCGGGATCACCGAGCACTTTCCGCGCATACATCGTCTTTGCCACAGCAATACTGTTGCTTAACAGGACAGATCCCGCCTTCCCCGTAAGCAGCTTCTATACACAACTTGACCCTACTTAAGAACAAACATGCCCCACCCTTAGCTTGTATCACAAAGACTTTAGAGCTATAGGCTTTAAGATCTACTGTAGCCACCTTGTGGCCACTCATTCCTATTTTAGCATAACACTAGTCCTTTAATTATTTAATAACTAACTCCGAATGCTGTAGATTGCCAGGGCAGACAGCTACTTTGCTTCAGCAATCCGACTGCTTGCCCAAAATCCAGCCGCCATTTGTGCAGGCGATCAATTATGCAACTTGCTGCTCGTGGCACGTAAGTTTTGAAGTTCCGGATACAATTCTACCCCTTCAAGGACAAACATACCGTACCTCTGACCTATGTAGCAAAGACTTGATAGGCTACAGCTCTTAATACAGGCTGTAACCGCCCAGGTTTAAGGCCTGCTTCTTACTACATCCCTAAAAAGCCACTTCTCTGGTTCGTAAATGACTAATTCTTGATGCTGCAGAGTATTGTTCCTTCGCCTCTAATCTGAGCGGAGCATGGCACTTTATTGGCCTTGCATCCAGGCTGGCAGTCGAACTGGGCTTGCATGATGAGCGTGCTCTTGATATGAGGCTCAGTCAGGACGACGTCAATCAGCGCCGATGGCTTTTCTGGGGTTTCTATACTTTGGAGCGTAATCTTTGCGTCGTTGTGGGAAGACCATTTTCGATCCCAGACGAAGCCATTCACACGCCATTGCCGGAGCTCGCTGAGGGCGAAGACAGCCGGGCCATGGCTCTTCACCTAATCAAGCACCGCAGGCTCGAGTCAGAGATCTACACCACTATCAATCAGAAAGCACCGGCGAACGGCGCTGTCATTGACTTATTCGCTTGGCGGGATGCGATGAGAAGTAGAGTCATTGAATGGTCGAGCTCAACGCCAACCACATCCGCCGCGTCCACACAACTTACACCCACCGGTATCTTCAGCTCCTTCTTGCACATCGATCTCGTTAATCTCTACTATCCTTCTGCAGCTTTTCCAGACCCGTCGCAAAACGATATCCTCATAATCGCGCAGAGCGCCTCCGAGAGCATTGCCAACTATCGCCGCGCCTTTCGAGACGGACAGCTACGCTTCTTCTGGCGTACTACGCACAATCTTTTCAAGAGCGGTGTTGCGATGGCCTACTGTGTTCACCTGAACTCTTCAAACCAGTATCCTGACTTGAATCAAGCGGACATGATTGCATCTGTCAACACCTGCATGTCTGTCCTCTGGGCCATGGTTGAGCGTTATCCTCCTGGCTCGGTATATCGAGATGCATATGAGCTTCTGTCAAATTCTGTGCTTAGATCGGGTGACAATGTTGGCAGCCTCGGGGATTTTCAGCGTCAGGGAACCTCTCAGTTTGCCTTTGAACCGACATTCTGGACGGACATTTCATTGCCTCAGGCATCAATTGATGCTTTAAATTGGGGCTTCGGGGGTTTCTCATGGAATTAAGGCTATCTTCGCACACGCTAAACTTGACTCCACCTGAAAGGACTTGTCTCTAGGATAAATAGACCCTGGACGTGCCTGGGAAAACATGAATTACATTAGGAACACCAGGCGGCGGCTAATCGATGTGTGGCATTGGTTCTCTTTGAGCAACTCAAATTGCTTGGATAAGTCTACATATCCTTGAGTGGGTCAGGTGGTGCTGGATCACCTTTCAGGCTCTTCTGAAATTCCGCTCTCAGCTTGAACATAGGCTGCAGAACCCAAGTATTGTAAGCCAGAATATCCGTTTCTTCCTTCGGGTCTCGAACGACATTAAAGAGATAAGGAGACTCCAGCTTGCCACTCGACTGGTTTACCTTTGGCTCCCAGACAAGGTGAAGCTTCCAGTCTTTCCACTTGATGGCGCGGAGTTCGTCTTTGATGTAGAACAAGAAACCTTGACGAGGCGACGGCGTCTCCAAGGGCTTCGTCAGAAATTCCAGCTGGTCGACACCATCTATCGGCCGGTCTGAAGGAACAGCGGAACCCGTCGCGGAAAGGATAGTTGAGAATATGTCGGTGACATGGACGATTCCGTTGCTGGTGACACCGGCAGGAACACGCCCGGGCCAACGGACGATACACGGGACCCGAAGACTACCCTCCATCGCTGTATGGTAGGTTCCTGACCATGGACCAGCAGTTCCCCGATATGGCTCCCTGAACTCCGGGCCATTGTCTGAGGCAAAGATGAAGACAGTGTTCTCTCGAACTCCAAGTTCATCTATGTGGTCAATGATCTCGCCTACACGGTAGTCCATTTCGGCCATTGAGTCTGCAAAATCGCCCTGGCCCGTTTTGCCAGAAAAGTCCTTGTGAGGCAGGGTCGGAAAGTGTAGATGAACCAGTGGATGATACAAGAAGAACGCTTTTCCTGCTTTGGCCTGTCGAGATAACCAATCTTTGGACTTATCGACCAGCATCTCGTCGATAAGCCTGCGCTTCTCCAAATCGTAAACGCAAACGTTCTCAGATGGCCCATTTAACTTCCCCTTCATTATGTAGGGTAGCTCTGCCACCTCCGGGGTATAGCCGAGGGCGCTGGTGAACTGCGTCTCGTCTGTTGTTCTCGGGATGCCGAACCATTCGTCAAAGCCCCTGTCGGAGGGGTACCGGCCCGCAACATCACCCAAATGCCACTTCCCATGATGAGCTGTTGTGTAGCCATTATCTCGGAGGCACTCGGCAAGGGTTCGCTCCCACGGTTGCAGGCCTTGTGGGAATCCGGCGGGCACTGACTGGCGGCAACCTGTACGGATTGGATGTCGGCCGGTCATGAGAGCGGAACGTGTCGGCACGCAGTCGCTCTCAACATTGAAGTTATGGAGCAACAGGCCTTCTGTGGCCAGTTTGTCGATGCGAGGCGTCGCTGCGCCTCGAAGCTCGCCGCCGCCGTAGCAACCAAGCTCGCCCCAGCCGAGATTGTCGGCCAAGACGAGCACAATGTTTGGTCGGTCAGGATCTTTCGACATCCTGTGTCAGCCAGTGTGGTAGCTAGGGACTTTGAAACCACAGACTGAGCGCTTGGGCAATTGGTAGGCCAGCCCAGCTTGTCCGCAATAGAATCGGTAGTTTAAAGGCACAGAGGAAATGCAGATTGCAGATGTCTCCAAATGATTGGCTACCTTGAAAATAGCAGGACAACGGAAACCAGGCTGTTTCTGATAGCACGGCATATCATCGGACGCAATAAGTGTATCATTTTCGGCACCGTCGCCGAAGACTTACGGGCTGAAGCGGGGTTGCTAACGCTCACCTCCGACGGCCACCACCGAGCCGCCTCTTTCGGCGACGAATAGCAGAGAGAAATGTTCGCTCAACATTGCGATAAGTTGTATGGAGTAATTTCAGGGACCTATACGTGATTGGCATATCATATGACGACATCACCTTATCGGGCAATATGGGGCAAACAAGACAAGTGGTTTGAGGGACTTCAGGAGGGCTGGGTGTCTTGGGCCTCGGGACCCAAAACACAAGAGCACTGACGTGCGATAACGCAAAATATTAATATTATCTCGGTAGTCTTCCAATTGATCAGAACTATACCCAAGCATTCAGATTAAATCATCAACAATATCAGCTCTGGGGTGGTGATGTCTCACCAGGAGTCCACCACGCTGCGGCTGGCCCGTGACAATGGGAAAATGTCATCAAAGAGCACAGACAACACAGAGGTTGAAGCACAGTGGTCCGAGAAAGAAGAGAGAGCCGCTGTGAGAAAGTGAGTTACCTGGGTATCCGAGCACAAATGTGAGAACGCTCATTGACGGATACCAGGCTTGATTGCTATCTCATGCCCCTTCTAGTTGCCGGCTTCTTCGTCTTGCAGCTTGATCGCAGCAACATCAGCAATGCCATGACAGACACATTGACCGAGGACCTGAATATCACCAAAAACGATGTCAACGTGGGTTCTCAGCTCATGTCAGCCGGCATTGTCATCGCAGAGATCCCTTCAAACCTGATCCTGCAGCGTCTCGGTGCCCCCGTCTGGCTTACCTTGCAGATGGGTGTCTGGGGGACAATTGCTCTGACCCAGGCCTGGTGCACCAATATCCATTCTTTCCTTGCCACGAGATTCCTACTCGGTGTCTGGGAGGGAGGCTACATACCAGGCGGCCAGTATATGCTGGCTTTGTTCTACACACGTGAGGAACTCGCGCTGCGGACCGCGATTTTTTACTTCGGAAACTACTCAGCCACGGCGATTGGGTCTTTGATGGCGGCCGGAATTCTGAATATGGGTGGAGTAATGTCTTTATCTGGGTGGCGATGGCTCTTCATCGTCGAGGGAGCAATTACACTTGCTGTTTTTCTTGCCTTCATCATATTACTCCCACGGAGCCCCGGCCACACATCCCCCATCCACGGTCGTTTCGATTTTTTCACCCCACGCCAACGACAGATCCTCCGAGCTCGTATCATAGCAGATGACGAGACCAAGGGTGCCGACAAGGCTCATATCACACTCAAATCTCTTGTCGACGCCTTAAAGGACTTCCGTCTCTGGGCCCACATGCTGCTGAATCTCGTGGCCCTGTCACCCAAGGGCGGGCTGCAGCTCTACGGTCCCAACATCATCAAGAGCCTCGGCTTCTCTCGGACAAACGCTAACCTCCTAAATGCTGTGAGCAGCGTCCTTGTCATCATTCTATCTTGGCTCATCTCCTTCGCCTCGGACAAATCACGATTGCGTGGCCCGTGGTGCATGGTGGCCTTCTCCTGGTCTATGATTTTTGCAGGGGTGCTGTACGGTCTACCTTCTACATCCGACAAATGGGCACATTACGCCGTATTCACATTACTTAGCGGCGGTAACGCTCTGGCTCAGGGCTTGAATGATGCCTGGGTGAGCATCAACGCTCCAACTCCATCCAAGAGAAGTATCGGCCTCGCAATGGCCGTGATGGGTAGCAACCTGGGGGCTATTACTGGCGGCCAGCTGTTCCGTGATGACGATGCGCCGAGATATACTAGGGCTTTCGTTGCTATTCTTGCCTTGTATGCTGGGGCCATTCTTGTAGCTCTGTTTATAATTTGGATATACTGGCGGGCTAACAGGGTTTTGGCGAAAGGGGGGAAACTGAAGATCCATGGGCAGGTGATTGAGAGACCAGCAGACGGGAGGAGACGCTTTGACTTATGAATAACACTTGTGTAATACTAGATAGTGTTATAAGATGAAGCTTAGAATAGCACAGCAGGCTTTATATACGTTATAGACACAGTATTATTATTATTATTATTTAAAAAAGCTATGTCTTGCGCGTTTACTACCGTATAAAGGCGCCATGTATGTCCTCGGACGTATACGGAATAGAAGCGAAACCACATACGCTGTAGTGATGGGATCTCTGAGGCCACTCTTTATGGAGTCATCCCATGAGCAGTCTTTAATGGGATGAACTCGACAAATACCTAGGTATCCAGTCAGCAATGAACGTCACTTAGTACCGACAGGCTGGAAAGAATTCAATAAGCCTGTTGAAATATACCATCGCATCCCTATCTATCATGGTGTCACTAGTTGACTGAAACATTCCTACTTAGGCACTTAACAAGGGAATGAATTAGGTGCGAGTAGCCCACATCCATCACCTGTTGTTCTTTTTACCACTGTACGTGGATGCCGTGCAAGGCTTCGAACGCGTACCTAGGTACGGAATAGAAACGTAACCAGGTAGACTCACCTGTGAGAGGCCTGGGTGACGAGAAAGCACTGGCATGTACAAATACCGCCTCACAACAAGAAGCCAACATCATCACCAGGAGTTAGATGTCGTAGCACTTCTCCGGCATTGGAAATGTGCGATGCGCTATTCGCAAGTCCCCGTACCTAGGTGCTTACTACCTGGGTAGATCACCACTGACAGGCCGAAGCCAGCTGCCAACCCCAGAATATGCGAAACTTGCCCATTAAAGCCTGTTCTCTAGCATGGCCGGTCTTTGAACGCATACCTAGTCGTAGACTTGACAACATTATTAATAACAGGTGATATATGCCGTGGCGCACTATAGGCCCCATCCCAATGCGCCCGGGCACTAGCTGCCGTCGGCCGCGACCAGTCCAATAGAACAAATTGTGATTGCGCGCCCTGCCGGCTCAGATCACACAGGTCCGTCACCATGCCTCTGCAATCTCGTTGGCTGGAAGCCCAACGCAAGGGCTCCGTCATGATCGGTGAACCCAAACAGAACCCCATTTCGACCTGGTATAGTTTTCTAGGTTTATTGTTTTGGAGCCCAGGCGGCCGCGCACTACTACTCGGGCGAGGGCACCCAGTGCCCACCTGCCACGTACAGGGCGATGGTGCTGCTCATGTTTCGGTCCGAAGGTTGACAGCTCGCGTGATCGACAGCGTAGGGCCGGACAGCTAGCCCACTTGGGCCTCTTCTAGTGTAAATCATCCATGTGTGAAATTCACGACAACAGCAAAGCAGATGTGGAGATTTCTCAAAGGGCCAGGTCAACCTGGGTGACTGGGCATTGAATGGGCTGGGCAACAGGAACAAGAGTTTTGGCTCAACGCATAGCTACATACCCTTTTCCGCTTGTAATTTCCCACCGTCGCCCTACGGGCCACGAGCCGAAATGAGACTACAATGCTAGCAGTGTTACAGGTGAGGCAACGAGTATCATGGACGCCCGTCACGAATGAGAGCCAAGCAAGCTGTCCCGCGCCGGGTCTCAGCAACACGTCTTTCAGCGTGCAGCGAACGTGTCGCGTAGCTGAGTCTCCCGCCCGGGCGGGCCGGCGGAGCTCGATGGTTGACGAGCACTCGCTGGGTGACGGTCGAAGCTGATTCCTGGGATGGCTCCCAATATACCAAAGTAATTCCATAATTGGATCCAGGGTCCCGTGGAACTCAAAACAGGTCTGCCGTCCCAATTCAGGCTGAAATAGGTGCATGTCGACGGCCGGCCCGCATTCGACAGCCTTAACAGAGAATCTTTGCCCCGGGATCCCTTACCCGGCGCTGGTCTCACCTTTCAGTGCCTGTTTCCAATCAGCGCGCGCGGCAGTGGTGGCTTAAGGGACACTGGCGGAGGGAGGTCGTTCGGCGGACAAGGGAGACGCAGAAGCTGTATTCGGTGAATACTTTAACCGCCATCTTGATTGTTTCTTTGCTCTCCTTTTCCCATCGTCGGGTCGTGGTCTCATTCAGAAACAATCGGACATGGACAACGTCATTGTCCGTCGTGCAAGCGTGCCGCGCCATGGGAAAAAGGCTGATGTCTCGGTATCCGGGGATGAAATGAGGACCCTTGTCAAGATGAAACACGGGGATGATGAGATACGGCTCGCCAGAGACCGAGGCTGGGCTGGCTGGCAGCCTGCCCGCGAGAGAAGAATGAAACCTTGCCAGAACAGGACTAAGCACTGGGTGAGGATCCTTGGTGAGCAAGATCCACACAATGCACCGTGATTGACGGAAAAGCAAAGACGCAACGGGCGCATTGGGGAATGGGACAGGACGTGCATGATGAGGTGGTACTCGAGTGCTTTCGCGTCCGGAGTGTTGGAAATTGGTTCGAGCTGGAGACCTCTGGACCCTGTGAGGCTCATCTTAAGGTGTTCTATCTGAGAACAGACGGCGCCGAACGGCGTCCGGTTCATTGGCATCGTGTCTGCATGGCTCGGGGGTTGGCGAGGCCGTGGCTCTCGCTCTCGTGCACCGCTCGCCGATGCCGAAGCGGGCTAGTGCAGCCGCGTGCAGTCCCAGTAGGATGGTAGGCACAGGATACGGGCGTGGCAGGCTGGCAGGCTAGTTGGCCTTGTCCTCCCTCTGGTGCAGAGCGCCATTGCGGAGGCAGAGGCCTAGCTGGGAGTCTCGGGGCGTTGCATGTGGTGGTCGTGAAACCTGGGGACTGGTGCCACCTCCGTGGTCAGAAGGGGGTGATGAGGATGGTGCGAGTGTGGCTGTCAGAGGACGTGTTGACTGTGGTCATGGTCCGTCGAGTAGATATGGGAGCAGGTATGCACCTGATCAGCCTGTAGGACAAACCCCCCATGGCCAAGTGCTAGTAAGTGGCTGGCGGGCGAGGCCATGCAGATGGATGGTGTACTCCGTGCTCCGTACTGCGTACTCCGTACATTTGATTTTACACCGCACACCTAGCTCAAGCTCCCGCTCGAGCCGCCAAGTCTGTCGTGCGTGGCCTGCCCTAAACTCAGCCGCATTGTTCTCTTGGATGAAGTGTGAACATCTCTGATGAGTGGTCAAACCTTTCGCCCCCAGCTGCAGCTGCAGCTCAGCCAACGCCCAGACCCGCAGCCTTCGGCTGTTGTGCTGCTGTGCTGCCGTGCTGATGTGCTGCCGTGCTGCTTGTATCTTGATGGGGCGGGGGGCCGGGCCAAGGACCACGTCAACGTCGTCAACGTCAACCCAAGGAAATCGGATTCTGCCGGCCGTTCCATCGTCCGGTCAATCAGGGGGGCGAAGGAAGGGCCATGTACTCCGTAATATTTACCGTGGTACTACCTAGTAGTGTTGTCTGGGTCGGTTGGGGGCTCTCGTGCGGTCGCGAATGGTGGGACAAAAGGGGGTGCAAGGCTCACGTCCAGCCTTTCCTGGACTCGGGCCATTGTGCAGCGTAGCGTTGTTGGTTTTGGAACTCGGATGTCGCCAGATGCCAGGTTTGACGATAAAGTGTAGCCAAGCTTGGTGCTGAGCTCTGTGCTTCGTATCGCGTGTCTCGCGGCGCATGTGGAGCACGCTATCACATCCACCTGCCACGGAGATGACAACTACATACAATGATAATCTTGGATATACAGTACTCCGTAGCAGGGCAGACTCGGCGCAGGGGCGCAGGGCAGGGAAAGGAGAGCAAGGTCTCAATGACTCGATGCTGGGCGGCGTGCACTGGCCACTCATCAACGCTCGCCCATGGTTCCTGCATGTGCAGGTTTACGACTGCATGTCGTTGCCCCGTGTACCTTCCCAGTCAGGCCTGGTGGCCAGGTACTCCGTACACGTGCCAGGGCCGTGTGCAGGGGTAATAAATAGTACGCCGTCTGGGCGGGATGCCAGGGTGCCAGGGTGCCAGGGTGCCGGATGCTCTTGGCGTGGGACTGTTGTTGATCCCTGTGTCAGGTGGTTTCCAGAACAGCACAATTCGAGTCTCGAGGCCCGGCCCTCTCTGCCTCTGCACCACACACCTCCCGGCTCCAAGACGGCCGGGTGCCAGACGGCCAGGCCAGCCAGCCAGCCCGCTTCTGGCTGATGCGACGAGAAACCCGGTCGTGGATGGAGATCAATCAAGATCCGAACAGGTGGCCCCCCTTTCACCATCGTGCAGCCGTGATGACGAGCCTGAGCCTGCCTGTTCGGAAACCGTGACAGGTCTTGGAGATGCACAGAATCACGCATCACGCCGGCGCTCTGTGGCCGACGGCTCGACCGACGGACGAGGAATCGTGAGCCGGAGCTTGCTTCTCCATAATTCCCCATCTCGCGAGATTGATGAGCGCGACTGGCTGATTGTTGTAGCCGGACGTCATTTCGTGACAGCTCCCACTCACCGTCATATTTCATCCGTCCGTCTCCAGCCAGTCAGCTCTGTTCGACGTACTGTGTGTGTACCTAGGTACCTAGGTAGTAGGTAGAAGTATAGGTAGAAGTATCCCCGGCTGCTAGCCCCTTCCCTCCCCATTCTTATCTCACCTCACTATTCTTGTCCGAGCACCACCCCCCCCTTCTCTGCGCATGCGCACATATGCCGTAGAAGAGGGAAGCCGCAACACCACCGTCGCCGCCGCCCCCACACTCCGGGCGCTCCTTCCTGACCGCACCGCTGCTGATGTTTCTTGAGCTTCCTGGCTCCCCTATACTTTCGCTTCATCTTGTTGATTTGATTCCGTGCATGTGTGTGTGTGTGCGTGTGACGCCTGTCGAGGCCCGAGCAGCATTCTCCCCCGCCCCGCAGGCGGCAGAGCGTTCATCTATACATTTCTGGCCGAGACCTCCGGAGTAAGTGATCAGGCTCGTCTTGTTTCCAGCACTGGTGTAAACAAAACACAGCACGTGCAGCAGGACTGTGTGTTCGACGACGCCGCCTACATAATTACCTAAGGTTGCTGTTCTCCGCTCGTGTGGTTTGCGGGCCTCCCCTTCCTGCTGCCGAAACACACTCCCATCGCGGGCCACCATCACGACACGTCGGTCTGGCTTGACCAGGTGTTCGCTTGATCCCCGGCAGGGACCTGGTGCCCTCCTCGACCACAGCTTGCACGCCTTCCACGCCTGCGTGTGTGCTGGCACTGCTGGTGCGCGTGCCAAGGGGCCAGCAATTTGGATTGGGATTGAGAACCAGGCCTTCAGGCAGCTTGCACGGCACTCCTTGCTTGTCCCGCACATCTGAAACGCCAGAGGACTTCGACCACACCATCGTGTCGACTTTCGGACGCACTGCAGCTCCACCAGTCCGCCCGTCGGTCGTTCTTGCACCAGCAACCCAGACTCCCTCCCTCCCCCTCTCTCTTCTGCTCCCCAGGACCCCAATCCCGCCTGCCCGCTGCGTGATACTTTTCTGGAACCATCAGTGCCTAGGCACACTGCACGCTGCACGCTGCACGCTGGCCTGCCCACTCATCCCGTCGACGAGATACCTCTCACTCGGAATATACCACTCGCTCAATCACTCACTCACTCAACCACTCACTCAACCACTCGTCATCCGCGCACCTGGTCACCACTCACCCGCACTCACCCACGCCGAACCGAGCCTTTGTCCTTCTCCACACGCTCCCGGCACCCACGAGATCCTGCGACACCTCGCTCTCCTCCAAGACCGCGTGGTTGACCTTACCTGCCGAAACACCAAACGTACGTGATCCTCATTCATGACTACCCTCCTTGACCCTTCCCACCTCTCTCCTCAGGTACCCCTCGCCCTCCACGCTACATGCCCTGGCCTGCATGTCTCTCGCATGCGTGGGTCGGCTTGCATGCGACCCTCCCGCTTCCACCCCTAATCGTCTATTCCGTACACTCTGTCTGCCTGTCTGTCTGTCTGTCTGTCTACCTACCTGTCCGCCCTCCTGTCCAACCTTCGAATCGCTTACCTTTTCTTCTAATCTTGGCTGCAACCGCCCTCTTGACTTTCTCCTTTCTTCTCCATTGTGGCCTCATTCGTCCCCACATCACCTGCGACGGTGACAGACCTCCACACTGACAGTGATCAGCATTGGGCCCAAGCACCAATTCGCTGCAGGAACTTGTCGGGAATTGGCTCCTGCTTCCTCTTCTTTCTCTTGCCCTTGCCGCTTCGTCTGATTCTTCGCCCTTTGTAGAGGCTGTCGCTCACTCACCTCCACCTCTCTCACACGTCGTCGCCGGTCGTCGCCACCATATCACCGCGGCGCGGATAGCCGTCAGTTGTGCTGCAACATCAAATTTAGAGTCGTGTCTCTTGTCGATCAAGATCTCTGACTGCCCAGCGCCGGACGGAAAGAGGAAGCTTCGTGTAACCATACCGAGGACGCACAACGTCAGGCTACGGACACTCGTTCTCGTCGTATTCGTCATCCCACAGGGCCCTTGATTTCATCACTAGCGTGATACGACGCCTAGTCTGCACCGAGCTGAACGGATCATCGCGCATGTAATCCTTTGGTCGGGGCCAAAAAAAAAAACAGGTCGGAAAAGGCCAGTAAAAACTGGGGAGCCGCAGGCCTGTCCCGGAGGCTATTTCTCAGAGGGAGGAGTTGGTACTGGTGACTGCTCATGAGTCGACCTCAATATGGAAACGATATGGAACGACCGTCAGCAGCGGATATTATCAGGAGGGCGAGGGAGCGGGCAGAAGCAGGCCTACCTAGGGAGGACTACAACACATTTCTCCAACGACAGGCGGCAATGAAAAATGAGACTGGGGATGCTCCGTCAATACCCCCAAGGAGTCGACCTCCTATGGGCGCTCAAACTGGCAACATGCCCAGGCAACAACGACCTCAAGCACCGCCAGGTTTCCAGAACAAGGATGGACAGATCACCCTTCCCATATCGAGGCCAGAACCTATACCGCAGTGGCCTTTGGCTGGTCCCATTGCATCTCCTGTTAGCTCATCAGATTCGGAACCTTACAGACCACCGGCCGGCCGCCAGCCTCCGCAGCGGCCCCCTCGCCCGAGCGAAGTGCCGTCAATACTTGACGGATCAAAAATACAAGACCCAACCCCGGTCTTCCAGTACCAGCCCCAATACAGTCGAGACTCGGAGACCATAAGTTCATCGGTACCCGAGACACCCTCCACGCTATCCCGACCTTCGACGCTGTCTTCAGTGGGCTCGATCCCAGACTTCCCGCTCCCAATCCAGGCTCCGCCGCCGCCGCCCCCACCACCCCTGGTTGGACCACCGAGACGTAGTGTGAACTTGGGGCCGCCTCCTTCGGCCAGGCGCGGCGCATCCTCCTTCTACTCGCATCTCTCGTATGTCTCGCCAATCCCGGAAGAAAGCGATAGGTCAAGGTCCCATGCGTCATATGCGTCCAGCGCGGCCATGCCGGAAAGCTGGGGCACGCCATCACCTGCACAAAGCCCTTTGTACGGAGACGTATTCTACGATGACACGATTGTTGAGGAGTCCAGCCCCTCCGAGGCGCATTCGATGCACGATTACGGGGACGAGAGCCGACTGGTCAGGAACGCGAGCATCGGAAGGAGAGGGAAAGCCGCGCTTGTCACAACGGGCTCACGTGAGATGAACGGGGAAGGCGGCGAAGAGAAACGACCATCGCCGACACCTATGCAACCCAGTCCGTTCAACGAGGGCACGGGGTACCTGGAAGCATCCTCAAACTCTTCCACGACGGTTCCTTCTGCTAAGAGCGGGAAGCCTCCCGCTGTGGGAGCCGCGCTAACCGCCGATGACATATTGAATGCTTATGATGCGGCATCTGCGGTGGACTCGAGAACATCCAGGAGAATGTCAGCATTCTCGCAGCCTCCACTTCCCGAATCGATGCAACCCCGCGCGTACAGCAGGTTGTCGGCCATAAGACGGCCGCCACGGCTCGATATCGACGCTGTTAGGGATGCGGAGGCTCGGGGCAGTCTGACCAGTCTACCGGACCTTATTCGAAGAGCCACTAGGTTGGCCGCAAGCCTAGACAGAGGAAAAAGACCGGCGAGTCGGTTGAATGATCTTGACGACTTCCCTGTAGAGTTCTATGGCGCTGGAACCAAATCGGCAAACGTTGACAAGGAGTCTGGTAAGCAGACGACCGGCCCGCTTCACTACTGGTGGGTCCCGCTGACTTTGGCCGCAGATGAATACTATGACAACCACCAGTCCGGTTTCTCAGACATGCTTGCGGCGTTTCCACCGCCAGCTCAAGCTCAGAGTCGCCAAGGAGGAATTCGACAAAGCATACGCGACTCGGTTTTGTCGTGGCCGCTTCCCCCTCTTAACCGCAACAAAGATAACAGTAACGTCAACGTCACCAACAACTTGACTCCTCGGGGTGGCTCAGATGACATGTCATCAAGCACCGACTCGACACGCGAGAAGAAGGGTCGTCGCTGCTGTGGACTCCCGCTGTGGGGATTCATAACCATCGTCGTCATCGTCATCATCCTCATTGCTGCAGCCGTCATAATACCAATAGAGTTCTTTGTCGTCCGCAGGCAGAACGTCAACACCCAAGCCGAAGCAGAACAGCAATGCCAGAGGCAGGTCACCTGTCAGAACGGTGGCACCAACGTCGTCATCAACGGCTTCTGTTCTTGCATCTGCATCAACAACTTCACAGGCTTTGACTGCTCGGTGGCGGACAATATTGGCTGCACGACCGCCACCATATCAGGCGATACTAATATCAGTAATGTCACTGTGGGAAACGCCCTCCCGCGTCTCATTGCACAGGCACAAACTAATTTTTCGGTTCCTCTGTCTGGCACCACGATCCTGTCAAAGCTCAATGCAGGAAACCTCAGTTGTTCGGCTGAGAATGCCCTCGTGACCTTGAATGGTCAGAGCACAGCCTTGGGCGCTTCCGCCGAAGCCGTGACGGACATGACAGGTGGAAGCTTCGATGTCGTGAACGCCATTGCCTTGCAAGATGCCAAGATTGCTACAATCACCGTCATGGCAGGCCAGTCGACTACGACTACATTGACCATCGAAATTTCCGATACACCTGCCACGTCACCTGCGGCTATCCCAACGACTCCGCCGACTACGACCATCACGATTACGAGAACATTCACCAGCAGCTGGCCTCCGCCATCACTCACGCCCGTCCCGACAACGTCCTCGTCGTCGACCCCTTCTTTGATAACGCCCTCGACAGTGCCGCCGTCTGCCACCAACCCGAGCGCGGCCTTCACTGTGACAAACCAAGTCCTGGATTTCGCAAGGGTCGGGATCCTGTTTGTTCTCCAACAGGACTCGGTAGCAGATGCCTCGGCTGCACAGACCGCGCTTCAGGCGTTTCTCTCGTCGTCCTCCGCGACGATTGCCAGTGCCAGCAACGTCACACTAGGCCCTGGGAATTCAATCGACCTTGTCAATTTTCGCGTTGATGCCGGGACGGGGCTTGTGGGTTCGAGAAACCCTGCAATTCTGAGGCGGGCCTTCGAAGAGGCAGCCGAGAAGGAGCTTTGGGATTGTGATTGGGTGCTGTAGCGATTCAAAGCTACTCGCTTGGCAACCCGGGGTCGACTTCGCGCAAAGTAACGACACATGCGGCAGAGACGACTGCAACCGATCATCATGAGGCATGGGAAGCGTGTTTTTAGACGCAATATCAGGAGTCAGGAAGAAAATCATTTAGCAATGTTCTTTCCCTTTTCTTTGTTTCAATTCTCACTGGAGGAGAAAAAAGCCACGCGCTTGGAGTTGTGGTTGCCGTGCCTATTCATATACCAACAACTACCCCTGTATAACAACCACCCGTCATACCCTTCAATTCTTCACATACATAGCCAATGCTGCGCGGATACCACCATACATACACATTGTATGAGAGCGTACTGGATATAGCATCTAATGAGACCATCTGGTGGCCCTTGCGGGCTTGTGCACAGTCTTATACTTTTATAAAAGTTCTGTGCCTTATTGACTTACTTGTGACTGTGCATTATTATTCGTAGGGAATTCAACTGACTGCGATTAGGCATGAACAATATCTTGTGAAAAACACCAGCAGATGACATGCCATGGGACCACCCTGTTACAAGATATCCTGGGTACTACTGCTCAGATCACCTCTAGTAGCAGCGCAAGAGTGTGTTGTAGCTGGCCTGCGTTTTAGTTGGCCCTTGGCTGGCTCGATTTCAGCTGTTCAAGGACCAAACGCTCAGACACTCACAACAGAACAAACCAGCCAGCCAGCCACACTACCCAAATCAAAGAATTCACTTCCTCAAGAACACTGCCGCACTATACAGCTGCAATTAGATTCATAAGTTAGTGATCACCTATCGTATTATAACTATCGTTATCGACATCATATTCTTTCCAAGCGCTAAGTCTTGAGTGCTTACCACCGTAGTATGAAGGCGCCATGTATGTCCTCGGACGTATACGGAATAGGAGCGAAACAGTAAGAATAAAGTTGATGAGTCCGACAGATGGTGTGTGCTAGGATCAGCCTGGACTGGCTGCTAGGCACTAGGGAGCCTATGTGGAAGATGTAGATAGTGAACTACCCTCGTGACGAAAGAGGAAAAGTGTAGGCACGTCCTGTCCTTCAACGTTCCGGTCGAACATCTCTCCCCACTCTCCAGTGAGCCGCGACTCGTCAACTCAGGACTGTTCCTTCGTCTTCAACTCGCCCTTTGCCACCTCGGTAGCCGCGGGAACGGTTCCATGCGCCGTCAACATGACGTTACCCCCTCTCAAGGTCCGAAAAGCCAGCCGATGCGGACATTTGGGAGTCAACGGACAAAGTGATGGTATGTGAAAAGATGGGCCGATGCCTTATTGATGGGAAGACGTACGAGTTCGCGATGTTCGACGATGGTGCATCAGCTGCCAGGGGTTCATCTGCGGCGAATTTGGCAAACACGTTCCGTTCCGGGTCCTCGTCGAACATCGCCGTGGAGCGACAAGCTCTGGCCCGCCGGTTGGCATACACGTGGAAAGATTGTTTCGCGATGCGTATCGACCAGATCAAGACCACAGATTTGGTATACCACACAGTCGAGCTGTTACCCAATGTACTGCCGTACCGGTTGCGACAACCTCCTTATTCACGGGAGCAGTGGCGGTTTGCGATCCAAACGCGAAAATCATCCACAGGTACATCTTAAATGGTGTAAGCCCTGACGAAGCTCGTCGTCGATCCACCACCGAATCGTCCTGTTCCTTCGTCTTCAACTCGCCCTTTGCCATTGTGCTCCGTCCGCGACGTCAATAGCTATGGGGTTAAAACAGGACGTACCCCACTAGATCACTTTAAGACAATTTCAAACAATTGTTGTGGATGATTGATGGAGAGCGGGGTGTCAAATTTTAAGTGACCAGGGGTGAGGAGGCTCTTCTTCTTCGACTCCCAAGTATGAAGGGTGATGGGGCACAGACTCTTGGAGACAAGCTTTGCTCAGATATCTTAGCCATAGGTTCTCCATTGTGCATTATTATGTTGGCAGTGCTTACTGCCAAACCCTCTTTAGAATCAGCATTCTTTGAAGTATTCAAGGTAGAGTAAACTCCCATGCAGTAGCCTCCCACAAATTGATCCCATGGAAGGACGAAACTCCTCTGCAACAGGCCTTGTATTCAACAACTAATTATTGCAATAGTGTATGGTCATGTTGATGAGTAAATAAGGCTCCCGTACTTAGACTTCTAGGACATGAAGTGAGGGATAAGCATTTGATATATGAACATTTGAAAGCTCAAGGAGTGCTAAGCGATACAAAGCGGCAGCGAGTTCCAAAGAGTTAGGGGTCAGCAACACAGAAGCATAGCAGGAAATAGGGCCCACGGGCTTCGTCAAGATTTTACGGTCTTGTCATTTGGGGTATCGACTCTAATGTAACCTTTATCTTCCTCAGAGTTCATTTCTGGACATTCGGTTTCGGCTTCTCTCCATGCGCGCAGACCTTTCTTGACACCCCGGACAGGCTAGGATCCAGTTCTCGCCGAGGTGTTGCGATTCATGAGGTTAGTGAAGAAATTCTGCAGGTTCTCGGTGTCAATGGGCTGCTGTGCCTGTGCGCTATCATCGACTGGACTCTCCGGCTCAGGTGACGAGCCATAAGCTTGACGGTCCTAGGTAAGGCGGGTTAGCTACAGGAAGGCTTGTAATCAGCTCTTGGGGGATGCACATACCTGCAGACGCTTCATCATATCGTCGGCATCAACCTGGATGCCACCGACGTTGAATTGCACCGGTCCGATATGGTCACTGACATTGACCTGTCGACCATCTTCGTCAATCTTGGAGGGTTTCTTTGCATTCTTGGCGTCATTGCTCTGGTTCCCATCCTCCGCCTTCTGCTTGTACGTCTCCAATCTTGGGATTTGCGAGGTGAGAAAGTCTTGTGTGTCCATCGTCTCAACTTCCAGCTTCGTCGAATGTGTATCTCGTCCGGCCATTTGCAGAGCATCGAGAGTTGGGTTCCTGATCGATTCCTCAAACATAGTCACGGCCGAGCCAGGGGTGATTTCATAACCATCGATGTCGTACTCGTCGCCGTTCGCTTCCCCGTTCTCACGTTTCCTGCCCGGGGGTGGGAATTTGGTCTCCAGGTCAATTGACCAACCCTCGCTCACAGCTTCGACGTCGAAACCCTCACGAAGAACTCTGATTTTGCCCCAGGAGTCCCAGTTCGGAGGCACAGCTACCTTGTCCCTGTCGATGACGTTTGGCTTGAGAGGCTGCTTCTTTAGAAGTGAGTGTATCCCGAGACTTGAGTGAACAAGCGTTGGTAGCTGGGATGGCACGGAGGGTGTAGTGTAGATGAGTGATGCGCCATCTTTTCACTTTATCAGCAATGTCTAAGCCGTGCCGGTCAAAGAGGTGCATGCACTTACGCCTGAGCAGTATCGTCCGCATGAATTGGAGGACAACGTCGAATTCTTCCTCCTTCCAGCTCTGCGTCTTTTCCAGGTATTCCATCTTCTCGGCCTGCTTTTGCAATTAGACCTCGCACATGGCTGCGGCAAAGGGTCAACTTACGTTTTGGCACACGACACAGAGGGGCAGGCCTAGGGGTTCCTCCCATTCGCCTGGACCGAGCGGTAATGACACATCGCCCTCGCTGGCTGCCGTTGCGGTTGTTCCGTCGAGGTTCAGAGAGCCGCCGCGGCCCCTCTCCTTCCACATGCTCATACCTTCCTCCATGGCTATCTTGCTCTCATCCGGGAGTGCAAGCAGAACGGTCCGCAGCAGCAGCATCCATTCCCTGAGCTGCCGCACCCACGACCATGGTTCCGACCAGTCCAGAAGGACGACCAGGAGCGTGTTTGGTATGGATTGTGGAGTGAGAAGCGGCTTGATGAGCGAGGCGAAGGAGGGCGAGGGACTGGTCAAGAGATACGTGGAGATGCGGGCCAGTATGTCTGTGACATGTCAGCGACTGGCCTGCGGGCCCTCAGGCGTGGGATGGAGGCGCCTGGTACCTTCATGGTCGGCATCGAGGAGGTCATAGTATGTATAGCCGAGGGCAAACTGGTTGGCCACGGGGGGTATCTTGTTCTGGCGGTCGTAGTTCCGCCGCAGCTCGTTGTTGGAGAGGGACTCTATGAATTCGCGCTGCGACTCGACAGTTCCACCTGGCAGTCAATCAAATGGTCAGCGCGCGCCGGCCTTGCACAAGGCGTGAGTCTCGCCGGCGTACCCATGACGAGAAGGTTCCTCTCCGGCAAACGCTTCCCGCTGGCAACAGAGTCGAGCATGGAGCTCCACATGTCCTTCTTGGGCTCGCCATTCTTGCCCTCGGAGCCACCAGAGGCAGTGGTGTATGTTGAGAAACGGTTTGAATTCGACGCCATGGCGCTCGTGGTTGATCTGTCGCGAGAGCCTCAATCACGCGCGCTGTGGCGGCTCATCGCCGGGCTTTGGCAGACGCGATGCGGTGTAGACGTGGCAAGCTCCCCAGCCCCAGGCGTTGGAGAGGTAGAGCAGAATGGGGCGAAGCTGGGACTACGGAGTGCTGAGTGCGAACTAGATGCGTCGGGAGAGGTGTGTCGCAGTCGCATTGGGAATGCACCGAGAGCTGCGTTGGAGATCTTGTGCTGGTGACGTTTTGGGGAGCCGTGCTCGAACTCTTGTCCCACCCGCAACAAGCGTCACCCAGAGAGAGCCCCAAGTTGTTTACTGAATCAGAAGCCTCCCGCCTGTCACCAGGGGCCCCATGCATGGGCGCATGCAGGGGTCACGGAGCCTTGGAATGGCCCAGACATGCCGCAGCACAGGTTGCGTGCAGCTGTGGCACAGTTGGTCCCAGCTGCCAGAAGCTCGACAATCCCAATCTCGAACAACCGAGCACGAAGTCATAGACTGAGACAGATGGGCCCGTTCGAGTTATGCAATCGAACCCCATGAGTGAAGAAGAACAGATCGTGCACAAGAGGCTGTTCCATTGAATCACTGAGAGGGCACCATCGCTAGCAGAGCCTGGCTGTCCTGTCGGCACATTCCCAAGATGCTGTTACCTACCTCAGATACCACAGTAGGCAGTGGGGCCTGGCCGTTTCGCAATCTTCCAAGAACTCCTACGAGGCACGCCTGGATGTTACCTGCTGGAAGACCATGTACGAGCGAGGACGGATGCACGTGTTGTCTCCCAAACGCATGCAGGCCCTCGACCAACTCGATATCTCAGGACCATGTCTTCTGCTCGGGGGGCGAGGTATAATTTATATAGCACTTGGATCACCGTCTACGTGATCACCAATTTGATTCCCTTGAACTGCAAGTGACCCAGGGCGGATTGCAGGTCAGCTTGCTCTTGTGGAAGGGGGTCCCTTGCCACTAAATACCGGCGCCACTTCTGGGCCTTTCAGCCTTACAGACGTCACCTAAAAATCGCCCAGCCTCGCTGCCACCCTCGCTGCCACCCTTCTCGACCACCGCATACTTGCTCAACCCAAGCCGGAGGAGGTGTGCAATCCCGCCGCCAGCCACCATGAACAAGATACGGGCAATCCAGGAGCTCAACAAGAGGGAGATAGAGCAGGGAATGTAAGTCTGACTCTCGCAACCCCGGAGCATGAACCACCCTGCTCTACTTCCGAGCTCGCCCAAGCTAACAGCCTCGACCGGCCAACAGCTCCCCCAATGCTTCCTGGCATGTCGACTATCGCGACACGGCGTTTGTCTACTTCGGCGGGCTCCCGTACGAGCTCAGCGAGGGTGACGTCATCACCATCTTCTCGCAGTACGGCGAGCCGACCTTCCTCAAGCTCGCCCGCGACAAGGAGACGGGCAAGTCGCGCGGCTTCGGCTGGCTCAAGTACGAGGACCAGCGCAGCACCGACCTCGCCGTCGACAATCTGGGCGGCGCGACCATTAACGGTCGCATGGTCAGCGTCGACCACGCAAGGTACAAACCCCGGGACGACGAGGATATGGACGAAGGCCGCATCGACTGGGAGACGCTCCAGAAGCGGGGGAGACTCGAGGAGGGCGGCGGCGGGGGCGACGACGACACAGATATGGGCGAGGGCAGTGATGACGACGAGGCTGCGAGCAGGAGCAGGCATCGGCCAATGCTGAAGGAGGAGCGGGAGCTCATGCTGCTTGAACAGGAACATGATGAGGACGACCCCATGAAAGAGTTCCTGGTCGAAGAGAAGAAGAAGGAGGTCGAGTATGCGCTTCGCAGGGCGAAAAAGGAGAACGACGGCGGTGATAGGCATTCAAGCCGTCATCACCGGTCGCACCGGTCGCACAAATCGCACAGGTCTCGGAAGGACGACAGCGATGATGATCGTGAACGGAGTAGTAGGCGCAGGAGAGACGGCGGAGACGGCGAGGGTCGCAGAGAGCGGTCGAGGCGTGATGATACCCCGATTTTAAAGGACGCGGACGAAGATGGCCATCGCCGCGAAAGGCGGCGCCGCGATTCACGTGAGCGCGGTGGAAGGCGCGAGGGAGATCGCGAGGGCCGCGAAAGGAAACGGGATCGCGAGGACTCCGAGGACCGCGGAAACCGCAGGCATCGAACCTCCGATCGAGAAAGGAGTCACCGGCACAGAGATAGGAGCAGATCACCTTGAAGGCGGCTTTGAGATGTCTTGACACTGAAGCCTGGTATTAATTATTGGGGGCCGCAGGAACTGCTTCCCAATATCTTCAAAGCACGGAAGCTACCGAGCTGCTCTTATTGCCTGCCAGTCCTGTTTTACCTGTGCAGAGCTACCATTATGCTCGGGCTCATGTGATCGTAACCATCCAACTCCATAAAAGCCGATCGGGAAACAGCTCCTAGCAATTCCAAATCAACCTCAAGCGGGCCAGCTCATGCTCCCATGAGCGGCCACCTGTGCTCGAATCGCCTTCGTCATTCCTTGCAAAGCCGTCATGTCCTGTACCGCCTTGGATAACGGAAGCGGTCGACAGATTTAGGCCTACATGTCTCTGTAGTACCGCTTCCAGCCCTCGCGACGGACACGGCGGCGACCCTCGTCGTCCAGCTCCACCTTGAATTTCTCCCAGCGGGCATCGATACCGGCACCAACGACAATGATAGTTTCCTCATCGGTCCAGGCCAGGATTCCTTTCGGGGGCCGCGTGGTACCAAGGCTGGCGACATCAGAAAACGCGGACAGGCCACCGGTAGGCTCGTCGCCAAGCTCAAAGGGGACGGACGCGAATGAATACTGGTCAGAAAACGCTCGCGGCATGAAAGGTATCTTTCCGAGAAGACCCCACTTTCCTCTGCCCTCCTCCACGGCCGCAGCTGTCGCACTAGGACGGCTGGCCTGGAACGTCAGGCTGATAGGGCTCGAAGGCGACTGGAGGTCTTTCAGGTTGTCCGGGGAGGGGACGTCGAACACGTGGAGCGTGCCCTTGTCAGATGTACAGGCGAGAATATTGCCCAGCCTGCTGAATCCCAGTGAGAAAATGATGGCGCTGTCCATGCCGCGGCGAAGCTCGCAAATGCGAGCGCAGTTCCGCGTGTTCCAGATGCGGATCAGGGTTCCCTACGGCGGCACGCATTAGATCCCTGAAGTCATTGACCACACCACCATCGACTGGAAATCGGAACTTGCCTTGTCGCTGGCGGTGGCCAGCATATCTCCTTTCTCACTGAAGGCCATGGCTCGCAGCGGAGTAGAATGCGCCGGGATGATGCTGACATTGTCGGTGGCCAACTCGACAAGTCGGACATGTCCAGCAGTGGGGCCCGGGAACGCGATGTGCTTGGCGGACATACAGATCAAGCCATGTAGATTGTCGGCAGTCTCATAGACCGCGACCTTCTGCATTTCCTTGGGCTTGTTCCAGGGAGCATGAAACTCCACACTGTTCTGCAGAACCACGATCACTTTCTCGCGGTTGATGCGAACGGCACGCACAGGAGTCTTGACACTGATGGAGGAGACAGGCTTCTTCTTGATAACCTCCCACAGGAAGACCTGCGACGTATTGATGAGCTTGGATGAGAACACTCCGCGACTGCGTACACACTCACCTTGTTGGCAGCGAACTTCGGCATGCGACCACCGCCGACCAAGGCGATGATATTAGTCTGACCAAGCATCTGCGCAAGGCCTATGCCACCAGCAAGGTCTGGCACAACAGTTAGTCTCGGGGAATTGGGAAATGCCCAGTGTGTTGGACCCTGCCCACCTTGGTTGAGGGACAACTGGCCCGAGTCGGCATGCACCACTACCAAGTGTCAGCTACTATGAGAGCCTGGAACTAGATCTCACGTTAAGACTCACCGAGGAACCCATTCTCCAGCCCCACAGCAAAGTGCAGGCCTGAGTCGGAGAAGTTCGCCGACAAGACGCGGGTAGGATGGTCTGGCTCTATCTTGGGTCGAGTATCCATCTTGGCGGAATGGGACTGCTTCCGTACTCGTTGTTGGACCGATTTTGTTTACGTGAGTGTCAGACTCGAGTTGGCCACAGAGGGTTGGCCGTTTGAGTATTCGAGTCAAGTGATTCGTAGGTTGGCAGAAAGTGAGACGTGCCTCCAGGAACCGAGAAAAAGACGCTCAAAACAAAAGAGTGCTGCCTAGCCTTTAAATTCTATGGCAACCATGTTGTGTTGTCCGGGAAGTGATGTCGTTAGTAAAGCGGGCCTGGCGAGGATGATGGTGTGAGGATGAAGGATCATGAGTGGCCGGTCTATAGCTGTGAGAGTGAAGACCTGCGATGTGCAAGCTGACAGGGGACAATACAGAGAGCGTCTGTAGCAGATGGCGGTCCTCCCCAACTAACCAAAGAGCCTGAACTGACAGGTCAAAAAGTAGGGCAGTACAGCAGTGTGTAGGATGTCAAATGGGCCATTCCCGCTATAATACTGCTGGAGGTCAAGGACCTGGCTTTGACCTCAGGGGATGTTGTCCGTGTAAGTCAGTGTCAGTATATATCTGGAGTCCTAGTCTGTCTGAGGTGGGAGGTCAGATGACCCACTTGCCGTGACGCTGCCAGCTGGCACCCTCCCCCAGAGGCTGGGTGAGTGAGGTAGCTTGGTACCCCGGTACATATTCCAGGTACTGCGTACTGCAGCAAGGGCAAAAAAGCCTGGGCCACTTGCAGCTTCGAAGCTAGTACGCACGGGGACTAGCGCCTCAACTGGGGGCAGGAGGATCCCCTGAATTGCAGCTCTGGCAATCATCTCCCCTGAGAGAGAGACAGAGCTGTTCGTCCAGTGGTAGTAATTTGTGAAATTGCGCTGGTTGCTCCACCCTTTGACAGTGGTGTTCCCGACCCTTGGCACCATTCAAACATTCCCCCCTTTCCAACAGAGCAGAGGTCTGGTTCATCACCAACAACTGCAAGTGCCTCTTTCACGCGACATTCCATCCATCCGATTCTCTTGCCTTTTGATAGAGCAGGAAGCAACATCAACCAGACCAATTACAGCTGCATTGTGCTCAGGGCCTCCTGGAAACAGTCAATCACCATGTCTTCGCCTGCTGTACGTCTGCTGTTATCTCCTTGGTCCATCACGAGCCAGCCCAGCGTTTCGTGTCGCCCGCGGTGTTTGGCACGGCCAAGAGCTCCTCCTCGTCGCGTCGAATTGATTCTTCCTGTCGGGCTGCATTGCTGACTCGTGTCCGATTTATAGAAGATGATCCGCCGCAAGAAGAACGTGAAGAAGGGAATCCAGTTCTGTTTGATGGTCTGCGGAGCATCAGGTACTGGTAAGTTCATGCTGCTGCGCGACGCTGCAATCTCCTGCCAGCCTAGTCCACGGCTACTGAGGGAACCGTTTGCTAACGCCTTCCCCGCGCTTTTCAGGCAGAACCACCTTCGTCAACACCCTCTGTGGAAAGTCTGTGATCGGCCACAAGGATTCCGATGACCCCAACGGCGCCCATGTTGAGGATGGCGTGAAGATCAAGCCCATGACCGTCGGTACGGATCAAGAGGACCTCTACCCCTTGGAAAACAAGTGATATCTAACTCGCCGTGTAGAGCTTGAGCTTGACGAGGAGGGAACGCGGATTTCCCTTACCATCGTTGATACCCCTGGTTTTGGTGACCAAGTCGACAACGAGGCCAGGTACGAACCCCGAGCTTCTTGTCTTGGCATCCCGTACTGACAGTGCCGACTCGCAGTTTCTCTGAGATTGTTGGCTACCTTGAGAGACAATACGACGACATTCTAGCCGAGGAGTCGCGTATCAAGCGTAACCCTCGCTTCAGAGACAACCGAGTCCACGCCCTGCTCTACTTCATCACTCCTACCGGCCATGGGTATGTCCCGTCCTGCATGCGAAACGCCTAAGTGGACGCCCACTGACAGTGTGTCTAGTCTCCGCGAGCTGGATATCGAGCTGATGAAGCGCCTGGCGCCTCGCGTCAACGTCATTCCCGTCATCGGTCGCGCCGACTCCCTTACCCCCGGCGAGCTAGCCGAGTCGAAGAAGCTGGTCATGGAGGACATCGAACACTACCGCATCCCCGTCTACAACTTCCCATACGACATCGAAGAGGACGACGAGGACACGGTTGAGGAGAACGCCGAGCTTCGAGGTCTTATGCCGTTCGCTATTGTCGGATCGGAGGATGTTGTTGAGATTGGTGGCCGCACAGTTCGGGCCCGCCAATACCCATGGGGTGTTGTTGAGGTTGACAACCCTCGCCACTCGGACTTCCTCGCCATTCGATCCGCCCTGCTGCACAGCCATCTTGCCGACCTGAAGGAAATCACCCATGACTTCCTTTACGAGAACTACCGTACCGAGAAGCTGTCCAAGAGTGTGGAGGGTGGCGCCGGAGTGTTAGTCTTCCCGCGTTTCCTGATCTCTAGATCCAAATTGCTAATTATGCCACAGCGATTCTTCGATGAACCCCGAGGACCTGGCGTCCCAGTCCGTCCGTCTCAAGGAGGAGCAGCTCCGCCGCGAGGAGGAGAAGCTTCGCGAGATCGAGATCAAGGTCCAGCGCGAGATCAACGAGAAGCGCCAGGAGCTCCTCGCCCGGGAGTCGCAGCTCCGCGAGATCGAGGCCCGCATGCAACGAGAGCAGGCCGGTTCTTCAGGAACACCCGTTCCCGATGCCAATGGCGATGCCGAGGCTTGAGTCGATTATTCTGGGCCCGGTGGCTGAGCTCACTGGGAATTGCTGCGGCAAGACGCGGCCTCGCTACTTCGGCGCGCATTTCCTTTGATTGATCGGCGGTCTTTCGCGAGCGAATATGAAGTTGATGACAAAGACCGACCTATGTTTACAAGGCCAGATCGGAGTCATGGGGTGGCGGCTCACTTGGGTCTGGCTGCGGATCTCGAAACAGATGGTGCTCGTCTTCCCCATAATGATATCCCCGCACCATCTGCTTTGGTGTCTCCAGAAACGCTTTTGAAGTTGAAAAAGGCAAGGACGAGAGGTTGGCAGAGAGGACTTGCCGCATTTTTTTTTTCCATACGTCTTCTTTCTTTGCTGTGCCGGCTCGTCACTTGGAGAGCTGGCCAATTTTCAAGGACGTTTGGTATTTCTCCCAACACGACTTATTTCTAGTAGAGGACTTCTAATGCAGATAACCTAAATTCATGTTCTTCCACGGACTATGGTGACGTGCCCCGCGGACTTCGGTGTTGCTGATGCGGAGGCTTCGACACCGCAACAACTGTGAGGATTGACGGCCTTCAAGTACGGACAGGTCGTGAGGGACGAATCTCCGTTTGGCTACCAGGCTGGCTGCCTGCCTTGAGTAGAAGCACTCGGATGAGAGCCGCCAAGAAACATAGTTCAGCGAGTGAACTGTGCACAGCTTCACCAGCTGCGAACATACTCGCTTGGTCAGCTGGCCGCATAGGTACTTTATCTCGCCAGTAGAAGTCGCAATACTTGTAGCGTGATTCAGATACCGAACATGACCGGTTAACATCTAGAGGACAAATGCACATGTAACGTAAGTCTTGCATATGATTATCATTGTTGGATTGAGAATTAAATTGATTGGAATGGAACTGTAAGAAGGGTCAGACTTGAAAGCAGTTACAATCCCAACGCCAATGAGTCTTTCCTTCATTATCCGCCAATCTGATACCCATCAATAAAAGAGACCCAAATTCTGAGGGTGAGAGTTGTGGACGGCGTGCCAGACTTGTGCGCTGTTGAGGGTGTCACAGCACTTGGTCGTGCGACCCAAAAGGAATAACTTAGAGAAGGACCGCTGCAAATTCCAGCCAGGCCTGCATGATTCCTGTGGTATGCCAAAAAAATGCCTGCAAGGTTTTGCCCGTTCTTTGCGTCGCGGAGGGCGATTCCATGGCCACCCTAATTATTCTGCTGACTGTTCAGGATGCGCAGAATAGCCAAGAACAAGTTGATGATGTCTAGGTACAAGCTGATAGCCGCGGCGATCTCCTCCTCAACGTGGTGGTGGCGCATGACTAACTGGGTGTCGACGAGGATGTAGCCGCTGAAGATCAGGGCGGCGAGCCCGCCGTAGATGAGCTCTCCGGTCGAGGAGTAGGGGAAGAAGGCGGCCATGAAGCCGAAGAGGATCAGCCCCCATAGCCCGCCGAAAAGATAGGGCATCCACGAGGTGAAGTCGTACTTGGTCTGGCAGGCAAAGGCAGTGAGGAAGACGAAGATGCCCGCGGTCAGGAGCACTGCGTTAAGGACGATAGAGGTCTTGTAGAAAGAGACGACGACGGAGATGGTATAGGCCTCGAGAAGGGTGAAGCCGGACAGGAAAAGCAGGTTGGTCGGGTACGAGTGACGCTTCCAGTAGGTCAGGAGCATCATCCCGATGGCGCCGAACATCTGTGAGCACGGGCAGTGGTTAGCAGATCGTCTTCACGTCAACATGGCTGGACGAAAAGACAGCGAGGCGGTCGGCGTACCGAGATGAAGACCAGCGCGGGGTGGCCTTGAATCCATTCCTTGTATGCTGGCGACACGAAGCTGATGGTGCTCACGGCGCCGGTGGCCAGCAGCTGCACGGTCAGGATGGTGTAGACCTTGCGGACGAACTGGTTGCGAATGTCGATCGTCGCCTCAGCGACGGAGCCGCCGAACTTGAAGTCATCGGGGAGGTCTTCAGAAGATCGAGCCTCGCCGGCAAAGAGACGGGCCTCGTCGTCGGCGGCCTGATAGGATGGTGGCGCCTGGCTGTATGCAGGACCCGCCGGGACGTCGTCAGGGTCCTGTTGTGGGGCGGGGGTGTACTTCGCGTTGGACATGGTGGTTCCGCTGTCGTGCTGGTGATGAAGAGTCGTACAATGCTAGGTAGACGTTTCGAGAGGTCCGGTTGGGGACGTGATTGTTGGCGGATCGGGGAGGAGACGGTTGAAGCGGAGGATGGGTCGGGAGAATAGTAGAGCTCTGGGAGCAGGTTGTCAGGTGAATCGCGGAAAGAAGGTTGTAGAAAGTGGAGGGCGATGAGCAGCTGATGATGCGGCTCCCGCCGACTAGGCTGGCTGCTTAGGTGCCCCGGTGCCACTCATTTAATCAGGTGGGGAACGGATCGATTGCCATCAATTTAGTAGGCCTACCTAGTCTAGGTACCCAGGTACTCCGCCTTCAATCCTCTCACGCTAAGATGACTAAGCAAGCACGAATCACCTTGCGATGTTTGACGGGTCGCTGGAGCTGCGTTCTCTTGAGCTCACATTTCCATGATAATAGGGTAACTTTCGCCGCATGACTGCTTTGCCGGCTTTGAATCTAGTATCGTGGCAGATTAGCCCTTGGGCTACTTGTGTCGACGATGAGCGGCGCCATCGGGAGCGATGCCTTCCAGCCGTGTCTTTGCGGTACAAGGCTAAGCCACGTGCCCACGTACTGTGTTCTCTTTCCACTGTTATTTGTACTAAATAAGTATTTAAAAGATTTTCTTATTTTAAATATAAATATTTAATCTTCATCTTAAAACATTAAGATATATGTCCTAGTTATCTATATTAATAAACTTCTCAAGTAAATAGTTAAGGGAGAAAGGTGAAAGGGAGAAAAATGTAGATCAGAGGTCCCTCAAGCTATGTGGCACTCAAGGTCTAATGATTATTTTCAGTCTTGCTATAGGGTTTCACTCGACACGCACTAAAGTGGGCAGGATTTGAATATTCTGCTGCCTCACGTCGTGATAGATTTTTTGATCACTTCTGGTCATGGAGTTCTATAGACTCAGTCCGCCATCAGGTCTCGGAATAAAAAACCCCCCAAGGAACTTCATGAGCTATAGTGTCACTTGATTCCGATGCATGAAACTATGCTTCTAGATATAAAGAGCACGTATGGGGTCTGCGTAACAAATATCTTATCTGGAAAAGAAGTGGCTCTCATGAATGATGAGCAGGTTGGCCAGGAGCTAATTATAAAAATGCACGGCTCTGCTTGTACCTGATTAGAAATGGATGCCGCTGTGCAGGTTATTCATAAATCATACGAAGCACTTTGAGAGCATTAGATAGCTCATAGAGAGAGAGAGATCCAATTGGGTTCACCTGAGCGGACATTTTACGGGTGTGCCTACTGATTGAAGTCTGTGATCTCCCGAGTCTATAAGAAGTGCTCCCACAAGCCCGAGATAGGTGTAAGTGAAAGTTGAGGCATAGTCTCTGGACTTTCTTGCAATCCAAATACTTTAACATATCAGACGCATAATTGCTGCTCTACTTGGGAGAGTCGTTGGAGCCTTGACAATTGAATCACTCAACACTATACACGCCACGAGGAGAGGTAAAGAGCTTTCAGTTGTACCAGACCACATTCGGCCTGGCCTGCAAGATGGGGCTGCAGGCATTGGGGGAAACCCTAAGCTGGTCGCACAAGTGTGCCTGTCTGGAGGGAGGGATACCCCATGGAAGGGGGAGCAAGACTGGGCATGAGACTTTGAGCACTTCAGAGATGGGCTGAGCGGAACCCGGAAACGTTTCAAGCAGACACCAATTGGGTAGATTGCTCGACGCGATGGGTGGGAGGGAGGTGTGGCTGGTTTGCTAGGAAGAGCTGCAAAGGCAGTCAGGCAGTGAAGCAGGCCCAGGGTTTGAGGAGAATTTTGGGTAGGGTTGCAGTGTCCAGGAAACGAACCTTCCTGCCTTCTGGCAAGGGAAAACGAGATCTGCAGCCAAGAGGGCGGTGGTGTTGCAGCAGCTGCAGTGGTAACTGGGCACGTTGTGGCATTTTGAAGAGCTCAATTGAGGAGAAGATACTCAGAGTCGACACTGACAGACACAGAGCCCAGCAGCTGCCATTCATTGTGCTCCGTACTGGTGTGCTTAACTTGTTGCTCAGGTGGGAAGTACCTTGGTATCTTAGTACCCAGGTACCCAGGTACCCAGAGATGCACTCTAACTCCCAGCTGCTCCGTAGTGCGTGCTGTGATTACAGCGTGTGTGACCATTGACCAGCCTCCTTTTCCGCCCTCTTCTCCGCGCTTGCAAGAATTCTGCCGATGGGGTGGTCCCTGGAGTGGGGCAACCTGTTTGATAGGGAACCATCAAACTCTCAACATTTATGATTGCCCATCAGCGAATGGGTTGGGCGCGGATTACTACCACAGCAGCACAGCACAGTTATTGTAGTGGGGCGCCGCCCTCCCCCGCCAGACCCTTCAGTGAGCTTTCCCTCAGCAGGCAAGTTTCAAGGCCCATCTCCGCCCCTTGACCGCTCACCGCCTTCCCGCCCAGTCCCTACAGCTGCCAACTCCCGTCAGAACCAGGGCCCGTCCGCGGCACCCGCCCACCTGGGCAGTCAACAACCCACAACAGCAGCCGAGCAGACCTAGGTACCTCGACAGCTGGGAAGCAGCTCGAAAGCTGTGTACGGAGTACTCCACTAAGTACCCAGCAGGCCGCAGACGCGCCCCATGCGAGGCGACACACCATCTTTGACAGGGGTGGTCCAGGAATCCGAAAGGCTGGCCGGCTGGTTGGTCCATTCTCAGGACTCGAAAATTCGAGGCCAGGGTCCCTCCGGCTGCTGGCGCAATCTGCCTTGGCCATTGCTCCAATATCAACTCCTTTGAGATCCTGTCCCTGTTATCCCTCCTCTGCAAGTCCGCCAGCTAGTCAGTCCGTCACTCAATCATTCAATCACTCAATCACTCTGCCGTTCGTCGCTGTGCCATCGCCCGCCCGCGAACGACTTCTCCCCTTTTCCCCCGCTCGGCCTCCCACCCGCCTGCTCCCTGCGATCGACAGCTGTGAGCAACTGCTGTGGCCGACCCAAGCGAGTAGAGCCACTCTCGACCTCCTGTTCTGGCCGTCTGCCAGCAACTGCACGGCCTGTTACTACTGCAGCTCACTGTCGTTGGCCCTTCTACCCTCCTCTCTGCTGCCGTCTGCTCCACTGCAGCGAGCTTCGACGCGACACGACTCGGCGGCGCTTCGACCAGAACCACCGACGCAACATCTGGTCGCAGCACATCGCTGCCGCCTCCCCCCTACAACCAGGCTCGATCCCGCTGACCAACCTACTCCCCTCTGCCAATTGGGCAGTCAGACCCTCACAAGGTGCACATCATGTCTTCCGAACCCGCCAATGGCGCCGGCACAGACGGCCTCAGGGTCCCAAGCTCCGACTCTTCTCGCCCAGCATCCTCCTCGCTGAAGCGCAACTACTCCGGCAAGAAGGAGGCCATGAACGGGCCGCTGTACAGGCAGACAGTCAACCACACTGTCCTCGTCAGACGTCTTAAGAGGAAAGGAGATGGGCCCTCTAAGCAATTGGCCCGCTGGTTTGTCGAGAATCAGATCGGTATGCCTCCTGTTCTCACAATTCCTCCTTGTTTACGACCCTCTGTCCATCCCCGACACCGGCAGGGCAAAACACGACTTCCCCAAAGTTGTGCGCGCCACACCGCCCTCCATCGAGACATGACACGGCATGCTGCATGTCTCTTCCTGTGGCTTTGCGACCACTGCCCACGACTGATTAGCACCATGAGCTCCTCGTGACCCCGACTCACTTGCTGATACCTCTTTGTCGCAGGCTTCTCCTTCAACCTCCTTGCGCTTCTGTTTTGCGCCCACTATCTACTCCCAAAGTCACAGTCATACACAGCCAAGTTTGTTCGTCTTCAATACTACAATGCCAACTCGGGAAAGTATGGCGCCGGCTTCGACGACTCATACTTTGTCGCTTTCGTCGTTGTCCTTCTCACCGGTCTGCGAGCTGCGACAATGGAGTATGTCCTGGCTCCATTCGCCAAGTACATGGGCATCAGCAAGAAGAAGGAGGTCACTCGTTTTGCCGAGCAAGCCTGGCTAGTCCTGTACTGCACTACCTTCTGGTCTCTTGGCTTTGTATGTGCACCTTCCGTTCCCATGCATACTCTGAATCTCATGCACCCAGCGTCTCCAGAAGCATGGCGTCACTCACTGACTGGGCACTTATCTGCAGTACATATACTACACATCCTCTTACTGGTTGGATCTCAAGCAACTCTGGGCGACCTGGCCAAATCGTGAGCTTGGTGGCATGCACAAGACATACATCCTTGCCCAGCTAGGTTTCTGGCTGCAGCAGATCTTTGTCATCAACATTGAGGAGCGTCGCAAAGATCATTGGCAGATGCTGTCTCACCATTTCATCACTATCGCGCTGATTGTTGGATCCTACCGATACCACCACAACGCCGTGGGCAACCTGATTCTGGTGCTGTTCGACCTTGGAGACATTCTCCTCTCGGTACGTCCACATGTGGTCTTGAACCATGTGTTCAGGCTGAGGTCTTTGGCTGCGCACTAACATGGTACAACAGGGTGCTAAGTGCCTCAAGTACATGGGCTTCACCAACGCCTGCGACGTGGGCTTTGGACTTTTCATGCTGGCATGGTTCGTCTGTCGCCACATCTTCATGAATATGGTCTGCTGGTCCATCTACGAGCACGTGCCTTACACCATGACCTACGGCTGCTTCAAGGGCAACCAGGATAATCTCCAGGGGCCGTTTGAGCAACCCGAGGGCTACGGCTTCTACCTACAGCCATTTCTGTCGTCTGACGGGCTGTTGTGCCACAACGACACAATCAGGTGGACCTTCCTGGCGCTGCTGCTCAGCTTGCAAACCATCTGCATCGTCTGGTTCGCAATGATAGTCAACGTTGCAGTGCGTGTCATCAGGGGTGCCGGCGCGGACGATACCCGCAGTGATGACGAGGGTGACGAGGAAGAGGAGGAAGAATTTGTGTATGAGGAGGCCCAGCCTATGGAAGAGGAGGTCGGCGTTGAGGAGATCGATTTGAAGATTTGGGAGCGCAGGAGTGGTGTCAAGAGGTCGACCTCCAACACCACTGCTGTCAGCCTTCCTGGACACAGCGACCGCAAGGAGCTGCTGAACCGCATCGGCTGTGAGAAGCAGATCGACTGAGCCATCGGGACTGCAAAACATCGTATCCGCACTTGGTCTGCCCGAAATCGAATATTGGCCTGCGGGCGCCTCACATCTATCTCACTGTGCTAAGCAAGATCTCGGTTGAGATTTCGCAAGTGCAGACGAGACCTACGGAACAAGGCACAGATCCTCACACCCAAAGATACCCTGGCGGTGTCTCTTCTCTTCGTACATAACCACGACACGAGCAAAAGTTGGCGCGCCGGAGTTTAGATATCTTTTGTTTTCACCCGGGGAAAAAGACATGTGTGATTGTTCCAATCCCGCGCCAGAAAAGGGGACCGGTTGAAGGAAGGCCAAGGATACAGGGTGCGAGATTTTCATGACGAATCTGAGAGGGGAACAGCCTCGCCTCTCTTTCCGTGTGTGCTTCTCTTCAACGACCATAGACTTGGGATCAGGGATAGGTTACAAGTCATTTATACCCCTTGAGGCATCAGGTAGGGTAAGCATCCTAGATGGGATGATGGCAAATGGAACTAATTGTCTTGTGGTCCCACTTGTTCTCCCAAGTTCCTCGCGGCGTACCCAGTGGGTGGGTGGGTGCTCCATTCTGACATTTTTCTCAACATGTCCGAGGGCGCAAAAATGCAGGCCTCCATAACCGAGGCTCGAGTCGAATTGGGAGGGCGATTCAGCGGCCAAATTGGTCTTCAGAGCTTCCAAGGTCGAGCCGCTAGTGGTTGGTCTACGAACACACAACCACTTCCAGCATATTAACCGTCCGCAGCGTGAGCCTTTTAGTCTGCACCAGGTTTTCCTTGTAGCCGAGGTAAGCACATCATAGCTTGACAACCACCAAACCTCCCCTCTGCATCGTGACGCAACTGAAAGCTTCGCAGATCCGGAGTGAGCGCCTCGGATCGCCTTTTCATTGCGCCAGGTAGGCAAAGTCACAATATTCGGGGACAGTATGTCTCAAGAAGCAATTTTGTACTATTTAAGGAAAGTATTTTGTACGGCACAGCAGTCTTTGTCATGTGCGAAGCAAACCGTCCTCCTAATGAGGTACCTTCGCCTTTCAATACAGACACTTAGCCGACGAACAAAGTTGAGAGAGAGCATACACCCATATCCATATTACCCAATATCCATTACAGTGACGCCCTTATTGACCTCGCCATCCAATCAGCCGCCCTGACTCGTCTCTATGCTCGACGCCCTCTCAAAATGGCCTTACAACTCAACTCATCGACTCGATCTCTATCTTGACAAGAGAACATTGCCGAACACCGGAGGAGCTGAGCACAGTAGTTCCACACACTACGCGGAGGCCGGCTTAGGCTGACTGGAGATGGTGCCCAGCGGGCACTGGCCTGGAAGGTGAATTAGTTGATGGGCGGTGGTGTAACCTGTGGGGACAGCCCCGTGGAGCCGGCATTGTCGTGGAGCTTGTTTGAGCATCCGTCGGGCATGACACAGGCTTCGAACGTGGCCGTTGTTTCTGCTGGATCCGGCGTCGCGGGGGCCGTCTTGTCGGTGACCGTTGGTCCGCATTTGTTGGGCACCGTGCAGGCCTCGACGTCCGCGGCTGTGGTGGTTGATGTCGCTGCTGGCTCCGACGTCGCGGGGGCTATCTTGTTGTTGAGCACTGGTCCGCATTTGTTGGGCATCATGCAGGCCTGGACGTCCGCGGCTGTGGTGGTTGATGTCGCTGCTGGCTCGGTCGTGTCGATGGGCACGGCGGCTGTGGTTGCTGCCAGAAGGGCGATGACGGCTGTGTTGATCTTCATCTTGACCAGCTTGGATCGGTCTCCTGAAGATAGTGGTTTCTATCAAAGAGGCGGGGGAGAGTTCCAACTTCAGGGTCCTTGGTTTTGATGAATCTCGATGAAGGAGGTGTGAGAGACCGGGTGAAATCCCCAGGCATTTGAGCGGACCGCCCGGGACTTTATGCATACAGACAAGACGAGGCTCGAGGCAAGTCAAAATCTCCTCAACCGTCAACAAAGCTAGATTGGCTCGCTGCTAGCTAAGCATAGCTTCCCCTCTTTACGACTCCGACCAACGTCCGCGTCAGTCAAAGCGCTGGTGCCTTGTTTACTTCGCCACGATGGCTTCCTCAATCATTCACTGTCCATCCACACGGCCCACGAGCGTGAGTACGGATTTTTTTGATTTTTTTGACTAGCCCTGCACCGGACGCTTCCTAAGAAAAACCATCACTACCACCGTCCGAGTCACTACCGAAACTCGAACGCTCACGGTGACGAAAGGCTTCTCTTTCTCCGCGCGGGGCTCGGCTTAAGACTGGTCCCATCGCGATGCTCCTCGCCGAGACATGCCTTGTTTAACCGAATTACTCGGGCTGCGGAGGGTGTCTTTCCGCTGAAGGGCAAGCTGCAAGCAATCTGTGTCAATTCAGACTGATTGGCCGGGGGCTTATGCGAAAGAGTGTTTTGACGAAAGAAAATACGCCGTCTGCCTGCCTGCCACATCGCGGTCTGTGGACTTTCGCCCACATGAGCGGCGACGGAGTAAGTCTGAAGCATGTGCTTGAAGGTGAGTGATTGGTGAGATGGGGCCCAGGGACCTCGGGACTATGTAACGAGCGAGAGTTGCCTAGCCGGGTAGATGGGCGGCTGTTCGGGTGTTGTGATTTCTTCCGTAAGGGATCTTCAGCCTCCCTCGTTTCCAGCTGGTTGCGGTGTGCAGAACCCGGACTCATTTTGTGGCAGACCGCCCCCAGCAAGAGCGGAGCCGACGGTGGCCTCATGCAGGTCACATGTCCGATCCGTTCAATGGGTGCTTAGCGGGATCCGATTTGAGTGGCCGGACATATAGATAGTGTTGGAAAGTGAGATGCAGTATGGCTAATTGCTCTCAATCCTTCCGATAGAAACCATCCTACGAGCTGTTCATAAGCGACGAAGCAGCAAATTACATGCACATTTGGTCAGAGAGCCTCACGATAGGGGTCTGACCTCTTCGTGGTGCTAAATTGCCTCAGCTCAATAACAACAGCTACGACACTTGGACCCCTGCAGACGAATCGGTTATTAAAAAAGGGAAGAAGGTGGGTTGACGATCTTCACAAGGAGTTCAGACGAAGCTAAATTTTGAGCCGCAATCCTTCCGGGGGCGATCGCTGGCTTGGCGTGAACTCTAAGTATACCAGCGGCGACATACCCTAGGGGGACTCAGTCGCAACCTCACTTAGTGCTCAGGTTATCGCAGCAATGTGCAGGCAAGATTGGAAGTAGGTGTGAGTAGAAAGAGTGTGTGTCAGTCGTCAAAGTGTTTGCAGAAACCATGTGCATGAAATCTAATCTGAAGGGCTAAACTGGAGGCGACGATCCGAACCACATCCGAGACTCTGTCACAAAGAAATGCGCGACGTTTTAGAGTTGACGAAATTGTGGGACCTCGTCGCCCAAAGAAGTCGAAAGAAGGCAGATGCAAGTGTCCTCCGGCATATGTGTGTTTTTTGAGTTCCCTCTCCCTCATTGCGGCATCTATCATGTCGACGAAATCATCAAGCAGTGACGAAATTATGCAAAACAAACATCAGTAATGTGGCAGCCTTTCCATCACGAATCCGAATTTTGAGGATTTATCTGTGAAGACTAGCAATTGCACGTCTGCCTGTGGCGCTAACGGGGAAACCTAAGCACACTATCCTGGGGGGATACAGTGCTTCCAAGGAGGAATCAGAACCGGGAACCCTCCCAACGCATTGCAATGATTGCTCGTGCCATCGCCGCTTAGGCCGCAACATTGGCGTTGACAGTGGCCTGGTTGGTGGGCGGCAGCACGTTCTTGCCATACGCGCCATTAACGTTTCCTAGCATATCTCAGTCTTCTGGTCAGCAAATCAAGTGGGAAATTTTTAAAACATACCGGCAGGGAAGTAGTTGCAAACGCTGTACCAAGCACCCATGGTGGGGTTCATGGTACCAGGTGCGCAGTACTGAGCAGCACAGCCGACCTGCGTGGAGCCGACCCAGACAATCTGAGAGTAGTGACCCCATGCCTCGAAGTTTGTGAAATCAGGGTTGGCCTGACCGTAGGCATTGGAAGGGTACAGGTCGAGCTCGCCATTGTACCACATCTCCGTGATGGCCTGGGCCATGACCGTCTCCTCAGTCAAGGAGGTGGCATCGGTAGACGCATACATGGCAATGTTCTGGCCGTAACCGCCACCGCCTGGAGTGCTGTGAAAGGTTAACTCAAGATAGCGCTGATAGAATGGGTTTTCTTGCTCACAGGTCATGCGCAAACTTGCAAGAAGCAGCAACAGTGGCGGCATAGCCAGCGTAAGTGGCACCCCAAGACATGGCAGGCGCAGAGTTGTTTGCCCGGTGGATGTTGTGGTGGTAGACGGCAGTGCTAGCCAGGTCGGAGGGCTTAGCAGCAGGGGCTGAGGGAGCAGCAGCCTTGACACTGCTGCTGCTGCTGGTACTGGCCGGGGCCCCGGCGAGGTCGGCATCGATGGTGACAGTGACCACTGGGATTTGGGCGACGGTGGTGGGAACGACCTTGACGTTGACGGGCTTGTCGGCAGGAACGGTCTGGACGGTGGTGACTTCTTGGACGACGGTGTAGTAGACAATGTCAGTCTCGGTGACGATTTCGACCTTGGGCAGGGCCGCGGCGATGGAGGCGCCAGTGACCAGCAAGAGTGAAGACCTCATCTTTACGATTTGCACGGATGTGATGTGGCGGGAAGCCAGTGCAGTGGGACCTGAGCGGCAGCTGTTTCGATTTGTTAGTCCAGTTGATTGTACTTGGAAGTGAGTGAGTCGTAAATAAACGATCAAGTCAAAGAGTGTGAGCCCAGGTTGAGCGAAGGCGCCCGAAATGAATGTGCTGAAGCTGGGCTTCAGTGTGAAAACAAATGAATGATATTGGGAAAGAGAAAAATGAGGGTTATTTGAGATTTGCTGTAGCGTTGCAAGGAATTGGAAAATGTTTTGCTGGCGACGAGAGGAATGCAGGGAATATAGGGTCGACGCGGCACGCAAGGCTTGGTGCGTTCCTCGCCCTCGGAACGGCAGAACGGCTGGGGGCACCAGCGGCCTTTGTCCGGAGAACGGGCTGGACCAACATGCCCAAGGCTAACTGCCAGGAATGCATTGTGATAGGATGAAGATGGTGTGGAGTGGTAAAAGCACGGCAGGCCGGGGAACAAAGCGTCCGGGCGTGGCACGAGGGCTGGAGCGTACCTAGTGGTGAAGTTTGTCCAAGTCGTGATGAAGCGGGCGATATCCAGGAGTCTGGGGTGAGGCAAAAGGAACTACAGGCCGTCCTTAAATGGCTTCCAGAAGCAGGCAGATTCAGAAAGGGACTTTTGTCAAGGGTGAGTTCTCAAGATGGTGATCGAAACCTTGTGATCAGTCTGTCTGAGGCGAGACGAGCCGGTGGAGGGAATGACAAGACGGCGTCGTCAGTCAAGTCAGTCGTATGAGACCTTGTGGCTCGGGCAAGCGGGCACGAACAAGACACTGCAGGAAGGACTGGCTGCGGCTATGGCTGTAAGTCGAGGACAGGCGAGAGGGATCTGGGACAAGATGAGGCTCAAAAAGACCGAAGCGGGTGGATGATGAGTGCGCTGGTACTAGACCGCGGTGTGAAGACAAGTGACGTGGGGGGGGGGGGGGAAAGAGCGTGTTGGCCGGCAAGCAGCGAATGCAGATATCGATCTTCAAGATGATTCTTTCTGAAAAGGAACGGACTGGCCCAAAGTGTTGTGCCTATTGACTTGTGTGGAGTGAGGCAAGAAGGGAGGGAGAGGGCTGCGTGTGTTTCGTGGGTATGCACTGCAGGTATAAGGTTTCTCTGTTTCTCTGGGTAATGTGAGGTACCTAGGTACCTAGGCAGGTAGATACAGTACAGTATGTTGCATTACATCAAACGTGACCAAGCCGGCCTCGCCCAAGTCTGCACTTTGCCCGGGCCTGCAGTCTACCGTTTTCCGTTCTTGTCCTGCCTGTAAGCCATGCACCATGTATGCAAGTTGGCGCTTGCCCCAGCCAGTGGAGCCCGCCTTCCAAGATTGCCAGGGGGCGGCCCCAACCTGGGCAAGGACCTCTGAACCATCGAGGCAAGGACCCTTTGGTGGGCACTTCAGACAGTCAGACAGTCTGGGAGAAGCTGCCCAGCTTTGAGGGGGTTTGATGAGGCTGTCGTCAGCTGCGTGGGCAGTTTTGGGCCTTCTCACGCCCATCATCAGCCTACGTTGCCTACCTACTACTAACCTAGGCACTGTACGGAGTACTATTCGACCCAGCTGACCCGTGAGCCCTGTGGTGCCTGGGCCTGGACCTGGACCTGGACCTGGACCTTTGATGTCCGATCCATCCTCGACCCTTCGAGAAAGAAATTGCCCTCTGCCTCCTGATATGTGCCACCCGCCTGGTCAACAATTCGAGTTGCGGCAGAGACGCTGGGCTGGCAGCCATGCGGTGCGAGCGAGGTGCGCGGTGCGAGACCGCGCAAGGGGTGTCTCTATCATTTTCCGCCACGCCGTGCTCCAAGCAGGGGGCCTGGGAAACGCCCCTCTCGCATTGAAACGGCCAGGTCGGCAGGTCGGGCATGGAGTCATGGACACTCTATCCGTATTTTGTGGGCTTGTGGGCAATGGTCTTTGGATGACAGGCACCAGGGACCAGGCACCAGGGGGGCTCACTCATCCGGAGAGCTGCCTCTTGGACATGGTGCCGGCGCCGTGGTGTTTTATCGCTGACATCAAAGGCAATAGGCCGGGAGGGTCAGGTCAAGGGGGCCTCAGGGCATTGACGGCGAATATCACTTCCTCCCTTGGTCATTTGAACCCTGCCGAGGATCTCTCTCCCCCCGCCGCCCACCACAGATCGCGGGTGATTGACAGGGGCCGAGATGAATGTACAGTATATCTAATTGCAGTAAGCACCCCGTGGTCAGGTGGTCAGGTGGCCGTGGTGTTGCCCATTGCCCGGCGGGGGGAAGAGGACTTTGTCTGGGAGCGCCGATGCTCCGTACTCGTACGCACACCCCCCTCGTGGCCCGCTTCCCGAGCCCCTGCTTTAGTGTGGCTCCAGCGGCCAACCAAGAGATGGCCCAGCCCAGTTGCCCCCTGACGGGCCGGGGTTGGCCTGCAGGGCGGCAACGTGGGGCGCGGCTGCCCTGCTGCCCTGCTCCCCTGCTCCCCTGCTTCCCCAGTTCCCTCGCTTTGGGGACCTGCAGATCACACCAGCGGGCCTGCCTGACTGCCTGGTTGATGTGTGCGTGCTGTCCATCTATCTACCTGCCGCTGCGTGTCTGTGTCTGCTGCGTCTGTGTGGGCACTTGTCCCAACCAGGTGAGGCACAGCTGCACCGGCGGCGACGGATCCTAGACGGACTGTCGGCCGGTCGTTGCCCCTCCACTAAAACGTCCGACCCTGAAACGGGCCTAATCTGGCCATCCCGGCCCGCGGCTCTGTCCAGGTTCATCCAATCAACCCCGCCAAGGCACCCCTACCGGACGATCATTTTCTCTGCTCGGGACTGCGCTGCAACTGCATCGCTATGATGTGCACCCGCCGAGTGCACGGCGACAGGACGATCCACAACGGGGCTCCACGACCTTGGCAACAAGACGTCTTGTCGTTGGTCGGAGAATAGAGCACAGCGCACACCAGCTACCTCGCCAGCCTCGCCCTCGATAAAGTTTGTGCTTGGCTTTGGCGGGACCTCTCATCGACCTCTCATCTGGGTCTTCCGCCAGATCCTTGGCGATCTTTGGCTGAGGCCTGTTGTGCCACCTCGTTACCCACCATGACCACGCACACTGTGCCGAATACATATTCTCGGCCCCTTCTGCGTGACGCTGCCCGCCATGGCGTTCCAGTGTATCTGAAGACAGCCAAGCACCCAATGCAATGTCCACGGCGCACGAGGTATCAGCGAAACAGCAGATGGCATGCGCGGGCGGGCGGGCCCTTCTGAGACCGGCGGGGGCACCTCGTAAAAAGGTGCTGCTTCAGAAAGCAATAGTTCCAGGCGAACGGGCCGCTGGTGCACTTGCTCATTGGAGACATCGCCTCGTCCACAGGGCCGCCATAATAGGGCACACGGGCAAACAGGTCAGCTTGCCGACAATCAAGGTTGACCTGCAACCGTCTTGTCGGTATTCCTGGCCAGCGGACGACCCATGCCGCTACCAAGGTCACAGCGGCCCAATCTACGCCTCCGTGCTGCCCCGACTCCGAAGAGCACGAGGGTACTCCTTTATTATCGATATTGACATCGGCCCCTTGAAACCACCAAAGACTAACCCACCCTCTGTCCCTGGCGTTCGCTGGCAAAAAGGAGCAGCCACTGCGAGTGCGAGGGTGACATCACGTCAGAACCCGCAACTCCTGCTCAAACAACAGTCCTGGCTGGCTCATTGGCTGGGGTTGCTGAACAGCCATTGTTTTGATTACCGACAGGGGCACGGCCAAGAGCCTTCGATTTGGGGGGGAGGGGGGGCATTTGTGTGACCGCGCCAGAAGAGCATCAACGTCATCCATAGGGCTTCCCAGACTTTCGCTTGAGGACTTTTCTCCCTCATCGCCATGCGTCACGACAGCAAAGACACGACACCGGCAGTCAGCCATACTTTTATCACCTCGATGACCGATCAACCTCTGGCCTGAATAGACCTAATCGCCTACCCGCTGATCGTAGGTTCGCCTCGCGATTATGTCCCTGTCTTTGTGCGTCAATATGATCACATTCGATCCAAGACTGAGGTCCAACACTTCTTGAGAGGTCTTTGTAAAGTGACACTGACCTGAGTAGATATTTGCTCATGGATAAGCCCCACGGGGAGGGGGCGCTTCCTTGATATGGCAAGCACACGCCGCTCGTGGGCCCAGCAACCACCATTTCTGGAGCCGAATCTTTCGATCATACAGCGGCAGAGTATGTGGATGTGACGCCTATCTTCTCTCATGTGACTGGTATCACTCTGATGGTGTAACACCCTCGGCCTGCTCCGCGAGGCTGCCTGGTAAGGCATGAGACATCTGACGCTTCTGGATCTGTCTTGGTCGTCCCTATAAGGACGACCCTCCGCTATGGGATCATGTGAAGGATCGGGCTGATTATGCACAATCTTCGTCTTTGCAGCGGGTGTCTTGGATCCTGCACCTCGCAACTGATCCAGATCTCCGGTCGCTGGGCTTGAGAAACTTTCTAGACTCATGCTCTCAGTCATCCCTCTGGACCACGATCCCACCCAAGGCTGACTTGGAGTCATCACAATGAGGTTTATCAGTCCACGACTGCCCAAATTCGAGTGAATCTGTACCGCAAAGTGCAATAGCCGCATCACCCAGCATCTTGAATACGCATACAAGACCACTTCTGGGGCTGTTTAGATTCAGTGCCTCGGATCAGGCCCACCTAGGCTGACGGCATCACAACCCACCACATTCCGCTTACACATAAACAATCATGTGCCTAGATATCGCTTCCGGTTCCCCGAACTCCTTGCGTCACTTGCGACTCAGACCCACGATCCTCTTCGGCTGTCTGCAGTAGTCTTTGCCCAGAAAGCCATGCCGGCCCGGCTGTGCGGTGCTATCCAGCAAGTCGGATAGGAGCCATGGTTGCAACTTCATACAGCATGCCTAGATTTTGTCCCATCCGACAAATAACCACATGCTGTGAATGCCCATAAGGTGAGAGACCGTCCCTCACGGCCGAAAGGTGACAGCCTGGTTCGGACTGCCGCCTCGTGGCTTGCCTCACCATGCTGTGAACGCTGCGCATGACGATGCCGGCTTCCGGTCGCCTCGGGTGCCGAAGGAGCACCTTTTGGAAAATACAGCGCGCGGGTGGGGGGGTTCTTGGTTCAGCTGTTTCGGTCGCACGAGTGTGTGTTCATCCGATTGTAGATGCGGGGATAAACAAGACAAGATACTGGCTGGCTGGCTCAGACAGATTGGCTGGCTGGGACAATGTTTCGATTGGTGCCCAGCCGCCTAGCAACGTCAACCCATGCCCGTCTGTCAGGTCTAGCCGTCTTGTCTCGGGGGGTGGAGAGACAAGGCTTCTGGTTTGGGGGTCTATGTCCGTCCCTCTGGGATCTGGAAGCGACTTTGGGAAGTGAGGGCTAAGAGAGGGGGCTTATGTGTTTTAGATTGGAACAAGTCGAGAGGGTTGGTGGCAAGCGCGTGCTGATTGTTACGACCTTTCAGCGCACACGAGCGTAACGTGGTCTGGACCGAGGCCTGCAATATGTGTTTGGACGTGGCTACGGCAGGTAGCCGCAGCCTTCTCCCCTTATGGTGGTGTCTCCGATGCTGTGACATACACAAAGAGAAGGGCTACGCGAGAAGCAGTCAAAAGTACATGCAAGAAAATACGACCCAGATTCTCCTGCGCTCATGTTCCCTTATTGGTGTACATACCCAAACATATCCAGCCGGTCTCGCACGAACATCAAGTTAGACCCAGACGCGTGTCGTACCGTACTTGTTCGCGTCCGAGTGGTCCGGGGGTTGACCACGAGTGAGGAGATCGCTGAATCACCACACCTCGCGCTCGATGTTGATTTGGGACTGCCTTGGTTCTACACACTGTCACTGAGCATGCGCGTGGCTCGATGCTGCCGTGGAAGCCACTCTAATTTTCTTTGCCATTTTCGAACGGGGTACAGAAACTCCTAGAAATCTGGCGGAATTGTCGCCCTTGGGTCCTCACCAGCAGCGTCACCGGGAAATTCACCTTGTCTTTTAGACCAGCGTGAGGAAGCCGAAGACCAGAACCGTCGCGTCGCAATGTGCGAGCCAGTGATTGGGTCCTAAAAGTTGCCAAAGTTTCCGTGTTCTTTCGACTCTCGCCATTTCTAGAGTATGTACACACTTTCTGTGTCCACGAGATGGTACTCTCGTCCATTGCAGTCGACCAACGCCCACTCGATCTAGCAGTGTAAATGTTGGCCATTCCTATGACGACTTGGCGTCATCATACTTGGCATGTGGCTGGAATGGGATCGGTGCGTGTGCGTATATCTGTTGTGCTCGCTGGTGTACGGGGATCTTGCCAGCGGCGTCTGGGATGGTCTTCTCGAGTTTCTGTGAAGCACACGAGGTAAGTAAATACAAAAAGACAAGGTGTAATAGTGCGCCAGGGTTCGAGTCTGTCGTCAAAAGAATCGTGGGTGTTGTGGGCAACGCACCAGGTTGTGGAATACACATTTGTTCAGGCGCCACTCAGCTGGCCGGCACTGCCACAACTGCTGGTTGTTGTTGTCTAGGCACTCGTAATGGGCGCGGAACTCCTCAAGGCAAGACTTGTTGATGTCTTCAATACTGCCGTGCATGTCAGCCAGCGACTCCTATGATATAAGGCAGACAACTATCCGGATGCTCATGTCGCTGCCACCACTGCGCCCATGGACAGCCCAACCAGCATAGGTGAGCCCGCTCCGGAGTTGATGGATGGAATTTCCGATAAACCTGTAGCACGTACACGCTCCTCGCACATCGGGTGACCCGCCGGCCCTCCTTCAAGCATTCGAATTCGCCCTTGCCGGGGTTCTCGGTCTTGCACTTCATGAAATCATCGTTGTAGTCCTTGCACCGGGCACCGATGAAGAAAGAAGCTGACTGGAGGGGGGCGGAGCTGGCGCCGAGCTCCTTGACCTTGGGGATCGAGGCGGGCAGGGGGGTTGTGTCGATGAGATGCTTCTCACTGAATCTGTGGTTGACAGTTAGCCAGGCCGTTTCGAGATGCTCAGAGCGTCTGTGTTGGGGCTGGAGAGGCACTCGAACGCTGGTTCAATGTCCCGTGGCCGATAAAGGAACCAATTGACCTACTGGGGGTTTCGTGACGCCATCTCTGCGTTGTTTCGGCTCGGGATGAGGCTGTAAAGTGTCGAGGTCCGCGGCTTAATGACGACGGTTGGCGGTGCCGGGAGTTGGGTGAGGTTTAGCAACTCGAATGAGGCACTGCTTGATTGGCCAGTGCATGTGCTGATGTGGGGCCGGCGGCCTTGCCTGCCCGCGCGTGAGCCCAAGCTCTGGCAGTCCGGGACGCAATTGTGAGGGAACTGGACTTTTTCGAGCAGCTGGAGACGCGCTCTCGACCATCCAAGTTGCCGCAGCGACACCTGATACCTGGCCCACGCGCTCTCTTTGTATCGTGAGCCGCCTGCGAAACGTCTTTCTAGGACAGTAACACATTTCTTGTGTGCAAATTATCATCCGATCCACGCCATTTTTGCTTCTCTGTTACGGTCGGCGCAGCGGGAATGTGTTGATAGCCCTTTGTTTTTTGTCCAGCTCGCCGGCGTGGGCGACAACCCCCCTCCCCCCGCTGATATCCTTTTGCCTACGACTTGTCCATCCCGCTTCGACCTGGGAATAAGCACTCGCTGCCCTGTATCGCGATGTCTTTATTTGGCGGCGGCTCGTCGCTGTTCGGTGGCGGTACTACGAACACGCAAGCGCAAGCGAACCCTTTTGGGCAGTCAACAGCAACGCAACAGCAACCTGCGCCGATGCAAAGCATCTTTGGCCAGAACAACAATGCGAACAATCAGCAGCAGCAGCAGCAGCAACAACAGCAGCAGCAGCAACAGCAACAGGCTCCTCTCGGCCAGTCCATCTTTGGGCAACAACAGAATAACCAAGCTGCCAACTCGGCATTTCAGCCTGGCACTCAACCTCAACCTTGTATGTTGACTTCCTTCTACGACCGTCCATCAGAGCATATTTGCATTCTGATCATACATATGTGGTACATGGCCACCAGAAATGGCTAACTTGCGACCGGATCACATAGATGGCAAATCCATCCCCGAACAGATGCAGCTGGTCCTTGCCAAATGGCAACCAAAACAGCCAGACTGTGTATTCAAATACTATTTCTACAACAAAGTCGACGACGCCCACATACCCTTCTACCACCCCGGCGAGCACGAGAACGCCAAAGAATGGGAGGAAGCACTACAGAACAAGCCCGCACCGGGCCTGATGCCCGTGCTGGCTTCTGGCTTTGAGGCTGTTGCGGAGCGGCTCAAGGCGCAGCGTGTCGCGATTGGCCGATTCAACCAGCGACTGCACGAGATCAACAACTGCCTCGATGCGATCCTGTCGAAACATGACCTGGAGTGGAGTGTGCGGACAATCAACGCGAGGCGGAAACATGATGCTCTGCGCCGGCGGACCCTGGTTCTTGCCAGGAAAGTGCAGGTCCTCCGAAACAGGGGCTACGCGCTTTCGGGCGACGAGGACGAGCTGAGGATCAAGTTGGAGAACATGGAGAAGAGCGTCCAGGACCCAGCAGTCAACGCGAGGCTGGAGGAGCTATGGAGTCGGTTGATAATGCTCAGGGAGAGAGCACAGATCCTGCAGTCGGAGCTCCAGAAGAAGGGGCTGGGCGAGGACCAGAGCCTGGGTGAGGAAGTGGAGGTCAGAGTCAAAAAGGTTAGACTCCGCCATTCGTGCCCCGGGACACTTGAAACTAACCGGCTTTCACAGATCGTCGAGGATTACGAGAAGCAGCTCCAGCATCTTAAGAAGGAGTGCGAACTCATCAAGCGCGACTTTGAGGAATGGGAGAAGGAACACCCCAAATAGAGCTGCCAGTGGTCTGCTCACTCACAGCTCTCACAATGCTCTGACCAGTTTTGATACTTCGGCCTGGGACCCGGAATCCTCAACACTGTGGACCCGTGATGCCGTTGGGGTTTTGCACCTTGAGATCCAATTCCCGGTAGGCCTACTGTCTTCTGGAAGCCCGGATTGGGATTTCATAGGCGCACCACAGGCAAGGAAACGGGGGCTTGGAACGTCCCAGGCTGTCTCGGCTATTGCTACAGATGCTAGGTCGTTTTCGCTGACTATACCCTACATTCCCATCACCAAATAATCGAGCCGCCAGTAGGTGAGCGTTCGCCTAAGGTCGGAGGCGTCTCGGAGGTTGAATAGACGCCAGGAGCGGCCGTAAAGAGCTTGGACAACCAATGGGCCAAGGAACAAATAATACGGAACAGGGAAGGCATTGAGCCCAGATTCAGTGTCATGCAAATCAAAGAAGCCACCTTGGGAGCAATACCCCTTGTTAACCTGCCGCCCAAGAGACGGATGTGATCTCTATTACAATGTATATATAGGTATGCAAACGTGGCGCCGCCTGGGCTGCTTTCAAGAGACGGCTTCAGGCAGCTTCCAGGCAACCATGTCCTCCCGCACGTCGAACTCGTTGACCTCCCTCACGCTCTTGAACCCGCTCCTGCCCCTCTCGCTCTCAATCGTGGCAGCCAGGCTCGAAAGGCTCTCGCTCCGACCGCGCATGCCCGCCGAGCTCGGCGGCCTCCCGCTATCCTTGCTCCCATCTCGCCTGTGCCCGCTCGGTGCACGCGGCCCGCCGTGATGTGACGGCGCGTGTTCATGCCTGCCCGTCACCGTGTGCCCGCTCTCCCCGCTTCCGTGGCGCGAGTGGTGCCTCTTCTGCCCGCCGACCCCGCGCCTGTCGCTAGGCCGCAGGAACTCGTCGTCGCCGGCGCTCCCGCTGTCCTCGCGCTTGAAACCTAACCTGCCGGCGGCTCGCGACAGTGAGAGGCGCGAGCGGCGGTGGCTATGGTGGCCCCTGGGCGTGACGTCACCCGCAGCGGTGGGGGACGCGACGGGCGAGCCACCGTCGGGCTCGCCGAAGCCGTCGCCGCCCTCAAAGATGTCCTCGATGCATTCGTCGGCGGGGAGCTCGCCGGGCTGGCACGCCCAGCTGGCGGCCAGCGCGCGGCGGTACATGTCCTGCAGCTCGTAGACATCGCGCGATTTGCCGTTGTTCTTGCCGAGCGAGAACTGCGCGCCCAGGTTGCCGCCGCTCGGGTCCTGCGCGTCGTCCTGCAGGTTGAAGTGGCCGAACTCGGCAGCCGCCGAGTCCGGCCCTGCTACCGCCCCGCCGGGCCCGCTAGCTGCCTCGGCCACCATGCCTGCGATGCCGCCGAACACGGCGGCTGTCTTGAGCGGCGGTGCTGAGAAATTGCGCTCGCCGTCTACCTGCTTCATGAGAACGCCGATCTTGAGGGTGCTGTTGATCTTGGAGTCCTGCATCAAGTAGCGCCGAATGACACCATCATCGACATGCTGCTCTGGGGCAGGCTCGTTTATCGAGGGAGCCTTGTTGTTGTTTGGGACGTCATTGGAGTTCGATTTCGAGGGTTCTGCTGTGGACTTGGGGCTGCCGGCCGAGTCCGGGGTGACGGGTGTGTGTTGTGACAGACTACTTCTCTTCCGTGTGTGTGACGAAGAGTTATCGTTGCCAGCAGAGCCCTTTGTGTTGCTGCCGACACTGGGGCCCCGACTCCGGAACGGTGCCTCGCGCACCACGGTTTCGCTCTCCTCGACGTATTCGCTGAGGTTCAAAGCCACCTTACCTAGCGTGATGGTCTCGGTCCTCCCGGTGACGCCGTGGGTGCTGAACTCCTGCAGGACCTCGAATTCGATCAGGCACTCGGACAGGTTGTTGTTCTTGTCGATGCCGATGCGCACGGGGATGACCTTGCCATAGCCGTACTCTACGCGGTGGTTGGCGATGGGGCACTTGGCAGTCCGCCCGCGGTGCTCGCCATGGATAGAGTGTGGTAGATGCCATTTTATGAGCGAGACGCCCTGGACCAAGGGTACGTTATTGAGGTCGTAGATCTTGGGGATTGTCAGCTATCGTGGCCGAAGGCAATTAAAAGGCAGCAAGTAGTAGCCCTGCCATGTAGGGCAGAGTTCACGTGCCTTGAGATGTACGTCGAATTTGGGCTGTGGGTTATGAGTTAGCCAATGGTAGTCTTCCGAAATAGTGGTATTGTTCTGAGGCTGTCGCCTTTTGGCGGAGACGTATCGTGAAGTAGTGCAAGGGATTTTGATAGACTCACCCTCCGAGCCTTGTTGACTAGCGGGAGGTTTTTGACGTTAGTCCAAGCCATAGCCCCAGGCGAAAACGAGTAGCTATGAGCATGTAGCAGGTGAAATTGTCGTGCATGGGTGGTGGGTCTGGGTCCCGAAGGCGGGTGTGTGAAGAAGCACGAGTTGGGTCAATCTAAGAGGGAGGGTAGGTGTTGGGTGGGTACTACGAGGCTGGGGTGAGGGATAAGAAGAGAAGAAGAGGCGGGTGAGGCGGGTGAGGTGAGACGAGTGAGCGGGAAGGAGCGCCAGCACTGGCAGCAATTGGCAACAATGGCAGCAATGGCAATCGGTGGTACAGCAAGCAGCGCTCCCTTCGCTTGATTCACCCTGTCTCACCCAGGGAAATGGCAGATGACGGAGCTTGACATTGAGCTTACTGAGATGTGCCATGTCTGGCTGGCTGCTGTCAGGATAAGCTCAAGTGCAGATGCAGGCGCAAGGACGGGCGGACGCCAACGCCAGCGAGAAAGGGCCCCGGCCCCCTTTTGGGGCTTATTATGGCAAGGCAGCTATAACAGGTGCAGCAAGGCTGCCGAAACGAAGAGGCATTAATATCCGTATGTGTCGTAGGAGGCTGGCGGCAGTCCAGTCCAGGCCAGGCCAGGCAGGCTCTTGGTCCCCAGACCTCCGGGAGGGCCGGATGACGGAGCCGTCGGTGGCTGTTGGTGCCGAGTGAAACACGGCGTGCGGGACTGGGACTGTGTAGATTGTAGATACCTTGGGTGGCAGGTAAGCAGCGCCGTAGCGCAATGACGACGTCCGAGGGATGTCCGTCCGGGGCTCCTGGCTTGTCGATGGGAAGCAAATGGTCTGACTTGACGCGATCCGGGATCCGGGGGCTGGTCTGTCTGTCAGCCTGGTTGTTGCCATGTGAAATCCAACAGGCAGACAATCCCGGGAAGAGACGTACGTGCAATTAGCGATGAGTTGGTTTCGACTTTTTTTTCTCCCAACCACTTCTCAGCAATGAGCAGAGCCGGCAAGCAAGCGGTAGTAGATGGGCTTGCAGCTTGTCGACATCGACATCGACACCGAGAAAGGAGAGACGTCAGAGCGCTAATAATGTAACTCGGCTGGATCATGCATCCAATTCCTGTGGGGCCTCTAAGATGGCCCAGCTGCCCAGGGGCCCAAAATGGCAGAATGGCCCACGCACTCAGGAGGCAGTCTGCCAGTCTGCTCGTGCAGGGATGAGCCGCTCAGCTCACACTAGTACTCCGTACGGAGTACCAGAGTACTTCCAGCTTCCGATAAGATAAGAGCTCACTCGACTTTTTGGAGGTGCATGGAACAGACGCGGCCAGTTACATACATCAACCAGCAGGCTGGCTTATTTACTGGGAACGACCATGTGAATGCTCACGAGAAAAACACAACCAACAACATGGCCCCACAGCCTGTGAGTACTGGAACGAAGTCTAACAACACCACCAAACGGAAAGATGTGCCGCAAGCCCAGGGCGCGGGCCGCGCATTCAAGCGCGTCAAGGTCCAAGATGCGCGTTCTATCCGATCCCAGCCTGCAGATGCCGCTCTAAAGGATGGTGAGCTGGATCTCCAGGCATTTCTGGACGCGCGCCAGTTTGAGATTGGGGCTCTCCAGGATGGCATGCGCAAGTCCAAGGCCCTCAATAACCGCCGTGCCTTCCAGCTCGTGCCCAGGGAGATGCGCCGCCGGACCGCCTCTCACAATGTGAAGAAGCTGCCCAAGCGCTTGCGGAACAGGGCGAGGCGGGAGCAGGTCCAGGACAACACCCCTACCGTCGTGGCCGGGAAGAGGAAGCCCAAGACTACAAGGGCACGCATACGCCTGGAGGCGGCCAGACGATTAGGCATCCTGGCGGACAAAAAACGCAAGCGCAAGTTGAGAGAGGCCAAGGCCAGGGCCAAGGCCTCCGGCGGCGCTGGTGCGAAGGAGGAGGCTTCTGCTGCGTTCAAACAGTTGATCGAGACCAGGCCAGCAAGACCAAAAATACGGAGAAACTTGTTAAATGACCCGCCAAAACCAAAGGCAAAATTCAGGAAACGCCAGATCGAAAAGACTTGGCTACCTACACATCTTTGGCACGCAAAACGGGCAAGGATGACGCCCCCCAAGGATCCCTTGTGGCGATTTGCCATTCCCATAACGCCCAACGAAAAGGTCTACCGGGCAACGCATCGAGCTGCAAGCATTCAAGGGGCAGTAGTCTGGGATATGAGTTATATGAGTACCATCGGCATGTACGGTCACGGACCGGGCGTTGAGAGGACTTTGAGGTCCTTGGGCCTGTCCCACGATAGCCTATGGGACGATCGAGGCAAGAAGTGGAGAGACGGCCGGCGCAAGTGGTCGGGCATGATTAGCAGGCAAGCTGGCGGGGATACCAGGAGACAAATCGGCCCTGCTACCATCATATGGAATCCACGACCAGTCGCTACGGACAGACACGCTTCGGACGCCGCAGAAACCGATCACCTCAAAAGGCCAGAAAGAGTCGAAAGACAGCTCTTCGTGCGGGTGCACCCATCATGCTTCCTGGAAGTATTTGATTTGCTCGTTTCTCTCACCAAGCGAGAGCAGCCCCGCCTCTACATAGAGGACCTCCGTTTCGAAATCGGAAGCATCGAGCTTGTAGGCCCTGGCACAGCAGAGGCCCTCTCCGGAATTTTAGCCCCATACTACAGCAGTGAAAAGTCGAAAGAGGCTCATACAATGCAGCCGGAGTTCTTGGCTGGGATTAACAATACCGCGGCGCCTCAAAACGATATCGTCTGGGGTTTCTGTGCGCAGGACTCTCGCCTGCGATACCCTCCACGCACAGTACAGTCTCAGGCACCCGGCAAAGAGCCAGCCGCTGGGGCTCCTAACACGGCTCATGTCACATCAGATCAAGAGAAGCCTAGGCCCTTCCTTCTTTTTGACCGTGACGCCCGATTTAAAGCCGCCTCTTTCCCCTCGCAGAAGTCTATCAACAGGCGGAAAGGCTCTAATCCACCAGGGCAGCCCCTGAGCGTCACTCCTGCAGATCCGCCCTTCCCCATGGTGCTGTTCACCTCTCGAGGCGCTGCTACAAAGCACTCCCAGGTCTCTTGGACGCTGCTTGCCCCTTTCAAATGCATCCTGCCCATATGGTACAGTCTGGTGCATTATCCAATGTCGACCGGTGGAAATCCCAGGGTCGGGGGCTTGGATGAGCTGCGCCAGGTGACCTTTGAGCAGGGCATGCCTTGGTTCCCGGGTGATTTCCCGGGCACAAACGCAGGTGTCGACTGGGAGCTTGACCAACGGGCGAAAAGGAAGGCCGACTGGGCAAAGAGACCCAAGTCGAAGAGAGTTGCATGGGAATCTCTTGACCTAGGGGCTGGTCGTAAGGGAGAAATCGGCATAGGCTGGGCATGCGAGTTTGAGAGATTATTTGGACTGCAACTCCATGAAGAGAATTGCTCATTCGATAAAAAGCACCGAAATGCCAACTCGCCGCCGCGGATCAGGCCAGAGGAAAAGGAAGCAATGGATGTCGACGGAGGCGAAGCCGCATCTACCCAAGAGAATCCCTCGGCAACCGACCAAGGAGAGCCAAAGTTCAAGCAAAAGTCATCTACAGCGCAGGCACCTCATCCTTTAATGCTCATACATCACCTTCGAAAACACACTTTCAACGCGCTAGTGTCCGGGGTGGTCAACGGAACGCCACCGCCATATTCTATAGTCACTATCAAACTCACGGTCCTCGGTCGTGGCGTGGCCCGGCCATGCGCTCGTATCTACCGCCTCCCAGCACGAAACGACACGCCGATTGCCTCTACTCAGCCAGAGGTCCCGGCGACGCAACCTCCATCACAAATAAAGGAACTTCCCCCAGACCTGCGCGACCAGTGGCTCGCCCAGGTCCACGGTTCTCCGGCTAAAACACGTTCCTCCACGGACAAGAGCGGCAACCAGCCCCGCCGTTTCCCCGCCGGCGCGGGCTTTGAAGCCCAGAAGGTTCTGCTCGCGCAGACCCTGTTGACCAGTGAGATCCCCTTCCCACCTCAGAAGACCGCAGGTGGCAGCGGCGACCACCCCCTTGTACCTGGCGAGGAGGACCTCATCGGGTACGTGACCAAGGGGGAGTTCTGCCTCGCGCAAGGGCAGGCGTTGGCAATTGGGAGTATTTCTGCTGAGAGGGCCCTGGAGGCCCTGCGCACTGGGGCTGAAAAGGAAGGAAGGATTTGTGTGGTCAGGAATGCGGGTGAGGAGGTTGGATGGGTAGCCAGATGGGATTTGGTGTAATCAACCCGGTCAATAGTAACCTTCTCTACAAGTGCAGCCCACGTTGCGCCCATGTTTATGTCCAAAAAAACAGCCTCAGATTGGAGGAATACGAATATGATCACGTGCTGAAGGTCATCTAGAACTGACCGTTGGACACTTGGATAGTCCTTGATGCTCTTCATTTCCGACTTCGTCGATATGCGAGCCTGCGAGTCTATAACCACGACCAACGCCACAGAGCTTACTACTCTGAGCTCAAATGACTGCTTTTAGGTAGGTGAGGCAAACACATTACCGAGCATTCTCAATGTGGCGACTCTGCCTGTGTCCCCTTAGATTCAGATCCCATGCTTGCATGTGGGGAACTTGACTGGTGCCTGTTCCAGGCCCTTCCCACCGCATTCGTCTCAAGCCCTCATCCGTTCTGAGACCACTGTTACTCTCAAAACTGACAGAGGTCAAGTCGGGGACTATATTAGATAGAGTGTTCCGGCCCATGCAACAGCAGTGCATATTTTTGACCTATCCATGCCTACACAGGTAGGGGGACAACGCACTTGCGCAATTCGAAGTCACCTTAACATCACTACAACAGATCGATCCCCCATAGACCGTGGTCAAGACCTTTAGCTACGACGCGCGGAAACTTATGTTTGGGCTGCTTTCAGGGGGTACCAGGAGTCAAGATGTACAGGTGTCGAGATGCCGTGTATGTTTGTGTTTATGTTTACGTACCTTAGGTATTTACTGATTCATAGGATTTCTAGGTTAATGGACTACGTGGATTTTTGTCAGGCTATCTAGGTATGTTGAAAAATAGTTACCGGGGGTACAGGCCTCCAAGTGTTTCGGTTCTTCCAAGTTTAATTTGAATATTTCAGAAGATCAGTAAGTGCAGGTGTTTAATTTTAATAGAACGGAACTTAAATATTCCTTTGACTTGCAATTCGATGTCCAGATAACGTGTAAGCTGGCTTCTAAAAACCTAAATCTTGTGCCAGAAGACTTCATGCGTGCTTTCTACATCTAAGCTGCCTGCGCCCAAGGCTCTTTGTGATCTACTCTGTGAAGAGACATTACTCTGGGCAATGATATTGGAGATCAAAACTATTGTTGTGTTCTACTTATTATAATCAATAACTAGTTTTGCTTCTAATTATTCTGCATACGTCTGAGGACATACATAGCGCCTTCATACGGTAGTAAACACTCAAGACCCAGTATTTTTTTTAAAAAAAAACATATCATGTCTATGATAGTGGTCAAAATACGATAGGCGTACGTGACCTCAGCCTTGCGACGCACAGACAAGGCCAAGGGGCACCGTCTTGACGGTTCCAATCAATAAAAGCTACATTTCCCAAGTATTCATAATATAACAAACATGTACAGGCACCTAACTATGAGTTCGGTGCTTGATTGGATCTAGGTGAGACCAGTAGCTAATATTAACATCCAGCTATCAGTCATGCTTCAATGCTTAAGAAGGACCGTCGGGGACGTTGGCCCAGGTGTAAAGTACGGTCTATGAGCTCCACCACGGCTACGGTAGCTGAGAATAGTCGCTCAGCAACGTCACTGTCTTTCTCTCTTATTTTTTGGCATGGATTGCTAATCTGGCCCTGAAAGGATGTATACTTGTACACAGAGACACACAATTTGTCCCAAGTACATCTGGTATTTCAAATCAACCATCATCACGAACACGACTGGAGCTAAGTTGAAGGACCCAATACACTCGGCCGATTCGCCGCGCGCGGATGATCTTTTACCGCAGTCAGGCCGGCGGTAAGATCAACCTGTGCGCCCGACCAGAAGACCCAGACCCGAAAGGGCGCAACAGCCTCCTCGATCGGGAAGATCATCCACTGTCCCCAAGATGCCCGACGCGCCGGGTCGCCGGTGAGCTAGTGCCTCTCGCCTACCCGTCAGTCTTCGGCTCCGAGAAGCTGACATGCAGAAACGAGGACGCTACGCGGCGAGGAATCTCACAACCCACGTGCGCGATTCAGATCAACATCCCCGTTTTTGTATGCGCACTCCATGCACGAGGCGGGCCGTGGTGGGGACGATAGGTTGAATCTGCTCGGAATCGCTACGCTTGGATGGGTCGACGTCCAGCACTGGCCGACTTCAGGAGGAGCTAGAGTTTGGACTTTGAAGGGCTTCTACCCAAGGGGACGCGATGACTTGGAAATTCTCAGCCTGGGGCGCAATCAGGTATACTTCATCTTGAGGAGAGAAGTTGTCGTCCCCATCTCATCATACAGTACAGTGCCCGTGGTGTTGCAGCCGGAACACAAGGTAGCATTCTGGCCATGTTACCCACCCACCCGCAACGCGTCCCACTGGAGCTGTGTCAGGTGCGAGACAAGGATTCATCATCTTGGAGATCTCGAAGGAAAAGATGGCCTCATGGTTCGAGGGTAGAGTCTCTGCACACAGTGAGCGCTCTGTGGCAGTGCCTCTGGCTGGATCAGCGCCACTAGAGCCCACTATCTCTGAAACATATAGAGTATAATGTTTCATTTCCTGAACGGAGCCTAGCGAAACATTATTCCCGAGACATTACTCGCAGTGTGTGATATCGCAACCGGAGAATCCTGGTGTAGCGGCGGCCGTTCTTAGTAAGGAAGCCCTGGAGCGGCTGAGCTTTGAATTTCAGACAGGGCGTCATGCTCCGCGGCCTCTACAGAGCCCAAGATGAGGCGAGGAAAGAGCACACATCTGGCCCAGACAAGGAAGGGAGAAAGGGGGATGTAGCATGTGCGCCCAGAGTACGGTGCCCAGACTTGCATACCGCCCTGGGGGATTCTGGTAAAGAGAGGCAGCCATGCGACGGCTGCACCTGTAGTGTCGAGCTGGCGGGAGAAGAGAAAGAAGTTTCTCTCACCGTTCCCCGGTGTCACCGTTGCAGTAGCGTTGCAGCTGCCAGCAGATCGTGCAGCACCGTACGAGCTAGCGTACGAGGACTCGAGGCAGCTGAAAGAGGGCCCACCGACGAAGCCGGGGTGCTCGGCAGGAAGCCCACCCCTGGCTGCCCTGGCCAGCAAGACTCTACTCCGTAGGCGGCGGTGGGTCGCGAGATGCATGGCCATGTGGCCGTGGCTATGTGCGTATACTATGTAGTACTCCGTAGAGCACGGCAGTGGGCTACCTCGCCGCACACATGCCGCTGGCCGCAGCACTGGTACCCGTGGGGACAGATCAGCGAGCGGAGCCCATCCCTGTGTGTTTAAGCTCCACGGCTTCTTCCCGTGTGCCGTGAAGAGATTGTGGAATTGCCATCGGGTGCTGCGAGTGCCAGCTGGTTCAAGTTGGGGCTCGGAGAGATCGCCCAGCTGAGGAAAGATTTTTTTTTTTTTTCGTTGGTTCTTTTCTGTCACGAGGGTCCCACAGTGGCATTGCAGTGGTGTGCGGTCTCCGACTCAACTGTCCCCAGCGACGGGCTGTTTCGAAAGCTGCGAAGCGAGCATATGAGGTTGGATGATGTGAGGTCGAGCTTGCTGTCTAGCCCCTGAGGCGGCCTGGAGCGGGAAAACGGACCAGGGTCTTCGGGCCAAGGGGACTCCCTGTTCGAAGCACGAACGCCTGCTACGCCTACGCTTTTGGACTCCTTCCCCACAAAGCCCTTGGGGGGAGGTTCTAGAATCTCCACATCAGGGACCCTTGAGTGGAATCTGACATTCGACGGACAATTCAACGACCAGTTTTTTCTCTCGTGTTGCGAGGGGATCCCGGAGGGCTGAGGGCCCTGATAAGCAGGCCACACGCATGCACATGCGCTGGTCGCGCATCCGGGAAAACACCTGTCCTGCGATCTTCGAGAATGCGGTGAGGTGGGCGTGAATATGACATTGCCCGCCTGCCCTCGGCCGGACACGACGGCCAGCCAGCCAGCCAGCCAGGCACGGGCGCCGGAGCTTGGGACAGGCTGTGGATCTGTGTTCAATCAGGGGCAAATTATATGAATCGACAGCGGGGGGCGATTGGCGGTCCGGGGGTGGGACACGAACACCGCTCCGTCGCAGGTGGTTTTCACATAAATATCGTGCCGGGTTCAGCCTCCAGATATGTTGAGGACGCGAGGAAACGACTGCAAAACCTCAACCGACCCGACCCGACCCTCTTTCAAAACATCTAGACTGTCTCATTTGCTCTTCGTATTGCGACTCGTGCTGCAGACTGCCACCCTTGCCTGTTTCCACTCCTTTAGTTCTCCATTTCCTATTCCGGACACAGGCGGTGAGGATTCGAGATCCACCGTGACTTTTTTTCCACGTTCGGGATGCCGCCAAAGGGTACCAAAGAAGGGTCGCATCACAAGTTCTTCTCACTACGTGGCAAGAAGAAGGAGAACCGTGTCAAGAAGGGCCTGTCCGAAGCACTGGGAGCATCCCTGGGGGCCATCGGCCTCCGACCCGAGGACGAAGGTGAGGCCCTACTCCGTACCTAGCCCGACCACAACCACCACGCATGCCCCATTTGACACGTTGCCCATCCCCATCAATAAAGTAATAAACGCGTCACCTTGCAGTTGCATCAACTGACAACAACACCCGTCTTCTCCCCAGAAGCCAGCAGCGTCTCCAGCAAATCCTCCGCCCCAGGCACTCTGCAACACCAGGCATCCCGAGATTCCCTTCAATCCCTTGATATGTCCCTGTTCAACCACCTCAAGAGATCCTCCAAGCACGACAAGTCAGGAAGCTCCTCCCGCTCCAACTCTGTCGAGCCCTCCAGAGAGGTCCCCCGCATCATCACCACCACCCACGCCCCCTCCATCGTCAACAGGGATCTCCTCAAGCCCAACATGTCCCGCCCTCAGGTCCAGGACCGCGCGGTCTCTTCCACATCCGCCTTCTCCGCTGCCTCGGAATCTACCATCGCGCCTGAGGAGGAGACCCGGAATAGGTCCAGCATCCTCGACCGGGCAAAGTCGGCCATCCGGAGCCGGTCCGCATCCCGCAACCCCTCCGAGTCGCCCGACAGTGCCAGCAGGAAACAGCTGGCCCCGAGGGGCAACCACATCGTGACTGATGCGGTCAACACCTTCCGCGCCAAGCTCCAGGCCGAGGTCAAGGGCACAGACGAGCAGATACTGTCTGCCGGCGTGTCAAGCGAGAACCTCTTCGGCTTCATCGCCAATGAGCGTCTCAGGAGAATGCCCGCCAGGGGCAGCCGCTGGGACAAGATCCTCAAGTGGGCTGAGGACTTTGCCAAGAAGCTGTCTCTCTTCGAGGTGGCCGACGAGAACTTCATTCCTTCCTCCAAGGAGGCCGTCGAGCTGATTCTGGCTTCCATTCAGCTCCTCCTTCTGGTGGGTCCCGGCTCTTTTTGCCTCGTCGAGGGATTCTGTCGACTAACGTGTTCCAACAGCTTGGCCCGCAGAACGGCGAGGCTCTGGAGAGGGCCTTCGGCATCTACCACGAGTATGGCCTCACCTTTGACTTTTATAAACGTAATATCAGCCTTCTCGTCTCCATCTCAGAGGCCAGGAGGTACCTCAGTCTGTCGCTGGCCGACATGCTTGGGCTTTCGGTTGAGATGACCATTCTCTACCGCAAGAGCGCCCGCTCCATGACCACCAGCAACAGCGTCACCATCAACTTCAACCTGACCTTTGGTCACCGGATGGAGTCCTTCATCAGCCACAAGGACCGCATTGCCGAGCTGATGTGGACATGGCAGCTCGAGAACTCGGCCGAGATCAGTGGTGAGTGTCGATGTTCCCGTTTTTGTCATGATTGGTCGTGTGGTGCACTGCGGGAGGTAGAGAGGCTGAAGACGTGTGGTTGCTGAGTCAGCCTCGTCGGGAGCCTCCTCCAGCCTCACCATGCATCACCCCTGTTCCCCCAGCCACCCACCCGATCTACATTCTGGGTTGAACCTTTCAATCAGCAGCCCCCCCACCCACCTCTCACCTGTCACTGACAAAATCTCCGCAACAGACATCCAGGTGTCCATCGAGAGCATCCGGCAATGGCTGCTTCCCCAGGATCGCCAGCTCCAGGCCCAGGTGGCCGGCCGCCGTTCTGTCCGCACCCCCCGTGCAGAGTTCACGTGTGAGTGGCTCGACCGGCCCCTGGTTGAGTTCGCCCGCAGCAGAGACAGGGTTTTCACCATCACAGCCGAGGCTGGTGCCGGAAAGAGCTTCCTCTTTGGCTGGATCCTGGAGCGTCTCCAGAGGCGCGTGGGCCACCATGAGTACCAGGCTATCTCGGCCTCTGTCGACAGCCAGGTCCCTGCCCAGGCCACCCAGATCGCCCTTGTCAAGACCCTGTTGCTGCAGCTCCTCGAGCAGAACGTTGGCAACGTCGCTCTGTTCCGCTGCCTCGCCAACGTGACCGAGCTCGGTGCCAACACCAGCAGCACCCAGGATGCTGAGGATGCTCTTTGGTACACCCTCGATACTGCCCTCCAAGGCCTCGAGAATGTTGTGCTCGTCATCGACGGCCTGGACTCTCTCGAGGGCGACGAGGAGGAGAAGATCGAGGCTTTCGAGCACCTCCACGAGATCGCCACCAAGAACAAGAACAACGTGCGCGTGATCATTCTGAGCCGTCCGCTGTCTAAGCCCTGGCCCAAGCCCACGCGCCAGATCGCCATGACGGCTCAGCGCACCACCGTTGATGTCAGGCACATGGCTCGTGCTTGGCTCATTAGCCGCAACCTTGGCACTAAGCAGGAGATTGAGGAGATCTCTGAGCAGATTGCCGTCCGCAGCAAGGGCTCCCTCACCTGGGCTGACATGTCCCTCCAGCTTCTGTCCAAGGCCAAGACTACCGCCGAGGTCACCGCTGCTGTCAAGGAACTCCCAAGTACCACCAACGAGATCCTGGCCAAGCACGTGAGCTCAATCTCACTGAGCGGCGATGCTCGTCTGATCATCGCCTGGCTCCTCAACTCCAAGCGACCTCTCACCACTGTAGAGATCCAGGCTCTGCTTGAGCTTGATACCCAGAAATTCGCCCACCAGCCTCGCTCCACCAACATCGTCGAGGACATCAAGAAGGCCTGTGGATCTCTCGTCATTGTTCAGGACAAGACTGTCCGCTTCCGCAACGAGGCTATCCGCCTGCAGCTCCTAGAGCTCAGCAAGAAGGAGAACAAGGACGGCGAGACCGCTCTTCTGACCCCTGCCGAGGCCAACAAGGACCTGACTGCTCGTCTTCTCCTCTACGTCAAGACCTGTGTCAACCGTAATGTGGACAGTAGCCTGGACACCATCACCCGCCGTGAGGTCGACAGCCTGTTCAAGAGCCACGCTCTTCTTGAGTACGCGACTCGTAACTGGCTGGATCATTTCAAGCGATCCACCTACTTTGCCAGTGGCCAGATCCAGACCGAACTTGTTACTGGGGAGCTCAAGGGTTACTTCCCCAACTCCACCCTCCTCGCCCGTTTGGAGAAGAGGTGTTGGGACAACCAGGAGCTTGCAACCACTGCCAACTCCCAGCACGTCCTCGCCCTTACAGTGCGCCGACAAGCACTGGGCGAATCCGCCCAGGTTGTGCTCCAGAGTTCCATCAACGTTGCCCAGTCCTTCAAGAAGCTCTCCGCCTCCGCCGAGGCCAGCAAGTACTTTTACCAGGCTGCCAAGATCGGGCAGACAATTCTGGGCCGCACCAGCGACCTGGCTCTTGCATGCGCCACCGAGTCCTTGGACATCTCGGCCAAGAACAAGCAGAAGGCTACCACCCGCGACGAGGCTGTCACGCAGCGCGAGGAGCTCCTCAAGTATGTCATTGAGGCTGAGAAGCAGCGCTCTGGCAACAACAGCGCTCTCGCTTCCAAGTACAACAACGAGCTCGCCGAGCTGTATACCAGTATCAAGGAGACTGAAAAGGCTGAGGCGGTGTACCGTGATGTCTACAAGACGTCGATTGCCCAGAACGGCCAGTTCTCGGCGGAGGCTACTGTTGCCGCTGAGAAGCTCCAGACCGTCCTCTACAAGAGCTCCAAGCACGAAGAGGTCGTCCAGTACACTCAGCCTATCTTTGAATCTGCCGAGCGTAACTTGGACATCTTTGATATCCGCCGTGTTGAGATCACTCTGCGCATGGCCGACACCTACGAGCAGAAGAAGGACTACACCCACGCCGAGGAGCTCTACATCTCTCTGTGGCGCGGTCTGACGGAGTACTGCCGTAGCACCTCCCTGACTGCTGCGAAGGCCACTCAGAAGTCCATCTCTGAGGCTCACGAGCGCAAGATCCAGATCAGCATTGCCTATGCACGCTTCCTGCGCCGCCAGGGTCGCGAGGCTGAGGCTCAGAACATCCTCCACGGTGTCTGGCTCGACTACCAGACCATGACTGACTACAAGTCCGAGGCTGTCGTCAAGCAGCTCAACGACGTTGGCGAGGAGCTCAAGTCCATGGGTATCCTGGACACTGCTATCGCTGTCTTCAAGTCCGTCTGGGGCTACTTCAAGGGTTCTGGCCAGCAAAACTCTGCCGCTGCCGTCAGCACTGCGGTTTCTCTCATGGGTGCTGTTCAGGAGAAGTCTGAGAAGAAGGAAGCTGAGGCCGACAAGGCCAAGGCTGCGATCGCTGCCAAGGGCGGAGTCCAGATCGATGTCGTTCTTGACACCGAGGCCGATTTCGAGGAGAGCGACGATGAAGATGATGAGGCCGATGCGATCCTGGACGAGGTGATCAAGGCTGCCGTCGCGGCTCCTGCGGCCCCCGCTGACACCAAGTCTGCGACCAAGACCAGGGAGGTTGCCGTTGTCACCATTGAGAGCCAGATCCAGACTTGCGAGACGCTCTCCAACTTCTATGTCAGCAAGAAGAAGTGGACCGAGTGCATTGAAGTCTGCTCCCAGTTGCTCAAGCAAATCTGGCCCGAGCTCGGCACATCTGCGAAGTACAGCTTCCCTAAGGAGCATCGCGAGGAAGCCATCAAGTTTACTCGCCGCCTGGCCCTGGCCTATGCTGAGTCGAACCAGACCGAGTCCGCGGAGAAGATGTACAACGCCATCTTCCAGTGCTCTCTCCGTTCTGGCCTGAAGATCCAGGATGAGTTTGTCACAGAGTCTGCCAACCAGCTCATTGAGTACCACAAGCAGACTCAGCAGTGGTCCAAGGTCCTCGCTGTCTACCAACAGCTTCTCGAGGGCTACAAGACATCTCTTGGCTCTCGAAACCCCCTGACTATCAAGACACTATACATCATGGGCGACCTCTGCATCCAGTACCGCCTGAAGGGTGCTGACCGCTACTATCTTGAGTTGGTTCGGGCTGACAAGAACCCCCAGGGCGTCATCAGCAAGGACACATTGCCAGCTGCCGTTGCCCTTTCCAAGATCTACTACGAGCAGAAGCGTTGGGCCGAGATCCGCCCTGTCTACGCCTCCCTGTGGGCAACCTTCACCAACAAGGCCAAGGAGTACAACTTCTCGACTGAGCTCGTGCAGACTATCTACAAGAGGTACACGACTGTCCTCGACACGCACCTGAAGGTGAACGTCGAAGAGGTCCGCAAGATCGCTGTTGAGTACCGCGAGACCTGCATCAGGGTCTACGGTCCCCAGGCCGATATCACACAGTCTGCGTCGCTGGCTTTGGTCGCCATCTCTCGCAAGAGCACCAACGTTGAGCACCAGCAGGAGGCTGTGAAGATTTGTGAGGAGGTTGTTGCCGAGTCCGAGAAGCGCAAGGCTGCTGAGGGCGGAAAGGAGGGCGGCAAGGCCGTTGACGCAAAGAAGTCCGCCTTCCAGCTCTCTCTCCTCGCATCCGCTAAGCGCCACCTCGCCGGTCTGTACAGTGTTCAGACCCAGGCCGGCGGCGCGGCTGCCATTGCTGCTGGGGGCGCCGCTGGTAGCAAGCCCAGAGGTGTCGTGAGCCCCGAGTCCGCCCAGAAGGCTGAGGCTCTGTGGAAGGAGCAGCTCGAGATCAACAAGAAGGAGAATGGTGTTGCTCACAAGTCAACCCTGGCCAGTCTGGCTTCCCTTGTCGGGGTCTGGGCTCGGTCTGACAAGCCCGAGGTCCGCAAGCAGGCGCAGGAGAAGCTTGACACTTCCGTGGTCGAGGTCCTCTCCGAGTCCTGCGTCTCTGGCAAGTCGAGCGTCGATTCCACCAAGCTGCACGAGTCTGGTATCACCCTTGCCAAGACTTACCTGTCTTGTGGCTTCTCCATCCAGGCTTGGGCTCTGCTGAAGCAGCTTCGCTTCCACGTCGTTGCCCGCGGCAAGATCGCTGGTTCTGTTTCTATTGAGAAGAACACCAGCATCGAGCTCAGCGAGAACATTGACCGCCGCTCCATGGTCTTTATTGCTGCGTTCGAGGAGTCCCTCCGCAGCTCCGAGGCCGCAACTGCCGCGGCCAACGCTGACAAGAAGGTCAAGGTCACATTCTCGGACATCATGACAGATCTGCTGACCGAAGGCATCCTGTACGACCGTTACAGCCTCAGCATCTCCGCCAAGGACCTGTCGGTCGAACAGAAGCTGTTCGATGGTGCTCGCCTCTACGTCTTCTTGAAGGCCAACAAGGAGCAGCATGCCGAGCAGCTCGTCACTGTGGAAGAGTCCCTCTACAAGCTCTTCACAGAGAAGTATGGAGCTTCTGTCAAGACTGAGTCGCTTGTCACCCGTGCCTTCCTCATCGCCATTATCGAGGAGCTCGGTCAGCTTCGACTCCACGAGGACGACCTCGTGTACATTGCTTGCACTTCGGTCACCGCCAAGGTGCATGCTCTTCTCCTGGTCGACAGCTATGCTCAGGCTGTCGACCTGGCTACCGTTTGGTACCAGTTCATCTCCAGCCAGAACGGCTTCAAGAACGCCAGGACGATCCCCTTCGCGTTCAAGCTTTCGCTCTACCTGGCCGGCCTGGGCGTCAAGTCCAACAAGGCAGCTGACGCCATCATGCAGAACCGCATGCTGGAGCTGTCCAAGACCATCCTCCGCGAGACACTTACCGCTTGCAGGAGCATGAACATTGACCTGATCCAGCTCCAGGCCTCCGAGCTCAACAGCTTGGTCCGCCTCATGGGTCAGCAGAAGAACTACGAGGATCTTGAGTGGCTCCTCACCCAGCTGTGGAATTCACGTATTATACAAAGTTCCTGGTCAGCAACCACAGTCATCGCCGTCGGCCGTCGGCTGGTCGAGGTCCTATTCGTCCGAGGCAAGCGAGACCAGGCGATTACCCTCGCCGAGTCCATGGCTTACAACTTGCGCCGGACATGGGGTCTGCTGGACGCGGCCACGGTGGACATGAACAACCTTCTCTCGTCGCTGTGCGTCTCCGACAAGCGGTACGCCGAGGCCCTCGATGTGCACGAGGAGATCCTGCGGGCTCTGCTCGATCTCAACATGTCTGGCGAGGACGACGTCGACGATGCCGCCTCGGAGCTCATGGACTTCGACGAGGAGAACGCCGCCGCGCTCGCCCTGCAGCAGCTCGAGCTCGTGCGCCGCGTCTACGCCCGCAACTCCGGCTGGCCCGAGTCGGATGAGCTGGACATGGCTCAGCTCACCACTGACGTGGTCTCCGAGTTCAGCCACCTGGCTCCCGATGCGTACGCGCCCTTCGGTGACGGTGACTCGTCCAAGTGGAGCAGGAACGCGCCGTCAGTCAACGACACCATTGGTACCTTCACTGCGCCCTCGGTTTGGGAGTTTTCTCTTTCCGAGGACGGCAAACCGGGCCAGCCCGCCGCGCTGCGCAAGAGCCCCAGCCACATGCTCCGCAGCCTCCAGCTGTCGCGCCAAAGGAGCTATGGCGACCTCTCCGAGGCCCGCAAGAGGCTCGGTGACCAGAAAAGCGGCCCAGCTACCAGCAATGCGTTGCTCGCCGCGCCTGCTCATTAAGCGGGTGCTTGATGCCTTAGACAGCATCGGGAGAGAGGACGAGCCCGGAGGGCCTATATTCACATACGTAGTAGAGGTGTGTGATGAGCAAGAACGAGTGAAGATGAGAGGCGCTAGGGAAGTGTTGGAGCTTTACCTTGCGGGGCTTGGATGTCGCAAGGAGGATGATATATTCGTTACAATGATGTCTTACGGCGTTGTGCTTGTGGCGCTGGTATTGTTTTGGGTTAGGCTGGTGGATGTGGTGTACTACTAGTTGTGTATCATTGGTTGTATAACTATCATGACTAATATGTGTAATAACATTTTTTGAAAGTTGAAGTCACTGTTCCGTCCCAGTCACGATCTTCATCCACAACCGTGTTGTCAGCAGAGGCATTATAAATATTTGTTTCTCTTGCCGCTTCTATCAGACGGCCACGGGAGTCTTTGGCCCACAATTATCAACTCGTAATCGAAATAAGAAAAGACACAGGGGAAACCTTCAACCAGTAATTACAACAGATTCTAAGTATGGCCGACAACGGAGAAGAAGCAAAGGCACAAATCGTTCCGTGCCAATGTCCAGACGAACACGCAAGTACAGCACCTGATACCAAGCCCGAGCCCGAGCCCGAGCCCGAGCCCAAGCCCAAGCCCAAGCCCTGGGAATTTGATACCTTGGATCCTCACGTTTAAGACCTGAAAAGCAGATGTGGAAAGTCGTCCGCTAAACATCATGAAGGCAACTCTACTTTTCCCCTTTCTCTTATTCTGCAAAATCTAACCAAATAATACCACTGTACACTTTTATCTCTTGCTCCTTCCACTGCTTCAAAACTCAACCAAACAATTTCATGAGGAGTACGGTCGGGGTCCCCACCTTAGAGAAAGTCCAGCTAACCTCTTGTGATGACATAGCATGTGCGCCAACCATGCGTTAACCCAGCCCTTCTTTGTGACTGGTGCAAAGATAACGGATGTCATTCTGGGGGTAGGGGATTGTCGAGGAGAGTGTCCCAGGCCAGGCGAAGGGATGGCAGGCATTGGTCTAGTAGATGAGAGCGAAGGCAATAATGTAGTCATTTCGAGGCTTTGTTCTTCTGGCTGGGTAGCCAATTCTGAGACTTGGGGCAGAATGAGAGACATGTAGGGTAATAGAAACTCAAGAATAATAATACCTGAACGGGTTCAACTCATTCAATCAGTGTTTTTGGACGAGATCATAATGTTAACTCGAAATCGAGAACCTCTGGATTTGTCCAGGTGCACATGTGTAGATTGCAATCGAGAATCTGAACAAACTGCTTGTAGGCTGTGAAACCAGACAAACCGTTGCAGCTGTAAGTTGAAACCGTCTCTGCCGTTCACATCACGAACATCGTTGACCACCTAGGCTGCCATGCCAGAGAATGTTGAGTCATCCAAATTTGGCCAAGAGCAAAATGCTTCAACGGTAGATGTATCACATGTACCCTAGGGTAACGTGAAAACTCGACCTCTTGTTTCTGATTTAATATCCCAAAACCGTCCAAACCGTCAGAAATATGAAATTTCTTATCAGGAAGCTTCTCTTGCCTTTTCCCAGCCTCCGTAGTCGCCCCATCAGTGGTGGGTTGAGGATCTCCCTTGACAGCTATGCAGTCAATATGGCAGAACGGGCACTACCCAGGTACAGCTGCTCATGTTGAGAACAGCTGACTTCTTTTTCCTTCAATATTCCCATCTTCGAAGACTAATTTGAGACCAGTGCCCGACTGCAGGGCACAGCTGTGAGGCAGCTCGCGCCCAGTTCGCTGCGATCGGTGTGCTTTGAACATCTCTTTCATGTCCGATTGAATATTTTACAGAATGAAACTTCCGTTTTCCTTCCTTTGAAGCGGTGATCGGGTTTTGAACAAGGACGACGGGTGTGGGAGTCAGCAGCATGCAGGCTGTGGCAGGCTCATGACCGAGATGAGCAAATGATGTGACGGAGGAAAGGTATCCAAGTGACGACGAGCATATCTAGTGAACAAGATACACATGCTATCGCTACAGACGGCCCGAAGGATTTCTCTAGAATGATGGAGTGCGCGAGAGGTAAGTGTGGACGATCATGCTGATAAGAGGTTCACTTTGGTTACTGACTGTAGCCACATGGCGCACTACTAGCCCAGCTTGCACCATATAAGGCAGCAATTGCAAGCCCCTTCGCCTTCTAGCGAAGGAATTCATATGCTGGGTAGCTCAGTGGCCTATGGCGTGCAACTTGAATCTGGAAAATTACCAAATTTTCGTCTGAGACGGTGAATCGCCATACCTTGACCTGCGTGAGGGGGTCCCTCCTTGCTGCAGATTACCCACATGTGGAAGAGGTGGTCAACTAGCCTCTATAAACTACAAGCTGCGTCATGTATTGAGCTCGGCGGCCCCGAAGAGTTTCGAGGTCTGCCATAAATGCTCATGCCCTTCACGAGAAATCGGTTGGGATTGCCTCCTCAGCGGTCACCGCTGGGGGGGGCTATATGTCGTTAGGTTCCTTCCACACTCTAATCTTTTACTTTTTGCACAGGTGTCTGAGTTCAACTTAGACCTCCCCGTCTTTTTTTCAAATCTTTTTTTCATTTTTTCCCTCTCTTTCGGTTCATGTCACCCAGTTGGAACCAGCCCGTTGCATTCTTCATGACGCAAAAGTTCAAATCGGTTGTCCTCAGGCTCCTTGGTGGAGTGCTTGGGTTCGAATCAGTTTTCGAAGTCTTTTTTGCTCGAGGGACTGTGCTCAATTGTACCTAGAATGGTTTTGCTGTCTGTCGAGGGCCTTTGGGAGTAACCGACTGTCTTGTGTAGCAGTACGCAACAACATGGGGCCGTCGATGACAGCGAAACGCATCAGAAGGACCCAGGCACCATCATTAATAAACCATCTCCTGGAACACAGAATCGGCAATGGTATTCATGCATAAAATCAGCCACCGTCTTGATATAGTTGAGCGTCGTCCAGTTCCAGACATACCGGGGAGTGGTTACAGAAGGAGATGACTGGCTGAGTCGACGTCGAAGCAGGGCGGGACGTACTTGGAAAGCCAATGAGACCAGTGAACTGGATCTAGTGATCTCGTAGCAGCAGCACCGTCCACGATCGTCTCTTGATCCTTGGCAGCCTGCCTGCTGGCAGCTCATCGACTCCGCTCAATCGCATGCCCAGGACAACCACACATCCTGCCAACCTTTGAGCTCCCCACCCCAGCGCCTGGATTTATCATCATGTCGCGGAGTGTTTAGTCTGGATCTCCTTAGCCGTACATAATCAGAAATGTAGAGAAGTATGCATGGGTCGGCGGGCCGGTTACTGGACAGGGGAAGATCACTTGAGGGAGTGAAAAGAGCCATCCCAATTCACACCAATGCTGGATACTTTTGCCGTTTACATGATTTCGAATTACAATTTGGCTTGCCCGTCCTGCCCATCTAATATCGCCTCCATCCTCTCCTTCCACACCTGAGCCCACGCCGGGTCAATGGCACACGAATCGTAGCTTACACTCGCGTCGATAAAGTCATCACCCCCCCAGATCCCGACCAGAAACTCTCCATCCCTGGGCCTGACGTTCTGTCGTGTTCCCAGGATCTCGGCTATCAACGCATCGTGGTCCTCTCCAGCCAGGGGCCTGGTCAAGTCGATCTGCCCGGGTATTATCGAAGGGTCTGACCGGCCCACCGAGCTGACGCCACAGGTTGCCATGGTCGGGTTGATCTGCTTGGGGAGGGTCTTTTGATATGGGAACTCCTTGCGGAGGTGGCCAGGCAGCTTATTGTTTGCGCGTTCAATCACGTCGAGATAATTCATTGGTATAACCCTGCCAGCTCCCCTGGGCCTCATGTGTTCGACCTCGTTGCGGGGCCGTTTCTGATATCTGGAAAGCTGCCTCTGGGCAGATCGAACCAACAACCTGATCCGGCCGTCCAGGTCGAGGTCAGACGAGAGGAACGGCAGCACCACTCCGTCGGAGAATGCGAGCATCAGGCTGTCAGGCTTTGCCCTGTGGTTGAAGAATGGGCGCGGGTTGATTGGGAAGGACCCGATGAAAGCATGGCGCTCGTGTAGGGGGATTTCGGGGAAGCGCTTCTCGTAAATTTCCATCATTACCACGCCGGCCAACACAAAGCTACCGGCGCCGAGGCTGCATCCTACCTCCCGACAGACACGGTGCAGCCTCCTGGTCCCGGTCCTCCCGATGTGGGCGATAACTGTCCCGGAATTCAAGGGAGGCACCTTGTCGTAGTCCAGTATTTTGTCGAAGAGTCTCAGTTCTGGCGGAGATGCCTTGATGGGGGCGTTTGGGTAACGGAGCGGGTTTTGGAAAGCTGGCGGGAGCGGCTTCTGAACGTGACGCAGCACAAGGGTGACGGCCCAGAACCATCGCTGCCGAGCGCGTGAACCAGAGATTGGCGGATAAAGATCCTCCTGGGAGGGAGGGAGGCGCTCATGTAGAGTGGATATCAGGGTGGGGATGGCGGACCGGAGCTCATCGGTCTTGTTGTTCAGGAGCTGCTTGAAGTCGCCAGTCCAGTTGGCGTTGGTGAGGCCGTCTGAGATCTGGTGGGCCTCGACAAAGAGGAAGCGCAGGGAATAAGTAGAAGGCGCACATCTTTGCAGGGGCAGGACCATGACCTTGACAAGTGACCTTGTCGCGTCGAAGGTGCGGCCCACGTTCTGCGCGTGGAAATACAACTGGTCAGCATCTACGGACGAGTAGTGGTCGTCCAGAAAGACGAGAGGGTCCCGGGCCAGGTCGATGGCGTGCTCAGGCCCGGTTGGTCTCGGTATGGTGAAGAAGCGGTCGCTCCTCTGGGCCGTTTCTTGGTCCATGTAGTCTCGTGGCCCCGTTGCGGTGGCGCTGAGGAGAGGGTGTCTCAGTCGCAGGTTGGTCCAGGCCAGAAGAATATGCTGCCTCAGGCGTGCTCTTGACTGTGTCGTCTTGATCTCGAAGGACATGGCCAGGTTGATGTCGGCCCTTCCCTCATGGTAGGTGCCGTCGTTGTCGAAGCCCTTCTCGACCACGCCGAGGGGCCGATAAAACACGGCGACGCCGTCATGCTGAGCTCTTTGCCATCTGTGGTAGCCCGTGGCGTATCGCCGAAGCCACCCCAAGGGCTCCGGGTCTTGAGCACTGCTGGCCCCGGCTCGCGTGGGTGGCATTTCGAATTGGAATGTCGAGTCCCGCAGCACCAGCCCTGGGCATTTGAGAATTCTTCAGTAAGTACTTAAGTACCTAGGTAGGTGCTTAAGTACTTACACAGATGACATGTACATATTACATGCGCCCTATTGCGGGCCGGGCCCGAAAAGGTGGGTCCACTTGGTGTTCCCCACCCCGGCATCTTGGGTCAACAAAACGACCCGACCCCACCCCGCAGTCATGACCGACCGACCGACCGACCGACCGACCGACCACCTTGCCAGGCCTGCACGAACCAGGGTCGACACAGCCTCTGCGTTACCACCCCCCACCCACCAGCCACCATGAGGGACATGCCGCTGGACCACGGCTCGCTGCAGCACCTGCTGCCGTCGCACTGGAAGACCCAGATCACCGCCTGGCTGGCCGAGGACACGCCCTCGTTCGACTACGGCGGCTTCGTCGTCGGCGATGCCCCGCGCACCGCCACCCTCTGGGCCAAGTCCGGCGGCATCCTGGCCGGCGTGCCCTTCTTCGACGAGGTCTTTGCCCAGACCGGCTGCTCCGTCCAGTGGCACGCCAGCGAGGGCCAGCACATCGAGCGCAACAGGGACGGCGGCGGCATCAAGATGAAGGTCGCCACCGTCACCGGCCCCGCCAGGGGCATCCTGCTGGGCGAGCGCGTCGCCCTCAACATCCTCGCCCGCTGCAGCGGCGTCGCCAGCATGGCCCGCGGCTTCCTCGTCAACCTCAGGTCCGCCGGCTACCGCGGCGCCCTGGCCGGCACCCGCAAGACCACCCCCGGCTTCCGCCTGGTCGAGAAGTACGCCATGCTCGTCGGCGGCGCAGACGGCCACCGCATGGACCTGAGCTCCATGATCATGCTCAAGGACAACCACGTCTGGAGCAGGGGCAGCATCAAGGACGCCGTCGCCGCCGCAAAGGCCGCCGGCGGCTTCTCCCTCAAGGTCGAGGTCGAGGTCCAGAGCGAGGCCGAGGCCGACGAGGCCATCGACGCCGGCGCAGACGTCGTCATGCTCGACAACTTCTCCGGCGAGGGCGTCAAGGTCGCCGCCAGGAGCCTGAAGCAGCGCTGGGCCGGCAAGAGGCACTTCTTGGTCGAGGTCTCGGGTGGCCTGACATTGGACAACGCCGAGGAGTACGTGTCAAATGGTGAGTGCCCGCCCCTTCACCATGCCCCCGTGCCTGCTCATGCTGACTGCTGCACTCGTAGATGTCGATATCTTGTCAACCAGCGCCATCCACCAGGGTGTCCCCCATGTTGACTTCTCCCTCAAAATCAACCACTGATGTTCATGAGTGCCGTCAAGACCCGGCGGGATGAAAGTGAACATGTGCGACTTCAGAAAACCCCTCCCCCCAATAGAATAACATGGTCTGTACCAAGCTTAGAAGTCGCACGACTTGGCACCACCGTTGGACCTTGTTACATAGCATACGAATCACAAGTGCAAAAGACTACTCCCGGGAGATATTTCATGTATTGCACACTCGTCATGAACCGCCTATCTGTGATGCCGCGCGCCCAGGGCCCAGGTGGCCTCGCTGGAGCCGCGTTCTTGGATACTCGATCCGAGAAGCCTCACTGTCCCAATGAACAGCAGCCAGCTGATAGGATATCGATCCCCACACATTGTCCATTATTTTCTGCTCCTAGTCACCCGCTCTTTCTTTGCTCCTCTTTCATTTGTTTTCATGTTTCTTCTTCTTCTTTTTTCTCTATCGCCACCGTATTATGAATTTGCGGAATTAGGTACTACAACCTTGGGGGTGGAAGCTGGGTATCATCTTCGCACACAACGCCTCCTCTTGCCATTCCGATGCACGACGTGCTGCCGTGGCTGCAATGAAACAGATGCAACGCAATGTGCACCGCGGGGTATACCATGGACCATGCCGCCTAATGGTATATCCGATGCCGAAACTCCTCGCAAAAAACCAAGACAGCAAAATGGGGCAGGATGGGCAAACGCATAATCGCGGGGTCATCTACTAATGGGGTGTCACTGGGGTGACTGTTTGATGGGGCATCGAGAAGGGACTCGAGTCAGGAGGCTTGGAGGCTTGATGGCGGCTCAAATGCTGACGCCTTCAAGGTGGAGGACCCTGGAAGAGTCCCCAAGGAAGCGGCGGCGGAACTCGACGATCCCTTGAGCGATCGTCCTAAAGTCTCGGATCTTGGACTTCTGGAAGGACGCAACCAACTCTCTAAGCCCGTTGTTGAAGGTTTTCTTCTGGTCTCCCGCTAGGTCGTCTGAGCTGCCGAGCTCCAGAATAATCTTATCATCTGGCAGGGTAACGAGTCGCAGTCAGCTTTTGAGGGGTAGGCCGCCGGGCGTGTCACTACAGTTAGCGGTCCTGCCACGAGGGAGTCTCGACTTACCCGGAGCAATCATGTGTGAAAAATGCTGAAACTGGCAAGCGCTTCCTCTGGGGCAGGATTGCCCCTCCAATTCATCGGGACAGATCTCCCTCTTTGGATCGATTCTGTTACTGTATGTCAATGATTTGAGTCCGCCTGCAACGCTCTCACTGTATTTGGGGTGGAATCGGAAAGCATGATAATATCGCAAGGGGCTCTCGTAGTCCGTGAAAGAGATCTCCGGGGTTGGGGCAGATTCGTGGGCATCCTATTGAAAAATTAGACAATTTCAGTCAGTGAAGCGGTGAAACGGTGTATACTTCTCTGGACACGTTCGCGGTACGCGCTGAGGGGTGAGCGAAAAACTCCGCACGTGCTTCGATTGTCGGGTCATCGTTGGGTATCGTAGCAGTCGAAATATGGGACGGCATGGCTGGAGGGGAGCCAATCTCTCGAGACCCGCCATCTGAGGTAGCCATATTTTGGACGTTCTCGACGGGAGCAGGGCTGAACGGCGAGGAATCTTTCGTGCCCAGGTCGTTTCCCGCCTCGTCTGGGGGCTCATAATCATCGGACGTGTTACTGTCCGCGGCAGCTACCAAATGCTTCTCGGCGGGCGAGGACGTGGCGATGGCAGCCAATATCTCCGCTGGCTGATCAGGCGGGACTTGCGACGCATCGCCGACAAGATCGCGTTCTTGGCTGGACAGCTTGTTGCTTCCCGTCTCATCCACGGCAGCCGGAAAGGGTGCTGATGTGGAAGGTTCAGCCCCCGGATCTGACTTCCCGGGGGATGATTCTAGATCCATGGGCATCGATTGCAAGGGTCCGTTAAGGGCAGTCTGCTCGGCTTCATCTTGGCCTGGATCACTGGACACGGTAGATTTGTCGGCAGTCTCTGTACCCAAAACATGATCTCCGGCGGAATCAGAACAGAGCTCATCTGTGTCGTCCTCCAAGTCCTCTTCCTCCATGCGTTGTTGCTGAGCCAGCTCGGCATCGATCTCGGCTTGCAGTCGCCTCTTCTCCTCTTCCATCCGCTTCAGCTCAGCGATCTTATCCTGGAGCTTGGTTGAGAGTCGAGGGGAATGAGCGCTTGCTTTCCTCATCCGGCGCTCAGCCTTGGAGTGCACATTAGGGGGAGAAAACATTTGCGGCTTTGCAATCTTTGCGGCCTCGGCCTCTTGTAGTAGTTGATTCGAAGGGCCGTTCTTGTCGTCCACATCGCCGGCCGATACCACGGGTTGAGCCACGGTCCTTGCTGCTTGCTCTGTGGGTGTCCGGCCGCCAGCACTATGCGACTGAGGTGTAGAAGAACCGGTGCTGGGTTTGACTTTAGCTCGAGCCTCTGCCTCCTGGATCTTCCGCTTATAGTCCGCAATTGCCTTTTCCATAGCTTTCAAGTCAACAGTGGCGGTCTTCCCACCTGGTGTCCCGGGTGCGGGACTGGCTATGTGCCGTGGGGGGCCAGAGTTTGTGAGTGGAGGGTAGTCGCGGACTGACGGTCCCCTCCGAGGAAGATTGAAGCTTTGCTGTGTTGGCGCAGGAGAATCCTCAGTAGTGGAATCGACATCCATGTCGACGTCCTCGTCATCTTCATCTTCATCGTCACTGACACTGATGACTAATGAAGATGCTTGGCGGTTGGGGAGGAAAGGCCGCTTGACAGTCTTTGCCGGGTAATCCACAAAGTCGGCTGCTACAGGGCGCTTGCGCTGGTTGATCGGTTTGTTCGACAGTCCAGGCAGGACCGGGCTCTGGAAGCCCGAGGTTGGTTGGGATGCTGGTTGCCGTACAATGTCCTGAGTCGTTGGTAGCGTTGCTGATGGTGCGCTAACCTGTGCAGTCCTTGATACAGCGGGTGTCTTTTCCGCCGTTGTCGGTCCTGGAGTTGGAAGAACTGAAGACGACTTCTGAGCACTATCGTTCTTCGGTGCTTCGGACAAAGTTGGGGCCTGCTTTGTCTGCTGTCCAGCTTGCTGGGTCCGAGCCTCTCGTGCCTTTCGCAAAGCCTCCATTTTCTGCTGCAGGAGTAGGTTCTTCTGCGCTTGGGTGGTAGTCTTGATTGCAGGTGTGGTCGAAGGCGTTGAAGCACCGGTTGACGCGGGCGCCGGAGATGCTTTGGATTGTGTTGTGGCATCCGCTGCAGCCTTTGCCTTCTTCTCAGCCAAGAGCCGAGCGATTTTGTCTTTTCGCTCTTCTTGCTTCTTGGCCATGGCGTCTGCCTGAGAAGTGGAAGCTGATTTGGGATCTTGGTCCTGGGCCTTGTGCTCTTGCGGTTCCGCGGGCTTTCCAGATGCTACTGAATCGGCACCGACAGGGGCAAGGTTCAACTGAGTGAAGAGATCTTTGACCACCTTTTCGTCAAAGCCCTCGTCGAGGTATGTCTGGTATTTGACACCATGGGGTAGCAATCGAAGGATGGCTTTCTTGGCTTCATTCTGAGCTTCTGGGAGGCTCCTGGAGTAATGCGAAGTATCCACAGCTGGGTCAGGTTGACCCATGGCAACAGCGGTCTCCTTGCCATGACTGGAGGATATATGTACTTGATCTTGGACACCTGGAGAATGGTTGGGAGATAAATTAGAAGCGGAGTTGTTGCCAGTCGGGTTGGCGACCCCTGTTCCGGTTCAGTAGTGGTCTTCGACCTTCATTCCATGACAGACGTACCTTGAGAGTCGTTTCCCTCGGCCAGTTGCTTCGGGTCTTCCTGTTCAATCTCCCTAGGCGAGAGGTATGGAGAATATGACCCTGAGCGGTCGCGCTCTGTGCGTAATGGGTCTTGCTCCTTCGAAAGCTCATTGCCACGTGCCTTGGTTGTTGCTGCCCCAGGGTGATCGTTGGCGGCAGAGGCTTCGTCCATCTCCGTATCGTAGAAGTTTGCCGCCTGGTCTGTACTGCTGGCAGTATGGTCCTCGGAGGAGGCCGGGGACACCGTCTTGGCTTTTGGCTGTGCGACGGGCTGATCGTAGACATCCTCGTACAGGTCGTCAAACTCGCCGTCGCTAATCTCACCTTCGTCTTGAGAGTCGATTTCTTTCAGCGGCTGCTTTGCCTGTTCCTTCAACTGGTCCTCCTTTGGGTGTGTCTTATTCTGCACAGGTGAAGGATCCGGTCTGAGCTGCGGCTTCGGTTGCGACTCTTGGGGCACGGGGACGTGGGCTCGAGAATTTGCATGGGACGGCGGAGCAGGTGGTGTTGGGACGAAGGACGAGGCATTGTAGGCAGGGTAAGCGGCTGGCGTGGTAGATGTGCCGTAGCCAGGCTGATCCCATTGCCCGGCGTAGGGAACGGGGAAGTGAGGGGCCGTCAAGGGTGTCCCGAGGCCTGGAATATTGTTCGCATTGTAGTCATAAGCAGACTGAGTTGCAGTATAGTACTCGGCTGTCGCAGGCGGGTGCTGTTGCTGGGGAGGAGGCTGTGCGCCATAACCAGGCGCTGGATAGGCGCCGTACGGCGGGTAAGGGTGCTGTTGTTGGGGTGGCTGCTGGCCCTGGTAGCCATAGCCATATGGATAGTGTGACATGCTGGCGGCGGTGCCAATGTTGTCGGGAGTTGGGCGCGCGAAAGACTGGTCAACGGGGTGTGGCAAGCTCTTCGAAGGCGCGCATCATCGGGGCCACGCGATATGTGCAAGGAGAGTGGATAGCGTCTGCCACGACGGATGGCTAAGGGGCCTTTGGGCACAAGTTTCTGAAGGTAGAAACTTGACGACGCTTGAGATGTGACACGTGCTTACCAACGTGTCTGATGAACCTGTTGGAAAACAGGTGGTGTTGGTTGGTGTTGTCGATGCAGTGAATGTATTGATCCGTGGGGTTGTGGAACGGGCGAAGAAGGATTTTGGTCTCTAGCGTAGCCCAATGTGGGCGGAAGGCGCTCGGCTCTTGGAGAGGACCTAAGCTTGGTTGGACAACTGATCCCCGAGAGCGGCTGGGTGGATTTGTGCAGCCGGCCGCTTTTGCCCCTGGGAAGGCCTTTTTTCTCTGGCTGAGGATTGCACCCGAGCAATGCTGGGCAGACAAAGAGAGTAGGCAGGCAGTAAGTACCTACCTAGGTGTAGGTAGGTAGGTGGTATTTACTGTGCGTGTGGGTTGTCCTTTTGCATCCCTTGGCCTGCAATAACGAGAACAACTTGATTGATTTTTGTTGCCGCTCCGTTTTAGGCGCCCTACAGAAGGGGCGGGCGCTTGGGCCATTCAAAAGCGCCGCTAGCCAGCCACCACCCCTCCCGTATTGTCTGCTGGCCTGAGTGTGAGGAGGATTGACAGGGATCCGCAGTTGCCCTGGCGTCATTGTTTACTTTGATGCAGAAGGAGCAGCAATTGGAAGGCTGGGGAGTGGTACCTGAACACATTGTGCTGCCGCCCAACTTTCTGGCTGCATCTACCAACATCGTGACCAACAATCCACCTGCAATACCGACTGGATCGCCGCCATCATTCCTCATAGTCTTGAACATGAGATTGGGCACACAGTTCAGGAGTTTTCGCTCATGATATCCGGTTTTCCTTTGCTTTGTGTTGGGCCCTGCACGCGCCTGCCGCTCTGATTTGCACCATTCTCGCGGTCGCGTCTGCTGGCCATTTCCTGGTGTTGATGTTTACATGTCTTTTCTGAATCTTTGTCGATACCCATACTCATACCTCTGCCGGTGCCGGTACCGATACCCACGCGAACCACCCCGTCATTGACTTGACCACAATCACACCACACCAAGACCACAGAGGCTTGGACAGATGCAAGATGGGCACCGTGCGGAATAGCCCGTTCATGAGGCAGTCATCGCCGTCGCCGAGGCCCCCAAGCAATGGCAGACCGAAATCCGCACTCTTCCCCTCGCCCATGTCGCCTCCTTCTACCTCGTCGACCCCCTCCGCGCCCGGGCATGTTCGTGGGCAATCCCTGGGCACAACACTCAGTCCAGGCAACAGCGACATCAGGAAAGGCCATGTGCGGAATGCGTCCAAGGGGGACACCCCACAGTCCAACACTTTCGCTCCCTCTTTCATCAAAAGCGACGAGATGAGGCAGAGATCCGATGTCGTCGACGGCATAGAGGGCGAAAACGACTTCTCCGGGAAGCGATATGTCTGGCTTAAGGACCCCCAAACGGCTTTCGTCAGAGGATGGGTCGTCGAGGATCTCGGGGGCAATCGCATATTGGTCCAGTGTGATGATGGAAGCGTGGGTGATATTTTCCCCTCAGCACAACCCGCCCCAAGCTGACATTCTGTCCTAGCAACGCGAGGTCGATGCCGAGAGCGCAGACAAGGTCAATCCAGCGAAATTCGACAAGGCCAGCGACATGGCTGAGCTGACCCACCTGAATGAGGCGTCTGTCGTACACAACCTCCACATGAGGTACCAGTCTGACCTGATCTACACCTACTCCGGTCTCTTCCTGGTGACGGTCAACCCATACTGTCCCATACCCATATACACCAACGAATATGTCAACATGTATAAAGGCCGAAATCGGGAGGATACGAAACCCCACATCTTTGCTATCGCTGACGAGGCATTTCGCAACCTCGTAGACGAGGGGGAGAATCAAAGCGTCCTTGTCACGGGAGAGTCTGGCGCCGGAAAGACCGAGAACACCAAGAAAGTCATTCAATACCTCGCCGCCGTTGCGCCCTCGGAATCATCGTCCAGGAATCGAGGCCAGCAGTCGAACCTATCGGCGCAGATCCTACGCGCCAACCCTATACTGGAAGCGTTCGGCAATGCGCAAACAGTGAGGAACAACAATTCGTCCAGATTTGGCAAGTTCATCCGCATAGAGTTCTCCCGGAATGGAATGATCGCAGGCGCCTTCATCGACTGGTACCTTCTCGAGAAATCCCGTGTAGTTCGCATCAACCCTAATGAGCGGAACTACCACGTCTTCTACCAATTGCTCAAGGGGGGCAACAAGCAGTTGAAGCAAGAATTTCTGATCGATGGTCTCGATGTCGATGACTTCGCCTATACTCGTGAGGGCCAGGACACTATCGCAGGTGTTTCTGATCGCGAGGAATGGGACGCTTTGATGGAAGCTTTTGATGTGATGGGCTTCTCTGACAAAGAACAGAGCTCTGTACTCCGGACAGTGGCTGCCGTCCTGCATCTGGGAAACATCACCGTGATGAACGAGAGCCGCACGACAGATCAGGCTCGACTTGCGGCAGACGCTAAGCAGGTGGCAGAACGCGTTTGCAAGCTCTTGGGCATCCCGTTGGAGCCTTTCCTTCAGGGCTTGCTCCACCCCAAAGTGAAGGCTGGGCGTGAGTGGGTTGAAAAAGTACAGACTCCTGAGCAAGTTCGGCTTGGTCTCGACGCCCTATCAAAAGGCATTTACGAACGAGGTTTCGGTGACCTGGTCACAAGAATTAACCGACAGCTAGACCGAACAGGAATGGGAATGGACGAGTCCCACTTCATTGGTGTTCTAGATATTGCAGGTTTCGAGATTTTCGAAGAGAACAGCTTCGAACAGCTTTGCATCAATTATACCAACGAGAAACTGCAACAGTTCTTCAATCACCACATGTTCGTTCTCGAGCAAGAGGAATACGCTCGCGAACAGATCGAGTGGCAGTTCATTGATTTCGGTCGGGATTTGCAACCAACCATCGACCTGATTGAGCTTCCCAACCCCATTGGCGTTTTCTCCTGCCTCGACGAAGATTGTGTGATGCCAAAGGCAACGGACAAGACCTTCACGGAGAAACTGCATTCGTTGTGGGACAAGAAGTCCAACAAATACCGAGCGTCAAGACTTCGGAACGGATTCGTTCTGACGCATTATGCAGCCGAGGTGGAATACTCTACAGAGGGCTGGCTGGAGAAAAACAAGGATCCTTTGAACGACAACATCACGCGTTTACTGGCGGCCTCCACAGACAAGCATGTCGCGAACTTATTTGCCGATTGTGCAGATCATGACGATGAGGCAATCGCTGTCCGAAGCAGAGTGAAAAAGGGCTTGTTCCGCACGGTGGCCCAGAGGCACAAGGAGCAGCTGTCAAGCCTGATGGCTCAGTTACATTCGACACACCCCCACTTCGTCCGTTGTATTCTTCCCAATCACAAGAAGAAGCCAAAGCAATTCAATAATCTTCTTGTCTTGGACCAGCTGAGATGCAACGGTGTCTTGGAAGGCATCCGAATAGCACGTACCGGTTTCCCCAACCGACTTCCCTTTGCCGAGTTCCGTGCGCGTTATGAGGTCCTGTGCAAGGACATGCCCAAGGGTTATCTGGAGGGTCAGGCAGCTGCCACCATGATGCTAGAGAAGTTAAAGATGGACAGAGCTCTATACCGAGTCGGGTTGACCAAGGTCTTCTTCAGAGCTGGCGTACTTGCGGAGCTTGAAGAACGGCGAGACGCACTCATCTCCGACATCATGGCACGATTCCAAGCCGTTGCTCGTGGCTTTTCCGCAAGGAGACTGGCCTACAAACGCCTGTATCGCACCGAGGCGACCAGAGTCATCCAGCAGAACTTCAGGGTCTATCTTGACCTCTGCCAAAACCCTTGGTGGCAGCTTATTGTGAAAATGAAACCTTTGCTTGGCGCAACTCGGACTGCGACGGAGGTAAAGAAGCGAGACGAGATGATCCGTCAGCTCCACGATCAAATGCAGCAGGAGTCGGCCAATCGGCAGAAGCTCGAGGAGGATCGACGCAACGTTCACACGGAGATGATGCGCATTCAGCAAACACTGGAGAGCGAGCGCGCCCTCGCCCTAGACAAAGAGGAAATCTTCAAGCGCCTTCAGCAGCGTGAGGCTGAATTGGAGGATAAGCTTGCCGGCGCTATTGAGGATGCTGAGAAGCTCGAGGATGAGCTGGACGATCTGATTGAAGCGAAGAAGAGAGCTGAGGAGGACGTCGAGAGGTTCCGCAGCCAATTGGAACAGGCTGCCTCCTTGATCGGCCGTTTGGAAGAAGAGAAGACCGAACTGGCCGGACGCATATCGGACCTTGAGCGCGCCATCGAAGACATTTCGAACAGCCAGCATGAGCGAACCGAGCAGGAAGCCGCCATGGAGGATGAGATCCAGATGCTTCAGAGCCAGCTCGCACTGAAGGACAGGAAAGCACGCGATTTGGAGGGCAAGCTCCTCGAGATTGACCAAGATGCCGAGGTGAAGCTCCACAAGGCTGAGAAGGAGCTGCAGTCCTACAGGGCCAAACAGCAGCAACTTATGGCCGAGAATCGGGATGCCCAACAGCAGCTTTCGGCCCTGTCCAAGACTACAACGGATTATGAGGAGCTAGTGCGCAAGAAAGAGAGCGAATTGGCTGTACTCCGAGGGGACAACAAGAAGTACGAAATGGAAAGGAGAACTTTCGAGGACCAGCGTAAAACTCTTGCTGCCGAGAAAGACAAGGCATCCACCCGATTACGGGACGTGCAAGCTCAGCTCGACGCGCTTAAGGCTCAGCAGTCGCAGGTCCAGAGAGAAGCTGAAGATGCAAAGAAACTCTTGCAGGCCAGGCTTTCTGAAGACAGCCAAGCTAATCAGAACAGACAAGTGTTGGAGTCCCAGATCAAGGACCTCAAGGATGAACTGTACGAGGCTCAAATGGAACTTAGTAGGGAGCGGCAGTCCCGTGACGATGTCCTTCTACTTAGCGAGCACAAGTACAACGAGCTTCAAGAGGAGTACGACCAGCTTAACGAAGCCAAGATCGTGATCGAGAAGGAATTGTACGCGGCGCAGGATACCTTGAGACGCGCAATCGATGCTCGGGCCACGGCCGAGAAAGAACGTGATGATGCGCGGCAAGAAATTCGCAAGCTCAGAGCTGCTTACAGTCAGGCGGAGGAGGCGAGACGCGAGGCTGAGATTGCTGGCGAGCGTGCCGCCTCCAAGCTCGCCCGAGAACGGGAGGCCAGCTTGCGAAAGGACTTGGACGCAGCTCAAGACCGACTGAAGTGGTTTGAGGATGAATGTGCGAAGCTGAATCATCAGGTCGAGGACCTGAATAAGCTGATACTGTCCTCTGGAGAATTTGGCTTGAAGAATGACCAGGCGAAGGAGCGAATGGAGAGAGAGCTCCATACCGTGAAGAGTCGTCTAGCAGCGTCTGAAAATGACAACCGCGCCCTGCTCAACAAGCTTCAGCAAAAGGGTCTGGAGATTGCTCGATCCAGCTCGAGAGCGAGTGAGGCTTCTCGCGGACAGGTCAATGTTCTCCAGCGCGAAAAGGCCCGGCTGGAGGAACTCAACACCAAGCTCAACAAGCAGCTCGGGGAGTCGCAAATGAACTCTGCAGCTTTGGAAAAGAAACTTGAGAAAGCTCAGCTCAACCTCGAGGACCTCAATCATGAGTTCCAGCGCGAAGTCAAGGCTAACCGCAATGCCGAGAAATCGACGTCAAATTTCAACGTTCAACTGGCGGAGGCGAATCGGAACGTCGAGTCCGAGAGGCAAATGAGGACTCAAGCCCAGGGCACCATCCGGACGCTCCAAGCAACAATTGATTCTCGTGATAAGGAGTTGCAAGAGCTCCGCTCCCAAATGCTGCAAGCCCTCAAGGTTGTCGACCCCGAGTCCGCGCCCCCAGCCCAGGTAGATGGAGCTACTGAGCGCGTCTTCAGTGAGAAGTATGACCTGGTCAGGAAAATCGAAGACCTCCAACAGAAGCTCAGAGTGCAGACGGCCGCAAGATCTAGTGCGGAGTCTCAGCTGGCTGAGTTCCGGGCTGGACGAATGTCACCTGAGCGGCCACGCCTCGGCGAAATTGACCTGAACGAGGCACCTTTTGACATGTCGCCTTCCTACCGAAAGTCAAAGACCAATGGACGCAAGCTCTCGAATTCATCAACCCCATCGCGGCGTTTTACCAATGACGGCGAGCCAGGCAGTGACTCGGTTCGCTCTGAGAAGACTGCTGACATCTTGAGCTTCAATAACCGCATGGACCTCAAGGCCGAGATTGAAGAGCTTCAAAACCAGCTGCAAATCACCCAGATGCAGAATCGTCACCTACAGAGCCAGCTCGAGCGCTCAGGCACAGGCCTCCCTGAGTACGACGGGGAGGCCTCGTCGCTCCAGCGGGTCAAGAAGCTCGAGGAGGCCAATGGTCGTCTTCACAGTCTACTGGATGATTCTTCCAAGAAGGTGTCTGCTTTGGAGAAAGCTCTCCGTACTGGTGAACTGTCCCTCCGCGACATCCAGACTAAATCACACGAGGAGATTCTTGACTTGCTGAACAACACAGAAGAGTCCAGGCGGTCGCTCCTACACAGCCATAGGGATGCGGTTGCAGAGCTAACGGACGTCAAGGCGCACTATGACAAGCTCAGGCACGACCGCGCCACGCTCGAAGTCGATCTGCGCGATGCCAGGGGTGACCTGCAGGAGATGACGCAGGCCCGAGAGCAGGAGGCAGCAAGCCGCAACCAACTTCTGCAGGAGTTTTCTGACCTCCAGATAAGATTGGACGCAGAAACCTCCAAGCTTGCTGATGTGACGGCCAGTCTGAACCTATACAAGAGCCGCGCGGACGAGTACTTCAGTAAACTAGAACAGGCCGAGATTGCGGTTCTCAAAGCGAATCGGGCCGAACAGTTCGCAAAGTCCCAGGCCAAGGAGGCCGAAGACACGTATGCTGAGGTCATGGCAGAGCGCAAGAAGATGGACCAGGCTGTTGAAGACCTGCAGCGTCAAAATCAACGACTGGAGGAGAAGGTCGAGGACATGTCCACGGACCTGGAAGCTGCGACGCAGGCGAAAAAGAGGCTACAACATGAGCTCGAGGATTACCGGAACCAGCGCGCTAACGACATCGAGGATACCGAGTCCAGCTTGGAGCAGACCCGTAAGAAGTACCAAGCAGAGTTTGCCACACTCACCAAGGAGCTTGACCTTGCCCGGGAGGAGAAGCTCTTCAAGCAGGCGGAAATTACCCGCCTGCGCGAGGAGCTTGACGAGCTTCGGTCCAAGTGGGACGATGAAGTCCTTAACAGCTCCACCTGGTCCAAGGAGAAGTCGCGGCTTGAAGCCACGCTTGCGGACGTGTCTGCCTCTCGCGAAGAGGCAGTCAACGCGCACAATGAGGCACAGGGCAAAATTGTCAACCTGCTTTCACAGGTGCGGTCGCTGCGGTCCTCGGTTGATGAAGTCACTGGCGAACGGGACGCGCTGTTCCGGGAGAAGCGAAGCATCGAAGCCAGGCTAGAGGAAGCCAAGGCTGGCCTGGAAGAACTCACAAAGGGCGAGAGCCCGTCGCTTCGGGACGCAGCAAGCATCGACAAAGAGATCCTCGAGCTCAAATCGAGTCTTGCGAAACAAGAGGACGTCGCTGCGGCAGCCGTGGAGAAGATGCGCCGGGCTGAGGCTCTGGCGTCCGAGGTGCAGAAGGACATTCTGGTTGAGCGTGAGTCAAGCGTGCAGCTGTCCAAGGACAAGGCTGCACTTGAAAAGACGCTCAACGAGGTCCAAGTCAGGCTTGTGGACCTTGAGACCAAGGGCTACTCGAGCGCGAGCCAGGATATCAAGTTCCTGCACAAACGCATCCAAGAGGTCAGTTTAGTGGAACCACCCCTAACATACGTCTCCAGCCCGAGGTCTGGGTTATGCCCGTGTGACACAGTACTGATAAGATGCAGCTCGAGAACCAGCTTGAAGAGCAAGAGGACAGCCGTGCCAAATCGCAGCGGTCCAACCGCAATGTGGATCGCACGGTCAAGGACCTCCAGGGCCAGATCGACCGCAAGGACAAGCAGAACACGCAGATGCAGGAGGATCTGGCCCGGATGCGGGACAAGATCGACAAGCTCCTGAAGACAATCGACGAGCTACAGTCGTCCGAGTCGGCCAACCAGCTGCAGGCACGGCGGGCGGAGCGCGAGCTGAGGAGCGAGCAAGAAAAGGCGGCCAGACTGGAGCGGGAGCTCGAGAGCTGGAAGACGCTCCGGTCGGAGAAAGGCTCTGTCCTAGGCAGCGTGGCCGGAAGCGTGATGAGCGGGCGTGGTGGCATGACAAGATCAGGGACGCTGGCGACGATGAGGAGCTCGGGGCTGGCGAGCGTGGCGGACGAGGACGAAAGCGCGGAAAGCCATGTGATGATTCCCGAGAGGAAGAGCAGCATTAGTCGTGTGCCAAGCCTGACGAAGGGATTCTTGTAGGGGGGATGTGATCCTCGGGACTCGGAATGATCAAGGCACAAGGAGATAGGAGGGCCGAGAAGATTAGCATTTCATGTGGTTGGCGTTTAATGTTTGCTCGTCGTATCATTCATGTGGCATAATACCTCTTGGCGAAGGACGGAATGGCTGTTGTAACCTCGGGAGCAGTTGGGTTCGGTTTGGGTTTTTTTTTCCGTCTCTTTCTTTTCTTTCTTATTGGCATGGGTTGGGCGACAGCATAATGAGTTGAGTGTACGCAGCAGGTATGGTGGCGGGGCTCGTGGGAAGGGGGGCGCGGACTGGAAGCTCTCGTCAAGTCGGTTAAATATTTATATAATCAACTGGCTATGTCAAGACACTTGAAAAGGAAGTCGGCCTTGATATTTGGTGCTTTCTTAATGTGTTGTTGACTCGGCGGGGGCAGGCATCGCGGGTATTGATCAGCTATGGGGCCGTCATGGAAGGTTGACTCGAGGTCGGCCACAATATTGTCACGCCCGTCAGTGCGAAGAAAGGCGAAGCTCGGAGCAATTCAGCCGATGCTTGATGTTCCTAGCATCATGCGGTTTGAAGTTGTCGACGCGTCCAGAACACCAACCAGGGAGATTGCACGGCAAGCACGGGCATTGCAGTAGTGCGCGACTTGGTGTTGGTTTACACTAGAGGCAGATCCCGTGCGAGAGTTTAGTCTAATGTTCGGACTGCAAGTGTAGTGTAGTATACACACATATGCATTGTCACGCTGAGCGCAATGCCGGGGACATTTTGTTTATTTAGACTTTTGGCCGGGTGGGCCCCTCATCTTGACAGCCGAGAGTCGAGGCGGAACCATCCAGGTCGTGCCGGTCGTGCCACTGGGGGCCCCGCACGCACGCCCCCAATCAGGCAAGTTACCCCTGTATCGGCAGGGATAGGAGCTGGTTGCCCCTGCAGGACCTTGTGATGAAGCTTTGGCGTGGCTGAAATTGAGGTCTTGGTGGGCAAATCACAGGCAGGGTGGCGTGGTCGACCTCTCGGGATTTGGGGGAGCTTCAATCAGTCTTGGGGATTTTGGCTCTGGAGTCTGTTCCTGTCCGGCCGGACTGGGGCTTAGTGGCAAGCAATAAAGCGCAGCCTGGTCCCCATCCTAGTTATAGACGTGCCTGTCCGGCCAACACCAGTTTCCCTCCACTGCTGGACTAATAAAAGAACGAACGCACCACCGGACGCACATTTGGACAAGGACAACACGCAATCGGACAATATAATAAATACCCCAATTCAAACCCACCCAACAGACTGATCGAATCTCCCACCCACCTACTCACTCACACACACACACACACAACATGAAGTCTGCCGTTCTCTTCACCGTTTCTGCTGCCGCCGGCCTCGCCGCCGCCCAAGCAGGTCTCGAGGGCCAGCCCGCCTGCGCTGTAAGTCTCCCTACCCTGAAAACACCACACTGGCTCTCACTGACACGTGCCCACAGACCCCGTGCCTCACCTCCGCCATCGCCGCAGTCTGCACCCCAGCAACCGACCAGGCCTGCGCGTGTGCCTCACAGTCCGAGATTGGCGCCCAGGCCGCGGGCTGCCTGCTGAGCAACTGCAACGCCGGCGACCTGGGCCAGGCCCAGTCCGCCGGGTCCGCCGCGTGCGTGGCCTTCTCGGCCACCGCCTCCGAGACGGGCAGCGCCAGTGCCAGCGCCAGCGCCACGGGCTCCTCGTCCGCCAGCAGCGACGCCTCCGTCACCTCCGCCACCTCCTCGTCCGCCGGCGCCTCCGCCACTGGCGCCACCAACGGCACCACCACCGCGTCTTCCAGCTCCGAGAGCAGCGGGACCAGCAGGGCCACCAGCACCAGGACCTCCGCGTCGGCCTCGGGGAGCAGCTCGGCCAGTGGCAGCGCCGCGTCTGCGTCTGCGACGGCGGGTGCGGCGTTCGTCGGCCCTGCCGTCAGCGGTGGCCTGCTCGGTGGTTTCCTGGCTGTCGTTGCTGCGTTCCTGTAGGCTATGTTGGAGCGACCTTTGTTTGGGGCTGTAGGCCGAGTCTATTTCGGGGGCAAAATCGGGGTCAGGAATTCAGCAGTCGGTGCCACGCCATGTCTCGAGTTTATGTGAATCAAGTCTGAAGGAAGCGATGGTAATGGATCAGCTTGAAACCTGTATGGTAACTTAATGAGCGCCTCAACTAGCTGCGGCAATGACGTCTAATGTAATCTCAAATCCGCCCACATTGCCACTTTCTGGGTGACTGAACTCGTGAGCTTGCTGCTCCGTGAGGCTCAACGCATTATTGACTTGTTCTCGGCTCAAGAGTCCTTCTTAATTGTTGGTCCGTCCTGGAGCGTCCTCGTTCTCGACAATAACTCCCGGGTCCTATCCGCCTTCTCCTTGTGTTGGTCGTCGGGGCTAGGCAGCTCCAGGTCTACCAACCAGGGCGACTGGTGCGGCTTATACGCCACTGTCATAACCGCGGCGTTGACAAAGAGCGTCTCGCTCCCAGCCTGAAATTGGATCGATCCCTCGTCAACAGGACACAGGCTCACAGGGGTGATGTCCCCGGTGACTTCACCAGCCCCGGTCCTCTCCAAGGCCATCTGCTCGCCCTCGCCCTCGCCCTCCCACGAGTGCATCACCGCCCCATAACTTTCATGGATGTGGCCGAAGCAATGCACGCGTGGCCTCGCCCTCGCCACGGCGGCCCACAGCGAAGGGCAGCCGGCGTCGTCGTGGCTCCTCGTGCGGTCCAGCATCTTATGGGGTGGCCCATGTGTCATGGCGACATCGGTATCCCGCTCGATGGCGAAGTTGTGGCCGCCCTCGCCATACTGAAACCCCCACCTGCCGTACTCGGGTGTCCACGGACTGGCGTAGACGGTGAGCCGTGCGCCATTGGAAAGGATGAAGTGGTAGGTGCCTTCCTCCGTCAGGACGTGGATCCCGTCCCGCCGGGCTTGTTCGACAACCTCATAGGTCTCGTACGGCTGGCGTAAGAGGCGAGCCATCATCTCCTCGGGCAGGTGGCGTCTCCGCAAGCACTTTCATGTCTGGAGGTCAGCATCCCCGGGACGTGAGGAAGAAGGTAGACGGGTGGGGCATCTTACGTCTTTCTCCCAGAAGCCCACGTCCATGCTGCAATCGTGGTTGCCAGGGATGACCAGCTTCAACGGGGCGTCAATCGACCTCATCAAATCGAAGGTCTTCTGGTACTCGCTGACATGCGAGTGAAGAGTCAGGTCGCCACAGTGAATTGCGACATCTGCGCTCGGGAGGGGCTCGCGGAAGGCATATTTCCGGGCCTCGTCCGGGTTCGTGCGCGGGTCAAAGAGGCTGCGGCCGTGAGTGTCGGAGAGAATGAGGAGGCGGGTCCTGATCTGTGATGTAGATGACATGGTGGTGCTTCCTCAAGCTTTGGGTCGGTATCTTGAGAGTTGTGTCCTTCAGGCCCGGTGTGGTGGCTCACGGATGAGGCGGATGGAAGCGCTCAGGCAGTATAGATGGACTGGTCCAACAGAGGAGCGTGTCCGTCGAGATATGGCGGGATGGAATTGAGTATATAGTAGCGTGACGCGTCGTGAGGTTGTATGAATGCGGCCAGGTCAAGAAGCCTACACCGAAGGGTAAGCTCAGGCCTGAGATGAGTCCCGTTGGCTGAGGGCACATACCCGCAACCCACCCTTGGTTGCCAGTCCATCTTGTAGTAGGCAGAAGCCCAGATCAGGACCCAGACACGCCTGAGAACCTTGGACTCCCATCTCTGTCCCTGCACTCATCCTCGACACGCCCAAGCAGTGAAGTCGGGGTAGAGGTAGGTGAAGAAGCATCAACAATTATTGCTGGCCGGCAGTAGCAACGAGGAGGGGCAGCCAGCGGAGGGGCAGCCAGCGAAGCAGTCTTACATAAGCAGGCTTGCGAGCCTGTCCGCCTGTCCGGCTCACACCCACACCACATGTGCAACCAGGCGACGGCTTCCAATCACTGCCACTCCTCTATTCATTGACACCATCCGGAATCACCCTGTCAAACCCCACGATGGCGTCGTCACAAGCGCCTCCTGCGGCCCCGACCGAGGGCCAGGACAATGGTCCCCGCGAGCCCAAGTATGGCGGCTACACGCGCTTCGAGATCGAGCTCGAGTTTGTACAGTCCCTGGCCAACCCCAACTACCTGAACCACCTCGCCGCCCAGAAGCTCCTCCAGCAGCCTGCCTTTGTCGCATATCTCAGATACCTGCAGTACTGGAGCCAGCCACCCTACCTCAAGTATCTCACCTATCCGGGCCCGACGCTCAAGAACCTCGAGCTGCTGCAGCAGGAGCGCTTCCGGCGCGACATCATCAGCCCCGACTTTGTGGCCGCACTGATCCAGGAGGGCACAAAGGCCGCCGTCGAGTGGCACAAGGAGAAGGAGGTCTGAGAGACCAGAAGCGTTCCATGATTGATTGAGGGCTTCCTTGAATCTACCAAGAACAGAAGCGATGCGCCACTAAACGAGAACACCCAAACTCCCCGCCATGCACCCCCGCCCAAAAAGACAACCACTACATAGTCCTGCCTGCCAGTGTCAAGGACCACTGCACCACGCCGGGTCGCAATCACGTCACTAGTTCTCCCTCCAACGATGCCCACAAGTCATGCACTGCACAAGAGTCAGTCTTTTTTTGCAATATAGTGTGCGAGGCCGCACATGTACGCACTTTGAAGAAACTGGTCATGGGCTCGTCGGCACTGCGGATCTGGACCTGGAAGAAGGCGGCCTCCTCGCCGTCGCAGCCCTCGGCGGGGCACTGGGCCTTGCCCTTCTGGGCGTTGTCCCACGCTCCCGGGCCGCCAAAGACGTCCTCTCTCTCCTTGCGGTGGAAGACACGGCGAGAGTAAAGCGGCTCGGTGATGGCGTACTCGTAGGGGCAGGTTCGGCACTCGAGGCGGTTCAGCCCGTTGTCCATGGCGGACACGGTTAGGATGTTTGCGCAGTGGGGGCAGACTGGAACAGGCAGGAGAAAGGTTAGGGCCATCTCGCATTTAGCTGTCTCTTGCGATCTGTTGCGATGCGACAGGATGCGACACGCGCCCTCCTGAGACAAGCAGTCACGTAGGCAGAGGGGCAGAGGGTTTGGCCTTACAGAGCAGCATCTTTACTCGGTCGTACAAGTAGTTGCAATCGAAATGACCTGTTCAATATGATGCGGCCTGTTGCTCCGGTGTCACCGTTGTTGCATGGCCAGTTCACCACATGGGTGTGAAATCAAGCGGTGCTTCTTTTTTTCAAAAATCGGCCAGAAGTGACTCCTCGGGCTGCTGCCATGGAAAATGGAGGGAAATTCCAAGCAGCAGGTCGTCACCCACCCACCAGACCGCCTGGCGGCAGGCAAAGGGCGGCTACTCTAGGCGCTAGCAATTAAAAGCAGCCCACTACGCGGCGCGTACCTTGAACAGGAGGACCCCTCGCTGGGCTGCTGGGATGGGGGTAACAACCCCACGCGATTCTGGCCTGGCCGGCGGGGCGGTCTTGCGGGCGCCAGGTTGCCAGGTTGCTTGGGTTTCGGCTTGCACTCAGGGCATGCGCGTGCGCGGTGGCTTGGTACCTCCAAGTCACTGCCACCTCCTAAACCTCGGGTTTGAAGATCCCAAAGGGTGACGTCTGTCCAACTCAAACCACGACGCTTGTGCCCGCGGCGAAGACGACTACACAGCGCAGAATCTCACGCCACAGCAGGCTCATACGGACTTCGGACGCTCTGCCTGCAGGAGCTGTCCCTGAAACCCAGAACCTCTCCCTATAGTTCCACGCAGGGCCATCTCACCCCCAAACTCGGTCCGCCCTGCCACAGGCGAGCCTCTTTGTCCAGCTGCAGCTCACCCTCACCATGGCCCATCAAGAAGAGCACGATGTACGCAACCCAACATGCCGCCTGTCCTTGTTTGCTTAGACCAGTGCTGACGCCGCCCCCTCCCCACAGGGCGCCTCCGCAAAGGAGATCCTCATCGAGGCCTGCCGGCGCAACAACGTCGAGCTCATGCAGGAGACGCTCGACGGCAAGGACGACAAGGAGATCGCCGACCTGCTGAACAACACAACAACCGTCATGGGAAATCACCTGTACCATGAGGCTGCTCTCCAGGGGAACTGTACGCCACGCCCCCACGCCCCTTAATTCCCTCTCCTGAATACACATTATACACACACACCACAGAGCCCCGCCCTATCACGCCTGCTCCCATCTCACCGTCCTGGAGGCTAACTCATACCCCCCCCCCTGCTCTCCCGCAGACGAGATCATCGACTTCCTCCTCGACCAGGACAACTTCGAGTGCGACCCCACGAACCGGCTGGAGGGCGACACGCCGCTGCACTCTGCGGTGCGCTGGATCAACAGCGAGCCCGAGGCGCAGCGCGAGTTCGGCAACGCCCTGGTCGACATGATGCTCGAGGCCGGCTCCAACCCGCGCGCCAAGAACAAGGGCGGCCTGACCGCCTACCAGCTCGTCGACCCGCGCAACACGGGCCTGCGCGACCTGATACAGAAGCACGAGTACGCCGCCCTCAACAAGGGCGACTTTGTCCAGGGCTCCGCCGCCGCAGCCGGCTCCGGCGCCGACGGCGTCATCAGCGCCCCCATGCTGGACCCCGACAGCGACGACGATGCCGAGTTCAGCGGGAGCGATGACGAGGAGAGGGCCGAGTGGGAGCGGAGGAGGAAGCAGAAGGCCGCCAGGAAATAAGCAACAGGGCTGGCCGGTGCGGCTGGTATGTATCTGGTGGGTTTTCCCTTGGTGTGTGCGAACCAGGTGGGCGTGTGCATACAGAATCGCGGCTGTGCTCATTGGGGGTTTTGATGAGCCGGCTGTGCGTGGTCACCCAAATTTAGAAAGCACATGGGGGTCATTTGGAGGGCAAATACAGCAAACGGCGTTTATTGCGAGGAACTGCATGTTGAACGGTCCCCCCCTGAGACTCTTTGGGTGGAGGATCTAGGGATGTCAATCGTCCAGCTTCGAAAGTCCGCAACTCTCTTTCACGGCCCTCAGCGGCTCGCCCAACGGTCTGATCTAGCAAATTCCAGGCTTCAGACCGTTTTGGAGCTAAACATGTTGGCCTCTACTCGCAACGGCTTGACGGTTCCATCGACGGAGTGACCGTCTGCGAACCCCGTCGCGTTGTGCGACGAACCGTGATAGTGGGAGTTTGATACAGATCGGCAGCACAAAGTTTTGTGTAAAGCTGCCCAAAGGACATGCATTACTGACACGAACAAGACGGCTCCGGAAAATGTGAATGAATGAGTATGAAATCCAAGGAAATGCTATCGACGCGCTCTAATAGGGTATATAGTATGCGTAATATAAGTCGGGCCAGAGGGAAAGGGGAGCCCATCAACTCAACCAACCAATGCAGTAGGAGTAGGGATCTCTCAGAGTCCGTCTCCCAAAATGCCAAATGCCTAGTCGTCCGTGGCTCTCATCGCTCCGCCAGATAGATCACTCATTGCAAATGCTTGACAGCTCTTAAAACACCGCATTGACGGCCAGGGAAACAACGACCGCGATGAAAACCCTGCCCATGAAGCTGCCGCCCGCCGCCCGACCACCGGCGGCGCCGCCCTGGGCCTCGATGAAGGAGACGTTCCGCGCAGCCTGCAGGATGTCCTCGGACATGTCTCCGGAAGCGGCCCACTGGCTGATCTGGGCGCCAAAGGTGCGGAGGATATCGGTGCTCCGGCCGGCAGGGCAGAACGTGACGCCCCAGCCGCCGCCGCCGGGGATGACAAAGGTCGAGGCCTGGTCGTCGTAGGGGAAGCTGTAGGCGTCCGGGCACACGCGCTTGGCGTGGCGTGCGTAGAGGCTGCGGGGGCACTTGTCCGGGTCGTTGTACTCGCCGTCGCAGCAGTCCTTTGCGCTGTTTGTCTTCTTGCAGGAGCTGAGGCACGGGTCGAAGACGGGCCGAGGGGTGTTGTCGTCCGGGTAGGGGTAGATGCCCTCGCCCAGCTTGGGCGGGTCGAGGATCTGTAGGTTCCAGGGGCACCAGTGGCCGACCTTGTCTGAGGTCTGCTTGCTCTCGTACGGCATGGGGTACGTCTCGTTGGTGAAGACGGTGCCGGTGCGGCTGGGTGGCCCAAGGTAGCCTGCCGTTGCGATGCAGGCTGGGTTGACCAGGTTGGGAGGCGGCTGCTGGCCGTTGGGGTTGGGCTGGTACTCCATCGCCAGGGGCAGGTTGTAGCCGTCAACGATGCTGATGTCGACAAAGTTCTGGTTGTTGCCCACTCCGCCCTTGAGGAGAATCTCGGCCAACGTGGCTGGGGGGTTACCCTGGGGGGGGCACTTGTTAGCTGCCAGTGGCCCAGATGTTTCCAGGAGAAATAGCACTCGAGGGGGTTGCGACTTACTGCTGCTTGTGCGCAGTCCATCTGCCCACAGCTACCGGTTGTGCATGTCAAGACGCCTTCTGCTGGTGATGTGCAATTTGTCCGTCCCCATATCCTCCCAAACCAGTCTGACCCAACCTCAAGCGACCGGCTGGCGCCTGCTGCCAGCTCGAAGCCACCCGTCCCAGGGCCTGTCCCAGCCGTTGTGAAAATGCCTGGCCATATCGTGTCCCCGCAGTTGTTGGTAATCACCAGAGGCACGGTATCCTGCCACAAGACCATCCTCGCGGTGAGGATGTGTTTTGCTGGCTCCTGGCTGTAAATCTGCGGTGGCGCGTCTAAGTAGTCGTACAGATCTTAGTGATGGATAGATAGATATATGTGAGACTGGGAAATGATATGCGGTGCTGTATCTGAGACGTGGGATAAAGATCCGACGGCAAAGAAATGTTTCGAAACAGATGCACGACGGTCTATTAAGAGCTGATGGGTGTAGTACAAGCACAACAAACACTGTTCCTGGATGTCCAAGAGATCCTCGACGTGTGTCAATGGCTTGACGGCCTGATGGCCATTTAAGCTGCCGTCGTTCGTCCCAGACGCCCAAGCCCAGGTCCCGCTGCCATGCATCTCTCTGCCATGGACCCTCCCTGGCCTTTGCCGCCGGGGTGGGGATGACGCATGAGCGGTTGGTTTTCAGGATTCCAAGTCAGCGTTCCCTTTTCAGGCCGTCTTGGCCAGGATAACTGTGCCTGATTGGAAGACTGACCTGCACAGCGTTTCAGTGGGCTGAGCTGCAGGGGCCGCAACTTGGTTTGGGAGTCTCTCGCTTGGCAGCCGCCCGATCAAGCGCCTGTACAGAAGCGGCATGGCCCCATCACTTCCCGTCAAGACCCTGGAATCCGCGCTGATGTCATCGAAGCCGGTCTGGACTCGGGCGCCCAGCGAACCTGGATCGCAGATGATTCCTCGGTAGCTGTCTGATATGTTGCTGTATAGGAAATAATGTAATGGGAGGTGTTTTCTAGATATAAAAGGCTGGGCAGCAAGCACTGTTGGCCGCTTCTAGAATCAAAAAGCACCCAAGCTATAGTAGTACCAAACGCACGTCCCACTCAGGACAAGACGCAAAGGTTTGTATTTATAACTAATAGTTAGGATCCTTGGCAATGGCTGCCTATACATTGAATTTCCGCATCTGGAGACTTTCCAGCCAGTCATGACTAGGCTGGTGTACAGACAGGGATGCTGCTGCACCCCAAGTTCTTCTTGATCTGTACACTGCGATAGTACCGTGGTGATAGCTTCAATTTTCGCAGCTAGCATGACTTGTCCTCTTGATGCGAGATTTTATTATGTCCATGGACGCGTTTTCTTTGCATTCAAGCCAAGGGGTGATGAGGCGGCAAGCCTGATATTGTTGTGGTTGGACCGGCCAGCCCTACGGATGTATAAGTCTCATGCGGAACTCCTCTGTCATACATCACTGACACGGTTGCTCTTCATCCCAAACCTTGTGCCTTGTATTTCCTCCGCCAACAGCCTTGTTCTGTCAGCCCAAACCATCATGTTAACCTCTATTATCTTGGCGATTAGCCTAGGCTTGCAGACCACCCTCACCAATGCGCAAGGTCTCAAGAAGGCTGACATCCGCGCCGACAGCAACCGCGACGTCTCTGTTGATGTCCAAGGCAGTTTCGACTCTGGCGGGAAGTCCACTTGAACCCCCGAGAGTGGTGCTTATATGTCTGCCCAGCATCGTCAATAACTTAGAAGACTGCCAATACCGTCACCAACAGGAATCCGCTGAGCAGCGATGGGCTGGCTGCCTGCAACGACGATTCAGGTCACTTGCAACTTGCGCCAGAATATTGATTACCTATTCGGGCGCTACCTAGATACCTATCAAAGTGTTCACCAACGAACGGCATTGCGAATGTTTATGCAGCGCGACGGAGAACAACTCAGAGCCTATCCAGGCTAACTCCACCTGCCAGATTGATGAGGCTCGCGTCAAGGCTGGAGGCACAGATCCCATGCTACTTTACAAACAGTCTGGTGATATCTGGGCTCAGGGGTTCCTCGAATTCGCCTACACTACTATGCCGGGTCCCGGTGGACTTGATGCGATCCGCGTATGCCCCGGCACCAGTGATAGTTTTGGTCACCGTGAGACCAACAGCTTCAGAAACCTCGAGGCCATTCTCCCTTGTACTCTAAAGTCCGGCATCAGGTATCCCGTCGAGCGTATAAATTATGGCGAAACATTTCGACAGGCTCCCGGTGGAGAACATGCTGGATGTCTGACAAGGTCAGAGGCTTGGGGGCTGGGTGGTAGGTCGTTGGACACGTAGACAAATTTGTTCAGTTCCCTAGCCTGCCCTACCACAACAAGCTTGGATTTACCATCTCTGTCTCCGATACCAGATCCGCTATCGATCGGCTCAGCAGGCCTCGGCCGCTGGCCACGGTGGTCTGCTCACCATCACCTTCACCGGAGATGGCACAGAGGCCGGGTCCTGAAGCCCAGTGCCACAATCGAACAGATCCTTGCGATACCAACTTCAACCCCGTGAACGAGTATGTCCAGAAGCACATCAAAGCCAACCTGAAGACACTGTTGGACGAGATCCAGCTCGACCACAATGACATCATCTGCATTCCCAGCCTGTTCAAGTTGAGCGACTGTGGCAGCGGCGGCGGTTTCTGTCACGGTACCTACTGGCACTCTTGACCCACTCTACTATATCGGCATAAACGCCGTGGCTTCGTCAGCGAGCCTAGTTCCCATTCTTCTTCCTCATTGTGTTATAATCAACTCACAACCATGACCAACCTACCAACACTGTGACAGTTTCCGTGACGGTCTGCCCTCACAGGGCGAGGACCTCCGCCCCGGGGAGTACCAGGTCGGCACGCTCCCTCAGGGGTCCGTTGACGGGATCGTTATAGTGACGGTATGGCTCTTATGTACTGATAGGAGTGAATGATCCTTTCAGGTTGGGCGGTTTAGGTGAGGGGTTGATAATTAGTCCTTGCCCAACCATTGCGTTGATCGGCAAGACCTAGGTCTGCGCGAAACTCCTTTCGCATTGGTACTTACGTCTCATGCGAGCATGAAAACCTCGGTGGAATATTGAATGTCTTACACCTCGGGATTTTCTGGCAGATAGTCAAGATGATTGATCATCTTCTCGCGCCACTAAAAGGTTGTTACTTTCAGAGCGAACGAGGCAAAACATATGCATAGTGCGCGCCGAACATTGCTGTGACAAAGATCTCACCTCTTTACCCGGGCACAATTTACAAAAGAGTGAAGCCTATACATTATGCTAGAGCTCAACATCTTTATTGTCTGCGGTAACGGGATTTGGTATCCCATCATATTGAATGGCCCCGCAGGTGGCAGAAAATCCTATATCTACTAGCACGAGATCCAAGGTCAAAGCCCACCCGTGATGCTTTAACGGAGCTCATGAACTCGGGGCGCATCTTGACCAGACCGCGAAGGGTGCACATTGTAATTGGACGTGTGCTTGTGACGCGCTGGTAGCGGGTCGCTGTTGGGAAGAAGCTGTTGACAATGTGAGCGTCGGAACACCATCGTAACAAACTAATGTGCCCGCAAGATAAAACAACACATGCACACCTCTAGTGACATAGTTTCCCGAAGCCTATTGGATATTTTACCATCAGAAACAAAACAGGTCATGCTCCTAATGACGAGCTCTCATTACGCGGAAAATAGTAGGAACATTGTAAGCTTCTTCATGACTTCAATGCTCTTTACTACAAGATTAGATTACCTAGGTAACCATCTAATGCGCTAGACGCTGCTATAAAGCCGAAAGCTCTCGCTTTCCACCACGCTCTCCTCTTTTTATTTTCATGTGTTGTTGTATGTAGATGGTCATGCCTGCGGGTCGTGGTATCAATCGCCTCAGCCAGTGGGAGGGCCACTCAAAAGCAGAAACCAAAATCGAATCCCCCCCCCCCCCCAATAACGTCGGAACGTAGACGATGCGAGAAAACCCACATTCCAGATGTTTTGCTTCTTCCCACGCCAGATCTCAAGAAATCGTCACTCAGTTAGTTTACGCTACTGACCCTCCTATCTGAACCTCGCCCTGCAACGGCCCATGACCTCGCCCTGGCAGACTAGCTCGGCGCTGAACTCCGACCCGTCCAGCGTCAGGTAGATATCGAAGTACACGCGGTAAAACGTGCCTTGTGGCGTGTCCATGCGCTCGAAGTCCTTCTCGAGGTTCTTGCGCGAGAGATCCGAAGTCAGCGTGACAACCTCCTTGATTCCTAGACAGAGAGTTAGCAACGTATGCCTCATCATTATTTGGTAAAGGGGCGAGACTTACGAGGATCCTTAGTGTACTCGGGGCAAACGTCGTCATCACAAGCATATAGGATATCTTCGTACATGAGCGTCGCTCCGGGTGCGACTTGGCGGAAGAAAGAGACCTTAACGGGCTCTCCAATCTTGACCTTTTGACCCTTTTGCACGAAGATTTGTCGCGTGAATTTGCATCGGTCCTTGCCGTCAAGCGAGGGCACACGGTATGCCTCTGGGTGGTAGCCCTCCTTGAATGGCTGCAGGGTGGCCATGAGGTAGTGCCTCCGTGCGATACGGTGAGTGATGACGCGCTCAGTGATGCCGGCAGTGACAGCGCCTTTGACAATAGCCGCAACAGAGTCCATGGGCCGCACGACCTTGGACTGGAACTGAGGGGGCACGTGCAGCTTGATCTGCTGGAAGAGGTACTCGGAGGCACCAAAACCACCGACAACCAAGATGTTTTGCAGCGCGCGGTTCTGCGCCTGTATCGCGATGATCTGGTTGCGCACGAGTTCGAGAATGCGGTTGACCACGGGCTCGAAGCACTGCAGGATCTCCTCGTTGGTGAATGTCATGTAACCCTCCTCGATACCGGCCTCTGGGAACTCGGCCTCAATGCCCACATCCACAGCCCACTTTTGCCCGTTGTTGCGGAAATCTGCCTTGATACGGTTCTCAAAGTCCATGATGCACTTTGCGTACACGCGGCCTGCGGTCTTGGATCCGTCCGGTAGCTTCATCTTCCTGATCTTGGTCCTCAATATGTTGCTGAAGTTGCGGTTCAGGGCGGTCGAGCCGCAGGAATCTCCGGAACCGGCTGTGCACTCGGCGACTGTGAATGGGTTTTCGTCCTCGACCTCATATGCGATCAAATCGACTGTACCGCCACCACAATCCACGATAAGCAGGGCGTCATGGACTTTGAGGTTGAGGAGACCGGTCTTTGCACAGAAGAGCGCAGCAGCCTCGGGCTCGGAGACCAGGGTCAATCGGTTGTCGTTCTCGTCCCGGAGGAAGCCGGCCTGGATAGCAGCAGCCCTCGTGGCAGCCTTCCCGGCGTCGTTCCAGATAGCAGGCACCGTCAGGTAGTACCGAATGTTGCGCTCCTCTCGATTAAAGACCTCACCCAGGGTCTTCTGCAGGGCAGCCCGCATGGCCTGGCGGAGCTTGAACAGGTAATCCGCGGCGACATCGATCTCGGACTTCCCTGGTGGCAGAGGTGGCAGGTTGATAGGGTCGATATAGGTGTTACCAGAAAGCATCAACTGCAGCTTGAACCATTCCACCTTTTGCACCCCTGGCTTGGGATACCCTGTTGGTGCGAGGGCATCGGCGATATCGGGGCCCCAGCCGACAACTTTTTGGTATTGGTCGTAGTAGAGGACGGTGGGGATCTAGAGGCGTCTGTGTCAGCTGCCGGGTAGGCCGAAGTAAGCGAGCTGGATCGTGGCTTACCTTCTGCTTTGTGTATGATCCGGCACCCGGCCATTCTGTGATGATGTCCTCTTTTGCCTCGTTATTTGTTGCGAATGCAAATGCGACACCGGAGAATGTTGTGCCCTGAGAGCTTCGATCAGCGGGGTGGCCATGGCCATTGGTACCTGCCCGCGCGGGGCGCGCATCTTCTTACAAAATCAATGCCGACGATCAGTTGCGCCTTGCTCCTGCTGTTGCCCTCGACCTCGGCAGCAGGTCTGGTATACGATGCGGTGGGAAGGTTCTGGCTCGGGGGAGGGCCGTAGCCTCCGGCACCGCCAGTGTAGCCTGGCGGGCCTCCGGCGACTGGCGGGCCGCCTTGCATTGGTGGTAGCTGAGGGGGGTAACCGGCGACGGGGGGAGCTCCGGTGTTGATGGGTGGAGGGCCACCGACCATCTGCGTAGGAGGAGTTCGAGCTTGTCCTGTAGTGGGCGACAAGGCCGATGTCAGTCGTCAAGAGAAACAGATTGGTGTTGACGCAGGCGAAGGTGGGGGCAGCTCGGTGTATTGTATATAACAATGGCTGGGCAAGGTTGGGTTGGGCTTTGGGTGGGTAGATGGGTTACGGGATTAATAAGTTTGGGGGGGTGGGCTCGGGGAGAGGGGGTCTGCAGAGGGCGCAGTAGAGGGTGGGAGGGGGGGGTCGGGGTGAGGGTGGGCGGAGGAGGGTACCCACCAGGATATCCAGCCGTGTAGCTCGGTGGCCGCTGCCCTTGGCCGGGGTGGTTCATCTGGGGCAGGGACTGCTGCGAGGAGTTGGAGGCAATGGAGGGAGCTTGGCCGGCGGGTCGGACGTGGGATGGGGGAGTGCTGTTGTGGGTGGACGATTGGGACGAGCCCTGCGGCGGGGGAGTGCGACTCTGGCTCTGCGATAGGTCTGGCGACTGGATGCTGGCACTCGATTTGCGTTTCGCAAAGCCAAGCTGTTTCAAGCGGGAATTCAGAGAGCTCATAAGGGAGGAGGGATGCGGGAACGATTAAAAGAGCGGCGGGGGGGTGCTGTATTAAATCTTAAAAAGGACGAAACCTAAGGGTGGCACGATTCAGCCGCCCAGGCCCAAAGACGGGGGAGTAGGATGCGGGAAGCGAGAGGAAGAGGAGGGGGGGTGTAGTAGTACCTAGTGTGTGTGGTGTGGGCTAGGACAGTCCAGGACAACACACACAGGACAAAACAAGAGAGGATAGGACTGGACAGGGCTGGACAGGATGGACAGGATAGGGCCCCAAGGCCAAAGGGTACGAACAGGGTCGCTGTCAGGCAGGCAGGCAGGTCGGTAGGTTGGTGGTAGGTAATATTGTCTGTCCTCGTCTTGCTCAGGATGGCCTAGGCTGTCGTGCTGCCGCTGGGGCTGGGGCTGGGGCTGTTGGGTTGGATCGGAATTTCGAATTTGGATGTAGGCGAGCGAGCGAGAGCGGGCGAGGAAATCGAGGGCGTAGGATTGGAGGGGGGGATGGGGAGAGGAGGAGGGCGAGTGAGAAATTAGACAGATGCAGGCAGGACTAGGACTGCTTCACCGCGGGTGCTGTTGCCGTTGCAGGTACGGTTGGTCTCCTGCTGCAAGTCTGCAAGTCTCTTGCTGCAAGTCTCGCAGTCTGCGGTTGCGGTTGCGGTTGCGGTACGGCTGGGGTGACTGCCGCACCGTGCATGAGGCAGCTGCTTCAGGTCGCTCGTGAGTGTGCTGTCCCGTCTCAGGACCGTGACTCTCATCTGCCTGTTGAACCTTATGGGCCGAGCTGTTCAGGCACGGGTCGAGCTTGTCTTTGGTCTGTCTGTCGCAGGGGTATTGTACAGTACGGGTGGCCCTGTCTGCACCCAAAGCAAAAAGTGAGAGAGCAAGTGCTGTGTAGCTTCAAGAGACAGTGAAACGAGAGAGCGCGGACGAGGGAGAAGGAGGGAGAGAGTGTTTGGATGCGCAACGAGGACGGGCTGATGTCTCTCTCTCTCTTCTTTCTTTGGGATGACTTTCCGCTTCCAGCGATGTACCGTTGTGTCGTCCGGGTCGGCCTGGGCTGGGCTGGGCTGGTTGCTAGGCAAATAATAATAAAGACCTTGGCCGCTTGCTTGTGTGACTTGCAACTGCGTGGGAGAGTGTGGGCGAGAGTGTCTTGTCTCTTTGGGCTGGTGACAACTTGACCAGAGATATTGGCAGCTCGTTGCGGTGGTGGTTGCTGCTGGGCCGGCGCGATAGTGTGAATTGGGACTGGACTGGGATTGGGAGACGGCGGGGCTTGAGACCAGGGACTTGGGAGACAGGGACTGGGTGTGGGCGTGGGACGGGGACGTAGGACTTTGTGTGTGAATAATGCCAACGACAAGGACTAAGCACCAACAAGCCCAGAAGCTGAGTCCTACGGATACGTTCTGCACCAACCGGGCAGGTAGCGTCGTACCGTTGTACCGCTGTACCGGTCGCGGGTCCCACTTGCTCGCAGCGCACCAGAGCTGCACTGCGCCCACGTGTGGCTGAGGGAAAGGGACAAGACTTTTACTTTTTAATTTTTTTATTTACATTTTGGACTCCGCCAGCATGGACTCAGCACTCAAGACAGACCAGGACAAGATCACCCGCCCGCCTGGCTCTTGTTGCATCATACACATACCTTTCTTGTTGTCCTCGTCATCGTCTCGCTCGTCAGCAGCCGTCGAGACAGGGCTGAGTGAGCCTGTCCGAGGCGTGGGTCCTAGCCGACTCTGTGTGTCTCAGACTCTCAGCGTGGGTGTTCCCCAGCAGCAGCACCACACCACATGCATGCGTGTGCTGCATGCACGGCCGGGAGCAGCCAGTCCTTGGGCCGTCAGCTAGGCCATCACTTGTGCTCGGTAGGGTTGCAACGGCGGTGCTAGGGCTGGGCTGCAGCGTAAGATGCATTTGATTCCTGGTGACCCTGACAAGCCTGCAAGCCTGCAAGCCTGACGAAGGGGCAGAAGGGATGGGGTTGAGGTGGTGATGGCTCTGCAAATTGGCCACGACTTTGCTCCCACCGCACCTGCACACTTTGGCTCGCTCTGTGGTGGTGACATGACCCTCCTTGCCCAAGGGACTGTCTCCGTGGCCAGTTTCAGGGTGAGCAGCCAGGCTCTGTTGGGCCTGCACAAGGTTACAGTCCTACCGCCGGAAGGATTCTTCTGGACTGGACTAATTACTACAGTATGAATCCTGTCCACTGGCCTGACCCTCTCTCCTGCCTGGGGTCGGCCGTCCCTGGGGAGTGACAGGAACCACACGTGGAATTTTGAATTTCAAATCAATCAAGCGTGGTGGCGGCAACCAATATCAAGCGGACGCAGCGGCCATCTACCGTGTGATATGCAGGCAGATGGCAGAGCACCAAGCACGGGTGACACAGCACCAACTTCAACAAACAAAGGGCTGGTTGTTCAGCCTTGATCGACGTTTGCCTCCCGCGCGTCCCTCGCTACTGGGAAAGCCGCCAAAGAGGGACAGTGGAGGTGGCGGTCCTTTGGGGGCCGACATGCATCTAGAAGCATCTGAGATTGCCACTGGCAAGACGGGGGTCCATTGAATTATCATGCCCCCCTTCACCCCGTGCCCTGTGCAGTCTGAAGAGCTGTGGTCCCGGCTTTGGATGGGTAAATACCGCGCTGGCAACGCCGAGCTCCGTCCACAGACAACAGAACGGGGCCGCCTGGGCAGTCCCGTAGCTTGGCTGGTACTGGCTGGTATTGGCTGGGTGACTTGACCGCGGACCCTCTCGATCTGAGGTTTAACTTTTCCCTTTGCCCACCAGCCCACCTGAGCAAAGCCATGCTATGCCTCGTGACGGCGAGTTCTCAACAGCCACATCTGGTAAAAGCAGCATGTGCAGCGGGAATATTGTCCACAGTTTTGTCTCCCGTGGCCATCGTGCGCACAGCCAGCCAGCCAGCCAACGGGCGGTGAGATGCACTCCAATCTTTCAAGATGCGCGCCGAGCCGAGCGAACAAGCGGACGTTGAACGATAGACTACTTAGATAAGGGGCCCATGTGGGCGGGGGAACTAATCCAGGTAGGCGGACGGCAAGGTATAGTAGTCCTGTCAACTGGGGATCGTCCGATGGCCGTGCTTAGACCGGCATGGCGTTTTCAGTAACCGAATCCGAAAGTCTGGTGTAATAGACTGGCACACACCACACAGCAGCAGCGGCAGGTGCTTCACCTTCAGCATTACACATCATCATCATCATCATCATAATGGGCATCATCATCATGGGCATCACATGAAAGACGAGCCGAATATAGCTCCCTGCCGAGTCGACACGGCGGGCAGTAGCCCGTTCTATTTCCGATTCCCCTCCAGCACCAGCCCAGACGGGCACCCTACAAACCTCGCTGCGGTCCGGCACTGCAGCCGATTCAACGCCGGCAGCAGGGGGCGGAGCTGCGGCTGAGCCAAATGTGGGCATTGGGCAGTGGGCACAGCTGAGTCGGCCGGGGCAGGCTTTCGACAGGGATGCCTGCTCCTCACCACCGCGGCGCTTAAGCACAGCGAGCAGGAGCGACATTTGGCCAGTCCCACCCTGCTGGTGAGAAGGATTCGAAGGATTACACAGGGAGGACAATCAAGACGCCAGGACGCCCACTCACAGACGCGCATTTTTGGTGCCTGTCAACCTGTGTCGCGTGGCACTGCAGCACCCCATGCCCCCTTGTGCGACGTTGGCGTCACGGCACGGAGTGCAGCGGTATTATTACCACAGTCCACGGTCAGATCAACCCCCCGCGGCTAGTCGTCAATGTGTGAGCCGCCTGATTTGGCTGCTTGCCGCGAGTTGCGCTTGCTGGCCGACCGCCGGCGCGTCGCACGAAAGCCTGGCGAGCATCTTTCATTTCTTCCATCGTTTCTTTGGCACCCTGAAGAACTTGTTTCAGTTCTGCGAGTATCAGTTTCGGCGCTTGAACATGTGCAGTTGTGCATGCCCGAGGAGACTCGGAATCGCACCTGGGACGTGGAAGCATCAATTGATTGTCTCTGGCAGGCCGACAGAAGTGTGTCCGCCGACATTTGTCACGGGATCCTCCTATGGGCCCTGTGGGTAGTTGACCTTTCTGAAAAGAGGGCACCAACATGATCGATGCACCACTTTGACTCGGCACCTATTAAAACAGGTTCCCGAATAGGTTCCCGAATAGGTCCTTGTCGCGCAACGAGTCGACTCAGACGGGGCCCGTTATGTAATCCGTATCGATAGAGAACCCGACAAGGTGCCGTCATCGGCAGCCAGTCACAAAAAAGTTAATGTTCAGCAATACAACACTATGCGTTGAACGGTCCCACTATCAACGAATTTGACAATTCTTCGAGCGCACTGCGCTCCAACATTCGCTTGACCATGTCGCGCAGAGCCGTAAGTGACCTCCCAGCACCAATTGATCGCTCACCATGGACTGACCCCTCTCCAGGTTGTGAACGCCGCGTGGGCCCGGTCCCTCAGCCGGGCGAACAACCGCGCCTCCGTCCAGAGCGTAATGAGCCAACGGCTCCCACGCACAGCATTCCACCAGCTTTCATACCGTCGCCTGACAAGCACGATCCCCTCCGGCCGAGCAACCTTCGCCCAAGTCCACGCACCCGAATTCTCCTTCGCAGACATCCCGACCGACAAGAAAACGCCACAGACCCTGACGGAGAAGATCGTCCAGCGCCATGCCGTTGGTCTCCCCGAGGGAAAGCTCGTCCGGAGCGGTGACTACGTGCAGATCGAGCCCTATCGGTGCATGTCCCACGACAACACCTGGCCCATCGCCAAGAAGTTCATGTCCATGGGCGCCACCCGGGTCAAGGACCCCAGCCAGATGGTTTTCGCCCTTGATCACGACGTACAGAACAAGACCGAGTCAAACCTGAAGAAATACGAACAGATCGAGGCGTTTGCGAAGAAGCATGGGGTTGTCTTCTTCCCCGCCGGCTATGCGATCGGTCACCAGGTCATGGTCGGTGTTTCCATGACTGCAAACACGTGCTGTATTGTTGTGCGCTAACACCTCGCCCAGGTTGAAGAGCTCTTTGTCTGGCCAGGCACATTATGTGTGGCTTCCGACTCCCATAGTAATATGTATGGCGGCATAAGTGCTCTTGGAACTGCTCTTGTGAGGACGGATGCCGCGTCGATCTGGGCGACCAAGAAAAGTTGGTTCCAGATCCCTCCTGTCGCGCAGGTAACTCTCACAGGAACTATGCCCCCGGGAGTTACCGGGAAGGACGTTATTGTTGCTCTCTGCGGACTGTTCAACAGCGATGTTCTCAACCACGCGGTCGAGTTCACCGGATCTGAAGAGACGATGGCTAGTATCTCGGTGGATAACAGACTCACAATCAGCAATATGTCAACTGAGTGGTCTGCGCTCTCCGCAATGGTGTGTTTCTGAAGCCTGCGTTGACTTGATTTCCAGTAGCGCCCAAGCTCACATGCTCAACAGTTCCCGATAGACCGGACTTTGGAAAAGTGGCTGCGATACAAGGCCACAGAGGCAGCAATGCATCCGGATCGCACAACTAGCCAACGAATCACGCACGAGAAGATCGACGAGCTCTATGCCAATCCGGTCCACGCCGACCCCGGAGCACATTACGCAAAGAAGCTATATCTAAACCTTTCTACATTATCACCATACATATCAGGCCCCAACTCAGTCAAGATCTCCACACCTCTTAGCGAGCTCGCGCCAAAGCAAATCAAGGTCGATAAGGCCTACATTGTGTCCTGCACCAACTCCAGAGCCTCTGATCTTGCTGCAGCGGCCAAGGTCTTCAAGGACGCCGCAAAGGCCAATGGCGGTAAGACGCCTAAGATCGCAGATGGTGTCAAGATGTACATCGGAGCGGCTTCAATTCGTGAGCAGGAGTACGCAGAAGACAAGGGCGATTGGCAGACACTTCTCGAAGCCGGAAGTATCCCGCTCCCGGCCTCGTGTGGGCCTTGTATTGGACTGGGAACTGGTCTTTTGGAGCCTGGCGAGGTGGGAATCTCCGCCTCGAACCGCAACTTCAAGGGGCGCATGGGCTCTCGAGACGCCCTCGCCTACCTGGCTAGCCCCGAGGTTGTAGCCGCCAGCGCCCTTCATGGAACCATCTCAGGAACAGGCGAGTTTCAGATTCCAGAGAACTACTCCGGTGTGGAGTACGGCTACGGCACAGGCCGACCTGCAACCGCAGAAAGCGAGCTCAGCAATGCTCTGGAACAGCTTGAGTCGCTAATCGACCGGGTTGAGTCCTCTGTGGGTGGTGATGAGACAGCAAAAGCAACAACTCAGATCCTCCCTGGCTTCCCGGAGAAGATCACCGGCGAGATCGTCTTCTGTGACATGGACAACCTCGACACTGACAACATCTACCCGGGCAAGTACACCTACCAGGATGACATCACAAAAGAGGGCATGGCACAGGTCTGCATGTCAAATTACGACCCAAACTTCGGCTCAGTGGCCAAGCCAAACGACATCCTCGTCTCGGGCTTCAACTTTGGCTGCGGCTCCTCGAGAGAGCAAGCCGCGACGGCAATCCTGGCAAAGCAGATACCGCTCGTTGTGGCGGGCAGCTTCGGAAACATCTTCTCGCGGAACAGCATCAACAACGCGCTCCTGGGCCTGGAGGTCCCACGGCTCATCGAGCGCCTGCGCGCGACTTTTACCCGCGAGGACAAGACCCCGACCCGGCGGACGGGCTGGACGCTGACGTGGGACGTCGCGCGGAGCACCGTCGAGGTGCAGGAGGGCGAGGGCGGTGACCGCTGGGAGGAGAAGGTCGGCGAGTTTGCCGCCAACCTGCAGGATATTGTAGCCAAGGGTGGCTTGGAGGAATGGACAAAGCACGAGATGCAGAAGTCCGACTCATAGATGCCTTGCAAAACGAAGAGAGATCAAACCTTGATAGTGAGCAACTTATGTTATGAGAAAATTGAAATATTTACAATCTCATAGCTGAAACCTAAAAGCAATTGATCCTGCCACAATTGCACTGAATCAGCGAGGATTTTTGAGATGGGATCGGAGATTCGCACATCTATACTGATTCAGATTATGCATATACTCTGAGTGACGAAGACAAGGCGCGCCAACTTCCAGTTCCTCCGCCCCAGATCGCCTTGATAGTGAATTGCCATGAGTTGCAGATGATTGGGGAAGCCCGCACTAGATTCTCCAACATGCTTTCGGATAGTAATAATAACTTGCGCAAAACCTGGATAACCTCTGCCTCTAAGATCATCGTTCACTGCAACTTCTTCCAGGAACACAGACAGAATTGGCATGCCACATCGCGAGGCACACGCTGACATGCTGTGATATTTGATGACAACGTAAATATAGGTAACCAATAGCTTGCATGACTTCCATCCTATTGGCCTCAACAGGTGGCTATCGTAGAGGCTTGTGGAAGGCTACTCTATAAGCAGTTTCAAAGGATCGGATGTATTGCAGGGAGGATGTAGAGTGTATAGGATATACGGCACAGGAGGGTGAGCATAGAGGATTGGAGATTGAGAGATGGGAGGTTGAAAGGCAAGCGTTTGACTAAGTAGACAAGGGTATAAGATTAGTGCAGTGCTTTAGCCCATAAGACTGGAGATGACTTTGTCAAGAGATTGAGTACTTGAGTACTCAAGTCCTCCGTAGTGAGAAGCACCCAAATGATTCACCGTTACCTACTCAGGTACTTAGGTACCCAGGTATAGGAGGGTAGGTGCAGCGATTCTGCAGTAGACGACAGAGTAATGCTCGTGCTGTGTTTATGGGCTGCTGATGAAAATGCTAGGGACGGCAAGTGCGGGAGTAAGTAACACTCAGGCTCAGGCGGAACTTCACGAGACAAAAACCAGCAAGTTTCCCGACACTTGATCAATTCTGGGCGAACTCCGGTGTGAACCATGATAGAATTATCCCCTACCAGAAATGCAAGTTGCAGTTGCAGAGCATTGCCCAAGCCAAACCAATCCAGAGAAACCCCGCTTGCCGACGGAATGCCAAACCGTAATCATATCATGTACAGTAAATAAATGGAGCAGACAAGACAATGGGCATGCCCACATTAGCTCCGAGCCACATAACGCCCCCAAAGACCCGCGAAGAACTCCTTCTTCCGGATCGCCACAAGACCTGCGATCAGTCCCAGGCCGGCCCACTGCCACGGCTGAACCTTGCGAAGGTGCCACCGGATTGCAGGAATCGAAAATGAAGAAACGCGTTGCTATGGAAACAGCGCATGTTAGGATACCGGGGTCGTTATCGAAGTTGCAGAGAGGACAAAAGGCTCGGCGGTAGCAGCCTCATGGCTCGGCAGGATGGATCTTACCTCTTTCAAGAATTCGGGGGTTGGTTGGGTCTTCTCCTCGCCTGTCGCGACGAGCGCGATGAGGGCAGCACCCACACCAGATCCGTCCTTCGCGATTCCGATGCGGATCTTGTTGGCACCTTCTTCGCCGATGCCCTGGATGGCCCGGAACGCCTCGTAAATCATGTCGCGGAAGTATGGGTAGTGCTCAACGAGACTGCCGTCCACACCCACGTCAATTGGCTCCCCCTCCCATTCAGGGTCGGTCAGCTTGCCAGTCTTGAGGACAATGGCAGCGATACTGATGGCCGAAAGACGGGCAGCGCGACGGCCGACAGACTCGGCGATGGCCTTGAACGCCTGGGCGTCCTCCAATGAGGGGCTGTACACAAGGAGTTGGTCTTCCAGGGCCTGGCGCAAAGTGCCGAGGTCCGGGGTGTTATCTGCTGCAGCAACAGACATGATGGCTGTATCAACTCCCCATTGCTTGAAGATGCCAGATTCCTGGGCGATGGTCGTTGTCGACCGCCAGTCGTTCTTGCTGGAGTTCTCATCCTTGAAGAGCTGCACATTCTCGTCCTTCAGCAAGTCGACAATGGCCAGACGCAGGATCTCGCCCAGGAACATGCCAGAAACACGCTTCTCGAACATCTGAATGCCCGGGTTAATACTGTCCTTGTCCAATTGCTTGTCCCATGTGGTATTGGGGAGCACGTTTAGTTGGTTGTCGAAGGAACCCCACTCGGTGTTGATGATCATGTCTCCTGTGCTCCTGTCGAAGGCGCCCTGGACGGGCTTCTTGACATTCGAGAGCTTCTCCACGTATGCTCCGTTGGTGCCGGTGCCAAAGATTGCGCCCAGGATTGTACCCTTCTTCCCAGGCGATGCGTATGAGCGTGCCATCAGCGTGCCCACAGTGTCGTTGACGAGCGCAGCAACCTTGACAGGCAGGCCGAGCTTGTCGATTTCAACCTGCAGCAGTTGGCAGACATCCTTGCCCACCGCGTCGGGGATGTCAAAGCCCTTTGTCCAGCGCATAAGAATACCCTTATTGATACCGATTTGTTGGACTGGGAAGCTGAATGTGAAGCCGAGACGGAAGACCTCCTCGTCCTTGAAGCCCTCTGGGTTGCTGAATGTGAAGCGCCTCCTTAAGCGGTGCTCGAAATGCTCGCTGTGGTGTTTGCGGAGGAAGAGCTCGATCTGCTTTGCCAGGAAGCCAAACAGCTGCTGGGCGGTCTTGGCTGTCATCAGCTCCTTCGGTATGGCGACTTTTGAGTAAGTCAGGTTGAATGTTGTGTCGCCATTGAGATGGATGGAGCAGACTCGGAAGTTCGTTCCGCCTAGGTCAACGGCGAGGTAGAGACCCTGGGTGGGAAGAGTAAGCTGTGGCCCTCGGGGCGCAGGGGCGCGCGCACTTGCTTACCTTCTCGGTGCCGTTTGGGACGCCAGTGACGTAAGTAGGAATCTGGCTCAAGCTGGTGCCGTCCCTCTCGAGACCCTCATCTGGCAGGGCGTGAGCTGTGTGTCAATCAATGGGGCGATGAGCAATGGAGTAGACGCACCCATCTGGCTGAGGAACTCAACGACGCCCTTGTTGAGGTCGGCATCGTTGAGGTCGAACTCCTTGACGACGCGGTTGGTCTCTGCCGTGAGCCCCATGGTGAGCGGTATGGATGTGGGAGCTGAGGTAGGAAAGACTTGGGGTATTTCGCACACGGGCTCTGGAGATACTTGGGCGAGAGGGGAGTAGGAGGGACGGAAGAGAGGGAAGGGAGCTATTATATGAGAGGAATAGAGCAGCTTGGCGTCACGAAGCACCAGCTGCAGGAGCTAGCAACAGGGAGCAGGGTTAGCTAGCTTCCAGGCGACAGGCGACGGAATGGGCAGAGTCGTGAGATTGTGCGGGGCACATGCGCAGGCGCAGCTTGGGCTTTCTGGGGAGTGCGGCTAAAAAGCCAAGCTGGCCTGGTTGGGGGCCCCGTTGGCCGTGACCTCCAAGTGACCTGGAGAGACTTACTAAGATTAGCACTGGGAATAGGGCCCAGCAGAGATATGTCGGCCTGAGGGCTGAGTAGTCGCGAGTCTGACCCTGGCTTTTGTCCTTTGGAAAATCATAGTCTGAGTCGCCAGCGGTTGCGGTTGAGTCGTCAATGGCACGCCAGGAGGCGCTGCCGTGCGAGGATGGCCGCTCCAGCTTGGCGGCCGTTGCACAAGAAGCTCGAGGCCGAGATGGCAGGCAGGCAGGCAGGCAGGACGCCCAATCCCGGTGACGTAGAGCCTGTCGCTAGGATTCCTCAGTCGCGGGATTGTGCCGTGCCTCCCCCCCGTGCCTGAGCCTTCCGACAGCCTTGTTCGAGCCTGGTGCCTTCCTCGTCCGAAGCAGGAAGCAGGAGATGCTGCCAACAAAGCGTCCAGAGCCTGGGCAAAGAGGGCGGACCTGGTGCCGCAGCTGGGTCGGGCGGGCCGTTGGTGGTGAGAGGTACCTCGGAGGTCAATCAAAGACAAATGGGATTCCCACGCGGCGGGAACAGCTACCAGCAACAAGCCTGTGGCCTCGGCGGCTGGCGGAGACTCGGGGCGATTGCAGTGGAGCGAGAAAAAAGGGCCGGATGTGCTGCAGGCGAGACCTGGAATGAGATCATGGGCGACCAATATCTGGGCGACCCCTGCTGCGGGCGACTCGAGGGATATTCAGTCGAGCCTGGACAGGACGAGTCCGGACCAGCGAGGATTTGTGCCGATACAACACAAAGAGATCTGGATGGTTGGGGTCGGAGATGCAGGCAGCCAAGACGGTGGAGCAGCGAGCGCCTTGATTGCTGGGCGGTCAGGAGCATCAACGAGGCCCTGCTTACCAGCTTGCCTGCGCAGTATCTACTGGTGGTCACCACTGGCAGGTGGGTGGGTGGTATCGCCGTGTCAATCGTTTGTTTCCTCGGGCGCCGCTAGAAAGAGCGAGCCCAATCGAGGACACTGGCAGCTGCTGGCCTCATGCAGGGTGTGCCTTAGCGATCGAGTGCTGGACCTGCGGCAGTTCATCCACCTTGCCGGTCCGCCCAGCAGTCTGGAACACGCACGCAGCACCGCGGTTGATGGGTCCGGCGATGGCGTCCCTTCCAGGGGGTCTCGCGCCGAGAAATGGCAGCAGCCGGGGCCAATGACGTAGCACTGGCGATTGTACCCACAGAATTCATCGGTGGGCTTCCATGGGGTGACGAGACGTCGACGGGGAAATTGTGGTGGAATGGCGGCAGTCGTGGAGGAAATCGTGGGTGCCCGTGGAGAAAAACGAGCCTCCCGGGGCCACTGGGAACGAGTCGAGACAGGGCCAGTACAGTGTATTTCCCCGGGCGATGCTGTCTGCGAAGTATTCACGGGTCGTCTCGCCTCTACAATGCCAGTGGCTTGTCACTGCAAAAGTCCCGTCACTGACAGCTGCCGACGGCGATGTCTGGCCTGCTCGGGTCGCGGCCACGCGAGACTCACACCCGTTCAGTTGCGTGTCCCTTCGCGCAGGTGAGGCTTTCGCAGCTCGATCCAGAGAGAAGGTCTCTGGGGATGCGAGGCAGGTGATGTGGGGTCGCAAGGAGAGCGAAAGGACCGAATCGATGGCATCAGGTCGTGGGCGGACGTTGTCCGAGCAGGGACAAATGTGCAGACTTTTGAAGCCCTGCTCCCAGATTTTATCTGTCGAGGTCCAATACGATACACAGGACTGTGTAGAAAAGCACTTGCTAGTCACAAGGACAAACCTCACGAGAGGAAGGCGCCACCGACACCCGATGTCAGGCACCCCAAAGAGACAGTGAGCCCGCCCGCCATGGAAGGGCCCAGGACCCGGGGTAAGGGGCCCCAGGGGCTCAGAGCCTCAGAACAGCCTCTAGGCGCGACCACTTGCCAAAGCCCAGACCAGGAGGGGCATTGATCACGCGACAACCCCATCAGAGACATACAGATTGATTATTACCTAGGTAGTTTATTACATAGCTCACCCGTGCGCTCCTCCCACGCTGGCTTGATCCGTAGTGTCGTAAAAGAGTCCGGACGAAGGCCGTCAACCCATTAAATGCGCCAAACACCACACCTGCAACATTTCTGAAAACGGCTTGCTGCTAATAGTAGTAGTAGCTAACCCGTTGTTTGCCTCAAAGCGTCAAGTCCAACGCTCATGTTGTCATCCCGCAATGTTGCACCTATGTCATGAAACACTTGTCTGGAGACAAGCAGTCTAGCGCGCCCAGCACTCAGAAGTCGTCTTTGTCGTGCCACAAGCATGATTACAGCGACACAGCTGCACTACAGAGACTCGAAATCAACATTTTAGCTCCCTATAATTACTTGCCTTTGCCTTCTGACTGCCACTCATACGGGAAACCAATCCACGCGAGGCCTTGGTGCAGGTCTTCCCAGAGAAGGCTGAATTCCGTTCTGAAGTTGGGGGCACATCTGATCAAGCTCACTTAGTCAATACGGCTTTGTGCTATAAGAACTTATCCTTTCACTATGACGAGGCTGTCCCGTGGGAGACCACCGTATAGATGTCCTCCCGAAGGAGCTTAAGGATTAAGAGTCTTAGCAGTAAACGTTCACCAGAGATGCTGTGGCCGCCTAGCGGACACCTGAACAAAGCTCGTCTGACTGCAGTCCGCGGTGATCTAGGATTCCTGGCGTGGCTCGGAACATGAAATTGTCTACCATCCAGGCAGGTGCCTACACGAGAGGCCGTCGTCATTGGCTGCTTACTGAGAAATGTAATCCTGGTGGCGTATAACATCGATATTGCATCAGTCAGGAAGCTATTGGACAGGCACTCAACTGAAAGCATCATCCAGGCGCCTCTTGACCACCAATTCCCAACATCAAAGACAGCAATGGGATGACGCTGTCTTTCCCAGATCCTATCCGCGGCTATGTCGCTCTTCATCAGCACCACACACGGCCCAGGTCGACCGGTCCCGGCCCAGCATACGGACAGTGGCCATAGATGGTCGCACGACAGCCACTCACGCAGGTGTAGACCTGGCACGAATTTTATCTTCCGCCGGGATTGTTGTGATGACCAGTGTGACCTGGTGATCGTTCCAACGCAACGCGCCGCCGACTCGCAGTCGCGTCGCCAAGGAGGGCAAGAGAGAGTAAAACCCAGTTTATCCTGACCTGGTGTCGACCAGTTGGCCGTATACTGGCCAGGATACGATACATCGGTTGCACCCGGTTTGCAGTCCGACCGAAAATATGTCAATCCTAATGCGTGACCCAAAGCCTCGACGGTCCTGGCCTATTTTGGCGGAGGCAAAGACACCTAGGTGCCCATCGCTCGCACAACACAATGCCAGTTCCAAGACTGTCACAAGCCTTGGCATGCAAGAATGGTGCGATGTCCAATGCTGTGGGATCCGGCCTTCCCAAGCCATGACCAAGATGGGTTTCGACTTTTCGGTTCCGATTTCTCATTGAAGTCAGTCTTGAAATTTGCCATTCAGATATTGGTGGGCAGTGGCAAACAGGTAAGTATTCCTCTGTTGTTGTTTTTTTCTTCTTTTTTTCTCTAAGCTTTGCCTAGACACAGAATGCATGCTCACTTCTCGTTTGATTATTGTACTGCGCATAGAAAGACAGTTCTACTGCCACGTCCATAGTTCATGCCATATACCAACCGTATCAGAGGCTCTGACTTCATGAATCACATGCGTTCTCAAGCATCCAGAGTGTCAGGTACACACTGAAACTTTTCCTCCTACCTAGCACATGAGTTGATGCTCTTGGTATTTGTGATCTCTATCTCTTTTTGGTGATGGGTCTATACTCTGTCACCACAATGTCAAGCGTGGAACCTCAGCCTCAGCCTATTGTAGTATTATCAGAGCAATTTTTTATTGTATTTGTCCTGGAGAAACCGATAGTTGGGGCCACACATATCTTGAAAAAAGAAAGATCATGAGAATGCTACTATTTTGTCTGTTCAGAGCCAGAGTCAGAGCCCTTCACAGATGCCCTTGTATGAAAGACTGTGGGGAAAGAAATGAAGTAAACACGTATTTGAATGGATGAAATGGTCCTAGAATGTGCTAGTGGGTGTAGAAAATTGTCAAAATCCCCCCAAATTTTGTAAGCCCTGTGCTTTTCTGTCACCCAGAAATTGCCCAACAGACTCAGTTTTGTTATTAAGCCATTCCCAACTTGTACATACCTAGGTATGGTCCAGCAACAAACATACTATTGATAAGCCCCAGGATGCTTATTTTGCCCCGTTGGGTTGAGTCCGACTTTTCAGAAGGGTGAATATAAGGGACATTTGCCAAAAGTTTTCACACTTCACTTGTCACTTTGTCGAAACTGCACAGGCCACGTTCATATATGCTGCAGTATGGAGTACTCTACGAGGACTTTGAGCTCTTCTCTGTCCCAGATGTCTGGTTTTGACGCTCCACGCAAGCTGCGCAGCACCGTCTGAATGCCTGCCACGGTCTAAACACTTCCATGCAGCATTTGATTGAGCACTTAGCAGTCTTGGATGGCTCAACTTGGGTAATATTGTCTTTCGCCTTCTGGCCAGTCCTCGCTCACTTGTGTCCTCAATGCGCACATGTGAATTTCGATGGGTCCTTTGAACCCACATAATGGGCCTTTGGACTTCAGTAGTGTGTCCAAAAAGACTCTTGCCCAAACTACACATATATCTGGCCATAACACAACAAGGAACACATTTCTGTGTATCCATGGAAATCCAATGTGTGGAAACCTGTGATGAGGGAGTTCGTCTCCAGCATGCACACATATTAGCAGTTTTGCTGTTTAAGTAATAACTCTATTATTATATTGTTTTTATTAAAAACATGCTCTTTCCTCATGGCTGTAATGGGCGCACATGTAATGCACTCATAGTGTCTATAATACCTCTACCAGCAGAGTCCTTCCGCAGTACCCCAGACATGCTTGATCGGACAGATCTTGAAATCACAACACCTTCCGTATATCCCCGAGGCAATCCTCATGTGGTGCCTTTAATCAGCCGACTCTGCCCTTCCGCCAAAAAAACGCCGTCTTCTTTACCCTGAAGTCCAAAACCTTCCATTCTCTTGAAAATGCGAGCCCGTCTGCTAGGCGAGATCAGTTCCCGAACGCGGCCGTCGGGTACGCCCTGTCCTTCTTCTTGCGCCCAGCCGCTGAACTGCTCCTGGAGCTGGAACCCGATCCTGTCGGTGGAGAGAGGAGGTCCTTGGTCCGGGAGGTCGTCCGAGACGCGGCGACCATGTCCTCTGGCAGGTCGTTCCACTCCATGTCCGGCCGCTTGTTCTGGAAGGATAGGGATGATCCTGGGGGGCCGGGACGGGCTGCTGGCGGCGGGCCGTTCGCAGCCGACGGCGGTGGTGGTGCCGCCATACCGCCCGCGTTAGAAAACCCAGGCAGATTCACCACCGCAGCGGTGACGGTCGCTGGAATGGCGGAGGGCTGCTGGGCTGGATGGCCATTTGTGGCGGCCCAATTGCGCATGTCTCCAGCACAACACTCTCCCTCCCCCGTCACCCCTGGAGGCAACACCCGCCGCTTCATGACCCAGGCGCTACCCGGCTGCAGCTTGAAATAGTAGTTCTCGAGCCTGGAGTCCCTCTCGAAGCCCCTCCTCGCGTACCACGCGAGCGCGTCGTGGTTCTCGGTCCAGACGTGGGCGTAGACCCAGCCAATGTTGAGCCCGCTGCCGCGGGCGTCGGCGGCCACCGCGCGCAGGGCGTCGAATATGCCCTCGACTGCGGCTGCGGCAAGCCCCAGGCCGCGGTAGGGAGCGAGGACGCCGAGGCTCTGGACGTAGAGGACACGGGAGTCTGGGGGGCTCACACGCTCACGGGCGCGGCGGGCGAGGTCGGGCGAGTAGGCGCCGCTGGACGGGTCGAAGGGGCTGGGTTCCAGGCGGCAGACCAGGCCGCCTACTACCTTTGGTGTCGAGGAGGCGTCGCCGTCACGGAAGAGGATGGCGCGGCTGAAGAGACCTGACTGCGCCGGGTCTAGGATGGCCTTGTAGAAGCTGTCGGTGTAGCTGACGGGTAGGAGCAGTGCGTTTATGCGGCGCAAGGCGGGGATGTGGGCGTCCGTCACTGGGACAATGGTCGCGGAGGGATGTGGGCACGGCGTCGAGGCGGGCAGGACGGTGACTGGCGAGGCTGAAATCACGGGGGCGGCGGGCTGCTGTGGAGGCGGCGGCGGAGGAGCTGGAGGAGGAACTTGTTGTTGTGGCGGCGGCGGCGGCGGCTGGTGTTGCTGGGCTTGTGATACTGGCGGGGCAGCATACTTTGGCGGCTGCTGCTTGTTGTTGGGCTGGAAGAAGGAGAGGATCGAGGGCTGTTGTGCACGCGACATGGCTGGCTGAGAAGAGGCCGAAGCCGATGTTGAGGACAGTGTCGAGGGTTACGGGTCGGAGGTGGGTGGGGGTTGGTTGTTGTAGTTGAGAGATGGAGGGGTCTTGTCTGTCCGGTCGTGCGAGGCCAGGTTGGGACTCGGATGGGGACCTAGACTGGGACTGAGGGTATCAACAGACGAGGCATGTCCATCTGGGCTTGGCCGCATTCCTCTTGCTGGGAAGAAAAAGAAAGTTGGACCCTCTGATTGCATGTGTTCACGTCACCACCTGGGCAGCCAAATGCTGGTTGCAGCACACTGCAGCAGATCAGGGGTAGTGGCCACCATCAACTGCCCAAAGGGTTCCAGACCAGACCGCGTGGGGCCGGCTGCTTCCCGACGCTACGGGCCAAGCTGGGGGCGCTACGTTCCAAGGGTGTGTGCACCTGGGCACCTGGGCACCTGGGCAGTTGGCAACTTGCGCAAAGCAGAATAGTAATTGACTTATTGATTGACTTACTCGGACGGGTATATCGCGTGCATTCATTCCTCAGGCCAGTTGCAGGGCTGGGTGGTTGCAGCTGTGCATAATCTTGTAACAGGTGGCCTGCAGACCATCTGAGGTAGATATTAGGATACTTACTCTGCCATGTATATGTGCCACGGCGGCTTCTTGTGTGAAGGAGGATGAGGCTTTTGGGTGATGAGGATAATTCTGTGGTCTAAACCCAGGGTCTCGTCCCCAACACCACCTTCTCCGCGCTAGCTGGCGAGGCGGGCTTGGGGACAGATCGGTTCGCTCTCTCCAATCTCACTTGCATCAATCCGTCAAGCACAGTCACGCTCTCACCCGCTCGGTTACCATTCACTCACTCAGCCTTACTATTTATTCCTCGATCGAGTAAAGGAACTGCTTCTCCACACGCTGGCCTTGCGCCATCGCCCATCCTCGTGCTCAAGACAAAGGGGCCCATCCATTCTGGCACTGCTGGTCGTCCATCTTTCCATCAACCTGAACTTGAGCCCGGGACCTGTTGAGTATCGAAACAGCCTTCGTCAACGCTGCTGCTTGTCTCTCACCTGCCACGGCACCCTCTCACCCACTCCATCAGTGAGGGGGCCGATTGCAGCGCACCAGAGCTCGGCCCCGAGTGCCGCTCAAGGCGCCCCTGCACCACACCATTTGCCGCAAGGGGAACACCTGGGCAGTACGCGGAGTACCTACAGACGGTACCCTACAGCACCTATCTATCTACTGCGGCCTGTTGGTTTTTGCTGCACCCCCGTCATCCCAGGCCCGGCGTCGCAGGTCGTCAGCCTTCCCGAAGTCCAAAAATTAATTGATTAGTTTCCATCGCCTGTTACAATCTCACTTACATACATCCTTCCGCATACTCTCCTTCCTTTCTCCTCGCCTTCATTGCCCCCCTTTGCCCCCCCTCCTCCCTCTCAAGATGGATGAGGTCAAGCTGGAGAGCCTCTCCGGCAGGGCAGGAATCATCAAGGCCAGCCAGGACTCCGATGCCCTGGATCGAATTGTAAGTATTAACCTGGCGGCCCCCTTGCGAAGTGTCTGCCCTTGGGCACCTCGCCCTGTCTGGCTCGTATTGACCGCTGCCTAGTCACATCAGGTCCTCGATGACGTTCTTTACAATGTCATCTTCGATCTCGTCCTCGAAGTCCACCGCGAAGAGAAGACTCGCCGGGCCAACACTGCTGCCATACGGGTGGAGAAGCTGGCCGCCGACGCCGCCGACGCCTCAGACCCAGACACCAAGCCTGACATAAGAACAGAGACCGACGCTGCCATATACGAGGACGGTAGGGTTCTGCTCAAGGGCAATCCATTACAGACCACAAAGGACATCCTGTGCCCACGATGCCACCTCCCTCGCCTGCTGCACCCGACCGACGGCAGGGGGGCTCAGAAGCCAGACCCTGGTGTGATATATTGCAAGAAGCACCCTTACATTGACAAACCCGGTTACGACATCTACGGTCAGACATGGGTCGCCCCGGGTCCAGGCAGGGGCAAGAAAAAGAAGGACATGGAGAAGAAACTCGATGCCAGTGTAGACGGCACCGTCACGCCCACCTCCGACGGCCAGCGGCCGCCCAACGTGCTCTCGTTCCCCTCTGCGACATGTAGCAAGTGTAAGCGGTGCATACTGGTCACGCGTCTGAACAACCATATGGGAGCGTGCATCGGCAACAGCGGGAGGAACGCAAGTCGTGTGGCCTCGCAGAAGATCACTAACGGCGGTAATGGCGACAACACCCCTCCATCCAGCCAGAAGGGCACCCCGGTCAATGGCTCGAGGGCGGGCAGTCCTAGGAAGCGCGATGCCGACGAGCTTGACGAGGACCAGGAATCAGACACAACAAATCCCAAGAAGAAGAGCAAGAAGCTCAAGGGACCAACCACAAAGATCCTGCTCAAAAACAAGCCCAAGAAGGAGAAGGAGAAGGAGAAAGTCAAGACCAGCTCGTTCCTGAGCGTTGAGTCCAAGGTCGACGACGAGGACGACGAAGATGACAAGAAATCAACCGTTCAAGTCGTGTCCAAGAAACCCACGTCAAAGCAGCCATCACCCGCCAAGAAACTGAAACTAGGGAACCCAAAACCACCTTCGGCATCACCCAAACCAAAGAACGGCAGTCAGGTAGATGGCGGCTACGAATCTTCAGACACGTTGTCAGACCCACCACACGCATAGCAGGGTCTCGACGTTGAGGAGGGCTGTGTTTTGGGGGAAGGAAGGTCCCTAGGGCGAGGTCTAGTGTTTCTGTTTCAGGGCGCATTTCATGGTGTCGGCTGGTCATCATTGGAGGTTCCAAGAGTAAAATTTCAGCCTTGGATGGTTTTGCATATGGTGTGAAGGGTGGCGTCATTCGATGCAACTCATTGCTGGCGTTTTCAAGGTGACAACTTTGTCGAGAGAGCGAGAGAGATGTTTTGTGGTAGAGATTTCGGCGGTGAAGTGCACGTTCAATTCCGTGGTGTTGCGGGTCGCCTTAGGCAAAGAATAAAGGTTCTGCACCCAGTGACGTTCAATCTCATGGAGGATCCATTTCGGACTCAATGTCTTCTGTGGCGAATTCGATGGAATCGCTCACGGAAGCAATCTTGGTTGAGCACACGCGCCCTCTGATATGTTCAGGCACTCCTGAGACCACGTCCGAACTTTTAGACGACGCGAGGGCGGCACATCGGCCCAAATCCTGTTATTACATATACCCAAGGTCATGTCTACTTTACTCGCGTGCATACATTCACTGCTGGAATGACCAATTTCTAACTTGAGTAAAGCGGGAAGATCATGTAGTGACGGGATGAATGAGATGAAACTTCATAGGCTATAGGATGTACCTGCTCATGTGGTGCGCTGGGTCTGCCCACGAGACATGAATGGCAGTGATGTTGATTAATACCCAGCTCTATCCAGCAATCCTGGAGTTTTAACCCCGCCGTCGCGTCCATTATCAGCATGGCTGCAGGCGTGACTGCTCAAGGGGAGCTCTGCTGAGCTGATGGTGCGGGTATACCGGCTCATCCTCAGGGACTAGCACCGGATGTCGATTCCAGATGTACAGATGGAATTTGCGAGTCTTGGTCTCTTCCCCTGCGGTGTTCCCTTCGGTCAATCGATGCCCCTTGTCCTCTTACGAAGGCTTTTCTTTCGGCGCCGGGGCGGTCAGCCCTGAGTTCGGCAGCGGCAGCGGCAGCGTAGAGAGACAAAGTGTCTTCTGTATCTTTGCTACAGCTGCACGCGCCTGGGCGGGCTGGAGCCACCTAGCTTCACGCATCCTCAGCCCCTTCTACGACCCTGGCGCGCACAATCTTGACCTCCTGCTCCGGCCTGTCCTCGGCATCTGTCTTGACAAGGCCCAGGCGGCGCACGACGCCCATGCCAGACTTGACACGGCCAAAGATTGTGTGCTTGCCGTCGAGCCAGGGCGTGGGCGCCAAAGTGATGAAGAACTGGCTGCCATTGGTGTCCGGGCCAGCGTTGGCCATGCTCAGGATGCCCGCGCCGGTGTGTTTCAGCTGCAGGGGCTGGGCTATCTCGTCGGCGAACTTGTCGCCGTAGATGGAGGTGCCGCCGCGGCCGGTGCCCGTTGGGTCGCCGCCCTGGACCATGAAGCCCGGGATGATGCGGTGGAACACCGTCTCGTTGTAGTAACCGCGCCGCGCCAGGGTCTCGAAGTTGGTACACGTCTTGGGCGCGTGGGACGTGTACAGCTCGACGGTGATGGTGCCCTGCCCGTGGAAAGTCTCGGTCAGCTTCTTGGTTCGCAAGGGCGCAGTATGTGCAGAGGGTCTAGGATGTGTTGGTGTCTGCTTACCATGGAGGTATCCAGGGCTACCTCTTTTGCCATCTTGTGTGTTGGCGCCCGGGCGAGCTGGCTTGGTGGGACAGGGTCAATGATCCAGCCTGGCTGGTGAGTGAGGTGTGCGAAGGCCCAGACGGCAGCGACGAAACCGCAAGGCTGAAATTTGGAGGGGCCCTGTCCCCTGCCTGATGACGCCACTAGGGGATCTGCCACTGGACCCTGGGCGTCCAGCTCAGCACCTCACCCCTTGTGCAAGGCTGGAGCGGCTAGAACAGCTTCCCCTGCCATGCCGTCCCAGAAAATCAGATTAGGCACACAAGCAGGGACAAAGGCCAAACAGTGACTTCTGGACAGGCATTCATTCTGCCACCTCACGTCTTTCTTGATGAGCATTTCTCTACCTGGAGTCTAGTCTGAACAAGGAAACCTCCCACCAATATGCCCACAGCAGTTCCGAACCTGCGTGTCTGCTAGGCTGTCACCTGCAGAGGCCACATCATTCCGCAACGAGACGAGTGGGACTGGGTTTGCCCAGTAGCTTGAGCAGTAGCAGCGGAACTGCGACCGGCCATCATACCGAGGCAGCCACCCTTGATCTCAGAGCGACACAAACGTCACCAGCAAGGGGTTTCATCCTTTGACAGTCTGGAGCCGCCCGTCTTCGAGCATATTCCGTCAACCGGGAACGGCTGCAACGGCATCAAGACAGTACCTACCGGGCCCTAAATTCCAACTTCGGCCCGCACACCACTCGCTCATCGCGAAATCATGGCTGAAGCGGACCACACAATGTCGGCCGCCACGGCAACACCATCTGCCGTCCTAGACGAGCATACCATCCAGCCCGACCCAACAATGTGGGACATGGTTATTGCCAGGGACTTCTTCTCTATCGAGATCAAGATGGTCCTCAGCGCTATCCTCATCATCTATGTTGGCGCACACGCATCGCTCCGCAGACCTCCATCCGCCGCCCCGCCCACCAAGCTGAAGAGGAAGGGTGGCAAGCTTGTCGTCGACGATGAGAAGGAGCACTTTGCCCAGGGCTTCCAGGCCACTGACGCCATCTTGTTCCCCCTGATCGCCGCTGCCGTCCTCATAGCGCTCTACTACCTCATCAAGTGGCTCCAAGACCCGGCCGTCCTGAATATGATCCTGAGGCTCTACATGGCCATGACCGGCATCCTGTCCATCGGTATCTTCTTTGGGGACATTTTCCAGTTCGTGGTGAACGTGGTGTCTCCCGACTACTGGGCCGATAAGTCCGGCCGTGTCTTCGAGATCGACCCTATCAGCCGCACCCACAAGCTCCTCAAGGCACCAGGCGAGGACAGCTCGGAGAAGGAGGCCGACTCTCATAAGCGTCTGCCCCTTCCAGGTTTTGCTTCGGAGCTGAAGGTCTCCACGGCTAACAGCAGCGCGGCCTGGAGCATCCGGCACTTTCTGAAAGAAAGCTGTGTCCTGAAGATCAAAGTCCCTGGGGATGGCTTTACAGGAGAAGTCAAGATCACGAGTATCATTGGTTTCGTACTTGGCTGCGCTGTGGAGGCTCTGTACATATACACAGAATCATCCATGCTGTCCAACGTCATCGGCCTATCAGTCTGCTACCTAGCTTTCAACTGGATGTCTGTAACCTCGTTCTCTATC